AAAAAAAAACTCTTTAATAAAATATTAAAATATATAAATTTTACTATATTAATATTATAACTATATTTAAAGTTTTAATATAATATTAATATAGTAAAATTTATATATTTTAATATTTTATTAAAGAGTTTTTTTTTTTTTTTTTAGATTACTAAATAGTATTAATTAGTAATTACTATTTAGTAATTACTAAATTTTTTTTTTAGTAATTACTATTTAGTAATTACTAAATAGTAATTACTAGGTACTATACCTATTTAGGCTTTACTAATTAGTAATTACTAAATTACTAAGTAATTACTTAGTAAACACCCATCCATGCTTCATGGTTGCATTTCTCGGGAGTTGGTACTGTTGTTGCTAGCGCTGGTTCAATACCAAAAAGTTCAAAATCTCCCCTGGCGCCAGTTTGCACGAGCCGCCTTTAGGCGTCGACACACAAAAGTACACTCAGGCGCGGCACTACCGAAGTCATGAGAAACACTTCTCTCTGCGACTTCGCTAGCACCTGTCTAATGCGGCATCATGTCGGCACTGTTCCTGCGGCTGCACCTGACGTGCTCATTCAGAACATCAGCGCAATTGCTTCCAAACTTCCTGCAAGCCAAGAGAGCCCCTCGCTTCCAATGCGCACATTGGGCCCCCAGGAAATGGATAGTGTAGGCATGACGGCTACTAGTCTCTAGACTAAAGGTAATCAAGCCTCTGCTCCAGTGTCTCCGGTGGCCTGGCGGCCTAGGCCTGCCATCCAGTCGTACATCACTTCCGTCATCTGCTTACTGGTTGACGTCCGTTCAAAGATCTTAGCAGCTACAAATATTAGTTCGGCCTTTTTGTGGGTACTTAGTTGGAATCCATATTTCCTTCGAACCCCCTACGTCCACTTTTGATGAAACTCGATTCAACGGTGGAAAGATTTATGCAAACGATTGAAAAGAGCCGTTAACAAGAGCGAATGTATGATTAGCAGCTCCTAGTAGGATACGTAATGTAAAATCATGGATGGTGTGACCGACAATGTTTACATCTCAATTTCAAGCTAGATGATCTTCTTAGTTACCTTTAAAGGATGGATGGTTCTCTTAAACATTTGCAGGCAAGATGACTTCAAGCACGATGTCATCTACAGCTACAGCTTGTTTGTGCCCCTCAATTCGTTAAGTTAAGGTTAGAAGACATCGTGTTCGTATTACTAGATTGTATATTGTCTAGGGCCGGAAGACAATGCCGCCGGTAAGCTGTTGGATGGTCTGAGTTGACTTCGGCCCGAGTACTCGGTGGTACTTTTCTACGAGGATGTTAATTGCTGTTATCGCAAGCTTTTTCTCGCGGTGTGACATTATTCGTATACGGCGTTTCACCCCGGCCGCGCTACGCTACATCGCTGCGTAGCGTTGTAGTCGATCCCGAGGGGTAGACGAGATCAACACACTATGTTTCAGTATTATATCGCTAAATAACAGTATATATCAATGCCATATTCAATAAACGTCTGCGCATAAATTCCTCTCAAGACCGTCCGGTTTGTGGTGCCTCCGACTATTCGTTTGTGTTTGTATAGCCGCTTACTTGCGAGTCATGTCAACGGTGTTGTTGATCATCTAAAACTGTCCTGGTTAGACCGTATGCAGGAGGATTGGATGGTCAAGGCTTGGAAATGAGCAACCAATCATGTTTACGACTTATTATTTAGCTGATCTTTTCCATATATCTTCTGACTTGATCATCGTCCCGTGACATTTCCCGCCGATCTCTTTTACGAGCGCGGACGGCGCTCCCACTATCAATTCTACACTCAGTTTAAATAACTTCTTTCCATTGAAGTGCTTGGGATATCTCCTCGGGAACGGATTCAATCCTCAGACACCACCCCGACCTCTCCTCATACCCGGCTTTTCTTGAAATAAGGAGATGTCTGGCATACTCTGCACCTGGGCAAATCTGCCAGCGGACGCCACGGAATGGTACGAGAACGAATGGGTCCCAGAGACGTGCTCTCATGGCGCCCAACACGCCCTACATTGCGAATTGACACCAAACGGGATGGAGACCGAACCCACGGGGACGCTAGATTCACCATGGGGTTCATTCATAGTCTACGAAATTCCCAAGATACACAAAGCTACTGAGGATTTGAACAAGGAGAGATATCGCCCATCAGACAAGTTGCTAGCCGGACCCCTGAAAGATGCGCGTTTTGATGTACGAACGTACCATGAAATCCAGAGATGGCAAGCGGAGGATTGGGAAGGCGGTAAGTCATACCTTGGCATATGCAGGAACGATTGACTAAGCCAAATCGCTAGATATTGCAGACATCGCGAGCGTAGCAGCAATGGAATGGCGCGTTTCCCCCGAGGTGGAGGAGGATGTGGTTCACTTCTATAAAACCGTAGTCGGCCCTACGATATCTAGCTCACAAGATGTTCTACGGTTTCGATTTTTCAAAATTGATACTGCAACGGTCCTGCAGGGCAGCTCATATGTCACCAAGGAAAAGGGTGCATTGTACACTTACTTTACCTTGGTCGAGCTAGAGTCGGATGAGTGGCCTTGGGATGCGGTAGTTGATCTTGCTGAGAATCAGAAATGGAATGCTTATTTCGAGCAGCAGAACACCGTGGTAAGTTCTGGGATTTTTGAGCGTTGAAACTGGCTGACAGGTGTTAGAAATGGCAGGTTAGCCATTATCTGGTGAAGAAGACGTCTACGGCAAAAGCGAAGGCTTAAGGCTCGAATGCAGATGGTGGGGTAGAGCTTGACATTCATACAGGGCTGTGCCATGCAGTACAAGCACAACAATGACAAAGCTCTTTATTGAGATCTATCACTATATTGATTGTGCGGTCTTAATCAGCCGTGTGTACGGTTCTGATTAGAACCCTTCAAAGCTTGACTTCTTCTCCTTACCGATAGACAAGACGTTACAAACTCAGTCAACTCTAGGTCAATCGCACGCGCATCTGGATCTGGCACCAAACGCGCACGACGTACAGCTTATCCGCATCATTTGCTTGCGCATATTCGACCTCACCTAGCTCTCGTACCAACTTCGCGGGATCGTCCTGCTTCCTGATCTTGATGTTTCGAATCGATTTGTAAACACCAACGGCGGAATATCCAATCAGACCACATGCGCCTAGGTCATTGTAAGTAGTGGCATACGTGGGCAGGTGTGAGCAAAGACTAACCCGCGGCAGGCTTGAACATAGCATTCCCGAATCCTTTTGCCAGACCAGTGCCGAAACCAACAATGCCGTTTTGTTCGGCTCCATCAATTGGCTTTGCTACCAGATCCTTCAGACCATCACTAAGACCATATCCGAAGCTCTACCGGCAGTCAGTTATCCATGCACACATTAGGGGCGAGGGACGTACCTTTGCGCTGACCAGTAGCCCGCTTCTTAAGTTAGTAATGTTGTCGTACTCTCTGACCTCTTCCCCGTATAATTTTGGCAGGTTGTGAAACCCTCTTGTGACCCCATGCATCATCAGCATTGGGCTTTTCAAGCTCGCGGCGATCATGCGGCCCACACCTTTGCCAGTCCCTATTGCCACTTGCGCCGCTGCATGAGGTACACCTTTGACATCACTAGCAGTCACGGATAAATTATTGCCGTCTGGATTCTCTGTTCGTCTCGATTCATAGCGTGCTAACATGGGTATCGCATGTTTACCCAGTTCTACCGGTCCTGCAACAAGGCCGAGCATGAGCTCTCCAACAGTGTCGGAAACGCCGAGAAGAACGCCAGACAGAGGGTCGATGGGGTCACGCCTGGTACCTGAGTGCTGTGATATTCTGCGAGTCTAGTCAGTATTTTGAGGTCGGAGCGTAGGATGGACTATACTGACAACTCTAGGTCTTTGGCACCGATAAGCCCTTCTTTCGTGAGCACTGCAGCTGCAAGCGGGGAAAGCGCTGTCTTCTTCCGCTTTACAAGCCATATCGCTGGACGGTCGTGCAAAATACTACACGCTCTTACACCCACCAGATTGGCAGTCGAGACTGGCTCAGTGAGATATTGTCCTAGCACAGGAGCTGATACTGCAGGTACTTGGGGAGTAGTATTGTGCGCATGAAATTCTCGCTCTAACCCCTGTTCTTGCAGTTGGGGTATGTCTCTAGTAGTTGAAGCGTTCGATATCTGCTGTTGCAGAGGGTGGTACGAGGATGTACTTCGTTCCGGTGATCGCTCAAATACCTCAGGTTTCTCTCCTTGGGCCGCTTCTGCATCGACTGAAATCTCACCCTCTGCAATTGATTGTGTGTAGGCTGGCGGCGTCGTGACATATAAGTCGGCGTTACTCAAAACAGGCTCGACGTGCATCAACGACGAGGTATCAGTATCTGCACGCATTGTTCAATATCATTTCGACGGCTCATCAAGCTGGTACTTACCTGCGACACTTCTGTTCTCTTCATTGACAGTCCGAATGGATTGAGTCGTATCTCTCATAATGATCAGACTGCTCTTGGGAGTGTTGCGGAGCGTATCAAAACCCTTTTCTGGGACGCAGAGAGTTCAGCAATCGCCGACTTGTCTACATATTTGAACCACGATATGCCCAGCCTGCGTTACCCTGCGGAAACGCGTGTCGATGTTTTGAAGTAAGATGGCGCTTGACTGGATGCGGTAGACCTTGAGAGGGCGGAGCAGAGCGCCTAGATTGTGATTGGTTCACACTTGATTAGCGCCCTAAACAGTGCCAGATGTAACCATGTGGCTGATTCCGTGTCCGTTCTTGTGCTAGGGCGATGTAGTGTTCGCAGGATATGCCGAATTTTGCAATACACTTGAAGAGCCTGGGACCGAGCGCACTACATGAGTGCATGGTTCATGATGCATCCACCTAAAGCAGGCGCTCTTATGGACTTCCTCATATCGCAAATAATAATGATTTCAGCTAGTAAGCTGTTTGTCATGATGCATAATACTTTTTGATGTGACGTTTATTCACGTTTCCTACTTTCATTGAACGAAAGAAAGAACAGGCATATTCCATGCAAGAAATTAGGACTTAACCATGACGGTTGACGTTAAAATTAACTGGGGATGGGATATGGATAACTTTTGATTATATGAGATAAAGAAAAGAAAGGATAAAATAAATGGAAAGCTGCCGTGACATGCCTCAGTGATGTGAATCAAACCCCTCTGTAGCCTGCCTGCCATTCGATGTTTTGCAGACGCAAGCCAAATGAGGAATAAAGGTTTCCTCCAATGCAGTAGCGTTGGCACGTGCCTAAAGATGCTAGCATAAAGAAACCTCCGATCTGTTGTGAACTTGTATAGAGTGTGTTTGAACGTTCTGCAAGTTGCGAAAAAACATAAGAGGAAAGAAAAAAGTAGCAAGTGTTGGCTTTTCGCTCTTGAACCGAGGGCCATGTTAGGAATAAATGAAACTTTTCGTTTGCTTGGTCATGTTCGTGCTTGTCATGGCTTCCATGCAGATTTTCGGAGCGAATTGGCTGGTAATTTGTTGTAGTCTGTCGAACTTGAGGCGACCTAGTCAAGCAAGATCAACATCTACTGTCATCTCCATAACCCGATTTTCGAATTCTTGATCGGGCGCTGTGTATCCACAAGATGGGCAGCAGCGTTTTCTTGTTGACTTCCCGTCGGATGAGGTGTTAGATGAAGCGTAGTCGTCCTTTTCTTCATCATCGACAGAACGCTTACGTTTTGTCGAGAGGGGATCGTAGCGCCATCGTTGAGCCTCCCAATCGAAGACGTAGTTCATATCAAGTAAGCTCCGTACTTCCATATCCCCCTCCGCCCTATGAACTTTCATGCCATCGTATGGTAGAACGCGTGTAACATACTTCTCTTCAATGAAACCACCGGCCATGAACTCGTGCCATTGACCGTCAGCGGCTGTCACGCCAAGATGAAATCCACCATCCCTTTGTTCGAGAACGGAAAGGTATAAATCTGCGCCAGAACTCTTGAACTCCTCTGTTGTGATAGGTGAACCATCGACCGGTCGGCATACGTCCCGAACCCAGATGGGTATATTGAGTGTAACTGTGGAACCGTCCTCGATTTGTTCGGTCATCTCCAACTCTGCTGGAACGAGACCGGCAGTGGAGATTTCAACTACGATAATGCGTCTTCCTCTTCGTTTGCTCGTGTAGTAGTGCCACCTGCATCGGCCCGCTGCTTCTCCTACAAAGTATTAAAATTATCGGTACAGGTGAATCTTAGATAGACTTACCCAGGGAGTTAGTTACCGAGACATAACTTGAGGGATCCTTTTTCTTGCTCTGCTTATGGTGTCGCTTAATTCTAGTTCTTGTCAAGTCTTTTTCACAGAAGAACTCTGCCAGAGCTTGAAACGCATATCCGTCCTTGAGTTTGGGGTGTTCGCTAATGTGTAAGTCATTGATCTCGTAGCGACTCGGGGTAGCAGTCTTCTCGAATGTGACACGGTAAAAATGATCCGGAAGCTCTTTGAAATATGCAGGGTTGCTGTGGCGAAGCGTTGTGGAAATTGGGAGGAACGTTCTCGTGAGGGTCAGCTTGCTGAGTTGCGAAGAGCGATTAAGCACATACAACGTTTTCTTTATTCTTGCTTTACCTGTCCGTGTTGTATTCTCAGCCTCCACTGACGTTTTTGGGGAAGCAATATCGTTCGTTTCCAAGCAAGGCTCTTCCTCGGCCTCTATAGAGAGCTGGGAGGTCGAGGCAGGTGAGGGATATGGTTCGACTTCACCCTCTGTCAATGCGGCTACGGAAGACACTGGCATAGTTGCAGAGAGGCTATGGGACGAAATTTTGACCGCTTTAGAACGATTCGTGTACGTTGAGATGAGGTGAAGAGTAGAAATGGATCGGTGGAGATAATAAATAGGCGAAGAGGACGACTGGAGAGGAGAAGAGAGTGAAGGTGTTCGAACTAGTAGAGAGTATTTAGTGGAGGGGGTTAGGTCTAGTATGAGAGCATGACAGACCTTGGGGTGCTTATACATGTCAACGAGCAAGAGAAGGTGGCTAGTGAGAGGGGGAACAAATTCTACATTGATAGTATAAGTGAGGCTGTTAGAGTTGTGATATTCAGCAAATTGATATTCTACAGTCATCAGGGGTAAGAGAGAATGATGCTGTCTGTATCTTCTGTCTCGATTAGCATAGCACGTCGGTGAGGGCAGCCGATGATAGTCTCGCAACACCATATCGGATGCAAGCCAGTGGAAGAGGAAAGGGCAAATGACAAAGTTTACGAGAAAATCCACGTGTGAGGGAATATCAGGCACAGTGTCTTGTCAAGTATTTAAATAAGTGTAGTTCAGACGAACATTAACGGCTTCCCAAACGGGCATGCCGCCCGCCAAGCCATAGGTTGATGTGATTGGCCTTCGCAACCACGTCTCAGCGAGCCGTCAGTTGCAACACACAGCACTCAAAGGTACACCGACGACACTTGTCACGTGCACGACGTCCATCGCTCGGACAGCTGCTGTAATGAATTCGGCCGTAGAGAGGGAGATCCTCAACAAGTACAACCTCTCGACGCTGTACCCTGCAGCATGGCCCCAAGAGAAGGACGTGGCGGATGATGAGGCAGATGAGTTCGAGTTGGCCACGCCGAGAGCTGCTGCGCAGCCGGTGCGCCGCTCGGGATCGCGATACTCGGTGTTGGAAGACAGGTCGAGGTTCTCGCGGCAGGTTCCTGGGGCAGAGCGATCCAAGGATGGCGTCGAGAACCTGGTGCAGAAGGACGAGCAAGACCCGCTGGGCATGTACCCGAGTGTCGTCCAGGTGCTGCGAGCGAGGAATGTGCAGGTCGAGGACGACATCAAGCTGCGTGAGTACAGAGCCAGATGCCATTAGAGGCCCAGCTCATGTCATGATTAGGCAACCGCTTTCTCCTCAGCTCGACGAGCTTCTCGCCCTCTCTGTTCCTCTCCCAGGTCCACAGCGACGCATCCACCGACTCGCTGCTCGCCGGCCTCGACTTCCTTTCCCGCTCCATCGAGAAGAAGTCGGCCTCGCTCAAGGTGCTCGTCGAGTCCAACTTCGAGCGCTTCGTCGGCGCCAAAGCCACCATCGACCGAGTATACAATGAAATGCGGGATCAAGGGCAGGAGCCCGACTCGCCCAAGAGGGCCCAGCATTCGAGAGGCCCCAGTAGAACCAGCTTCTCAGGCAGGAAGCCCAGCGACACCTTAACGCCAGGAGTCAATAAGCCCGCGCCGACCGAGAGGAAGAAGAATGCGCTGGTCAAGGAAAGCGAGTACGGTGTGCACGGCATTAAAGTCCCGCTCACCGAAGTCGCCGTCAAGGCCGAGGAAGTGTGGGGTCCTGCATTGAATGGCCGCGAGAGGGAGGAGACGCTGAAGTCGATACTGCAGTCCGTCGATCACCACCGAGGCTTGTTTGAGGTCGCCTCTACCATCCACGATGCAATACGGCGGAGGGACCACGAGACGATAACAGTAGAATACAAACGCGCGCGCAAGTACGTCGAGGACGCCCGATTCCTAGTCGAGCAGGCGAGCTCATCGCAGACGCCCTTCACCGACGCCCACATCCACCAGATCCTTGTCACGGCTAGAATGTGGTCAGATGTGGAGCGCCAGATCGAGCACTTCAAGCGCGATTCTTGGAAACGACTTACTGCAACCCACTTCACCAACCACCCGACTGCGAGCGAGGAGACCAAGTCGGATCAGTATCTAAGCATCATTTCCATCATGCTTGAGTTGGGCGCGGACGATAACCCCATCTGGATATGGCTGCACTCCCGCTACGAGTACCTCAAGTCCCGCCTCAACACAACGTGCGAACGATCTCGCGTCGAAATTGAGATCCTACGCCGACATCTAGTTAATGCTGACAAACCGACCCTACGTCTACTACAGAAACATCTGCGCTCCGTTCCAACTAGCAGCAACAACAGTGCTGAGCCATCCAAGCTGGATTCGCCTAAAGTGATAGAGTTCTGGGAGCATATTTATGCATCGATGAACACACTCCTTTCGAACAAAGCCGGCTTGCTTGCTGAGCTCGTCGAATACTGGGAAATTGCACAGTCTTTTGTATCTGGTCGTGCTCAGAGGAACATGCCGACAGGACATCAAAATCAGTCCGCAGTGCACCACAGACTCACAAAAGAAAACAAGGTCGAGCTTGAGAAAGGCCTAGTAGAGCTCATCAGCATCATCCGAGATTACCTGTTTTCATTCTTTTCCGACCCGCCAATCGAGGATGTTTCGTTGCTCTTCTCGCCACTGCCGACCTCGCCAACCCCATCATCACCGAGGACACCAATGAGCGCACTTTTAAGCCCAACATCGGGTTCCAGATTCCGATTCGATCCAAACAATATCCCGCCGCCGTCACCTAGCCGTGGCGATGCATGGGAGAAGTATGCCTTCTGGCCTCCCCACTCCAACGCTCTCTCGGGATCACACTACCTTTCTAGAATACTAGTCTTAATCGGCACGGCCGCTAATGAGCTTGCATCGCTTCGGCTTCCAGAAATTGGAACAATCTCCCGTATGGACGAATCCCTGCGAATGTTACTTGGCGGCGTTCGCGAGCGCGGTGTGCAAGCCGTATGCGCGGCTTGGAACACTGATGCTGAGAAGCTCAAGGTCCTGGAAGACTGGACTCGCAACGCCGATCGCAAAGATACTACCAACCTGCCTCAACGTTTTCTTGCAGTGCAAAGTTTCCTGCTGAATAACCTGCAGAAGATATTATACGTTGAAGCCTCGAGCAAAACTGCTGTCGATATCGTCGTCCCGCCGAGTAATAAGCTATTGCAGATGGTTAGGAGTCAGTTTGTGACCAGCTTATATCGCACGCTTAGCGGGATGGTAGAATGTGCGGAGAAAGGAAGGAAGGCTCTCGGTGATGACTTTGAAAACAAAGGCGATGACTTGACCGTTGATGAGCAGGAGGATGACGAGGGTGATTGGGGCAAGGTTGACGCCAACCAACAGGTCAGTTTCATGAAAGCCCTATTGCTATCGTCTTGCTAATACAAATGCAGTCCATCCGTCTTCTCCTCACACTATCCAACATGGCCGCCTTCCAAACCGACATCACTCCCCAGCTACTCTCCCTCTTCGAAGCCCTCTTCAGCGTCCAACTCACCGACGAGACAAACCGCATCCGAGACGTCCTCTCGCAACTCGATACTCAACTCTTCAAATCCTACACTAAGCCGCATGCTGCCAAGATCAATGCAACGATTGAATCTGGCATTTTCAGCCCAACTTGGGCACCAAACCCTGAGCTAGGATCAGGAAAGAAGGGCGTCGCAGACAGAGATCCAAGCCCGTATGTGTTCACAGTTTTGTTGGATTTGGTCATCGTGCACACAGAGGCTAGCACAACGAGTTATCCGCTCACGCCACGTATCCTCCGCGCGCTGTTCGAGAGCACAACGACCTCGTTGATCACTACATTCAAGTCCCCGGACATTACGCAGATTACACTCCCGCAGTTGATGCAGGCCACTCTTGATGTCGAGTTCATGGCACAGACACTCGCTTCATATACCACCGAAGCTGCGTCACAGGTTCAGACGGATATTTACCAAGTGTTAGATGCCAAGACTGATAACGCAGCCCGTGTACGACTACAGGATGAGTTGGGCAGTCTGAGAAGCACACTCAAACGCCTGAGGGAGGGTACGAAGGTGCAATTTGCTTGCTTTAGAAGAGTTAAGAGAACTGCGCCGGAGGGTGAGGAGCGGGGGAGACGGTAGGGCTTGTCTCTGGTTAGGAACACCACTGTACGCAATAGGCTACTTTCAATATTATAAATGTGGATGCTCAATCTAGCGGCCTTGCGTCGCCTTTCCAGCCTATGTGGTCGCCATACGTATTCGCCAACCATGGCATTGCCCCTCACATTCCTCGCTAACCGAGCAGCTCCTATTGTTGATCGTGCAGATCGAGATCTACTACCTACCTTGTCCATGACATGATGGAAGAGGCTGAGGCGCAGCTGAGCTGAAAGTGAAATCTACGAAACGTTACACAATAAGAGGGTAGATGCACCATACACGCAGAGTAGTACGGATACACAAAGATGCTGATCTCACTAAAGCAGAATCTTCTGACACATCCATCGTATCTGATTTGGAAGGTTGCTGCGGTGACTTTGTACCTCGATGTAGATGTATATGAGCTTGAGGGAGCCACATTGAATAGTTCAGCCAACCAAGCAATCAACCATCACTCCGAACAACCTTCTATTGCCACAACATGTATACTTCCATACTTATTTCAATCCTTGCCACCCTCTCAACTACGGTAGCCGGCCCTGTCCAAATGCGGCAGTGCAACGCCCCGAATGTTAATCCAGCAACTCTCGCTCTCATCAAAGAATTTGAGCACCCTGTCCCATCTCCGAAACCTGATCCCATCGGCTACCCCACCGTCGGTTACGGCCATAAGTGTACATCTTCAGGATGCTCAGAAGTGCCTTATCCATTCCCGCTTACAGAGACCACCATGAATCAATTGCTTGCGAGTGATTTGAAGGTATAAGCTCCTCTTCTTTGCCACACGCTGAAAGTAATGCGCGTTGTATATTGACGACCCCAACCAGAATCCTCAAGGGACCATTACTCTGCGTACAAGCTCTGACGTCGTGTTGAATGAATATCAGTATGGTGCCCTCGTCTCTTGGGCCTTCAATGTTGGCGGCGGGAACGTACAGTCCTCTACTCTTCTCAAGCGACTCAACGCTGGTGAAGATCCAGACACTGTAATTGCTGAAGAGCTACCGAAATGGACCAAGGGCAAGGGGAAAACGTTGCCGGGGCTAGTGAGGCGGAGAGCGGCCGAAATTAGTTTGGCGCAGAGGGCAACGACCGTTGGAGCTTTGCCAGCGTGTGGGTGAAGCAGCGGCGAAGAGAGGTCTGCTATGTGTAGTTGACTCGGGCCATGAGACAAGAATTGTGGCTAGAAATGAAAGGTACTCTTCTTGAAGTAGACCAAAAGCTGTGAAGCGCATCACAACAAATATTCCATTATCCTATGTATGCCGACCTTAAATTCCCAACTCATGTTATCGTAGCGCCATTTTTTGTACAATAAAGGGTATCAAACGAAATAAACTCCGAACAAGGAACAGTATCATGTTGAGGCAGTGCCAGCTCTGGCAGGTGTGAGGAGGTTGGCAGCGAGTGCAATTTTGTACTTTGGAATGCGGTGCGGACTGGGTGTGTTCCTAGTTGTAGTCTTCGTCCTCGCGGGGGTGCCGTTAGTGGACGTGTCGCTCGACTCAGGCTTTGACATGTTAGGCGCGTCCTTGGTAGGTGTAGGATGCGTAGGAGTATTGTCAAACTCGGTAGGCGTAGTCCTCCTACGCTGCTGCGGTGTTGGTGTATCTGGTGTAGATGGTGGGCTACCCTTCGATGCGGCTGCCGGCGTACTAATATCGCCGTTGGTCCATTCTTCAGACCTGAGAGTCTGATTCGCCGGTGTGCTAGCCGTAGATGATGCAGCTACCAGCTCGTCCGAGGATCGTTTCGTTTGAGAGAACCAAGGAGACGTAACAGTGTTCATTTCAGAGATGCCGAGACCTTCCATCTTAGCAGCTGCAGCCTCAGCCTGTCGCTCCTCGTTGTCTGGCTCCGTAGCTGTGGTTGAAGGAACGCTGAAGTCATCCTGTGCCTCTAGAATCGTTCCAATGTCGGGCGTGCCGTTCACAGTCAAATGTGCCAGGGCTTTCGTAGCTGGTGGGCCCTTCCATTCTGGATGTGGTAGGCGTCCCATGATACTCAGACGGCCAGTCCCCACTCTTGCCCATTCCCATATACCTCGACGTGAGGGCGATCGTTGTAGAACTCCGTTAATCCCCTGCGCATCCTCGTCCTCTTCAGCTACCAGTTCGCCACTAGCCTGGAGTGGGTGAGACGTGTCTTCTGAGTTTTGGTGGAGCTCGACGGGGGCTGGGCGAGACCCCTGTATCTCTGTCCCGTTGATCTGATCCTGCTCTTGCTGGCGTTTCTGCCTGTCCGGTGGCGTGACCTTCCGCAACCTTTCCCTGTCCCTCTCCCTGTTCCTCGTCATGTCTGGACTGGGTAGCTGAGTCACGACTGCCGTCTCCTTCGATGTGACCACGGTCGAACTCGCCGGACTTGTGAGGCGACGGCGGAGAGGGCCTGGGCCTATTCCGTCCTGAGGGCGAGCTTGGCGGGGAGGAGGAAGGCGAGGGGTTCTTGGAGGATGAGGGAGGAGAGGGAGGCTCTGTTGGCCGGAGCTTATGGAGAGATCGGATTTGCCGGATGTGGGGGCGAGCTGGGGCGGCCGAGTCTTCTTTGCTGGTTAATGAATGTTACTATGCGTCTTGCGAGGACGAAGAGAGCTATTCACCTTGCTTGGCCTTAGCCTTGCCCTTGATGTGGCAGTTCGGACCATCTTCGTGGTCATGGTACTCGCACTCGTTTCCAGGATCTGTGGGGTCCTCAAACAACATGCCGCCTGTACCGATTCTGATGGCTTTGACCAGATCGACAGCGAAATCTGGATTGTTCTCGAAGCATTGCCGATACGTCTCCACGTCCCGGTCGCTACCAGGATCCATAATCTGTCGCGCTGCAATTCGAGTCATCAATTGTCTGAAGGGCGAGCCTGTCGGGCTCTTGCGGTAGATGTCGTCAATCTCGTCGGCGTCGGGAACGAGCTCAGCTTGGTTGAGCCCCTTCCTATACTGGTCCATGGCGACATTCTTCAGCTGAGCCATGTCGAAGCGATCGCACAGAAGGTACAGCTTGTGGCAGCTGACGGCGTAGTCGTACTTCTGGTTGGTGTCGGGCATGTCCGACACGTCGTCGAGCTTGCCCTGATAGAGCCATTTGACGAGGAGTTCGAAGCCAGCAGGATCATAGTCCGGTAGCTCGAGCTTGTCTTTCCGGTTGTGGCCGTCTGCGTCGCCCTCGAGCTCGGCCTCGAGTTGCTCCGAGTGGTGGCATAGCAAGTTGCGGTGGAGCGACCAGTGGCGCCTGGACTCGCCCACGTAGATGTCAATCATAGGGCCGGAGAGCAGTCTGTCGCGTTGCAGTTTAGCCTTTGCGCGTACATGTAGACGATGAGAGTAGAGACGATGGGTCAGCGCGGGTCGCAATGCGATGCATCGCGACGGGGGCGCGGGCTTTTGCGCCAGCTCTGTTGAGACGGCCTCAACAGGCGGCGCGCCCTCGAGATAGCGGTCCTCCTCTTCTGATGAGGTCGCAGACGCATCTTGGTCATCGGGGAGCAGTAAGAAAGGGTCGTCTACATACTCTGCGTATGTTGCGGCGGGCACATCGCCAATGCTGCCGTGCGCCATTCGAGATCGACGACGGTTGTAGGCAAAATCACGATGGTAGACGATGCGATCGTGCCATGACATATGGCGCGATGAGGGCAGTCATAGGGCGCTGCTGCTGGAGGACTTGTGTGATGCGATGGGACGGAGCGATGGTGGTGAGGTGAGCCTGGTGAGGTTGGCGAGGTTGGGAGCTTGCATGCGCCTGCCCTGCTGGGGTCCGTCATGACGTCGGTAGCTGTATACCAACCAGTACCTCTTCTCGTGTTACCCTTTTCAACCCGATAACCCTTATACATCACTCTGACATGGGAATAGAACGCTCCCACATGTCTAAGACTCGCCTACTGAGCTATTGAGGCTTCTCCAAAGTCGATCAAGTCTTTCTCGTCTCCAGGCCATGTCACGGGACAGTGCAATTCACTCCAACCAATCAGTCAATTCATCGAACCTCACTGTTTCCGTTCCACATCAAGTCACCCCTCGTTTCTCGCTATATTCACTTTCCGCATCAACCTGCAGACCATCATACGTGCACCAGTAACGAATTGTCGCTGAGCTGCGCATTGCATTCTCATCCGTAGCATGGAAGCACCTGGTGGCCCCTCTTCTTCCACACCCAAGGCCACTGCGTTTGCACATTCGCCTTCACCCTCGCGCTATGCCCCACCCCACCCTTCTACACTCTCTCACCTGACATACCATGGAGGCCTACTGGCCTATACAGTTGCCTTATGGCCTAAGTCAAAATCATCGCCATGCTCGCACTGAAGGTAAAGCTGTTGCACTCCCGTATGGAGATCACATGCGTTGGCAGATTCCCTCGCTAGGGTGGCTTTCAACAGCTGCAGTCACGTCACCTTCTTCCCCCTCCCCCTTAGCTTTCCCTACCCCAACTCCAACTCCAACTCCAATTACCCGCTCTTTCTTCCAAGGTCGCAGCCGCCATCTCAGAACGAACCCGAAAGACAACATGGCGTACAGCAGAAATCTCTGGACGATCAACCTGCGCCCGGGTACAGCAAAGGAGAGGCGTGACCGTACGCCGAAAACGAAGGTTGTATCTAAGCCGACGGTGAGCAAGCCCAAAACGCCCACTATAGGCACCAAGCGAAAAGCGGCAAAGGTTGCCAAATCTTGGGGACCCGGTACCCAACTAGGTGCAACTCAACTAGGTGCAACTCAACATATGCCTATCACAATTGATAGCGACGATGAATACGTCGCGCTGGATGGCGAGGCGGACAGAGAAGTGGCATACGCCCCCCAGTATGCCTTGATCAATCCACGTTTTACTCAGGCTCTAACGCGTGTAGCCCACTTACAGCGCCTCCTGCTTCCACCAGTAGTTCATCTCTGCTATCAGATCTCAGCCAGTTTCGATATAATTCCAGGTATTCTTCTCCGCCTCCTTCTCTACGAAGTATCTACTCGCCGTTCAATGAAGCGCTCTCTCCCGCTGGCTTCATCCTAAGGAGGTCATCTCCACCTCCATCTGTGCAGCTTCCAATTCGACAAAGCAGAGGGCGACAGCAAAGTGCAAGAGCTGTGGTGTCTGATAACGAGGCACGCGTCAATACTGTGAAGAACAAATTTGGATTCCAGGAGCAGGCTAGGAAATCTGTTCGATGCGGTACATCGAAGAAGGACAAAGACGCCTTCAGTGACCAAGGCTTGAGCTCTCGATGTGCGCCCTATCCGTCTCCCTCGGTGACGTTGAAAGTCGGCGTCACTGAGCGCGAATCCAGCATCTTCAACAGGTTTGTCGAGCCAGTTTGCTTCTCCAGCACCTCTTAATTTGTGATACCAGACAATCACCTCCAACCAAAAATAGCCGACCGACCACGATACGAGACGCTAAAACATCAAAAATGGTCTCTCGTGTCAAACAAGACACGCCCGGACCATATAAATACCGCTCTCAGAAGCCGTCTTCCGGCAATAGCACTATATCCCTCGATGATGCCAAAAGCTCAAAGATACTGGGCTTAGAATCGAGAAGTGATGCGCACAGCGACGCGGGATACAGTAACGTTGAGGACCTGACCTTGGCGGATATACCTGACTACGAGCTAAGAAGCAAAGTCGCACAGCTGATGGCTGTAGCTCCCACTATTCCAGTCAGGGATCTGCATTACTTGCTCATCGATAGCGAAGGGCAGTTTCTTGTCGCTAGAAAGCGAGCGATTTGGGAGAGTGAAGTACCATCAGCTCACCAATCAGTCCGGCCTTCGGTTTCACCATCGTCTGCACCTACAATGCCGATAGTCGCTAGTCCGACGCAAGATGACGATGAAGACGGTGACGAGATAATGGTAAAGATAGACCCAAATGACCCGGCATTCGAATGGGATACCGATGCACCTGAGCAAGAACCATCTGGAAAACGGAAGCGCCTAGCGCCTAAAAAGTCAAAAAGTCGTCCATCCAAGTTAATGCAGAGTCCAACTGCGAAGTACCCCAAAAGCCTTGCCTCGCAAAAGACAGCCAAGCATGCTACCCAGTCATCAAAGCCACGTACAGAGAATCACCCCACAATCAGCGTCAAGAGATCCAAAGGAACGTCCACCGCCAGCAAGAGTTTGCGAGACGATAGTATTGACCGCGGTTTTCTCATCCCTGATGATGATAGCTTCGTTAACTCCGATGAGTCCTATGTCGACGGGAGCTCTGAGTATGGCGAGACCAGCAGCAGCCATAGCGATATCGAGATGGAGGAGGTAGAAATTGACGTGCGCCGCCGGCTCGCGTTTGACCGAGGTTTATAGAGAGGGGGTTAGGGAAGTTCAGGCGAATTTCGATATTACCAACATGTGGAGACGTCGAGTACAGAATGCATGATGCAGGCATAGCATTTCAACGGTGTGAGGTGTAAGGTTTGAGGGGCGCTCTTTAGGTCACACCCATAGTGGTTCAAATACGCAATAATAATATGCATGTTTCTCGAATCTAGCCTTTTAATTAATAGGGATCCACGCTCACCTACACTACTAGGAAAACATATTAACGTGCATCCACCTGTACCGGAACAAACTGCCGTTACGGAACAAGCTATAGGTACTTCGACTCAACGCAATAAATAGTCTCCAAACACCATGAATTTTTCTCTATCCCGTTCAATTCATGTGCTAATACCAATCCCCGCATCAATATAGCCCTACCTTCGTAAAAAATTACACTCGCATGGACGCTTCCCTGCCAGATTTCGCAAGGGACCATTGTTTTGGCGGAAACGGGCCTTGCGCTTCAGGGCTACCATCAAGCTAAACCACTGTCGTAACCCATTAGCGCCCTTATCTAAGTCTAATTATTCTAGAGCATCGCTAACGAGCCATAGATTATCCTGAGGCTGCGGGTGGCGCTCTTTCTTGCGAGATCGCCACGCGATGTGGTACTCCGATCAAAAGCTAACCAATCAAGAACAATTTCGAGCAACCCCGCATCGCGTATCTTAATGTATTTTATCTTAGATAATATGCAGTATGTTAACGTCAATCAAGAATGGTGGGGGCTGAGTTATCCTCGGCTTCAGAAGGCGCGCTGTAGCATTTGGTTTAGCGGCCAGATGTAGATGTACAGCAACGGCGAGGCCAATTCAAGGCGACCTGGTTCATAAAACTGACTCGCCATTAATCCATACGATCGATCAACGCGGCTTGTCAAACTGTTGCTCGTTGTGCCTGCTTTATCGATCCTACCCTACCTCGCGTAGAATCAATGTAATCACAAACATCTCCGCACTCAAAGTACTTTCACAGAAACCAGCGATAGCTCAACTAGGGCGCAGGCGCTTTGAAAATCCTCTTACCCTACCTCGCCTGCGCAGCTCGAGGCCGCAGTCTCCGAGACGTCAAAGAGCTCGCTACCTAACATCAAGTAGCTTAATCTATGCGATTATGATCGTTCAGACGTTAGGAAGCGAAAGCCTTATATATTGTGGTTAGTTTCCGCCAACGGACCTATCACGTCGTGACTAATAAGGAATTTAGATATTCCAATGTCAGAGATCATGAGGGTCCTAAGTCGACCGCTACAACCTCTATTCCCCCTCGTCTTACCTCGTTGTCGCCGCTGTTGCTGGACGCCTCGATACCGTAACACTGTGAAGCCAAACAATCAAAATGGCAATGTCGACCGGCATTACTATAAATGTGTTCGATGTATCCCTCCCGAGCGAGGTCCATAAGATCATCTCAAAGGATGAATTACACGGGATGATACATATGGCATACGTGATGGAAATCCACCATGCTATTGTGGTGCGATCAGTCGTCAGGATCGAGCGGGTATCGAGAGTAGTATGCCTGGTTTCGGGTTTTGGACGTGTGCGACAGGAAATTGCGAATACTTTTCCAGGTTTCGAAATGGTCGGACTGATAGGGAAATGAACTTGTGTCCAACTGACCCTGGATCTGTTGCTTTTATCCCGTCGCTGCTATGCCGAGAGGGGATTTAGCAGCTAGACACAGACGTTCTGTATCACGACGATAGTCAAACGGGGAATTAAGTGGGCATAATCTGGAATCAAGAGGCAATGGCTATTTTGATTGGAATTTGAGATATCTCGCTGGATGGCAAAGGATCTGTTGCCCATCCCATGTAGGCTGGCTTATCGCAATGACTGTCAAATACAGCGTGCAAATGGCCAAGTCAATTAACTTAAGGTATCGATAGTCTCTATAATCTACGTGAAGCTCATCACGCTATCAAATCGCTGGGAAATTCCGTTAATAGCTGGGTCCTGATTTGCTCCGCGCAGTATCTCTTTCGTGTCCAGCTTCATGCCCAGGGGTCTGAGCCCGTTATCCAACGCTTCTTTCACCGCTCTACGCCAAACCTCTGCATACGTTTCTTTCCAGTCCTCTATGAACGCTTCAGCTTGCTCCTTTGTTCTGAAATGCTTGTGGCAAGCTCCAGAGATTTCATGGACAGCTTGCGAGGCTCCCTCCGGTCCACTGTAAATCGTAGGTATTTGCATCAAGTATTCTCTAGTGGGCATAACTTACTACCAAAAATCGCGAATACCAGGATTCGCTCCATGTGCAACCGCATAATAGGCCATGCTATTTCTTGCTGGGGTAGTCTCCAGCGCTGTATCTTTGATAATCTCCTTCCATCCCGCGAAGCCTTTTCGTTCCATATAGTCGCGTGCTTCTTGAATCGAAACAAAGCCTTTGAATTCAGCCTTACATCCTGTCACTCGCGGATGTGCATCTCCCCTAATTATGTCGAATTTTAGTGTCATTCGTTACAATTAAGGAAAAGCATACCATGAAGAAAAGATTGCAGGCTCATCAAGACGTCCAGTAACTACAGCGTAGTACTCTAAGTTATTCCTGCGTCGTTCCGATACCATATCGTAGAGTTGCGAATAGCTTCAACGAAAGCACAAAGCAAAATTAATAAATAATCAAGACTTGCATCGTCAACGAGGAATGGTACAGTGCGTAGTAGAAACGTGTTCAAAGCATTCGGATCCCACCTATGTAACTATAGTGAGGACATCGCCTCACCTATTCAGCCTGATCGTTAGTCTTCATACGTGGCGGTCCAGTATTGGCTGTCCCAAGCTCTGTCTTATCAATTCTTAGAGACGTTTCAATACAGTAAACATAAATGAAAGTAGCTTATCAACACATTCAATGGTTGCTCCCTATTTGCATATCGTGAGCTTGAACCTATTGGTATACGTTACAGCCCTAATCCAGCCAAAGTCGCACATCATCTACCACCCCCATCTATTGCCACATTCGCGCTACTGGGCTCTCCAAGGTTCTGGCGCAACTGTATCCCCTGCGATATTTGCGCCGTCAATTTACATCGCCTTAACTATGGGCTGTGGTGCAGAACGAGTGGTTGAAGAGTACCTCAACGTAGGGTGCCAATACCAGATAATGTGTGCCAAAAATTGAACAGGATAGCGGTACCTTCAAGGGCAGCGTATCGCTATATCGAATCGAGCATAGCGCATATTATGTTGCCACGAACAGAGGGATCGAATCCATACCCTAGTTAAATATAATTTTCCAATTAGAAAATCATACTACATGAAGGACTAGCTGAACAATAAGATAATATCATCTGCAAAGCCATTCGACTCATGGGTAGTTTTCAGATGTCTGAAAATGCGATGTTGTTCCGTTACGAATGGATGTACGTTACATACTTCTAATAACGTTTCCCTTCTCCATAAACACTCACCTGACGTTCTATGTTCCATAACTAACCTAGGAAAGATGCTCGCTCACTAAACTTACTGCCCCACACGTCATACTTCACTATACTTCATCCTGTTCCCCTGCCGCCTTCCTATTCCGACTCCACTTCATCCACAATCTATGCACAACGAAAACAATCCCCGCAATCACAAAAGGCGCAAACATGCACACCACGATAAATAAAGGCAACGGGATGGGGCCTATCTTAACGTCTTCGGCGTTCTGCGGGTTGGATATGAGGATGACGCGTGAGAGGAACATATTGAGTAAGGTGGTTCTCGTTGTAAAAGATTTGTGGGTCGTTTGAGTACTTAAGAGTATTTGAGCACTTACGAATTAGGGATGTATATATGAGAGTTCTGTATTGTGCTCCTGTGGTGCGGTGCTAAATGTGGCACAAAGAGATGTGTCTGAGATAAGGTCAAAGACACATTGTTTGATTGTTCGAGACTGATTCTTTGATTCTTTCAGGATGTTTTTACAGAGCTAAAGGAACCGATCAAGAGCCATTGTGGCAATGTACTGGTAGCGCGGACATCATAGGTATCATGGCGCGCGTGTGAGACGCGGATCAGGGTACGAAGAGATATTGGAAGAGCGTGAAGGTAACCTGATTGAACGATAGTAGGCACTGGAATATTTGCGCATTAGTTCCAAGAAAGCAGGTAAGCGGCGAATACATCAAAATACCTGAAGGATAGCATTGATAATGGGACTAATCACCATGCCGGCAATCGTGGTTCTGCCTTTGCTTAGGAACATGGGCGTAGATAGAGGCTCTATGCCTTGTGTGATCTGGGGACTGAATTGGAGTCGAGGTCAATGGCGAGATGATGGTAGCGATGGTCGATGTACTGCATGCTCCCTGTCAGATCCAGTGATGTAGAAGAGGAAGCGGATCACGCCCTGGAACACTTGTTCTGATGAGCAACAAACCTGAGATATCTAGATTACCTTGTAAGTGCTAGCCACAAGTTTTTCCATTCGGTTCGCACAGGTTTCAAATACCCAGCTCAGGCAGGCGCTTTAGCGCCAGCAGTGTGCTACTTCTGCTTATCCGCTCGTATCCAGGTAACACCTAGTGCAACGAGTATGTCCATGCCAGGTGCTACGTGGACCAGATCGCGGCGGGCAGAAATGGACCAGGGTTTGCTCCGTGAAATTGTTGCGACAGGGTTGCCATCTATCAAGATTGATTTGCCCTGATCATGGACTACGTTCTGGACCATGTTGTGGAATTTATTCTGGATTTTGTTCTGGATTTTGATGTCGTAGGCGAATGATGACGGGTCATTGATAGTCAGCTCTGGGTCAGCACATTAGTTATGCGAGAGGCAGAATGAGTAGGGTGGGGAGTGCCGTGCCATAATCGGTCCTCTCCAGCAACCATCTATTCAACTTCAGATTCCAAATCTCGTCCCTTTTCCCGCGCATACCATGGTACTCGACGGGTCCGTTCCAGTGTATCTGTTTGTCTATACGCATGACTTCTTCTCCATCCATAGTCAAAAACTTCGCCTGCATAGTCACAAAAGCTCTGTTCTTTCCGCGGATCTTGAGGAACGGCGTTCCGGACTCGCCACTTGCTGTGGAATGTGATACAAGGAAGGATGGTTTGTATCCCCGCAGGCGTGACCCTTTCATAAGAAAAGTCTCTGGTTTTTGGGCCGTGAAGCCTGGGAACAGTCTAAGGCCGGGTTCGGGGAGGGGTGCGAGATCGGATGCCATTATGTTGACGCTTCTATTGTTTGTGTTGCTGTTGGTGCGTGTGATCTTAGGGTGATGCTAGATGTGTTATTGTAGTAAAGCGTAGGTGGTCCCAGGAGGGTTTCCTCATGATGCAATGAGTTAAATCTTGTGTATAACCAGAAGGTGCAACGTCACAGGGCTGAACCCGTGGACAGTGCAGGGGAGGGATCACCGTTCCTTCCCTCGGCCAATCATAACAAACACCACGAGGCTGTAGTGCACGAGTAGTCAGCACCAATTGTGGCGATTTCGTCGACAAGTTGGGCAAGCCTCGTGGTCATCGTTCAGGCCTCTACCAACACTAAGATCGTGGAATTTGGTGGTCTCAGCCACCGTGTGCCGCCGTTTGGCGTGTGGCATGTGTAGCAAAGGTTTTAATGTATTATCTAATTAACTAGCTATGTAATTCTTTGAAGGAATACTCTGTATATCTAGCCGATGTTACAGTCCTCGAGCCTTGGATGGGACCGTATTATTATCGCTGCATTTAAGACCAGCGTCTCACAAACGGCGTCTCCGGTCATGCTTCAATTACGGATCTGCCGACATTAAAGGAGAGAGGTCAGAGAATACCATCACTAACGTCAAAAGGGACGTACCAGCTAATGTGTCTAGATTCTCTATTTATCTTTGGGTTGACCTGTAGGAGAGCACCGTTATTTTAAACTCATGATTCCCGTAACCAAAGTGAAGTATGTACTCCAGCGTTTGGGTTGACATATCTAGAGGCAACAGCATGTCTAGCCCAAGCTATCACTCGTACCGAATAACCGGCATCTTGAATGTCTTCCTCCCACGAATGAACCAATGCCCCAACGCACCCAATACAACAGCACCAAATATTACCCCAGCATAATTCATATTGTCTTTCGTGACCGGCAAGGACTGCGGGAACGGCATCCAAACCACCACGTACACTATATAGCAGAGGGCGAACACATTAACCGGTACGCCGATAGCACCCATCTTGAAAGGTCCATAGGGTGGAGGCGGACCGCGAACCTTGCGGAGAAGGATGAAGAGGATGGGGAAGAAATACGAGACGTGAAGGGCGAGGGCCTGGAGGGAGATGAGCGCGTTGAAAGCGGTGTCGCTGGCGATATAGATGAGAGAGAGGCACGTCACAATAGAGCCAACGAGGAGTAGGGCGTTTACTGGGAGTTTGAGGGTAGGGTGTACCTGCTAGAGTGTCAGTAAACTTGTCGAGTAACGACACCGGAGGCAAAACCACGTACGTATGCGAAGAAACTCGAGAAAGGGAGGCCGTTGTCGCGAGCGAAGACCCACACCAGACGCGAGACCGAAGCGAAGATGTTGAATAGCGCGAAGAAGAAGATGACAGCAAGGAACGAAATGAGCACATTCGCTGCGATTTTCGAACCAGTGATACCGTGAAAAACCCACAGGAGCGGAAGGCGCGTGTCGATGGCGTTATCCAGTGGGCCCATGTAGAAAAGTAGAACAGTGGCGAAGACGAACATCATGACAGAGTTGACGGTGCAAGTTAATATGATGCTTCGAGGCACACGCGTGCGGACCTTTTTGACCTCATCACCTTCATACAAAGTTAGCAGGATCTCTTGAAATGCAAGGGCAACTTACACATATGCAAGACACTATCCGCACCAGTGACGGAGAAGGTCATGCTAAGCAATCCAAGTCCCCATGACACACCCTTATTGTTCCATCCCGAGTTCTCCCAAATCAAAGTCTTGAAGACGAAGTCAGGATCGCTGCGCGGTCCAAAGACAATCAACACAACTACAAAAACGATGAAGAGACCAATATGGAGGATACCACCAGTCATCTCGAAGGCATCGAGGAGCTTGCGGAACCAGAGATTGAAGCAGAAGGGTACAATCATAACGGCGATCATGATCAGACTAGTATGCCATCGCTCGGGTACGTAATTTTCGTTATTAAAGATCGCGAGGGAGGTAATCATGTTGGCCAGAATGGATGGAGGTCCGCTACAGGCGAAGCACCATGCGCCCACGGTAACCCATCCTATTCTCTGTGTGAGCGATGTATCCTATCTGATCAATCATGTAGAGGACGTACCCTGTAGCAGGCCCCAGAAGCGAGGAGCTGCAGGAGCAAGATTGGCGGACCAGCGATACTGCGCGCCAACGGTGGGATCACTGCATTCCTGTCAGATGCGGATGATGAGAAGGAGCGTCGAGTAACTCACATGGAAGCCAACTCGGCAAGTGAGAAGCCAATTGCACAGGCACCAAAGCCAGCCAAAATAGAGCCATAGAAGATAGAGGCGGGTCCGCCATTGTTTAATGCAAATTGGAAGGTGACGGCAAGTGATTCCCACGAGGCAAGAATGATCACCCCAAAGTTAACAACCGCTGCTAGATTGATGTATCGCTGCCATCTTGTTAGCACTTTCCGCTGATGTTGGGACAACTCAAGTCTGGCATACCTCAAGACCAGCCGCGGGTCTTCGCTCTCCGGAGGGGGCACCAGAGGGAGAAACTCCCGCCTTTTCACCCTGACTTGACCCTCTCTCGACCACATCCAGGTCATTAGTCTCCTTATAATTGTTCGTCTCCATGTCGACAACGATATCCCAGTGGATCGGTGGGTGGATGGACGTCGAACGTTGGCAATAAAAAGAAAGTTTCGAGAGGCGGCAACCCCACTGAAGACCCAAGAAGTAAAGACGGCAAGCTTTCGAGTAGCTGTGCAGCGCGGCTAACCATATTGATTGGCAGCCCGTCTCTTGGGCCAGACAGGAAGGTTAGAGTCATGCACGACGTCTGGCTATCAAACGTATGAGGGGTGAGATTTACTCCCACATCCCCGTTGCCGGAAAGGCGCCGTCGAAGGATCCAGCCCGTCTCGGCACGCAAAAAGCTCTCGCGCATGTACAGGGTCTCCAATCGCCAAACCGCATCCTTGTCTTCAGCAATCAAATCAGGACTCAATATGAGGCTGCATCGCGTGCTATCCTAAGCAAGTTTCATCACGGAAGCGGGCTACCCTTTGGAGACCATGTACAAAGTGTCCATATGCCAAGTGCAATCCTTGTAGCCTTTACTCAAATCAGCGAGGCTGAACAGTCCGGAGAGGAAGTCCCGTTTTGCTCTTCAGGGAACAAGGATGCGAGTCGTCGTGTTACGACCCTGTATCATTTGGAGAACGCAACGGGAGGGGACCTTGCGTGTGGAGAGATCAGGGTGTTGCTCTAGCAAATAGGCTCCCGAGTACCGCTGCCGCCCGTATAGTGCCCGCAGCGGAATAGCGGTAGTTTTGCTAGTTTGCGCTTAACCCGGTGCACGCGTGGATGCGGGACATCGGGGTATTTTTTTATGCTAGCTTGTGAAGCCTTCGCAGCTGAAAGATATTAGGTGAGTCCTGGGAGTCCTGTTTCGCAACTTTTCTTCGACAGAACTTATCTAGTTCTGAAATATAGTTGTCATCTACTGCTTGTCGAACTGCTTAGTGCAAGTCACAAGATCAGAGCATGATCAAACCAGAAGGGCCTTCACCTCGGCTGCGCCGTCAGCATGGAGTCTAAGCGAGGTGCGGCTGAGCCAACATGCAACCGAAAACCACCGATATCGCGAAGAACAGGTTAGCCATGAAGCAGGTGCACAGGGTTATCCATGCGGCGGGATCAAAAACCCTTCGAATCGCAGGATTGTCTCCATTTTGCATCTAGGCATGGCTTGGAGGCGGACGCATGGAGCATCATTAGGTCGTGTCTTAACTTTCAACTCAAGGTATAGGAGATCGGCGGCGTTTTAAGTCGGTGAGGGTCAAGCCTGCGCCTTATGCTTGCTCGCTGTGGACGAGAGGCGCCTTTATTGTCAGAACAAGCTGCGCTTTCCACTGCGACGGCCCTTCTACCGTCTTCATTGTTCCAAGGTCATATTTGACTTTAGAGGAAATGGATCGCGCAGGCACCGAGCGAATCGCAAAATCGACTCCAGGTGGCTTTGTTCTTGTCTCTACTTATTCATGGCTATGCATAACTCTAGGTGTGGGGATAGCGCGGTTTGGACAAAGTCTTGTCCACAAAGTAGCATTCGGACCCGATGATGCTACAGTACTTGTGGGGAGCGTAAGGCGTTGAAGTGCACTTTAGCCTGGACATACTGACCTCGAGCACAGATCGTCTACCTAGGAGCGGCAGTCAGTTGGCAGTATGCTGTCAATGCAGGATTAGGGAAGGCGACATTGAGCATCGACGAAGTGGAGCATTTAGCCAAGGTCTGCCACCTTACGTATCGTCTAGACTTGTTGTGACTGACGGGAGTGACCACAGGCTATGTACGCTGCAGTGTTGCTCGGATTTGTTGCAATGACCTTTGCAAAGTTATCATCTGCTTTTCTCGTTGGACGAGTAGTGCCGCAGACGAGGAAAGCGAAAGCGATACTTTTCGGCATGATAGCGACGTGGGGTATATTTTCCATCGGTTCAGTCGGTTTCGAATGTGGCCTGCCCAAGTGGACAATCGAGTCAAGGCAATGTGGAAACGGCCCATTCCTAGTCTCAGTGATTGTGTACAACATAGTGACAGACCTAGTGCTAGCTGGGTGGATCGTGCCGACTCTGTGGTCTGTTTCGCTAAACAAAGAAAAGTGTATATCAGCAACACTACTCTTCGGAGCAAGAGCGATGTATGTCTCAGCCCAACGAGATGAAGAAAGGTGCTGATTTTTCAGAGTACCGTTGGCTGCCGGGGCGCAAATTTGGGCCGTATTGAAAGCAAACCAGAGCAGCAACCCCGGCCGTACGTCGTTCTATGCCCTCAAAAAGTGGTGACTAACGAGACACAGGCGATACTGTCGAAGCTGCAGTCTTGACTCAGTAAGTACGAGTAGAGAATTTGGGCTCAATCTGACTATAGCCTAGGGCCGTAACGAGTCTGTCGCTCATCGTAACCAGCATCCCACGTATCAAACGGTTCCTCGGGGTTGGCGGCAGTGGCATTCTCTACCCACAAATACAAGCAACCGAACTCTCGCAGTCACGCCAGTCATGGAGCCACCAGGAATCCAGCGCCACGGAGCCAAAGCTTGTGCCTTCTGGCTCGGGAAAGTTCACGGTGACTGTAACATCGAAAGGGTCGAAAGACAGGAAGAAGGCGAAGGCGCAGTCGGACTGGCAAGAACTTGTGACAATGGGTTCCCGGGAGGACGAACATACCAGCACGTCGAGTCTATTTGATCGGAATGATCATGGGGGTGTAATGATGCAGCAGGAAGTCAGAGTGTCAGTAGAGGAGAGGGATGCTCCACGACAGAGAGGTGCGAATCGAAGCGGTTGACGTCCGAATGCTGCCAGCTTCAGGTCTCTCCAATTCGACAGCCAATCAACAGCCCTACTGCGCCCAAGGAATAGGACGACTGGTTTCTCTGAAGGACAAAAACTGACAGTCGTTAGGGTACGCTGGGTGGCCGAATGTCCACGGGTGACAGAGAAGTGGTCGTGTGGCGGCCGCAGCACCTCTCGCGGCTCTCCTGTTCCAAGGTTATCCGTCCCGGACTAGCGCGAAGTCTGGTGACGCTCCGCTCCTCTCACACATCCACCATCCTTTAGACGCGCAACATCTATGGCCGAAAACGCGAATTTCGTTTTGGCTAGGCCACCAGTGTGGGTCTTCCTACATGCAGGGTCTTGCAATCTATGTCCGGCAATTACATCTAAGCCTACGCCCGGATTGGAACATTCCATGGAAGATCGTGGGTCTGACAGGGGCAGTACTGGTGAAACAAGCTCACTGGCTTAATATATATAAAGGCTTAAATGACCTAGGAAGCTATAGACAATGTCGGTAAGAGCAACTGGAAATGTAGATTCCGCCAATACATAACCTCGCGCGGCAGGCATACTCTATGCTAGTCAACTATAAGATGAACGTTGCGCAATAGTTGGAACCTTCGAAATAAACAGCAATCATACCTCTCGCCAGTTTTGAACCATGCGCTCCATCGCAAACACCGCTGTTGCCCTGGCTCTCGGCCAGGTCGCGAATGCAGCTTTCGGCTTCACGACGACCAGCACGGGTTTCAGCGTCGATACAGATGGCGGATTAGTATTTCAGATTAACAAGTACTTACCACCTCGAACATGATCACAGCGTTCCAGATTTTGACACCTGAATAGGGCCAACGGCGACCTCACAAGCCTCAAGTACAACGGTGTCGAGTATCAGGGTACTGGCAAAGCTTCGAGCATCAACTCCGGCCTCGGGGCCTCCACGGTCACTGCTGAGAATATTGATGGGCACGTCAAAATCACAGTCAAGTCCAATGGTCTACCTGTTACGCACTATTACGTGGCTAAGAAAGGCGATGCAACCGTCTACCTGGCAACGAAGAATCAGGGCTCAGTCGATCCAGGCGAGCTTCGCTTCCTCGCTAGGCTCAAAACTTCAGAGCTTCCAACCGGCGTACATGGTGATGTTGGTGACAATCGAGGTTGTACCGCGTTTGAGGGCAAGGATACGTTCAAGTGCGCGAATGGTCATACCTCATGCAAGATGTACACCTCGGATCGCTTCATTGAAGACAAGGTGCATTGCGTATCTGGCTCGGTATGATTCTTCTTCCTCCTATTTTGGTTTTTTAGATTGCTAAAAGTCTACAGAAAGCTCAAGTCTGCATGGTCATGCCCGGTGTTGCTTATGAGACCTCAGCCGGCGGTCCTTTCATGCGCGACATCAACAGCCAAACCACTAGCGGCGATCAGGAGCTCTATTGGTATATGAATAGTGGGCACGTCCGAACTGAAGACTGGCGCAGTGGCCTTAACGGGCCGTATGCTATGACCTTCACAGCAGCCGGTACAAAGCCCTCGGAGAACCTGGATACTAGCTTCTTTGGCTCTCTCAAGATTGACGGTTATGTAGGTGAGAGTGGCCGAGGATCTGTTACTGGCAAGGCGACTGGTGTCCCGAGTACCTTTGAAGCAGTCGTACATTGGTCAAACAAGGATGCTCAGTACTGGACAAAGGCGCAAGGCGGTAACTACAAGAGCCCGTTGATGAAGCCTGGCAGCTACACAGTGAAGTTGTACAAGGGCGAGTTCCTCGTCTCTACCGACACAGTGACCGTCACCGCTGGGCAAACCACTACAAAGGACATTGCATCGAAAGAATCGGCTCCGGCTGTCGTCTGGCGTATTGGTGAGTTCGACGGCCAACCATTCGAGTTGAAGAACGGCGACAAGATCACAAGAATGCATCCTTCCGATTCCCGCATGAGCTCTTGGAGTGGAGGGTTTACTGTCGGTACCTCAAAAGCATCGGATTTCCCCATGGCCTTGTGGTCAAAGCAGGGTAGCCCTGCAACGGTTACTTTCTCCTTGACATCGGCACAAGTCAAAAGCCATGTCCTTCGAATTGGTACTACGCTTTCGTTCAAGACCGGCCGGCCATCCGTCAAGATTGGCAGCTGGACTGGAACGGACCCAGGCGCACCGGTATTTGTGACCCTGTGTTGACTTCTAGCTCTTCTCGCTAACATGATCGTAGAAACTAATCGATTCTCGAGGCGTAACCCGCGGCGCTTACCGTGGCTATGGCGAAGTCTATACCTGGGACGTCCCGGCAAGCGCGTTCCGAGAGGGCTCGAATACTCTCACAGTGGGTGTGATTGGCAGCGGATCCGACACTTGGTTGAGTGCGAACTACATCGTGGATGCTTTGGAGCTGCAAGTCTAGGAGCGGTCTGGCAGTCTATTAGTTGTATTGGAACGCTTCGATTAATATAACCATGAAAAGTCGTTTACTATCACGATCAATCCATGACATTAAACTTTGATTAAGTAGAACAAGCACACCCTGTGAGCGACATTCTAGCAGTTTGTGTGTGAGTGAAAAATGTTGTATTTACAACGATCTAGTCTATCGCTTTGCGTTGCTAGCTATGATAAATTCAAACGCCACTAATGCATAATGTTTATATCCTACCCTCCCCAGCCCATTTTATTCATACAATATCTTACGCATCCTCTGCATTTACAAGTGGATGTTGCTCAAAATATCTTAACAACGTCTGGTATAAGACTAACATAGTCCCGCTCTGCACGCTGGTCCAGACGAACCGCGGCCCTACGCCCCTAAACCACCCAGCGATACCTTCGGTTTTGTAAATGATTTTTAATCCAGTCACCACGGACGACGTATCGAGCATTACGGCACCGTGGGCTTTGAGAGTTGTCGAAGGAGAGGACGTTGAAATTGGTCGTATCTGCGAACGAGATGCGCTGGCTGTTTTCTGCGAAGTCGCGTGTGTTGAGGACGACACGTGCGAGGGGGTAGTTTTCGGCAGGCTGGTAGATGTTCCGGGGATGACGTTATGCTGTGTCTGGATGCGCGTCTTGACTACATCTAGTGGGGTGGTCAGAACGCCGGCCATGCCTCCTGCACTGGCAGCTGTAGCGATCTCCAATGGCAATCCAATGTTGTTTGACTCCATGTACCGCTTCGCCCAGCCCCGCTCTTCCTCGTAAAAAGCAAACTGCAATGCCGAGAATGGCAGGTCACGCCACAAGGTGGCCTTGTAGCCATGGAAGAGTGCACTAAAGCCTTCTGTTCTTACGATTGTGCGAGCAGCATCGACGGTAGAGCGGTAGTTGTAGCCCGAGTTGAAGTAGGGGTTCTTGTAGCGACCTTGCAATTGTAGGCGGGTCTTGAGGACCTCGGAGGGGACATAGGCGGGCGCAGCAGCGAGATCGGCGAAGAGGCCTAATGATATATTAGCAGGTGTTGCTGGCTAGACTTCAATGGATGGAAGCGTACCAGCGGTGAAGTATGCTACTGACGGCGCGACGCCATACTCGATCATAGTCCGCTTACTCCACTCGTATGCGCCAAAGAAGCAGACGGTGCCGGCGAAGGACCCCAGAAACGCTGGCTGGACCCCACCATATAACCCTTTTCTTAAACCTTCTTGCCGCCATATAGTGTAGTAGGTGTTGCCCATGGACGTGTATTTGGGTGGCATGTGCGGGTCGCCCTGTTGTCGTGTCTTGACCGTGTCTAGCGAGTGCATGAGCATGTCGCCTGTGGTACCTCCTATGCCTCCAGCTAGCATTGCCTGCGTCGTTTGTCAATGGGCGTCCTGCGACATTCCTGGATCAGGCATCCTCACATGCAGGTATGGCGGCCGCGCTTCCTCCTCGTCTATGTCCTCCCCGATTGCTCTCCGTGTGGTATCCGCCATGGGGAGCTCCACTGTCTGCCCTGGATCAGTGGCATGACCACGGCCGTTGTCAATCAGGCTGTTCGTTGAGTCTCCGATGGTGAAGAGGTTAGCCACGCGGGCAAGTACCATTAGCGGAAGCCTCGATAGCGGCGCGACAGTTGGTCAAAAGCAAAGAGGTGATGAGAAAATTGCAAGGACAGTAATGAGTGACGTTGCTACAGGCGTGGCTATGCGATGAGGTCAAAGTCGAATTGAATCGAGAGAATTTCGGTCCAGATCGGGCATCGGAGGCGCGGCAGAACCCGGACCCCCCGTCCTAGTTATCTCCGTAACAGGGACCAGAAGAGGAGTTGATGAGACAGTTGCACAGGGTACGAAGAGTCAGGTAGCACGACACAAACGAAGTCGCGACGAAGCAGATACAAAGCTCTCTACACCGGGCTCCCACCATGTACGAGACAATTGGCGTGGGGCATGTTGCAGGAGCATGTCTTGCGCCAAGACCCTATTCGGTTTAGCGCCCGTTGCCTCACGTGCACCCCAGCCTTCTGTTTACACTTGCATCGTTGCCGTCTTTTCTCCGATCAACACTCCACCGTCCCCGGCGATTCTCCCACACCGCGCCTCTCTCCCTTAGCTATCTATACCCTCTTGATCGCATCACTTACGCGACTTCATTTCTACTACTTACCATGTCCCATTCATGGCTACAGCGCAAGCGCAAAGGCGAGCTGATCGACCTCGCGCAGAAAGCTAAGCTACCTGAGTACGCATTATTGCGATCCTAAACGCGTGTTCTGGTATGGTATCTGACGAGCCAATTGCAGCGCCGATGGCTACTTGAAAGACGACTTGGTCGAGTGGCTTGAGGACCATCTCAACTCCAACGAGACAACATACGCCAAACGCGCCGAATTCCGCGACTTTTATGGTCGCAGTGGGTCGCCGATAAAGCGCGAGCGCTCATCGCCTTCCCAGGCCCTTTTAGTCACTAAGCCGCGCCGTCGAACCCTCGTCAAAGCTCCCTCGTAAGTTGGCATGACGGTACGCGTCGCGTTACGCGCCGAGACTAACAACATCTTCACAGCGAGGAGCCCACGCCCGAGAAGAGTAGTCTTGTGACGCGCACCCCGCGCGCGGTGTCTCGACGCGTTTCTCAAGTTCTGTCTGAAGTTGACATCCCAGCGTCGCCCGCGCAGCTCGCTGAGGTCGCGGACCAGTCTTTCCAGGTTGTCAAGACCAAAGCTACGGAGTTGTGGGATCGATCGCAAATCGACGACATAAAGGAGCTTGTGCGCGAGAACGCGAGCTCCGTTGCTGCTATCCAGACGCTCATCCTGCTCATCGAGGCCGTCGGACTCCAGTGGAATACCCTAGAGACGACCGCTGCTACTACCCTGCCAGATCAGGTCTCTAAACATACCGGTTTTCTGTTCCTTTTGGTGCCAAACTTTACGGCGCTTCTTTCGAGCGAGTGGTGGTCACCCGCGATCCTCTGGTCACTGACGAGCTGGGTCCTCCCCCTCGTCTTCTCCTACTTTTTCAATTTGACCCTGGGCTCGAACACGAAGCGCAGATCCTCCGACCGCCAGTACCCCGCCGATCCACTCACATTCAACATTGTGAAGGCTATTTTGGTTTACAGCGCCTTCCGCATACACACCATTGACGCCGGAGTCGTTGGCGAACCTGGTATTGCCCGTGTGAACGACTACAGTTGGGGACCGTTCTCTGCAGAGACTGTTGGTGTTGTCCGTAACAACGTGCCTGGGAAATACATGGGCTTGCAAATTGGCGCTTGGGTCGGCATACTCGTCAGTCTGTACGATGCTGCTTTGAAGAAGTAGGTACGCGAGCCATGACCCGAGGCTTTATCAGGGTACGAAGACACGGCAAATGGGCTTGCTTGTTACTTTCGGCGTTTGGGTACGGAATACCGTTCGTCTCCGGCGAGCAGAGCACGCCCGGGACTGGCGTGTCAAGGGGACGGGCGTTGGGGCGCTTTGCCAGCTTTCTCGCAGTATTGTTAACCTAGTGTTTTGTTTATTGCTTCGTTGTACCGCTGAAATACATTCTTTCCAGTTGATTCCATACTTTGCCTGTTGGACTTTTGTTTCCCATTGCCAAGGTATGAAGCCCTAGCCCACAAAGTATGTTTTAGCAAAGAGATCCTTAAGCCCTGTCGTAGGCGAGTGCGTAGGATTTGCATACTGAACCAGTGGTTCGCGGCCCTGTTAAGCCGTTAGTTTAGCCTAATCCATATCACACCTATCTTATTCAAATCCGCGCATTCGACATTTTGTCCTCGCTGCTTACCTCTCAACATAGCTATTCCCTACATCGACAGGGCTCTTTGCAGCAAATATCGTTAATATGCCAGGCCAGAGACTCATCGACCAGGATGAGCGTACACGGAAGAAGCCAATGCGCATCCTCGTTCTAGGCATGTGCCGCACAGGAACAACATCCATCTCAGTTGCTTTGCGCAAACTGGGCTACACACCACATCAAATGCGCGACGTTCTCGTCAAACCGAAAGAACTCGCCCTCTGGCAAGAAGCTATCAACGTTACTTTACTCCCGACTCAAGACCGACCTGCTAAGCAACGTGACCTACCACCATATGGCAAGTCAGAGTTCGACAAACTTCTAGGCGATTACGATGCTATCATGGATCTACCAGGTTGTGTGTTCGCGAAAGAATTGATCGAAGCGTATCCAGAAGCAAAAGTCATTCTCACGAACAGGTCCTATGCGGACTGGGAGCAGAGCATGCAAGAGAGCATCTGGTGTCTGGATACCTGGCGCCTGTTCACTCTCTGTCGAACATTGAACATCACCCAGTTAGCACCCTTGATGCGTCTCGTCCATTCTGTTTTCAGGGTACACAATGGCAACAACTACGGCGGTCCTGTGGCGAAATCGGCGTACGAAAAGCACTACGACACGGTTCGCTCTTCCGTGCCCAAGGACCGATTACTCGAGCTCGATACTGATTCCGACTTGAAGTGGGAGCCGCTTTGTAGGTTCTTGGGGAACGAGGTACCGCAGGAGCAGTATCCAAGCCTGAACGAGGAGAAGGCAATGCAGAAGAATTTAGAAAACGCGTGGTGGGGCATGGTGCAGTACCTGCTTTTGATGCTTCTATTACCGGGCCTGGTGACGGTTGGAGCCGTCTTTTGCTACATACACCGGGACGACTTGCAGGTGCTGAGAGATGACTGGATACTCGGGCCTCTAAAGTCGTATTTGGATGGGTAAGGTGCAGTGTCGCAGTGCGTAATCGTCCAGTATGTGTATGTAGATATCTCGTCATGACAGCATGTATAAGAGTAGCACGAAATTGTCCAGGGTCCGGTCGCCCTTCCGATGACCAATTGTAGTCGCTGGCGCCACAGCGAAAAGTCAGTTCGAAAGGGCACCCGTAATCGACGGCGAATACAGAAATTGCCACATATAGTAAGAACTAAGCCCTGGGGAAGTGTCGCCACATATCAGCACTAGTCCATATCAGGCTATCTCCACATTAAGACATGACAATGCCTATGCACGACGAAGACTTCTTTGACTTTTGGGTTTCACCGCATAGTAGAATGCTGGGCATTAGAGATTGTAACCACTGCTAAATTTGTGTCAAGCATCAAAACCAGTTCACAGAAATTGGACTAAGACTCATAAAACATCCCGCTTTGCTCGCCGATCGGTACAACCTCGGAGCTCGCCCTGGCCTGTCGTCTAAGCCATGTGACTACGCTGAGCCTGTGGCAATGAACGAGGCGCAAGGCGTTCACACGCCATCCTTTGTGCTGCGGATACCGAAGATAGCTGTCTGCCTCAGTAAGCCTAGCAATAATAAAAGCCGCGACTGATCAGCCGGAAGAAGCTCACACGATTTCACATCTCTCCATTGCATTACAGCCTTTGTCTATACCATGTCGAGCGATCCAAAACCCACCGCGAAGAGTACGGGGGCAGAGGCAGAGAGCAGCAATGCACCACAGGAGCAGGAGGCACCTCCTTCCTACGTATCCGACTCGTCCAACCCCCCAACATACGAGTCCCTCTCCGCAAAGGTGCGGTCCAACATGGACGCCCTAGCAGTTGGCGACCCACAAGAGACCATCTCGGTCCCGATGATCTCCCGCCGTGTGGCCAACAGCATACACAACTACAATCCCTTCAGTCACAAGTCGGGAAAAGTCGTACAATCCATTACTGTGCGAAATATGACACGCGAGAATTACCTCAAATTTTACGCAAAGGACGCGGAGGGAAACTTTGTTGGAACAAGTCATCCGGCAGCGGATGCAGCGCTGGTATTTGTGCCGGGGAAGAGCACTGATCTAGATTTGATGAAACAGGTCGATGAGGTGGTGTTTGCAAAGCAGGAGCTGAGAGGGAAGGGGATCGGGAAGTTCGGTATGCCGCTTAATAAGTAAATGGTTAGAGGGATAGGTGTGGTTCGGCACCCGCCGTGCCTCCCAATGCCAAGTGGACGAAGTTCCATCCTGCCCGTTGACTTTCTGCGTACTGGATAGTCCATTAGAGTACTTTGGCTCTTCCTTGCTCTCAGTAATAGCCGGACAATGCGAGAGTACGTTAGTAAATCGACGTTGTTGTTGCTCAAGTTTGATCCATCGATGCAAGATATGCTCAAGTGGGGTCTTTAATTTCCAATAGTTTGATGAACGGTAATAGTTCTACAATTGAACAAAACCGACTGACAAGCGATGGCCGAGGCCCTCTCAGCGCTGAGTTGTTCATTTCCCTAGGCCGGAAGATCTGGAACTCCGCACACATGTTGTCTCCACTTAGAACAGCCAAGTCTACCAAAATGAAAAGCGGTCTATGACACCGAGGTTTCACCAAAACATCTCTAATCCATCGCGGCTATTCCAAGCTTTCCAAGCCTGCCGATTGTATGCAGTTAGCATGTATGCACCCTTCATCCTTCGGTGCCGTGCCCGAGATGGGCCACTAACTACTTCCACCTCGTCCGACACGTTGTTTGTCACTAAACTAATGAGGCAAATTTAATCGGATTTCTCGTACCCCAAACCGGGGGTGTGCCGTACTGCCGCGAGTGATACGGGCAATAATCGTCCACTGTGGGGTGCTCTGACATTGCCTTTATAATTTTGTTAGGGCGAAATACAGGACGGAACCAAGCCTTCAATCGAAGAACTCACAAACCCAGGTCTATTGAAAGTCTAAAGATGGTCTATACATTGAAGTCGTCCATGTCATGCCCATGCCCTTGCTCATGCTTTCCACCTGAGGAGCGTGAAAGAGTGCTTGCCGAACTTGAAAGCGCCCTTGCCGTCCCAGCTGCTCTCCTTGATCCCAACCTTCTGCTCCTCTTCTGTGTTGGCGACTTGCACATTGTCACCGGAAACCGTGTGTACTTCCACACTGTCCGCCTTGAGACCTTCCAGGTTGACTTCGTAGTCCTTATCCTCGCTAACGTTTGTAACAGCAAGGTTGATGTATCCGTCGTCTCCGAGGGCGGCACTGCAGTCGAGGAACGGAGTCTCAATCGTGCCCCTAATCCAGTTGGGATTTGTTCGTCCAGTGTATTCCGGAGCCCGGACATTCAGTGCGATGGTGTGGCCGCGCATGTACTTGGAAAACAGCAGCAATGGCCACCAAATCGTTTGCTTAATAAGTCCGTCCTTGGTCGTCATCAACGGTGAGATGACATTGACCGACTGCGCAATGTTGGTCATGCCGACATCCTTTGCTTGTCGGATGAAACCGTTCAAGAAGATGGATACGGCAAGCGCATCGGAGAGCGTGTACTTCTCCTCTGCACCCTGCTCGCCAGGCGCGCGGACGGGATCCCAGACGTTCCACTCATCAAAGCAGATGGTAGGCCTTGGGACGGTCTCGGGGACCTTGTTTTCGATGCGCGCAAGATCGATCAACGCGCTAGTTAGCTGGATTGCTCGTTCCGCAGCCCTTGGTGCAGTGGCGTTTGGTAGATGCTCGTTATCCGCGGTGTAGATATGAATGGAATGCATGTCGATGAGTGACTTGGTGTTGTCACCAGCGAGGCCATGCACGTCCCATTTGACGCACTGGTTGAGGACATAGTAATCCCATGATGAATAACCAGTCTCTCCGCAGAGGATCAAGACAATACTGGGGTCGAGCAGCTTTAGAGCTTTCGCCCATTGGTAAGCCTTCTTCGCATAGTCTTCCTTGGTCATCTCTAGAGGTCGCGCAAAGTCAGTGTATGTTACGAGTAGTTCGTAAATGACGTTACGTACGTTCAACCTGCCACGGGCCCCAGCACTCGTTTCCTAATGCCCAGTACTTGACCTATAATAAATCAGTCACTGAGTTATAAGGGAGCAAAAGGATCTACGAACATTGTAAGGCTTCTCATGGCCATTCTTGCGGCGCAGATTAGCGTAGTATGTGTTACGGTCCGAGTTGCAGTACTCGAGCCATCCAAGAGCTACAGCCGGTATAAGCAAATGTTATAATGTGCAAATGTACAAAACAAACCTTCGTCTAGTGTTCCAGTGCCAAAGTTGAGGCAGAGGTAAGGTTCGGTGCCGACAACTTCACACCACTTCATGAACTCGTCAGTGCCAAACTCGTTCGACTCGGTGCCGATCCAAGCAAGCTCTGGCCTGTGCAAGTCGTTAGCCTTGAAACATCACGTGTGAAGCCCTCATGAGATAGCCGAACAGGCATCTGCTATGCGCCGAGGTCTGCAAGATGAACCGTGCTGGAGGTTGAAGCAAAGACACTTGAAGCTTGATGGAGAGATGATATTACCTGGCAGGCCTCTGGTCCTTTGGGCCAACACCATCGAGCCAATGGTATGTTGCAACAAAGTTGCCACCTGGATATCGGACTACGGGTACATTCAACTCTTGGAAGGACTCGATGACATCCTTGCGAAAGCCGTTCTCGTCGGAGAGAGGGCTTCCAGGTTCATAGATGCCGCCATAGATGCAGCGTCCCATGTGCCTGGTTTTCGGTAAGCGCGACAAAGGCCCGCATGGCGGTATTCCCTTACTCTGTGAAACCAGCATATATGTTGTCATTAATCTTGGCAACACTGTGTGTAGGGTGGATGGTGATGGAGGGTGTTTCGCCCTCGTCGATTCTCGTAAAGGTCGCCATGATGCAATTGGAGGAGGGACTTTTGCCGCGGAAAGAGACTTGTGCAATCGATGCAGTGCTGGATTTTGATTTTGAAATAGTTGTGATATGGCCAGGTTGGGGTTACAGAAAGCTTTCTGCGCGTGATCGTGAGGCGCTGGCGCTTGTCTCCACGCAGCTAGCACTATCCGTTTACGGAGCGCCATGTGATTCGTGGAATGAATACATTCGGCGCTACCTGGACGATATTTCCACTTGGGCCATGCCAGCCTGTTCTGGGGCACATAACCGGGCCCAGTCACCGTGGACCAAGAGACGTTCCACCAGTGATGGCCTAGTGAGCTGGGCATTTGGCGCGGTCTAACGCCTTCACAAAGAATGCCGTCGGTAGAGGATCGACCGAACGCACGCCGCGGTTTCGGTGAGTGCTCCGAGCGACAAGGGCACGGAGCAAATAAACGCGGAGCGAGTCATGTCCCCGCTTTCTGGAGAGATTCTGGAGAAGCGCCGTTCGACCCGTGCCCCAGGATACGGCCGCCATGTGACGGGAAATAGGGTATGGGATGATTACACCGAAGTATATAAAGTCGTTGCACACGGCTCGTGTGGGGTTGCTCTTCACTCGTTTGCCCGCAGCATTCAGAACCTCAAATCTTTGAGTTCCGCAAGACTCGACGAGCTTTCATCATGGCCCTCCCTCCCAAGTGGTACCAGTTCCTTGTAGGCCTGTTCGCCTCCCTCGGTTCCCTGCTCTTCGGTTACGATCTGGGTGTCATTGCCCAAGTCATTGCCTCGCAGAGCTTCAACAGCAAGTTCAAGCCAAACGACAATGAAATCGGAGCCGTTGTGTCCGTCTTCACGGGCGGTGCCTTTTTCGGTGCTGGCGCGGCCGGCCCAATGGGTGACAAGTTGGGACGGCGAATGACCATCATGATCGGCGCCATTGTCTTCTGTCTGGGCGGCGCTCTCCAGACCGGTGCTCAGGGCCTCTCATACCTCTACGCTGGACGTGCTATTGCTGGCCTGGGTGTTGGTATCCTCGTCATGATCATCCCGCTGTAGGTCCATCCAAACCCTGACCACTTGGGACTCACATGCTAATCTTCGTTCTTTTAGGTACCAAGCCGAACTGGCTCACCCTAGCATTCGAGGCCGTGTCACCGCTCTGCAGCAGTTCATGTTGGGTGTCGGTGCTCTTGCTGCCTCTTGGATCTCCTACGGTACCTATGTTGGCTTCGCCCCTACCAACAGCGGCCAATGGCGCACCAGTCTTGGTATCCAAGTCATCCCTGCCGTCATTCTCGCCGCCCTTATCATGATCTTCCCGGAATCTCCGCGTTGGTTGATCGACCACGGAAAGGTCGAGCAAGGTCTTCATAACCTCGCCAAGTTGCATTCTCACGGCGATGAGACCGATCCTTGGGTCCAGGCCGAGTTCCAGCAAATTCAGGACGCCATCACGTTCGATCGTGAGCATGAGGCCAAGTCCTATGCCGAGCTTTTCAAAGACAGGTCTTGCTTCCGCCGCCTCTTTCTGGCCTGCGCTATCCAGGGTTCTATTCAGATGACTGGTGTATCTGCGATTCAGTGTACGTAACGCTCGTTTACAAACCAACAAAGCGCATGTGCTGACTTTGACATACAGACTACTCTGTGACAATCTACGGCAAGATGGGCATCAAGGGAGACGAGACACTGAAGTACCAGGCTATCTCGTCCATCATTGCCCTCATCGCTCAAGCCCTCTGCATTCTCTTGATCGACAAGTTCGGACGTCGCTGGCCACTCATCCTCGGCAACATTGGAAACATGATCACCTTCATCATTGCTACCATTTTGTTGGCCAAGTTCCCCCCTGGAACAAGTCATAACACGGCCGCTGCTTGGGGTTTCATTGCCATCACCTGGGTGTACAATTTCAGCTTCAGCGCAACCTGCGGACCTTTGTCTTGGATTATCCCTGCCGAGATCTTCGATACCAAGACCCGTTCCAAGGGTGTCTCGATCGCTACCATGGTATCTTTCGCCTTCAACACCATGATTGGACAGGTCACCAAGCCAGCCATGGAGCAGGTTGGATACCGATACTATCTCCTGTTTGTCGTAAGTAGCTCTCCAGTCCACCGAAAGAATACTGGCACTAACAATTATACAGATTTGCAACTTGACAAACGCCATCTTCTTCTACTGCTTCCTTCCCGAGACCGCCAGGCGTCCGCTTGAGGAGATGAACCACCTCTTCACCAACGCACCGATTTTCGTACCAGGCATGGACAAGCGCGATTGGGCCCCGGGTGTCGATCTCGAGCGCCGTGTCGAGGAGGTCGCTGCTAAGCAAGGCTCCATCTCCCATCACCAGGAGGAGGTTAAGTACTAGTTCAGAGTCGCGCAAGCTAGATTCTCTAGGATCTCTGCTTCACAGCTAGATCTGAACGACTAGTCCGTGTACGAATGAACAAGTAGTCAATGTAGTTTGTTGGAAGATAATTTATCAATTGCCCCGTAAGAAACTTGCCAATGCTGTCACCGTTTGCATATCTCGCGCAGTTGTGTTGTATCATTATTATTACCTATCGGCTACGTGCAATCACATTCATTTCTACGCAGGCAACGGATCGAACCTATCCCGAAATCAGCAAGTCATCCATCTAGCCCCTTGTCTAGCGCTGGTAGATGTTGTAACCCTGCATACCTTTAGGCTTTGTTGATCAACTGCTGCCACCACTCATGCAAGGCAACCTATATTGTAGTTACTAAGTCCAGTATCGATGATCTCTGCAGCTAGACCATCTGCAGCACAGCGGCACAATCTAAGCTTACAGTCTCAGATGTACAGGCAAATCTTCACACATGGATTTCGCAATGATTTGTATCATACGTTATCACGCTCCAATATCACTCTCAAGGCACCCTCATCGAAATGGATAGATGAATCGCTAAATTGCTACAATACAAGCTTTTCTAGGTCATTTGTCACATATATTGATATCCAGCCATTCAGCCATATATATAGACATTTACAATGCTCAAAACCACCCTCTCGCAACGGCACTTACGGAGTGATTTCATCCTTGTGCACATGATTCCCCTTCTCCATCATGCTCTCCGGCATAAGCGAGCCGGTCAACGGTTTTCGCGACTCCTTCACAATGGACGGGATCGAGTTGCCTTGGGAAAACATCATTTCCAACTCTTCCAAACTGCGTCCCATGGTCTCTGGGAAAAAGAGGAAGACAACGGGCACAATGGTCGCCGACACAAAGAGAAACACAAGGTAGTATTTCCAGCCAATGGTTTCAATGGCCACCTGTGAGAGGTTAGTTAAACTCAAAATTTTCAAACTCCAAATTTTCAAACTTTAAATTTTCAAATTCAATTCTGAAGACGAAAAGAGTATTTTTGAGGAGAGAAGTAACGTACGGGTGTTGCCATGTTCACAACGAAGTTCCAGAGCCAGTGGTTGGCGGTAGATATTCCTGCCATCGGCACTCTTAGCCTTGTTGGAGCCACTTCAGTGCAGTAAAGGAAGTTGGCTCCAAGAAAGCCAATTGGGATGAAGAAGTTAAACATGAAGACAAAGAAGGCGGAAGTGATTTGGGCGGAGCGATTGCTCTTGGGAAAGCTGGAAGCGACAGCTAGCGCCAACATGCAAGATGCCATGCCTGCACCGCTGAACATGAACAGCTTGCGACGTCCGAAGCGGTCGATGGTGAAGAAGGCGACGAAGCATGAAAGAAACTTCCAGGTCAGTGCGCCGCCGGAGAGGATGCGTGACATTTCACTGGTCATGCCAAGGCCTTGTTGGAAGATGATCTGGTGAAGATTGTAAGCAAGTTTGTCTAGGGAGTGGAAGCGGTTCAGCTTACAGTCGAGTAGGTTGAGATCAAGTTGCTGCCGCACATCTGCTGCAAGAACTGCAAGAAGATGCAGAGCGAGAAGCGGTAAAAGAGCTTGTCCTTGCCCATGGTGAAGATGTCGCTCATCTTCGCAGCGCTACGGCCAGTCTCCTCCAGAGCGATCTCGATACCACTGATCTCAGCACCGACTTCGGGATCGTCAAGAGGAAGACCCTTGAACGCACACAAGCTGGCACGCGCCTCTTCGACCCTTCCCTTGTTGACGAGCCATCTCGGACTTTCGGGAATCGAGAAGACGGCAGCCAATGGAATCAACGATATAACGGTCGGAATGGCAAGAGGGATGCGCCATTGTAGTGGTAGGTTGTCCTGTTCGAAAAATCCGAGGTTGATCCAAGCTTCGAGTAGATAGCCCAAACTGATAAAGCATCCGTCAAGCACGACGTGCTTGCCTCGATTGGCAGACGAGGAGCACTCAGACTGCCATACCGGTACTGTAGCGCTTAGTTGGCCAACGCCCCATCCGAGAATGAACCGGCCGACGGCGAATTGGGCGAGCTGGAAGCTTGTGCACTGCAGGATCTCTCCAACGAGGGTCAGTGCCGCTCCCATGAAGATGACTTTCCGCCGTCCGAGCACATCACCAACCCAGGTGCATGACAGGGCGCCAAAAAGCGCTCCGATGGTGAAGATGGCGACGACTGCACCCTGGACGGTCGACTTGTGGCTCTTTTCCGCTCCTTTGGCATCAATCGTGTCAATTGCGGGGAAATGGTCATTCCAGTCGCGCAGGGAGAGGAGGCCTCCCACACCAGACTGGTTATAGCCGAAGAGGACAAATGCTGGCAGGACAACGAGCAGCAGCTGCGCTGTTTCGAGGGTTTTTCCGGTGAGTCCCATGTTGTCGAATGGATAGGCGTAATGCAGTCGGCTTACAGGAGGGGACTCTGCAAAGGACTGGAACTTGAATGGGGGACCATGGAAAGGTACTTGTGCTTTTGAACCCTCCCCACAATATTACAATGTGGGCGCCATACTAGAGCGGTTGCCGCGGCGTTATGTCCTGTCTCCACCTGAGATTTCTCGGAGATAATGAGCACTTAGCGGTCCGGCATCTTTTGCCAGCAGGAAAACAGGGAAGCCCCCCATATCGGACCCCAAACGGACCCATATTGCCTCACTGGTGTGGGGAGAGCAGGCGGAAATTGGACTCAGCAGAGCTAGGAGCTTGACAACAGGGCCATGCGCGGACAAACTTCGGTATGTGTAGAGGATGAATATCGCAGGTGATGTCAAAATCTGACTCGGGCTGCAACGCTATGATGCCGGTTGAGGCTTGATGTGGGTCGGATGGTGTTGCGGCTCTTCGAAGCGGCTGAAAAACAGGTCAAGCTTTTCCAAGGCCAGCTTAGCTTGCTTATCTCCGCCACTTTTATTTGCTGCTTGGAAACCCCAGTCACAGTCCTCGTTCAAACTCCACACAAGCTAGACTCGTCATAGCAGGTTCCTGCGAGGTTGCATTGGGTTGACCCCACGGGCGTGCCGTGATGATGTGTGACAATTTGTTGAACAGTGCGCGTGCGCGGAGAAGGACTCGCTCGTCCATATATAGTCTCGGACTTGGCCGCATTCGCAAGGGGAAAAAGACGGTCAGAATCTCTGGCTTTGTAAAGTTTGTGTTTATTGTCATGAGTACTTTCTCGTACTTGTGTACATCTCTACTGGCGTTGCTGCTATCCCATCGTCGAAGCGCTGAAGGGTTTAATTCCCTGGCTTCGAACCTGTAGACTCCACCTCCGTTGCCTTCTCCGATGCCGACTCAGTTCCGTTCATGTCTTTAGTCATCGCGCTCTCAGTCGAAGTCGCATTTACAACCTCGTTTCCGACATGACCCGACTGCGTCTGTGCACCTTCGACCCCAATTGGCAGCATCCCGTATTCAAAACGATCGACAACCGCTTTTACAACGTGCCTGCGGGGCTCGTCAACGCCGGCTTTGTAGTCTTCCACCAAGGCGACGGCCCTCTCGTCACCCTGCACCACGCATTCGTGAATCAACCGTTCCCACGTACCCGGCCTAGGCTGCATAGGTCCCTTGCCGCTACCCCTTGCGTCAACTGTTCTCATCTCCTTGTAATATTGCAATGCATCCTCCAGGTCGCCTGAGGTTACACATACCAAAATGAGTCGGTCGTACGTAATCACATCTGGCTTGAGTCCAAGCTCCATCATCTCATTTGTGAGGAACATGGCCAGATCCTTACGAGCAGTGAGATGGCAGCCCCTGAACAATTCATTAAAGGTTTGTGTATTAGGGCCGGCGTGCGAGACGGTGTGCAGAGCTTTATACATCTCGATGGCTTCTTCGAAACGGTCGCGGGCAATGCTGGCTTGAATACAGGCGTTGACTGGGGCGGTGGGCACTTTGCGCCCCGCAGCCTCGAACTCCTGTAGCAGGCTGAAGGCGTGCATCGGTCGGCTTCCCTCTTCTGACGTTTCAGTGCTCAAATACCGATACAGCGGGTTGCATGTTCCTGCGTCTACTTTGAGACGGGCATCGGCCATGATGAGGATGACCGATAAGGCAGCAGAGAGGTCGTCGGCATTGAGGTATGTGGCGACGAGAAGCTCGTAGTGATGGGTAGTGAAGGTAGTTTCGCGCTCGGTGAGTACACGAAAGACATCCGTGGCTAGTTCGACGTCTCCATTGCGTGCGGCAAGAGCGAGGACAGAGAGACAGGTACCGGTCACTGGCCTCAGATAGCCTGGCTGGACTTGCGTCACCCATACCATCCTCGCGGCTTCGTGCTGCGTCATGGTTAGCACTCCATCGTGGCTCCATGCATGTGTCATGGATGCGAGTCACACTCACCAATTGTCTCTGCCCTGCAGCATCTAGCAATGCTCCCCACAGAGCAACACTGAGCTGCACGGTACCTGTCCCAGCTTTACTCTGGACGCCTTCTTTGAGACTCAGCACATGAAATGCCTCCTCTATCTCTCCAAACTCCAAAAGTATCCATATGGCTTTGTCGAAGAGCCAGTTCTCTACTCGGACCTCGTTCTTGACCATGTCTTCCAGCATCTCCAGTGCGTGTTCAAAGTGGCGCTCGCGCAGTGTTCCTGCAACGACAAAGTTTTGTCCGCGGGCGGACAGCGGAAACCACCGCGACTTCATGTACTCGAGAATCTCTGTGCGGAGGAGGTAATCGGGGTGGACCGCGAGGACTTCCAATACACACTCGCACCCTCGCGCATCCAGCTCGATCTTGGGCTGCCCGCTCAAAGATGTCTTGATGTCTCCAAAGAAGCCCATCTCCTCGAGCACCTTGCGCACCTTTCCCGGTGTGCCATTGCTAGAGCTAACAAAGCTATGCAAGATTGCCGTGTACATTACTTTGTTGGGTAGCTCTCCCCTATCCTGGACCAAGACTCTGCAAATGTTCATCACATCTTCAAAGTGGCCACTTTCCCCCTCAGCACGTACAAGCTCGTAAAGGTTGTATGTTGGGACTTGTGCGAGGAGAGGCTTGCCTCTCGGGCTTCGGGACGGCTCTCGGGACGGCTTTCGGTGGGCGTGGTGGCCCGTGACTGCAACTCTTTGGAAGGAAAAAGCATCACTGGACTGGAAGGGGTCGTTCGAGGTGTTGTATGCGCGCGATTGATGGCCTGGCCGTAGTGTGACGAGATGCTTCCGAGGCGCAAGGCGCTGCTGGACGCTAGCTCCTGTCCTTGCTGCGATTAAAATAGAAGGGTTCGACGGGAATCTCGGACAGAGACATCGCCATAGCGCGTCGTTCCCAAAGGGGCGCGGTGGCATTGGCGTCGATAATATGGATAGCTGGAACTTTTGAGGTATAAAGCTGCATATTTCACATGGACCGTGCACAGACAACCGCAGCACGTGCGCAGCTGCCAAGAGGTTAGCAGACGGAAGTAAGAATCACTTTGGACCGATAGCAAGGAGAATGTGGGCAAGTTTGTATGTTTCGTTGCTACCATGTGCAGGTTTTACTGCTTTTGACATGCACATTACCAGTAGTCGTGCGAGTGCTTCCAAGGTAGAATACGCAAAGGGTATATACACGTCCAGATGCCAAGGTCAATTAGTTGGGTTGCGCGAATCCCTCCCGGGAGCATTTCAAGCAGATAAATAACCCCTAAGCCACACGAAGACCCGCTCACCGTATGCAAGTTTTGAATACGCTAAGAAACTATTTAGCAGGAGGGAGTTGGAAAATTCCGTCCTATCTCCTCTTTAGTTGTGCCGAAAGAAGTTCAAGAATCTGAAGAGTGTTAGACGAGCGCGCGTAAGACGACAGATTGCCCAGACATACCTTTGGCGAGATGACGCCCTGATTGACCAAGTGCTTGCTCATTATCTTCACGACCTCCATCTGCTCCTCATGCGTAAGTCCAGTGATGGCCGACTCAATGACTCCACCGACAGTCGTGTGATGAACAGCAATGAAGCTCGAATAGTAGAAAAAAGCAATGGAGCCCATGATGAACTGGCAGTCCATGCGATCCGTCATTCCCCCGTGTCCGGGAATCGAGTCACCAAAGTCCTTGATCTTGAATGTTCGCTTGAGACCAGAGGCAAAGAAACCGCCAAAGGGTGCGATGAGAGATGCAAACGTTCCTAGGATGATGACATGGAATTGTACTGGCATGATGTTGAACGTCCGTGGGACAGGGACACCGGTAGGAACGAAGGGCAGCGCATAGTTGCGCGCCATGAAGACGGGGTTGGGCTTGCACTCCAGGCCGGACCAGATATTTGCGCCAAGGTCCTGTAGCTGGTTAGTCAAGTGAAGCAGTAACAACTAACATTGAGATACGCACATTGACGGGGCAGATGAAGTACTTGTACTGAGCCAAGAAGTGAGTGAGGCCGATGCCCCACAGGACGGTGAAGAACCAGGCGCCCAGGAAGCCCTCCCATGTCTTCTTTGGCGAGATTTGGATCAACGGGGTTCGTCCGAAGGTGATGCCGCAGAGGTAGGCGAAAATGTCGTTGGTAATGACCATGGACACGGGGAGGATGAACCAGATGAAGCCCTCGAAGATGTTGTTGATGACGAAATGAGCCTGTCCAACAATCAAGAAAAGAGCCATGTGGGTCCAGGCGAACTGGGTGAATTGGAACCTGTAGTGTCCCTTTTGCAGGGAGAAGACGAAGAAGACAAAGCCTGTTGGGATCAGCCTTACTCTGACAAGATGACGGACGGGACGTACCAATAATGTATAGCATAAAGGATATGAATCTGTGATGGGTGGCCAGCGGAAGCAGCAAGCGGTCCACCATGAGGATATGCTTGAAGTAGTAGATGACGCTCTCGCCGTACAAGAAGTACATTGCGGTGCCCAGGAAGTACCAGTTCAGCGACTTTGTGAAGCGCAAGCTGCGTGCCTTGCTCGGCACGTTTGCTATTGCGATGACCTCCTTGAAGGATATGACCTGGACTGCCGTGATGATGATGATGATGAAGAGGTGGCCGGCGCCGAGGGCCCAGAAAAAGCCGCCTATCATGACCAGCGTCCACACTGTTCGCGTGATGAAGTTTGCCTTTTTCTTCTCGTACTCGGTCTGCCGGGGGGCTTCTGGTATCTGGCAGTGTCAGCAATGCGACGAGGGCCATAAAAGAGAGTGTGGGCATACCGGAGGCGCGAGGGCGCCATTTGTGGTGGGACTGCTAGGATCTTCACTATACTCAGACATGCTTTGCGAGGGCCTTCGCGCTCTACCATTGCTGGCGCTGCGCGCTGCGTGTTGGAACTTGACGTCCTTTCGTGGTCGGCCCATGATGAACGAAGACGCCGGGTGCGTCGGGCTGGGACAAGCTTCGTACGGGGAGACGAGCGTAGAGGGGGGCGCGACACGGCGAAGGTGTCGTGAAGATACGACGGCGGGGGGGTGGGGGGGTTAGGTGGTGAAGCGTGGTGGAAGTTGGCCGTTGGCAAGCCGCAGTGCACGTCAGGTTGTGGCCAGATGAAAAGCGCCCCGGACGAGCAACGGCACCAGACGTCATGGGCCAGGGGAGGCTTAGCGAGGCCGTCTGCAGGTGAAATCCGCCGCGACAATGCCCCCCAACAAGGCTGACGGTCTCGCAATTGGCCACACATTGCGCTGTCTAGGACATGCACATGCACGCCACAAGAGCAATTGGCAGATGGAGCAGCCATGGACGACGACGACTTCGATTTCTCCGACCATGACCTCGACGACTTGCCGGCCAACGAGCTGCAGCACCTCGAGGCGAGTGCCGTGCGCGCGACGCAACAACAGACACAGGCCGCACCAGAGTCGGACTATGGCCTCGACGACGGCGAAGAGGTGGTGAACCTCGACGATGAGCCCTACATGGACGTCGAAGAGCCGCCGTCGCGCAGGTCGCAGGCAGACGCGAACCAACTGCTCCAACGCATCAAGAAGCTGGAGCAAGACAAGGCGCGCGAGAAGAGAGCTGCAGACGACCTCAAAACAAAGCTGCAGACCAAGGCTGGCGAAGCAGACACGCTGCGACGGCGCCACGATGTCGACAGTCGACGATATGAGCGCCAGCTTGCGGACCAGCAGCAGTCGTACAGCACCGACATGGCCGCCCTCAAGACCGAAATGGAGAAACTGCGACGCGAAAAGGAGTCGGCCCAGACGGACCACATGTTCAACCAGCACGATGCGCGAGAGGTGGGCATGGCACGGCGGACCGCAAGAACTATGCCATCGAGGCCCAAGTCGGGTGCTGCAGCCGCTCTTAGTCCAGCTGGAACACCCAGGCGCGCACACAAGGCGCGGGCCCAACTGGGCGATGGATTCGACGACGATGATATTGTCATGGCCTCTCCATCCAAGAACCGCGACAGGCAGAAGACTGCGACACCGCGGCACGTGGGCAAGCGAAAGCGCCAGGTCACGGACCAGAGCCCCATACCGTTGCCAGCACTGCAGCTGAGTGAGCCACGGAGTCGACCAAGCAGGAAGGATCCGGAGCCAGAGCCTGCCACTGAAGCAAAGATCGATGCCGCACTGTTGCAGCACTTTCGACAGGACGATCGCCGATTCACTCTCCTGCATCGTCTGCTCTCCCATCCGTCTTCGAATGGAACAGACCGTATTCTAGAGGCGCTGACGCAGCACGCATTTCCTTCACAGCCCTCCAAGAAGCTGTCTTCGATCGTGTACGATGCCCTGGCGGCTACCCGTGCATCTGATGTCCATGAGCTAGCGCTGCGCATCTGCCACATCTTCCTCGACCTATGGAAGCGGTGTCAGAATGAGAAGTATTATGCTCCCACGTCCCTCATTCTCGATGCCCTGCACTTTATTCTAGCGTGTGAGCCAGCCCAAACTGCCGTGCAAGTGGCTGAACGCGCTGTGCCGCTCATCATCGCCTTCATCGACCTCGTGTCAGACCCCATTTCGAAGGCAGCCAAAGGGGGCGAGAAAGCGATTGCCGACCTATACTCTGCTACTCAACGGGAAATTGCCTCTCAGATAGATGTCCTTGACTGTCTTGAGCTGCTCTACTTGATCGCAACAAGCTGCGTATCCTCTACGGATTCTGAAGCTATAACTCGACTGTGGCACGCTATCCCGTCCACGTTTGCATGCATGCTTCTTGTCAAAGAACAACCGCGACCGCAGATCACGCTCATGTTGCACATACTTAGCACCTCCGCGCTGGCTACTTCATTGGGGCCTATCACAACCACTGACTCGGCCCACGAAAGCCAGACTAGCATCGAGGACGCCCTCATCAACCGGCTTACCAACCTGTTTACAGAAACACCAAAGCCAGTCCCCGATCCTGCAGCCTCGGCTACACCTGTAGCAGTAGTTCCCGAGGGTGAGATTTGGGATCTCCGCCTTCTTGTTCTCCACGTTCTGACAGGGTTCTCCATTTCTCAGCATGGCTCCGTACGCCTAGCGCAGAACAGGCTCTGTGTTGGCCGGCTCATCAAATATCTCGACAACTGCATCACAAGCTTGTACCGACACCCGCTGTCGCCCACTCAGGACCTGAAAATAACGTCTATCAATGTGACTATGAAGCTCATCTACCACATTGCGACTACCAACACCGACTTTGACATCAAAAGCAAGCTAGTTAACACTCTGGGCGGACAGCATGCCTATCTTGTAGCGTTAACGCGTCTCGCATTCAGCGAAGGCTTAGTGCTCGAAGCTGGCATCGAAGACGCAGTAGTTAACATGGCGCACGACGTTTTGGACGAAGGCCTGAGCATGGAAGAGGGAGACGCTTTTGGTAAGGTGTACAGTAGTGGGAGTAGCGTTTAGGCGACTGGGTTGGTGCATTGTCATATATGGTTTGATCTCGCACTGCTGGTTCTTGTTTTGCATGTTGAAAGCGGGGCATATCATTGCATCGGGTGGTGTTGGTGGCTGCTAGCAGGAGAATCATTTGCATTCAAGGGGCGAGTGGGACTGCGCAAGTTCCTGGAATAGACTCCTATGACTACACGTCTACGTGTATATATAACGCCACTGTGGTTTCCCAGTCGGAACGTTGGGGGGAGGGCTAGAAAGCACCATTGAATAAGATAAGACATATTTCCCTCCACTCCTCAAGCTTTCCTCCGAAAAACAAACAGCGCCTCATCTTTCCCAGCAAAACTCGGCAGCGGCATCCGCAGCACCAACTCAAACGCCGGAAGATTCCCCTCAACCCACTCATCCACGCCCTGATCCTGAAAAGCCGTAAACCCATTCCCATTCTGTGTGCCCGCAACAACAACCGTATCGCCCTCAAATGCCCTCAAAATCGGCGCAGTGAAATCCCCCGTGGCCTGTGGATACACCAATAACAACACGCAACCCTTGCCATTCGCATTCTGTTTGAGGTACGACTTGCCGTCCATGGCGATCGTATCTTGTATCCACGACACGCGGTACTCGCTGAGCTGGCTGTCGATGGCGCGCACATCCAATTCTTTAGCGCCTTCTGCAATGGGGAAGTGGCGCAACATAAATGTCCAATACCCGTTTCCGCTTCCGATGTCCAAGATTGGCAGTACGGATTCTTTGCTGGGTTTTGCAGGCTGGGCTAGTTTCGCTATCACGTGAAGGGCAGCGTAGGATGGTACAATGCAACCGAAGTGGTGGTAGAAGATGGGCAGGATATGGTGGGATATCTTGGTGTGTGTTGTGGATGGTAAGGGGCCGGCCCATTCTAGTTCATGGCATGAGTAGGTCCAGAGGGAAAAGTATGGATTAATGTGTTGGCGGTCCTTTTTTGAGGGGAGGAGGCCGGTTGTTGTGTTGTGGAAGCGGGAGGAGAGGTGGTTGGCAACTTGCGATCTGAGGGTGTTTGCTTTTGAGTTTGCTTTGAAGCCATTGAGGGTCTTGGGGAGGTTTATTGAGGGGTCGAAGAGATTGGTGTAGGCTGATATTTCTTCGGTTGTTGGGTACTGGGGTTCGGTCTGTATGATGGTAAGAAGATGAAGTTTAGTTGAACCTGGACCATTACACATGAAGTGCTCTAGCGTCTACTGAAATGAGAGATGGCTTACAGGGTTGCCCTCATCATCATGGTACCATCCGTGCAAGCCATGTATTCGCTTCCCTCCAATAGCGTTCTGGGTGGTGTCCAACGTAGTCTCTGCCTGGGCACGATAAACGTAGCTGTCTGAGCTGGGAATGTTGAACGCTTCTCGTATGCACTGGGCAAATGTCTTTCCACTATGAAGCGGAGAGTATTTTTCTTCGGACCAGCCTTGCAGTAAGACGTCCGGGTTGAAGTTCTTCAAAGCCATGGTTGCTCGTGCTGATCCGACAGGTGTATGCCGTGTCGATCTCAGAAGGTTACTTCCCGTACACAAGGACAGATTACTACCAACCAGTCTTCTCTCGCTTGCTTAGAAAGGCTGTTAATAACCACAGGCGAAGTGTAAGGCTGAAAGAGTTCAATACTCGGTCTCGATTCCGCACTTGCATCGGCAATTGACCAATCACAGGTAGCTGATAAAAAAGCCGGCGCATTTCGTCATCCATCAGTAATCCACTAAGCATCTCCACCTCAATTGCCCTTTAGTAACCTTAGGCAAGCATTGCAAATACAATGTGCAACGGGAATTTCTGATAGAAGCTACTCCAACATGCTCGCACTAACCTCCCACAGGCTAACACGTATAAAGAGACCTCCCTACTTCGAGGAAGCGCATTCTCCTGTTTGAAATGACAGACACTGCAACCAAAGAGCAACCCACAGCTACAGCTAGTTTGACCTTCAATACAAAGACACTAACAGCGCTCATTGGAGTCGCAGCTATCATTCTGGCTTTCTCAAGCACCTTCCGCAACACCATTTCCTCCGCCATAACGAAGCCCTTTTTACGAACGATGTCAACCACTACAGCACCCGCTTCAATGAAGATCACCAAACGGCCCTCGTCGCAACGCGGTCATGCCGACCACGACTGGCTATACTCATACCACTCCTTCTCTTTCGCCTCGTACTACGACCCGCGTCACGAGAGCTGGGGACCGCTTAGAGTGATCAACGAGGACCGCGTAAAGCCTGGTACTGGATTCGGTACGTAAAATAGTTAGCCCTTTTAATTTAGTATAACTTTTACTAATTGTACCACCCATTAGGCACGCATAGTCACGCAGAGTTTCTCATTTTCAGCTACATCGTCAATGGCACCCTCGAACACAAAGACAGCATGGGCAACCTCGAGAACCTCAAGCGCGGAGAAGTACAATTCACAAGCGCTGGAACAGGCATTCGCCACTCCGAATACAACAGGAACAAGGACGATGAAGTGCACTTCCTTCAAATCTGGGCGAAGCCGAATAAGAGGGGGTTGAAGCCGCATTACGAGACGAAGAAGTTTACTGACGAGGAGAAAACGGATAAGCTGGTTAGGATCATGGAGTACACCGACCGCTTAGGAGACAGCAAGGGCGCTATTGGTCTACAAGCTGACCTCAGCATGGACGCTTCCATCCTATCGCCTGGCAAGAGTGTGACCCATGACCTTGTTGCTGAAGGCCCTCGTAAACTCTTCGCTCATATGGTCATGGGCAAAAGGACACAACCTAAGGAGGGCGGAGCGAAGATCAAGATTGGAGAGACGGTGCTAGCAGAGGGCGATGGCGCATATATTGATGGTGTCAGTGGTCCGGGCAGGATTGGTATCGAAAGTGTGGGTGACAAGCCCGCAGAGTTTCTATTGTTTGACATGGGGCCTGGAGATACATAGATAAGGATTCTCGCGGTTTTCTTACTATATAGCCGTGCGCTGATAAGTTTGTAGATAGAGTATAAGCCGTTTATGTATATGATTTGAGGCAACCTATCACTTGAGCTACTTTATCTCACACAATATTTTTTTCGCGCAGTTCTATGACGTACTCGAATATGTTGAAAGTCAGTCCTGACAAGCTACTGACTACTTCGGATAGAAACCTTCTATCTGACAAGAAGAATTTGTCGTACCACGTCGTTGACCAACTAACCTAGAAGGTTGGAAGTTGCTCGCAATACCGTTTGTTATCTCGTTCCCACCCAAACGCTCAACCCACGTCCGCAGTCCATCAATATGTTCAGCAAGATACAACCCTTTGCCATCTATCGAACCCTTGCCCTCGGGTTTACGATGTCACTAGGAGGTAAAATCGGGCTTCCCGAACGGAAAGGCGAAGTCGAATCGGAGGGGGAGTGGTCGCTGATAACATCCTCATCGTCCTCTTCCTCGTCGTCGATAGGCATTGTTGATCGTCGACTGGCCGTTCTGCCGCCCCGCCAGTCCTGGTTTCCTACCATGATGGCATGACAATGCCAAAGGCCAAAGCAGAGAGCGAGGGAAAATATGCCGACGATAATGCCTAGGATGAAGGAACCGAGGCATGGTGGTGTTGATGGGTGACATGGTGAGTGTTGCGGTGGGGGACTGGTCATCTTCCGAATGAGATTGAGCTCTGCCTGGAGGTAGCGCTCAGGGATGGAATAAGTATGGTGAGTGCTACAAGGTCCAGGTAATGGAGCTACAGCGTTGGTTTTATGGAAAAGTATGTAAGTTTGCTCCAAACTGTTTGGCTCAAACTGACGATACGTGTATGCAGAACACCACTAGAGTAGCATGCGAACTAGAGTATCGTAATATGCATCGCTCATCTGGGAAAACTACAATAATACTATCTTTAACAACCGTCATCAGTTCTCTGGTCACCTGCTTCCGGTAGGGTTCTCTCCAAATCCACCTCGTCGTTGCTGGACAATACGTTACTTCTCGGCGAACGCCAGCTTGTGACTGAGTCTGGGAAGCCAGGCCATGGCACATAAATGGGACGCTCTGAAGGATGTGTAGCCTCCGTAGGGGTAGGAACGCTATAGATGGAGCTAGACGCGTCACCGTACACTGCTCGAACCGGTTCATCTAGAGCACATGCATAGTGTCCCGGAATTTCGACAACCCTCTTAGCAGCTGGAAGAGGTTGATGAGTTGAGGTAAATGCATCTTCTTCGTTCTTTGCTCGACTTCGGTAGCTGATCAGTCTAATGATAAAAATGCTCTGGATGAGAACGATGATCAGGATCCCTACACAGATCGCGATGATACCGTTAGTTTCAATCATAGAGGTCTGAGGTAATTTAGAATTCCGGGTGAGCCTGAAGAGGTTCACAGAAGAGGCCCACGGATTTATCACTACGCATTCTAGGACATACAAACGACCGGAATCTGTTTTGAATCTACGTGTAAGTTTCTACGGAAGCGCATTCCGAGCTCGTAGTCATAAGCAAACAGATCGAGAACGCCAGTCTATGGTGATTTCCCATACATGTGGTGGATTTTGGCCGCAATACATGCACAGTTAGATGCTCAACAAGGACTATCGTCCACTCTTAAGCTGCTGCAAGCAGTATTTGTGACCAAGAGCTAGTACCATATGTCGTTCCTAAGTTCGCTTACTGCACGCCCCAATGATTTCTCTCCTTCCCTGTCAACGTTCAAGATCCCCAAACTATAATCTCGTATTCTCTTCATTAATAGTACTTGGTCCCCGGATGTATATTCTCCCTTGTCTGCATCGGACGCTCGCGCGTTGTCCGAAAATCAAAGTAAAGATCCGTGTCTGCATTGGGGTTGGGTGGACCGCCGTGATAGTGATTACGTTTGATATTCTTACGCCGGATCCAGTCTTTTATCTTCATCCAGTGAAACACCATGGGCGTGTTGAATACCATCGTATAGTGGCTGGCGAGATATTTCGCGGATAATATGAAAACTTTATCGCAGCTTGTAGCGAGGGGAATGGGATTTAGTTTTTTTTGTTATGGATGCGGGTTGAGTAATGAGAAAAAGAAAAGAGGAGGTGTTCATGGTTCTGCCGGTCGTTTGAGTTGTATATCTCAGTTGGTGGTATGTCACATACTGCTCTTCACAAATACAAGCGGATTGACTGTTATTGAAAGGTGTAGAAAGACATGTCGAGGTGCCCATTCAAAGGAGCTTGTACAGTAAGACTTGCCGCGTTCGTGTAATCTTCCGATCAAGAGCCTATGAATTGTGGAAACGGTAGGGACACGATGTGTCTGAGAACGACTTTGATACTCCAAAATCATACACGACCCGCGGGTATTCGATCTTGAAATGCCATCCTAAGTTAGGGCTATCTTTATGAGATGATGCAGTTCTCGAAAAATTATTTGATACGGCATCGAGGAGGGATTCAATATAGAAGCTGGTGGAAAAAATACTCAGCCTAAGCTTCTTACCACACGCAGTCGCACAAGCAGAATTAAGCTGTGGAGTACTCTAGAGACGGCCCCACGATCTTCCCAAGCGGCTGATCGTATAACTAGCGCGGAGCGTGTCCTCCTGCCGTGTGACGTCATTAATCTATCCTGTCTCCTTTTTCCGACTGCTGAACTAGAATATCACCGTCCTGCCTGCACTACAAATTCTTACGATTATTTGGCTCTTGAAACTTGTCTCTTGCCGGAAATAAGATGGTGCTGGAATACGCATCCGGGAGCATCAAATGCGGCTCGCTCGCTCAACAGCCGAACTTGGCCGATTTGTTACCCACACAAAGCAAAGCCCCCACATCCGGTATGGTGACACGGTCAGCCGGTTTCCTCGGGTTCACAGGAATTCACACCTTCAGAAAACGTGCGGATACTCTACAATAGAGGTATATAAATATGCTATTTAGCTAAAGCCTCAACATCAAGCATCTGGCCGGTTGGCGCAATGGTAGCGCGCAGCCCTCCTAAGGCTGAGGCTGTGGGTTCGAGTCCCACATCGGTCGCTTCTACTTTGTTTTTGCCTTTTTACCGTCTTTATACACAGTCAGTGTAACGCTGTCTTTTTGGTTGTGAGGCAGTGGCAAGAGGTGCGTGCTTACGTGAACATCTACTATGCAGTTGATCCAAGCCATTCATTACAGTGTACATATCGTTGTCTAATACGCCCAGTCGTCTAATACCCTCGCTTGTGTACCGAACGCCGATAACATGCCAATCCGCCAAACCCCTCTGTTGTACTATAAATGCCTTCGCTCTTTCTCCCGTCGCTTCACGTCCTCCATCTCCTCTAACATCACGCGATTGAACTGCTCCCACCCGTCAAGGTAGACATGGTGTCCGGCCTTGTTGATAATGACGACTTTCGCCTCACCGTTTTCTTTCCGCTTATCTTCTGCCGACGCATGTGCTAATATGCGTTTCTGCTCCTGCTTGAGCTTCTCTTCAGCCGCTAGGCCCCCGGCTACGTCCATCCAGTCGTTCTCGCCATACATGAAGATGATCGGGAAGCCCGTCTCGCGCTGACCTTGTTGTGCAGAGGGGAGTGAAGAGCGAGGTGGTGTGTCGCCATCTACTGTGGGTGCTTCGTGGGCTTGTATCCATTGCCGGCCTACGCCTTGGATCCTCCTGATCAAGGGACTGCGAGCAAATGCGCCGGGTGCAAGTAGGTAAGCAAGTGCGTATTCCGAGCTGCCGCGCTGGCGGAACAGGGCGTAGCTGTAATCGTGCAATGCTTGCGCTTCTTCTTCTGGCAGCTGCGAAAACCGCCTAGATGTCCAACCTGAGACTAGACGAGGTCCTAGTGGCCCGCTCCAGCGAACAAATGTGAAAGGTGAGATCATGTTAGCTTCCCAGAGGTATGTCAGCCAGCCGGGCAATCGCCTCTTGGGAGGTTGGTTAGCGTCCTTTGTAGAGCCCTGCTTCTTCTGCTGGTTCATGAAGTTGTTATTGTCTGCCGTGGATGCCTTCACGCCATTATTAGTTTCTGCGGCATCCTGTGTAAACTCGTTCGCCATCGTCGAATCTTGCGGTTCGGGTACGTCCTCGCTGACTGCATGCGGATCTTCCGGGATGCCAACGGGTGAGGCAAGGATGAGCTTGTTCAAATGGCCTGGATACTTCAAAGCATATGCCACAGCCAGATAACCGCCCAGACTATGGCCCAGCAGCGTGAATCGCTCCAGACCACGCTCAATCCGCCACTCCTCTAGAGCATCCACAAACCAAGATTCGGCCTCTGATATCCTTCCCGCCTTGTCTTTCGCATGGATCTTAAAGTTTGGCCGGCTGCTCCTGCCCATACCCAGCAAGTCTAGCGCGAAGACTTTCCAACCCTCAGCACGCGATATCGACTCGAAATTCCTGTAGAAGAAGCCCAAGCCTGCTCCATAGCCATGCAAAAGTACTAGGTTGTTTTCAACCTCCTCGCCCAAACGCTCGACTGAGAACTCGTTCAAGGCGCGATCCTTGCCACTCAGCTGTACCATTTGCGAGTTCCATTGTCGGGGGCCGTATGGATCGTCGAGGCGGTTCGTAGTAGTATGCTCTTCTGAATGCTTCGGTGGCGCTGCAGGGTCAGCCGGTGCGGAACCTGTCTCCGTGTGCGTAGGTGGGCTCTGGAGGTGAGGGATGAAGGAAAGCACCCGGTGCTCGGTGGCCATAGGCGATAAGCCTGCCCACCATTGATCGAACCCAGCCTTCGCGCTCAACGGGAACCACTTTGTAAATCTCCCCTGCTGCACTTCGCTCTGCTCCTTCTGCCGTACAGCCTGCTGCCCTCTCTCCCTGACCTCGCCACCCGCCTCGGAGCCTTGGGTTGCCATTGTCGCGTTACTCTTACTGTCGATCCTGATCGGCGTGCTCAGACTCAAGCTGATATAGCTTGCGCCACCAAATCCAACAGTCTTGTGCAAGAGACCAGGCCGAGTTCGCAAGTACGTCCGTAGCATTCGCAATCGCGACGAGAAAGTAGTCGATGGTGGAATGGTGACGGTATTGCGTGTGTCGCAGGACAGAATCACCTCAGGACGCAACGTCACTGAGGCGCTGCCGCGACTATTTATTTAAAGCTGACGTGGACGAGAAATAGCGGAAGCCTGGAGTGCTTCTCGATGGTACCGGAGATAAAGAGCGCCGATACTATAGTCCTAAAACAGTTCGGACGAGGAATTTGGCCGACTCCGGCTGCCTGGCTGGTGGATGGCTCAAAGAAGCGTGCTTTCTTGGTGAGAGCCTCAATAACTCACGACTTGCTATACTTATATGCATTGCGCGATACTGTTCTCCCAACAATGCACTGCGAGGGGCGGGTGCGCCCCTCTATCGATTATCTACCCCACACCAAGTGCTTGAGGCTCAACCATTAGGTCTCGGCACCAATCAGGAGCGCGATATCCAGCACACCAGGAACAGACAGGTTCTCATCGCATGACGATAATATTACAGCGGCACTGAAGTGTATAGCAGGCTACCAGCAATCTAAGAGTTATACTTCTGGTTTTGGAATGCGGGGTTGTTTTAGACATCTGGACGTCTAAGATCTATTCGTTATCATGTCTCATAACCTCATTCCAACCGCTATGCTAGAGTACAAGGTAATGTTTACACGAGGCACCATGATACTAATGTTTACACACGAGAAATCGCCACTGAGGGACTCTCTATTTAACGCACTAGCCGTCTTATAACCTATTCGAGCGAATGAGGAATTTCCGAAAAGACCTCGAGCTCAGGTGTAGTCAAAGTTTGTCGTAGACACCTTCATACCCGCACCGGCTTTGCATCTTGTTAGCGAATCGTGGCGATGTCGCGCTGCTGCCTGCACTGCAAGTATGAATCGTTCCGCCTCGCTCGGCTCGTTTCCCAGTATCCTGGTCGTTTCGATTGTCCAGATGAGCTATCACTGGGTTCAGCTTTGAGACCTGGTGACCTGGGTTTTGATAGTCTTGAGACGTATCGCTAGCGAGTTCAATGACGGTGGTTTGCCAGTCGGGGCGGGCGTTTGTGTAATAGAGGCGATGAATTGACTTCCAAGGCTATCATCACAAGTGGATTTCCATATCGTGGATCTGGACTTCCGTCTCAAACGAATCGTTTCGGCTCCTGCATGACTGGGACGTTGCTGGCACTGGCAACGCTTTGTATGGATAACCTCGGATCCACTTTCGAAACTCCAGTTACAGGCCTGTTCGGACCGGGCTTGGGACGGCGACCGCCATCGCTAGAGCTTCCAGATTCGGCCCTAGCATGAGCAGCGAACGGCCGTTGCGGAATATCATAGACGGCCTTCTCAAACAGAATGTCTTGGCTCGCGTCAGTTCTCTGTTGGAGCATTTCCGGCTCTGCTGCGCGTCTTTTTCGCTTTGTGCACCAGCATGTTCGGTCTTTGCCGTAGAAGAAGAGAAGCCAGACGACGATCCAGATCAAGAGGAGGGCGGGCACAAGGGCAATGCAGACGAGGAGTGCAATGGATGTGCCAGATACTCCACCAGGCGAAGATCCGTCCAGAAGGCGCGGCTGGAGGTGGGCGATAGCAGGCATTTTGCAGTAGGCTGTCCAGGTGGTTTAATGTAAGGGAAAATCACGGTCGAGGTGCCACAACGTTGATAAAGATATATTAGTTGGCGGGTGTGATGGTTGGCGTTAGCGCTTGATGGAAGCGGCGTAAACACAGGCGCCAGTATATGATTGAATGACCGGAACGAGAGACCTAGTGGGCCTAATAAGTGACAAAGAGAAACCGTGAAGCACAAAGTAAGACAGTACTGGTGTAGCGTGTGCTGGCCTTTGTATCCTTTCCGGCTCCCTACGGACGCTTTCGGCGTCATGCGGCTCCACGGAGCGTGGAGTAAAGTGACGCACATGAGCCCCATTGTTGGCCCTCTTGTTTCGGTGTGGCATTTGCGTACCAAGCTATGAGACTACGACGCTACAAGCGCGCTGTGGAGGCTGCGAGGCCGAAAACTTGGAGAATAGCAAGAGCGACCGGCGACCAGGTCATGATTTGGTTGTGATCTAGTCCAAAAGGCGTTAGCTTGGCTTCAAACTACACATGTAGCGGACGGAACTAGCGGCAATGACCCCATCATAAAACCCAGAATGACACCTTGTTTCGTCTCAGCCACGTACGCGTACCAGCCCCCTGAGACCGTAGGCTGATCATCTTCACCGTTTCTCTGCGCCAACAGTGCGCGTATCGTGTGTTGAAGACAGCTAGGGTTTGGGTGGCTGGCAGCGACCCGCACATCGGGATCCGTGAACCATAGCCGAGCGCGTAACTTTTGAAGGTGGTGGGCGCTAGCACCTCCACGCCAGGGTAATACGTACCGCCGTGCTTCGCAATCGTTTTTGAGATGGAGCATGATCCATTTTGCCAAATCTCTTGTCTGCCTGCTTCGCCTAGATCACGGACCTCGGGACCGTTGATCGCTCCGGCTTCGTCGTTGAGGCCATTCTCACTCGCAGCTTTCAAGGTGGATTTGAACAGCTCCTCGGTCTGGTTCCAGGGCATCGTTTGGTCATCCTCAGCGTGCACTAGCACTAATCGAAGTCGTGAGCATGTGCCTAGAGATATTAGCAACTGTTGGATGCACAATAGAGCTCTCTGAGGTATATTCAAGAGGCCGTTCAGCCTTTGCATGCGCTAGCCTAGGGTACTTGACGATCTCATGGGCATAACGTGCAATGACATATGCGGACTTACGCGTGAGATGACCCAGGCGATCGTCTGTACGCCATGTGTCCTCCATTCTTCGACTGAACCACGTTTGGAAAGTAGCAGACAGCTTGACAGGTGCGAGCACCGGGATGAGACCGCCAATCGAATATGAGGAGAAAGCGCTGCCAGCATTGGTAAAAGCAGCGCACAAGATCAGGCCGGCGAACGCTACGCCTAGCTTAGAGTAATGATGGGCGACTCCAGCGACAACAGCTGTCCCCAGCGAGTGGCCTAGAAGTACAATGCGATCTGGCGGTATCCTGCATCTATTCAGTGCCCAATCGACGACAGCCGCAGCATCGTTCAGAAGTCCGAGCTCCGACGGAGTACCTGTCGAAGCACCGAAACCACGATAGTCGAAGGCTAAAATAAAGATCTTCTCTGACGCTCCAGAAGAAAACGAGCGATACTCCTCGGTTCGCCTCTGTTGCGCAATAGTGGCGCTGTTGCCATGGAAGTAGATTAGCAGCCTGGCGTCTGGGTCGTTTTTCAAAATCCTAAACGCAAGCTTCTCTTCGATATCTTCGACCCCGGACGGCTCTTGAATGAAGTCGTCGGCGTGTCTGGCATAGATGCCGAGAGGCGCGACGAGCCATGCGAAGAGACTCTCGCCATCCTCGGTTGCGATGCGGAAGGGCGTGACTTGATTCTCTGGTTACATGAGCATACTATTCATACAGAAAATGAAACCGGATTCGCAGATTGCAGCCTGAAAAGTCTTGCTGCTTCGAAGCGCATTGCGAAAGCAGCTAAAGTCATTCGAGGCACGAGTAGCGACAGCCGAGCGAGGTACTCTGCCCAGACGAAAGTCTCTTCTACCGAGGCATGAGGATCTGGGAACACTGAACGTACTCAAGAAGCCTGCCCGTTCAGGTTCGGTTAACCACTTTCCGGGGGAAAACGTTATGCTGTGCAGGTAGAGCATCTCTATAACCAGTCAGCGCTTTCCTGGTAGTTGCCCGGCTACTCGGGAGCTCAGCTCACGTTTCTGCACCCACGGTATGCAACAAAGCAAAGTGCATGGGATCCAAATCCCACTCAGGAAGGACAGCGGCACACCGATGTAAGTGTAAATACTCATGATGAGTTGAAATGGATGGCAGTCGTGTGGTGCGGTGATGACCTGCGATGGATGTTTGACTGGGTCTAGCACGCCTTCTTACTAGGCCTCGCTTGTGCGACTCGCTCCCCGGGGCCTCTGAGTGCCAGGAACTGAGCGACCTATACGCCACCCACCCCGTCTATTAAGCTATAATTAATTGCGCTCTAGGAACACTAAAAGAACCGCCTCTGCTAGTTATTGTTAGAATATTTGCAGGATGTTGGCATTGTTAAATGAGCTCACTATCGTCGACATGGACTGGGCCAGCAAGGAATTGATGTAAATACTCCTAGAGCTGGGGCTTCCCTATTATTATAGTATTGGGCAGATTTTCTGTCCCTACACTATACTATCGCGCATATGAACCTAAGATTTCAAGCTTCTCATTACATTGCACTCTCTCTGTTCTATCACGCAGGGGTAAAAGCCCCATCATATAACGCACTCTACCCAATGGAAATGCTTTAAGATACAGTGCTTTTGAATTCAAGTGTTATTTCTTCTGTACGTTACCAGTGACGACAAAGTCGTGTGGGAAGTACAAGCCGTCTGGGATCGAGCCAGGCTGGAACACATGCTGACCCGGGAATAGCAAGTTAGTCTCAAGGAAATAGTCAATAGCCTTGAAGTCGGTGTGTAGGTCCGGTAGGGCTACTGTGACATCGACCATACCCTTAGGCAAGCCAGGAAGCGCATTGCCAAACCATTTCGACCACCACTGGTGCAGCCCCGACGAGGCATTCCAGTTAGGATTACTGATGCCCACGCCCCAGTTATTACTCAGGTTGAACTCAAGCTTGAACCTCTCATTGTTCCCAGCGTTTTTCCACAATCCGGTGGCCGCGATGCTGAAATTGAATGTCAGTAGGCCGGTTTCGTCATTGCGGTATAGGTCACTGCTACTGACGGTGTCAGCAGCAATTGTGTGATTGCGTTTCCACCTGACAATCCAGGTCTTGATGTTCTCAACAGTATGGCTTAATGAGAGCTTTGGGGACTTCTTGCTGAGTTCGATTGTCAAAGTCGTATCCTTCAGGTCAAATGTACAGCCATCACAGTGCCTATCGCCGTTGTTGTTCTCCGTGCCATCTGGTGCCCATGCTGGCCAGGTGACTGTTGTAGACGGAGGGTTGGCAGTGATTACCATACCTAGACATGTTCGGTTAAACGCTTTCTTTGCAGTTCAAAGCAAAGGGATCACTACCTTCTGTTCCCGCTCCCTTCGCTTCAACAGCAATGTTCATGTATCCCGATGCAGTCATATGATCCTGTTTACAAATCAAATTAGTTAGTTAGTATTAGAGTTTGGTAGTGAACACTCACCCTAATCAGTTTCACAAAAAATGCATCGTAAGAAATGTAGACTGCAGCATTGCTGTCTTTCGGCAGCGGAAAGATCTCGTTTTGGCCATCCAACGTGAATAATAATGTGGACTGTCTGCTTTGCGATGGCAGCTGATTTGGGGCTCCGGGGTTGTCGGGCTTCTTGTCTGGCATGTGTCCGGCCATATTCAATCCTTCCAAGTTGATCCACATCAGAAGCGCCGAGGACTCAGCGTCGTTTCCGATATATAGCGTCATGACGAATTGCTTCGGAATCAGCTTTGTAGTCGTCGCGTCTGGGGCGGTTGTCGAAACGCCCGTGAGGTGGTACTTGAAGCCCCATCTGGAAATGAAGTCTCGGAGGGCGATGTCGCCTCCACCGATGTTCATAGCAATGATGGGTTCTCCCTTACCGTTCACGAATTGGGCAACACATTTGGGAAGATTGATGGCTACGTGAGACTGGTTGGTCGTTCCGCTTTCCGTTAGGCCGACTTGGTTGCTCGTTGCCGGCTTCATGTCACCGGCTCCGACATCTCCCACAACGTGAATGAAATCGGTCACACACCGCATGTAGCAATCGTCCGGGAAGATCCAGGGATTGGCACCAACTTGATTGACTACCCATGATCCGGAGCATTTGAACAACAGCTGGATTTGCTGTGGATTAGAGCTGAGGAAGGACAGTGTCGGTGTTTCATATTTAATATCGTATTTCTTAATCTTCTTCTCGTGCGTTGCTTCATCTGTTCAATCATAATCAGCGGAAAAATACCGCCACATCAGTATTTGGACACAGACCATCGAAGGGAACCTCGAAAGAGAATAAGTTCCAAGCTGGATTTTTGGAGAGAATTTCAGTGTGTCGGGCTACGAGCATCTCGTTCACTTCTTTTTGGCGATATGCGATCAGCATATCCCAACCCTGAAGCATTTCCTTGCTCTTAAGATCATTGTAGAGCTCATCTGCAGTTTTGAGAGCAGTCATAGTGAGAAAGAGTCTGATAAGAGAATTCAGAATTGTGAAGACCTCTGGTTTCCCATTTGGCGGGATGTTGAGCCTTGCTGATGGTTTTCGTGAGAGCGAACGTATCCGCTTACCTGTGGCCCTCTTGCCGCACTCTAGTCTAGCTAATGCAGGCGCATTACATTGCATCAAGAGCTGAAATGCAATAGACACCAACAAGGATTTTAGAATGATCTAGACGCGCCGCTAATAAGTCCTGTAGCGCTTGCGTGTCGCAAGGACCTATGCAGAGCACGCCTGGACAGATTTGCTCTAGGTGCGCCCACTTATAGACCGAACTTGCATATCATAGCTTCAATCAAAAAGTACCACGACCAAAATACTAAATAAGCTAGGCTGTTTCTAGAACTGCGCCGTACTACCCCATAACTCAATTGTGATCCCCGTCAGATTAGAGAGATCTAGATGAATGTGATAGGAAGCGTCCACGGACAATTTCCATTGCCCGAATGGCCCCATCGGTGCCAGAGTCTCCGTCCTAACGTCAACATTCTGCCCCCGGTAAACACCCGGGAAATTCTGACCTGAAGGTATCTTCGCTTTGGAGGTGTCTTCAATGTTCAGGATGCCTAAAGGATTGTACTCAAAATTGACTGCAACGTGATCGTGCTTGAACGTGAAAATCCTTTCGCTGACTGCAAGGGCAGGATTCGTGGCCTGAGATTCGGTTGAGGGATCAGATACAATCGAACCGTCCTCATACTTCACTATGCGCTCTGTTCCGAGATGCTCGAGTTTTATGCGAAGTTTGGGAGAGCTCGAGTCTACCGTCGCCCCAAACAGCCAAACTCGGATCTGGTCGATTCGCAAATCCCAATATCCGGCAAGAGAATGCTCTGACGCCGTGGTAGCCTTCGTGACAAGAGGAATCTCAAAGAACACCTCGTACAGCCGTTTGGAGTTTGGATCAACAGGCTGAGGGGCGGGCTCGTCAGTTGCGCCAGGGCCAGTTGTGTCGTCCGTTCCCTCACCAGCTGAAGCAGGCCGGTTCTCCGAAGCTGCTATGTCGTCGGGTTTTCCCGAGGATTTCAAAGTGTCCACAATAGTTTGATTGAGCTTGTAGCAATAGCCAAGAGCATTTGTGCCTCGTTCCTCGCGATCCGTCAGTTTCGGAAACTGGTTGTAGATAAGACTGCCATAAGATTTCAGACAGTTGTCGAACGCCTCTATCAGGCCATCTCTATATGCTTTGATGGCAGCAGAGGCAGGAAACTTCTGATACCCATCATACTTGATAGATTCAGGAGTCGTCAGTGCCCAGTACCGGATTGCTTTGGCACCCTTTGTTAATTCCATTAGTATCGAGAGCCTTGCATCGTTGATCAACTTCGTAGCATAGTAGCGCCCTACCGGCAAGTTCTTGTCGATTTGAATGAATTCAGCACCGTATGCTGCCTGTTGTTTTTGATATACCGCTTCCTCCGACTTGAGCTCACCCAGCACTTGGACCGCGGCGTTGTACGTAAAGACAGCATCATTACGACGTTTTATAAGGTCAACGTACCCATCAATTTCTTTATGGATTGCTTTAGCATTTCCGGTCCTGATGGCGTCTTTGTATTTTCGGATGAGGTCTTCAATGTCATCTTTGGCAGCGAGTATTTTGTCGGCACCTGGGTCGTCAACGTCGATAGTAGAGTCCGACCGACTTTTGTAGCCTTCCGTGAGACTTTCAAATTTATTGTCCATCTTCTGGAACTGGTTCACGACATACTTCCTCTCCACAGTACTGCCGTCGAGAGCTTGGAATGACGAAGAGGTCTTTTCGAAGAGCCCGAATGCTTGAACTCCAGCCATTGCAGCATTTGGGCAGAACACAACCATGGTCAAGGCTTCGATCACCGCTTTCGGATCTACTTTCGTGTAATTCTGAATATCCTTTTCGGCGCTTTTGATGAGATTCCCTAGTAGCACGCGCTTTTTCTTGATCGCTGGGCTGTACGCCGCAATGACGCGGGCGGACGAGTTAAGTTCGCCGCGTTCGCCATTAAGGTCTGTGATGCGGCTTCCTAGTACCTTGAGGTGGGAGTCAGTGTCGCTTTTGACTCGCTCGAGCGTCGCTTGCGCAGTTTGACTGCTCGTGCTGAATGCTGGGAGAAGCTTTTCGAGCGCTTCGATGCTCTCGATGTGCCTCTCCACACCCGCGAGATAGAACTGAAATGACCGTCGAGGCGCCCACTCTGGAGGATACCCAAGCATGTCTTGCTTTCCTTGGATTCTGTTAAGGCACAGATCTGCCCTTCTTTTGATGCCTTCCAATTGAACCAGGGGTTTGAACGCAATTCTCAATGAGTGCAAATCATCGTATGCCGCGAAAAGCTTGGACTCGTTATTCCCGCGTTCCAAAAGACGAGGCACGAACGAGAGTCTGCGACTCAAGTGAGTGTACATATCTTTTGCTTTGTCGAACACCCCAGTAGCAGTGGCCTGAAAGTATTGCAAGTCGGCGAGATTGAGCAACATTTGGCATTGCTCCGCATTGGCGATTGGAATCGTTGTGTTGAGGTTGTATCGCGCTCCTGACCGAACCAGAAATGTTGCATTGTGCTGGCCAGATTCTGTGTACTTTTGGCCTGGTTGGCCGACCATTCCAGGTCCATAACCGGTACCTCCTGTTCCAGATGTCCCTGGGTTTTCTGTCAGCTTTGTGTAAAGGCACCATCAGTAGCAAATTGAGAGATCGAGCGGACACACCAGGTTCTGCTTGGTAGGCACTGCTCATCGTGACCGCGGTATTCATTGTTACATTCTCGTATTCTGCTTGGATTGCGTCAAATGCAGTCTTTAAAGTCTGGCTGAGCACCCCAGTCTTGTTCGCATGTACACTTTGAAGTGTTTTAAGCATTATGTCTGCGGTCGTCTGGTACGCGGTCCAAAGTTCCATAGCCTTGCTGGGATCGCTGTTCGTCCGTACGTTAGTGACCACTCTCCGGAAATTGGTGAAGTCATCACTGAAGGTGGTTGTGATGTCCGGAAGGCACTTGCTGCTCATGATTCGGTCAAGAACTTCCTGGATGCTGGCTCGGGCCTCTATGGCAGAGGCACTAAGATCTCCAGGGGCACTGCCGACCGGTGTCCCGGCCAATTCGCGGTTTAGGCTATCGAAACTCTCGTGCCATGTAATGTAAGCTTGAAGTGCCTGTTTGAGTTGGTCTACGGGTTGCTTCTGCACGTCTTGCGAATACTTGTAGTCGATCAAAGCTTGTATTTTGGTTTTCCAGCTGTTCAGATTAGCGATCGAGGCACTCACGTTTAATGTACCCGAAAGAAGCTTACTCGGCGTCTCCAGTAATGCGTACAAGCCCATCCATCATATTGGCGAGTTCCACGAGGGCGTTGCAGGTTTGATCTGAGAAATACACAGCAATTCTTCCTAACATATATGTTCAGTCATACGTCTTGAAAACCGATGAGTGCCAGACTCACCAGGTTTACCTGGGTCACCACCATTGTTACCGCGACCGGAGTTTTTCGAAGCATCGGTATTAGTTGATCCAGTTCCACCGTCGCCTCCGTTGGCGTATATATAAAGCCCAGCGTATTCTGGCTTTCCTGTGGCTGGATTCAATGTCGTAATTGGCACCAAGTTTTCCTCCAGCGTTTCTACATAAAGGTACACACTTCCCCCATTCTGACCGTTAATTTCTAGCTTGGGAGTGGCATTAGGCGCACCGTTTGTACCACTTTTGCCCGAAACATCGACAACTACCATTGAACTTCCCAGAGTGAGCTTGTTGCAGAAAAGCCAGAGAGTACGGCCCGGCAAGGTGACGCTTTCCGCAATGTCAATGTGCTCCGCATACACCATCATCTGCTTCTCTACTGGCCACAAGACATTATGGTCCAAGGTAAATGTACCGGTCTGCAGCACAACCAGATGGCTACTGATTTCTCCAAAGGAAAAGTCGTCGTCCGGGAGTCGGTTCCTCCATGCTTCAAGGGAGGCTGATGTCGTCATGATAGCATACCTAGGAGCTGTATCAATTGCTTGAGTGAGAGAAGGATATGAGAGAGAGCCAGAAGGTGGGAATAACGGCTTACGGATCAAGCGAAGAGGAGGAGCTCGTGGAGCTCCTCTACCTACATCGAAGCTCATGGTGGCCTAGACTTCGGTTGCGGTGAAGCGCACGGAAATCCAGAGCTTTGGTGAGCACCATTGAGGCACACAACTAGATCCATCTACATGAGCTGAACTCTACATGTGCCGCATTCTAAAGCTGAAGAGAGTACGCTAGGGCTGTTAGTAGGTCCGTGCTAACCGTACAAGGTTGCTCTGGCCGCGTGGCGCGTGCTGGTGGTTGTGGAGTGGAGCCGTCGTCACGCCCGCTTGCACAGATGCATCATCTTGAACCTAGACCTATGCAGCTTTCGGCGCGTACAATATCATTTTCAACGAGAAGGGAAAAGGGCGCTGCAGCTGCTCGTTCGGTTAGCGTTGCCAAGTCTAGAAGTACTGTGGCAACCGCATCAACAGGTCGCTAAACCAGAGTCGGAAAAGAGCTAGACAGGGCCACATGCGACAATGGAGGAAGATGGTGGATGATGCTTTATCCTCGCATACCATATGCACGCATAGTGGAGGTGACAGAGGTGCAGCACAGCACAGCTCCCATGCCCGCTTGATACATATTCGGCTACTGAGTGGTTTACTAACCATTTGAACTGTTCCATCCGGATTCTAGATGCCCAAAATTCTGTTCAACCCCTGTGGCCGTGCCCAGGGTTGATAATTTTTCAGCTGAGAAGAGTTTACCAAATTGGGCATGTATCTTCTCGGCTTGATGTCGAACTTACTTCTTTTAGCCGAGTCTGGAATATGCACCTCTGGCGGATGCAGGAATAAGCCAGGAATGCGCCTCTCAGCTCGGACCCAGAACAACGCAATGACAATCAGTACACGCCCGAATGAATCTCGGGCGTGGCCAAATTTGGATATCAAGTGACAAAGAGAGGCTTCTTCATGTCACCCTTGACCTGGCCCGCCGAACCCGAACAAACATTCAAATCGCATCCACGGGCCCAATTGCCAGATTTCCACCAGAAAACGCACCCAGCATGGCTACTGTCACGCTAGATCAGCCAGCTGCCCTAAACGAACCAGCTACTTCCAATGCGACAGCAACTCTTACTTCTACACAGGGTGGCGGGGCCACCTCTGAAGTTCGTGATGCTGTTCTGCTTAAGTTTCTGGCCGACTACAATAAAAAGCCTCTTTCAGCTCTCCGATTAGACTTGAACAAACTCGCTTATGGCGATAGCGATATCACAAAGCAGCCGCAGCAGATGCACGAGATCCTGACCAAGCATGGCTACGGAGATTTGACAGCCGAGGAAATCCAAAAGCTGCTCCAGCCTCCTCGGCCCAATGCAAAGTCAGAGCCGATTACGACTCCAGTCCAGACGAGCCCAGTGCCGACCGAGAAAGCGACATTCAGTCTCACATTGTTCAGCGGATCCTACAATGTGACCACTCCTAACCCCCCAACTTTTGTTCTGTATGTCGAGGATGATTCCGGGGGGATCCGGTTTGACGACAAGTCCAAGTACAGCCCGACGCTGGAAATCGATGGAGTTGGAGATTACTGGGCAACCTGGACGGCGAACGAGCCATCAAACACGCCGAAAATGGAGTACAAGGTCAAATTCACCTCCCAGTGGGACGATAAAGAGGAGAGGATCGACAAATCCTTCCAAGGCTACTTCAAGAAGCCCGGCAAAGAAGGCACAACGCCTTTCAATGGTACGCTCCAAAAGCCGGCTGAGGTTCCCAAAACCGCCAAGTGGTGGGAGGATACGGGCAAGTGGGTTATGTTGGGCGTCCCGCTGGGGTGGACCATCAGCAGCTACCTCTGGACCGTGAAACGTGATAGCGTGAAAACCAAGGCAGCCACCCGACAGTCACAGACGGCGGCGGCCGAGAACAAGTCCAAGGCAGAATGCGCCCTCGCGGAGCGACACATTCAATCCACGAATCCGGCGCGCAAGGAAGCTCTCTTGAGAAGCATTCGCAAAGGAATGGCGGAAACCGTTACCGAGTACGTGAAGAAAAAGTACCCAGGAGAAGACGCAGAGCAACGGGTCGGCAATTTCGAGCCGAAGTTCGAGGGCGCCGATAAAGATCTCGCCAAAAAACTTTCAGACAGACGCAAGACCGAAATCCAGATCTGGATGGAAGCCAATGGTCCGGTGCCGGAGTCGCAAATCCTTGAGGAGATGGTGAAACAAGGCCAGTATTCAAAGAAGGACTTTGAGGCTAGAACGTTCCGTATTCGAGAGCAAGCCTCGCAACTTATCGCTAACAATCTCTCTTCATTCGGCTCCGATTACCAGATGGGCGAGATGCTTGTGGTAGATGCAGTGCGAAGCTATAACTATACCTCTGCGAAAACAAGTGTCGTAAACACGAACGGGAAGATTGCCGCGGCTGATAAACAGCTCGAAGATGTGGCGGCTCTGGACAGAAAGTATAACGAGTACGCCAATAGCCATCCGTTGCAGAAACCGGATAACGAATCAATTGAGGATTTCGAGAAACGAAAAGGGAAGGAGGAGAAAGAGTTCAAGGAGTTAACCGAAGCCAAAACTGCAAGGGAAGAAATAAAGAAGGTAGCAGAACGTGAGAAAAAAGACCTTGAAGAGAAGAGAACTGAACGCGCTAAGTACGAAGAGAAAGCGAAGCACGACATATTCGATGGCGTGGATAAGGTTGACAAGCCGCGAGAGCGCAAGGACGTGATCGAGAAATTTAAGAAGAATCTTGGGTTTCCCTGAGCATTGGACGCGCTCTTTTTGCGAAGAGGTTCTATGCTGGCCGCATGTGTTGTTTCCTCTGGGTCGAGATACAAGACTGAACGTCGCGTAGTCGACAATATGTGGTAGACTTTGTTTGCTTAGGCTACGAATCAATATTCGCATTCGATATGATCTGGAAGCGGCCTCAGGTCGTTTGCCTTAGATGATTTGGTCAATGTCTGTGGCGCTGACGACGTGACGATCTTCGCATGATGCGATATAACTAGGCCTCGCTAGTGCAGCTTGCTCTCCCAAGAGCCAGGAACTGAGCGGCCTTTAAGTTCTCTACCCTAGTTTATTAAATTACAATTAATTGCGCTCTGCGAACACTATAAAACCTAACTCTATTAATTATTATTAGGAATTATAGGATGTTAGTATTTTTATATAAGTTTATAATTATTACTACAGACCTAGTTCGCGTAAGGAAGAGCATAGGTACTCCTAGAATTAGGGCGACCTTATTTAAATTAGGTGATACCCTTCTCAAACTAAACGATGGAGCATACCGAACGACGCTCGAAGTGAAAAAGTTCCAAAGCACCTCACTTGGGACGAAGAGTAGGCCATAGTTATATTCAATTCATTGTTATTGAACCTTAAAAGTTGTTGCATTACATTTGTTCTACTTGTAGTGGCATTCCCATGTGCTAAGATTCGAGCAGAGATTAGCTACCATTGTGTCCTTTTCTTCTTCTTCTTGCTTACGCTCGCGGGCATGAGAGCGTCCCACTCATTCTCAGTCACTGGGGCCATTTCGAAATAAGCACCATCATCCTCAAGTGGCGGAGCAGCTTCGGGTGGCGGAGCTTCATCTAGTAATGATGCGGTCCTTTCTGCTATTAGGTCTTTTGAACTGCAATCTACAATGTCCGTCAGCGTCCGCAAGATTTTAGTGGCCATTGACCCGCACCTGTCGAAGATACTCCATTGGGGTGCTTTTCCTCTAGTTCAGTACCTCCAGATATCATATTTTGGAGGACAGCGGGCTCTAAATGATGTAAGTACGCATGATCCCAGGTAGACCTCCCTAAGATCTGCGTACCTTTAAGAGCCAATGGGTATTCTTGGACGCTTTGCAATGCCCTCAAGCCATCTTCCAAGATTTTGAGCTTCTCATCACACTGTGCTCTCTCTGCCGAAGACTCTTCATCTTCGGATGCCAAAGCGGATACTGTTGTATCGTCGATATCGATTATATCGGCCGGACAGAACAATGTTGGGAGTTTCTGAACAAGGCACGTCTCAACGGCGAGGACGCTGAAGTCATCTATGATCTTCTTCAAAGCTACCTAATCTCGTTTGAGAATTCGCTATGTAAGGGACTTTGATTGTGCTTACCTTGTAGTAGGCCTCCATGAAATCCGTAGCAGTGGAGCTCGCGTAGTTGTTCATGTCTGCCTCGGTCTTGGCAGCAAGCGTGTCGATTAATTGATTGACGTTGATATTGATGTTGACAAAGCCATCGGTAGTGTAGTCCGCGCCAAAGAAGTCCTCTAGAGACTTCTTAATATCATGCGCTCGACGTTTTCCTTGCGCTTTCTGGACATTCTCGGTAAGATAATGATTGTACGTGATGGGATGGCCGGTATCATGGGGTTGGAGAAGTTCCTTCACCTTGTTTCTGAGTTCTATCGTCAAGTCCTCCAATCTGACGAAAATAAACTGTCTCAACAGACCTTCGAGAGTGTAATGATCGGACACATGTGTTAATGCTGTACGCACTACAAAGTACACTGCACGAACAACTATGTTCATATGCTCATTCACCAGTTTCGTCCATGGTTCACGTTGTTCATGGAACAGTTGTCCAACAATGAGTGGGTCGAAGGTTCCGGGCAGTTCCCGGCCTCTGCTCCGTTCCAGAAGTGTTTTGACCTTCGAAATGTAGTCTGAGCGAGTGATCTGAGAATCGTGCGTTTTGAAGCCTTCGTCGATGATAGCACATCTGTGACCTTTCTTGCGCATTACCTCTGCAAAATCCGTCAATGTGTTTTGAAGGACAGCTCTCAGACGCTTTTGGTAGCCCTCAGTATTGGAGGCATCTCCAAAGAAAGGATCCGAGTATTGGCCATCAATCGCAGCCTTGATGAGAGTACTGAATGAATGGCTGACATGCAAGAGATATCGCCGTTGCTCTTGCACAGTAGCCCTGGATGCACCCAATGTGTCCAATCTCTTTGTACAGTCTAGAATTCCATCTTGAATTTGGGTGAGAACGTCAGGTAGTTGTGCTAGAATGTGATCCTTGAGGATCTTGCTAAGTCTCGGCTTCAAACTGTGGACCCCAGTCTGGGCAGGCGGAAGGGATCTCCAAACCCCTGAAGCGAAGAATTGGGCTTCAGCGTTATTACGATCTTGCGCAGATGAGTCTCTTGTGGAATAATCCCTGTTACGAAGAACATGCCATCCAAGCCGGAACTTGACATCCTTATTTTGCGCCAGTTCGATGTAAAATCTTTCGCTATCGGAACCTTCGTCTAGCGTGTCTGGCTTGGTAATTAACCCAAGGGTCCGCACGCCATTTGGGTCAATCGCGCGTGAGTATTTGGTGATTGACTGGTTGTTGAAGTCATTCTTGGCAGACACAACGGCGAGGATGATGCTTCGTGGACTTTTCATGTAGGAGAGAACCAGAGATTTGACTGTTTCACTGTCTGCATCAGATTGGGAACGACTGCCGGCTTGAAACAATCCAGGGAGGTCAACAAGGGTAAGATGCGGTTGCTCGGGCCCTGATAACTCCAATCGAAGGATATCTGAGCTGAAAACCTTGGTGCTATCGTTGATTCCCATGGCATCTTTCGCTGACTCGATGATATCTCCGAGTTGGAGATCTTCTGCTGAGACCGAGACATGGAAGTTCAGCAGCTTTTCCTTTTCCGCCTCCGAGCGTTCCTCTTGAGAACCTGGAACAATGCGGATTTTGATGGGCAAAACTGGGCCGCGCCGGAGAATCAATTCGGTTGCGAATCTGGTACACAGGTTGTCTTTACTCGGGAACCTCACTCCCGAGACCGCTTCAAGAACTGAGCTTTTGCCAGATGATTGTTCGCCACATACGATGATCTCCGGCAAATCGATGTAACGGCTGATTCCATGTGAGCGGAGGTTGTCGACAATGTCCAGAAGATTTCGTGTATCATTGGATTGGAGAGAGATGCTTGCGCTGTGGAGAGAATCGCCTTCCGCCATACTTTTGGAAGTAAACAAAGTTGGCGCCTCGAGCAGGAACGAAAAGTGACTTGACGACGGGGGCGTAGCAGGAGGCAGACAGAGTACTTGACTGAAGCTCTACTTCCTTGCCCCTACTCCGACTGCCCTAGAATTGGTCAATCGCTGCTGTGGTGTAACCTCATCCATCCAACCAATATCAGACACGTACAAACTGCAAACATTTCTGGTGTCATCATTCCAGGCAGGTCAATTCCTGGCACGTCGGGAGAGATTAACGTTACCACAACATCTCCACACTCAAAATCCCCCACAGATTGGCGTTAGCTCAACAGGTAGTCCTAGGTGTAGGCGCTTACCATTTTGATCCTTTAATTTTCACGTCTGAAGACGATGAAGGGAAGGAAGCAGGGAGTTTCTACGCGAAGAAATCAGCAAAACGCAAATCATCTGCGGGTCTAGATAAGTACGAGGGGTCTGGTCTAGGACGTACTATTTTGCCCCGAATATTTGGAGACTGGATCTAGCCATACACTATCGAGACTAAGGTGCTTAATGGAAGATCTCGACGTGATTAAAACGCTTCGAAATAACTTGAAGTCGAGACGCGATCATCACCCAACTCCTGCATACCTTCGTACACGCAATCGGGTCCAGACGACGAACTACTGCAGGGTAGAGGTGCCCCGCTCCAATGTGGACTGACTGTACAACAGACGGTGAAGAAATTCGCAGCCTTGCCTTCCTATACAATGCTAGTCTGTAGGGTACGTGTTTTGACATGTGGGGCAGCAGTTGGAGCGGTGAGGCTGGGGTTGCTGGCATAGCTAAGCGAGCCGCTGCATCATGGTGGACGAAGTGAGCCTCAGCGCATTTGCACCATGGTTATATGCATGTTTTCCCCACCCAAGCAACGCTCATTCTTCCCGAGCCGCATGTGGAGTCTTGAGAGACTCGAAGCATTCTTCTAGCAGTCCAAGCGCCACGAACGGCGCCCCCGAAGCGCTCCAACAGTACCCCTCGACAGCCCTGGTCCACCCACGCTATTACCCTGTCGCTCACGGTCACCTTCACATGTCGGCGTCAATCGTGCCCAAGTACATCGCTACACCACTGCGCATCTAAAGCAACTAGGCGTGTTGAAAGCAGCCAGGAGGAGCGAAGGAGGAGTAACAGAAGAAAGAGACAATGGCTCCACAATCGCTGGATCGCATAGTCAAAGGTGCACCGCCGCCGAACACCAATCTAGACAAGGTCGCAGAGAGCATAGAACAGAGTCCTCCACCGTACTCTGCCTCACTAGCACCTACTACACTACGCTCGAACTCGATTCTCGCCGAGTCACCCTCACACGATGCGAACGACCGTATCTCCTCCCTCAAAGCGCCCCGACTGCCCGTCCTAAGCGATCCAACGTCCCTCCTACCTTCTTCTCCGCCGCAGATATACCTAAACCTACTTATACTAGAAGCGAGTTTGCGAAGTCAGTATCTTACGCTGCGCGCGCGAAGACGACAAAACACATTTGTGCTTACGTTACTTGCGGTATGGATTGGGTTCTGTTTCTACCTGCTCTGGCTACGGCCGCGCGAGGACGGGAAGGGCATTGGAGGCTCTCAATACTGGCTTGTCGACATGCTGCAGAAAGTCGGGTTTATAACAGGCGTTGTCACAGCACTGCTGTTCTGGGCAACCGGGCAGTGGGAGAGGGGTGTAAGATGGCCAAGACGCTGGATCGGTGTTGCGAATCGTGGGTTGAGGGGCATGAATGCGAAGATTGTAGTCATAAGGGGCCCGTGGTGGAGAGAGCTCGTTGAGTGGGCGCATTTCGTCGTCCCCTTCTCCGGTGGGCTTTGGGGCGGTGAGCAGGGAGGCAGTTCATATCATTTCATCAACATTGCTCAGGAGAATAAGCACGCCCTAGACGGGGGGCGCCCAAGGCACAAGATCGTCGAAGATGGCAAGGAGTACGCGGAAGAAGATATTGCGCCCGGAGGCGATTACATCAAATTACTCCTCCTACCTAAGCCCTTCACCCCAGATTTCAGGCAGGAGTGGGAAGTGTACCGCAACGAGTACTGGGCCAACGAGAACGAGCGAAGAGCAGAGCTTCGGAAACGCGTCCGCGCGAGGCAGCGCGAGATTGCGCGCGAAGAAGGAGGATGGCTGTGGTGGACCGGCTGGCGTGGCTGGAAGCGCGCTCGCGGCCTCACAGGCCGCTCAGCAGACGTTGAAAAATCAGGACATCATCACGGGCACGGCCACAGCCATAGTTTATCGCACGCGGGCTCGAGGAAAAGAAGGCCTAGTACGCTGCAAAGCGTGAGGGGAAGAGACGGAAGCCACTCGCGGAGCAGTTCAAGGAGTACAACACCGACACCTGACCTCGATATCGATGGAAGGCTTCGGCCTATGGAAGGTCGCGAACGTCGCTGGAGTAGTAGCACAGCGGGGAGCACTACAACAACGACATCGCGGCAGAATTCTATCCGCTCTGCCTCTGCGAAGCATTCTATCACGCATGGCAATGCACAATCTGCGCGCCAGCTGCAGCCTCCCGCTAGGCCAACCTTGACTGGAAGTAGACCCAGTACACCCAGTGAGGGCAATATTCCCTGGCAGAGTAAGAGGGCTAGTATGCTCAGCAATGCAGAGAGTATGTCCGACAAGGAAGAGGCGGAGGGGTATGCGGGGGATATGGGACCGCCGCCATCTAGACCGCAGGTGAAGAGACTGAGTAGTCGAGAAGGAAGTGGCAGCGGAAGGGCGGAGAGCGCCTAGGTTTCGGCATATTATTTGTACATTTGAGCAGCCATTGCTTTTTTGACGATGGGGCGACTTCTTACATTCTAACGATGTGTTGATGCTACGGATGATACCTTGGTTTTTATATTGTTTTTGGCGTGGTGCATCGCATCTTGTGTTTCCCCATCCGGGGTTGGGATGAGTCGAGATGGATGATGCATTGATGAGGAATCGAGCATGAACGAACATGCACGCAGAAATGAAGTGAACACATTGTTTGAGACTGCAAAGCTTCTTGCCGATCGGATCCCGAACATCTCGTCGTGATCTATCTTAATGATGCACCTTCTCAATCAAGCGACCGGCCGCAGTTTGGAAGGTTATGTCACAACGTTTCATGGGCGAGTGAGTGGGTTGGATTGCATGCAAGTGAGAATGTGAGCCTAGTAGAAAGTCTTCAAGAATCCGCAACGGAATTAGTGAGGCCTAATCGATTGCCTCCGCACTTTTACAAAAGGCATATTCTCTAGCTACTGAAGTTCATTAGCACCCTAGATCCTGACTTTGCAAGTCTTCGTTTGCTGCACTTTCTTGTCGCCTTCGCTCGTCACTTTCAGTGTGACGGTGGCCTCCTTCGCGCATCCTCCGTCACATCCCACTGCAACCTTGACAGTCTTCTGCTTTCCAGCCTGTGCATAGGCCAGTGCATTGGGAACCGCGACCTTCCACCCTTTACCCTCTACCTCCGCCGTCAAACGATAAATGTCTGATCCGAGGTATGCAGAGAGGTCCTGTGGATGTGGGTTGCTGCTCAACTGAGCGGCTTTACCAGTGTTGTTGAGCTCAAACGAGCAGTATGCGCCGTCTGCAGCTGATTTGCCATATCCGCTGACTTCGAGCTTGCCGGAGCCGAGCTCGATGCCGTGCTTAGCAGTAGACGTGGTGTTTGAAGTTGATTTTACACCCACAGTGTATTTCAGTACACCAGCCTTGTCTCTGACCTTTTCAAACACGTAGAAGTGCAGACCGTTTGCGAGGTCTTCGTACTCGTATTGGGAGCCAGAATTCGTGCCCGCGTGGAAGAGCGCATCTACCAATTGGCGGTAGTCACCAATTGACCAGTAGCGTGCTGTGCCGTTCGGAAAATAAAAGTCGACAACATGGGCGTCCTTAGGGTTCGCATCGATAACCCACTGGAATGGTTGGCGATCGATGTTTTTGGTCTTGGAGATCATTACGCCGCTGTCTGGGCAGAAGGAGTCGGCGCCCATGCGATCCACAACCTCCAGGTTGTAGTTGTTGTATCCTCTGCCATCACAGAAAGCGTCAAGGGAGGTGTTGCACCGAGGTGCCAGATCACCCTGCGTACCGAAGCTGATGTTAAAGCCCATGAGGCCATTACCAGGATCAACTGAGCGTGCAGTGAGTTGAGCAATAACAGGGCCGGAGGTGGCAAGTCCTGCGCGGGATACTTGGAGAATAGGAGTGCTGTCAATGAGCCCAATTTGGTGCTTGTCGCGCATCGTGTGCAGAGAGCCCATCGATCCACCTTGCACTGGGGGAATTTGCCAACGGGTGTGAGGGCCGCCGGGACCGTTGAAAGAGCCTCTGTCTAACATACTGAAAGGTCCAGTGTAGGCGCGGCGAGGGGGAATGGAGAAGGGATTATTGTAGTTGTCGCCAATTCCGAGGAGATGTGAGAGTTCGTGGGCGAATGTAGCCATGCCACTCGATTCACCCTGAGTCGAAGAGCCGTCACCCGCGTTAGGCCAGATTGTCGATGCAGAGGCCCAGGAAGTCCAATCTACGTATCGTGTGTTCGCATAATTAGGAAGCGTGCTATTAGCTGGTGGACCGAATGCGTCTGGTACGTCTTCTTTGCTAAGGAAGCGCATCTCGCCGAACTCCTGCCAGGTCGAGGATTCGTCTTGGCCTGCGGATAAGATGAAGGCAAGCTCGTATTTGTCTGCCGTCTCGTTGCCAACATCCGCGCGCCAGGCACCAAGGGCGTCTGTTCGGAGATCCACCGAGCATGGTGGGCCTTGTGGACATGCGCCTTCGTTGAAGCCGCCGTCTTCATCATCGACGCCGTATTGATAGCTTTTTGATGGCATGCGGTACGGCCCAAAAACGGTGAGGTCGACGCCGTACTTTCCGAACGAGTCTCCCATCCAGTACTCGTGCAGCGTATGCCCTTCGTTCAGATCGTTTGGCTTATTGAGCAGGTCATGATAGAACTTGGGGACATCCTCTCGCTTCAAACCAGATGCAAGTGGCTGCGGATTACCAAAAATGTCAGATTTGGCGGCCAGAGTGACGACGAAAGGCGAGTCTGGATAATCCACAGTCACCATGGCGATGTTGAAGTTGCGAGAACGGCCTTTACGTGCAGGATCGCTCCAGGTCGTGCTCGGGGGAGCGACAAAGTCGGACCATGTCATGTTATCTGGATTAACCCAGTGTTGAGGGTCGATTGGTGCGAATGGATTCGAAGGGGTCTGTCTAGGCGTAATGGCTGGAACGGCCGACGCCATAGTGAACATGGTGCCCGCGAGGGCGACCATTGAGGCCACTGAGCGCCTTTGAATTGGCATGGTCGCGTCAAATCGCAGCCTCTCTCGAGTTGGGGTGGGGGAGCGGAGGTGGAGGAGGGCAGATGGCAGAGAGTGAAGGTGAGAAGATTAAGCAATTTGAGCAAGTCTTATAATAAGAGAGTCGTACCTGTATCCCTGCCAACGGCTCTTACAGGGTTTAATTTTACCCATATGCGTATCCCCATAGCCAAGAGGTAGTGGGCGATTCTTACTGGGCTGCCTCAAACAGCAAAGCGTCAGCTTGGCACCGTTGGGCACCTGCTGCATCTAGCTTGATGGATCAACCGCTAAGATAACAGTGAAGCCGGGTTAGTGGGACGCCTATGGAACGCCTGGGTGATCTCGACGATATGACGTCGAGGTGAGTATCTTGATGTATCTGTCTGTCTGTAGTGTCGACGACAGACTGACCTGTCCCCAAGGATAACCCAGGCATCTCGCATCCCTTGTCTACCATCACCACTGGACCCATCGGCGAGACTGTCGGTCGGTCGAATGTCTTCGGAAATGACCAAACCATTCGAATGTCCGTCGAGCAGCCGATGCGTCTTTGGGTTTCCCTAGAGATGCGCACTGGCCATGAGGGGATGGTGGCACTAAATCGGCCCTTGCTCGCCTTGAACCACCGCGGAACCTTATAATAAACGACAAGGCAAATGATGGGTGTACAGGCTTCTGCAATGACTACAATGACGAGACGCCTGCATGCCACGATACTACCGGCTGCTGGCTAACCCATACACAGGCAGCGCTAGCTCTCTGACTGTGCGACACGCAGTTGCTGCCTAGCAGCCTCGCAATCCTCGTAATCTTGACTATTTCAGGCCAGCAGTGTCGTATCTGTCCTCACCCATTTTGACGTTAACTACCCATCTGTTACCAACATCGGTTCTTGCAAAACGCAAGCACAATGTCTGCGCACAAAGCATACCCAGGCTCGTGCCACTGCGGCGACGTCAAGTACCAGATCCGCCTCAAATTTCCCCCAATCATGGAACGTGGCGGCGAGTCCATCCGAATTTACAAATGCAATTGTACAACTTGCCAAAAAATGGGTCAGTGACGCTTGTACGGATTGCAGGTGAGATTTACTGACTTTACCCAACGTTGAGGCTACTTCCACTGCCGCCCTATCAATCCGGCCGAGGACTTTATTCTCACGTCTCCCGCAACCATTGAGGAACTAGGCGACTATAGAACGTTTTCAAAGAAGCAAGGGTGGTATTTCTGCAAAAAGTGTGGCGTTCGGATTGTGGGCTTGGGCGGCGATTGGGAGCGAGCGGAGTTGGACGTGGAGCATTGGGCAGGTGCGAAGGAGGAAGCGGACCCAGGAAAGTTGCAGCAGGTATGGAAAACAAAGGCGACAACGATCACGACTAAGGAGAACGGAAAAGATGAGACGAAGCCATTTCACTACCTGAGCGTCAATGCCGTCACCCTCGAGCCAGGCGAAGATATTGATCTGAAGAAATGGCACGAAAACGGCTGGATCTTCTATGTCGAGAACTTGGACAAGAAGAATGGCACGCAATTACGCGTGAGCGAACCGTTCAAAGGAGGCATGTACTGAGAACGGGCAATATAACCGAATAGTCTCAGTTGTGTAATTGGGTGTGAGTAACATAACAGTTGCATTTTTGGTACGAACTAAGTCTTGGACCACAGTGTTGTCAAAGCTAATCACCCTATCGAAAACGAGAAACATGGCTACACCGCGAACATCCGTCCATTTCCAAATTCAGAGTCGACGTGGTTTGAGAGATCACAGTATCACAATGCTTGAGTTCATGTCTCCTTGTATAACAAATTTCAGCTTGCGCATTACTAGAGACTACGCATCCTTCCCAGAAACCAACTCAGCTTATAACAGTTTTAGTATTCGATCTTGTAACTTCTCTCCTAGGATTAGTGCGTTGCGCATTTTTGTATATTCTCCTAAGATACTCAGAAGAAGCCGTCCTTGCGCGGACCCCGACGCCAATCTGCCATCTGGTAGGACTCACGCGCCTGGTTCCGAGCCCCAGTATCTTGCTCGCTATCTATTGGTGCCGAGTTTTCAGAATACCTTGACGGATGGCGAGCGCGCTGCACCTCCTGATCAGCCCGGTTGACCACCTCTAGAGCGCGACGCATCAAAGACTCTGTAGTCGAGTCGCGCTGCATAGCATGCTCTGCAGCCTGGTACTCTTGCGTGGAAAGACCTGCTTCGGCTTGACGGATGTTGTCACTCCTATTCGGAGCGCCCCGAACGTCGCGCATGTACGCAGTGTACGTAGAACGTCGTGGTGCGCTATCTCGTTTGAAGCGAACAGGCTGTAGCAATTCCGGGTCCGTGTGGTCACTAAACGCACGCGGTCCGTTGACTTGAGTAGGTTGAGAGTAGCAGCTCGGCGAGGGTGGATCGTACAGACGGTTGTCGCCAGGCTCGCAGTGGACCTGCGGAGGCTGAGATGGGACTTCTACTGTGAAGAAGCGATCAGCCGATGCTCGAGTTTGGACTGGACGTACAGCGTTGTTCTTGCCCTTACTCATCAACTTACGCATCAACTTACGTTTCATCTTATGTAGGGTCTCTTTTGTTCCATTCCAAAACATCGCCCTTTGCCTGCCTTGAAGATCATGCAGTGCTGCGGCCAGCGATGGATCAATGGTACCCATCTCCAGATCTACAGTGGATCCAGACAACGAGCCATTGTTTAGCACCTCGCGTCTCCTAACCATATCCGTGGTGATATGTTTCAGCTCCCCACGCTCCCACTTGTCGACCTGCTCCTGCATGTTTTTGCACTTGGGACACTTGCCCTTGCAGCACAAGTAGATCAGGTATCCGATGAGGGTGAAGAGAAGGAAAGCCATGATACTCAGTGCGACGAGCATCATGATGGCAAACGTATCGTTGAACTTGGGATTGGGGTGGAGGTCTTCTGGCTCAGCGAATTCAGATGGCAGTGGTGGGATACCAGTCTGTGAAGCGGTGCTCGTTAGCAATGAAGTAACGAATGCAGAAGACGAGGTGTAAGCCATTGAAATCGAGGTTGACGAGATGCTTAGATGGGCTGAGGTGCTTGCCATATCCATAGTCGATGAGAGGGTGGGCAGAACAGAGGATCGGGTAGCTAAGAAGGCAGTCGGAGTGACAGTAACATAACTCGCTTCAGTGACAATCACAAGTGATGGTCTCAGAAAATCGGCCATGTCCAAGGGTTCAAACTGGCTTCTTTGGCTTTGTTGAATGCTGTTTGTTGTGCTTTGTTTTCTCTCTCTGTTGTTGTATGGATTTGATGATGACTGGGTGAAGAATGGAAGAAACAAGATGTATGCGAGCGAACGCGTGTATTGTGATGGCATAACATGTGTTGAGAAAAGAGCGTGAAAGCACAATGCGTGCTCATCGCGTGTTGCTAAAGATGATCGTTCCCACAATGCTGGTGAGAAATTGTCGTGTGCATTATCCTAACACAATGTCTTCTGGACTCTATACTAAAACAACAGCGGCAAAAAACTGTGAAATTATTGTGTAGTCATGTTGAGGGGTTGCGGAATAACTAAACAATAGTGCACGTTAAACAAGTATATTTATAATGTAAGTTGATTCCTCAAAAAGCACTAGCACTATGGAGACAAGCTGACTTTAGGAAGTCCATACTAACCATCAGTCTCATGATGGCTACCATTCAAATCTGATCCAAGACGAGTCTGCCGAGAGTTATGAACCTTGACAGGCATAGCAGGCATCATACGCATAGGAATCGCGTCTCCAACAGACAAAGTTGTGCCCACAGTACACATCGTACTAATTGTGGCCTGGCTGTGACGCAAGTTCTGCTGTGACAGTTCATCAAAGAACCTGAGGGAGGCCCTTTGCCTTTCAACCGCCTGCTCTTTTACCACCTTGACCTCCTGGCACCGCCTGTACCACGGGATAACGTATATCTTGATCCAAAGGCAGGCAATGACTAGACATACAATGCCAATGATACTTCCAGCGATGATACCGCTACTGTGTTTAGAGGTAGTAGATAGCCCCGGAGCAGGAATAATTGAAGGGGTGGACTGACCACGCAGAGTGAGCGTTGGGAGAATGGGCATACTGAAGGTAGTCTATGTGCTTCGCTTACTAAGTTGTTTGATACAAAGGTTGCCTCAATGCAAGGGGATAATATAGAAACTTAGGATACATGAACAGCATTGAATCATTGTGTAAGAAAGCAATCTGCACAATCTCGCTTCTTTTTCGCATTTTAGACCTACAATGTAGATCAAAGACGAACCTCTCGGTTTTCAGTCATATCGCTTGCTTGTCCGCGCGACCTAGGAGACATCGACTTGATGTCATTCATCAATAGCCTGCTCGAGACCGCGAGCGGTGCGGAAGAGAGACGGGGCAATAGCGTCGCGGATGGCAGCGTCACGCAGATCCTCGTAGCGATGGCGGAGCATGTGGAATCGAGAGTCGAACTGATGATGAGTGCCGGCTGTGCGGCGCGCTGGATCGGTGCCGTACGTACCCTGGACGATAACGTGAGAGTTGTTATGATATGGGGGATGATTCTGTATTCATAGGTTCTACCGAACTAAACTATCCGCTGAGTGAATGATACAGCCTATCCCGGCACGGATCATCCGTCCTTGGCGGCATTCACGTAACAAGAGTTGCAAGTGGCTTTGGTTGCAGTAGAATCAATGTGATCACAAACATCTCCGCACTCAAAGTACTTTCACAGAAACCAGCGATAGCTCAACTAGGGCGCAGGCGCTTTGAAAATCCTCTTAGAGGAGAATCGCTGTATAGGCGAAATATGGATTCATTTCATGACAGCAATACAAATCTTTCTCCCCTCTACTGCGTTTTATCAGCTTGACAACCGTAAGCTACTTGGGACACCACGGAGTTCTTTAAGACGATTAGAGCATGTTTACAACTATTTAAAAGGATACGAAGTACACCTCGCTCCCTTATCGTGATACGTTGGCTACCGCGAACTACTCTTGTGATATTCAAACTAGTCCATTATACTGTGAGATATCACGTACTTGTTTACATTTACTCTAAATCTACATCCTCCTCGTCCCATCCCAACGCTTCCATATCAGGCGGACCAGACCGCTCAGAAACAAACAGTCCATCTGACGTAACTGAACTACGCGAGACGGAGCGTCGACTAGGTACTGCTTGATCCTGCGGCCCGGCAGTGTCTTCCCGCTCGTACGTCGGACTGGATAATCTGTCTAGCTCCAGACTACTCTCAGATAAGGGCTGGCGGCGACGACGAGAACCAGTGACTGTCTGGCGTGAACCAGTGCGCAGTAAAGACCCCTGAGCAGCTTTATTGGGCTGTGCTATCGAGGGTTCGCGTCGTCCAGCATCGGCTGTTGGAGTCTGTACAGTCCCGCCTGGCTGTTGGAAGCCTGGAAACGGTCGTGCACTTCTAGCAGTTGGAGTTCGCTGACGAAAAGGACTAGGCGGGTAAGGAATGAAGACGTATGGACCGGAAAAATACCGTCTCCTTCCATAATGCTCATATGGCATTGGCGAGCAGAGAGAGTACACAGTCGTCGAGTCACTGTTGAAATGACGACGTGGACCTTGTTGGGTGATGTCGCTTGGAGTGTTACTGGCAGTACGCTGATGATTATCAGAGCGCGGACGCCGCTCATTGCTTGCTTGAAGTTCATCACTACGACGAGGTGGACGTGAACCTAATCGTGGCAGCATGGGGTCGGGACTGAATGGCGGATAGCCCATCGGTGGAACAGCGAATGGCGGCGGATACGATAGAGGGTGGATGGGTGGCATAGACCGACCTCCATAACCTCCAAAAGGCTGATATCGCATCATATCAGACCTAGGCGGAGGAGCTGTTGTATTTCTCTGAGCACCTGGAAGGAGCGGCGGCGGTGGCATCGACCCTCGTACTGGGGCTCTACTACCTCTCCTATCACCAGGCCTTGCAGGCGTCGTCCTAACTCGTCCAGTTCTGATATCCTGCTCTTCGACCCGTTGCGCACTTCGCCTCTCAGCAAAATGCGCAAAGAATTCAATCCGGCCACCGACAAAGTACTCGCCAGCATCCCACTCTTCCTCGTTCAGCAGCTGTAGTGGCGAACACGGCGTATTTTGTTGAAAGTGAAAGTGCAACGAGACGCGGCGTGCATCGCGGTGGAAACTAGCGTATGTCCGCTGGACCAGGTCACCGAAAGAGCGGAGTTCAGATGCGGCAAGGCGAAAGGCGCGGTCCTTGGTGGTAAAGTCACGGATCCCGATTATCGTGTTTAAGTCGGCCATTGTATATAGCGTTGGGTTTTCGATAGCAGAGAACTGGGGAGGTGATGGTGCTAGTAAGGAAGAGAGTGGAAGGGGGATTTGAGCGGGAAAGCCGTGTACGGGCGGTTGTTTGTGGGATATATAGAAGAAGCGAGGTGGAAGGAGCGAGGTGGGAGAAGCGAGGTGGAAGGAGCGAGGTGGAAGAGGAGAGAGTGAAAATGCGAGCGCGAGCAGAAATAAGAGCGCGCGCGCGGCTTGTGCGGGATGTCACTTGATAGGGCCCGATGCGAAGCGCAGGAGTGAAAGGAAGATGGCTGACCATACCCAAACCAATAGAGATTTTTCACGCCGACCTCGTGGTTCTCACACTCTGAGATTTTCAATATACCGCCCTCTTATTTCTCTGCATCTTTATACCCCACCTCACTTCGCCTTCACATCCGCCTGCTCCTCCTTCCCCAGTCTAACTTTCTCCAGAATCCTATCCTTGATGACCTTGGACCGCTTGTGCACAGGAATCGCCGCAAACTCTTCCAGATAGTACACGCTACTCAAATGAATCTGCGCCCTCCCCTTAGCACAAGGCTTAAAGGAATCCTCTCCTGACACAAAAGCAATGAGGGATCCGATAGTAGTCAACATGGCACGGATGACGAGCGGGTCCCCGGGATCAGCTGCTTTGGCGTGACCGATGATGATGCTCTCTTCTTTGCATTTGTGGGAGAGTTGCGTGTCGTTGAGCAGTTTGCTATTGTGGTCAGGATTGAGGTTGGTTTGGCTGGCAACGGACGTGGCTATCTGCTGTGTCATCCTATTCTTTTCCTGAAGTCTGAGTCGGATGGCCTTTAGTCTTATTTCGTCGCTAGCTATCATTTTGAGTTCCCTCGTGTATTCAATCGATTTCATTGAAATCAGAACGTCTCCTTTTGTCTTTGCACACTTTGCGTATTTGCTTGGAACGTATGCAACTACCGCCCCGGCGTTTGTTAGTATCGCCCGGGCGACTGGCCTCAGATATGGGTCGCGGCAGGAGCGCGGATGAGCCCGGCCAATGATGATTCCAGTCTCGATATGTCGGCTGCTGCTGGAGTCGTCTATGGTTATGACTTCGCGGGAGTCGGAGTGAGCGCCCGCGCCAAAGCCATCTGCAGTAGCAGCTGCGGGCGTAAACGTGGTGGCAGTGCTGACGGTGGCGGTCTTGCTCTCCGAGTTAACGCTGAGAGGAGCATCGGGTGAAAGCACCACTGGAAATGGTGGATACGGGTCCTCTTCCCACACGCTGTAGCTTTCGTCCACATCCTCCTTCTTTGTGTCCCCCTAACACGTGTTAGCACCTCTTTTCTGCAATGCCCAGAAGGCAACCTACTCTAGCATGACAACCTTCTGTGCCGTAAAATCCCCAATGCCATGCTCCATCGTCCTCCTTGTTGGCTTTGTAGGGATACACTGCACCAGCGCCTTCCATCATCCGCCTGTCCACTTGTTCAAAGTGTGCATATAATAGCAGTATACCCTCGGCCAAGAACTCTTTCTCAAAATAGCCTCCCGCATCCCACTCGCTGGGGCTGACCTGTCCTTCGCAGGTGTGGTTGTCGAAGTACAGGTGTGCGTTGTAGCGTTCCCATGGCTTGCTGAAGGTGTTATGGATGCTCTCAAGTAATTCCTGTTAGTGATCAGTGCTGAGAGGTGAAGGCGAGGGATAGTAGACGCACCCAGTAGTTGCGAGCTCGGCGTGTGGAGATGCGGTAGCTGGTGTCTAAACCTTCAAATTCGCGAACGAGAATCATTGGTAGTAGCTTCATTACGGTGTATGTTCGTATAAAGGGTGACGTTGTGGAGGATGTTGAGTTTAGGCGAGGTGAGAAAGTAAAGGGTGACGTTGGTGTTTGCGATAGTAGTAAAAGACCTCATTGGGGTAACCTGTACGCTTTCTATGCATTCAAGTCTGAGACGGAAGGTGTAGAAGTAGACAGAGTCGGACGGTTAACGTGTTGCGAAGTAATGTTGCGGCATTATAAGACTGTATTCATAAAACCGTGACCAGAGGGTTGTAGCATGTCAAACAGTGCTCGCTAGACAACTTGACTGCATATCGCGCGAAAGGGGTATATTAACTTGTGACAAGGAAAAAGCACCTAAAAGCCATGGACGTCGAATCGAGATCAAACATCCACCATATCATCATCGCCAGCGAGTCTCTGGCCATTCTCCTTGCCTCTTGTTTTGGCCTTCTTCTTGTTCTCGTTCCCAGCCGCCGCGGTACTAACTGCTCGTTTCCTCCTTCCCGCCTTTGCACTCGTAGTGGAGGAAGGCGTGCCTTCTCGGTCTTTTGCCAGATCCTCGGGCAAGAACTTTCCGCTGCCGGCAGCTTCTCGGACTAGTGAAGCGAAGAAGTCCTGAACAGCAAGCTGGCCTGCGCTTGCATCTTGAGAACTTGCTCCTTCGTCCGAAAGCGATGTGTCTGCAAGCGTGTCTGGTGCAGAAAGCTTTAGGCGGTCGGTGCCAAGGTGGAAGCTGTTGCATGCTATCTTTGAGATTTGGACTTTAGGGTGGGATATGTCGAGGGCAAGGTGATGTTTCAGATAGGTGGAAAGAGCGGCTGTAAAGGGCCTGTCTTGGGCGTTTTTCATGAGCTTGCCCCGACTGACGAAGCCGGGCACGTCGGCACCTGCAATGGTAATTTCAATGTGTTTGAGGCGCGTTGTAACCGTAGGAAATGACAGCTGGACGTGCAGTTGGCGCACTACGTCCTGGATTGTCTGCGTGGAAGTGCTCGCTGAGAGACGGTTGAAGTAGGTTTCAAGACTTGATGTGATGAAGCGTGGCGACAACCGCAGCGGTGCAACGTGGGCGTCGAAGCTTGTTCTCAGGTACTGCAGGAATATGTCGCGCACCGGTCCTGGCATCTTAACGAGCAGCAGGGGCAGCGAGGTGAAGCCGTCTGGCGAGGAGGTGGAAGCGGGGTCTCGCAGCAGGAGGGCATTGTAGGCCTGCTTCTCGTACTCGAGCGTCACCTCGAGACCGCGCGCTCGATCCGCGGTAGGGGTGGAGGTGTGGTGTGATGTGTCTGGATCTACAGACTGGCGATGGCGGTCAATCCAGGCATCCTCATCCCCGATCAAGTCCCAGCTGCACTCTTCCAGCGGGCCCAGCTTGGCCGTGTCCTCTGCGCCCGCGAAGTCGACCTGTACCCCGCGCACATGGTCGCCCTTGAGCTGCTCCTTGAGCCGTTTTGCGTGCGTGTGGAGGGCGCCGTCGTTGAGGAGGGGGGACGCGCCATGGTGCAGCGGCGAGAGGCGGTACAGGCTGTAGGTCCTGTTGTAGAGGGGGTAGGGAGGGATGTCGGCCATGGGGGGTGGTAGTGGTGGTGGTGGTGTGTATGGAGGGACAGGACAGGTCGCGTAACTGTCGTCTGAACCGAGACAGCAATTGATTGCCAATGTAATGCGACGCGACGACACCCCCAAGCGCGTTCAGCGATCAATGCAGCGGTCAATGTCGATACTTCACAGGCGTGTCTCCATAGATGACGCAGGCGTCCACGGCGACGGCGCACGGACGCGGTTGCATGCCACTCATGTCTCTAGTGCCCCGCTAAAGAGGGCCATCGAGAAACTTCTGTACACTTCTGCTGCTCCAAGCAAAGAGGCAGCCTTGTACGTAAAAAAAAAAGTCGACAGCTCCTACATACACCTCCGCCGTGCGCGCCTTCCACACCGTCCTTCACGACTGATCCACGAATACCTCGCCGACAGCGTACACTCTCTCGCTCTCCATCTTTTCACTTTACTGATACCCCGCTACCGCCGCTTAAACCATGTCTGTTGTGGGTGTAGATCTGGGGACGCTCAGCAGCAAAATTGCCGTTGCGCGCAACCGTGGCGTCGACGTGGTGAGTATTCGCATGCTGCTCTCTGTTGTTGATTCACTCTGGGCTGTACTGACTGTCTCTTAGATCGCAAATGAGGTCTCCAACCGCGCGACACCGTAAGCACCCGCCCCCTCACCGCTACCCATCCCATATCTATACCCATTTCTATACCCATATCCATACCCATATCCAGGCGCAGGCAGGCTAACACGCTCCAGGTCACTAGTTGGCTTCGGCCCCAAGAGCAGATATCTCGGTGAGACTGCAAAGAACCAGGAAGTCTCCAACCTCAAGAACACCGTCTCCTCCTTCGTCCGCCTCGCCGGCCGCTCCCTCAGCGACCCCGATGTCCAGATTGAACAGGAGTTCGTCTCCGCCCCGCTCATCGACATTGGCGGCCAGGTCGGCGCCGAGGTCACGTATCTGGGCAAGAAGGAGCAGTTCACGGCTACCCAGATCACAGCCATGTACCTCACCCGCATGAAGCAGACGGCCTCGGTCGAGCTGAAGCTGCCCGTCTCAGACATTGTCCTCAGCTGCCCGGTGTGGTACACCGATGCCCAGCGCAGGGCCCTCCTCGACGCTGCCGACGTTGCTGGCCTCACATGCCTGCGGCTGATCAACGACAACACCGCAGTCGCCCTCGGATACGGCATCACCAAGCTTGACCTGCCCGCCCCCGAGGAGAAGCCCAGGAGAGTCGTCTTTGTCAACATCGGCCACAGCAACTACACGGCCACCGTTGTCGAGTTCAAAAAGGGCGAGCTGGCCGTCAAGTCGAGCGCCTGGGACCGTCACTTTGGCGGCCGCTACATCGACAAGGCCCTCGTCGAGCACTTTGCCGCAGAATTCAAGGACAAGTACAAGATCAACGTCATGGAGAACGGCAAGGCCCGCTTCCGCCTGGCGGCTGGTGTCGAGAAGCTCAAGAAGATCCTCTCCGCCAACAACATGGCGCCTCTCAACGTCGAGTCCATCATGAACGATGTCGATGTACGGGGCATGCTCAAGCGTGAGGAGCTCGAGACGCTGATGCAGCCGCTGATCGACCGCGCCACCGCACCCATCGAGCAGGCCCTCGCCGAAGCCAAGCTCACGCCTGCCGACATCGACGCCATCGAGATGGTCGGTGGCTGCACCCGTGTCCCCGCCCTCAAGACCAAAATTCAGGAGTACTTTGGCGGCAAGACTCTCTCTTTCACACTCAACCAGGACGAGGCTGTCGCCCGTGGCTGTGCTTTCAGCTGCGCCATCCTCTCCCCCGTTTTCCGTGTCCGTGACTTCTCCGTCCACGACATGGTTAACTACCCTGTCGAGTTCACATGGGAGAAATCCGAGGATATTCCGGATGAGGATACCAACCTGACCGTCTTTAACAAGGGCAATGTCATGCCATCCACCAAGATTCTAACCTTTTACCGGAAACACCCCTTCGACCTCGAGGCTCGGTACGCCAAGCCTGAGCAGCTGCCAGGCAAGATGAACCCCTGGATTGGTCGCTTCTCCGTCAAGGGCGTAAAGGAAGACCCCAAGGGCGATTTCATGATCTGCAAGCTCAAGGCTCGCTTGAATGTACACGGTATACTCAACGTGGAGTCGGGATACTACGTGGAAGAGACCGAGGTCGAGGAGCCTATCCCCGAGCCTCCGCAAGAGGATAAGAAAGAGGGTGATGTACGTTCTTCCACTTCTTCCCACCATCAAAGTAACGGTCGGCTAAGCCCTTCGGAGCCCGCTGCGAAACGATACAAGCCCAGCCCTGAATCTGTAACTGCGCGTCCTGCTTCTGCGACTGTTACAACCGAGCTAACATGTGACACGCAGGCAATGGACGTAGACAAGGATGCGCCCAAGGAGCCCCCCAAGATGCGCAAGGTCAAGAAGCAGCAAAGGAAGGGTGACCTACCGCTGTCAGCAGGCACCGCAGCCCTTGATGAGGCCAGCAAACAAGCCGCGGCAGAGCGCGAGAACGCCATGATCATGGAGGACAAGCTCGTAGCCGACACCGAGAACGAGAAGAACAACCTTGAGAGCTTCATCTACGAGCTCAAGGACAAGATTCTCGACGTGTACGCCGAATTCGCGAGCGACGACGAGAAGGCGAAGCTGAACGCCAAGCTTGAGGTCATCGAGGTAAGCATCGTGCACTGCTGTATTTCTGTCTATATCTTACTAACACTGTACAGGACTGGCTATACGAGGATGGTGAGGATGCCTCCAAAGCACAGTACGTCTCCAAGAAGGAGGAAATCCGCTCGATTGCTGGACCCATTATTCAGCGCTACAACGATAAGGTCGAAGGCGAGCGACAAGCTGTTCTCGAGAAGCAACAAAAAGAGCACGCAGCGAAGCAGGCTGATCTTGAGCGTGCTAAGCGGGAAGCAGAGGCGAAGAAGCAGGCAGAGGCTCCCGCAGAGGAAAAGGATACCGAAATGACCGATGCTGAGACAACCAAGCCGGACGGCGTTGAGGAGGCATCTTAGAAAGCTTGTGTACAATGCATGATGGTGCGTACCGGATAGATGGTAACCACTGAGTGGTTCAAGGCGCCATGGAATGAATTGTGTAAAAGCATGGAGGAGCGTGGTATAAATGGCTTCGTTTGGGCTTGGTCAAGCTCTTTTTTCTTCATGCGATGATGATAATGCGATGCTTACGATAGAATAGTCCATAGATAAATGAACCTTGGGATTAAAGACATCTACTTCAACTTCCATCTACTCGGAAAGGATTCTCGGAATATGATCAACCGATCTACGGAACGACTCATGCAGGTACGTTCCGGACCTTATATCCGAAGATCTGCAACGTCATCTAGCGATCAACGGGAGTACAACCGGTGATACTTGAGAGGACGAGTCAAGCTGGGTCTTTGGGAATCGTTACACCCAAGGGCACCATGATGTTGTGCTTGCGACATTTGTGCTGACATCACCATAACAAACTAACAGTGCAATAAATAATCAAAAAGCGATACACTATAGCGTTCTAGAATAACACATCGAGAAAGTGTGACTTCAAGGCCGCAATCATGCATCTATTACTCACCTCGACGCTCGCGCTGCTCACTACCACCGCCGCACAAGTCACTTACCAGAACCTTACAGGGACGATTCTCCGTACGGATTCAGGCGCATACGGCCCAGAGATTGAAGAATACCATTATTACTACGAGCAATGGCCGATTGGACTCGCCATTTCGTCGACCGGTCGCTTCTTTGTATCGTACACTAGAGGCGATTATAGCTTCACTGTTGGCGAAGCCGTGAACAAGACAGCCGAGATTCCCTATCCAAGTGCAGACCTCAACCTTCCCGTCAGCCAACTCAACACATCTTGGAACGGAATCCAATTCGGCAGCGGAAACAGCACTGGCTTCATCTCCGTACAAGCGCTCTACATAACACCCGATAATCCCCGACGGCCAGAAACATTATGGCTCGTAGACACCGGCCGGCCAACCATCATGGGCGAAGGCGGTTCGCCAGTAATGCGTACGGCCCCTCCTCAACATAATCTTGCAAATGAGAAAGAAAACTTGAGACTAACAGACTCCGCAACCCAGCCTACGCACAACCCGGCGGCCCCAAGATAATCGGCATAAACCTCTCCACCAACTCCATCTACGCAACTTACACTTTTCCCTCCACCGTCCACTACCCAGACAGCTACATGAACGACATCCGCTTCGACCTGCGCCCGCACATAACTCCCTCGGGCCAAGGAATCGCGTACATAGTAGACAGCAGCGACGAAGGGCGCCCCGGCTTCATCCTACTCGACCTAGGCACAGGTGAATCCTGGCGCCGACTAACACAGCATGCCTCCGTGCTGCGTGGGAACCGCGACGTGCCGAGTTACCAAGGCCACCCGTTCTACCAGCGCAGCATCGGAACACCGATTCAAACGCTACGCGAGGGCTTGGATGGATTGCAGCTTTCGCCCGATGGGGAGGTGTTGTATTACAGTCCGCTTACGAGTAATACGCTATATTCGATTCCGACGGCTAAGCTCCGCGCGAGAGATACTAGTCCGCTGGCTGAGATGGCGGCGCAAAGCGCCGTGTCGGATCTGGGGGGAAGGGGCGGGAATGCAAATGGGTTCGAGGGCGATTCGAATGGGTTGGTGTATCAGTTGATGCCGGAGCATAATGCGGTTTACTACTATGATCCGGTTACGCTGCTGAATTATGCTTTTGTAAGGGACCCGCGGATTATTTGGCCCGATGGCGCGAGTATTGGGGAGGATGGGTGGCTGTATTTGAATATCAATCAGTTGCCGCACCAACCGAACTGGAACTATGGATATGATGGGAGGAAGCTTCCGGGTGCGGTGTTGAGGGTCCGGCTGCCTGGAGGTGGGAAGAAGATCACCGGACTGGCATGATGGGTGGGCGGCTAGGAGTCAATCACGCAGCTAGAGACGACGAAGAACCGTACAAGTTTAAATGCAATGCAATGCAATATGCTTTCTCCCATACACCTCTCTCTCTCTCTCTCTCTCTCTCTCTCCATGACTCCTGAAGTCTCAATCTCTAAAATGCTGATTCGAACAGGATACTATACAAACAAACCAATTTCTCTTGCCAGATCCCCTGAACGTACAAATGCAAGAGGTCTCGACGCAACCAGCAACAGACCCACAGAAAGTAAAAAAATGCTAGAGTGCTTTATCGCCCCGATCGACTAGCTCTCCGTTGGATCGGACTCCCAACAAAACTTCCTCTAGGACTTCTCGTGATAGGCGTCATAAGCGGCACCTTGTCTGTACCCAATTTAATCTCAAAGATGCGCATAACGAGCGCTTGCACGGAACGCTGGACATCGGGCGCCATTTCTGTACCAAGCAAGCCCACAACCAGCGGCGCAAAAATATCGACATTCTTCTCAAACTCTGAAGTTGGGAAGCCGGTGTATCCGTCAAGTACTGTGACAACCACAGGCCGCCAAGTGACAATATTACGCTGTTGTGTCTCCTCGTCGAGTTCAATGTAAGATGCAATGATATCCTCGCAGAGAGGTATGAGTGCGGCTTCCGTGTCGGCGCGAGAAGCCGCACGGTCGGTAGATGTATCGTGGTACATCCTAAACAATATACTCACATATACAGACGCAGATCCCGATTCCTGTTTGAGGAGGTTGGGCGGCTGCTTCATGAAGCCTTCGCGGAAGAGACGGGATCGCAGGTCTCGGTCTGCATTGAAGCGCTTGGCGAAGTGATAAGATTTCTTGAGGACGGCCATAAGACGTAAAAGTTCGCCCGAGGGGATCTTCTCGTAGACGGCTTCGTTTGTGAAGAGTTCTTGAACGGTTTCGATCATGAGGAGTTGGAGGACGCATTTTGTGATGATCTGATTGAAGAAGCGGCGGCGTGCGGCAGTAACAACAATAGGTGGTTGTTGGAGGTCTTGGTTGTCCGGACGATAGTCTTCGAGTTCCTGGGTTTGCCGCTTGGGGAGGGGTGAGGGCATGTCGGCGCCGACAACACTGGAAGAGTCCGACGTGATAAGGGACGGTCGTCGAGGATTTCCAAGACCGTTGATACCAAGTGCATTGTCGGGCTTCGGTTCCTGCGAGGGAGTTTGCAATGGAAGCTCGCCCGGTACTTCTGCCGTCGGTGTCTGGACTTCTGAAGTGTCATATATACCATTCATCGGCGTCTGCTGAGATGACGAGCCACTTGTGGCAGCAGAGAAGAGTGCCGTCGCTTCAGTTCGTTGAAAGAGCTCCACAAATGCTTTGACGATTTGACTCCAGTGTTTCGGCTGGAACTTCTGCACGTTTTGCAGAATAAGCTGTTGGAGGCAGTTGCTACCAATCCGTGCCAGGGTATCGTTCTCCTGACAGATACACAGCGCAAGAAGATCGAGGAAACGGTCGAGCATATATTCGAGCGATTCGAAGAAGTGGGTAAACAGTTTGACCATGTTCCGTAGAGCCTGAATCATGGTTGTTGAGAGCCAGACTGACAGTTCCTCGTGATTCAGCACTTTCGTCATCTCGGAATTCGACTTCAGAACCATGAAGATGGGATATAGCAGCTGCCGCCAAAGCATGTCCCAGAACTCTCGCGGGAAGTCACCACCGTAGCTTATGAGGGTATCAAACAAATAGCTCAAGGCTCTTGACCGCACCTCAAGGTCTTCACCAGTCATCAGGACGTCATGGAAGGCGAACAAGACAGGGAACCAGAACTGTTCTTCCTGAGTTTGGCGGCTAGGTTGTTTTGGTATTGTCGAGCCCTTGTCCGACTCTTTGAGGTACCCGGCGCGGGCAGATAGCGAGCACTCTGGCGTCCTGAGCATCTTGGGTACCGATGACTTCAGTAACTCGATTGCTTGTAACGACTTCTTCTGGAACTTGTAATTTTTGGAGAACTGGGTAAGACACACGATGAGGTCTGCGAACGCTGCTTGTGAAATGACTACACCAAACCGGGTGTTGTACACTTGCGTCACGTTCTCAAACGCGAGATTGACAATTGCCTCTGCTCGTTGTTAGCGGAGGAATACAAGTTGAGTAGAGTTGATCGAACACTCACCATATGGTTCTTTGGCGGCCACGGTGAAGACGCCGAACATGGTTTTCCAGCCAGACCGGATATTCTCTCCTCGCGCCTGTATCATTTGAATTAAGCAACGCAGCACCATGTCCTTTACAGAGACAACACTGGCGTTGCTGATGATGTGCTCAAACGGCTTGAGGAAGTCCTTTTGAAACTTGAAACCTGGAAGCTCCTCTATCTCCATGAACTTCATCGACAATTGGCGCAACGAGTTGAGGGCAAAGTAGACGACATTGGTATTAGTATGGCAGCCCACCTCATTGAAGTGAGTCCCCAGTACTTGCCAGATGTTGGTCCACTCGAAACGTACACGGGTCATGTTGTAGCCACTGATTTCGACCAACTTCTGCAGACTGTAAGTTCGGGGAGACTCGCTCTGGCCTGATGACTGGATTTCTTGCCAGCTGACTTGGGTAAGCGCTTTGACGAAGTCGACAATAGCTTCCCCAGACAGATTTGCACTGTTGGTGAAAATGCGGTCCACTCCTCTGACAATTTCTGCTGATCTGCTTTCTTCAGCCACATCAGCCTGGAAGTGGTTACTATTGGCATTGGAGGTCGGACGCCGACGATTACTCGGAGCATTGAGGGATTTGCGAGACTGTGGTGTACTCGCGTTCGACTTGAGAACGTCGGGCACGGAGCGTTCATCTATACCTGCCGAGATGAGCTGGAAGCGATCAAGCTGAGAAACAGATGTGAGTATTTCGCGCCAGGATTCGCGCAGTAGATTTCCTTCGGTATGTGCGATCTCAATCAGTGTTTTCAGAGCCTCCATGTTTCTTGTCGTCATCTCGCTCAGGTTATAGAGGTTAGTGAATCGCGCAAGGAAGGAAACAAAGGCCTGGCGGGAGCTCTCGAGGTCGAAGAGGCATGAGATTCTTATTGACAACTTGATGCCTTCGATGCACAGTCGCACGATCTCAATATTGTGGTCTTGGGCCTGACTGGAGAGAGCGGTCAGGATTGACATCCATGTAACTTCAAACATAGGCCCGACGTGTTTGGACGACGACGCGGGAATGAACTTGGAGACTGGCATTGTGGTTGCTGTTCTTCTCTGCGCTCGCAAAAGCTGCTTGTACAACTGTTCGGTCTTGTTGGCCATTGCTTCAGATGCCTGTACGATTGCCTCCCGCTGCAGGTCTCGTGCGCCGCCCGTAAGAGCCTGACCGATGCTTGCGAGCCCAGTGGTGGGCTGCTGATTGATCAAACCCTTGTCTGCAGCAGCCTCCTGCTCGGTAGTCACGACGATCTCGTTTTGATTAATCTCGTCAAAAATGCGTCGGAGATAGTCTTCGGGCAGATCTGCATTGTCATTGATGCCCCGATTGTTTTTGATGAAGTCTTCTGGCGTCATGCGAGGACCTTTCATCTTTTTACTGTGTTGATCCACGTTCAGCAGGATGACGGAGTAACACAGAATATAAGCGGTATCGGCATTGGCAAATGCATTAGGATTGCCAGTGATGTATCGTTCGGCGAATTTGAGCATGAAGCGATCGATTTTCTGGGCCTCACCGGGTAACCGAAAGCTTTGCAGAAACTGGCGCAAAGCATCCGTGAAACGAGTTTTTGTGAAGTCCATCAAGTCCACAAATGCATGCATGATGGCAATATTCGCAGCGTCGCCCTCGCCGAGAAACTCTCCAAGTGCCGCCTTTTCCAGTTGATCATTATTAAGGAGAAATCGAGCGATATCTTCAGGCGAGTCTGAAGCGATGAACCCTTCGGCGATCAGTGTCTTTATTCCACGCTTTGGTTTATAATTGAACTGGCGACACGCATTCGTGAGCGCTATCTTTCTCTGCTTTGCTTTCTCTAGCTGACCGTAATCATCCTCAGCTAAAGGTGTGACGGTGCCAGATTCCACGCCCACGTTTGGTGATTCGGAGATGGTACGCGTGTCCGTTGAGATTCGGAGATCGTCAAACGAAGGTCGCAAGTCCGGGTTGTTTGGCTTGTCGCTCTCCGGAAGAGACTGTTGAGCCCAATTGACAAGTGATCGTAGGATTCCCACAAGCGCCTCTAGCGATTCTTGCCTCATCGCGTATTCCTGAGGATACGCATGCTCCGTGTCATGAGGCGTATTCATGGATACCGTCGTCAGCGATGGGGGCAATGTTCCCCGGCTTTGCCAATCCACCTGCCTCGCTTGTTTCTCTCGCTGGTCTTGGTATGCTTGTTGTTGCATGGGTGTGATTGCGACTGGATTACTTGTTTTTTTCGAGAGATGTTCAACAACACGCTGGTACATGTTGTCAAGCGCAGTGCGGTCGCAATCGTAGTTCAAATAGATTTCGACCAGTGCTCGAGGGTCTGCAGCCAATCTTCCGAATATGATTAAGATGTATTGCTTCTGGAACGCAGGGGCACTTCGTTTGTCTAGCGTTGCGAGATAAATCTCCTTTAAGAACACTTCCACCTCTTTCTTGAGCGAGATGCGCAGATATTTGAGCATCTGCCAGAAGATTTCGCAAGCTACTTCGAACACGTGCTTGATCGAACTCGCCCCATTTCGACTTAAGCTCAAACAGAGGTACTGTTTGACTGCTTGAATAAAACTGGTTGGCTCATCACCACTGCCACTCCGGATGGTGGCATACGGCGACACGAAGACAGCAATGTTGTTGAAAAGTATGGTGTGGATCATGTGCAACGAAAGAAGTTTCGATCTCATGCCTTGCGATCGTACATCTTGGGCATGGTCGACTGACAGGCCTTTGGTACTCAATCGACACATGGCTCTGAAAACAAGGTATGCATCTTTGACGAAGATCTCGTCTTCTTCCTCTTCTTCCGTGTGCTCATGACCGACGTTCGCAGCCGGGGAGGTGTCGTGTCCTGACACGTGTCTCGAGCCGGCTTTGCCCTTGATGCGAGTCACTAGGGTTGGGGCGTTGTCGTGTATTCGGTCATCGTTGAAGCTCATGTTATTTTCGAAACTTTGCAAAGTGATCTTGGGGCCAATGTGCATATCGACGGCTTTGTCACTGGGTTCGGCTGGCTCGGTGTCCTGGTCGTCTTCTTCCTCTTTCTCTCCGCCGACCTCGGAGCCATCGACACCTTGTGTACTACCTTCTACCTCTTCTCGCACGCTCTCTTCCGATTGATCCTTCTCATCCAGTGACACTCGCGACAGATTGAGCCGCGCCTCCTTAATGGCAAGTCGTCCCTTGACCCGCTCAAAAACAGTGCCAACCATTTGGGTCAGGGCGCCCTGCGCTACCTGTTGGTTGGCACTCGACTTTGATAGGAGGAAGATGTTGTACGTCAATCGCACAGCCTTGAGCAATCCTGCTCCATGTACGACAATCTTGTCGTTCAAAATGGCGGCTAGGAGTGACTTGACAATCTGCAGTTGTATGTCTGGGTGTGTTGCCTCGCCCTGGAAGCAGTCGCAGATTGTGTCTATAGCTCGCTCTATCAACGGCGGTATCTCGCTTTGGTCGGCTTGTGGTTCGGAAGGGACGGAAAAGTAGGAGTAGCTGATTAGCTTGCCGATGCAGTCGAGCGCTGTGATGGAGACGGGGACATTGGGCGCCTCTGAGGCGAGCTGGAGCGGTTCGAAGAGGATCTCGGGGTTGATGCGCGCCGGGTCACCCTCCTGCTTGATCGCAGTCAACGCTGCTTGGGTAGCATCTCCGAGCTTCTTATTCTTCCTCGCATCTTTGGAAGCTGCGATTGTCTCCAGCGCAGCAACCACGAATACGAGAGAGGATCGAGTCGACGGTTTTGTGGCTGTGGTCGCGACTGTTGACTGCGAGTCTGTTCGTGATCGGACTCCGATGGGTATACGGTGATCGAACATTTGCTCCGAGGAGCGCGGCGCGTCTGTTCCATTGGGGACATTCAGCGTGGGAGTTGAGGGCGCAGGTGTGGGTTGTTCCGGCTGTTCCTGTGGTGTCTGTGGTGCTGGAGAGTCGTCTTCCGCTTCCTGCTCAGACGCTGTATCCACACCATCAATCTTTTCGTCTGTTACGGGCGATATGGGTTCGTCGTGTTCGTCCATGAGCGCAGGCTTCTCCAAATCCTCTGGGGCGGCTCGCGGGGCCTCGGGGTCGGCCATGGTGGTCGCTGGCTATGCACAAAGTGGCTCTCCGGAACTTTCTGGGAGCACCTTCCTTTCAGCGGCGGGCGGGGCCTTCCTCAGCAACCATTGCGGAAGGAGCAGCACAAGAGGGAGGAGCGGGAGGGCGAGGTGAGACTGTAACGTCGCACACTTCAAGTGGGAGCGAGGAAGTATTCAAGTAGCCCGTACTATGAGATGGCAAAGTGTCTTTCTTGCGCATCAGCCTCCCTGCTTCGTAACTAGGTAATTAAAAGAGGTTACGTATCCAGGGCCCATTCTAAGCTACTGTGGCTTTAGCACACATGTGGCTTGCGCTCCCTCGTCGGCGCGCGCCAGGCCCGTCGGGGAATGGACAACCTTCTTGGCTGTCCGCCGCCGGATCTCCAACAGCTGGAAGCTGGGCTAAACTTTTTCTGTTGAGCGACAACACTCTCATCATCTCCTCCCATATCCGCCTCGCGCTCGAGCGTCTACTGCTCTCTCTGTTCCCGTAGCCCGTCGACCTCGATCCCTCGACGTGCTTCTCTCCCGTACCTGTCCGCGCAGGCTAAAAATTCAGCGCACGCTTCGGCATCCCGACACAATGCCGGCCACGACGACTCTTCTGTCCCGCGCTGGGAGCCAATGGAGCTCGAGGGGATCGATTGCGCTGCGAGGTGCTCTGGCGACGCCACGATGCTCGCAATTCGCTGCGTAGGTCGCCGTGGGATACCCCTCAAGGCAGCTTTGCTAACACATGGCGATACAGACGCACCCCAGCTCTTGCTGCCCTCTCCCGATACTACGCCTCCAAGTGTGAGCAGCTTCTTCCTTTGCTCTACAAGCAAATCATCCGTCAGTGTCTGCTGTGCTAATGGATTCAACTCGCAGCCTACCCATCACACACCGTTATCAACATGCCCGCCCTCTCCCCAACCATGACCGCTGGAAACATTGGCGCATGGCAGAAGAAGGCTGGCGACTCGATAGCGCCTGGCGATGTGCTCGTTGAGATCGAGACCGACAAGGCACAGATGGACTTTGAGTTCCAGGAGGAGGGCACCATCGCCAAGCTTCTCCGCGATGCTGGCGCGAAGGATGTTGCAGTCGGCAGCGTAAGCCACCCTTCAGCTTGAGCGAATAACTTTATGCCATTGAATAGAGAACTAAATGCTGACTATCTGTAGCCAATCGCAGTCATGGTCGAGGAGGGCGAGGATGTGTCCGCATTCGAGGCCTTCTCCATTGAAGATGCCGGCGGCGACAAGAAGTCTGATACTCCCCCCAAGAAGGACGAGGCCAGCGAGGCCCCCAAATCTGAATCCAAGTCGGCTCCGCCAAAGGAGGAGTCCGCTCCTGCTGCCATCGAGTCCGAATCCACCGGCGACCGCCTAGAGACGGTACTCCAGCGCCTCCCCGCCGTGTCACCCGCAGTCAAGAAACTCGCGCTCGAGAAGGGTGTCCCCATCGGCTCCATCAAGGGCACTGGCAAGGGTGGAAAGATCACAAAGGAGGACATTGAGAAGTACAAGCCCGCTGGAGGAGCTCCCGCTGCTGGTGGCGCTGCTGGCGCCCCTACATACCAGGACGTCGAGGCTACCAGCATGCGCAAGGTCATTGCCGCCCGTCTCACCGAGAGCATGCAGCAGAACCCCCACTACTTCGTTGCCTCCAACATCTCCGTCTCCAAGCTGCTCAAGCTCCGCGAAGCGCTCAATGCCTCAGCCGATGGCAAGTACAAGCTCTCGGTCAACGATCTCCTGGTCAAGGCTCTTGCCGTGGCCGCCCGCAACGTCCCCGCCGCCAACTCCTCGTGGCGTGAGGAGAGCGGAAAGGTCGTCATTCGCCAGCACAATGTTGTTGACGTCTCCGTCGCCGTCTCCACCCCCGTTGGTCTCATGACCCCGATCGTGAAGAACGTCAACGGTCTTGGCCTCCAGTCCATCTCATCACAGATCAAGGACCTCGGCAAGCGCGCAAGAGACGGCAAGCTGAAGCCCGAGGAGTACCAGGGCGGAACCATCACCATCTCCAACATGGGCATGAACCCCGCTGTCGAGCGCTTCACTGCTGTCATCAACCCCCCGCAAGCTACCATTGTTGCTATCGGCACAACAAAGAAGATCGCGGTACCAGGCGAACTTACAGAGGACGGCACACCGAGCGTCGAGTGGGACGACCAGATTGTCATCACTGGTAGCTTTGACCACAAGGTTGTTGATGGTGCTGTTGGCGGCGAGTTCATGAAGGAGTTGAAGAAGGCCATTGAGAACCCTCTGGAGCTTCTGCTATAATGTGATGGTAGCTTGGGTGCATTTAGGATGAAAGTGTAACTTTATGTTTGGGCCAGTTGAAGCGGCGAGTTTTTAAGGAGAGAAGATCTCTTGTACAGTGAATTGCACCCTTCTTCTATTCCCTTGATCATCTTGTTCGTTCTCACTGCATAGTAGCTACTTGTATGAAAATATCTTTCCTTCTTTGTTTCGTGCTGCGGCCGTCGTACCTCTACTCCCCTCTTTTTTTCAAAGACTTCTCTACTGTTTACACCCAGTTCTTACCGTGAACATCTGGAGAACCTCGCACCCCAAATATGCATCAGGAGATATGCGCTTTCAAATTAACTCTCGGATACCGTGGACAATAGCCGAGCCGTATATGCAGGTAGTATATGGGAACCAAACTCAGGCTCACGATAATGCCCCACAATGAGCTATTTGGGGAAACGGTGTACGAGATGCAGATATGGGTGGCTTACTACTATATTTGCAGCTATAAGGGCTTTGATATTGCGAGAGTTCCGCGTTTGCCTCGCTCCACCTTTCATCTTACACGTATGCTTACTCTTCAACATGCTTTCAAAGGCTTTGATAACGCTGCTCCTTGCTGCTAGAGTAGTCACGCTGAATTTTGACTGGGAGCGTGATCAAGTCATCGCCTCTGCAATAGCAAACGCTATCTCCCACGAAGGATGCAAAATCACCCCAGGTGATGACAATTGGCCCAGCGAGGAGAAATGGGCATCATTTAACGAGACGTTGGGTGGAGCATTGCTCAAACCAAAACCATTGGCTAGTTTATGTTATGCTGGAGACGGGTACAATGCAGAGAAGTGCGAGCAACTAAGGGACAGTTGGGCGGGTATGAATCTACAGTAAGTCCACGAAGCCACATGTATCTTTTGGAAGTAAACAGTGAAAAGGTATCTTGCTAACACAGTAAAGTTCCGACGACCCAACAAGTGTCATGTCTCAATGGGCGTCTGGTAATACATGCGTACCGACATCTCATCCAAACTCTACTTGCGCACAAGGGGGTTACCCAGTTTACGTAGTCAAAGCTACTAGCATTCGACACATCCAGCTCGCTGTGGATTTCGCAAGAAACAACCACATTCGCCTTGTGATCAAGAATTCAGGTCACGACTTTAACGGCAAGTCTATCGGTGGCCATTCTCTGAGTGTATGGACGCATCATCTTAAAGATCTTGTTTACCATGCGAATTACTCATCGCCTACTGGGTCTTATACTGGACGAGCTGTCGCGTATGCCGCTGGAGTGCAAGCGTTTGAGGGTTCGGCATTGATGAGAAGAAATAATATGACATTCATCATCGCAGGCGGAACTACGGTGGGGATTGCGGGTGGCTTCCTCCAGGGAGGGGGACATAGTAGCTATACCAGCTATTATGGGTTGGCGGCGGATCAAGTTTTAGCGATTACGGCAGTTACAGCTGATGGTAAGGTGGTAGAGGCACATGAAGGGCAAAACGAGGATCTATTCTGGGCGTTCAGGGGAGGTGGTGGTGGTATGCACCTACATTTCCTTCAACCTCCTGAACATATTTGATGACTTGGTATCGTAGGAACGTTCGGCATCATCACATCGGTCGTCGTCAAAGCCTTCCCGAACACACCACTCGTCTCTGGAAGTATTCGCTTCTCTACAACGCCGACACGAGGAACAAATGCCACCGCCATCTCACATGAAACCTTCTGGGCCGGTATGAAGGCGTATTGGGAGTTTGGCACCGCAATCTGCGATGCTGGCGGCCTGGGATACAACTTCATATATCCGAACAGCAGTATCACAGGGCTTACCTTTACTGTGTCTATATCGCTGCCAAAGAAGACATTAGCAGAGTATCGAAGCTTCGTCCGTCCACTACTGGAGAAGCTGAACTCGCTCGGTATCGCCCTCCCCGTTCCCACACTGAAACAGTCTTTCGTAGCAGCCTTCGACAACGAACCACCATTCCCTCTTTCCCGACGCACACTCGGCGACATAACAGGCCACACCCTCATAGCATCCCGCCTCTTCCCCCGTTCGTCCTTCTCTTCTAATTCCTCCCTCCACGCCTCACACCTCGCAATCAGACACCTCGTTGAAGACGGCGACCTCACATTCCACGGTATGAGCTACTCCCCTACGCTCGCCGTCGCAGGCAATCCCTCCAATGCTGTGAATCCCGCATTCCGTAATACAGTGCTACACGCGCAGGGCTACGAGAACGGTGCGCACTGGGACGGCAAAGCCCCCGTACGAACGAAGAGGGAACTAACAGAGAGGCATGAGAGGTTGCAGGGGTATATGCAGGTTTGGAGAGATGCTACAGTGGGAGGAGGCAGTTATATCAACGAAGGGGATGCGCAGGATTGGACGTGGAAGGAGGCGTTCTTTGGGAATAACTACCCGAAACTGGCGCAGATTAAGAGGAAGTACGATCCTGAAGGTGTGTTCTGGGCTGTGGGGGCTGTTGGAAGCGATGAGTGGGAGGTTAGGGACTTGGATGGGAAGAGGAGGGAGGGGATAGTCACACAAGATGGGAAACTATGTAGGGCTGGGGGAGCGTGATGATGTTGGGAATTGGTGGGAAGGGATCGAAAGTATAGCTGATAATGTTAGCATTAGAAACAACTCACTATTGTCTCTATGAAACATTATGAGAGATTTAACAGCGGCTCTGTGAGGCAAGCCATTCCACTAGCGCAACCCACTTTTCCTTTTTTTTTAGAGAAAGAGCAACCCACTTTGTTGACCAATAGAAGATCGGGGTTTCCGACACGGCGAATAGGAAGGGAAGGAACATCCCCACTCAAGTAAGCGAGTGCATGCCATGCATGGACCGTCCCTGTTTCGTTTGAACATGTTTTCGCGAACGCCAACATCGGTACCATCAACTGGTACAACAATTCTTTCTCTTAATAGTGCACATTGTAGCAAAACGTCAAGCTCAACGAACATTGAAGTAAATAGGGCTGGGTCCGGGTCACCGCGTATTCAACCATGCCTAGCATCATAATAGACGCCTCTCTCCAACTGAAGAAACACCGGGAAAGAGCTGTAACTACGCGAAAGGTGAAGACCGGGTGTAAGACTTGCAAGTGGGTTACCTTTACACCTACTGAAGGCATTCACGCATACTTACTACATGCAGAATTCGCCGAGTAAAATGCGATGAAGGCAGACCCGCTTGCTCTCGATGTCAAAAGACTGGCAGGGTATGTGATGGTTACGGTATCTGGGGTGGCGGCGGAAACAGCTACGCTGAACGATATGGTTCGACAAAGTCACCCTCGCCAGCCATCATCATCGACAGAGGCCTTACTCGACCCATTGGTATTGAGGAGCTAAGGTACTTACAATGGTATTGTATGAAGGCTAGACACACGGTATCTGGCTGGTTTGGAAATCCATTCTGGGCTAAGATCGTATTACCCGCGACTTCGACGGAGCCTGCCATACTTCATGCCGTTATTGCCTTAAGCGCTGCACACCTGTGCGAATTTCGTCACGGGAAAGCACCTAATATGCGGGAACGATTCGTGCTGCAACAATATAGCAAGGCCATCCATCTACTACAGTCGGTCCTTCTTCGCTATGACAAGGCATCTCTCACGGTTGTGCTTATCGTTTGCCAAATCTTCACGTTCTTGGATTTCCTCAGAGGAAAGCCTAACATGGCTGTGACACATCTGCAAAACGGACTGCGGTTGCTGAAAGATTTACATTCAGGAGACGAAAGCAGCATACATCAGAGAGTGCTCGTGCTCAGACCTTCGTCGCAGGCCAAGGTCATTGACAGAGACATTATACGGAGCTTTGCCAATGTGCACGTACAGGCAAATCTGTTTGGTGGAAACCACTTGGAAGAGACCAATTTATTACTGCAACCGTTGGAAGCCGAAATGCCGTATCCCACGTTTTTCGATGTTGAAGAAGCAAAAGACTGCTTAGACAAGCTGCTCCACGGCATATTGCTCGTCTCACGGCGGTTCCAAGAAGCTCGAGATGGAAACGAAGGTGACTGGTCGGGGTTGATCTTTGCTCAGGAAAAAGCAATGCTTCTTCTCACAACCTGGCTCAAGACATACCACCAGACTACTCCCGACATTGAGCGTCGAAAACCTCTAAACGGAAAACTAATACATGACTCGTTGGCCTTTGGAGGTCAGACGTTGCCATCACATCGGCCACTGACTCGGGAGCCTCTGGCCTACAGGCTACTTCTCAACTACCACGCCATGGCAACGATCATGTGCAAAAGTCTACAGCCAGAATCTGAAACAAGATACGAGGCTCACACTTCCGACTTCATATCGATCCTCGAGGGGTCCGTAGAGATGTTCAGGGGCTATTTGCTAGCCAGATCGATACCCAACAACGTTTTATTGACCGGCTCCGTTAACGAATTTGGCTTTATACCACCACTCTACTACACTGCCATCAAATGCCGCAATCACCGCATCCGACTGCACGCAATCAGATTGCTGATGCAGATACCACATAAAGAAGGTGTTTGGGACTCGGTCATTACCGTGCACGTCGCAAGAAAGGTCATGAGGCTGGAAGAGGCAGGCATGAACCCCAAGGTGAACGTCGATGATGATGAGTTCAGCATCCTACAGGTTCCGAACATAGATAGTCTTACATCCCCCAAGTTGTCAGAGTCAAGCCTCTTTCATGATGTGCAAGTCGATGTGCAGGATGAGAATCCGAACAGCGCCGTGCTCACTGGCAAACGATGGCGCGCCGATGGGAGTCTGGATGTTGTGCGGTGTCACTTCGACGGTACGCGCTGGAGCGATATCAGGTGATTGTATCGGGGAAAAACGGAAGTCTACATGAAAATGAGCGCGCGATGGGAGGTAACCTGAAACTTACTCGAAACCAGTGTGTATTGGAGACTCAGGGTGTAGTGAACGAACTCTGCACCGTAATAGGGACACCTGGAAGGTCTGAATACCTGCAGCGGTCCTCAACTCCGACCAACCCGGCCAGACAATCTCAAATCTCATGGCCCCCGAGTTCTCTTTGCGTCCACTCCCAAAGCTTCGTCTCAAACGCCTCGTCCCTCGACAAATCGCTACCTCGACCCAAGACACCCACAGGCTCATAGTATCTCCCACTCTGCACGTCCAGCGCGGTAGCAGCCCACAGCCCATTTTTCACCCCTTCCTCAACCGGAACACAGACCTTGGGTGCGATCTCCCTGGCTAGGTATTCGATCTCCGGTCCCCCGCCCTCGGCGCCCTTGTTAAAGAGCTGAGTCGCAACCTCGCCTGGGTGTATGGCGATAGTGATGAGCTGGGGAAAGTGCTTTGCGAATTGGCGGGCGTATACCACGTTTGCGAGCTTGGACTGCGTGTACTTTGATACGCCGGAGATGTCAAGCTGAGACGACTTTAAAGTCTCGAAGGAAATACCACCTTCTGGTAGGGCATTGCGGTGCCCGGCCGAGCTGAGGGAGATGACACGCGGCGGTGAGCCCGTTATCTCGGCCGTGTGCAAGAGGAGAGGTGTAAGGAGCTTAAGCAGAAGCGCATGGCCGATGTGATTCGTGCCAAACTGCTTCTCGTAGCCTTCCTGCGTGACGCCTGGGTGTCCGCCCATCTACCGTGCAGTCAGTCAGTCAACTCGATCGATCTATCACCACGAAATAGTTTAGGCGACTGCCCATCGAACTTACCATCCCAGCGCTCAACATCAACACGTCCAACCTCCCAGCACTACTACTGCCCTTCACCACCTTCCCGGCCGCCTGCTTCACGGACTCGAAGCTCGCCAAGTCCAATTCAACGCACCGCACATCCACGTCCGGTTCCACCGCGTTTATCTCAACTACAGCATCCTCCCCAGAGTGGGCGTTGCGGGCTGCAACCCATATCTGGGCTGGACTATGCCTAGCTAGCTCGAGGGCGGTTTGCTTCCCGATACCTGTGTTCGCACCGGTGATGAGAATTACTTTACCAGTGAGAGACGGGATGTCTGTCGCGGGGTTGAAGGCGTAGGGTCCTTTGAGATTGAGGGTAGGCGGTATATCGCTTGCGATAGATGAAGGCGGGGTAGTCATACTTGGTGAGTAGAGGGTGATTTTGCAGTAAAGTTTGAAGACTGAGTGCTTTGATAAGAAATGAATGAAGAATATTAAAAGGAAGATCCTGACTGGCTTTTATACATCGTTAGAGCGGCATAGTTGGATATACTACACACACTTTTGTCCGACCGAGTGACTCTAGAAAATTTCATAATGGATGTGAGTGCACTCCAGAGTAACGGGGTTGTGACGCCCTTATAAGGCCACTAGAAGTCAGGTGTCTCACAGCGAAAGACTTACGAATTAGCAAATCAGAAAGCAGAGAATCCGAGCAGCTATTTGAGGCTAATGCGGGTGACGTGCTAGTATGGACTTCGACGTCAAATGATGCTAGTAGGCCAAAGATGTCCCCTTATCCAATCGCAATACACGCTCTGCGAATCAATCAATAAGTACACGTTTGTTTAGTTCAGCAAAGCAAGGATAGAAACGACGGATTTTTGTAAAGCCTTGATTCTATTCACCGCCACTGAGCTGTCATACAAAGACTAGCGACGATGTTAGATACATGAACAAATGTTATCCATAAACTTTTCCAGAGAACTCCCATCCGGCCAGGCAAAATGGTATCTTAGGGACCACCATAGAGATAAAGAGTAGTAACGCCACCCATGCAATGAGATCTAACACATAGATAGATAGTAGTGAAGAGCTCCGCCAAAAAGGGAGTAATCTTAAGCCACAGAGATGATTGGAGATGTAGAGTCCCGTGGGTCTACTCGTCCTGCTTGATCTCAACCTTGCTCTTCTTGGGCTCCTCTGCGCGGTCGTCATCGCCAGCCTTGCGCTTGTTGGACGCAGCGATCTCAGCGTCGGTGCGAGAATCCTTGACGACAGGCACGCCATAGGCATCGCGCTCAATCTCCTTGGGCTCCTTCTTGTCGTCATTGCGGCTGCGGTCGTCCTTGCCATTCTGGTATCGGTCACGGCGGGTATTCCAGTCGCGGCTGTCGACGGAACCGCTACGGTCGCGGCGCCTACGGGGAGAGCGGGAGCGGTTGCGGTCGCGACGATCGTTGCCTCCACGACCACCACGTCCTCCGCGCCCACGTCCACGGCCCCCAGCGCGACCGCGGTCGCCGCCCCTGCCACGGCCGCCGCCGTTCTCTTCGCGGCGTTTCTGGCGCTGTTCGAACTTCTCTTGTTCCGTGAGCTCCCAATCAGGCTTAATGTCCTTCTCTTTGCACTTCATCTCGACGTATTCCTTCTTGCCCATAGTGGTCAGCTCGTTGTCGTTGAACTTGGGTTTGGGGTCAAGGGCGAGGAACTGCTTCTGCGACTCTTCGGTGTCGAACTCGACAAAGACGCTGCCCTTCCAGGTGTTGTCGGCTTCGCGGCGCTTGCGGACCATGACAGCGCCATAGGGGCGGAAGTACTGCTCTAGCGCAATCTGGCCGGCATCCTCTTCGTTGCCAAAGCCCTTGACATAGGCGCTGGTCTCGAGGCTGTTGGACGAAGCGTTCTTTAGTCGGTAAAAGAGGTCTGAGGTCGTGGGCGGCTTCTCGGCATCACTCTCTTTGGCTTCGACGACGAGGGGCTCCTTGCGCTTGATAGCCTCGTTTCCGGGCTGACTGAACTCGGCGTCGTCGACAACGACGAGGTCCTTGCTCTCACGTAGGGCGTTCACGACGGCCGAGTAGGGTTGGAAGCGGCGCATGCGCTTGAAGTCGCACACATGCTTGATCGAGACCGGGCGATTCTTGGGGCCGTCGAGCTCTTTGAACAAATGCTCATCGGTAGCGAGGTTCTGCGAAGAAAAGTAGAACTCGACCTTGTGGTGGTTAGCCTGAGAAGAGGTTGAGGAGGCGGGAGTCATACTTGGCCGCGAATCTCAACTGGATCGTCCGACTCGGGGAGGTTCTCGAACTCGGTGTTGCGCCTGTTCCAAGCAGTCAGCTTTGAGTAAGTAAAGACTGGTGTTCATGAGCGCACCTCTTGTTGTTATTGTTGTGCTGGAAGCCGCCTCGGCCACGGCCTCGTCCTCCGCGGTTGTCGCGGCGGTCGTTGTTGCGACCGAATCTGCCATTGCGGTCTTCGCGGTCGTTGCGGCGGCCCTGCTTATCCTCGGACTTGCCATTGAGCTCCCAGGTCTGCTCGCCAGCGTCGTCGGTCTTGGGCCCTGTCGAATCCGCCTTGACGTCAACCGAGCTCTCTGTCTTGGGCGCCTCGGTGGGGTTGGGAGCCGCCTGGGCAGCGTTCTCTGTGTCTGCCATGTTAATGATGAACACAACTCGGGTCGCAAAGTGATTCTGCAGCTGCTGAAATTGTAGTGAAAGGTGCAAAGGGGATGTAGAGCGGTGTTGGGGAGAAAAGGTGAGGGCGAGAGATTCTTGTAGCTCGCCGTGAGCTTAGTGGGGAGGATTTTCCGCGCTGCAGCCAGCCTGGTCCGTGCGCTGACAATTGTTCAAGGTGCTATTGTCCACAGGGACCGACGGCCTGCTTATTATCTTCACCATTGTCCGCCCTTCACCATGCCGAGGAAGAAGCCAAGGTTCCATTCGCTGAAGAAGCTGGTATGTCGCCTCCCATTGTGTCAATACTGATGAGTTACTCGGCCCACTGACACGCAACCCGCAGAACGTGCGCCAGGACTGGTCTCGCTGGTCACTCTACAGCCTCTCGCAGCTTAAAGCCCCAAACGTCGTCTCCCGAACCTACTTCCAGCAGAAATGGACCGCCAAGGCATCCACGCGAGCCTATCACGGCGAGCAGCTGCGGGAGAAGAAGTGGAAGCGCCAATTCAGTAGGAACTTACCCGCTGTCGTTGGTATGGATCACAAGTATCTGGCGCGACACGATGGATCCGAGCAGGCTGCTGGACGTGGAGCAGGCGCAGATACCCAGGACAAGGAGAGGACGCCGCCCATGACACCCTACATGCAGATGGCCTACTACCCGCTCGAGCGGCGACTGGACACGGCCATCTTCAGGGCCCTGTTCGCGAGCAGTGTGAGGCAGGCGAGGCAGTTTGTTGTCCATGGCCTAGTCAAGGTCAATGGCAAGAAGGTGCGTTCTGGCTCGCTCTACTTCAGACCTTGCCGTGCTGACATGGTCATAGATGCCCTATCCCGGTTATATGCTCAACCCAGGCGACATGTTCCAAGTCGAGCCCTCGTCCGTCATGTTTGCAACCGGTGCCCAGAAATCTCGCTCTGCAACCGCTCGCCGTGTCGCCAAAGAGAAGGGTGCCGCCCGCGCAGAGGCCCGCGAACAGGCTGGTGGTCAGACCCCTAGACAGCCACAGGCAGACGTCGCTCTTGCCCAATCAACCCGCGAAGCGCCCACACCAACCGAGCTGAAGAAACACCTACAAGAGTTGATGGAGCAGGTCGATCAAGTCTTGGTCGAAGATGTCAAAGCAAAGGACAAGCAGAAGTTCCGCGCATTCAGGCAGAGTGTGAGGAAGGCCATCTCACTTTGGCGGTCGGCAAATCCCGAAACCATCTCAACATTAGACACGCAATTCGATTTCCTCAAGACGCAAATCGCCGAACGATCCGCTGCCTCGACCCCCTCGTCCAAGGACACGACCGTGCCCGAACCGCTTATATCAGAGGAAGACCAAGCACGCCTTCGCTCTGCCTTTGAGAAGCTACGGCTGGAGACTGAACACACGTCTGCATGGAACTCACGGAATGCTGCGGCGCCGTATGCCACGCCCTGGCGGCCGAGGGACTATATGAGCGCGTTTGCTTTTATACCGAGATATCTGGAGGTGAACCAAAACGTTTGCGCAGCAGTATACCTCAGACACCCGGTGGCAAGGCCGGGCCTGGCCGAAGTACCAACTCCTTTCCATATTGAGACCGGGCAGCTGGCTTTCAACTGGTATCTTAGGAATCGGTAGATGGGTAGGCGGCGGAAGATGCCGAATTCAATGTACAGTATACGTAGTCAAGTCGTTTAGAGAAGCTTGCATTGTACCATATTGTTACAGCCAAGTGGATAGGCCTACAAGCATAGGTTGGTGTTTGTTGCATTCTTTGATTGATTGATTGATATTATAGATCTTGCTGATAACAAGTCTTTCGTAGGTACGTGCTACTCCGAAATTGCAATGAAGTAATAAAACCAAAATCCCCTTGTCAGGGCCCATGAGATATTGACTACTACTATACAGGAGGAAGTGAGATATTAGTTGGGCAGTTTCCTCTACCTGCCCGATGGCAACGCAAACGCAAACGCAAATGCATATGCTTTGTGTTTGTGTATGTGTGCCATGACTCTGGAGAAAACAGAGAACGCTATACATGTGAATGGGCGTTGTGACGAAATGTCGTCAAAGTCGCGGCCGATCCAACGCCAGGCCTGCCGAACGCCGGGACCGTCAACACTACAGTGCTGTGTAAATTGCCCCAAAGATAGACTCTCAACTCAAATAGTCTAATTGCATCGAAGCTTCTGGCCTTCAAAGTGGTAATATAAGAAATGTTGTCGCTGCTCAAAGGCAGCGCATATTCAATACGCGGCATATCCGTACAGAGTTCGTGGATCCAGTACGAGATGTAGCGCGGAAGCTTCATCTCGAGTCGTGATAACCGTGTGTGAAGGCGAAAGACGTGTTCAGAGGTGCTCCTAGAGCACAAATACCCAAGCTTCAGTCACCATCCGACTCTTCCTCATCATAAGTGAGTATGCTTTGCGGATATCGCAGCGTCTCTGCGCTCGGCCTTGGGCTCACATCAACAACACTACTGTCGGGCGTCCAGTGCGAGCTCACCCCCGACGAGGTCGAAGAGGTGTACTGCCGGAACCCATTAGCGACAATCTCAGACATGTCGACGTCTGACTCGTAGTTTGGCGGCTCCGTAGGCGAGTCGGAATGGTAGCTTGGTAAGCTATCAGTTCGTGATAGTGGCCGTGAGGGGATCTCAGGTAGGGAAGTGGGTGGGTAGGTGGATGCAGTTGACAAAGGCGAGTAGGGGGCACGCGGCTGTTGACGTTGGCAGTTGCAAGGGGCATGGTTGATTGCCCTGCCTTCCTCGGCGTCGCGGACCAAATCATTGACGACGTCGTGTGCTGCCCTCAATTGCCTAATCTCCTCTTGCATGGCGTCCTCGAGAACGCTCTCTTGGTCCAGTATGAGCGCTCGCTTTTCTTCGTAGTCTACGATGCGCTCGTGGTCTCGACGTGCCCAGTTGCCGCGCCACCAGTTTCGCCATGCATGTCTACGGGCTGCTTGGCGGTAGGCTCGAACGTTGAGACGCTCTTCACGGGCGGCGGCACGTTCGGTGCGGGATCGAAGGCTGCTGCACTTGTGGCGAATAACGGCGACGAGACAGCCGCAGCAAAGAATGCCTAGTGTGATCTCGAGAGCGACTATGTACGGTGATGGCTTTGGTGGCCGTGGTGGTAGCTCATTCTGACCGGTATTAGCCCAAGACTTATTGCAGTACGTCGTCGAAGCTGGCTGACTTACAGTGGGTGCCTCAAGGGGAAGAACAGATGAGGACGCCGCTTTGAGGTGGCCTCCAGATATCTGAGATGCATGACCATGCGCCTGAGCAAACACTTCCTCAGGACGACCCATATCTTGGGAACTCTGACGGGGTTGGAAGTGAATGTATACAATCCTCCATGCACCATGGGCCTTGTGAGCAACGGTCTTGACAATGCAACTAATACTGTCGCACTGGTTCAGCTCTTCCGTAAAGTTCTTGGCCTGTTTCCGGAGCTGTTTATGGATGTATTTCTTCTTTTGAGAAATAGCCTGCTGAAGTTCCTGGACCTTGGCGTGAAGAGCCTCAAGCTCACGGATATGGTCCTCCAGTGAGTGGCTAGTAGGTTCAGTGGTCTCAGCTTCTACAGTACTATTTGAGAGAGCAAGGCGAAGAGTCTGAGGAGGCTCCCGCCAGGAATCGGCGACTCCCTTGTTACTTGCGGATGGGTTTGGGACTCGTTCAAGTCTGAGCAATGAGGGCGGGGAGGTTTGCTGCTTGAACGAGATTGTAAAACCAGAGGGCGTGACGAGAGGCCGACCGTCAATGGCCTTGATGTTGACTGTCAAGACCTGGGCAGCCTCGTCCGTCTCCCCGTGGCCGTGCAGACAGGCTGACTTCCACTCGAGATCCAAGTCGCGCTGAAGAAACCATTCATTCTGTTGGAGGTCTGTGACGCCGGAGTAGGAACCAGATCCGGAAGCGAAGTCACCGTTCCACTCTTGAGGAAGGTATACTCCATTCAGGGTGATGTTAGAGGAGCCACAGGGTTGGTCTTGAGAGTGACTTGTGAAGCTCAAGGTCTACAATGGGTGAGCACAAGACGACATGCTTTTAGGTGCCTGAAGTGGGCCTTACCAGGGACTCGTCATTCTGGTCCGTGTGATCGTGGCCAAGACAGCCATGGCAGGGGACGCTAAAGGTAGCTTGCGCGTAGTTTTGTTGAAGGTCTAAAGACGTTCAGCAGGTGCCTGGAGATGGCGAACGCGAATTACTATAAGGTGCGGTCCATACCTAGCTGCAAAAGCCCGCCATCTGGGCGAGCTACCTCACGTTGGTGACTTGGGAGAACAGCGGCGAATACGGGTGCCACCCACGCACAGGCTGACAATACCTTCGACTTGAAGGACCGCATGCTGAGCTGAAAGACGCACAGATGAATAAATGGAAAAGAACGACACAGCTGGCAAGAGAGCAAATAGAAACGAAAAGACGGCGAGCACGGCGCCGTTCGATGGGATATGGGACAGCTGTCGTTCCCAAATCTTGCAGGATCAGGCACCAGTCGAGGGCGAGTATAATAAGGGCGCCTGCTGCTGCGCGCTATGGGCCGCGTGGCTACTGTCAGCGTGGCTTAGATCGCAGGTCACGATTCGGCTCCGTGTATGAATGCAGTGTGATGAAACGCTGAATACGAGAAGAGGGACGAGGAATTGATAGAGGATGGTTCAGCATGATAGTTGTGCGGCCTAGCTGCTGGTGCTTGTTGGATACCTAGGTAGGGCCATCTGTCAAGAGGGTGGCCTCCAAGTCGTTACAGTTTCTTTCACGAGCCCTCGATAACGTCATGTTAGATGCATTTGAATACCTACAGAGACTTCGAAGCAGGCAACAGCATCGATAGATACATGTCCCTAATGACCTGCGTTGCCATCTGCACCATGACGATCATCTGGGATGTGGTATATAGGGCTGCCGTCGCCAAGACCAAGCTTGTGGCCCGAGCTTCTGGCAGCGATGCGAGAGAATCAAACCACCAATTCACGTCGTCCACCCAACGACGCGACACATTCTACTCCGACTGTACCGAGCCTTTGCGCTTCTCTGTCGAAGCTGCGACATTACCTGTGCCTTCCATTTCTACAAACCGTCCGCTGGACTAGTGAAACATCGACACAAACGACATCATGGTAGGCCACCTGTGATTTATTTTGGCGCAATGGTTTCCTGAACATCTACTGACCTTGTTGTAGCTTCCATTGGGACTTCTGACGGCTGCGACCGGCCACCCTATGTTGGTCGAACTGAAGAGCGGCGAAACACTGAACGGACTCTTGGTCAATTGCGATACATGGATGAATCTCACTCTGAGAGAGGTGGTGCAGACAAGCGCAGATGGTGACAAGTTTATGAGGTTACCAGAAATATATGTGCGCGGAAGCACAGTGAGTTCACCGGATCCTACACACAGTTTGGAGACTGATCCACTGGCAGATAAAGTACCTTCGAGTACCAGACGAGATCGTCGAGGTCGTAAAGGAACAGCAGGTCAAGGACCAAGCAAGCCGAGGTGGGCGAGGCAACATGCACCAGCGAGGAGAGCACCGGGGCGACCGTGGAGGCCGAGGCACGCGGGGGCGTGGACGAGGGCGCGGAAGAGGAGGCGGTGGGGGAGCTTGAAGGATGATATCGCACGCAGTCGCATGAAATCTTGCACACGATGCACAACGTTCCCTGCGCAGGCAGCCTAGAAGTGTTCTATGCGAGCGCTATTACCATTTACCTGAGACAGCATCAACCAATGCTGCATCTCCGCGAATGATACTGGTGGTCGTATATATTTTACCCTGGTCACCAGCTAGTTGCAGTCAGAAGGCCTATCGGCTTACGGAGGACTGAATTTCCACTCTGATATCATGCACGGGTAATTAGGGTTTGTCATTTTAGCATTGGCATGCCAGAGACGAACTAGGCTGACGCGAGTAATAAATTCAGCACAAGAAACATAACCTAATAGTGCGACAACACACCTTACTATTTGCTGTATAGGTGTCTTGGACGAACAATTTTCTTACGCCCTAGCCTCTTACATACTCCTTTATGTCTATCAGTTGGGGTTACACGCTAATGCGGGGGAAATGATACCTTGCTTGGTACAAGAGTTACCCGCGGGCTCCCGGTTGATGTTTACTCGAAAGCACGACTCTCCTTGTACTTGTTACCTTATAAGACCTATTCGACTTCGTTAGGTCTTCCATTTTTTTTGCTCTCTTCTATTCCAATTCCTTTTACCCCGTCATAGCTGCACTCTCCCCTTTGATTACTCTTTTGGGAATTAGTTCCTCCCCTTCTCTACAACCTCCCTATAATCTTGTATCCATAGGCATTAAGGACTCTCAAGACCAAAGACTCACGTAGACGCGCAAAGATGACGAGCTTCATTATTTCAGACCGCGAACTTGACCACATCAAAGGTCAAGTCGTTATCATTACTGGTAAAACACCAACTCAACAAAGTCTATGTTTTGTTGTTTGCCTACTGACTCGATTGAGGTGCGTCATCTGGTATTGGCCTCGCAACACTTCGAAGGATCATCAAACATGGTGGCAAGGTCTTCGCCAGCGACTTGAATCCACTCCCAGAGCCAGAGGCTTCTTCAGTGCCGTTCAGGAAGGCCAATGTCACGTCATGGAAAGATCAAGTTGAGCTGTTCAAAGCTGCTGAGAAAGAGTTTGGCACGATCGACCATGTATTCGCCAACGCGGGAATCCAACCAGTGACCTCACTGATGGAAGAGGACGTGGATGAAAACGGCGATCTTCTACCACCGAAACTCGACACGCTCAACGTCAATCTAACTGGGTGTATATACACGGTCAAGCTAGGCATCTTCTACTTGAAGAAGAATCCCAAGGGTGGCAGCATCGTTGTGACAGCCTCGGCATCGAGCTTCAGTCGTTTGCCAGCAACAGACTATAGTAAACCATGCCCTGTCCGCTGACACGTTCTATGCTAATATGCTCGCAGCGGCCGCGAAACACGGCGTTCTTGGCCTCGTACGCGCCCTCTACGGTCGCTTGTACCCCAAACTCCCCATTCGGATCAATGCCATTGCGCCATCGTGGACCGACACGGGCATCGTCCCGCGCGATTTCCTCGCTCAACTAGGCGAAGGCAACTACCAGTCGGCCGATGTGGTTGGCCGCTCCGTCACAGTTTTGATGGCTGACCCGCAGCGTCATGGAGAGATGATCTATAGTGACAAGGGCAAGTACACAGATTTGGAGAATGGAGAAAATGGGTACCATGCATTGACTCTGAAGATGTTGAATGTGGAGCAGGATGGGGATTTCCTCGAGATGGGTGCCTTTAAGGGACTAATGAAGGAGAAGGAGGAGGCGGTGAAAGTTGGGTAGGGGGCGGAGGAAGTTGCTACCACAGCGGGGTGATTTCTCAGTTTATCGAAGGAAGAGGGACAATGCAATCTGGGCGTGTTCCAGTTCCACATGATGGTCGTTATTGGTTACCGATATTTTGGCATGTTGCAAAGTACCTATCTTGGAATAAACCTGCGACATGAAAACATTTTGGGCTGGAAGTTACAACGTTGTAGTGCTCGCTTGAACCGAGGTATAACAACGTATAACAGATGTGTCTAGGCGATAGCCTAGGCTAACAAGTGTACCAGCGATGGTCATAGCGAAAGCTGAATGCCAATGTCCCTTGAATATCGGAAATGTCGGAAACGGGGTGGAGAAGATGGCAACTTTGCAAACGGCATAGCGGCCGAGATTGAGGGATGGCCTTGGCTGGCTTGCCCATATCCGACAGCAGTATCTATATATTGAGCTGTGCGCGCTCGATGATACGATAGCTTGGTCGAGTTACCAAGGTTGTCAGAGGCTTCTTAAGAGTAATTCGTCCGAACGCAGTTTGCTCATTCTACTTTTGACGGGAGAACACTCACGATACGACCTACCGCTCAGGCATAATACACTGTGACTATGGTTTACTTCGCTGTTCCAGATTCAAGCTCAACAGCCTATCAAAGCACCCGGCATTTAAACTGTCGACCCGTCAAAAGCCTCCAAAACTCGTGGCGTCGCGGGGTAGACGTGGGCGGATTAATCTTCATCCACAACAAGGCATGGAACAGCACAACAACGGACCCGAATGTAGATACCGGTGTTAGCTTCCAAGGTGCCCCCAGACTGACGAGGCGCGGAGCCTGGCTGATCCTGGGGGCGGCCCGCCTCCACACTGAGGAGTGCATCTAGATTCGTCCGTGCAGAGCTATCATCTGCTGGCGCCTGCCCTTGGACAGCCTAGTGGTGTAGTGCCATTGCACATGTGTGCGTCAAACGTAGGTGCGGGCTGGAACCATGGGCCAAGTTGGGTCTAGGTGGATAAGGTATAAGAGGAAAGACACAGCGTCACGGTTGCCCGTGTCTTTGATTGCTATTCCTCTCTTGTCCTCCTTGAACCAAGCTGTGTTTGCAGCATGGCTCAATTTCAGGCTGAGTACTCGGCTGAGAAGTTCGCACCTACCCATCACGAAGATCTCAAGGGCGATGACGCGCATCAAATTGCAGAGCGCGGCCATGCTGCCACTGACATGTACGTCTACCACAAACTCAACGTCTTCCATTCTTACCCACCTTCCACAGCTACGGACATGCCCTGATGCAATTCGATCCAAAAGCCGAGTCTCGGCTGAGATTGAAGATCGATTTGTACATTGTTCCAACCGTGGCACTCTTGTATCTCTTCTGCTTCATCGATCGAGCGAACATCGGGAACGGTAAGTTACGTTCATCTACGAACCATGGAAACATATACTGACTGCGTACCTCGACCTTCAGCACGACTGGCCGGGTTCGAGAAGGATCTCAAGCTCACTGGTTATGACTACAACTCAGTCCTCTCTGTCTTCTATATCAGCTACATAATCTTCGAGATTCCATCCAACATTTGCTGCAAATGGATCGGCCCAGGGTGGTTTATTCCAATCATATCCCTTTGCTTCGGCATTGCATCCATCGGCACCGCCTTCGTCCACAATATTCACGCCGTCTCTGGCGTCCGCTTCCTTCTCGGTATCTTCGAGGCCGGCATGCTCCCAGGTATCGCGTACTACATGTCTCGCTGGTACAGACGTTCTGAACTCGCCTTTCGCCTCTCTCTCTACATAGTTATGGCACCCCTTGCAGGAGCCTCAGGCGGTCTGCTCGCTTCGGCAATCCTAAAGCTCGACTCTTTCGGCTCGCTGACGCGCTGGAGAATGATATTTGCGATTGAAGGCATTATCACGTGTTGCCTGGCGATCATATCATTCTTCACGCTAACGGACCGCCCGGAAACCGCGCGATGGCTTACACAGGCGGAGAAGGACCTGGCTATTGCTCGTGTCAAGTCAGAGCGTGTTGGGCAGAACGAAGTTCTTGACAAGCTGGATCGCAAGAAGACGCTTCGCGGCATCTTCAACCCAGTCGTGCTCACCACCTCGGTTATTTTTCTTCTGAACAACATCACCGTCCAGGGACTGGCTTTCTTCGCGCCGACAATAGTGCGCACAATTTATCCCAAAAGCACTGTTGTTGCCCAGCAGCTCCACACTGTGCCACCCTATGTCGTTGGAGCGTTCTTCACAGTACTCCTTCCGTTCCTATCCTGGCGCCTCGATAGACGAGTGGTGTTTTTTATATGCGGAGCACCCTTGATCATGCTAGGCTACATCATGTTTTTGGCATGCCACAGCCCGCAGGTCCGCTATGGAGCAACCTTCCTCATCGCCTCAGGAGCCTTCTCATTTGGCGCTCTCTGCACCGCGCATGCCTCCAACAATGTTGTGTCTGACACAGCACGAGCGTCTGCTATCGGTACAGTCGTCATGTTTGGCAATATTGGTGGTCTGATCTCCACCTGGAGCTTCTTGCCATTTGATGCGCCCAATTACCGTATTGGTAACGGATTGAATCTGGCGACCAGCAGTATGATCCTGATCTCTAGTACCTTGTTGCTGCTTTGGATGAAGAGGAGTAACAAGAAACGGGAGAGTGTTAATGTGGACCAGGAGCTGGCGGGCAAATCAGTGGGAGAAATTGAGGATCTGGACTGGCGACATCCGTCTTTCCGATGGAGGCCTTGAGAGTGGGATATGATCTTTCATCGGGACGGATCACATCTGAGTTTTGGCAAACTGTGAGATCATGCTGTTCAACATGTAGTTGTCTGGACTGTATATAGTTAGCATATGTAGCTGTTAGGCACTCGAACAGGATTCATGAAATGCTCCTAGCAACTAGCGTCCGTGATAGATAGCTTACGTGCCCCGCCTCATTCGAAACTCCCGACCTCGGCTCATTCGGTCTGTTGTCATCCATCCAAGCGAACGCCATGAATGATTCAGATACTTACAGCTGTCTCGGTAAAGGCAGTCTTTTCTCGCAAGATTTAATCAACAAACCCCCTTGAGTCCCGCACAGCAATATTGTATAATCACGTCATTGCACTCCACAGGCGAAGCACATTGGCAAGCTAACCTCCAACTGAGCGCCAATACCCGCAACAACAATGCCTGCAGCGATTGCCATCAAGAAAGTGGAAGGGACGCCAGGAAAAGTCTACTATCCCCTCGAGAAAATCACCATCCCCGAGGCGAAGCCAAAGGACAATGAGGCATGCATCCCATCCTTGTCACCACTCACTACATCTAACCATCTACGCACTAGACCGTCATTACACTTACCGCAGCCGCCCTAAACCACCGCGACCTCTTCATCCGCCAGCACCTCTACCCCGGAACCACCTTCGGCGTCCCTCTCCTCGCTGACGGCGTCGGCGTCGTCACATCAACCGGCAGTTCCTCTGCAGCAAAGTCATGGCTCAATAAGCGCGTCTTGTTGAACCCAGGCACAGGATGGAAAGACAACCTCGAAGGACCCGAGCACCCAAAGGGGTACGCTATAATGGGCGGGACAAAGTCCAATCCCGCAGGCACACTGGCGGACATCGTTACGCTGGAGGCGGGCGAGTTGGAAGCGTGTCCGGAGCATCTGAGCGATGAAGAAGCTGCTGCGCTGCCGTTGACGGGACTAACTGCCTGGCGGGCTTTCTGGGTGAAGAGCGGGAATGCGGTCAAGGGGAGAAACATCCTGGTCACGGGCATTGGAGGCGGAGTAGCGCTCATGGTGCTCTTATTCGGCGTCGCGCAGGGCTGTAATGTGTACGTTACGAGTGGCAACCAGGAGAAGATCGACAAGGCAGTTAAGCTTGGTGCGAAGGGCGGCGTGATTTACAAAGAACAGGGGTGGGACAAGAAGCTGCAAAGCTTACTTCCTAGCGATAGGCAATATCTCGATGCGATCGTGGATGGAGCGGGTGGCGATATTGTTAACAAGGGCTCTCGACTACTCAAAGTACGTTGTACCTTCCAATCTCATCCTGCCTCCACTACGCCCGCAAAACTAACATTTACCTACTTAGGCCGGCGGCATAATCTCCATCTACGGCATGACCGTCTCACCGAAGATGGATTTCCTAATGGGTGCTGTGCTGCGCAATATCGAAGTGCGCGGCTCGACAATGGGCTCACGCAAAGAATTCGCCGATATGGTACAGTTTGTACGGGAGAAGAAGTTGAAGCCTGTCGTTAGTCGCAGCGTACACGGGCTGGATGTGGAGAAGATCGATACACTATTCGATGACATGAAGAATGCAAGCCAATTCGGCAAGCTGGTTGTTACGCTAGGAGAGGGGAAAACTAGTAAGCTGTAGATGTAAGAATATAATTTGTGCTACGTCAGAGGTCTCTCCGGCTTTGTTTCGGATCATGGGATAGAGCTGATGCAGCTTTGTACGTATTCGCCTCGTTTTCCAAGAGATACACACACTTTGCGTATCTCCAAAACCACTCCGCCTCCATCAGTAATCACAAAAAGCATCCATCCCTGCCAAAATCCGCAAAACCCGGACCTATGATGTAAGCGAACATGATCAAGAATAGCAGGTAATACAGTGCCCCTCCTTAGCCTGCATCCGAGGCAACTCCGATATGTTGTGACGGCCTGTTATCGATGGGCGAGCAATCATCCCGTTCACAAAAGAATACAGTAGAAAGAGAAGATCTCTAGCGGAAGCGGAGTGAAGAGATGTACTGTATGTAACGGATTACTAAACTGATTGACAGTCCCAATCTGAAGTATTACACAACGAACGACGAGAGAAAAGGTGTGCTGCTGTTGAATATATAAGCCCATAGCAACAGCACATGGAATCCCATCATCAACTCAAACAGATCAGATTAGTCCCATTCTCTACAAAGCGAACATCGCCTAGCGACTCCAACAACACACCAACTACCCTCACTCCCATCTCCGCACAGTTTCTCAACAACTCTAGTACTACTACTACAAAAACAATCACCATGTCTCCATCTGTTCGCGACAGTAACAAATCAGAGTCCTACTTCCCGCTCGCTGGTCTAGCCAACGACGGATACTCAAAGGAGCATGAAGCTACAGCAACCTGCTTCTGCGGCGCAGTCCAACTTGCTTTCGTACGTTCCCCCCTCCCTCTCCCTCTCCCTCTTCCTCTCTTTATATAGCCTACTAACTTATCACCAGCCGACCGAAGAACCCGGCCTCCTCAACTCCTTCATATGCAACTGCACCGACTGCCGCAAGATCACCGCATCCATGTTCGCCTCCAACTTCACTGTGCAGGACAAGTACGTATATTTGCCATGTCGTCATTCAAACCTGTCAAATTTTGCTGACGGTTAGTTGTTAGATATCTCACGCACATTCGAGGCCAGTCAAACCTGAAGCAATTCAGCCAAGACACGACAGTTGCCAGCGGGCATAAAATGACGAATTACTTCTGCCAGACGTGCGGAACGCTGAGTAAGTCATCCAAGATACACTCACCCATCAGCTTCATACTGACTTCCCGGCAGTGTACCGCGTCGGCACGCAATTCCCTGGTGCCTCTATCTTGCGACTGGGCACGGTCGATGATTTCAATCTCGTGGAAACGAAGTTGAGGCCCAGGCAGGAGCATTTTGTCAAGGATAGGGCGAGTTGGCTGTCTGATGTTACCGCAGAGGGGATTGAGAGGTTTGAGGCGATGCCTCCTGTCCGAGACACGAGCAAAACGAGCTAGGATCTAGGCTCAGGCATCACGAGGTGGAAGGAAGCCAGGTTACTAAGTATGATGTGTTGATTGTGGTGTATTGCATTTAAGGCGTCGTAGGTAGCCGAGCAATTATTCAGTCGTTTCCGACGTCGCTTTGAAGCGTCCATGATGTCCCAGACGTGTATCCCTCTCGTGTGGGGTATTGTACATCGCTTCTCCAACCTCCTACTCATAAGTAGGGACCATTACCATCTTTCGTTGATGAACATATCATCAGGTCGTTAATGTACACTGCTTCTCCCATGCATTCGCTTCATCCAACTCCTACTCAAAATGTAGTAGACAATTGCCATCCTTCTCCGATGACCATCTCATCAGGTCGTGACCTCATCTGAAACCCACAAATGCAATATTGCCCTTACCATGCAGAACCCAGCGCTTCGTCATAAGAAACGCCACGCTTTAGGCAGAATCAAAGGGGAATAGAACACAGAGGCCGTGGCAGCGACATGCGAAACTATGGATATGTACTGGGGGTCAAACTTACAGCCATTGATCCACGTCATCCGCAACATCCATGTCCGCATCCGCATGCCCAGGCTGCTGCTCAGTCTCAGCACCACTAGCCTTGTTGTTCTGCTCTCCAATGGTAGCGGATGAGTCATCGTCGCTGGCTTCATCGTTGTCGATGCTCACGGTAGCGGCAGTAGATTGGGAGCCACCGAATGCGTTGTTAGGGATCCACGAGAGGTCAAGGATGCCCACGTCGGGTATTTTGCGAGAATCGTCGAGGAACTGTTGGAGTATTAGCTTTTGTAGAGAAAGGGAGAGGTCGATTGGTTACCATCTCAGCTTGATACCGCTCCTTGAACGTAATGATGAGCGTATCCGTCTGTTCGGGATGTCGCTCGATGCTCGTGCAACCAGGAACATTCTGCAATACAGTTAGCCTACTAAACCTAGTACAACAATGTTTGACTGACGATTAGATACTGCCTAAGTGCCTCGTCCCTCGGAGAGTCGGCCTCGATCGCTGCAACAGCAAGACGTCGTGGACGGTTGTCTAGTCGCTTCACGCTGCTCCTTCCGGCGTGGAAAGGAGTAGCAGGGAAGCCACGACCACGGTACCCGCCTCTGAAAGGGGGGTAGCTGCGTCCACGAGGTGGGAAAGGAGCATATCCGCGGCCGCGATAACCTCCACGAACTGCACCGCGACCACGGCCTCTGGGTGCCCCTGTCCCATCGTGCAGCGCAAAGAGATTTTCGGCTTCGACTTGCAGGGTAGCAAGAGTTTGAGAGGGGTCCCCGTTAAGATTGCCCAACTGATCACCCGATAAAGCTGCAAGTTGCTGCTTGATAGTCTTCATCTCTTCGTTCTTCTCTTTCAGCTGCTTCTCAATCTCTTCCGCTCTAGCGGCTGCCTCTTCTTCTTTTTCCCGCCTCTCTTCAAAGGCTTTCTGTGCTTCAGCTTGTCGCTTCGCAATCTCCTCTGGATCTAGCCTTCCTTCCTGCTCGGCATCGGGTCCGCCCATGTCAATGTCACCAAATGTACCATCAGGTGGCACTGATACAGAGTTCGACTTGTGCCAATATACTTTGACGAATCTGTTATCGAAGACAGCCTTGGGGTTATGATAGGCTCGGTCCGCAGCATCGCGATCTTCAAACTTGACGATAGCCAGGCGCTTGTAGCCGTGCATCTGTATCTCAACGATGGTTCCGAACTGCAGGAAGAAATCTCGCACATGATCTTCGTTGAAGTCGTCTTCCGGTATTTGTTCGACGACTAGCGTGGTATTGGAGCGATCGTACGACGGTCCAGGTAGAGAGAAAGGTGCACGTGTGCGTCCACCTTTACTGCCTCGAGTGTGCCCACGAGTTTGGCCACGATGTGTGCCTTGCTCCTTGACCCCTCGATGAGGTTGCACGGCGAGAAACGAGTGTTCTGGATCGTACTCGGGCACAGCGTCGGCAGGAACGGCAATAGCATCTCCATGTTCGTAAGGACAAATGCCGCCCAAAGAACAAACACCCTTCCTCTGAAGGTCCACACATCGCTCTTTACGCTTATGCTGATCCAATCCAATTCCTTGCGGATTAGGGAAAGGCAACGGAGGCATCCCTGGTAGACCCGACCCCATAGCTGCCATCATAGCAAAGAATGCCATGGGGTTGGCGGGATCGAACGGAGGAGCACCTGGTGGAGGTGGAGGGAAATGCGGGGGCAGGCTTGATAGATCGGGCATTGCTGGGAACCCAGGAAAGGCGAACTGCGGTTCAAGACCTCCACCGTGAGCGTTTCTACCGCCTCTGCGCGCAGGCTGCTTCAGCGGTCTACTACCACCCGCACGGCTGTAGTGTGGGTCGTGCCCTTCGCGCGGCTGGCTGGTCTCGTGTTCAGCCAGCTTGCGCTTCCTTGACTGCCATCCTCCATCCTGCTGCACATCTCGTGAAGGTGAAGGGCCGGTGGGTCGGTCGGGCAGACGATGTTGCGCATTGGGTCCTTTCAGTGCTCTGGACAGCGGCGAATTCGTCGTGACCGATGGATGGGGTTCGTATTCAGAGTTCGATGTGCCCACGATGGAGGGTATGGGTGCTGTCTGCGGGGTCACTGTCGCTGGCACTGTCGCCGGCGCGCGCACATAGCTCTTGTCTTTGAGTGCCTTGAGAAGGTCGTTTACGAATGGCTCGGTGTCTAGGGATATTAGCGAACAGACATGCTACAGATGTCAGTTAGTTACGCACAGTCTTGAAGAAAGTCCGAGAGCGATTCGAGACAGTTGCGCTTGATGTTCGCCTCCGAGTCGTTCACGACTACGAGGGCGATGACATAGTCGGCAAGCACCTCGGCATCTGCGTCAGAGCTACGCTAGTTAGTATAGGAAAAAGTGCGACGGGTGTGACGCTGTAGCTTCGGGGCCTTTGTAGCGTACATTGTCTCGAGTTTGGGCAGTATCCAGCGCTTGAATACGTCCTGGTCCTTCTCGTGAAGCAGCATCTTGGCTCTGCGGACACCTTCCACTCCCCCCCAGAAAGCGTGGCCGTTGGAATGTGAGGAGAGAGTCCGGATTGCGGTTGGTGGATTTGGTGGTACTCAAGGCGAGCCCGAGGGACGCAATTCGCGTGCTTGTTAGCGCGACAAAGCAGGGTCCAAGCTCCCATAACTCGTCCTCACGTGTCCAAAGTACCCCCACCTCATTCACCGTCAAGCTGCACATTGGCCCAACTAACATCACTCTTGCAGCAGCAAACAAAGCAGACTGTGCAATATAGCTTGATTTGGTTCCAACTATATTACACTCAGAACATGCAAGGAAAAGGGTTCATCATCCGTATCTTGAGACCAAAGCCCACTGATAACCCGGCTGGAATCATGGGCCAACTGCCCGGACCGACATTTACTAGTTCTGGTTGCTCCAAAAGGGAGCCGTTTGTGTCAAACAACGACCAGCGGCCACGAACTTGCCCATGACTGTAGGATGCCCCATAATCGCAACGAAAGGAAATCTAACAATTTTGGTAGCTTTCCTCTATAGCTTGTCGTAGTACTGCAACACATGTTAGCTACTTCTCGCCTGGTTTGGTGGACAAGTCACTTACGTTGGAAACATCCGGAACCTCAACCTTGATACCCTTGCGCTTCCGCATGTCGTGCACAATCTTGCCAACCATTGTTGTCGCGTCAAGTGGCGAGCCACCCTGGAGAATCTGCCAATGATCGAAGACTTGCTGTGGGAAGGCCTGACCAGCAGTGTTTGAGCGGAGATCGGCGGTGAAGCCGAAAGACTCGTTGACGGGGAGGTAGGCCTTGATGTTGAAGAGAGGAGTACCAACACGCTGGTTCTCCTCGAAGACGTGACCTCTCCTGCGGGTGAGCACACCGTAGATACCACCCATGGCCTGTTCGGGCACCTGGATCTCGACCAGGTACACCGGCTCCAGCAGAGCGGGCTCGGCGAGGAGAGTGGCGGCGTAGAGCACACGACGCGCAGTGGGGATGAGCTGACCGCCACCACGATGGATAGCATCGGCGTGGAGAGTGACATCCATGATGTTGAAGCGGATGGAGCGCATGGGCTCCTCAGCAACAGGACCCTCCTTGGTGGCCCACTGGAAACCAGAGACAACAGAGTCCTTGATTTCGTTCAGGTACTGGACAGCCTTGGTCTGATCGACGAGCAAGTTGGCACCAGTGGTGTCGGGACCGAAGCACCAAATCTTACGGGCATCGGTGACATCCCAACCATGCTCATCAGCTAGGATACGGGCACGAGCCTTGATATCGTCACGGGGGGCAATCTTGCCGCTCTCAATCGCCTGAGAGACCTCCTCGTCCAAAGGCTGAGCAATGACGTAGAGACGGTTGTGCTTGTTGGGCGACTTGGACAGAGCAGTGATGCTGGAAGTGGCGGCGACAGTCTCACGGTACTGCACGACGGGGTCGGAGATACGGAGAGGGACACCAGCGTGGTCCTCCTCGAGATCCTTCAAGCAAATCTCCAAATGCAACTCACCGGCACCGGCAACAACGTGCTCACCGGAGTCGGAGATGTAGGTCAAGACGCAAGGGTCAGACTTGGAGAGACGCTTGAGACCTTCAACGAGCTTAGGAAGATCCTGAGCGTTCTTGACTTCGACCGAACGCTGGACAACTGGGGACACGGAGAACTTCATGACCTTGAGGTTGTGGGCAGTCTCGTTGGTGGTGAGGGTACCAGACTTGAGCAAGAACTGATCGACACCGACGAGACCGAGAATGTTACCAGCAGGCACGTTCTCGATGGGCTCGACGAAACGACCCATCATGAGAATGGTACGCTGGATGGCCTTGATGAAGAGATCATCCTTCTTTCCGGGAACGTAGTTGGGACCCTGGATGCGGACCTTGAGGCCAGACTTGACAGTGCCGGAGAAGACACGACCGAAGGCGTAGAAACGACCCTTATCGGAGGTGGGCACCATCTTGGAAACGTACAACATGAGGGGACCGTTGGCGTCGCAGTCTCGGATACCGATGGCGTTGACGTCGTCGTGGGGGCCCTCGTACAGAGTCTCCATACGGTACCTCTGGGCAGTAGCGGGAGAGGGAAGATGGAGAATCATCATCTCGAGGAGAGCGTCGGCAGCGGGAAGGAACTTCCTCATGACGACCTTGAGAAGTTGCTTGCCCTCGAGATCCTTCTCGTCGCTGGTAAGCTTGATCTCAAGCTTCTCGAGCAGAGTCGGGATCTCGTCGGTCTTGAAGTTCATGACCGACTGGAAGATGCGGAAGATGGGGTCCAAGATGAACTGGTTGAAAGCACGCTCAAGGGGCTTACCCTCGTGAGTGCCAATCTTGGTCCACTTCTTGGTCTTGGGGTTGAAGTAGCTGTCACCCTGTTCATTGTCAGCATGTCTTTGCTGGTAACCTCGTCCTAGACACACTCACCCAAAGACGCTCCATCATCTTGTTCTTGTCGACACCAAACTTCTTGGCATATCGGTTGGCGAACTGGCGGATGGTGAAGGCCCAGCCGTGAAGACCGGAACCGAAGGCGATGGTGCCCTTCTCGGGGTAGACCTGGACGTCACCAAGAGCCTTGTCGTAGTAAGTGGCAATGACGACGTTGACAGACTCAATGACACGGGAGAAGTTCTGGTACAGATCCTCCTTGGTGAGCTGGAGCTCGAGAAGAGCACGATCGACCTTGTTGATGATGACGACGGGCTTGATGCGCTCACCAAGAGCCTGGCGGAGCACAGTCTCGGTCTGGACGCAGACACCCTCGATGGTGTCGACGACAACGAGCGCACCATCGGTGACACGGAGGGCAGCAGTGACCTCAGACGAGAAATCAACGTGACCGGGCGAGTCGATCAAGTTGATCAAGAAGTCGTTCTTGGTGGTGGGGACGGGGATGTCCTTCAGGTCCTCGACGTCCTTGAGCTGGGCGTACAGGGAGATGGCGGTCGACTTGATCGTGACACCACGCTCCTGCTCGTCGGCTCGGGTATCCGTGAAACGGGCCTCTCCAGCCTTGGAGGCGGAGATGATACCCGCACGCTGGACGAGAGAGTCGGTGAGGGTAGACTTTCCGTGATCGACTATGGCGGGGTATGTCAGTCCTCCGTCTTGCTGTATGCTGCCGAGTTCCATCGAGGGCGCTTACCGTGAGCAATGACGGACATGTTACGGATGTTCTTGGGGTCATCCATGAGACCACGGATCTGGCGGCGCAGTTAGCATCCGTCCTTTCATTATTGCCAATATCGTCGTATGATGCGGGCCATGTGTGCGCGCTACGTACCTCCTCGACCGTGAAGCTGGCATTCTGTTAGCCTGATGCTCAATCATCTTCATAGACCCAGGTAGCAGTCTAGCCTCTCTGCCGACAGCAGGAGGGCGTGGCGGCGACTTACTTGACCATATTGGCGGTGTTGTGAACTGTTCTCTTTTACGAAAATTCAGTGGTGGGGAAGTGCCCAAATACCCCGCACGAAGGAGGGGCAGATTCGATAGATGGGGCGCGAGATGAATGTGTTGGCTCTGGCGATGCAGTCGTCCAGAGGCAGACGATGGGCGCGCGGTTGATATGAGCCGTAGAGGCGGGCGTCTGGTGAGGGGGAGAAAAGTGCTGCGATGCGAGGTTTTCTACTACTTGCCATAGTGGGGTCAGCGCCTTCCTCGCTAAGGCACGGCCCACCTTCGGTGGCGCGCAGCTCAAGCTTTCCCACCTCTCCCTCGACGAGTCATATTGAAACCGCCCTTTTTTTTTACCTCCCCTTTCCTTGGATCTGGTCATCTGAAGTGGCTTAGGGTAATAAGGCGACTGCTATGGCTTCTCATCTTGGTACGGTAATACTGTGACTCCTTTCGCCCTCTGTTCGTTATACGAGTGACTCGACAGGGAACCACGGAGCGGCGGTCTAATGCACTTATTGGGTAGCGCCGGGCAGAAGTGCATCAGCGGCAAACATGATTGTACCAAGTTTTATCACTGCATTCCACCTGCTGGTCAATATGTGAAGGGCTCATGGGCACATGGGACCAGGTCCACAATGAGCTTCGAAGCGACCTCAGCACAAACCGCCCCATCTAGGGCCTGTTCGGTGACCTAGGCTGAACCGACCAGATTGGCCGGAATTGGTAGGTGGGGTAATATGGATCTGAAACTGGCGTTCTGTTCGGTATTCTGTCAGTTTCATTCTAATTTGAATAGCACATATGGAGGGACAAGTTTACTAGCAACGCCACGCAATTTTAAACCCTTGCTAGTGCTTACTTAACCTACATTTAACCCTATTTGGCAGCTTCTTGAGGGCTGATTCCCACTGGTGGTTGGTAGTAGAATAAGTTGATGGATAGCTCCAGAAACGCTAACAAAAAACGAGCCTTACTGTATAGAGAATCTGGTGCCAGTTGAAATGGAGCGCACCGAACAGGCCCCTAGACAGCTAGCATAATTGTACTACCTAGGCACTTGGGGTACCCAGGGCGATCTTTTGCCAGAGCGCCAAATACGCGGGAAGCGCTTTCAAATCAGTATTGCAATAGCCTGAGGGCCGCACATGCAAGTTGCTTCTCTGCTTACAATTTTTACATTCTGTGTCCCTCGTTGCCTAATCTCCGTTATGTTCGTAGAAGAGCACTACATACTACTGAAAGACCGACTATCGAGTGGGTACTCGCGATCAAATGCTGTCGCTTTTGATATCGCTAGATCTGCGCTTCATTTCTCTTCAATCTTCCCACCTCACCTGGTCGAGCGGACGGGGCGAGCGAGGCGACCACGAAGTAGGTGAAGCAGAAGAGCGATCTCTAACGTAGAAACCTCGACCTCCCCCTCGACCGCGGCTTGGACCATTACCCCTGCCGTTACCCCTGCTGTCATCATTCCCACTCCTCTCCCATTGATGACCATCCTCTCCGGAGAGTCCGCCCGTTCTGCGAGCGAGTTGCGATCGGCCGTCGTGATGCGAGTGTGCTACATCGTCTCTGCCGTCTGACATATGGGTCCCTCGAGGAAATTGATCAAACACTGAGCGGGGACCATCGCAATCAGGCTCTGCGCCCGGCGAGACGAGTGCCATTCGGTCATGGTGGAGAAACATTGATGCTCGTTGCACCTCGTCGCGATCGTCAGACTCACGAAACTTCATGGAATCGCGTCCGATGCGTTGGGGAGATTGCGAATGCGAACGAGATCTTTCCCGGTACCGAAACGACGCTGTAGGGCGTGAACGGTCGTAGTCGTCATAGCTCGATCCCCGGTAGAAACCTCCTCTCCCACGGTGCGTACTGCTGCGATGCGGCCCATTTCTCCCCCTACCTCGTATCGGTAGGGCCGCCTGCCGGATTATATGAGGCGGAAGGTTAACCCTTCGGTCGTCGTCATAAGTAGACACGGAAGACCTTCGTTCGGCTTGGTGGAAGCTCAACTCTTGATGAGTATCATCTCTACGGCCGCGTCTATCACCACGTTTGTGTTCTCCACGACTCCGCCCTCGTCGCGCGACTCTGCCACGACTTGGTTCAAACTCCGCGATAGTGTTAGACAGGTTTACAGAGCCTTCACGGTCGAGGGGATCGTTGTTCCGCACCCTTCGAGTGCTCTGTTCTATGCCAAGAGGTCTAAGAATGGCGGCCTGCCTAGATGGATGAAGGTGATCATTGTCGTTTATGGTGAGCTGGGTGGCAGGTCGGAGGAATGAAGCTTCTTCTCCTAAGCGTTGGCGATATCTGTCCCAATAGGAGGATGAGCCACCTTTCCCTATATTCTGGTTCGCCTTCGTCATGGATAGCTCCTCATCGGTAGCTTGAGAGTGAGTGGAAGTCGATGTACGTCGTGCTCGAGGATAGCCCTCAGCGTCCTAGGTCGCAATATTTAGCTTCGGCACACAACTACCGCAAACACCCAAAAAGAATCCAATCAGCTAAAATTCACGCAAAATTCACATCTATACTCAACGCACTCTTCCGACTCTTGCCCTCTCCTTCTCCCTGTCGTCAATTCTATTGTCGTTCGGCACCTCAACTTCGTACTCCTCCTCTTCGATCTTGTGATACCTCTCCACCTCGGCATGTTCATCTCTTGCACGCGCTATATCCAACATAAACCTGACGGTACCGTCTTGACCACGCTGGCCGATCGCAGACTTGGGTGGCTGGTCTGTCATGGGGGAGACAGTGCCTGGTGTCGCGGGTGTGAGTGGGCTTGTTGGATCGATGTTGTAGCGGGGTTTGACACCATTAGAGCTGGCCTGTGACTCGGATGTGGATTCGGAGTCGTAAAGGGCATAGCGAGGAATGCTGGCTGCGGAAGCCTCTTGGTTCAAGACGATGCGGATGTTTATGAAGTGTTCGAGGGTGTAGGCGGGACCCACGGATGTTAAACCGCGATGGTGTGTGTACAGATCTAGAAGGTCTAGAAGCGTCTCCATTACCTCTGCCCTGCTAGTAGCCCATTTGCTGTATCTCACTACCCCCTCATCGACACAGCGTGCAGCGTCCATCTGATGCAGTCTCGCCGCAAGCTCTAGGCATGCAATCGCCATTGTAGGTGTCGTCTGTTTAAGTGGCGCAAATGTTCTGTACAGGTCGATACTCAGGTTCCAGGCCGTCTTTGCTTCGTTGTGTGTATCGAACTTCAGAGCCCTCGCCAGCTTGACCATGAGTTTCTGCGGATATCGGTTGCGGAAATCGAAGCCAGCGCTCTCAAGCATAAGTCGTTCGAGGCCGATGATGAGCTTGGAGTGGGATTCGAATCGCTATGCATGCTGTCAGCCTCTAATCCCTCTACCACCAAGTTGTAGTTCATGTGTAGAACGTACCGGATCATCGCTACTAAGACTTTCCCCTGGTCCAACCTTCGCATTCCAGTGGGCACACAGAATCTCCCTGCTCTTCTTCAACGTGTCCTCAATCTTGCATGCCGTGAACAGTGCTGCGGCCGCCGCATCCGCCCAATTGTACTCGTGATCCGCGTGCAGCAGCCTGAACTTGTGGTAGTACATTACCGCCGTGTTGAATGTGCGAATGGGTAGTTGCAGTTCTCGTCGCACCTGGTCGATCCATGCTACACCTTGCAGCCGCACAGCATCTTCTTTGGCGTCGCTCATGTTCAGGTCCAAAAGGCATTTCTGGATGCGCGATTGCATCATATAAGGTTTTGCGACTTCGATGTAGGATGGGTGCGGGCCGACGCGCTCGCGCTCGGAGGGGGATGCGGTGGGCGCCATGAGAGCCAGGACTCTACAGGTTCAGGTAGGTAGGTGCTGAAGTGGTGTGGAGTGCGTAGTGTGGCCTGGGGATATGGTGATCGAGGGCCGATTGTATGCGGTCCGGGCTTTACAATCCTCAAAGACCTTTCATTCGTGTGGCATGTGCAATATGAATAACGAAATCGCCAAACGGATGTTGGATGCAACGCAATCGAGCGACAGCTGTTGCACTATCGATTGGAGAAGAATGTCGGCTGTGAAGTGAACGAATGCTCAAAAGTTAGGTGGTCATAGCTCCACCAAGTCCGCCGCGGGCAAAGTCACATAGCCGTAGACCCGCAAGCAACGACCTCGTGAACCATCAGGCAGTGTCGCACAGTAAAAGCTATGAGAAATTTGGTTATGTGAACTTTTAATATCATTTCCTGCCATTAACTGTATCCGGTACATGTCCCTTTTGTCCCCTTCCTTCAGCCCAGTATTACACTATCATACTCTGAATATACTCATCAAGCCACCGAGCTACTCACAAGAGAGCGCTAAGGGTGTAATCATTATAACTAGTGGGCAAGGATAGAGCGTGTTTTGCCTCTACCCTTGAAAGAAAGAAAAGCCAAACTTTGTACTCCAGAACCTACGGATGCAATGCAAGAATCGCTGAAAGTGGGCATCAAATAGGGTTTAATAATAGCCAAGCCAGTCTATGCTGTTCGGTCCTTGAATGTGAGGAAGCAGTCGTCCTGCGTCACGTTAGTGTTGCTCGCCATCGTCATGTAAGATGGTGTAGAGTAGCTTACCATCGGGAAAATCGTAGCAAACACCTTGATCACCTCGCTCTTGTCGGTGACCATGTGGTCCCAGTCGAGCATCATACTCGCCTTGCCAATCATGAGCATGAGGTTGGCCTGCGCGTACGTTTGGCCTAAGCAGTAATGCGGGCCAGTACCGAACACGAGCCAGTTCTTCGTCTGCTGGTCAGCATTACCAGTAATCCATCGCTCGGGTTCAAACGAGTCAGGATTCGGGTACGCTTCAGCATCGTGTAAGGCCATGTAGGTGGTAGGAATGACCATGGAGCCCTTGGGGACAGTGTACTCGGGAGTCAAGGGGAAGTCCTTCTTGGCAAGGTAGGGAACCATGATGACAGGTGGGCGGTAGCGTAGAGTCTCCTTGACAACAGCGCGGGTCCACTGGAGTTTCTCAATCGCATCGAGCGAGAGAGGAGCATGAATGTCGCCGTTTCTGGCCTTGATGTTTTCCTCGCGGACCTTGACAAGAAACTCGGGTCGGTCGGCCATGATTTGGAAGAGCCAGGTAGCGGCAGAGGAGGTAGCGTCCTGGGAGGCAAAGAGAAATGTGAAAATGGTCATGGAAATCTCGAGGTCGCTGAACCAGCGGATGACCGTGGATGGCTTCTCCGAATCGTCAACCTTCTCGCCTGCCTCGATCCTCTTGCGGTATTTATCCGATTGGATCATGTTGTCAACCCAAAAATCGAGAATGCATTCCTTCTTGCCACCCGCAGACATACGAACCTTGCTCTTCGCGGCGCACTTGGAGAACTCCTCCAGAACCATGTCGGCACACTTCTTGCCGTACCAGCTCTTGGTGAAGGGAAGGATGATGGGGAAGTTGACAAGTTCGAGCGCGGCAGTGATCAGGTAGTAGTCGTCGGCGATCTTTTTGACGGCTTCGTCCGAGCAGTAGTGGCCAACGAATGTCCGGCAGCTCAGGGCTGTGATCATCAAGCGAAATTCTTGCATCCAAGGAACGTGCTTGCCCTTGTTCTCCTCCTGCGAAATGCGAACGAACCGCTTGAAGTAGTGGTTGTAGATCTCCTCTTGACCTGGTAGGTACTGCTCGAGCGCCTGACGGGTGAACAAGCTATTCAGACCCTTGCGGTAATCGACGTGGGCGCGACCGTCGAGGAAGACCCAGTTCTCAGGGCGAAGAAGTTTGTAGGCGGCATCGACAACGCAGGGCTTGACGAAGGCAGGCGAATTGAAAATTTTGCGCGCCATGTCGCGTGTCGAGGCAATGACGACGAATCTGGCAGACTTGTAAGTAGATGGAAGAGCCAGAAGCACGCGACCTTCTGACAGAGCGCAAAGGCAAAAGGAGTAGGGCGCCTACTTGTGGAAGACGGATACGCAGCTCAAAGGACCCGAAGCCCATTTTGCGTAATATTTTGTAAAGTCTGGGTTTACAGACTCAAGGAAAGGTCCTATGAAAGGCGCCTTCCAAGCAGGACCGACAATCGAGCCCTTGTTCCAGATGTATTTGACTGTGCGACGGTCAGTATTCGCCGGCGCAAACCCATGAACAAATCATACATTGATCGTAGACCACAGCCGTGACAAGAAGTGTCAGGAGAAGCTTCCACACGGTGAAGCCGGTGAAGACGGTAGAAAGGAGGCCATTGGTGTCAAACTGTTGTATCATGTGGGCGACTTTCGCATCCGCCGTTGGCGAGACGAAGCTCGCGTTGACCGCCATGGGGAAGTGCAGAAATTGCGCGGCGCTCGAGATATCGGTGGAAAGAAGGACGCGACGATCGCGAGGGAGGAACCGTAGGAACACCTAGAAATATCAATTGAACCCTCCCGAGAAAACCTCAGGGCTGACAGATCAAAAAGAGGGACTTTAATTAAGCCCGCGGGCAAGCGTTGGCCGATGCGCGAGATGTGATTGCACTGGCAGTGCTCCTTTTGCGCCCCACTTGTCCGAACGAGGACTAGACTCCGATCCGGGATCCCGGCTTCTTGACTCTTCCGGCCGACGTTGAGTGCCCAGGTATGTGGTGCCCATGGTGGCGTACAGCGATGTGATCATCTTCATGGCATACAAAGTTGGGGAGAAGAGGAAGAAACAAAATGGCATTTGACGTCAGATGTTTACGGCAAGGATCCTGCGATGTCTCAGATCCACATGCCGCCCGCTTCGCTGGTTTTCAGGTACACAGCCAATCAATCGGCTTACTCATCCGATCGCGCAACCATCGTGACATATCCTGCTTGTACGTCGCATGTCCATGGGGTGATCAGGTACCCGAGGATTAGATTTCATATTTGTGGGCTACAGGCTACAGGAAATCACATTGAGATGTGTGCATACTCTTCTCAAGCCTCAGCCTCTGTTGCCGATTTGGTTGCGTTCCGCGTCTCCCCATGCGCGTCATCAAAGGTACCTTCGACCGGTCCCTCTATACCCAATCAGATGACCCGTTGCCCTTTGGCCAATATTTACCCTCGGTGATAGGGTACTTGCATTTGGTGTCAAGCACAGAGTCGATACCCCATCGCTCACGGAGTAGTGATTCCATTTCTCGCTCTGAAAACCCACCGCTGAGGGTCCCCAGATCCAACGAAGCGGGCGCGAGATAGAAATCGGCCACTCCCCGTAGAGGATAGACTGATTTCTCCTATCGACTCATTAGCTGAATGCATGGAGATATTATGATCACTGCAAAGGGGGGGGGGGGGCTGGAATGCTTCAACTTTCGACGTGTTTGAGGCTGGAGCGGATCGTAGATATGTACTCACAAGTTCCCATTGCTCCTTACTCAGAGCAAACAATCCCGTCAGATCTCGTGGAAAGGGCCACATCATCTCGTCGTGATGTGTGATCTTGACTGTCGTACCTTCACGGTCAAACATTGTCATATAAACCGTATTCCTGATGGCTTGAAGGAAGTTCACAAATCGGCGATCCTCGGACGAATACAGATCGTTGTCCAAGGTCGGTAGTTCAGTCATCATGATGAACTCAATGCTGAGCTCAGTTTGTAGCGACGTGTGCACTAACTCTTCCAGTGCAGATAATGAAGTGTATACGTGACGCAAAAAGTGTCGCTCGTATGTATACTGCTCCTCTTCAGTCGTGTTTAGGGGCATGTTAGATTCGAAATGCTCCAGCTTGACGCGAACCTGTAAGCTGCGGACCCACTGAGCAGGAACAGAGAATGGTTCCAGCCTGAGGGCTCTAGGAAGTTGAGGGGGATCTCCGTTTCTCCATGTTTTGAAATTATAACCCGGATGTAGTTGGAGAAAGTTATGTATTGCTCCTTCCATGTTGCAAACGGAAAAGGTATTATTTTTGTAGTACACCTTTTGCGCCTCGGCCATGATTGCTTGTCCCACGTATCTTGGATTTAGTACGTGACTGTTTGGCATAATCAAGTCAGAGGGCGGCTTCTGGCTATGATCATACTTGACGCGACCGTCCGGTAGGATGACACTATTGGTTCCAAAGTCGATGATTTCGTCGTCAGATTCGATGTCTACGAACATCTCACTTTCATCATGCGCCAAAGCCCTTCCAGTGTTGTCTCTAGTATCACGGCTTGTGATACCCGTGTTCGGCGTCGGGTCAACGAAATCGTCAAAGCGAATGTTGCCGAGGATCCCTGTGGGCCTAGGGTTCAGAAGTCCGTCGTACTTGCGGAAATGATAATAAGGCCCTACAGGTATTGGCCGCTCTTCGATGAGAAGATACTGATACACTAGGTCTTGTAGCTCTGTCGGCAGTTTTCCGCGCATCAACTTGGTGAACTGAAGACAATCTGCTCTTGCACAGCGAATCAAGTGTTTACGATAAGTGGCGTTGACGGCAGACTCCTCTTGGGTGGCTTTTTCGAGTTCGTGCTGCAAACTTTCAATTCTGCCGTACGATCAGCTCGATAATAATGGCTTCCAAATTGCTAAATCTACCGTTCATGCTTCCGTTTTGACTGTGCACTGAGTCCACGAAGAGGCGCCTTCAGGGCCTCTATGTCACTAGGGCTCGCCATTGCGGTGGTCATCGAAGATAGATGCAGGATAGGGCGAACATTCATAGATGCCCACATGAAGCGATCAAGGCTGAACTTATTAAGCGAGGTGCCCCGCATTGGTCAAGTCAAGACGCGTCGACGCGTTCCGAAGCCCCCACGCGGTCACGCCCTCTGCTCACTTTCATCTCAACCTCGGCATGGGTTGTTATGGCCACAATCAAGGCCATCGAGGGCCGTTCTGTACATCAGATACAGTCTGGACAGGTTATTGTCGATCTGCAGTCGGTCTGTAAAGAGCTTGTGGAGAACAGCATTGATGCCGGCGCCACGTCGATTGGTACGCAATTCAATTCCACGGCTCGGCTGCACAACTGACATAACGAAGAGGTGCGCTTCAGGAACAATGGGCTCGATGCCATCGAAGTCCAGGATAACGGCTCTGGCATTACGCCAGACGACTACGAGACGATAGCCCTCAAGCACTACACATCCAAGCTTGCAAGCTATGATGACCTCGCCTCGCTGCAGACGTTCGGCTTCCGCGGCGAAGCACTATCCTCGCTCTCCGCCTTGTCCAAGTTCCACATCATCACAGCTCGAGCCACCGACGGAGCGAAGGGTACAAAGCTCGAGTTTGAGCAGTCGGGGAAGTTGAAGGGAACGTCTGTGGTAGCGGCCAAACAGGGCACAACAGTAGCCGTAGAGACACTCTTCTATAATTTACCTGTGAGGCGGAAGGAGCTAGAAAAGAACATTAAGAGGGAGTACAACAAGGTGCTACAGCTGCTTAATGCATATGCCTGTATTAGTATCGGCGTCAAGTTCTCCGTTAGCAACCAGGTGCCGAAGGGGTAAGCGAGACATACACGATGCTACTACATTGGTCTAACGCGAGAAAAGGAAGAAAACGATAGCGTTCTTGACCAACGCAAACCTAAGCACGAAAGACAACATCTCGAACGTATACGGTGCCAAGACTATCACTGCCTTGGTCCCTCTCAACCTCGAATTCGACATGGATCCCTCTGATCGACCAGGTGCCACACAGAGCGCACGTAATTGGAGCACACAAGTAGATTCTGGCTCACACACAGTCAAAATCGTGGGTCATATCTCGCGTCCCGTTGTAGGGGAAGGTCGTCAAACGCCGGACAGGCAGATGTTCTTCGTCAATTCGCGACCCTGCAACCTACCTCAAGTTGCCAAAGCCTTCAACGAAGCGTATAAATCTTTCAACATCACTCAGTCGCCATTCGTGTTTGCGGATATCAAACTCGACACGAACGCATATGATGTAAATGTCAGCCCGGACAAGAGAACGATCATGCTGCACGACCAGGCAGCGCTCTTGGAAAGCCTAAAGCAATCTCTCTTGGAGCTGTTCGAGGGGCACGATCAAAGCGTACCCCAAGCTCAGCTGCCGGGACAGAAGGCAGGCATGTTAGCTTTCAAACCACACTCCATTCAGCCTCGAGATAGTACTGGCCCAACCGTTCCTAAAGGTCGCAGTGATTCCGAGCGGGAAAGTGGAGACTGTGGGCAACATTCAGATACGGCCGAAGTGCCTTCTTCGCCCGAGAGACTCGAAAAAACACCCCGTACAGGATTCATCAGAGCGAGTCTTATCGACAGCTTTGCTGGCCGAGATGCAGAGCACAGGGTTATTCGCCCATTGGTGAGACGAAGAAGCAACAGCTCCCAGGGAATCGATAAAATAATGGAAGAGCGCGTGTTCCACCCAATTGAACAGCAACGCAGCGCATCGCCAGACCAACATCGTATAGACCAACTATCACCGCAGAGATCTCAGTCGCCATTGTTCGAGCCGGAGAAAGCCGAATCTCATGTTCCGATCCGACTATCACAGCCCTCACGGGTTGTGCAGGACTTCAACACGCGCATAACATCCCAGAATGCGCATCAAGTCGAACGAGACCGATCCCCCAGAGCGCCTGAACTTGACGCGGCCGAGGACAAGGCAGAGGAGCGCATCCCAACAATCACACAGACACCCAAAGAACCTCTATCGCAAAGCATAATCCAGAACGCATTTGACCGTATGCGTCCCACACGAACGCCAGTTCAACAAGCCACGATTACCATCGGCGATACAACGACCGTATCTACAATTGGGTCGGATAGTCAGAGAACATCATCGAAGCGCGCAAGGATTCATACACCAAAGTTCTCGCTATCTGGCAGGCCTTTGGATCAGACACCAATAACGTCTTTGTTCAAGAAGAATCTGATTAGCTTTGCAGCACCAGGAACACAAGTAGATAACAGCGATGGAGAGGAAAGCGAGAGTGAGAGTGGTCAAAACAGTACTATATCGGATGCACCTATTCGCTCTCCCTCTCCACATAAACGTCACCCATCGAAAGCATTCAAAGCGCGAAAAATCGATGATCTAGTAGATTCATCAAGTACCCAATCGCCAGCTCTGCAAGTCGTGGAGGAAAATTCTACAGAAGAAGACATCGCATCTGGAGCTGAACTTGAACCTCAACTCGAAGCCGAGAAAGCTGAAGACTCAGATGATGAATACATCGACGATACAGAGAAGAAAGCTAGAGAAGAAGCAATGATAGCACAAATGATTACCGAGGCTGAAGAAGCTGCCGCTCGCCCAACCGACCTAAACTTGAAGCGTGCGAGCAAGCTGTTCAAGGTTACGCAGAAGAAGTATTGGACTATAAATGTCGAGCGTGTCATCGAGACGGATGTCGATTCGATTGCTCAGCATCTGCACAATATTCAATCATCCATCAATACGTCAATAGCAGCATCTGAGAAGGCAGCTCTCTTTCCTAGCAGTACACAGCTGAACAAAGAAGACCCCGAAGAACGACTCAGTCTCACGGTGACCAAGCTAGACTTCAACGAGATGCGCATCATCGGCCAGTTCAACTTGGGTTTCATCATCGCTGTGCGACCGCCAACTACTACGTCACCTACTTCAGACCTCTTCATCATTGACCAACATGCTAGTGATGAGAAGTACAATTTTGAGCGTTTCTCTGCAACAACCACACTGGTTCCGCAACGACTTGTACACCCACACCCCCTAGAGCTTACGGCGGTGGAGCAAGAAATCATACTAGCAAACGAGCACGCACTCACGGCTAACGGTTTCGTCATTGAACTAAACTCGTCTGACGAGAATGATACAACCCATCGTGCGAAACTAACGTCCTTGCCAATGTCGAGAGAGGTCACATTTACGCCCACAGACCTCGAAGAGCTTCTCGCGCTCATTTTAGATGACCCACCTTCATCGTCGACATCAACTTCACCACACATTCCGCGTCCTTCGAAGGTCCGGAAACTGCTCGCCAGCCGCGCATGCAGAAGCTCAGTCATGATCGGCAAAACCCTCCAGCATACCCGTATGAAGGAAATTGTTCGACACATGGGTAGCATGGATAAGCCTTGGTCTTGTCCCCATGGACGACCTACGATGCGGCATCTGTATGGGCTGGAGAAGTGGCAGGGATGGTCTGAGGGAGACGGTGTTACTGGGATTGATGTACAAGGGGGGAAGACTGACTGGGCAGCGTTCCTGGGGAAAAATAGACGTGGATAAGAATCAGCGGTTGCGTCGTTGGGTTCTGATAGAGGCATATGTGATATTCGGTGCTTTGGACTAGTTTACTTGCAAATATGGCTGGAGTTAGGCAACGTTTGCATATTATACCCTCGTATGTACACACTTGATCTTAGAAGACATATCTTCGAATAGCATCATTGTTCAAATCAAGCACCTGTCGGGAGTAGGAGATGGCGGGAAGAAAGTGGATTAGCTAAAGGGAAAATATTATTTCTTAGTTAAGAACTTTTACAGATTGTACTGCGCTAAGAAACGGTGTCATTGACAACAACTAAGGCATCATCTGGAATATCACAGAAAAGGCTGCAACTGTTCCATCACAGCCGTGAACTATGATATAAAGCGATTATGCTTAGGCACAAGACGTTAATAAATGCAAAAGAAGATCTCGTTCAAACAATATTGATCCTGATACCAAACGGATCAAAGCTACACAGTGACAATAGCAAATTTCCACCCCTATTACATGCCCTCGCCAGAACTAACCAATACAAGAACGAACTATAAACAAGTGAATCACGCAGTAGCAACGCCAGCCACTCCCATGGTGAAGACTTTCCAACCGATCCCATCAATCCGTGTAGGTAAACCACATCAAGTATAAACACTCTCCGTAAACGAGTTCACCGCCAGACCCCTCTCGGCCAATTCCGCGTTCTCTAGGAACTTCAACTGCATCCAAACCAAATGCCCCTTGATACGATCCAACTCCTGCCTGATCTCCTGCACAGGTCGAACCTTGTCATACAAATGGCCCTGCTTGTGATCCTTATCCGCCTTCGGGTTTGGCGTAAAGGCATCGTAGTCTTCGAACGTAAGAATGGAGTCATCGGGGTCTGCGTGAAACAAGCTGCGGAAGACCTCGGTATTCGTGCCCGCGCGCTCAAACCACTCGTCCCAGAGTTTCGGGGAAAGCGGGTCAGAGACGAAGTCTGCTTCTGGGCCAGGAAGTGGGTCGTTGCGGGAGTTCTCATTGGGAGGTTGGGCATTCGGGTCGTCTGTTGCGTCGAGGGATTGTGGGGGGAGGAGGCCCAGGTGCTCGCGCCACAAATTACTGCGCAGCTCGTGGGCGAGGCGCGCGGCTTTGTAGGGCTTGCCGTCCATTTCGATCTCGACCTCGTCCTGGTCCTGCAGAACAATTGACAGCTCGGAATCGTGGAAGCCGAGCTGCGAGCGGTCGTTGATGTTAGAGGAGCCGCAGATGACATACTTGTCATCGACGATGCAGATTTTGGCATGCACATATAATTCCTCCTGGAAGAAGTGCTCTTTCTCTTCTTCTGGGTCGCCTTCCCATGGTTCGGCACTCGGTTTCTTCTCGGTGAGCATGGCATCGTCAGCGATGGAGTCTGGGTCGATTACACCACCCTGGTCGCCTAACCCGACGTCTTCATGCTCTCCAGCAAACTTCTTCCTCAACGCTGCTGCATTTCGTCGTGCTTCTTCTCCACTTTCTTCGAGTGGCGCCTCCAGCTCTTCGATTTCAGCTTGTTCCAGATCCATGTAGCTCATACCAGATTCCTCCTCGCGCTTCTTGAGCGACGGAGTAACATTGATACGATCGTATGAACGGAGGTTGAAGAAGAAGAAATGTTTATCTGGGTCGACACCCTGTGCTCTGACACGCCCAAAGATGCTCTCCTCTCCACGGCATATGCTCTTGAACTGGTAATCCATGATAGCTCTTGTACCGGCGGCTGCATTGTCTCGTAGGTCTCCTGCGAAACCTGGAACCGCTGGAATCACGACGATGATTTTGAAATTTCTGCCTTCTTTAGATGCCCTTACAGCCGCATCGACCATAGCAGCTCCTATTTGGTTGTGAACTGCGTTTTCGTTGCGTTGGCTGGTCGCCGTGATGAAGAATTGGTTTTCGATGTACACGTAGTGTTGTGCGTTGCGAATAATTTCGCAATATGCGTTTTGGATACTCTGCTCGTGCGGTAGGAGGCCCATACTCCAATCTGCACTACTCCTGACAAGCTGGGCATGCACAGTGCCACGGTTGTCGAGATTCTTTGTGCTGAGTTGGGTTATCGGATGATGCGTATAGTCACCAACAGGAAATTTGGGTCTTTGTACACCGATTAAGTCTTCGTCCTCGCCTTCTCGTCCTTCCATAGTAAGCCAGTCGTATCGCTCATCGCGTTTGTACTTGTCTCGCTTCATGAAGTTCCATCGCAAGACGAAATGCTCCGCAATATCATATACTGCCGGTCCAATGACACCCATAGAGACGTCATGCCAGGGCATTCGACCGTACTCAAGCTTGTTAAGCTTGTTCGATTTCCAGTCAGCGACACCTTCGAAGTCCAATATGCGGTTGTTGTTGAAGTCCTGGCCTGGGAAGATCTGGTTCTGAATGCCAGAAGGATGTACATCGGACAGTGGATGTTGCTTCTCGTCCCAGCGCCCGTAACACAAATCTAGCCCACCGATGAAGGCCATAGCATAGTCGATGACGATGAACTTCTCATGATGCGCCCAGTAGAAGGTCATGTCCGAGGCGTTCTCGAAAACATTGTGGTCGGGGTGCCTCATGACTGTGATGTTTCCATAGCCAGGCTCGCCCTCTTTGAACATGCCCATGAGGGCCTTTTTGGTATGTTGACTATTGCAGGTAATAGCCGCAGTGACCTTGACAGAAATCAGCTTCTGAGGAGCAAAGAATCATGCAATGTCTTACCTCTTTGTACACGGAGATGTAGATCTTCACACCAGCCTGTGCTCGTCGCTTGAGAACCTGATCTAACCTATGTTTCTGGTTGTAGAAAGGCGGCCTCTTCAAGAACAGTTCAGGGCTTAGCCACCAATCTGCAATATAGATGGTCTCTTTGGCTTGCTCCAATGCCTCGGCAACAGCCCAGAAATAGTCCCTACCGTCAACATACCACTTGACGATGTTCCCATCTCTTTCTGGTGCAAACGAATTGAAGCGGTGACTTTCACAAATCTTGGACCTCTTCTCATCCGTCTTCCTCTCATGCTCCTCATCGTGGCGATGGTTGGCATTGAAGATGTTGGTAAACTTTCCGACCTTGTGCTTTGCATGGACCGCTTTGACGTGAACATCGCTTAGTTTGGTGTGGTCGAGTTTCTCTTGCACTTCTTGCAGTTTCTCGCTCGCCCGGTGGTTGAATGGATGGAAAAGTTTCTCTTTGAGGCCACGCTTACCCTTACCGTCTGATGCGGACATGTTTGGGCCGTGCGTTGCGATCTACGAACGCAAGGGGAACGAATGCGATGCTGAGGCGCAGGAAAGTGAGGCTTTGCGTGGAAAGCACTGTCGCGTGTCCTGCTTGTCTTGTAGGCCCGCGGAGGGATGGAGAAACCTGTATTCACTGGTACCTACTTGGCACTTGTTACAAGAATAGCGGGCTGGGGTGCATGGAGGGGCAGGCAGGAGGTGTATGACATCACTGCGCTAGCCGCTTGCAGTCAGGCTCCATGCGAACTCGCAAAGTTTACGTGCGGCAGTAACCATTTTTGCGCATATCACCGTCACAAGACGGGCCTGATTTTCGTTTATCATGCATATAAACTATATGGCAATGATCTGTGTATCTTTCCCCACTTCTGTTGGCTTCAAGGCGCCCTCACAATGCACTAGCCGGCAACCCCTTCCGATCCTTGCAAACCCCCAGGTACCGTACACGGGCAACATCAGTTCGCATAAAACAACGGATAGATTGAAATTTCTTGCCCGTCGCTCTCTATTCCCCACTGCAGTTATGTAAAGTTGTGGCTTTTGACCTCAATCGCGGGTCGTAAACCTGTTCCAACTCGAGACGACTCCTCGGCCCGAAACAAGCTTTCGGTAAATCGCTCCTGTCTCTCTTCTCCTGCATCTTGGCACGTCTGGTGGCATATGCTAAAAATATAGCATAGGGATTCCCTCAACCTCAACCATACGCATAACGTGGAATAAATATACAATTCTTACATTGATAATGACATTTACAGCATAACCCATACCGTCGTCAACGTGTACTAAACCCTTTCAGTACATCGTGTATCGTAATGTCTGTCCCTCTATCATGCCCGACCCACGTGCACCGACATCCATCTTAGCCAAGAATTGTAAATGTCGCATGTCCTGATGACTTATGGCGCCTGCCCAATGAACCGGAACGCCTCGCTCGAAACGCAGAAACAATAAACTGACAACCATGTGAAAAAGGCACGCTATTCGCCCTGTCATAGTGCATCCCAAATCCTTGAGAGCACACTACGCCTCCGTGGGTTCGCCGACCCTGAAGTAAAAAACGACGGTGTTGAACTTTCGAAATGATGAAACAATGACTACCTCCAAGGATTCGCCGACCCGTGAGGTAAACAATCGAGATGATCAAACAACGACTGGCCAGCCGTTCTTGATTTCAAGGTAGTTGTACCCAAAGAAGAACTGATGAGCCTGATACCCGACACTCCGCCGCACTATCCATGTCAGCCCTTTATCCTTTGCTCGGAGCGTCATGTACACTTACCGTAGTGATAATACAGAACCATCTTGCCAGTCTCCGGGTGCTCCATGATGCCTTGACCGCCCGGTGCATATATATCACCATGACTAGCAAGGATAGTAGTACCACCGCTCTCAGTTAGACAGTTTTTGCCTTGTTGATCGAAGTAAGGTCCGGTAATCGAATCTGATCGACAAACAGCGACGTGGTATTCGTCTCCTGGAGGCACGAGATCCTTCTCTGTGCGACAGCACTGGCCGACGGAGAATAATATATAGTAAAAGCCGCCGAACTTGTGCATGGACGCACCCTCCACGACAGCTTGGTTGACGGTGGTGTTGCCAACGATGTTCGTGATATCATTCGCCTGTCCTCCCCAGGCAATGAGGTCCTGATGATCATGCATCTCGACTTGCTGGATTCCGCTCCAGTAACTACCGAAGGTAAAGTAATACGGGCTGTCGGCTTGTTCTTGGAAGACGTAAGGGTCGATCAGGTTGTATCTCGAATTTTGAGGGAGGCCAATTGCGCCGTGGTCTTTCCAGGTGCCCGGTTCGAGGGACGTAGAGGTCGCGACACCAATCTCGGAGTGTTGGGAGTAGATGTAGGAGACGGAATAGTGGCAGTAGAAGACATCGTCGCGCTTGGATATCGAGGGAGCCTGGTGTTGTTTTAGCTATTGGTACGTATGGCTGGGATGCCTCAGGGGTCTGTGAATAGTGAGAGCTTACCCAGATATCCTGATCCTCGCGGATGAAGATGCTCGTGCCATCTGATAACAAGGCACCGCGATAGTGCCATGGCCCAGAGAGTGAAAGCGCACTAGCAACTGATATATTGCCACTGGTGGAAAATCGCCAGTAGACGCCGTCTTCGTAGAACATACTTGGGTCATGGATCCCTTGCAGAAAGTTAGGGTATCTCTCGCGTCTATTTTGCACATGAAATCTACGTACCTGTACAGTCCCCATGGCAAGGCTCCGGCTCGGGGTAGTATCCTGAGATAGGTGCTTGATCGTGTGCTTGCGGATCCGGTTTCGGGTGTGGTTGCGGCTCTGGCTGCGGTTGAGGAACTGGTCCAGGCCCTGGCGAGGGCACTGGCACTGGAGCAGGTACGGGAGAAGCGAGTGCGCCCTGTAGTAGAAATGGTAGGAAGGTCGCGCTAGTTATGGCGAGTGATATAAGCATTGCGCTCGTAAATCGCGCAATAGCTGAGTCCCGCAGAAACATTTTACAGGCTCTTTAACGTTTGTACAGTGATATGAAAACAGGAGATAATGAAAAGCAATGGGTACAAAAGCGGATGGAGTTCTTAAGCAGAGAGTGAAATATAAGTACGTGAAGCGTAATGAGAATCACCATGGTCACGCCGACACCGACGTCAACATCGGCCGCGTTTGCACCCCGGCTGACCGCCGAAGGCCAAAAGGGAAAATTGCGACTTTGGGGAACCATCGTATAAGTCCCCGTGACTGGTGTCGGCTGGGGATGTGAGTAGGAGATGCCGTGAAGTGAATTGCTACCTTACTATTGGTCGAATCTCAACGGTTTGTACCTCCGTATCAAGTTTATTAATATCCGCAACGCCCTATATCAGTCATGTGGAGACAACGGGGGAGCGTCAGATGCTCTGACTCGGACCTCCGAAGATTCTCGTAATGATTACAGCGGTGAAGAGCCCACAGTGATGACCTAATAGCTTTTCAAGATAACATTGACCGCCGAGGTGAAGGCGGCTGTGTGATCGCAGATCTCACATTCCATATCAAGCTTCCGAGTTGAAGATGCAGGCCAACATGTAGAGTGCTACTGATATGTGTGCCTCGTAAGGGAAGGTCTCCAACAGTCGTCGCGCACCACAGTTAGGTAGCACTAAGGTCCAGCTCCGAGTGTGGCAAATGATGTCAGCAGTGGACATCCGATGCGGCTTCGAGATACTGGGTACACAATATCCGCCACGTGCCGTGTAATCGTTGGTGTTTGTACTAGTTGTGAGACGTTGAGCGACCCTATAACTCGATCGGCGGCGGCGGAGAGGTTTGTGATATGAGCTATCAGCGTTCGTCAAGTGTCCACTAACCAACTTACCATTGGGGTGCGAGGAATTCCATTTATCCGTAGCTACGTAGTTAAAATATATGAATAACGCTTCGACTAAGCTCCTGGTTGGGGCGCAACGTGGCTACGACCACAGCATCGTTTCTGTGTCACAGAACGCCAGCTTGCAGCTAGCTGCCTCGAAATAGGAAATCCTATCTCCAATACCGTTTTTGTGTCCCGCACTCATGGGATCTACGCATGCTGTATCTAGTATCGGTTGAAGCGCCTCGAGTTTTTTTTTCAGATTAACTGGGAAATACGAGATTACTAGAAGACTTTCAAGTTATATCGTCTATAGAAACGGGCGAGTGTTTGAAAGTGGAACGTAACATGCTTACGAATCAGAGTCGGTCGTAGCTGTAAAGATATCAATAGATCTGCAGTTGTCTGTATATTGATTCGAATAGGCGGAAATCTTTCGGAGCCAGCTAAATTTGTTGTTCACGAAGGTCGCGCAAAAGTAGCGGTGACGAAAGACTACTCATTCACCTGCCTCATCCGTGCCATCCGTGCCAGTTTTTCTCTTCTTTTACGTGGCTTGTGATATCTAGCTCGGCGCCTGGTATCCTTCTACATCGGTGCTGTTACTCCACTTCTCGAACTTCTTTACGCTCTCGTTGTAAGACTCGAGCTTTTTGTTGATCAGCGTATACGCATCGGTGCCAACTGCACATCGAATCGGTGGTTCATCCATTACAGCCAAGTCATAGAAGACCTTTGCAGCCTTGGCTGGATCACCAGCTTGCGTATGATGGCGGCGTTGTGCATTTTCCCGTGCATTAATATGGTCGTATGCTGGGTTTGAAACTTCGCCGAAGTCCATGCTACGGCCCGCCCAGTCCGTTCGGAAGCCGCCAGGCTCGATACAGGTGAACTTAATTCCCCATTCGGGCTTTACCTCCTTGGAGATGGCTTCGGTAAAGCCCTCGACTGCCCATTTACTGGCACAGTAGACGGAATAGCTAGGAACGCCTATCCCGAGTTAGTACCGAGTGCAACATTTGTGAGGTAAAAACACGATCACTCACCGACCTGACCGCCAACTGAAGTCACTTGCTGGATGACACCCCCCGTCCCCAAGTCGCGCATCGTCTCCATCGCCTTCCTTGTCACATCAATAAGCCCGAAGAAGTTGACCTCCATCTGCTGCCTAATTTGCTTCTCTGACAGAGTCTCAAAAGGCCCATTTAGTCCAAAGCCAGCGTTGTTGACTACAACATCAACGCGCTTAAACTTCTTGATAGTAGCGTCAAAGGCTCTGTCGATGGATTCCTTGTCTGTGACATCGAGATCGACTAGTAGGCTGTTGGAGTCGTTGGCACCGTCGAAGGCCAACTTCGAGCTATTGCGAGCAGTGGCGACGACGTAGTCACCACTTTTGAGGACGACTTTGACGAGCTCCTCGCCAAAGCCGGTGGAGGTGCCGGTGATAAAAAAGATGCGGGGTACCATGGCGGGTTTGTTGAGTCAAGATGAAGGAATTTGAATAATCAGATCAAGCGTACCGACTGTTACGTGCAATTTCCTAGGTATGGTCCTGGTGGATTTTCGACTGCTATATACCTTAAGAGGGCAAGCTACGTCAATAGGACGTAACGGACTTAGCGTCAAAATGGAGATAAGAGCCATCAGGGAAAAGCCAGGAAGTATCGAAGTGGAGAACAAGGGGTTCGCAGTGTGGGTAGAGATCTTTCTGACGTTGACATTAGCAAGTTGTGTGGCTTGTTAGAGGACCCTTGGTGACAAATTGCACGTGTTGGTAGTAAACTGCTGCTCTCCGATGCGCCAAGAAGGTGACGTTACTGGACATGAAGGTAAATGCCGGCTAAAGCCGTGTTGCAAAACTCGCCGCATACTGCGACATTTGCCAACTGCGAAGCGGCAGTGTATCGATGCGAAGAAGCGGAAGTTATAACTATATAGCTCTGGTACTGCTAGGACGCCAGACGCTCCCTGGAATGCTCGAGTTAAAAGGACGTTCGACATGGATATGACGAGATAAATGTGATTTGATAAAACCACCTGGGCAATTGGAAAAACTGGCCCTAGACTAAAGATAGGTGCCTAGGTAGGTTGAAGTCACAGCAATGCTGCTAGGCCTGAAGAAGAGATGTAATTGATCGAAGGACGCGTGAGACCGAAGGAGATTAGCGTAGAACGCGCTGCTGCACAACCTTGGAATTTACGCGATTGCGCTTGCCAGCCCTGAATCTGCCCCTCAACTCCGCAGCAACTTCTACAACACAGCGACTATTCACTTCAGATAGCCTGCTTTTTGTACTAAGCTCCTTGAATTCCATTGTCGTGTATAAGCCTGAGTTCAACAACACCGGCACCAACGCATACTCTACAACATGGCTGAGGTGATAAGGGATGAAGAGGTGCGCAGGCGCGTACGACTTGCACTCGAGTTCCTCGACCCAGGTATGATCGGAACTATCTTGCGAAGGACTACGAACTGATGGTAGTACAGATGATGTCTCTCGACGCAGGTATGCGACAATAACTTACCCCACAAGCGCATACTGACTGCTCAGCTACCGCCCTGACATTTTGGTGATGCTGAACCGAGGCATGCGGAGACTCAGAGTACGTCCAAACTCAGTCTTATTACACACCTCTACTAATTCTTTTCAGGTCAGCATAGACGAGATCCGATCACACAACCGCGAGCTCGCCGATGGTCTCCTGAACCAGCCCTTCGAATTCGTAGAAGCCTTCGATCGCGCCCTTAAGGACGTCGTACGCACTTTCACAGACCGCCCAAAGTCCGAGACTAGCGAGGATGTGGTGTATTACTGCGCATACATTGGCAGCTTCGGCGAGTTCTCTGTCAATCCCCGAACGCTGAGCTCAAACCAGCTCAACCATATGGTGTCGCTAGAGGGCATTGTCACTAAGACATCGCTTGTACGGCCGAAGGTGGTCAAGAGTGTGCATTACAACGAGAATAAGCAGAAGTTTCATTACAGGGAGTATAGGGATCAGACTATGACTACAGGCGCGGCGAGCACGAGCGTGTACCCCACAGATGATGGTGAGGGCAATGCAGTGAGTGCAACAAGCGTAGCATATACTACAGGATGCTGATTATATTTAGTTAGTTACAGAGTACGGCTACTGCATTTACCGCGATCACCAGACTATCTCGATTCAGGAAATGCCAGAGCGCGCCCCCGCTGGTCAGCTCCCGCGCTCTGTCGATGTTATTATGGACGACGACCTTGTAGATCAGGTCAAGCCTGGTGACAGAATACAACTTGTCGGCATCTATCGATCCCTCGGTAATCGCAATGCCGGAACAGGCAGCTCTACCTTCCGGACACTGATCCTTGCGAACAACGTCATCTTGTTATCGTCGAAGTCTGGCGGCGGTATTGCGCAGGTCAGCATCACCGACACCGATATCCGTAACATTAACAAGATTGCGAAGAACAAGCGAGTCTTCGAGTTGCTCTCGCAGTCATTAGCGCCTTCCATCTACGGCCATGACTACATCAAAAAGGCCATACTGTTACTGCTTCTGGGAGGGCAAGAGAAGAATTTAGACAATGGCACCCATCTGAGAGGAGACATTAATATCCTCATGGTCGGTGACCCATCGACAGCCAAGTCGCAGTTGCTCCGATTCGTCCTGAATACTGCTCCTCTCGCCATTGCTACGACTGGTCGTGGTTCGTCAGGTGTCGGTCTTACAGCAGCTGTTACCTCAGACAAGGAGACTGGCGAACGACGCCTCGAGGCTGGTGCCATGGTTCTCGCTGATCGCGGTGTTGTGTGTATCGACGAATTTGATAAGATGTCTGATGTCGATCGGGTAGCTATCCACGAAGTTATGGAGCAGCAGACCGTCACGATTGCCAAAGCTGGTATCCACACCTCGTTGAATGCTCGGTGCAGTGTCATCGCTGCTGCCAACCCTATCTTCGGCCAGTACGATATCCACAAAGACCCACACCGCAATATCGCACTTCCCGATTCCCTTCTCTCGCGTTTCGACTTGTTGTTCGTTGTTACGGACGACATTGAAGATGCGCGCGACAGGCAGATTTCCGAGCACGTCCTTCGCATGCACCGGTACCGCCAACCCGGCACCGAAGAAGGCGCACCCGTTCGAGAAGAAGGAGACCAACTTTTAGGTGTAGGTCTTGAGACCGATACTGACGCCAACCGCCCGACTGAGGTCTATGAAAAATTTAATCCCATGTTACACTCCGGCGTGACAATCACAGTCGGAAGAGGCGCATCACGAAGGACTGAAGTTCTTAGCATCCCCTTCATCAAGAAATACATACAGTACGCTAAGCGGGAGAAGCCGATCCTTACGAAGGGCGCGGCAGACCACATCGTAGCTGCCTACTCTGCGCTACGAAACGACGAATTAGATGCTGGCACCCGCCGCACCTCGCCCATCACAGCCCGTACCCTCGAAACACTCATTCGTCTGTCGACCGCCCATGCTAAGGCTCGTTTGTCGAAGCGTGTGGAGCAGAAGGACGCCGATGTGGCAGAACAAATTCTGCGCTTCGCTCTGTTCAAGGAGGTCGTTGAAGACGACCGCCGCAAGCGGAGACGGACAGTCCGCGACCCAGATGCTATGTCTACTGACGGGGAGTCCTCTGGCGATGACGACGAGGATGGCGATGAGCAGGAAACAACACAGACTCGCCGCACTGGCGGTCCTTCAACTCGCAGTCAACATACTGGTATAACACCAACACCAGCTGCTGTTGAGCATGAGGAAGATGACGAGGATGATAATGCGGATCTCTACGAAGTCACACCCAAAACTCAGCGCACGACGCAACGAACAACGGGCCGCACACAGTCCTCTCGTGCTGCCGCTTCGTCTTCTCAAGTCAGTGCTGCGTCGTCACGTCCAGAATCACAATTGCCGCCCACACAATCCGAATCGCAGGACTCACAGAGTATCACACCTGCGCGCGTGCAGGTCTTCCAAACAGCACTTGGACAACTCATCGATGGCCCACTATTTGCTAACGATGCTGCCGATGTCGAACCACTTGTTGCTGCAGTTAACGCACGACTGGGTGGCGGTACCGGACGCGAAGCATTTGGTGAGGACGAAGCGGAGAAAGCGCTTGAGGCGCTGAGTGAACGGAATAAGATTATGTACTCGGGCGGTATTGTGTACAAGATCTAGAGCGAACGCAGGCATGAGCACGATGGGATGACGAGATGATAGTACAACGGATGGGAATTCTTGGCATGTTTTGGCGTTTGGGTAGTGCGGAGTCCATTTGATAGTGCATTTGCAAATACCATGCCTGTATAAGAACGAGTGGTTGGTTTGCAAGTATACATTTATTGCGAATGGAAAGTTAGACTGACTTCAATTGCCATACTCGCAGACTTGAGTGGCAACAAGAAGCCGCTCGTACATTCAGCCACTGGACTACCCCATATAATGGGCTCACCGTTTACGCATCCTTTGTTACAGCAAGCCAATCGGCTTCAATATCGCTCTCCATGTCAAGAACTTTCGCTTCCCAACCCCACTGCGTAGCCCTCTCCGCATATGTGCGGCTATTACTCGCAAAAGCCAACTCTGCAAGACCAGGAAACCCGTCCAGCCCCCACGCCTTCTCCGCTTCTGTCAAGTCCACGTGCTTGACCTCTGTATCTGCAGGAATCTTGCCTAGCTTGAGTCCCACATTGATAATAGCATGCGCAAGTTCGTTCCAGGAGTTGCGAACCGTCCCAGAGAATAGGAGACCGTCCTTCCCACTCGGAACATCTTCGTCCTGAAGGATGCGGGAAATCAAGATCTTGAACAGCGCGACCAAGTCTTGGATATGCACACGATCCCACACCCCGTTGCCCTCACCGGCAACAGCCAAGTATCCATGCTTCAACACCGACTTGATGAAGACCGGAATCTGGATCGAGATCTTATTTCCCGGCCCAGCCCCGGTTCCATACACTGTAGGAAGCATAACGACGTGTGTCTTGACCCCTACCTCAAGCGCAGTGTCGATGACGTTGAGATCAGTTGTGCGCAGAGGATACGGTTCCTCGGCGTCGAGGCGCTTCTCAATCTCGTAAAGGGCGTTGGAGTCGAGGTCGGTAAACTCAAGGGGGATACCGAGCTTCTTGAATCGATCCGGTGCGCTGAATGGCCTGTCGGCGAAGTTCGATGTTCCAGAGGAGGCTTGAATGATGACGGGCGTTCGCAAATCTGGGTTCGCAAGCTTCCTATCCCCTAAGCCGAGAACCAGAGCCTTAGCATGCTCAGGCATAACGTTGTATGCGAAATTAACGATGATGTCGTAGTTGCTAGCAATATGGCGCAGTTCCGTAAGGTCCTCGGTATTTTGGAGGACGAGTGGCGTCACGTCGAGATTGGTGAAGAGAGAGGCCTGAGAAGAGGAACGAAGAAGGACAGAGTAAGTGGCAGACAGCAAGATAGAGTTGTTGGAGGTAAGGACCTCCGCGAGGAATCCTCCGCCACTGGAACTTTTGTTAGTGTTTGCAAAATAAGAAGTAGCATGGGAGAGGTCACAGGTAGCCAGTTGCTCCTGTTATGAGGATCTTTGGTGGTGCCATTGCTAATGAAGATAATGTTCGAGATGCCTCTTTGTAATAGGACGAAAACGTGGAGATTTTGTGAGATTCTTAGATTGTAGAAGTATTGGAAGTCTTCAGGATATGATGATGTTGGTGAAGCTTCCTCAGTACGCTCCTGGAAGCTTTATACTTCATGATGCCCATGCTTCCCGAGTTTTGGCCTTCCTGCTTTATAATGCCCTTTCTCCTGCTCAGGTATCTTCTCTACTCTTTTTATCTCTACTCTAGGGGTTGTTGGAGCACATTGGTTGACAGCCATGAACTATCGCTAGAAAAGCTTAGCGTCGCAACGATGTGTAAGCTTCCGCTTGCATGCATTTCTCAGCGTCAGTCCGCTCATATTTCCGCTGACTCCGCTCAGCGCTCCCACCATGCTAAAAATGACATCGTTTTGGTGTATGCCCGGTTTTCTCCTTAATTTCCCTAACGCGTTAGACTGCAGTTTAGACGCAGTCTAGAGTCTTCTGCATCACGGCATCTTTCCTTTAGCGCGTCGAAATAGAGATCGACAGTCCTCACCTCGATGTTAATTTCTCGATTTCGGGCGAAGGTACGCTGGACGGTAAGAGAATGCGCGGTATCGACCGACAATATTGTCTCGGGTCTGGTGTAAACAATGAACCGCGGTCTAGTTCGCAGCGCGTGCAATCATCCCGTTGTGGCCCAACCGGACCATCAACAGACGTCCCGAACACACTGCAACAGTCAGCTCTCGACGCTACAACTCACTCCTACGATCCTTGTTTCCTACCCCTACCAACCGAATGCGACAAAGCCGGAAGTCGTTAACCGCCTGTAGCGTTGAATCGCTCACAAGGCCCATCCTGATCCTTCACAGCCCGCGCTCTAACCCAGACAGGAGCTTCCATGTTCCTATACACTCCAAAAACAGTTACACAAACAGATCTGGAAAGGCGTTGTGGTGGGTAGGACAGCGTCTTTACTTAATGTCGATCAAACGTGTGCCCAAGATGAAGGACCGGTGGGTAAGATGTTGGGATTATCCATCGTTTAATAAGATTCGGCGCAATAGTTTCCTCCAACCCCAGTTGTCGGGTTGTTTTGTTTCGCAGCCTCGTTAACTTTTTTTTAAACCACTTTCGTTGGTATATCCGATTCTTAGCCCTACCTACTTTGCTTCAACGCTATGAAGCCATTCCTTTGGGTCGGCATTTTGCTGACGGCAGCGGCGGCCCAGTCAACACCCAACTCGAACGAAACGACTCCTTCGATACCAAATTCACCTGTTCGGGTCCGCCTCAACCCGGCTGGCATCCGCGATTTGAGCGACAGTGACTTCGTGACCTGGACTGTGCCTAATGCTGCTTCTGCGAATCTGAAGGGCAGTAATGGAACCGCTCTTTCGTTCACACTTTCCGCTGCTAGTGGCAAGCTGAGTGGCAATTATAACAAGGTTGTGTATACGCGCATGATAAGTTCGTTGGGCGAGCGCGTTATTGCCGAGGGAATCTCGACAGGAAACGACAATAGCAGTACCATTGGAGGTGCCGCGATCACGTTGAGCATTTCTGGTCTTCCTGCTGGCGAGCACTCACTGCTGGCGTGGCATAATGCTTGGGACAAGATCAACGCTACAGCCTCTGTAACGGTTACAGTTGATGGGAAAGAGGCAGCAAAGAGCGTCAAGCAAACTGTACGCGCAGACAATATATGGGAGGCTACCGCGTCGTACATTACCTTCACGGCGACTGCAGACAAGGCCGTCGTGATAGTGTATACACCTGACAAGTCCGGCGATGGACGAGTTTTCTTGAACGGATTCGAGATCGACACTCCGGATTTGGAGCATCAGATCAGCTTCCCAAGTCCTGCCCATCGTGATGAGAGAGTTGAAGTCACGGGAAATAGCACAGATATTACTGCGTCTTGGAGAGCTGCGAAGACTGAAGGTGCCACCTACAACGTCTATCTCGGTAAGTAGAGTCATGTTCCCTTATCAGAGCGCTGTATATCCCATTTAGCGATCACCAGGTTTTCCAAGTTCTATACTTCATCAGATTTTTACTGACCATAACGCTACCTCTAGGCACTTCGATCACCGAGCTTCAAAGCGTGGCTACTGGGCTGAGCAAGACCAGCACCACACTTGATGGAGTCAATGCTCATGATACATTTTATTGGCGCGTGGATGGTGTTGTTGGCTCTAAAACATACATCGGCCGCGTATTCATATTTCGCGGTGCTCAAGTAGCTTTTCCAGGAGCTGAAGGTTACGGGCGATTGGCGCGCGGTGGACGAGGCGGAAAAGTGATTCACGTTACATCTCTCGAAGACAGTGAGGCAGAGGGTACTCTTCGCTACGCCTTGACCAAGGCTTCTGGACCTCGTACCATTGTCTTCGATGTCGGCGGCGTCATCACCACCAAATCACGGATCTCTGTTAATGGCCAATACATTACCCTAGCCGGTCAAACGGCTCCAGGAAAGGGTATCGTCATTCAAGGATTTCCCCTTGGTCTCACCGGCGCCACGGATGTGATTTTCAGACATATCCGCGTACGCCCAGGTACAGTGTCAGGGCAGACGATTGATGGCATGGGCATGCAAGGCTCCAACTACGCCATATTCGATCACTGCAGCATGGGATGGACGATCGATGAAGCCTTCTCTTCCCGTGATGCGAACAACATTACGTTTCAGCGCAACATGATAAGCGAGCCACTCAACATTGCAGGCCATAAGAATTACCCCAACGGAACTGCGCATGGTTACGCTGGCTCCATTGGTGGAGAAGTTGGATCATTTCACCACAACCTAATTGCTCACGCCGAGGGGCGAAGCTGGAGTATGGCCGGTGGGGTTGACGACAACGCAAACTTCGCCGGCAAACTAGACATTCGCAACAATGTCGTCTATAACTTTGGACACCGAGTGACGGACGGTGGTACGCACCAAGGCCAGTTCGTATCCAATCTGTACAAGCGAGGTCCTGCCTCAAATCTCACCTGGGCTCTGCGAGCCCAGTACGAAGACGGCTTACCAGGAACTCAGCAATGTAAGTAATCTCGAGGTATATATGGCTGCGTGCTTTAGTCCCTTATTCCCGGGTGCTAACTCTGTCGCTGCTTTTAGACTACTGCGCTGGTAACGCGATGCCTGGCGTATTTGACCAAGACAGCGAACAATACGTTGGCGACGGGACCGGTAAAACTAGAAACGTTGCTTGCTACGCCGATGTCACTGTAGAAGGTGTCAACTATAGAAAGTTTTTCGACAAACCTTTCTTCGAGAGCTACGTTACCACACAGTCCGCAACTGAAGCGTATAAGATCGTGCTCAGCGATAGTGGTGTGAGCCAGCCTGTGCAGGATGATCATGATAAGCGTATTGTGAAAGAGACTGCTGAAGGGACGACAACATATACGGGTAGCGTAGGCAAGAAGAAGGGTATCATTGATAACCCTGCTGATGTTGGTGGACTGGAAGATTTCCCTACCGCAGTTCGTTCCGCAACTTGGGACGCCAACAACGACGGCATCGCCGACTGGTGGGACGGGTCAACTGGCGGAGACGGATACACTCCTCTCGAAGGCTATCTCAACTTCATGGCTGAGCCACATAAGTTCGCCGCGCCGGGTGCGTCTGTTCAAATTGATCTCGGCGCTTTGGCTGCGGGCTTCAAGGAGCCTGCATTCACAGTTGCAGGTGCGATAATCGGCTCTGTTGCGGTCTCTGGTTCTACTGCAACCTACACGGCGAAGAATGCAGGCATCGAACGCCTCACTGTCTCTATCAAAGATAGCGAGGGCAGCGTCTGGTCTAGACCGTTCGGCATCGCAGTTTCTGAAGGCGCCGATAAATCCGAATAGGTTGAAATTCGTTGTGCGTCTTTCTGTACATAGTATCTTTTCTCGGATATATTTCTACATACGCTCTGCCTGATACTACACTTGCGCTGGATAGATTAGCTGTGAGAGCATGGCATTTCTTTTATCTGATGCAAGAGTGACATGATTCATAGATGCTCAATGAGCAGGCTATAACGATCTATACACTTTACGTCCTCTTACTATAGGCGTGTCTAGTGTTTATAGTAGATTCGAAGATACTTAGAGATTCATATGGGGTCAAGTGCTTGTCCTGGCGATTCAAGTAGCTTTTGGCGGGGTCGCCCCGATCCTGCAATTGCTGTCAAGTAAAGCTTCTGCTGTTTTTGGGAGCGAAGCATTCATAATGTTCTATATTACGAAGGGTTTCATTCTCGCGGAGAACATTGAAAGCGATGTCGATGTAGATGCACATGACCAGCTCGGGTTAAGATGAGGGGAACTGCAAGAGCGCTAGGCTCGCCCGGGATTGAAGGCGATGTTCCGGCCCACCCAATCGTCTCATTCCGCTCACTTCTCGCTCACTTCTGCTACTTAGAATACTGAGCTGGTAGATTGTACTTGTGCATACTCGTCCCAGCTGCGATCAGAATGCGTCAAACACCCCATAATTCTGCATATTAGACCTTCTATGAACCTGGCGACAATGAAGGGTCCGTGGATTGGATATAGATTACTGCGGACATGCACTTCAGGTGATATCAAGGAAAATTCCGCCATAGCGAGACAACCCTAGCTACACAACCTCTGCCAGCTGCGGAAACTTTACCAACTCAGGGATGGATTATTACGTGTTACTGCCGGTTGTTTGGAGTGGGCAAACGAAGATGCAAGGTGTTGGTACTTGGACTTTCAGCGTGGTCACTGAACTTCTTCGAGCGCATCGGTATCATCGGAAGTATCCCGTCTGCAGTTTTTGACAATCGGCCTTTAGGGCAGTTGTTTTCTTGTACAAGGTTTTGTCTGAGAGCCTGAAAAGAAATAGGGGTATATTGACTCGACGAAGCTCATGATCAAATAAATTTTACGCTTAAAATATCGCGACGCGCAAGCAACCTGAACACTATAAACAACACTATCTCGAGTGGCTCGCCCACAAATCTAAGTCCACTTCCCACTGTCAAATAATTCCTGACCCACCACCTTTTCTTACACATTTTTCACCTTACCCATTTCATATGCGTGCTCTGTTGTCTCATCAGGTCCTTCAACCTTCCCCGGCTTTGCAAAAGCAGCACCAAGCAGATGCAGTGGACTGTTCATCCTTACCGCCATAAGATAAAATAGCGTAAGCCCTATAAACACAACCTCATCCCGTACCTCCTCGCTGATATCTTCCTTCGACTTTTCGAAATAAAAATTGCCAACCTGTTTCAACGCCCAGATATTGACAGCAAACTTGGCGATAGGCAATTGATTCGCGTCTAGACAAATAAAGTTCCATGTCTTGTGTGTGCTATCTGTGATCCATGTGATGGCTACACGACCTGAGCCAGAAGATAGTGCTTTAGAAAGGTAGTTGTAGTGTGTTTTCCATCGCTTGAGCGGCTTGAGTTCGATTTTATGGCCGCGGATCTTGCAGTCTGCGCTGATAGAGACGCTGTGGATGGTTCCAGAGGCAATAGGGGAGCTATCGGTTGCAGACTCAAATCTTAGCTGTGGATGGGTGGGGCGGAAATGCTGAATGTATAGCGGTGTGAGATGATCGCCGTTCTTTTCGCTAATCTGATTACGGAATTTGCTCCATGCGAAGTCGATTTGAAGTGTGAGGCTTTGATGTGTGGGGCTTTGAATGGTTTGGGCCGGATTGGGTTGCGATGGGTTAAAATTTGAAGGGAACGACATAACTATCGATATATGTATTATCAAGAGTGTCTGTGTAGGAATCTGTGCTCTGTGTCGTGCCTGTCAAGTTAAAGTTGCCGTCTGATCTGCTTAAGTACCCATGTGGAACTCAGTCAGACGGAAGAGTCACCAAGCTCCACCTCGTGCTCAGCCTTGCACTCAGCCATCAGCATTGGGGGCCTAATTGAACATCTTGGCCATGATTGGAGCCGAACGCGACTTAGCGTAGAGTGCCTTAGGCTGAATCTCGGAGTGACGCAGTTCTCCATTTTTCTGATTCGTGTACAGGGCCCATGCACGCCACGCCAAATTCATATCATCTTTTACGTTAATAAGAAGGTTACGTTAACATGCGAAGCTTTAATCTGTGTTCATCGACTAGAATAAAAAAAGGTGTAAAGCTCAGAGAGCTCTCTTCAAATTTGCAGACAGTGACCGTGGAATTCTATAACTAGCTCGAAGGAAGACTAAAACTGCTCAGGCAGTTAGTCAATAATAATACGACGATACTATATACAATAAAAACTATGTGACCATGCCAGTCTACTATATTAAGCTATACTTTGAAAAGGATATACTGCAGCGCATTGCGAGCTGTGCATTTGCAGCTTGCATTGAGTTGATTCAATGGATAACTAGCTTATTTGCGTAAAGTGATCCGCCGCGTAGCATTACACGGCGGATAATGACCTAGTATTTCAAATGTGCTGAAAACATGATGCCAGTACTAACCCGTAGCTGTTTCGTTATACTTGTTTCCGTACTCGCTCCTACCGCACTAAATAACATTGATAGTGTGAACTAGGCCCGCCAAGCTAGCATTATCAAGATCTATATCTTCAACAATAGACTCTCCAGACGGAAATCCAAGTCGTGAAAGAAGTGAACTAGAAAGGCTGCCATCAAGCCAGTCAGAAAAGATGCCCATTCTGACATATGTAACCTCATCTGCTGTTTCAGGCAGCCTTCTTAATAGCAAACCAACGATGTCTGAACTCTCGATATTAATATACACAAACATAAAGAGGAAATTGGAGTTTCGTTCTTCAAGGAAAACTGGCCATCTTCCCGGATCTATCTCGGATCCAGACATATTCTTGTCCCAATGAATCCCTACATGGATACCCGCGGTTAATAAAGCTTCAGAACTGTCGTCGAAACCAGTCGATTGAATTATCCATTCATCGTCATAAAAATCGTCAGAATATATATCTGTCCTCATAACCCGAGCCCACCCTGCAATCCCTCGCAGAACCAATCTCGATGAAACAAAGCTGTGTAGCCCTGATATGTGTTCTGAGCTAACGGACGCGTCCAAGACCTCAGCCAAAGATGCATATTGAGTGTTGGTATGACTGTACCTGTGATCACTGATCACCGGTCCATCCACATTTGCCCAAGACCAGGTAGGCGCCAGGTAGGTCGGTACTGTAGACCGATTTTCTCTCCTCCGCATATCGAAATCTGTCGACCAGCACAACTGACTTTGAAGATCTCTCTTCCAGAGCCCTGCAAGATATATGTCCGCCGTTATATTCCTCATCTCTTCTGCTAAGCCAGCAAGGGCAATCATTTTGTCGGACACTCTAGAAAAGTGGCAATTCGAGTAAAAGTCCACCAGCGCAGCCCAGGCGACACGACGTTCCAGATCAGTCGTAACATCTAAGGTTGGTTTTCCGGTAAGTGGAGCCGCTTGGTTGGGTCCAGAGGAGTCCATCAAACTCTGTGGGATACCTGCGGGATATTGTTCAGAAGCAACAAGTTCTCGGCATTCCCAATATATCTGGCTTTTGGCAAAACTGAGCTGTTTTCTTGCTAGGAAGCGCTCCTGGGTGACCCATCCACGTGTGTTTAAAGGAGCTGCCATAAGATCATCGTAGTAGAGATTTGGCATATCTACCTGGTATTCTGTCGATTGGCCGTATCCGAGATCCAGTGGGAGTATCCTGGATTCTCTTTTTGCAAAGCAGCCATCATTTCCATCTGCTGCCCACGTTGCCGCGATATTGCAAGAAGCATGCTTATAGACCGATCCCATCATCGAGGCTTGAGATTTCCAATCCTTTAGGTCGTCTTGAACAATACATAGCGAATCGATCCAAATAAATTGAAACCCCAACGAGAAGGTTATGTGAAATGCATGCTGGAAGGATTTTGGGAGTCTAGAATAAGTGCTGAGCTTTGAATAAGCAGAGATATTCCTACTTGTTAGGCTTGTGTGCGTAGATGAACCCCAGCAGTGGCTGAGAGTAAGGTATCTGACGTTGCCAAAGTCGGCACGGAAAACAAGTTTCCAAGTGAAAGAGGCTCCATTATCTTGAGTGAATATTTCGATCAGTCTATCAGGCAAAAATGGTCGTAACCTCTGGTCCAAATCACGGCACCTTCTGTGAGACTCTGAACAGGTATGGATCCACTGACCCCACAATCTAGAATTTGCCATCGCTGAAGTAGTTCTGCTCGTGAAATACGGTTTCAAAGCAGTTCCTGAAACTGCTGCATAGTTTGATGCTTGTGAGAGATTGAAGTCCAATAGAAGGGGGCCATGAAGTTCCAACTGGGGGTCTTCAGTTACCATCATTGTAAGGATGAGGTAGTTTTCCTGGCTGAACATGTATAGTTCAACCCTCGATTTTCTAACCTTCTGCACATTGTTTCGGAATTCGGAACCCACTGTCAAGCGACTCCTGTGCTCTGTGGAGTTGCTAATTTGGTAGTCGATCTCGTGTTCCAACGATAATGTCCGCATTTGCTGACAGATCCAACAGCCTTCCCCATATAGATCTGACGGCTGAGATTCATGGAATATGGTTTCAGATTGACAATCTTGGTTCCCAGAACGTGCGCGATTTAAGCTATCGAAAGCAGCTTGGATCGAAGCGGTGCAACTTCGACAGAACATTCTAACGAATTATACCTTGCGGTAGATAAATTCGAGTATTTTGATAGTTCTTAGCTTCAAATTGAAGGCTTTCGATATGGAATGATGCTGTGCATGTGTCGTTTTACATAGTGTGGCCATGGGGCAGTACAAATGGGAATACGGTATCGGAGAGCAGCATCACTGCGCCATAATTTTCATTTGGTGTACGTGCAGACCACGTTTGGGCAATGAGGCGTAGGAGAATAGTAGGCGAGGCTTGAAGTACAATTTCATTGGGATTTAATCCGGGCGGAGACGGATGAGGCGGGAGGCTAGGTATTTAACACGAAGTATGACAAAACTCCTCTGGAAAGTGGGCAAGAACACTACTTGTTGTAGCTAGCCTAATCACAGAAGCGCTTGTGCACTCAATCGACGATGTGGAGAGACACATGCATGTGTCTAATCACATCCTGCTGTAAGCGCCGGGACACCAGCCTCTCCGTATTGGTTGTGGGTCCGCTAGCGTGCAACAGGTTCTGCTCGGGCTACCGAAGCGTTTTGAGACGCTACCAATCCACTTATGGGTACAAGTGGAACCATCAAGGATGTTGGCTATAGCCGTGGGAAACTTAGAGTAGAGATGGATAAGCCATAGCTCCAACGCTTTTTCCAACTTTCAGGATCAGTTGTTCAAACGAACGGATCGCAGTATACTCGAGAGAAATTATAGCGGTTAGGCATACTTAGGGGCTGGTTGCTTTAATTAAATCATAGGTGGTATTCCCGCACTAGGAGCCAAGCTCAATCTAACTTATTCCAGCATACATAATCATGCGTTTGTGGCGAGTGCGACTTCCGAACTCTCTAAAACATCCAATTGTCTTCCTGAGCAGCCGTCTGTCCCCCAGGTGTAGCCTTTCCTAAGGTTTCTATTGTGTCCTTGGTAACTGTCGCGCGACACTAAGATCAGACATGCCTATAGCCACAACCTCAATACGAATGATAACAAAGTCCGACACTCGTGCCCTGTCGAGATGCATCACGGAACGTCTGCGAACCATGTATGTGCCAGTGCCTCGCTGGCTGTGAGTCGTCGAGTGGGGTCCACATTCATAATTCGTACGACAAGATCCTTAAAATCTGGGTCGATGTCCTGCCACAGTCCAAACGGTCGCCTCGGATTGTCTGCATTGAAGTCTGCAGCTACCAAAGCGATGAATTGAGCCCAAGGACTGCCCCCAAGGTACCGAATGAGGCCGGCTATACCCTCTAGATCGGAGAAATAAGAAAGTTGGCGTTCGAGAACAATGTCCAAGATTTCGATTTCTTCTGAAACCTTTTCTTCGTCTACTGCGAGTATCACTCGCTTTGTGATGGCATAGATACACTGCAAGTTCGCTTCTTAGGTCAAGAAATCGTCTAGGAGTAGAGCAGGACTTACCACAAGACCAAATGAGAACATGTCCGATGGTGTGTGCACTTAAGCGGATGCGTGCGCCTCTGGACTTCGCCACATCCAGTTCCCCACCTGTCTTCCCTTGATAAAACAATTCTCTAGTACGTAGGCCGCATCTTCAATATCAGCAACCTGCACCTGCTCGACTGTTATCTGGCCACCACGCTCCTTCCACTCTATCAAGATGTTGTTCGCCTTGATATCGGTATGGACAATCCCTTTATCATGTAGAGCGGAAATCCCACGAAGGGTATCCCAGAGAATTCGTTTTATTATAGAAAGTGGGATTTCCTTTTGGACAAAAGATAGAAGGTGGTCCCGAAGGTATCTATATGCGAAAATAGATTTATCAGGGATAGCATCGTGGGAGACTCGTACGTAGGGTGAGATTCGAAGGTCGTCAAACATATCCTTGAAGTATTTGAAGTCATGTGGCGCGACACTTTTTAAGACGTATTTCTCGTCCCCAGATCTAGTATTGAAATGTTAGTAATTGATGCGGTCTAGGTTTATAATACACTGACGTCGCAAGATAAACACGTCCTTGGTTCCCAGGTTTATCTTGAAGGACTCTTTCAACGAGATAGCGACGACCTGACTGACCCAAGACTCGCGTAAGTGCAGCAGCTCGTGTGAACGTTGGGGCCGACATCTTTGTGGGTGGTCAATATCGATACAGAATAGTAGACCTCAAGGTAAGCACGCGAGATGTGAGCCCCAGCACTATCACTTTCTTAAGAAGATTTTCAAAGCGCCTACGCCCTAGTTAAGCTATTGCTAGTTTTATAAAAGTACTTTAAGTACAAAAATATTTATAATTATATTAATTTTTTTAAAATAAATTTTAAAATAGTTACTAACTATAGTTTTAAATTTTATTATTATTCTTTTATAGTACTAAATATTAATTTTTTACTTTTAATAACTACTAATAAGTCTAATATAAATTATAATTATATAAAAAGTTATTTACTTTTAAAATATATATAAAACTGCTCTGCTTTATAGCTTTTATTTTTTATCTATTATACTTTTATATAATAATAAAATAGATTTTTTTTTTTTTTACTACTTACTAAAATATTAACTTATTAAATTTCTTTTAGCTAACTTATAATAGGCTTTTAAATAATAGTATTTATAAAAGCAAAATTCTGCAGTTTAAAAAAATAAAAAAAATAGTAGCTTTTATACAAAATGCTTTTTTTTACTAAAAACTAATACTTAGTAAAAAACTTTTATTTTTTTATAACTATTTACTAATAGTTTATATACTAAAAAATACTCTAATAGTTAAAAATATTAAAAATACTAAAATTTAGCAATTTTAACTTTTTATATAAAAAATATTTATTTTTATTTTTACTATTACTAATTTAGACTACTTAGCTTTTTTTAAATAATTCTAAAAAATAATAAATAAACGGCTAGGTAGGCTGTATAGGCTATAAGCATTAAAATAATAGTAAAAGTCTAGTATTTAATTAAATGCAGGAGCAGAAATTAAGTAACTAAAGCATTATTTTTATTAAAATAGGCAGGTTAAGAAACTATAGTTAAGAGCTATAAACTACTTTAGGCGGAAGAAATTGAACGCGTACATTGAGGATACTTTGAGAACTTTAAGAAGCACTATTACTTTCCAAGACCATACAGAACTTTAAATTCTGAACACTGTCCATGTAATTAGACTTGGCCTCAGGTGCAGTTCTACTATGCTATGAGGATGGGGTGTGACGAAAATACCCTCGGTGGGTTGGAACTGGAGTACTACGTGTTTTTAGTTGAGGGTACTAGAAGTGGAAGAAGTGAAGTGGTGCTAGTCAGGGATTGAGACTAGGTACCGGGTGGCAACTGATCGAACAGCAAGTGCAAGATAGAACTTCAAGAGGAATTTAAGGCCTGATATGTATTGGTGGTGGCTTTGGAACTGTTGTTCAAGCCCTGGGTACTTAACTACTCACTGTATACCAAGCGTAAACCCAACAGACGAGCTGGCACTAATATGCAGTTGTACAGGTGCAATAATAGTGGCGTAAAGTAAGCTCGAAATTCGAGTGTAAAGTCCCAAGCACGCTATCGACGCCGCTGAAGTATTGCGGCGCAGTATGCACCTACGTCATGCTCCAACTTCGCCCCGCTCTTTCAACTTGACCTACCACTTCAACCACAAAATGCAACATTGCCTAACTCGCTGCATGATAACAGCGTTTCATTCCATTCTTCGACTACGCACAGACTTTCGGACTCCGGCTACTATATTGAGCGCAGCTATGGCGAGCGCAACCAATGAGTAGGTGTGCATTTTTGTCATCGTCATCAGATTATTTTTCAAGCTATGGCTGCAGATAACGACATTCGCCGTTGATGCTCCTGATCCTTGGTCCTTCCCGGTAGATCACTTCCAGTGTTCAGTTCCGTGGTTCAGGTTGCAACACCGCCCATACGATTTGACCGAGAGCTCTGGCGAGCTTTAAACAATCTCCTTCTCTCCTTGGTCCAGATGACTTCGCGACATTGTGAAAGAGAATAGGTGGATTATGGTTGTCGGCTCTACCCCCATTCGGACGGCTTTGACCTATCATGTTCCATCCATCAGCTACCACCACTCGCGAACTGAGAGATTGAGAGAAACAAGAGCAATACCCTGGCCGGGGCATTTTCTTGCTCATTGTGAAGATGTTGTCAACACTCATTTCCCTCACCCAGTGCAGTCTGCACCGCAACAAGGCCATTCTGTTTCTGATTGCACGTGCTATGTGCTACCGTTTGCTGTACCAGGAAAATCACAGTGACACATTTGGCTTCACGAGCAGGTGTGAGTCCCGGTTTCCATATCGGGTGTGCCATTTTTTGTCTGTTGCAGTTTGGTTCATTACCTGGAAGCGCGCCGCGGTGAGTCTGATCCCGGATAAGCATAAAAACAATGTAGCAGCTCAAATTACTCTTCAACATCGGCAGCTATCCAATTTTCTTTTAAGGCTACCCTAACCCCTACCAGACATAATGTTGCTCCTCATGTATATCTTGCTGCTCTACACTCAATTGGTTGATTCAGTGCTCATTTCGCACCACTTCTCTAACGTATGACATAGGGGTGTTACTGGTGTTCGTTACTCCGTCTACCCCACAGAGTCCACCAACACCAATCAGACCACAGAGACTGAAGGTCAACTGCAGACCATATGCGGTAATCAAAACGTTGTTACGGTCAAACAAGACCGTGTGATAGACTCTTGTACTAGCACAGCGAAAGACGAGAGCGATCCGATACAAGTGATTGCCGATCTCAAAGGAGTGAGCCATGTTACTCAGCAAGACTTGACGGAAAGTCAATCGGATACTGTAGAACACAGAAAGCTAGCTGTCCGCAATTTCCCTCATCATAGTGCTTTCGCAAAAAATGTAACAAACACCGAGATGACGGAAGAGTTCCTCCAATCTCAGACGGAAAGCGGTTCTAGGATATTTCAGTACAAGGAAGATGGGGTGATAGTAGCTTGGTACGGCTTAAGCTTAAGTCCCGAAGCGAAGGAGGTGGTGGAAAAGTACGACGGTATTGAAGAATTGGTTGCTGCGGAGAGGAAGAACTATAACCGAGCTTTATTAACCAAAACAAGCCTACCGGCCGTGATCGCCAAAGCCGGAGAGCTCTCAGACCGCGATACACTAATTCGAATGAATTGAGAGTACAAGAATGATGGCACTAATGCGGGTGTACTATAGTATAAGGGAAAGATTGACAGGCGATCCCATGTAAGGGAGGATATGCAATCGGAAAAGAAGAGCAAGACGTGCAATCAACCACATGTCTGGATGAGGTTCGGGCCTACTCCAACGCGTAACATTTATCCCGCCTGGCGTTTATATAGATGCAACTAGTACCAATAGCTAAATAATAGATGGCTTCGCCTCACTTAGCCACGACCCCAACCGGTTTTAGTACGACTAAGCCCCAGGACCGTGATTGAAGACTTTACATTGGTTTAGAACATATGCGAAGCAGAAGGCAACTATGAGATTCATCTGTTATGTGGGAAACAGATATTAGGCACCTTCAGGAGGAGACAAGACAGCTCAACCAGGGTGTAGACGCCTTTGAACTCTTCATTCAGGAAAAGACAAAGTGGTAATAGGCATTGTGATGGATTGTTGTTCAAGTGTCAGGCGTACTAAGTACGTCCAAATTACTACATGCTGCTATCGTTGGCAGTTGTAACATTCAACATTCAGATCAATCCTTCAGGAGCTTCGCTGATGTGATTTTAATGCCGTCAAGTCTACTGGCGCCTCTGTCTGGATTCCACCGCGAATATTCGGACATTCACTTACTCCAACAGAAGATACCCTGCCGCCTGAAGAAAGTCGTTGCCAAGTAACTTCGTCGCATTAATTGTCCATTTTGGAACTTCAAAGCATTAGAAAGACTGAATCCGATAAATTATGGGCTACTTTACCTGTGATTGCATTTAGGACAACGATAAAAGACCGTAGTTCCTTCGTCGGCTCCACGCAATTGAAGATTCGTGAACAGCATCACAGGATTACTGCAAGACGGGCAAGCTTGAGGAGTCTCACCCCATGTCTGTACATCGTCCTCATTTATCGTCTGAATCTCGCTTCGCTTTTGCTGAAGAGAGGAAGGAAATGCGTCCGGCTTGGAGGTTGTTTGAATCGAAATAGGCCAGCTGTCTACACATACGGTTAGAGGTCTATGGTGGGAGACAAAGTGTGTAAACTATACTTTTGTTTGACTCTCCGCACAGTTGGCACGAGATGAGTTTAGTGGTGGAAGGCTCCCTATCCAACAGACTCCCACAGGTGGTGCAGAAGAGGAGACTACCGACTAAAGACATTACGGCTAAGCTAGTCGAAGTACTAGACAGTTAGGTTTCTTGAAGAGCACACTAGTGTGCGGCTCTTTAAATATACGTTAAGACTAGCTCGCCATGATACAACCTGTCGCTGCAGCTATTCTAGGCAGCCATATGCACTCTGGTCCGTGAGCGCTGTGTTAGTCACACGTTGGAGCTGTGCCGCAATTGGGGTTTAGGGCGAGTGGGCTGCTCGCCCGGAGAGCCCTAAGACTCGATAGTTTAGCTGGGCAGACGATGCTTCGATAGCAATTCTAACAGTGCATGTATATCTGTTTATCTAGGAGAGCCTTTATCGCGCAAACAGGTGTGATAGTGTTCGTTGCTGAGCGCCTGGGTTGGCTCTGTCGTGAAGGACAACGCCCGCCCCCACTTTGCTGCTTTAGTTCCACCTTAAAAAGCTTGGCCTCCATCCACACAATAGCTCCTAGGCCTCTTTGCTCATCGGGGCCACTCGCGAATCACAGCTGTGTAATCTTTTGCCTTATTTTATTTATTTAGTTTATTTTTTTGAGGGCGGGTGCGGGCTTCTTAGCGGGTCTTCCTGTGCCGAGTGGCGGCACAACTACCACTACCGCCTCGACTCAAAGCCCAAATGTAATTTTCCTTCTGCCCTAATAATTCTCATGCGGTTCCCCTTGCCTCCCATCCGGAGAATAAAATGTCATTAAGCTGTCCAAGTTCACTAATTAGGTACTATATTTACCACGACCGACACGACTCCCCAGCAACACGGCATCGATCCCTGTGTATCTCAATAATCTATTTCGACATTATAGCTCTAACTCTAGATTGGGATAGTCACGCTAGTATGGTGGCGGTACAATCATGGTAGAGTCCTGGTATAATATTAGACTGAATCGTTTGATAAGGCGGTTTCATACTTTCAAGTATAGGCGATGCAGGATGAGTAATAACTCTTAGCTTGAATTGGCGATAATCCGTATCCATTTACGAGTGCGTTGAGAGGAGTACAGACGATGTCGATTTGAGCCTAGGCGCCGAAGCTGTAGTATAGTCGCCGGCCGTTCAAGACATGCGTAGAGCGATTGGGTCAATTGCAAAGAAACTAGTATTGTTCCATGATTTAGGATAGGCGATCATTTTGTTAGCGGTGGGTCCCTCACTCACTGCCCGCCATGCATCGCCGATCGATTTCTCAACTGACTTTCCCAATTTGAGAGGAAGTTGCTGGTAAGATGGTGCAGCTCCAAGGTATGCGGCGATTGCGGATCTTCCATCACCTTCAACTCATAGCCCTTGTTAGCCCATATAGCTGCAGGTTCCCAGTCCCCTACTCTTGCATGACTGATGGCAGCGATTCTGTAGGCTTTCGCATAGTAGTCGGCGAGACCTTCTTCCTGCACAAGCGAGGCAAGTTGGAGGGATGCGTTGGCGTTCTTTCGGGCCTGTCGAGTTGCGGTCTTGGATTTGGGAGGCGTGAGAATCAGTTGAGGCTCGAAGTCGATGAAGGCTTGATTTATAGTGACACGGCGTTCGTCGCTGACCTCCGTAGCTGCGCGTTCTTGGGCGCACGCTTCACAATGGCATTTGAAACCATAGCGATCGAGGCGTGCCTGTCGCTCTTTCTGGGTGAGGAGGAGTGGTATGTACGATACAGAAAACTCCTCACCCTGCTTAATTTTCCTTGTTGCATATACGATTCGCTTGTTCAACCGCTCGCTCCAATAGTAGCTGGTATTCGGTCGGCACGAGTGGTTGATCCGGGCGATCTTGGGAAACAGACCGATCTCTTTGCCAGTGTTGTATGCGTTTGTTCGGAAAATTAGGCCTAGTTGATCCATGGTTTCTATCTCCGCAGGAGTGGCATGGTAAGTCAAGGAGAGGATTTCAGCTTGCTTGTCAAGTGACAGTGTTTCGAACTCCTGGCGGACGAGCTTTGATATCGCAGCCATTGGGTAACCAGTTCCTTTTACGAAGTCGGGTGGGCTTATTTTGACGACGGGTGTTTCGCGCATGACGATGTCGCCAATCTCGACATCATGCAAGGCAAAGACGCCTAGGCCCTTTCCCTGGCTGGGTTCAACAGTGTACACTTCTGGTGGTCCTCGACAGGTGTGATCCACTAGTTGCGGCGATGGAAGCCTGCATGTCGCTGTGCTGGCGAGAACTGTAGATAATGCAGCTAGCGAAGCCACCCAGAGAGTGGAGATGAGCATTTTAAAGAAGCAATGAGAAACGGAGTGAAGTGACTATATAGCCTGTCAGTTGCTCTCGTGGGATTGAGAGGCTATTTGAACATCTGGGGAGGTTTGATTGCGATGAAACGCGTTTCATGCTGAAGACGTTACAGCAGCAGACCCTTGCACACATCGCAGAATACAAGACCAAGACATCGACGAACCCTTTGTCTGTCTAATGTGAAGCAGAGCGCCTCTGTTTGAAACCGCCATCCTCTTTGTGAGCATCGTATATCTTCAGGGCGGATCTTCCCACTGGAGACAGCAGTCCAACTTTTCTAGATCCTAATTGGAGCTCCGCATTGCTACGGGTCGCGATAGAGTGAACCTACGTGAAGGCGCATTTGCAAGATGAAGTAACAGACGGTGTGTGCATTGCAGTGCCAAATAGTGTTGCGAGTGTCAAGGTTGTCAGTCCTACAAGGGGTCTGTTATCGTTATCAACTACGGTTCGTGTTCCGCTGTCCGGAATAAGGCCGCATCTTGGTCTTGTCAACACCTCTCAATTAGCCAAAGATCATCACATGAGTGATCAGACGAAGGATACAGCGCCTATTGATTTCAAGTATCCGGCAAGCTGGGCTTGGAGTGGGATGCAATGCTTAGAACCTGACCACGAACAAGCGGGCCGTTATCGGACTGCCGAAGTGCGTTGCCACTTTGTTCGGTTTCCCCAACTATTACAACTCTTCCCCGCGTCATGGTGGGGCAATGGTCAACTCCGCTGTCCTCAGAACCGAGGGCAGTTATGAGACGCATAATCAACAGTCGCAAGCCGCAGACTGCTCTATCTTCTTCACCACGGACAAACCACCTACTTAACTCCTTGTGATAGCCATCAACAGCCACAACAACAGCTTGGACCGCAATTATGGTGTACGCTATAAACTACCACATGATGCATGATATGGACTAAATCGAGACAGATACACAGCGTCATTCGCCTTCTTCGAGGCTTTGTGGGAGTATGGAGTCAGCCATGTGTTCGTCAACCTAGGAAGCGATCATCCCTCGATTATTGAAGCTATTGTCAAAGGCCAGAATGAAAAGAAGGGCCAGTTTCCCAAGATCATCACTTGTCCGAATGAAATGGTCGCGCTCTCAATAGCCGACGGGTACGCTCGATTAACCGGCAAACCTCAATGCGTTATCGTACATGTCGATGTCGGCACACAGGGCCTCGGTGCTGCGGTACACAACGCGTCTTGCGGACGGGCGCCAGTTCTCATATTCGCAGGTCTGTCCCCGTTTACCATTGAGGGTGAGATGCGTGGAAGCAGGACCGAATACATTCACTGGATACAGGACGTGCCAGACCAGAAGCAGATTGTGGCGCAATACTGTAGGTATACTGGCGAGATCAAGACCGGCAAGAATGTCAAGGTGCGTCATGATGGGAATGAGAGCTAAGATTTTGCTAATTCTCGAACAGCAAATGGTTAATCGCGCACTATCATTCGCTATGAGTGATCCAAGGGGCCCGGTATATTTGTATGGAGCGCGAGAGCCTATGGAGGTAAGAATAACCATGTGCGAGCTATATGGCATATTCTAACCTCGCCCTACCAATATTCAGGAGGACCTCACCCCATATAAGCTAGAGCTGGAATACTGGCACCCAGTGGAGCCAACGGCTCTCCCGCCCAGTGGAGTCAAGACTATCGCAGAAGCATTAGTGCACGCACAGGAGCCGCTCGTGATCACAGGGTACTCGGGCCGAAACCATGCCTCTGTCCGAGAACTGGTACAACTAGCAGACAACATCAAAGGATTGCGAGTCCTGGATACTGGAGGAAGCGACTTGTGTTTCCCAGCGAATCACCCAGCGTGGCTCGGTCTGCGATATGGCAACGATCCCAGCATCAAGTCGGCCGACGTTATCCTAGTCTTGGACTGTGATGTGCCTTGGATCAACACACAATGCCATCCGAAGGATACCGCAAAGATCTTCCATGTCGACGTCGATCCGCTAAAACAGCAGATGCCTGTCTTCTACTTGAACGCCATTCAACGCTATCGCGCAGACTCGTACACATCGCTAAGTCAGTTGAACGGTTACCTTGACTCGAATCTCAAAGAGCAGCTATCCACCCAGCATTTCTCACAGCGATGGTCAGCACTGCAAGAGTCACACAAGCAGAAGCTCGAAACCATTGCCAGCGAAGCCAAGATCGACAACAACGGTCATTTCGGCACGCCATATCTTTGCTCGCAACTCAAGAAATTCTGCCCAAATGACACTATCTGGGCCATAGAGGCAGTCACACAGACCGGATTTGTCGCAGATCAAATACAAGCTACTCTTCCCGGCTCGTGGATTAACTGTGGAGGTGGAGGACTTGGGTGGTCTGGAGGTGGTGCCCTCGGGGTAAAACTCGCAACCAACACCGAAGGCCAGAAGCAGTTCGTATGCCAGATCGTCGGTGATGGCACATATCTTTTCTCTGTCCCCGGCTCAGTCTATTGGATCTCACAGCGCTACAACATCCCCATCCTGACAATCGTGCTCAACAACAAAGGCTGGAACGCACCACGAAGATCCATGTTGCTCGTTCATCCAGATGGCGAGGGTTCAAAGGTCAGCAATGAGGAGCTAAATATCAGTTTTGCGCCAACTCCGGACTACTCGGGTATTGCGAAAGCGGCCTCTGGTGGTGAGATATGGGCTGCGCACGCGAGTACTGCGGATGAGTTGAGCAAATTGTTACCGGAAGCTATCAAGCATGTGCTTGATGGCAAATCAGCGGTGCTGGACGCACATCTGGAGGGCCCCGAGGGGAAGTATGGGGGCGGTAAGGCTAAATTGGGCTGATTGTGTATACTAAGACAAATACGACAGCGTATCAGCCAGCAGTTGTTGGGGGAAATTTCATGTGATGAAAACCTTCGCCAAGCGAGGACGTCACCCAATCCGAGCTGCACTTGATTAGATGAAATGTACTGTCTTGATCTTTGGCTTACGGTAAGCTCTAGAAGTTCCGTCTGATATGACTCACGTTCCATCTCACGATTTGCGCAGCTTCGGTGACACCGCGCTAACGATTTTGAGTAATAATGTCGCGAAATCAGTATGTCGGTCTAACCGTTTCAGGTCAATATCATGGCCAAGAAATAGCGTCGAGCTACCACCTCCGCCAACTAGTAAACCTTTCATCACCTTGGGCAATACTCTTGCATAGACATACGGGCCCCAGTTCAGCAATGTTCAGTGCTTACTGTGCACGGGAGGCTGTGAAGCCTTGCACAACGTGGACTAAACGGTAATCGTACCAGATTCAGTAACGATAGCACGACTCCAATGGATTTGCAGCTTGAGCGAGGCGTTTTCCATGATGGCCAAGCTGAGAGCTCAATTATCCCTGGTTCAGCTGCTTTCTGTCAGTGAATTCTCTTGACTATAAAGATGGAAACCTCACCTCTTCATCATCAACAATACCATAACCTGTCACCCATCGAGCTCTTCTCTCCTAGCATCATCACCCATTTAAACACCGCCATTCGCCCCAGATGAAGGTCTACTCGCGCTATGCTGCGGTAGCGGCAGCTGCTCTACCTTACAGCCTTAGCTCTCCTCTGGTTGCGAGGAGTAATGGTACGATGGTATTCGGCTTCTCAGAGGTAAGTCATCTACCCATTGAATTGTTCCTGAGCATACTAACACCTCATATAGCTGACTGCTAGCCAAAATCTTGTATGGAATCCGTGTCATGATAACTTGTATGCATCCATAATTCGCCGAATATACTCAGATTTCTGACCTTTCTAGCACATGTGCACTCCTAGAAGTACCCCTTGATTACAGCAACATCTCGGTCGGAACGATCAATCTAGCAATCATCAAGAAGCCTGGCGAGAGCGAAGATGCACAAGAGGTCTTGGTCAACCCTGGAGGCCCAGGTGGCTCATCTGTCGAAATGGTGCTTTTGGATGACGCAGCTATCCAGGACAAGATTGGATCGCAGTATTCTTTGGTCGGTATTGATCCACGTGGGGTTCAGGATAGTGGCCCGTCAAGCGATTGCTTCCCTCCCGATCGCTACCCATATGTCGCCCGCAACGCCTTCTTTACGGATGTATTCGCGCTTGCAGACATCACTTCGAATCACGCGCTTCGTCTCAGCCACCAGTCGGCCCTCGCATATGGTAAATGGTGCTCCAGAATCTACTCCGTAAATGGGACCGCCAAATACGCCAGCACGGTTGCTACTGCTCAGGATATGCTTCACTACATTGAGCTTCAAGCGGAAAGCAAAGGACAACCGCCAAAAGAAGCGAAGCTATGGTACTACGGAATCAGCTACGGGTCCATCCTGGGTCCCACATTCGCGAATCTCTACCCCGATCGAGTCGGGAGGATGATCATCGACGGTGTGATGGATTTAGAAGACTATTACAACGGAGGATGGGAAAAATCCATTGTTGATAGCGATGAAGCTGCCCGATCGTTCTTCAAGAGGTGCTTCGAGGCTGGACCTGGACTTTGCGAGTTTCACCAAAATGCCACGTCAGGGGAACAGATTGAGCAGCGATACTTGAATCTACTCGATGCTCTTAAGGAGTCGCCGATTGGCCTCGGGGACCCGCTCTCGAATACGTCGTCCACGGCACTTGCTCAGTCTGGTCTTATTCTCACGCCATTTGTTCTCACGTGGCAAGACTTTGCCAGCAGCATGTTCTCCACCTCATACATGCTGTCTCCTGCTTCCTTTGTGGCCATGGATCTCGGCCTTGTTGCACTTCAGACTGGTAACACCGAACTGCTGTCTAGTGCTTCGGTCAAGGCACAGATCTCTACCTACGCGCCAACGTATGATGCTCGGATGGCTCGGACTTTGATTGCCTGTCTGGACGCCAATGGGCGGTCCAATTACACAAAGTTCGAGGACTATAAGGGTTTCATGAATAGCATGTATAATGCAAGCATCTATGGTGGCTTGAGCATTGCTTCTTTTAGTGGGCCGATTTGTAGCAAGTTGGATATTCATCCACCGGAGAGCCAGAAGTTCGACGGTAAGTAGACACTTATGCCCCCCTCAAGATAAACAGTGCTAAACACCTCTAGGCATCCCTGGAGTGAAAAATACGAGTGCGCCCATCTTGTTCATTGGCTCCATCGCCGACCCCATCACTCCACTCCCAGCGGCAAAGAAGATGCATGGACTTTTTCCCGGCTCGGGTCTCTTAGTATTCAACAATAGCGGAGTAAGTCATCCCATCCGAGACTTAGAAACCAATGGAAGCTAACCATCGCTGTAGCACTGCGCCCACTTTCAGAAAGCAAAGTGTGTCTCGAAGTATGAAAAACAATATATGCTTGACGCCACTCTTCCGCCTGCGAACACGACTTGCGAGGTCGACGAACCGAACCCGTGGATTGCGTTGGCAAAACAATATAATCTCACCCAAGCATCTGCTTGAAGTGATGAGCTTCTTTTTCTGAATGTGGCTGAGGAGTTTTAGTAGGCTTCAATTCGAGTTTGCAAAGCGCTGTTAAGGTGACGAGATCATGTATTTATTTCTTCACATCAGTAGCATAATATGATTCTTAGGGAAAATTTAGTTCCAAAGTGTATATCGTTGATTTCTAGAGATATGAAACTCATAGGTTAATAAGTCCTCATCACCACCCACAACTCGTGCAATAGGATGCTCATGACGATACCAAGCGTAAAGGAACGCATCTCACCTAACCTCAGTCCGTTGCACGTCCGGCACATCAGCCAAATCAACCTCGTCGAGGCGCGACAAACCACTCTCACAAGCGTGCGTATAATGCGTAGTTCCAGTCTCACCTGGGCCATCGCGGCCAGCAGCACCAAGGTCACCACCCCCTAGAGGCTGCTCCACGCGCAGTGTACATATCGAAGAAACATCACAAGACGCTGGCTGCTGCGCGTTGAAGCTCTCTGCACTCGCTTCTACGTCCATTTTCTTTTTTGCGTTCGTCTTTTTGGAAGAACGGCGCTGGAAGTAGATGTAGGCTATTGTGCATGCGGCGATGGCGGAAATAGCAGCACCCGTAATGGCAATGGCAAGAGTTGTCGCTGCGTGGGTGGTGTTCGACTTTACCTGCTGTGGATTGAGGACGGCCTCTAGACGCTTTGTAATGTTGTAGTGGGATACGTGCATGGCTGTGCCATTGTGTTGCGGGGGCCATATGAAGTTGGACATAGTAGTCGTGTTTGTAGCTGCGGATGCGGCTGTCAAGAGAGCGCAGATGATCGTGATGCTTACCATGTTGTTGATACTAGCTAAAGTTGGTGGGATTGGGTTGCGTTGCGAGGAAGAAGGTAAGATGCGACTTTATGTACTACGCCTCACGTTGTGAATGGACTACCTTGTTTCCTGTTGACAATGTGCACACTTTGGTATATATGGCTCGCATGACCGAGTACTCTGTCGCCCTGTACGTAGACTATTCGCTCTCGACTGCATTCGACCGGCGCTTCCCATGGGCGTCAGTATGCATTTTGTTCATGTGTTATTGTTTGAAAATGTGGTATTGTTGTATATGACCCAGGGTATCTCCCAACGCATGTAGCGAATAGCACGCAAAGGCCTCCGCCCCCGACAATACAAAACGGGTTTCCCCCGCAACAAAGCATCCAGTCGCAAGCGGATGCGCTGTGCATGTATCACGCACTAGACTCCCGAATGTTGTGCTCGCGCGCTAGGAACCAGACATGCGACCCGTGTCGCACAACGTTACGAAGCGCAATAGCACGAAGGCGGGCGTAACTCTGGCAACATAATCTGCGGAGCTGACTATGTTGATTTGCATGGTGTGATTGCCATTGTGACATTGCATGGAGAAACGGATTCTGATACATGGATCGGACGGATAAGCTCTAGCGGATGCGCGTATCCGTGTGCCGGCATATTTATCCTAGCGCCTTCCGCAACCAGCCCCAGATGGGGGACGCGCGGTCTGACGTCAGGTTGTATCGGAAAACGATCGCTTGCTTGCCAACACACACACTCCGCACCTCAACCTCAGCTTTGGGAGATCAGCAACGGCCCCGTGTAACTTATGTGGAGAATGTCGACTTCATAGTAGGTATTGATATAAGAGGATGCAACAAGGGCAGGTCAATTGGGCAAGGAAGAAAGTCGAATGATCAAGAACTATTCCTTGTTTGCACAACATCAAGAGGCGCACGCAGGGGGGCAAGCAGTGGTACAACTGATTGGGGAAGTGTTGAATGTGTTTTGGTTGAATTCAGTTATTACAGCGGTAATGAAGTGACTCATTAATCCCTAACTCCATCGTGTATCCTATCCATATCCATCCATTCCATGCATTATCCCGTTCGAGACGAAACCGAGTTCAGTCGGAGCCGAAGGTGGTGTAACCGTTCGAAGAAGCCGTCGAAGCAAAACTTTTCACGTCGAGGATCGATGTATGATCGACCAGAGCGCCGACTCCATTTATAGGAGACCAGCAACGGCGAGAAGACCACCGGCAACAGCACCCATGGCAGGGAGGCCAGTAGGGGCAGCAGCACCCGCCGAGGCAGAGGAAGCAGCGGAGCTTGCAGCACTCTTAAGAGAGCTGGCCTGAGACTTGAGGGAGCTCGCAAGCGAGGAGGCCTCGGCGGCGCGGGATCCGGTAGCGCTGGCAGCGACGCTGGTCAAGCTGGCGATGGCAGAGGAAGCGCCAGCGTCGACGGAGGAAGCCCTCGAGGCAAGGTCGGAACCAGCAGAGCCAGTGGCGGATGAAGCGACGGAGCCGATGGCAGAGGTGAGCGAGGCAATGGCTGAAGAGCCGCCACCGACAATGGAGGAGACATCACCACGGAGGGACGAGGCGAGGGAGGCGATCTGCGCGTTGGCAGCGCCAGCGACGAGGAGAGTGGCGACGATGGAGAAACGCATCTTGATGGTTTAGATTGATGGAGTGGGTTTGTTGGTTGGTTGATTGAAAAGTGAGTGATTGAGTGATTGTAGTTTAGTGAGTGGAAGGAATGAAGCAGAGGGAGCAAGGCGGAGGCAGGTCTCTTATACTCATGGTACAAGGTGCACCTAGCTCCCAATGGGGGCCGTCACCATGGCTCCTGCGACAAACAAACGCCCTGATGGGTGGCCCTTACTGCATCATGTCGCACCGCCTCTTGCCATTTTCTCTAACGTAACCCGAAGCTCATTCACTGGCTCATGACGCCACACAGGCAGCCTGCACCTCTCGCCTCTGAGACCAAACCGGTTGCGGTAATTTGGATGCTGCAGCGGGCTGGCATGATTGGCGCGTTCCTTGCTCGCTATCCGCAGTTGCAGCGAGCCTTGGTCTGGGGAGGGACCCACAGGCCGCCGGCTGTCTGTTGGCCATGACGAATTATGGCGAGCTTGGTTGTGCGGGCGACCATGACGGGGAATGTGGCCCCGGGGGCTGCAGTTGGTCAAACAAGGGCAGCTGGGAGGAGGAGAGGCGTGGGACCAACGACACGAGACGCATTCCTCTAGCCTTTCTGCAATGGTCACCTCTTTTCTGCAGAGCTTCGTGCAGAAGCCCAGTCTAGCTATGCGTCCTTCACCGATGCGCTCAATTCGACCACCTCTTCCTGATGCTCATCAACAAACACGGCTAGTGCGAGCGCCGTAGCCTGCTACTCCTGGCCAATTCAGCCACCGACGACTAACTCGTCTTCCTGAAACAGTCGAGCAAGCTTCCACATTGCCATTTCATCAAGGCTATCCAATTTGCTGATCTATTGGGGGCTGCATTGCGCCCCCAATCATGAACTGGAATAACAATTATGCACTTTTAGACTTTTCCCGATGCAGTCCAACGCGATTCTCCTGATATCCGTGTTGCATCATGTCATCCCCTTTTGTTGAGAGGCCCGAGCCACAGTCGCTAAGATTCAAGCCGGCGAATTCGCCGCTGAAGCGTTTGAGCCATGAGACACAAGTGTCGTCATAGCCGTTCCTGACTCGTCTCACTCTAGCCGCAGAAGTGAGTGATGGGACCGACGCTTGGGAATAACACACGAGGCGAATTGAGTTTGATCGACTGTCCAAGGTAGGTAGCGCCAGCCGATGACGAGCAAGATACTAGCGTTGGTGGCGTCCAACAAGTCTAGCCAGCCCTACGAGCGGCTCCACGCGTACAGCTGGAGTATCCCGGTCGCTAAGGTGCCGCTTTCCGATAGTAATTAACTTTCCGGTCGTAATAAACCCGGCCAGCCTGCTTTTCCAAGTTTCTAGCACGGATTGCACTGCCTGCTTGGTAGCTCTCGCAACTTATACCCAGTTTCAACTTCTCAAACTGACTCCGCTCGCCATGTGGACCCTCGAAACGCAGAACAGCCAGCATCGCATTCATAAGATCCAGACATGACGTGCCTTTTGCCTTTAATCGCCTTTGGAGAGGGCAGCATGCCGTACACCCGTAGTGCAGCGGGGGATCAACAACAGACTGCTGTTCGCCCTTTGCGGGTTGCTTTACCCCACATCTCACGACATCGCCAATCTAAATTCAATTGCGCCACTGCAGACAACCTGTTCTTGCTTCGGTCGCGGAAAATCATGGCCTGATCCAAGTTCTCAGTGTGGCCAACATCTGAGGGGGGTGGCACACGCGCTCTCCTCATACCCTCTGGCTGTACGGACGGTATCATATTCCTTGCGACAGCATGGCGAGGAATTTGCAACCTGAAAAACAGCACTGAATACGTTGAGTCTCGCAGCACTATTTCGTTTGCAGGTTCGCTGCGTTGTAGGTATCACTCAATCATCGTCCTTCGTTCTCCCAGCGCCCAACACTACGAAGAGCTCTGAACAGGAGGGCTTTCGATGTAGTTTAAGTATCTTCACACTCTCTTTTGATGTTGTTTCGCTATTAGCGAGTCTTCGCGTTTCTTCGCTTCCCAGCGCCTTGAGCAACCTCCCAGGAAGCCTACTTCTCCATCCGAAACAATTCGAGTCTTTTTTTCCAAAAATAATCATTTCTCTCGCTGCATAATAAGGCCCGTCATTGCGCCTTCTAATTCAGACAACTTCCTTTGAGCGGTGGGACTTGGGGCGAGGGCTTGGTGGCGTTCTCTAACCGCCGAGACTGCTCACCATCTGCACGCACGACAATACGTTACTGCAAGTGCCGAATAACAACAGCGCAGTCAACACCTAGACGCTCTCAGAACCTCTGCTGTTGGTCACCCTGCAGAGCCCAGAGCGAATTCGTATCCTCTTACACGCTGTTTAGTCTGCAAACATCTCCCAATAAGTTGATGACCAAATTTGGTCTAGTAATCCAATAGGTTCTCCGATCTTGGCCTCATCAGACTGGCCAAACATGCACACCTCTGCGCCCATTTTTATCCACTGTGGATGCGGCATCCACGGCCCGATCATTGAGCGCTTAAGCACAACATCAAAACGGTCGAAATAGCAGTGTTCAGAGAGGAGCGCAAGTGCATGTACACTCTGGCGACTGATCGTCGCTTTCCTTTGTCCGTTCAGTTCGAATGCTTCGTTGATGGCCTTTTAGAAGTCGTTCTGGTATGGAGATCGATTCCAACTCCTGGTACAGCCTCACGATAGCTGGACAGCCGTCACAGTGGCTAGCAGGCACATATCCCTACATCAATGGAGACACGGGGATAGTGTCCATCACCAACTCGGATGATAACACTCCCAGCCAGCAATGGCAATTCTTTCCGCACAACTCATCGACCTACCTGCTACGAACAAAGGCCTCTGGTTCAAATGGGTACCTGGCAACAAGCAGCTCGAGCCGAACCTGCGAGGATGAAGTCCCCGTCATCTACAATAATGTGAAGGCGGACGAGTCGATGCTATGGACGATACAGCCTAACAGCGATGAAACCTACCGGCTCAGCAATCGCGTGCACGGGCGTACCTGCTATCTTGAGATCAAAGAGAACGGTGTCCAGATGAGCTCACGAACCACGCCTGGGCTTGACCAACTCTTTGCTCCTATCAGACACGGCGAGATCAACGATGTCGTGTTTTCGGCTGCTGCGACGCTCCCAGTTTCTCGAATTGGAGTCAACACTCCTTCAGCGACCGCATCTTCTACGCTCAGTCGAAGTGTTTTGCAGGGTTCAACGACGTTTAGTCACGCCTCTTCGTCTACCCCATCGTCATCATCATCAGCTCTACCGCTACCTCCTCCACTAGCTTTGAGGCACGATTCTCGACTCTCTAAGTCCGCTGCCCTAGGCATCGGCGTTGCCGTTGGTATGTCTGCCCGTTCGCACACTTTGTAAACGTGTATTGTATAAATGCTTGGACTATATCCCATCCTTACCTCTAGCGTTCATCTCACGCAGATACTGACTTCATAACCTCACAGGTATAATCGGCATCCTCCTCTTCATATCAATAGCCCTTCTTATCTACCGCCGCTATAAGCTAAGGCATTCGCCATCGAGCCGCCACTATCGACAGACTAAGCTATGGAAGGGATTCGTTCCAGCGACCCCCAATACAGCCCGAACCACCTTCGTTGAGACGAAGATGGCGAATATCTACTTCGCCGAACTGCCGACTCCAGCTACTCCAGCTTTCATGGCGAGTCCGCCCTTGGAGGAGAATATTGGGGACCGAGTGAGCTGGAATAGGGGCAATCGGACGAGCTGGCCTGTGTCGCCTATTACACCGGGGTCGCCTCCTATTGAAATGCCTATATGACTTTGAAAAGATTTACGATTTGTACGCAACATTCGCAGGACGCACGAGAGGTAGTCAGTCAGAACGTAGGGCTGCATGAGTTCGACGACATGTCTGATTTGGAGTTGTGATACCCGATTGATGTTCTAAATGAATGTATAGCATCCTGGTTTATTCAAGTAAACATGTCGTAGTTGTATGTCTATATTTGAGACGGAAGATTTTAAATCGCGCGCATGTGACAATCGACTTGGCACCAGACGTCCGTTGCGGCACTGGGTGTGAGCCCTTATGAACATGGATCCAAAGACACCGCTGACTTACGGGCATTTACAAAAGATACATGCGACTTCAAGGCATCAATATTTTCGGTCAGTAGAGAACCAATACCATGACCTCAGACAAATGCTATGACGGAGAGGGCAGGTGCAGGGCTTGGCGGAGATAGCCGCGGCCGGGGCTTGCTTTTTCAGTCGCCGAGCTTTGCGCCTGCACACCCACACCTCCGCCGTCCACCGCCAGCCTCTACTTCGTGCTATCACAGCCCGAGTAGCTTCAATTGGGTAGCAGGAATACATTCTCACACTCACAATGTTGGCTGCTCGCTCCTTCGCCGCCCCCGCGCGGCAATGCCTGCGCCAGGCGAACCGCTCCTCGAGATGGGCGCCCGCGCTATCCCAGGTGAGCTTCGAGTCCTGCAATGGGCCTGTTGGCAGCATCGCAGGTGCTGCCAATGGCTACATTGTAGCAAGGAGGGTATGCTGATGCAACCATATAGGCCTCGACCCGCACATATGCCTCCGAGGTGGCCAAGTTCACGGGCACCAAGGGCAACGACGGCAAGTACAGCGTCACGCTCATCGAAGGTGACGGTATTGGTCCCGAGATTGCGCAGTCAGTCAAGGACATCTACTCGGCCGCCAACGTACCCATCAAGTGGGAGTCAGTCGACGTGACCCCGCGGTTGAACGAGGATGGCAAGACCGTTATCCCCGATGAGGCCATCGCCAGCGTCACGAAGAACCTGGTCGCCCTCAAGGGCCCGCTTGCCACGCCCATTGGCAAGGGCCACGTCTCGCTCAACTTGACGCTGCGCCGGACCTTCAACCTCTTCGCCAACGTCCGACCCTGCCGATCCATCGCTGGCTACAAGACACCCTACGACAATGTCGACACGGTCCTGATCCGTGAAAACACCGAGGGAGAATACTCTGGCATCGAGCATATTGTTGTCGACGGTGTTGTACAGAGCATCAAGCTCATCACCCGTGACGCTTCGGAGCGCGTTCTGCGATACGCCTTCCAGCACGCCCGCGACATTGGCAGGAAAAAGGTCCGCGCCGTACACAAGGCCACCATCATGAAGATGTCCGACGGTCTCTTCCTGAGCACTGCCCGCGAGATCTCCAAGGAGTTCCCCGACATCGAGTTCGACGCCGAGCTGCTGGACAACACCTGTTTGAAGATGGTCACAGACCCCGTTCCCTACAACGACAAGGTCCTTGTCATGCCCAACTTGTACGGAGATATTCTGTCTGATATGTGCGCTGGTCTCATTGGTGGTCTTGGCCTGACCCCCTCTGGCAACATTGGTGACAAGTGCTCCATCTTCGAAGCTGTCCACGGTTCAGCACCTGATATTGCTGGCAAGCAGCTCGCCAACCCCACCGCGCTCCTTCTCAGCTCCATCATGATGCTGCGACACATGGGCTTGAACAAGGAAGCCGCCAACATCGAGCAGGCTATCTTCAAGGTCCTTGCTGAGGGCAAGGTAAGCACTACTAATTCCCGCTCCTTGGTCTCGTTGCTAATAACTTGTAGACTATCACCGGTGATCTCGGCGGTAAGTCCAAGACATACGAGTATGCGGACGCGGTCATCAAGTCCTTGAAGTAGATTTTGTTTATGGGTTGACGAGCATGGGCACGATGGGATGAGCGATTGCATATTGTGGATATGTACTAGTCCTGTACTATAAGCCGCCATTTAGCTTGATATACGCTGATACTTGTTGAATTTCATTCACACCAAACAAATCATCTTCAATGCCCGAGTACTCCCTGAAAACCTAAACGTCTTCTATGTTAGAGAACGAACAAACCCGCGGGCATTGGACTTGGTCCAGGCTGAATTTGCTCACTTGATGTTCGAGACCCCTCAACGGCTAGGAATCTAATCTGATCATCTAGCATATGCAAGCTGATGCAACATTGAAGAGCACGTGACAGCGCATCGAGACCAAGATCATCCAAACCCATTCGTGTCGAGGTCAAGCAGTCACCACAAGCACAGTTGCACCTAATTTACGCCAATCTCTCAATATGCCTCCGAAACCGCCAATCCGAATACCAGTCAAATCTCCTCCTGTCGCAAAAGCAGCGCCACGAGCTTTTCCGAAGCCATCCATAGCACATGCACCCTCGTTACGTACCACCACACCCCTTCCTCTACCACCGCGATGGTACGAGAACCCTCGCCTGCGCTCCTCTGCGCGCTTCGCCGCATGGTCCACAAACGTCGTCGTCGGCTTGTGCGCTCTGATCTGGGTACGCGACCACTACGTGAAGCTAGACCGTGTACGCGGATCCTCCATGGCGCCGACGCTGAGTCCCGACACGCATGAGACAGGAAGGGTGGATTGGGTGGTACTTCGCCCGTACCTGGAGCGATCGGCGAAACAGCGCAAAGCTACAGGAGGCAAAGAAGAAGTGGTCGAGTGGGGTGTACAAAGGGGAGATGTAGTCACGTTTTGGAAGCCGCATAAACCAGAGGAGATGGGCATTAAGCGTGTAGTAGCAATTGAAGGGGATGCTGTGTATCCCACCCGCGGATATGTGCTGGATCCTGCTATGAGGGAGGGTAGGATGCAGGGCATGCCTGATGGTCTGCCGGATAGTGATGAAGATGCGATACAAGGCACAGGCGATGCAATGGGCAAAATTATTGTCCCGTATGGCCATGTTTGGGTCGAGGGGGATAATTGGCGCAAGAGCTTTGATAGCAATGACTTTGGGCCGATTAGCAAGGGGTTGATTGAGGGGAAGGCTGTTTGGGTGTGGAGAAATTGGTTCGAGTTTTTGGAAGTGGGGGATGGGCGGAAGCAGAGAGAGAGGAAGATGAGGAGTAGAGTTGTGGAGGGGAGGAGTGAGATACCGGCCATATTCTTGGAGTGAGATGTGGTACACTACGATTTGGCTTCTCAATTATAAGATACCCTTCGTTCGGTCTTGGAAAAGGAGTGCTGAGGGTTACAGGTATGTGTAATTTTGTTCCCTGTTATCCAGGCGGCTTACATTACTCAAGTGGATGCGAACAGAGTCTCAATTTCCTGACATACCGCCTTCGTAACACCCTTCGTATCCTCGCCTCCTCCAAGATCCTTCGTCTTCACGCCCCTCGCAGTTACGTTTTCCACTGCCTTCATCAATCCATCAGCGGCTTTCTCCTCGCCAACCCACCTCACCATCTCCGCCGCACTCCAGAACGCTCCTACAGGGTTCGCGATGCCCTTACCCGCGATATCTGGTGCAGAGCCATGAATAGGCTCAAACATGCTCGGATTCGCACGCGTAGGATCAAGGTTACTTGACGGTGCGATTCCAATACTACCAGAAAGAGCGGCGGCGAGATCAGAGAGGATGTCAGCGTGCAAGTTGGTCGCGACAATCGTGTCTAGACTCTTCGGCTGCAGAACCATGCGTACGGTCATGGCATCCACCAGCATCTTGTCAATCTCGACGTCACCATACTCTTTCGCGACTTCGTAGAACACCGTGTCCCAGAGGACCATGCCTGTTGCACGTCAGCAAGGAGATATGATACTTCTAGGAAGTCGACTTGCCGTGTCGCTGCGCATTGCTCTTCGTCACCATGGTCAACTTCTTCCTCGGCCGGGACCGTGCAGTTTCAAAGGCGAAGCGCATGATACGCTCAATGCCCACGCGTGTAAAGATACTAACTTCGGTCGCTACGGTGTGAGGTGAGGACTCGTGCGATGTCCCGCCTTGCCCAGAGTATTCGCCCTCGCTATTCTCGCGGATGATGACCCAGTCAAGGTCTTCTCTCTGGCAATCGGCGAGCGGACTCTTCGTTCCCTCCAAGATCCTCGTCGGTCGCACATTCACATACTGGTTAAGTGACTTCCGAATGGGTAGGATCAGGCCCCAGAGGGAAATATGATCCGGCACCTCCAAACACAGTCAGTACATAGCATTTTCGAACACTTGGGCTATCATACATCGGGCCAGCCCACGGCTCCGAAATAAATTGCATCGAACTTCTTGAGTTGCTCGAGGCCGTCGGGCGGCATGTACCAGCCTCGCTCGAGGAACTTCTTGCTGCTCCAATCGAAGGTGGTGAATTCGAATTCGAACCCTCCGATAGTTTTGGCTAGGACGTTGAGGATTTCAACGGCTGCATCCGTGATGTCGACGCCGATGCCGTCGCCTGGGATGGACGCGATGCGGTGGATTCTGGAGACTTCGCGGACGTGTGACGGCATCTTGATAGGTTGTAGAAAGACTAGGAGTAGCTATTTGGATGGTGTGTTCTACACAGCTTGATTATATATTGTGTGCTAATCTATGCTCCCGTAATATGTTATATCTTTCAATTCTCTCCAACCAGGACATCACTACTGCGGAGTAAACGAGCACTCTTCCGATGTCGCGTCATAGCTCCTTCCTCACGGCTAGACGCCAAGGTGGACCCTCGTTCGTCACTCCTTCCCCGCGCTAGCATGTCCTTAGCCGCAAGGCCCCACCACGCGTCGTGCGTGTTGAACACCTCACCGCTTGGACGAGACCACCTTTGCAAAGTTTCTAACTAAAGCTTCTTTTCTCTTCTTTCCAAACCTCAGACTTTTACTCAGATTTGCTACTTCCAAACAGGCATCGATTTGAATTCAGAACACAATGGCTGCTGCATACCCCCCTGGCCAGACCTTCTTCGACACGGTCAAGAAGAGCTTCGTTGATGTACCTGTCGATGCTGCCAAGGACAGTGCTATCTCGACAACTGAGTTCCTCGAGGCTGCGGAGAGCTTGACTACGCTGTTCGGTACGTACACTCGTCGTTCCTGTTCTGAGCAGTGCTAATTAGGGGTTGACAGATGTTCTGGGTTCGGCGGCATTCAAGCCTGTCAAGAATGACATGAGCGGCAACATCAAGGTACGACACGACAATGAAGAGGAGTTGAGAACGGTAGAGAAAAGAGCTTCTTGCTGACGTGGAGCAGAAAATCCGCGACCGCCAATTGGCCGCCCCTACGCTCTCAGAAACCCTCCAGGACCTCGTCCTCAACGAGCTCAAGGAGAAGAAGCACACTGCCACCGAAGGCCTAGTATGGCTCAACCGGTAAGTCCACTTCATTCCTTTCCATCCTGCCCAACACATGTTCCAATGTTTGTCCACGCCACTAACCCTTACTTCTCCAGCGGTCTCGACTTCACGGCCCAAGCCCTCCGCCACAACATCACCAACCCCTCCAAAGAACTCTCCGACTCGTTCCGCGACGCCTACGGCAACACGCTCAAGCCACACCACTCCTTCGTAGTCAAGCCGCTCTTCAGCGCCGCTATGAGCGCCACACCATACAGGAAGGACTTCTACAAGAAGCTGGGTGATGACGAGACCAAGGTGCAGGCTGAGCTCGAGAAGTGGCTGGCGGCGTTGGAGAAGGTGGTCAACGTGTTGAATGTATTTTTGGCCAAAAAGGAGGCCAAGTGGTAGAGTGTAGATGCTGTTAGAGCTAGGCGCGCCCTAGGTTACGATTTATACGATACAAAAGTGTTACGTGTGGTAAGGCACTCGCTCTTCACCTTTTTCTGCGTGAATTCACTTTGTGGTTAGTAAGGATGCTGAATATGTGTTTGAAGAGGCGTGTAAGGACCAGGTAACATTGCATTGGCTCCTCCCGATTTATGCTGACCCTTGCAGCTGAGGAGGTGATGGGTCTTGACAGTCTTGAGGGAAAATGTGGAACAGAACTCGGTGTGCTGAACGAAAGATTCATAAGTTTTAGCCAGTCAGAGATGAACTTCAAGTACCAGGCGCTGCTTAGGTGTGACGGATGCCCCTGGAGGGCGCTTCGAGAGGGACATTGCATTGAAGCCTGGGCGGGGCTGAAGGAGGACGCGCCGCTAACCTGCAGAGGGCTAGATCTACCTAGGTATCTTCCACGATAGTAGCTGGATATAAAGCGATGATTGGCTTGCATGACTGGGATATGCGCCACCGTTTTGGGACCCTGTATGTTGAACAGCTTCATTTGTTCTGTCGTCGTGGTTCTCATTGAGCTATGTCCATTGCTAGGCTAGATTCCTCCCCGATCGTATCGATGGTTCACAGTCGGCTGTAGCGATACGTCTCCCAGCCCCAGATATAGTACTTGGGTCTATGGAGAAGCAACCGTATGCAGGTGCTGGCATTTTATGAGTCTTGGCCTTTGCGGCACAGCCCCCTACAACCCCAAACACCTTCGAAATTAGTCTAGGCCGATCATGGAACGCCTAATGCTAATAACACTGGTTTAGAAGTAGTGAGCCCACTCTTTGTTCTCCCACATCTTGTCGTGTTGGATCTGTTCTGTTGCTTGGGACGAGCGTAGGCCCTGCTCGATCTCGATCGATACAGGCACAGTATCAACAGAAAGCGGACATGGTCACTATACAACGTCTTATTACCGCCGCCTTGGTTGCCTGTCGTACAGCTACCGGCATCCCCACGATTGAAATCAAAGGTTCCAAATTCTTTACTAGCGAGGGTAATCAATTTTATGTAAAAGGTAGGTTCAGCCAATGCTTGATACTCGTTTTCTAACTCTCATAGGCATTACATATGAATTCGCCAGCTCTTTATCGTCGAGTTACCTCACAAATGGCCAACAGTGCAAGATCGACGCAAAGCTAATAGGTGCAACCGGAGCCAATGTTGTCCGCGTATATTCCATTGACCCTACCTTGAATCTTGATGAGTGTATGCAAGCATTCGCAGATGAGGGAATCTACGTCATATGCGATATGTCAACACCTACCTTCTTTATCAATAGAGTACGTGGCTCGTTTGATAGCTACACAACTACCAATGGACTGATTGAAATGCAACAGGAGAAACCCATATGGACACTCAACCTACGCAACCAGTTCGCCAAAGTCCTCGATGGTCTACACAAATACGACAATTTACTTGCTCTCTTTGCAGGCAATGAAGTAATCAATGACGTCAATACGACCATTGCTGCACCAGCTATCAAAGCAGTCATTGCCGATATGAAAGGTTATAGAGACCTGATGCAGTACCGAAAGATTCCAATAGGCTACTCTTCTACTGATGAGACGACAACGAATTTGCTACAAAATTACCTCGACTGTGGTAACGAAGACATCGCCGCTGATTTCTTTGCTCTAGACAACTATGGGTGGTGTGGCGAAAGCTCTATGGCGAAATCCGGTTACGACGCCCTATACGCACGCGCGAATGGATACGATATTCCGATTTTCCTATCCGAAACAGGTTGCAACCATGTCAAAAATCGAAGTTTCAATGACCAAGTTGCGCTTCTTGGGAGAGACATGAACGATCGATACTCGGGAAGCATCATCTACGAATGGACCATGGGGGTAAACAAATATGGTCTGGTTGAATATTCAAATGATCAGGCTACAGGGACACCAAAACTGCTCGCCGATTACACAGCATTGCAATCACGTTGGTCCACTTTGAATCCGGTAGGCGTCAAAGCGACCGCATATGACCCAACCTTAACGAAGCGAGATTGTCCCCAGTCTACATCAGGCGTATGGTTGGTCGAGGCAAAGGCTGGAACTGAAATTCCCACGCTGGGACTTTCCGGATTCACGGCACCGACAGGACGACAGGCTTCAGCTACAGGGAGAATTCCCACATCGAGTATCATTGTGGGTAGTGGAAGCTCCAGTGATTCTAATAAGCTGGAAAGTGGACGCTCCGGTGGCTCTACTAAGCTAGGAGGTGGTGCAATTGCGGGAATCGTGATGGGGGCCATATTCCTCTTCCTTGTAATGTGTGGAATTTTACTTTTCCTGTGGCGCAAGAATAGGCCGAAGAAAGAAGTTACAGTCAACCCAGGCGACGACGCGCCCCTCAAGGGAGAGCTAGACGCAACAAGTAGAGACATGACGCACCAGCCAATCTACCAGGAATTGTCTGGAGCAAAGTATACACAAGAGTTAGGGCCCTCGCACGCACAGTATGAACTCAGGACAGACGAGCGACCAGGCGAGCTACCAGATCAGCGAGATGAGCACCAGCACCTTGATGATACTGGGCATTATGCACCAGAGTTCACTGACCAGGAGCCAGCGGCTGAGCCTTCGCCACATGTTCAGGCGCAGAGGAGACGTGAGATGGAATGGTTAGAGATGGAGGAGATGAGAATGCGGCAGCGAAGAGAGCAGTTGATGAAACAAGGGGGTGCGGGTTGAGGGTCATGCAGGATATATACGCGCCGTTACACCTCAGCATGAAGAGCGAGCGTGCATTGTAGGTTCCTACCCTAGTAGACACAGCTGTGGCCCGATCTGGGCTGCACTCTAGCTGCACTAGTCATCGACACCGGAGCTATGTCAAGAGCAAGTCTAACGACGGACAAGACGTAAGTCTTTTCCACAAAAGACACAACTTTGCTCAACGGATTGTTATATTAGCATTGGTATGCGAACATCCACCATGATGGCAAATAACAGATTATTCCACCTGAAACCAAGTCGAGTTACGATAGTTGGGATGCCTGGCTCAGGCGCTTCAAGTGTGTAAAAGGGTAGTACAAAGTGCTTAATCGTGCAATCTAGAAGTACCCCTTGTCATCCCACGGACTACGCCTCTTAGCCCACTCCTCGATCGGAGTCAATTTTACTCCCAACTCCTCGGCCACAGGCCCCATATCCACATTAAACGGCTCATCTGGTGCCTCATTGTAATACGTATACGCCTTGAACATCTGGCTCACAATCTTATCCGTCTCTAGTCCCCTACCCTGCATCGTCTTGCCAATCTTCTCGCAAAAGTCCGCCACAGTCTGGTTCTCGTAGTCAAGCTTCCTGCCCCACGCTCTAGAAAGTTTCTCAGCCAGCTGCTCGAGCCGAAGGGTTTCGGGGCCGCCGACTGGAATGTCGCGGCCGGCTAGGTCTGGGCGGTGCATGGCAGCCATCATGATCTGCGCGACATCGTGGTGGCAGATCCATGAAACCTGTAAATCAGGCTTGTGGCAATAAACGACGGTGCTTCGGTCACGGATGGGGGATAACGCCCAGCCTTCGAGGAGGTTGTCGAGATACACAACGGGCTCAATGCTGATGACAGGTACGCCTGATTCTCTCAGTAGTCTCCGCATTTCTCTCCTGTCATCCTGCGCTTTGATATCCTGCTTCTCCTTTGGCACTGGCATGCTTGTATTAAACAGTATAAGCGGGACATTGGCCTTCTTCGCTGATTTACCGATCGCTTTCGCTGCGGCGATGATAGGCTCTGACTGATTGAAAGACGTCGAAGGGAGGTTTAGGAATATCCTATCTGCGTCCTGTAGGACTCTGGCGATAGTTGCCGTGTCGGTGAAGTTTGCCGCAAATGTCTCGACGGGGATGTTGTCCACCAACACTGGTTGTGGCTTGCGGCTCACAGCAACCACTGAATGGCCTCCACGCGCGAGCATGCGCACTTGATGACGACCCTGCACACCGGATGCACCGAAGACGATGACACGCATTATATGCCTTCTATCTGCTACAGTTATCGAAGAGTTGTGAGACCTATTAAAAGTACCAGAAATGGGGGTGTAGTTTACTCTGGTGTAATTAGTTCGGATATGCTTTGCCGGACATCCTTGCGGTTGGTCAACTCCGCCTTGATAAGGTTGCCACTCATTAGCATGAGTGGGTGAATCCAAGTTGCAGATTTCACATTTCTAGCTTGAAATCCCAATGGCAGAAGAGTCCGATGATGTCCGGAACAGTCAATTATGGCAGACACGCGATTAAGGCCAACATGTATAGGACTTAGGCTTAATTGACCCCCGTAAAGGCTCGGACAAGGTCGCGTAAGCACGGCACGGAACGTAACGGCGTCTTGACTATGCTAACATCATGTGTCCATGGTGCAGCTTCCGGTTGTACTGGGTGCGGATTGGGTTCAAATCAGTGGACCTTATCGAGACACAACTCCAAGCCTTGGCCTCTTCGAGCGAACACGCGAGAGAAAAAGTCTGAATGCGTGGTTTGACTCAACTCGAACGATTCGAGTCCTCCGCACTTCCGTTCAAAGTTGGGAGGTAGTGTTTCGAAGCTAAGGTCGAACCCATGATATCGGCCCTGACATACGAGACCAGACGCAGCTCGCTATGTAGAGACCGAGATACGGAGTTGTCTAGCCTTCTATCAGATGCTCCTTGCGTCGTCTGAGAGTTTCCGAGAAGTCGTATGATATACTTTGACAGTCTTTTTATGAATCGCGAAAGGCTCGATCGAGATAGCATGACCTTCGTTCCACGCTGTTACTTCGGTCTTGGCCAACCTATAACCCAGACAAAAAACGCTGGAACCATCGAGATCAATCGAAATCAATAATCTCCAGGATATCTCGGTGAGTGGTGAGCTTGTCTAGAGTGGAAACACATGATTGGTGGCTAGATGTGCCTGGTCGGAAGAAGGGCCTGATTGGACAAGGCTCTGTACACCGACTAGTTATCAAGCAGAATGGCGCGAGGAATGAGCAGACCTCTGGCGTTGTATACAAGCGCGCAGCATGCCAGAAGAGTGGTCTGGGTTCCACAAACGATAGATGCAATGCCTGGAGCCAAATGTCATGTCGTGGCATGCCCTTTTCGGAAGCGACAGCCGTTCCAACCGAAGACGCTTGGTCTTGAGGCCATTGTCGTGTTTGACCACACAAGCAGAGGTGAGAAGAACAATCTGTGCAGTTACGGGAAAACGCACCGAGGTTTCGGCGGTGACGTAAGAGGGTAAGGAGCACATTGGATGGCGGGGAAGAGGACTCTGGGTGCGTACAGTCTGTATGCAAAGCTTCTTTGTGTAGCAAAGGCGCTAGGCGGACCTGCCCTGCTTCCTGCTCATTGGCCAAGCTGGGGGCTGGGCGTCGACATGGGATAGCATCATTTCGGACGGCGTCGACGGCAAGGATCTCCACCTCAACCCCGTACTTCACACGTCTGCAATCCTCGAGCAACTGGTTCCGGGAATGGTTTGCGGGTCTGATGTGAAGAAATCAATGGCGTTGGCAATAGCGTGCGCCACCACCCGCGGCCATAGCACCAGCACCAGCACCAGCCACCAGCCACCAGCCACCAGCCACGACCCACGACCCACGACGGCCTTTATCTTTCAACATGCTACGTCTGCGTCTAGTTCCGCGTAGACGCAGCAGAAATCAAAAGGGAGGAGCGCGATCCGACGTTTTGGGCTGTTGGAGAACGGGTGCTTCTCCCTGCTTCTCCCATTCGTCACGGTCAGCTTCGCCGCCCACAGGGCCAACCTCGCCCGGCCATGTCGCCGGATCGACGTGGTACGTAGCCACGGTCCTCGAACAGCGCCGTTTCCTAGTCTAACAAGCCCGTCTGCAGGTTCTGGCGCCCCTGTTGGAACCATAGACTCTGTTGAATGCGCATCGTTTGCGGCACTATACCGCAGATATGGGTGGCTTCGCGAAAGCCCAAGCCTCGACGTGCTATGCCATTGCCCTTGGTACCACGCGTCTTCTGAACACCCCATAATTGCCGTTGCACCGCAATTCTCCGCAGCCTAGTGTCACCTTTGTCAGATACCCTCTGGAAACTGCCGACCTGCCCAAAACAACATTATAGGTGCTCGTGTCCGCACACGGGAGCCAGCTCGCTGCTCAGCCAACGCCTACCCACCCGAATCAGTCCAGCAACATCGAGCCCAACCCACTCTCATGTCGACTAACCTTGTAGAGACGCAGTCTTTTCAGGACTTTCGCTGTCACGAACCCGACCTGGAGGACATGTCCAATCTATACGGCATGCAAGAAAGCTGGTCCTACTCACCCAACCTGAACAAGCCTCACACAGCGGCGGCAGGCTACTTAGACTACTACAATTCCAAAATGCCCGCTTCCAATATCCGACTCCAGCGGCCTCCGACCCTGCAGAAGGAAGAATCCTCCAGCCAGGACGAAGAACAATCTCAGAATACAGTCCTTGCACAACGTAGATATTCCCAGCTCGGGGTTCAAGCACAGATTGACCCATCCACACAATCTCTTCAGCTTACTATACCGGTCATGTACTCTTCGTCATCGGTGTTTACAGCGTCGAATGCGCAGAACAACCCCCAGAGCACGCCGACAGTATCGCCTCTAGACACACGATTCGACATGGACAACGAGTCTCCAGGCTCTCACGGCAGCTTCTCCTACGACGGCCAACTACAGCCGACCGATGCCATGCAATTCATGCCTTTCTCCCCCGATCTCCAGCATGCGCCGTTCAAACGCCGCTGCGATAGTCTGCAAACACTTCGCGAGTCGCACTCTCTAGACTCAACAAACTCATCTACTGCACGACGGCGCAAGTCAGAATACGCAGAGCCCGGCTCAGCGCGAGCCATATACCTGGCGAAGAATCGCAAAGCCGCAAGCAAATGCAGGAGCAAGCAAAAGAAACAGCAAGAAGAGCTCGTTGAAATAGCTCGAGATGTCGAGCGCAAGAACAGGGCGCTGAAAGCTGAAGTCGACATACTAAAGGGCGGGATACGAGAGCTGATGGGCATCGTGGCCCAGCATAGCGACTGCTCCGATAAACGACTCACAACATACGTGCAGCGCGAAGCAGATCGACTAGCTGCAGGAGCCATGCGTACCGGCCTCCCTTCTCCGCCGTCAGCAAGCCCATCTTTCGCTGACAATGCCTCGTCCCAGGCAGCCTCTTCCTCGGATGGGACCTGAAAAGAGACGGAAGCCTAAAGTTGGACCCAAATCCGCCATTCCAGTGAATTTGGTGCGACCAGAACGCCCTATTCGAGTGCGGGGTTAGCGTTATGACTGGCTGTTGCCGCATGAAACCACGGCTTCAGCCGTACAGAGAGACTGCGCGATCCAAGTTTGCGAGCACTGCAGGACGAGTGCTGAGGCGGGGTAATGCACAAGCCCAAGACAAAGATCGGCCCTGTGTCCGTAGGAGGAAACCCGTTATCGCTAAATAGTATAGTGTTACTTCAAAAGGCAGAGGGGGTTTTAATGGTTGGTTTTCGCTGCTAGAGGGTTAGCATGTTATGGATAACGAAATAACGCATATCATATTGTTATGAACGCTTATTGGACTATCGATATCTGGCACGTGGAGTACGATATGTTGCGTGAAGAATGTATCCCTAAACTATATTCCTTCACATTCTGGTGCGCAGAAGACGACAGAGCACGGAAATATATCCTTGACACTCGACACGTCAGTCTACCGTAGTCCTGCCACCGCGCGCGAGACTACTAAGCCAATTCGGGACATGCAGGGCGACTTCTAGTTTTAATGTAGATCATTAAAGTCAATTGTTCGATATGTTTGTTCAAATGTTGTAGGTCGTGAGGTGAGCGTTCTTGCCTAATTGGGACCGCAGATAGCCTTACCATCGGTCATACTCTCTTTAAAGTTCGCACAGATAACGCAGCCGGTGTACACTATCAGGCAAATTTTATATACTTGCTGCGTCGTAAAAGTATGATTATGGTTTTCCGCTTCTCCATCGACACTCCCAATGCCTGAGATCTTGCAGGTTATTGGGCAATCGAGCGATACGCCTTGATCGATTGTTACCGCTCGTCGTTAGTCTTACTTATGCCACAACCCGGCATTTGTAAACCAAGTTTAAAAGAATGACACGCGGATTGACCCGTGGCTATCGTCAAATCGCGAGCTCAAGATACTGCCATCACCTAAATGTAGCGAATCTGGGCTATCCTAGCTTAAACCTAGAGCCTGCAGCACAGCGTCAGCTTCTTGTTCCATAGCTTAAAACTCGATCTGAGGCATACCTGAGCCGGACGGAGACATTTTTAACACATATCCAGCGACAAATGTACTTCAACGTATCGTGCTTCCAGTCTGGAGAACACTACTCGCTGTCGCGACAAAAGTTATTACCAAAGATGATATATGCATCGATGCAGCCAAAGTACCAGGGTGAGGAAGATAAGCAGTGACTGCATGATGAAAGGCCCTAGTGCCCAAAGTCCTGGTGCGAGAAGAACGCCCGGCGCCTGCGTAAGCCTGTAATCTCGACTGCGCCACAAAATTAAGCTTGTGTCAAACAAAAGGTAGTATAGTTTCCGGTGGTCGTACGTACAGATGCCTACCACGACAGATGCTATGATATACAAGGTCTAACTTTGACGAGCAGACAGATCTACGCAAGAGTTGTGAGACTGAACGAAGATTGTTGCGGCAAGGTTCGAAGAGACATATCGGACAAAGCGCAAGCGGTTATATTAACGAGAACATGATTACCTTTGCCGTCCACGGTTGAATCTTGCTAGATCTGACTTATTGACTGAACCTCTAATTAGACCGAAGAAAGCGTACCGCAGCTTTGATGAACATATTACGACAATGTAACCTTCTTTCTTCTCCTACGCCTTCGATAACTTTCACGAACTCGTCACCTCCTCGGATCTGTTTGCACTGCGACTTCATGGAGTTGCTCCCTTAATATAAGGTGGGGCTCGCCCACGCCCATGAGTGGCTAGAGTTCCTCCGCGTTCTTTCCTCTTCCACCGAAGCGCCGTATCCGACCGTATGGGAAATTCCGTGCGCTAGTGTACAATACGCCCGGCTCTCGCGGATTAAATTCGTAGAATAAATCAGGCGGTATGCCCTCCACAGGCTGGCATCCATGTACATTGCCTACTCGACTTCCTCCCTTAAGCTTACGCCGCCTCCCGTAAGGCTAACCACTTGCGGAGACAGATCTTACGCCGCCTCTCGTATGGCCAGCCACATCTGGAACAGATCCTTGGACCATTATGGGTTGGACGAGTAAGAAGAGGCGCTGAACGTGCGGATGTTCCCTGAAACCTGAAATCTGGGCTCGTTGTACTGTTGGCACTCCTGGACATCGAATTGAAACGCGCACAGTTATCACGGGTCGACAAAGACGTGTAGTTCATCCATTAGAACGACGACGAGAAGCACTAATATCGACAATGCTCCCCAGAGCGAGGGCCTTCAACAGGAGACAGGGGTGGCTGCTTGGCTCCAAGCTCGGGATCTGATGATCTGTTGGGGCCAATCTAACCATCTCAGAAGATCTGGTGTCGCTCGTAATAACTCCTCGGAGGCATCAAGGAGCCATACTGGCCACTTGGACACCCACCAAATCGGACGACCCTGCGCCAAGATAGTGGCGAAATGTGTAGTAATGATACAGGTGACAGGATTGTGAGCTGCCAGGAGGTCGAAGAAGCGATTGTTGAGCTTGGCCGGCCAGAGAAAGAGAAGGCCATACTCATCTCGATCGTGAGTGAGATGTCGAAATCGTAACCAAGTCGCATGGAGTTGATCAATGGCGTCCGCACAAGCCTCCTTGTCTTGAGTGTCGAGCAGAAGCTCGGTCAACTCTTTGAGACGTATAATCTCCTGGCTTTTATCATCCCGAGCGAGCGAGTCAAGCATTTCTAGAGTACTAGGCGAAGACATGTCCGTCATAAGCGCGAACACGTCATTATCCTTGATTCGGTCCCAGTGCGGGAGGACGACGACTTTGATTCCCTGAAGCAGCATGAAACAATGGTGCAATGAGCCAATAGGATCTTCCGGTTTCTCCTGTGCGATGCCAAAGTTGTACGTAAGCAGAACAGACGACAGGATGAACATGGGGATCGTCGGCGTCTCGTCATTTGATGCCTCCAAGTTCTTCCTATACGTGTCGAGAGCTCGACTGATGTGCGAATCGGCTTGGAGAAGAAGGCTTTGCCTCTCTGCAGGTAGAAGGAACGACGCCTTGTGCGCAGCCGAGAGAGCAAGCAGGCCATGAAGTAAGAAAGGATGTTCGAATCCGAGCTCAATGAATCCAGTTTGCCATGCGTCACTTCTGGTTCCAGTTGGATGCAGCGAATTGTAACCTTTAGAAGTCCAATGATGCACCAAACGCAAGTCCGGGATAGAAAGCTCAAAGGCACGCGATGCTGTGTCAGGGCTACCAGAAGGTTCCGGTTCGGCGAAGGGAGACACATGATCGGCTGGACTAGCTTGCGATGGGGTCGAGTAAGTATTTGGTACTGTTGGCCAGGAGCATTGTATGTCCAGGCGGATGCAATTCGCGCACCGTGGACGTGCCTCGTTACACTACTACAGTAAGCAAAACGATCGACTTTAGTAGGCACCGGCTTAGCCTCGGTGCCTTGGCAACTTCAGGACAGATATATTTTCTAGACACAGGAGGCTTGAGATGGCATGTTTGATTGCTGGACATGAACTAATAAAGGCCGGGTATCGGGTTAAGGTATAAAGATTTGGCGTACCTTGGTGTGCCGCTGTTTGCATTGGGAGCAGCCCTTGCGCGATTTAGAGTGAGTCTTGCGCTTCGCGACACGTAAGTCCGCCATGTTAATTACTTGATTGTGACACGAACAATCATGGATGCGGTTGACCTCCACTGGATCCACAGGATTCACGCGAAATCGATGGCTTAGCTCCGGAAGGAGTTGTTATGTAAGCGACTACGGTAAGCAGAACATCGTTAGCTCCTAGTAGGAATGAACCGCCACCCCACACCATAATTTGTCTTCCAGTCACCAGTATTAGACGTTCTCACTTGGCCAAGGCTTGTTGGCAGAAGGCCACGATGCGACAGGCGATGTAGTTCTAGCGAAGCTTGATGAAAATACCTGTACACATGGAAAGACGAGATCACCGAGCTCCGATAACGCCATGCCTATCCATCTCATCTGTATTCACACTTCGTCCTCCATTTACACCGGGAAACATCTTTCTCTTCCGACTTGGTTGTCCCTACAAATTCGAAGCTGAGAGCTTTCTGACAAGCCCCTCACAAACCCTCACATCATCTCGCTCCAGGCACTATCTTCGCTGCACTGCTCCCTCAATCCCAGCGTCGGAACTCTGTCTGCGCATCAACGTTGCGCCAACCCACATTTTCCTTGCTCATTTCTTCTAGTGCAGTCGGCTTCTTGGAAGACTGAGTACTCGCAGTTGGCACCGCCGTTGACTTCTTGGGTTGGTTTGCGAAGCGCTTATCAAGAGCAGCTTGCTGTTTTGCGCGCATCTTTCCGCCTGTCAGAAACAGAAAAGCATAGAGAAGAGAGAGTGTTTGTCATACTTCAGCCTGTGCTTGCGCCTGTTCCTCTGGGCTGAGCTGAGGCTCTGGCGTCGTGGGGCGTTGCTGAGAGGACTGACCTTGACCCATCCTGTCGACGTCGGATCGATTCGAGAAGCAAGATACGAACAACCGGTGACTTTTCGAGGAAGTTGTGACAGGAGTTTCGGGTAGCTACCTTGTCGTAGTGAAGTTATATTGCGGGTCGCGGCGGTTTGAGTTGATATATTTAGGCCACCCCCGGTTTGCGGCACGGCCCCAAGCGCTAGGCAACGACGCTAACAACACGAACACACGTGAAAGATGCTGTCACTTGGCACAAGGTGAGTGAGTTAGGCATGACAGCCTTGTAATCGCATTCATACATTCTCTTAGCACTCTCCGTCAGCATCTCAACCCATAACTGATTCTTCAAAACCTCAACCCACAATGATTAGGGCTTGAATTGTACGTTTCAGCAATGATTATTGTTGCATCGTCGATCAAAGAAACGTTACTACGTATTCATGAGCGCTCGTGAGCCTAAAGTCGAGGTAATATATTTTTGTGGTACATCGTAGCCGAGGTAACATGAAACAAGGAAAGAGAAAAGGGACGTTGAGGATGCTGTTAGATTTCGAATTGCAGTCGTGGATTACATTCAGTGCAAGGGGCATGAGTGATTAGAATAATCTATCATGCGCTGCTTGGTCAGCGAATCGTACCTCCAGGCTAGTGGGAAAGATGTCGCTCCGCCTCGGGTATAGTTAATCCTGAGGTGCTACACGTAAGTTTTATAGAGAAGCATGTGGCTGTCCAATGTACTGTAGTCTCTAACGAGGCATATCAATGAATCGAATCTGACTTTCATTTGCTCCAGACATTTTCGAATATTGGTCATGTTCCCAAACCTGTAACTCTGTTTTCTCACTCATCGACACCAATACTATTTGGTGTTTGACCTTGTATGTAACCTGCTTCCTCACTCTCGTAACCTTCCGCGTCCATTAAATCAGCGCCCTTCACAGCACCATGATTCAACAGAAGCTCAATACATTCTCTGTGGTCCCTCTCGATGGCAAGATCCAGTGGTGTATCGAGATCTTCGTTCATAGAATTGACGTTTATCTTCACGTTGTAGGAAGGGGAAAGGAGAAGATATCGAACGACCTCTGTGTGACCCTCTCTGGTAGCTATAGCGAGTGGTGTATATCCGAGTTCATCCTTGTGATCGGAGTTGGAGAATCTGTCAAGAACTTTCAAAATCTCAACATGATTCCCTTTTGCCGCATACCAGAAGGAAATGCGGCCGTAGTCGTCAGGGATATCAATAGCAGCTACCTCCATGCATTGACAGAGACGGCGTACGACTTCGGAATGACCGTATCGTGCTGCTAGATGCAATGCAGATCTTCCCATGTCATCGTATGTGTTGACACATGATGCAGACATGTATTGACACAAAAGGTTGACTGTGTCTAGGTGGCCACAGCTTGCTGCCCAGTGGAGGTAAGTGCGTTTCGTCCCCAGAGATATTTCGTCCAGGCTTTCCTGAAAGCAAGAGTCCGACGTTACTTTTTGTATCTTTTCGAAAACTCCTATGTGCCCTCGCATAGCAGCAAGGTGTAATGGTGGGAGGTCACCCATGTCAAGGATTCCGTTCGCCGTCCTAGTAATGGAGTTCAATATCAGAGGTTGTTCGAGTAGTGTAGAGTCGTTGGTAGAACATGCTATATGTGCAGCAGAGCGGCCCATAACATCTTTATCCACGTGTGAAACAACTGACAAGGGCAATCGAATCCCCGCGTCGTGTTGAATAAGATACGTTGAACGCCCGAGGCAGTCCTTACGTCCATCCCTGTGAAGTTCGTCGAGAACTGTTGGAAAATGACACAGAGTTTTCGGCAAGAAAAGCTGGGATTCAGTTATGTCGTATCCGATGAATCCCAAATGATCGTACGCTCTGCCTTTATGAAGTCCGACCCGATGAAACGACAAAACCCATTCTGTGAGGAATTGCCTTCGGTACCCGATCAGCCGTGAAGTTTCCCCAGAGGTCAGCCCGGGATCTGTAATTAGCCGACGTATTTGGAGGACATAGGCAAGCCCATAATGGCCTTGCTTTTCATATCGATCTACCAACTCACTCCGGCAAAAATAGGGTTCATCCTGCATAACCCGAAATGGGCCCTCAAGGTCAAATTTAGCTGCCACAACATTCTGCGCAACTGGTCCCGGCAACGCCTCGATACATTCCTGAAGCTCTTCTATAGCCCTCACATAGCATGAAAAGCGGATCTTGGATACTTCAGTGTAATAGGACCATATGGTATCATGCTCGATGGGTGCTAAATATTCTTTCCCAATGACATACATCTCTTCAAATGCCATTCGCAGGAGTGCGTGCACACTGAGTAAAACAAGCCTTACGCCTCGTTTAGTGAGTGAGTGGACTTTATGACGACAGATTTACTTACGCGTCATGGGTGGTTATAGTATCGACACTGAAGTTGACAAACCTAGGCGGTCGAATCAAGACACTCGAAGGTGATTCTTTGTACGCAAATTCGTTTGAAGAATCTGCATGTTGTGTCTTCCTCTGCGATGCGGAACATGGGAAGCCTTTCTGGGTGCACCGAGAGCATTTCTCCTGGGGCCATGTCCGGCTATCTGGCAAACACTATATACCATGATCAATGTCCTCGAACATCGTGAGCTGGTCTGTCTTGCCATCAACTTACTTTGACCTTTGCCTTCCGACAGAAGGTGCAGCTGAGGTAATTCAGCGTGCGTGGTTGACGTCTCCGGCGTGGTGGTAGATCCATCTTCTTGCGTAGAGTTAGGGATGAAGATGCCATAGTCAGTTTGGCTGGGGTAGAAGACTACAAATGCGATGCAGCATCTTTATGAACAATCTCAAGGAGTGCCTGACCGGTGCGTGTGAACACCACCCAATAGGATAGATGACGCACTGCAGTGCGACCGTCGCACTCACCCGCAGCGGCGCAAATTCGCTACGACCAATCATAAGTGTCCGCACTCAGTGCGAAGGTGGGAGGACTCTTGAATCTGCAAGTTGATGCACCCACTGAAACGCACAGCCGCATTCACAACCTTTAAACTAGCGAACCACTCCCTAGTGTCCGCACTCAGTGCGAAAGTGGGAGGCCTCTGCCAAGGTTGAATCTGCAAGCTGACGCACCTACTGAAAACGCACAGCCGCATTCACAACCTTTAAAGTAGCGAACCACGTCCCTTTTGGAATGAGTGCGTAGTGATGCTCTGGGTCAACGTATGCTAGGCGTGCATGAAAGAAAGAAAGCGTGAACGGAAGGCAGAAAGATCGCATTGCAGTGCGATGGCAGTGGCGTAGGTCAAGCGAATCAACTGTTGAACGCACTGAACGCACTCGAGGCTCTTAGAAGTTCGGGGCGCACAGGTGTGTATCCTGGGCCTGTGTACATTATTTTCGGGCGCCTGTCATGTTCTAAGCGACAAATTCAAGTCATTCCGATATAAGTTGGCATCGAAGCCGACCTCTTCATAGTGGTATGCTGATAACTCACGTTTGAACGCTTAACCCTCTTCTTCATAGCAAATCCACAAGATGTCGTTCACAATTGTTAGCTCAGACACAGCCATACTCCTCACACGCACCTTCACGCAGCCTACCGAAAACGCCAGCTACTCCACGACCAAAGTATCTCATGATTTCTTCGACATATCAGAGACATTGTTCGCCGGTCTTTCGGTACTGATTGGGTGTCTCGCTCTCATCGTCGGACTTCTCCAACTGCGACGGTACCGCAAACGTCATTCACTCCAAAGTCAGGACTGCGTATTCGAGTTGGAGGCAGGATATTCTAGCGGAACACCTAGAGGTATGAGAAATATTGACTTGACGTATAAAGAAGGCGCCTGAATCCCCCTAGGATATGTTGAACTGGAGACGGATGCGGCCTGATGAAGAACTTGCGAAACTGTGGTGCTCGGTCTGGTTTAGCATGGTCAGTGGAATAAGGAAATTGAGTAGACAAACGCATCGTAGCTCAATACATGCCATCTATTGCTATTCTCTAAACCCGATACATACTGTGACTGAGCTCATTGCTCTGCGGATCAATGGGGTGATACCTCTTGAGTATGGCGATGGGGTAAGAGAGAAATACTCTGCAAGTGTCATGAAAGCCGTTGTTTTGTGCTGCCGCATATGCATGTAGGATGTTAAGGTCCCCCAGCGCCTCCTCGCCGAGTCGCAAGAGCAAATCTACGCACTTGGCTCGCCCTGCCGAAGCTGCAAGGAACAGTGGTGTATGTTGGGAATTGTTCGTTATGAGGAAATTGGCTCTGCGTTTCAAACAAGTACCCACACGAGCGTCATACCTCTCGTCTAAAAGAAAAGCGACAACGTCCGCATGGCCTTCTCTTGCTGCAATTCCCAATGGTGTATTTCCATCGTTGTCCATTCGATCGATGAACGCACCTGCACTCTGCAAGAGACCTAAGATGTCACAGTAAGCACCCCTGGCGGCGTGCCAGAAGGGACTGCGTCCGTTTGGATCAGGGGTGTCACAGGGGCAAAGTTGGACTATCAAGTACTCTATCACTTTGATATGACCGCGTAATGCTGCCAGACCAATTGCAGAGTACCCGAACCGGTCCATTGTCGCGTTGACACTATCCGATTCGTTACGAAGACACTCCACGACGGCATTATTTCCGAAAGATGCCGCCCACATCAACGGCGATCGATTGGACCTATCTGAATGAGGGTGATAATGAGCGTTCATGCTGTCCTTCTCTGCCCCATTGCAGATCTCCCTACAAGATGTAGCATCTCCAGCGATAGCTGCAACGTCCAGCGGCCGCAGACCGTTGGCCGCCTTGACATCCAGCTTGGCTCCAGCTCTCAGGAGAAGCTTTACGCCTTCCTGGTTACGGTTGTGGCATGCGAGGTAAAGGACCGTACGGCCGAGTATGTCGGGATTGTTGATATTCGTAGCCGGAACTCTGCCCGCGTCGTACAAGATATGAGCAACAGACCGTCCGAGACAGTCGGCAAGTCCCCATCGAGAAAATTGGGACACTATGGCGGGGAAGCGTGCAAAACTAGAAGGTAGAAACATCTGGGAGTTTTGCACAGTTCTCGGGACTACGATATCCAATCGCTTGATAAGATCGGTAGCAGAAACGAGGAAGTTCTCCCTGAAGTGCAAGAAGGATTCGATGTTGTGTGTCATTAGATGTGGTTGTTCGAGCAAGAACTTCATCTGCAGAACGTGCGCAAGGCCAGGATAGTCGGGTCGGTCCCACGCAGCGATCAACCCTTGTACACGGTCAAGAGCAGATTGGTTGGAGGTCCACATCAGTCTTTTCGAATAGTACCTGCTTCTCAGAACAGACTGAACGAGAGAGACAACGGTTCCAGCTTTAAAGTCTAGTGCCCGTGATTCTAGTCTGTGACCAAAGACCTGCAGTTCATCGATAGTGTCCTTCAAGTCGGGAATGCAATCTCTTGGGCTTGCAAAGCGTTGATCGTCCATGAAAGGTTTGGCCATATCGTCCGCTAGTGTTACAAGTTCCTCCAGAGCCATGTCGATCATTTCGGAAATGACTAGAAGAAGCACCCTGATCTTGATCAGCCATGAGAAGAATTATAAAAGAGTAGTTACTAACGCTTCCTCTGCCTTGGGCGTGGACTCGATTTCTTGAATACAGTGCGCAACTGGACCAAGGGAAGGTCTTGTCGTGGGCGAAATCTTTTCCGCCAACCGCGGTCGGTTAGTCTGTGGCTGAGGCGTAGCTTCATTTGAAGGTGAACGCCGTCGTTCGCGTTTGAGCGCAAGTTGTGGCTCTGAGCAGTCCAGACCTTTGTTTCTACATAGAGTGCACTTTTCTGGCCATTGGCGGTTTATGGGTAAACACTGTTATGTATCAGAATCCTTATGCCTTCCGCTGAGAGTGCTTGCACAATTTAACCTACTAGCTTTTTGCCTTTTCGACATGCAGAGCATTTGGGAAGCGTCTTTTTGCTTTTTGTGTCTGGTGCAGCCGCAGACAGACGAATCTGTGATGGATCTAACCCGGTGGAGACCAGCATGCCGTCATGAGAGAGTGATTGTGCGAGCAAGCTCAGAATCAACACCTGAAGCTTACCGTTGTGTGTGGCATAAGTAAAAGACGTTAGCCGTGATCGAGACCATTATTTTATCGATGGTCTGAATGCTTGGCTTTGGTCCTCCATGCAGGCGTCGCCCAATGAGGCTGCGTCGCACTGTCGGCGGCCAATAGTGCACACCACGCGGATCGCGGGACGCTTCCGTGTGCGTCTTTCCGTGAACCTGGTGCAGTACGGCGAGGGTATGCGCAGAATTCGTCGACAGACATGCGCAAAGTGCGTCGTCCAATAGCGCACTTTGGACTCTCTACGCTATCTTGCGACGTGCGGACGCGGGCTATGTTTTCGAATATGTTGATCTGGGGTTCCCAGTAAACCTCCAATAGCGCATCATAGCATAGAAGCGCTGTTCCTCGACGTGCGACACGGATCTTGGCCGCTTGATGTGGCGCTACGGTGAAGCCTCGGTATCACCCTACGTTCATCGTATCGTCGCCTCGAATAAGTTGATTTGGGGCTGTCAATGACTACCCAATGGCGCATCATAGCAGAGAAGCGCTCTTCCCCGACATGCGATACAACGGTAGCCTCGACGGCCCTACGACTGTTTCCCAAAAGGGGCTACCCAATGGCGCACCGAAGCCGTTTTTGCTCGAAAAATTTGAACCTATCTCGCAAAGAGGAGGCCCAGGGGTAGTCTCCAGTATCCGAAGTGACATGTACCTTTACTGCATTTGTAGGCGCAGTCAGTGCCTTCATGACAGTCGGTAAGCGTTTGAAAAATGTTCTTTCTTTTGACCCCTAGTTCGTCTGGTCTAGAGGCTATATTTCCTGCTTCAATCCCATATACTGATACATGTTGTGTCTGCTGTATTTTTTTCAGCCAGTTTTTCGCAATTACTTCCGTATGACCCTATCAACGCAGACTGGTAAGCCAAGCGAGTGGCTCATTATGTAGAGACCGAAGAAGATTGGACTGAAACCTATAGTTTGGACGTACCACAAGAATATCCCTCAACTAGACATCATGTCCTTCTCTTCCCGCTCCAATTCAACCTCCAGGGAGCTGGGATTCAACGTAGTTGAAATCTATTTGGCAGCCGTGACAGTATGCCTTGGGTTTCTCGGCCTTGTGGTAGCAGCTGTACGTCGACGTCGAAGACATGGAAATGATAACCACACCTACGAGCTTGATGCTACGTCGGTGTAGGTATGTGTAGCTCCATCATGGCCACAGCGCAGCTGGCTGACATTTGCAGCAATTGCATGAAAGACGCACTCGACTATTTTTGTTTGGTGGTAAAGATGTGGCTCGAAGTTGGGGGTGTATGTTGCTAAGGTGCAGGGTTATGGCAAGTGATATAGACGATTATGGCGTGCGGAATGAAATGGAACCACGGGTCCAAGTTTGCATGGCAGCTCGTGAGCTCTGACGTAATATTTTCACTGACTTGCTTGACTATTGGATGTTACAATGATAAGTCATGCTGCTGGAAGGCTGGCGGTGAGACACATAGCACCTAGCTGCACTGGATAAGTCGGCAGATGCTGAGACGTTAAGTGGAGCGACCAGGTTGGAGTGAAAAGTTCGTACACGAAGCCCATCTACAAGACTTGGGGTGAAAGGTAGACAGTGTAGATGCAAGATTCCCCATCAGCAGGAGGAGAGGGGACAAGCACTGCACACTGCAGAGGTTGGTGATGGAGATGACGGTGTTGTGGCGAGAGGGTTTGGACAGCCAAGGCGGCAGGGTTCAACTGGAAGCAGGAGAAAGCTTGCCCTTCTTAGCGAACAGGGATGACGTACCGCTAGAACTTGCACCGGCCCAACGAAGGGCCCGCTCACTCGTGGGCAGAGCATTGGTGTGCCGACTTCAGATACAAGACTAAATACCACTTCTTTTCGCACTGATACATGGTATGCATACAAGAAAGTCATGCTGTCGCCGACGTCCCGCTAATCTGCTGCCAGGCGTCTCTTCTACGGCAAATTGTAGCCGGCCCACGCGCCCGGCATCCTGAAGCTGGGCTCGACCTCTGTTATGTCACCGACAACAGTAGTTACCCTGTTCTCTGTACCAAACTATGCGCCGACTAACAGCAAAAAGTCATCGCGACGTCCGGCCCCAGCGGCACCTACCCGCAGCGCGCCTACCGCAACCCACTTGACTCGCTCGTCAAGTTTCTCGACTCGAAGCATGGCCCAGATTGGGCCATCTGGGAGTTCCGCGCCGAAGGGACAGGCTATCCAGACTCGGAGGTCTACGACCGCATATACCACTACCCGTTCCCTGATCACCATCCGCCGCCCTTCGCGCTGATACCCAACATCATGGCCAGCATGCGCAACTGGCTACACGAGAAAGAGGGGAGAGTAGTGGTTGTACACTGCAAGGCTGGGAAGGGGCGATCTGGCACCGCCAGCTGTAGCTACCTCATCAGCGAGGAGGGCTGGCCCGTGGAAAAGGCGCTGAGCCGCTTTACCGAGCGGCGCATGCGACCAAATATGGGCAAAGGGGTTAGTATCCCCAGCCAGCTGCGCTGGATCGGCTACGTCGACCGGTGGGCCAAGCACGATAAGTTGTACGTGGAGAGGCAGGTGGAGATATTGGAGGTGCACTGCTGGGGTCTGAGAGACGGCGTCAAGATCCAGGTCGAGGGCTTCGTCGAGGACGGCAAGCTTATCAAGAACTTTCACACTTTCACAAAGGACGAGCGGGAGATAGTTAGAGGCGAGGTCAAGACCACGGGTATGTCGCAAGCCGTGCAAGAAGTCATGTACAAGAACGGCTTCGGCCCATCCCAAAGCAAGAAGGACCAGGACAGCACACAGAAGAATGGCTCCAAAAACGCCAGCACATCCTCTGTAGACAAGACAGACAATCTCGATGGCGCCGCTGCATCAAGGAAAACTTCACAAGAAAGTCTACCTCTGGGCACAGGCGACGTCGTCTTCAGACCTGCCAAGCGCGTCGTCCTACCGACCAACGACATTAACATTGACGTCGAGCGTCGCAACAAAGCCGCCTTCGACCTCACCATGGTTACCGCTGTCGCACACGTCTGGTTCAACGCATACTTCGAGGGCAACGGCCCCGAGCAAAGTAGCAAAGCTGACGAATCCGGCATCTTCGAAATCGAGTGGGAAGCTATGGATGGCATTAAAGGCTCGTCTCGTAAAGGCACGCAGGCTTTCGAGCGAATTGCCATAGTGTGGCGTGCACTCAATGCTGACGAAGGACGCCCCGGTGTTGTCATCACAGAGCCCAAAGAGGGTGAGGAAGTTCACCAACCGGCTCCCGCGGATTGGAGGGGTGCAAAGGGCGTGGAGCCGAGCGAGGGCAAAGATTTAGGTGTCCGAACAGGAAGTCCGTCAGAGTCGCAGGCAGACATCAGCAGAACGACCAGCGTCAGAAGTGAAAACAAAAAGAACGAGGTTATTGTAAAAGCACCCGGACGCGACAGTACCGACAACGAGACCAACGAGGTTCGATCACATGGCCCGAAAGGCGAGGAGGTTCTCAAAGTTCCGAGCCCTTGGACGAGCGCGGAGGCCAGCGGGACCGAGCCGAAAGCAATTGCCTCAGAGCCAGTGCTGCCAAGCCACGCTGATCATACTGACAGCGCAGGGAGCGACTCGAGGTCGGAAGAGCAGGGTTCTGGGTCGCACCAGAGCGGAGGCCGTATCGAGGGTATGGCACAAAGCCTGAAATATCACGTTTCAGGAGCTGCATCCACAAGCGACTTACCGGACGGAAGACCGGAGAGCGAGATGAAGGATGCGAAAGAGCATGCCTTGGGTCATCTTCATATGGGCAAAAAGAAGACAAGTTCATAAGCACCAATGCTGAAGTACAATGTTGCAGCTATGGTGGTGCATCACTTTGAAATGCTGATGCACGGGTTCGAGGCAAAGTGAGGCGTTAATCAGGGATTTCGCATAATGGATCGGGGGAGCTGTAGTTGGCGTCTGGTCAGCGTATCACAAACACGCACGAAGCGTGTTTTCATACAGGGTGCAGCATGCAGTATGCATTGACGAGGCGTTGGACAAAGAGGCACATCGTTTTTTCCTACGGTCATCTGTCCGGTCAACGTCTGTTGTGCAACTTTGAAAGGGGACCGGTTTTTCGCGGTTTCAGCTTAGATAATACCATTTACTTCAAACATTGATATTCTCCTCCATACTGACCACCCCGCCACTTTTCCCTCCTTTACTCAATTACAAACAACATGACTGCTAGGGATATGCATATCTTTGATTGAAAGTGAGGCGAACACACACTTCTCGTCGCTAAGGCGGTGAAACCGCTGTCCAATGCAGCTAGCGCATTACCACATGCATCATTAGCGGAGGACGTGCAACCAGTGACCGACACACACGAACGACAACGCCGCAGTCCAACAGTCGTCCTGGGAATACAGTACCGCCTGGCGGGCAGTCATGGCGATACACATGTACGTTGAGGGACAGGGCATCTATGCGAGAGGGGAACGCGTAGGGCCATGTCGCCGGGAGTGGAAGCGCCACAGAACGGCAGTAATCTTATAAAAGCAGGTGTACGCAGTCATCAATATGCATTCCGATGCTACTTGGATCCTTTGATCGAAAGACCTCCCGGGTGATTAGAAATTGGATTTCGTTTTAGTGAGGGCATAACGATACGTACCGACAGGGCTGACGTCCGCAAAGGAAAGCTGAGCATTGAATCTCTCATCGCATTGGCTTACTGTTTCACCGGTCGTCGTGAATCACTCCATTCACATCTTAGACTTCTATGCCGCCTAGTCTGGTCGAGCCAATCCGTTGCATTGTATTTCCACCTAAAGGTGGTGGACAACTAGGCAGCAGGCTCAGCTGACAAGCTGACACTAGGTATGTGCAACTGATATTCTGATACACACGTATTGATATAACTATAGGTGGGGCTATTAAGTGTGAGTGCGGCCTCAAGCTCAGCCTTGTGCATCGAGATATCAGAGTGGCTGTTGAAGGCCGAAGCAGGTATCACCAATTACCAGTACCGAGATAGTAGTGCGGGGCTACCGATCTTACCTTTACGTGAGGGTAATAGCTAGAGTCCTCGGGTGGTGCGAGTGAGATCTGATTAGTACAAGGCTAGAGGTATAGGCAGCACTTTGCGGCTCGTGCGGATAAAAGGTTCGTGAGAGCTGATTGTCTCCCCTTCTGCTCAGCCTGATCAGTTCCCGCGCCCTCATTACTTCAACAATACAAAGAATTCTACTGAAAGAGTGAATCGTAGCATACGAAGCCTTCAAGACGAGCCATCAGCCCTCTGAGTTATCTGACTCATGAACAATCAAGACAGCACGGCGTCATCCCCTGTTATACACCCTTTACCCCACAAGACAGTTAAGAAGTTATCGGATACTTCGTCTTCTTCGCCAGTCATTGTTCCGACACCGTCAGCGGCGTCCGAACCCGACGACATCTCACTAGGCAACAACCAGAAGATGGAGTCCTCGCAAGAGCATGCGGAGCCTCAGGTAGTCGAGGAGACACTACAGATCGAAAATCGAGAAGAAACGGTCGCCGCACCAGTCGATGATGCTAAGGTTCATGTGGCTGTCGCAAAGAAGGCCAAGAAGAAGACCCGGCGTCCGACGAAAAAGTCGAAACGCAAAATGGACGAGACCTCCGCATCTGATTCTAGTGACTCTGATGATTCCAGTGAGTTGGTGGACAGCAGCGAAGACGAGAAGGCCAAGCGCAAGAGGAAGCGAAAGTCGGCCGCTAAACGCGCAGCAGCCAAGAAGAAGTTGAAGGCAAAGGCAAAGAGCAAGAAAAGTAAGAGCAAGAAGTATGACTCTACGAGCGAGGACGATAGCTCTGACGAATCATCCGAGTCCGACTCTGATTCCGGAGTGGAAGATACGAAGAGCCGAAAGGCCCTGCGAGCTAAAGCTAGGAAGAGGAAGAGCAAGAAGGTTGACAGCTCTAGTGACGATAGCGACTCCGATTCGTCATCAAGCTCGTCTAGCAGTGACTCTGATTCAGAAGATGAGAAGTCAAAGCGCAAACGTGCGAAGGCGAAGGCAAAGCGGAAGAGCAAGAAGTCGACGAAAGTGATCGATTCATCCTCACCCTATTCTTCATCTGCCGAAGAAGACGCACCGGCTCCGCCGGCAGACTTGCCTCCCTCCCCTCCCCTCCCCGGAGATGATATTGACACCCAAGTCGCAAAAGTTACCACTATATTGAAAGGTCTCCAGTTGAAGCAAGCTGCAACTCTTGCCGTAGCTGGAACTACCAAGCTTGAAAAGCCAGTCAAAAAGAACGCCCTCGAGTTCAAGCGCGTGGATCAAGTCTATGATATGAAGATTCGTGACTGGAAGCTCGTTGAGAGTAATACGGATCAGAAGGATGAGTTTGACTGTGTGTTCACTGTGCGAAGGCGGCTCGACTGGGAAGGAAAATACAAAGAAACGCAAGTCGACATTAAATCGAAGGTCCTCAGACACGCGCTCCAAGAGGTGTTCAAGGAGTGTAAGAGCATTAGCCTGGTTGAAGATACACCGCAGATCGACCCTCATACGCTTTTCCACTACTATGGCGAGATCAAGAAGTACGTTAAGAAGACACTAAAGCCAAAGCTAGGGAAATCGAAGAGGTCGAAACACAAGAAGAAGGTCACCCAGGAGATTGCGCAGTGCAAACTCCTCCTAAGCTACCTGGATGAGGACTATGACGCTACTCGGAAAGCCCTTAAGCCGATGCTGAAGGCTGGCACGATCACGTACGACCTTGTCTGGGCGCTTTTCAAGCCGAATACAATCGTTTTTACGCCTACATATACGAACAAAGATGACCCACGGTGCTTCAAGGTCGACTTTTCGTACGAGTACGAAAGCTGGATGACGGGAATCAAGTCCTGTGTAATCGATGGGAGGTATCTGGAGTATGATGGCAAGGCCTTTGGCCTTGGAGATCATCAGGTGATGATTCAGGCGTTCAAGGGCCACAAGAAGATCACTAGCCTTGCGGCATACCCGCTCAAGTACCACAAGGATCCTGAGGTGAGTGATACACAATCAGGTCAACTTAAGCCATCTGATGAACACATGCTAATGAATATACAGGGTATCAAAAAGCTGCTCATCGAGCGTGGCATGAAGTTTGTCGCGCTTCAGGGTATGAACTACCGCCTGCAGAAAGGCATCGCGTACATGAAGCACAAGAATAGCATTATTAGATTCAACATCAACGGTCGCGTTATGGTTGATCCTGAGATCTTCCGCCGCATTAACCCCAACTACTCACTCTCATACATCAAACATGACGAACTCGATCACGAAGAAGAGGAAGAAGAGGACGATGACGATGATGAAGATTGCTGCTGTGGCTCCGACGAGGACAACGAGGAAGAGAAGGAGACAGACAAGTTGCGCGTAGTCATGTGGAAAGATAAGAAGGGCAAGAAACATCCAATTCGGGTTCCGCAGAGCGTTATTGACAAGGAAACTAACGACAAATCCGACGTGAATCTTGAAGGCTCCGACGACGGCACAGACAGCAAGCGCCACGTGTTTACGGAAGAAGAGCTACTCATTGCTTCGCCAGTTGTGCTCGGCTTTGCCTTCTCCGAGAAGCTGTGGCTTGAGTTTTCCCTCTCCGGTATCGACGAGATTAAGTGGAATGACGAAGCCTTCGATTCCCTCGTCCTCCCCGATCGCATCAAGCAGAACCTCAAGGGCCTCGTTTCCTCGCACCGCTTCAACGCCGCAAAGACCATCGACGATGTCATCCAAGGCAAGGGCAAGGGTCTCAACGTCGTCCTGCACGGTCCGCCAGGCGTAGGCAAAACGCTCACCGGCGAGAGCATAGCCGAGTATCTCAAATGCCCCTTGTACGCTGTCTCCGCCGGCGAACTGGGCACAAACAGCAGAACCCTCGAGCAAGATCTAAACCGTATAATGGACATTACACACTCATGGGGCGCAATTCTGCTCCTAGACGAAGCAGATGTCTTCCTCGAGGCCCGCCAACCGCACGATATTCACCGCAATAGCCTGGTCTCTGTCTTCCTGCGCCTTACTGAATATTATCAGGGTATCCTTTTCTTGACGACGAATCGGGTAGAGACGTTTGATGAGGCGTTCCAGTCGAGGATTCATATGGGTATTCGCTACGACAACTTGTCAGCGAAGGCGAGGAAGAAGATCTGGATGCATCATGTTGGCAAGGTGGAGCAGATGGCGGGGCAGGTGAAGGGTGCAGAGCCTAATTTGAAGCCGTTCAACGATGCGGATTACGATGAGTTGAGTAAGAGGGTCATGAACGGGCGACAGGTATGTGTATTCTCTTTTCCATCGCGTCCACGGGTTGCCGCTTGTGGCTCTCACTTGCTCGTTCACCTGGCGCTCTCTCTTGTAGATACAATGGGACAGTTGCTAACAGTGTTTTGCAGATCAAGAATATGGTCAAGACGTCGCAGTCGATCGCACTCGCCGAGAAAGCCGTCTTCAGCATGGAGCACGTCAAGCGCGTGCTCGAGGTGGCCGAGGCGTTCGAGGACGATATGCGCGGCGGCAAAGGCTATCGGGATGCAATGAGGCAGTACACTTGAGCTCACCCGACCGGTTTGAAGTGGGCGAGCGCTGTAGAAGCTCTTAGCGGAGAGATGAACTGCAGGCAGCACCTCACGACAGCCCACGAGGAGGTGCGACTTGGAACGACAACGATGAGAGGCTCAGAATTCTAATGAACGGATGATTCTAGTGTGCACTTTTCAAGATTGTCTTTGATACATTATATTACGGCCTCGGGTTCAGAGACTGGCGTAGGGTGCCGAACGGTAGATGTTAGTCAGTGGCGTACTCTCCTCTCCTCTATATGTAATTTCTTAATCCCTCATCTCAAGCCATAGTATTATACGTTCGCCGTATTTTGTCCTACTTTCTCGATATGTGTCATCTTCTTCTAAGGGATTCGCGTGTCGATCGGCGGTAGCGCGCGCAGGAGTTGACGGCGCAGTGCTGCCTCAAAGCGGCCATGAATTTGATGAAGCCTCGAAGGTAATGGTGATTCAAGAAGCTTTGTTTCTCCATACCGAGACCGCGCTGTTGATGTCATCGTTCTCGTTGCGACCGAGTCGGCAATCTGCCTCGAGGCGCCGCAACGATCGCCCTCCGCTGCTCCCACAGTCTGCCGCCGTGAGTGTAGTAGACCTATCTTGACCATTGTCAGAGCGTTCTAATTCTTGGTAAGTACACGATGCTTCGAGTTTAGGAGCGCGTCTTGGTCGGCGTGCCGGTGTGTGAAACTGTAGGGCGCCGCTGTTGGCTGGTACAACCCACGCAAGTCTGCGCGAGTATGCCGGCGAAACTTCCGGTGAGAGTATAAGATAATAAATATCTTTGGGAACACTCTTTCTGTCGGAGAAGTGCCTCCAGGTAATTGCTGGAACATAACAGCACAGTGACCATCCGCTCACTCCACGAGAACGACGCGAGCTTACAGCAATAGAACTCACCTCACTCAATTTTTCAGGCCAGTTATAGGATTTCCTGTTATCTTATGGTACTCGCCCTTTGTCTACGCCGCCGTTATCTTGTGGGTCTCACTGAGCAAGGACCGTCGGGCGAATACAATCTCATGTCGACAGAACGCCCGCAGCTCGATCTGTTCAAATCAGAGTTGGCACAAGCCTCAAAATGGCCGTAACCCTGGACCGTTAAAGCTTCATCACTTCCGTATGCTGCTAACAGCTTCTGATGCCTCTCTGTCCAGAGGGTGAACGTATCATCACGTGTGCTATATAAAATACTTCCACATCACTGAAATGGGCTTGAAGAAACTCTACAGCGGGTTCCCGTCTCCAAAAATCCCCCCAAAAAACTCAAATGCACATTCTCGACCGATTTTCATCACATTTCTGCCTTCACCTCTCACATCTGCCTACCCAAAGACTGCCCGAGCATCAACCGGGCTCGCCTAGATTACTTTGATAGGACTCGCGCCGCTGAGTCAGAGCCTTAGTGTGCCCAGCTTTCTAGCGCCTTACAATTCTCATATAAACCCTCCCAGGCCATCTCCCCCGTCTGCTAAACGCTTACTCCGCCATGAAACCCTCAAATTCTACTCGCAAACCTTTTCGAAACAACTCTTCTTTCTTCGCCAGCTCAGCTCAGCTTCAATCATCAAGTTTCACACTGTCATACCTCTTCGACATGCTTTGGTCATCAAGTTCCTTTCATCACGGTCAGACATCAACATCACTCGATGCCATTATATCACAAGGTCTACAACACTATCACATGTCAACATAATATCACTCCAACATACCATGACCTTCTTCACCCTTGACTATTAGTCCAACACACGATGACCTTTGACTACCACATGCCACGACATCATCATGACTTTGAGCTGAGCTTGAGCTCTCATATGTGGTGTTGAAGCATATCAGGTTTGACTCTTTCCCTCTTGCTTAAATGCTGACATGGCTCTTGTCTGACTGTTGTAGATCTACTCATGTAAGTTGCCTTCCTCCTACTGTGACATTTACTGACTGTCATTAGACATTAGACTATACCACTTGTCACCCAAACTCCTGTCAGCCAGGCTCTTATCAACTGCAACTTCATCAATGCTTTTCAGCATGACCACACCCAACTACACCCGCATGAGTTGGCTTGACTTCGACAATGCTTCAACACTCTTCGAACCGAGTCTCCTCGCAGAACCAGTCCCATTCGACGCGCACGCGCAAATGCTGTTTCAGACTCGCCACCACCGTTGCTCTCGAATATCTGGCGGCTTCTGCATGCCGGTAGTGTTTGCATGTCACGGATACTTTGGGGTCTTCGGACCTGGTGATAAGCGGTCAATTTGGCGATGGTACAACCTGAGCGTCCCTCGTCCGCGAAAGCGATGCCCAAACGTAGTCTAACATCGTTGATGGAGCAACACCCGAGCGGGATGGTCCCCGGGCGCCTTTGGCCTTATCCCTTGCACACTCCAGAAGGCGGCTTGTATGAGCTTAGATCAAACTGGAATGTAGGCAGTATCCGTAGCAAACGCAGCACTACCGGTGGGGTCCGGACTGGATGGTGGCTGCTGAGCCTGATTGATGGATGGTGGCTGCTTAGTCTGATTGATGGAGGGTCGAACACGAACAAGTCAGGTCGAACACGAACAAGTCAGGTCGAACACGAACAATTCAGGTCGAATACGAACAAGTCTGGGCTACAAAGGTGTTGGTTGCTGGTCTTCAGGATGTCAAGGGTGTTGGTCTTTAGGATTTCTTCATGGTTATTGGTTTTTGGTGGTCAAGGATGTTTTCGAGGTTGTTGGGTGGAGCTCGAGGTCACTGGAAGGTGGTTGTGTGCTGGGAGTGTCAATGGGCTTGATCATCGTCAAATTACAAGCCTTCAGCCTCTGGGTCACCTGTCAACATTGCTGCTGCTTCTCTTGCAACTTGTGATGAAGTTCCATCTCTATCCACTCTTCCCTTCTCTTTCGAGCTTTGTGTGATGGTGTAGCTGTGCACAGACGCGAAGGACATGACAGGCTGGCGAAGACGATCTCCCCTCTACTACAACCCCAGCCCTTCTGCAGCAACATGTCTATGACATTGTCGCATATAATCTGCGCGCCTCGACACAGTCTGCACACGGCTAGGATCGAGGCACAATTAGCGGCTGACGTAACAAAGACAGTGGTTCTAGACCCTCATTGCGCGAGGCGGGCGCCAAGTGACGGGTGGTAGTATCTCTGCACCATCCCCGCTCCTGTCCTGGGGAATCCTTTGGCGCTCTGGAAACAACCTTTCCTCACTTTTATTCCCGTCTCACTCGTACAACGCCCGCGCGTGACATCCATGCCACACAAGCCCATGGTGTCCTGTCGCATCAGTCGGGATTAAACTTAAACACCTGGCGCCTTGGCCCGCCCATGCGCGACACCCGCCAGCCTGCAGCCGCCCACTATGGATGACGACGGCACCCAGCCCTCGACCAGCCCTGATCGGCCCGCGAGCGCACGCAGCAGCGCAACACCAGGCCACGACCTGCCGCCCAGGAAAAAGCAAAAGAGAAACAAGCCCACGCTGAGCTGCGAAGAGTGCGTCGAGCGCAAGACCAAGGTGAGTGCACCCACGCCTGCACGTGCATGCCACCAGCGCGGGCGTCTGCTAAAAGGTCCATGTAGTGCGACCGCACCCGCCCCCATTGCCTGGCCTGCATCAAGCGACATTCAACATGCAGGTACTCTGATATCGCGAACCTCATTGCCTTGTCGGCAGACAAGTGAGTTGCCCTGTCGCCCTAAACTCAATCTCCCCACATGCAGCTACTAATAAGCAATCGCAAAGGGTTGGCGCCGCGCGTATTCCGGGACGATCCAGAAAACAGAGCACCAAACCCACGCTTGGCGACGAGACGCAGCCACAGCCACATGCGCTCCCGGTTCAGGTAATATCCCACCTCTTATTCCCGCCGTGCCTGTCAGGCGTCATGCGAACAGGTGTTCGGCCCCATCGGCCATAACAGGAATGTGTTAAGCGCAACGTGTTGACCCACATACTAGTTGCCTGCTCAGGTACCACCCACGCCCATACGGACGCAGTACCGTAGTGTATCGTTGTCTTCGTCAGGATCCTCGCCATTCTTGTTGTCCAACATACCATACACAAATCACACGCCTACACCCTTCTTTGGCCTTGGCTCCGAGCATCCTTTCGCCAACTACTGGACTAGTCGAGGCGGCCTGGCCGAGGTCGTGGGCGTACTGCCAGCCAAGGAGCAAGCAGACATCCTCGTAGACAAGTACTTCGATGCCGTCGACCCGGTGTACCCCATGGTCCACCGGCGGAACTTCTATGCCGACTATGAGCGCTTTTGGTCACTGCCGTTGGAGGAGAAGAAAGTCGCAGATCCAGTCTTGGTAGCCCTCCACTTCGTCGTATATGCAATGGGCACGCAATTCATCCACACGCCCTCCAACCAGGAAAAAGCACAAATGGCCGAGTTTTACGTCTCAGCAGCCCAACAAGCACTACGGTTATCATCGTACCTCAGTCGGGCCTCAGTTAGGACACTGCAGGCCATGGTGTTGATAGCCTACTTCCTCATGAACGATAATCATGCTTCGGATGCGTGGGCCTTTGGTGGCATCCTCGTACGACAAGCTTACGCCATGGGCCTACACCGCGACCCAGATATCATCGCCCCTCGCTGCTCACGAAGCGACAAGCAGCAACGGCGGAAGCTGTGGCAGGCCATATTCTTCCAGGACACCTTCCTCACAGTCCTTCTCAAGCTGCCACCAACTACAACATTCTCCGATATCGAGCCAGAGTCCCTGAGCGACGATCTCGATGACTATCTCTCGAATGGCTCATCCACCAATGGTACAACAGATCCTGTCATCAATCCAATGAGTATTAGCAATATCGCCCAACATGACGTCTATCCTCAATACGAGCTCTCAGATCGCAGATATATCCGCTCAATGTGGCACATGGCGAACCTCGTCTCCCGCACGGTATGCACGCCGCGGTCTCTCGCAACACCTCTCACCACCTCCGTCGCCCACAAGCAGCAGCTCATTGGCGACTACTTCGCTCTCCACGCCAGTTTTCCAACCTCTCTGACAACCTCAGACGATGCCACCATAAGAAACATGGCGGAGACGAACCCCCGTGGACTACGTCAAAATTTATTTTTCCGGAGTAACTTCTGGCATTGCGTCATGGCCATCCAGGCTGACGAAAACCCCAAAGAGGGCGTGCCATGCGATGTCAAGGGTACATTGGAGGCGGCCAGAATGGGACTACAGTCTTTCTTCCATTTCTGGGAGTTCCTCAAGATCGATGCGAGTGTATGGTGGGTGTTCCAGCACCGCGCTTTTGAAGAAGCAGTAAGTCTAATCACGTTCCTGCTTTCTCCTTCCAATGTGACGCTAATGCTTGTTTTCCACAGCTCCTCATGGCACGCATTCTCGGCCAACAAGAACAGCCTCTCTCCCCCAGTCACAACGGCATGCCGCCCTCCTCTGACCCTCTACTTCATTTAGCCAAAGCCGATGCGCGCAAGTGTCTTGAGATCTTGGACCTAGTGGGCATCGCGCCTGAAATGCAGAAGACGAGGACTGAGGTCCTTAGAACGGCGTTTTCGGATATCTTGTGGTGATGTCAATTTAGAGCATGAAAGAGGAACTTGAAGAACGAAAGGAGTAGTAAGAGATTATGATAGGGCTATATTTTATTGGCTACTTCGGAATCTAGATGGTGATTCGAGAATATATGTGTTAATAGTTGTTTTTTTATCAAATATTGGCGTTTTTATGTACCAGGCTGAGACGGCCACTTCCATTCATCAGGCTGAAACGATGATGTCCAAGAAGCCTAGTTGAGGGGTCATGTACTAGCCAAGTCCGCGTCCGAACACACGGTACAGGACTGAGACAATTGAAGTCAAGGCCGCACACCACTGGCCCAATGCTGTAATGTATGTCCAATTGTAGTAACTATATCTAGCCCACGCTCCAAAGCCAAGTGGCTAAGCCTGTGCCAAGTGTGCAGTGCCTGTGCCAAGTGACAGGCTCATCTTGGCAGTAGGCAGTGTTAATCTGGCTACCATTGGGATCCAGCGCGCACGATGTTTAAGATTCGTCTTTCTAGCAGTGTCTAATATCCCAACGCGCATGAATGAACGCACTTTATTCCTTTAGTTTTCCGTTGAGGATTTGGCAAAGATTTCGCACATTTCTCTAAGTACACTACCGCTGCATCAACATCGACCAATCACACCACCGCACATCGCTGTGGCATACACCTTCGATCCAGCAAACGCAAACAGTATCAGCGTATCCTTATGTCCTCCGACACCATGGACTCGAGTTTTACTCTGGTATTCGGCTTTCTTGGAACCCTGATCGCTCTCTCGGCTTTGCTGATTGCCTTCCTGCAACTTAGGAAGATGAGGAGGGTGCATAGGATCTATGAGATAGCATAGTCCGAGTTGGTACGTATTTTTGAGATTTATGGAAGGAATCGATTACTGAGCGCCTACTTAGTTTGTTTTTTGACGAGATCGTGATTGAAAGGTGACTTCCAACGTCAGTGTATGGAGATCGGCGTGGAGAAGTGGTAGTCAGTACTTTTTGAGCGTGTCTCTAAAAGAAAGATTTACTGGATATGTTGTAAGCTGCATCTAGCTCGAGAGTAACATTAGGGAAATGGACTTGGTTTTTACGAATAATCTTCTACTTTGCCTTAAACCTACGCCCATCAATCTTTGCATCATTCGAATAATAAGAGTAACCTTGAAGAATGGGACGATCTTCTGCCTGATCAGCTCTTTCTTCTGTCAGGCTAGCAGCTTCTCCAAAGCCAGGGCTGCTACTACTGCTGATAGCGTCAGGTCTAGTATAGGCACCGTCAGTCGACCGACGAATGACGAATGACGATTGACAAGTGAACACGGAGCCGACCGAGGGCGCTTTGAGTGAGTAGTGCCGTTGCGAAGCTGCATTGAAGCTTAGTCTGGTGCAAAGGTTTCACCGGTAAGCCCAGGTCCGAGTTTAATAACCGATGTGTGGAATCCTTGCCGTGCAGGACCAAATGAAATAGGCTTAGACGCTGACATAACAGCAGGCGCAGTTCCACGTGTGCCATGTATGCGCGATGTTCTTAAACGCCGACGAATATCTTAGGAGACATTAAGATCAATCATGAATGAAAAAACGCGAAGCAGGATAAGATTTGTTGTGGTGCAACACACTTACCACAAACAGTGCGGTCCAGGCGGTGACCGCGCAGCCTTGAGGCGCTCTTTGACCATCAATCCTTCTCACTCACTCACTCGTTTCGCACATTGCTGAATATCAATGTGTCTGACGTGACCAAAAGTCGAGTAACAAGATTGTCAACCCACTAGTTTCCACTTCATCGATTGCGCCTTCTCCTGGTGAGTGAAAACCGGGTAAGCGCACCGGCATAAATGATGAACCCGGGCTCCGCAATCAAACACAATCTAATCGCACAAATGAAAAGATTTGACTGATATGAACGAAATTTCTGTACATATTCCTCCGTGTAGTTTCGAATAGTCAAGATCCGGCGACGAGGATTCGAAACAGCGGTACCTTGACAATGAGGCCGAGACACGGCCTGCAGCCAATGGGCAATCATCCGCTGGATCTCTCAAACGTGTCAATCGGGCGACTGAAATTGTAGTAAAGTGCGGCTCTTCTTGTCCCGCTGCACTCCATATTGAGGAATGTGAATGCTCTCAATCACGGGACGGATGGTCGTCCTCACCTTCGGACTCTCGGTGTACATAAGGTGATGCATACTCCTTCCATTCGAATGCGAAAGGTTCTTACCTCTTTCACCTCTTTACTCGCGATGATGGCTGTTTACGCTTTCCTCGCAGCTGCTCTCTTGGGTCTTGCCGCTGCCCAAACGCCTGGTACCACGCCGGAAGTACACCCCAAGCTCACCACCTGGAAGTGCACCAAGGCCGGAGGATGCAAGTCGCAGAACACGGCCCTTGTTTTGGACTCAGCAACCCACTGGATTCACCAAGCCAACGATACTTCAAAAGGTTGCGGAAATTGGGGGAGCGGCGCAGATCCCATCGCGTGCCCGGATGAAGCGACGTGCGCAAAGAACTGCATCCTGGAGGGCATCGAAAACTACACCGACTATGGCGTGAGCACAAGCGGTGGGAACCTGGTGATGGAGATGTACAATCCCAAGGGTAGTGTTGCTAGCCCTAGGATCTATCTTCTTGCCGAGGATGAGAACAAGTACGAGATGCTCCAGTTGACCGGCAATGAGCTCACCTTTGATGTCGACGTTTCGAAGCTACCATGCGGCATGAATGGTGCTCTATATCTCTCTGAGATGGAAGCAGATGGTGGACGATCAGCGCTTAACCCTGGAGGTGCCTCCCGGGGCACGGGCTACTGTGACGCTCAATGCTTTGTCACTCCTTGGGTGAACGGGGTCGTAAGTATATACTCAACTCTTCTCCCAATGCTCAACTCACTCTTCACAGGGCAACGTTGCCGGTCAGGGTGTCTGCTGTAACGAGATGGATATCTGGGAAGCAAACAGCCGCGCCAACCAAATCGCTCCTCATACGTGTAGCAAGGATGGCCTCTTCCGCTGCACTGGCGAGGAGTGCAAATCTAACGGTCTGTGCGACAAGAATGGCTGCGGCGACAACCCGTATCGACACCGCGGGGCAAAGGACTTCTACGGTCTCGGTCTCAAGGTCGACACCTCCAAGCCGTTTACTGTCGTCACTCAATTCCCTGCCAAAGACGGCGTCCTCCAAGCCATTGTGCGCAAGTACGTTCAAAACGGCGTCGTCATCGAGAATGCAGCGACGAACATCACCATGGACCAAGCGTACTGCTCAGCGCAAGGCGGTGCAGAAATGTACAGCAAGCTGGGTGGCCACAAGGGTATGGGAGATGCTCTTGCTCGCGGTATGGTTCTCGCCATGTCGATTTGGTGGGATGAGGGCGGCTTTATGAAGTGGCTCGATTCTGGAGAGGCTGGTCCCTGCAATGCGACTGAGGGTAATCCGAAGGTCATTCCGACGATTGAGAAGGCGCCTGTTGTCAAGTTCAGCCAGATCAAGTGGGGCGAGATTGGGTCGACGTTTGCAGAGAAGAACCACACGATGTATCGTTGGAGGGCGTAGAGTATGATGACTGTAGGAGCAGTGAAACTCTCGTTAGAATAAAGAGAGACGAGTACAATATGCGGGGTTTAAAAGTTTTACATCGAGCCTATAAGCCATCTACTTTAGTGGTGATGGGACTGTGGCGGGCGAATCGATCAACCGTACACCCTTAAAATCTCGAAAACATCATTTTTCTAACAGCCATGACACGAATAGCCAACTGATAAATTCTTGCAGAGGAATGAGAGGAAGAGATTTCAAAGCTCGACGGAGCTTTGAGTCAGTAACACAGGCGGTGTTGCAATGCGAACCACTAGTGCTAAACTACTTGAACTCAACCACTATTACTGACCCAATAGTTCTAAACCGAAATTGTGTACACAGGACTGAATGCGATATATACGCCTCCGCTTACGAATCCATTTCACAATGCGGACACCGGTGACAATCTGGGAAGGCGCTAGACTTGGTGCGTGCTAGCTCGGTAAAATTAGCTGTGAGTCAAGGGCGGCTCAGCCCTTGACTACCCCCCACATGCTCCCAAACTATCCAGTCTGAGTACATAATAAGCGACGCGCCCTTTGGACTATACAACCAATGACAGCGAATGAGTCAACTATATTGGTGGCGTCGGTGGTGAATGCTGGTTGGATGTACGTTGAAATAATGGAAGGGTTTGTAAGGAGTTATGATCGTAAGGCTGTGATGTCGCAAGCGGTGACTATGTCTGTCCTAACAAGCGGTCGCTGATTTCGCCTAGCTTGCGATTCGAGGGTTCGTGGGAAGTAAGAGGTTGGTATAATAAGCTGGCCTTGTGGCCTTCCGCTGTTTTAAGTCATCATCAGGCAAACAGATACGCGTCGCACTATATCGACATCGTCCTTGAATATACTTCCCATATTGCTGTTGCAATCTACTATACAAGCAGACTCGAACCTTCTCATCTCAAGATCCAAAACGATACGACCACATTCAACCCAACCCGCGATACAACGCATCACATCCAACATGTCCTCATCAAATCAAGCCAACATGAGCCCACCCTCAGAAAAGGACGCCATGTCGACAAAATCCACTTCAACAATGGCCTCTACAAAAGCGCTTCTTCGATCTGTGTTCCCATCAAAGCAGTCTAGGAAGACGGTCGAGACAACGAGCACCAAGAGGACAGATACGGAGACACCAGCAACGAAGGCCGAAAAGAAACTGACTAAGGCGGAGGCTCTGCATGACTGGGCGCTCTATCGATAATCGACGAACATGGCTGTATACGCTCGCTACGGAGTTTCATCCCAATCATCAATCTAGCTTCCACTGCCTACCGCAGCTCAACATGGTGGAAGGGGGATCACCCCCGCCCTACCTCGAACGATCGCACATCGGCTTAGCCCAGATTCATCGAGTAATATAAAAGATATTCAAGTGTCTTGTTAGAGACTGTGGTCTATTAACGGGTCCCGAGAACGATTTCTCTTTGTACTTCCTACGCAGACGCACGATGTGCGAATTTACACTGTCACCAGGCCATTATTACAATAGGCGAATTGGAGCACCCCTCGAATCAGAATCCTCTATAAATCTTTCGAGCATTTTCTTGATAATCTTCTTTCACATTGCTGTCCGGCTTCCCCGCAGCGGTTTGTTTCTCCCCCGCAGAATGACTCACTAAGGGCGTGCGCACATTCACCGATTAACCGCATGGCCCTATCACGTATTGTTTACACATCAGGTGGTATGTGCGCTGACTGTTCCGCACATCGTACCTAAATCTGCTCAATAACAAGTTGTCGTCGCCTTTCTTCTCACTCTCTACTCATTGTGACATCAACCAACAGTCGTTTCCCCTACTGAGTTTGTTGTCGGCATCAAGCTACCTGCAGTGGTATGATCCGCCTTCTTTTTCTCCATGACTATCAAGCCTGGCCGGCAATAGAGAACGCTGACCATTCACAACAGACCAACAGCTGCCCGAACCACTATCACGAGGCCCATCCCCGAACCGGTGACACTCCACCTGTACCACAATAATTGCGCTGTTGTTGCATAAATATGGATCAGATGTACTTTTATGACGGGTAAGTTGACGGAATATCATCGCCACCAACGCGCATCACCTTTATCTCTATCGCCCTCCAATAAACCTACGTCTTCTCCAGGCATATATATGTGTTTAGCAGTTGCATCTAGCATAATCATGCTAGGAATCCCTTGACCTATAGTCCCCCCTCACACGCGGCTCGGTCTCCTCTCAGACTAACTGGGTCATAGTGATGTTGACGCGGACTCCAATAATCTAGCTGCCATCAACGCTCGGTCTGCAGCTACCTACAGCGATGAAGACGAAGAACGCGTACCGAAGGCAAGCCAAGCTACTCAGAGCCGGAGCCGAAGCCGTACTGTTCATTGCGTCGACACCGATGAAGAAGACGTAGTCTCCCATGACGCTGAACATGGTGGTAAGCGTAAGGGTAAGACGATACGGGGTAAGAGAACTGCCAAGAGAGCCATAACCAAGAATGTTACAGGTAAGAGGGTTACGGGCGATTTCGATGGGTTCTCTCACCCGCCCACTGCCTTTGAGGAGAATGGTGAGTGCAAGCTTCCATAGTCTTTGAATCAAATCCTCATATATCTAGGTGTCTAACATCTCTCAGACTCCAGAATAACGCCTGCTAGAAGCAATCCATTCCGCAACCGAAGCGACTCCCCACTCTTTGAGCCAGAAGAATACGGACCACCTCTGTCAATTAAAGACAAGACAACCCTTACCCGACCTCGCAACACGCCCCGCCGACTACTGTCCTATATGGAAGGCCTCGAGCGTGCCCGCGCCATCAAGGTCGAGATCGAGAACAACATCTCCGTCCTACAGCCTCAAGATAAGAAAACCAGCAAACGCCGCTTCGTTCAAGAGGACCCAGAGAACCAGCTTATCAAGACGCTCCGTACAGACCAGCACAAGACCTGGAACGAAATCGCTGAATATCTCAACAAGGAGCGCCGCAATGTCGGCGAGGCTGCTGATTTCACTGATGTCGCCGTCTACAGTCGCTTCGTCCGCAACACCCCACCCATCGCTGCCACCGTCGGTGAGATCGGCTTCGACCCCAAGGACTATATGCACCTGCGCTACCCGAACCAGAACATGTATGGCGACAAGACTGGCATGATTAGCAAGGCAGGCAAAAAGCGTGTCAAGAACTACGACAACGCGACGGAGCTCAAGGCCAATATGCGACAGCAGGTGACACCCGATGAGCATGGGGACTTGGAGACGGCGGAGAAGACTGAGCAGCTTATGGATGCTGTGGCGAAGGTGGAAAGGAACTTCTGGATCTTGGTTGCGGATGAGATGGAGCGGGCCACTACGAGGTTGTATCAACCTGACGAATTGGCGAGCCGCTATCATGCTATTTGATGGGGGTAGCTACCTGGGTACTTGGGCCTTCGCAAGCTGAGAAGTAGAGCTTTCAAATTCTCCGTACTCATTCATGGAGCTCTGGTCTACTAGTTTATTAGAACTTGCGTTCATCATGGTCAGCATTCTACTGCTGGATGGACAATGCTCACTATGATCCTTTTATCAAAGACAATAAAATTCGGGTCACTCAACAATGTACCTTACCAAGAACTTGATTGATACCCTTGCATGCGTTCTCTTCAGCAACAGCTAGTGTAAAGGATGCTACACATGGTATAACTTCCTAACAATACTTTGATTCAGTGTTTTGCGGAAAGCCCTGATGATAATTACAATTCTTCCCCATCTTCTACCCGGGAAACGGATAAACAGCAGGACTCTTGTACCCATTCGACCCTACAGCTCTGACACCAAAAATCACATTATCCTTGCTAAGCGGCAACGTCACACTATCAACTTTCCCCACATCCAACACATGCGTCCACAAACTAGCCGTAGTCGCGCGCCACACGACCTCATAGCTCGCCAAACTCGTGTCATTCGACGCGATCCACTTCAACCTCGTATCATTGTCCAACACGGTCGTGTCGACAGTGACGTTTCGCGGCAAGCCAGGGGCCTGCGAGAGCGACCAGAGCGTTGCTAGATTGACTTTTCCGACGCGCGCCGTGTACTCGAAATCCACGAAGTCGATGAGATCGCCGTAAACGGTGCCATTCTCGGTTCGTAAGTCTTGGTGCTGGTGGTTGAAATTCTCGTTGGGCTCCGTGAAGCGGATTGCTGGGAAGCCTGCCTGTAGGAAAGGCGTGTGGTCGCCGCCTCGGAGGAATCTGTCTAGACGGTAGATGATGGCGACGTTCATTCCTGTGGCTTTGTTGGCTGCGACTTCGGCGCTGAATCGTGCTAGTTCTCTCGCGGGACTGTCGTTTTCCCCGCCTATTTGCAGTCTGCGTGCTGCTGTGGTGGTGGACTCGTAAGGAGGTGGGCCCTGGGCGAAAGCGCGGATCGTGAATGGATCTTTTTGGCCGCGATCACCGGTCGATGAGCCGACGATGTCGCAGTTCAACATCCCTTCTACGTTTGTGCTGGAGTTTTTGAGTGTCCCGGCGAGATACCCTGCGCCATAAAGACCTTGCTCTTCTCCTGCGACGGCGCCGAGGATGATTGTGGCTCTTGGCTTGCGCTTTGCTAGGACGCGAGCGAGTTCCATTGCAACTATATCTAGTAAGTATTTCTCTGGTTTAGGAGTGCATTCTCTGAGACATACTCGCCACTCCACTAGCATCATCGTTCGCTCCTGGGGCGTCGGCAGTATAGTTCATCACGTCGGTAACTCGACTGTCGTAGTGTCCCGTCATGACATACACTCTGTTCGGGTCTTCGCAGCCTTTAACAGTTGCCAGTACATTAGATATAGTAACCGGAAATGGAATCCTGCTTGCAACACCCTGGACATAACTTTGCACTTGTACTGTCATTCTACCCTCGCTTTCAGCCGCATACTTGCGCATCTCAGATGCGATCCAATCTCTTGCAGCGTTAATACCGTGGGTGGTGCTATTGAATGTACTGAGCGTGTGGCGAGTACCGAATGAGACAAGTTTGGTGATGATGGCCTCGACGTTCGCTGGGTTGATTTCGTCGACCATTGCCTTGAGCTCGTCATCTGGTGCTTGGGGAACGAGCTCGTCGCCGACATTCGACGGCGGCCATGCTGCGTTTGCGCAGTTGGTATAGCTTCCATCGTTGACCGCAATTGGGGGAGGTAGGTCGCGGTCGAATAGGATCTCGTGCGCACATGCTGTTGCTAGCAGTGCGCTACTCAGCAATAGGGTACGGAGATACATGGGAAAGGCTGTCGAGACGAATGCCCAAAAGTCTCGAATCTTTCTGTGCCCAAATCGCTTTATGGCCTTTTTGTTGTAGTCAGGACGTCAGGACGTCAGGACGGGTGCGGGTCGCCGCAGCCAAGTCATAGCGAACTTCCATTGCGAGTTAGCACGCGACATCCGATTTCGGTACGCTGCCTCTTTATTTGCGATCGATGTCGAAATATATTTCTTCCGCGGCTCGGCACCTGTAGTCTACCGGGTTATGATAGAGATCGACAAGGTAGATGATTACCCGGATAGGCAGGTGCTTGAAGCAAGACGTCAGCCGCCTGTGGACAAGCACAGCTACAGAGTTATTAGAAGAAAGTCAATATTAACGTTGTGAGTGTCAATGATATGTTATCTGAGATGTTTTTGAACGCTGTGCTCGAGCTGATATAGGTGTACGTAAGTGGTTATTTTGGGACAAGCACAATCGTGAAAGCTGACGGGTATTCTAATCAGACGAAACGTACGACTGTGAGTTTCACACGCGTACTCGCGTATTCTTATGCCGCCCAATCCATCTCATCCTCTGAAATTCCCGAGTCCAATGCCTGTGGTGTGTCTTCAATAGACTGCGTAGGCACATCTGCTACTACGTCATCATCCTCAGATCCATCCTCGTCAGAGTCCTGCCATTGATGGGAAGGTTCCGAGCCTCTTTCCTGCAAAGCTGCATAGGCCCGTGTGCCATGTGTTCGTAGCTCAATAATATTTGCTGTCTGCCGTTCGTGTCTTCTCGAAGCCTCCCGCGTTGAAGTATCGGTGTCAACACTAGAACCTCTAATTTTTTGCGAGGGGCTAGAATGAAATGCAGGTGCGGGGCTTTTCGAATTTTCATGCGCAGCAAATTTAGCCGCTGGCACTGCTCTGTGAAACTCCTCCCATTCTGCGTGATATTCGGTCCATAATCGCCATCCATCAGGGTCAGTGATGACGTCCGCGCCGTCATCTGGACTGACTTCTTCGTCTCTCTTCGTTTCATTCCCTTTTCTAGATGGATCGAGTTCAAGGATTTCCCAAAGCGCATGTTCTTCCTGTCGGCTCGCTTCTTGGTCAAACTGCTCGAGCGTGTGTAGACCAAGGCTAAGCTCTCCAGTACCGCCAGAGGGCGGTACGCTTGTGTAGCGACCGGTAAGGTCTCTTGCTTGGGTCGCAGAGCGCGTGAAAGGTTGTCGCCTCTCATCTAGCAGTGAATCATCATCTGATCCTTCCATAGGCTCGTTGAACTCTCCATCAAGGCCATCATCCTCATCGGAAAGGGCGAGGTTTTCCATTGGGAGCGGTGTTCCACTGCGTGCAGCTCTATAATTGAATGCCTCGGTATCGTTACCCGACGTCTCTGCATCCGTAGTGAGAGGATCCGTTGCCGCCTCAGTAGACTTCATCATTCGCTCAACTTCGTCCCAGGGCACCTCTCTTCTATATTTGCCGTGCGTTCTGTAGTCTTCCCTGCCTTCATATACTCGAACAGAACACCGTCTGGCTACATTCCTCCACCTCTCTCTGCCATTCCGTTTCATGCCCAGAAGGTCAATGGCAGCCAACACGTCCCGCCTCTTTACCATCGGTAGAACTCCGTTCTTGAAACGTCGTCGCTGAGATCGAAGGCGGGAAGTTGCTTGTATGAGGGCAGTCTGCGCTAGTCGTTTTGTGATGGAGACAACCAGGGTGTGAAAATCTTTGAACGCGCTGCAATATATTGCTGGTTCTTCCGCAAGCTCCGACGTATATTCGGACCAGTGCGGCCACGGCGATGGTATGGTAGGAGAGCGATTCATGAACAGGGTTTTCGATAACGTAAGCATAACGTCTGGCTGAAGTAGGTTTGCCTCTGGAATAGCTTCGAGGAGGTTGTGGTTTGCTGAATATTGAGTGCGTGTCGGTAAACTCGCTTGATCTTTGGGGTCGAGTGAGTCCGGACTGTGGACCTCTTGCTTTTCAGACTTGGCAGGTTTCTCTTCGTATACGCAGTCTCCAATTGTCCGTCGCACGCAATTACTACATGGGGCTCCTCGATCGCACCTTTTCTTGGATTGCTTACATGCGGTACATGACCTACACGAACACGTTAGCGTCCTGTTACCATACTGCTAATGTCGGCGTACCCTGCAACCATCTTGCCTCCTCTACGCGAGGGTTCTGGCTCGCTTGCTGGTGCGGAGGAGACGGCTCTTGTTCGACCATCAACAGCATCCGTAATATCGTTAGCTATTGCCGCCGTGATCAGCCAATAGTCGCCAAACTTCTCCCGCTCCTGGCTTGCTTCAAACGTTTCCTGGTACCAAGCTAAAGCCTCGCCCGCTAGGTCAAGCTGCTCGCTGCATTTGTTGCCGACCTCGATTGCAGCAGGAATATCGTGGAGTGTCACCTTCGCGTCGCCCTGCTTGGAGGCAGCCTCTTGAAGCAAGAGAAGGAGCTCTTGTGTCTCAGGGATGCTCTTCGTGCCGATTGCTGACGCTATGCCGGGAATATCATGCCTACCTAACCGTTCGAGGGCGGAGAAGAGGGTAGTCTGCTCTTTCGAGGACCATATCGAGGCTCCGATTTGCGTAGTGTAGTGCTGGTAGCTCTCACTAGCCGTCTCGAAGCGCGCAACGGCATGGCTCACCTCCTCATTGAAGAGCACGCGGTAGCCATCGTTATATCTCCCCTTGAGATTATATTTGCGGAGCCGGGAAGGGTCGAATGATCCGAGGCGGGGCCGCTTTCGGGGTGTATTTGATGTGCGAGACTGGCGGTGGGAGGAGGGTCGTGTGCGAGGTTGTGAACTGCTATCGCTAGACTCTTCGAGCGCGTTATCACCTTCGTAGTTGGATTCGGAGCTCATCGCGGTCGTAGCCGGATTAGAGAGCGCCTCGTATCCTTGCAATATGAAGCCTGGGCTGTTGTCGTAGTGTGCTTCGGATCGGCCATAGTAAGCGGTGAACAGTGAAGAGTTTGGTCCACTTCTCAGAAACATTGCCTGGGACTATCGATAAGCCCTGGCGCAAAGGCGCGTCATGCATCGTGACTTCGCGACACCTTCGCTCCTTTTCCACCGCGCCTCTTCATGTTGCGCTTCTCCCAACATGCGCTGGTAGTTTCTAAGCGGATGGGCTCTGGGCCTGTCCGCGCAAGCCTAAGACACGCGTCGAGAGCCTCCACACCCCGGAATACCGCTCCGCAAAGCCCGCCATCGCTGCCCGCCCCGTTGAAGATCACACTGCGCGAGTATCAGGAAGAATGCATACAGGCCGTACTCTCCTATCTAGACGCAGGCCATAAGCGCCTAGGTGTGTCGCTGGCAACTGGCGCTGGAAAGACGGTCATCTTTACCCATCTCATAGACCGCATCCCCACCACAGGCAATGCCTCGCAGACGCTCATTCTCGCCCACCGCCGTGAGCTTGTCGAGCAAGCCGCCCGTCACTGCACCCTCGCCTACCCAGACAAGCACGTCGACATTGAAATGGGTAGCAACCAGGCTTCGGGTGCCGCCGACATAACAGTCGCCTCTATACAGAGCATCACGTCCGGACACCGACTCCAGAAGTTCGACCCGACGAGATATAAGCTTGTATTGGTGGATGAGGCACATCATATAGTTAGTCAGACATATCTAGACGTTCTAGAACACTTTGGTCTTAGAAATGCTGCCGACTGGACCAAGACAAGGGCTCCTGCCTTGGTTGGTGTGTCGGCCACTTTCTCGCGCTTCGACGGAAGAAGGCTTGGTGCCGTTATTGATCACATTGTGTATCACCGGTAAGCTTCTTTTGCATATAATATGCCACAGAGCTAACTTACTGTTAGTGACTACGTTGACATGATCGAAGAAAACTGGCTTTCTGACGTCGTTTTCACCACAGTTGAAATCAAAGCCGACCTGACCAAAGTGGACACTGGCGCGAGTGGGGATTTTCAGACCGCTGCGCTGTCCAAGGCCATCAACACTGCTGAGACCAACGAGCTTGTGGTGAAGGCATGGTCGACAAAGGCAGTAGGCCGTACTTCTACTCTCATCTTCTGTGTCGATCTCAGTCATGTCACCAACCTCACCTCGGAGTTTCGCAAGAATGGGGTCAATGCCCAATTTGTGACAGGCGACACAGCAACGAAGGTTCGTAGTGCAAGGATCAACGCCTTTCGGGACGGAGAGTTTCCGGTACTGCTTAATTGTGGTGTATTCACGGAGGGCACAGATATTCCAAACATCGACTGCGTACTTTTGGCTCGGCCCACCAAGTCGCGCAATTTGCTTGTTCAGATGATTGGACGAGGTATGCGCCTACACAAGGGCAAAGAGAATTGCCACATCATCGACATGGTCGCTGCACTGAGCACTGGAGTCGTCTCTACACCAACGCTCTTCGGGCTGGACCCAGGGGAGATTGTTGAGAAGGCAGATACGAAGAGCTTAACGCAGCTCAAGGAAAGAAAAGACTCGGAAAGGCAGCGTGAGAAAGAAGCCTCCGGACTGAAGACACGGACTGTTTCCAGGAAGCTTCCTGGAACCATCACCTTCACCGATTACGATTCTGTCCATGATCTAATTGCAGACACCTCAGGCGACCAGTATATCCGCAACTTAAGTCAGAACGCTTGGGTAGGCGTTGGAGAGGGGAAATACGTATTGACAACGAATAGCGGCAACTATCTTGTCATTGAGCCTTCTGAAAAGGATGAGGCTAGCTTCAGAGCCAAGTATTACTGGAAGCTGCCAGCAGCTAAGAAGTCCAAAAGTCCGTACGGTGCCCCTCGGGTCATCGCCGAAGGGGAGTCGTTCGAGCACGTTGTTCATGCAGCCGATACATACGCAGCTGAGGCCTTTGAACACATCTGGATTTCAAAGAACCAGCCATGGCGTAGGAGTAGTGCATCACAAGCTCAACTAGCCTTCCTCAATAAGTTTCGACCTCTAGAAGACCAGCTGGCGCCTGGAGATCTCACCAAAGGCAAAGCGGGTGACATGATTACACGGATCAAGCACGGAGCGAAGGGCCGATACGAAAAAGCGACTGTGAAACAGAGGACCGAAAGGCGCATGAAAGATCGTGCAGAGACGATGCGTCAGCGACTTCAAGGTCAGGTACGAGTTGGGCCTTTGGAACAGGGCCAGACCCTGAAAGAGAAACTCCTCGGATGAGCACGCGTGTGCTTGTTTCAAAGATAATAATGATACCCAGTGAATTGAGCACCATCCCTCCATCATCAGCCTTCGATAGGAAGCTTTCGCTTGAATGTTGGGTGCCAGCTACTAAGAAACTACAGATGGGTCTGTTTATGCTCCCGGAGTTATCAAACACTCGGATGATGAGAATCACTGAGCATTGTGAACTGGCATTGCATGGCAGTATGCGAATTTCCCTGGGGTTGCTGAAATGCATCGAAGATCGCGGTCGTTCTCGGCAAGCAGATTTGGTGCCGTTCATGACCCCGCGGAGAAACACGGTCGAGCATCGCCAATCTATCTTGACACCCGCTTGATTCTACATAGCTTTCGTCCTCTTATCTATATGTTTTGTCACAACCCATCTGACGATAGATTTCAGATGTGGAATTCTCGAGGCTTCTCCGTGGCATATGGTACCCTGTAAAAGCAATGTTAACCCCGCCATCGTGAGCGCCTCCTTTCCTAGGAAGTTAGCTCACGAATACGATGCAGCGGAGCACCAACCTGAGATGACAGTGGCACAAAAATCTCGCCCTATAAGCACTAGAAAAACGCTTCAGCAATGGATGATCACACTTGTGACAATGTCGGCAAAGAGCTATACGATTTTACAACTCTCAATACTATTAGCAACAGCATGATGGCCTGCTCAAGTATCTCCGCTGCAATAATGATAGGGCCCGCAATCTATTCCGGACCCCCACATGGTATGTAGTTGACACGGTCCGGCCAGGAACATCATCTTGGCTGCATTTCACGCCGCCTCTGCGGGCATCAGGCGACTAATCCTGAAACGGCACCAAAGATAAGGTCGCATACCATCGCGAGATCTGTGTAATTCCAGATGATCACACATGATCAGAGCCCTAGCATTCGATGACAACTGGGATGAGGCAAGATGCGGGAACTTTGGCTTTCTCCACAGATCGAAGCTCGGTTTCCGCGGATAGTGAGATTCAGTGGCTGACGTTGGGTGCGCACTTTCCGCCGCGTCGGGTTCTAGTAGTCAAAATGCTGCATCCCTGGAACTGAATTGCCGGGCTAGATTGCGAGCGCGTCTCCGCAGTCGACGTCTTAGTTGTTACATTTGCCTTGAGTCCGATTCGGCTTGGGTTTTGGCTCTCTATATCCCTATCGTCGTTGACATCCTGCTATCGTTGTTGCGCAGTTTTGCCGACAAAGCTCAATATTCCATTCTCAAATTCTTAGTACTTTTCACATGTTCACTAGTTTTGTCTTTTGCAATATACCCTTCACATCGCGTCGCATTCCACTATAATCAAGCATCATGAGTGTTGCTCCACAACAGTTCCAGAGCGCACCGCTTCCTCCGCCATCTGAACATCAACCACAGCCCCACGCCGCCTCAAAATCAATACGACTCCCACCAACACCACCGGAGACAGTTGACGGCGATGACAATAAATCCACGACATCAACGAATACAGAACCAGACTTCCCGCTACCGCCACCAGCGAACACTCCACCGCGGGTGCTAGACGTCGACAAGCCGACGCCAGACTCACATGTACCGCGAGATCCGAGACTAATCCGGCTGACGGGCGTTCATCCTTTCAATGTCGAAGCGCCACTAAGCGATCTGTTCAACGAAGGCTTTCTAACAAGCCCGGAGCTTTTCTATGTACGCAATCACGGTGCGGTTCCGGAGGTGCACGATGAAGAGTGCATAGACTGGGAGTTCTCGGTTGAAGGGTACGCTCTACCTACTCTAATGCTAAGAATTAAAACTGATGTCGCATAGTCTTGTAGCAAATCCGTTCAAGATAACCCTGAGGCAATTGTTAGACGAGTATGAGAACGTGACATATCCCATCACTCTAGTATGCGCTGGCAATAGACGAAAGGAACAAAACGTCGTAAGAAAGAGTCAAGGGTTCTCGTGGGGTCCGGCTGGTGTTTCGACTGCCCTTTTCACCGGTGTTGTCATGAAAGATGTTATAGAACGAGCAAAGCCGCTACGAAAAGCGAAGTATGTGTGTATGGAAGGCGCTGACAAACTCGTGAGTTAACTTCCTATCGACCAAACCGCAGAACTGACGATAAGGAAGCCAAACGGATACTACGGCACATCAGTGAAGTTGAACTGGGTGATGGATCCTAACCGGGGTATCATGCTCGCGCACAAGATGAACGGCGAGATGTTACGACCAGATCACGGAAAACCATTGAGAGCTGTTATTCCTGGCCAAATCGGCGGCCGTAGCGTGAAATGGCTGAAGAAACTGATTGTTACAGCTGAGCCAAGTGACAATTGGTATCACATCTATGACAATCGAGTGCTGCCGTAAGTCATTGCCAAGTTCACCTCGATTGCCTAAACTAAAGGAGATAGAACAATGGTTAACCCAGATGAATCGGCGAAGAACCCGAAGTGGTGGATGGACGAACGCTATGCAATCTATGATCTCTCCCCAAACTCCGCGATTGCTTTCCCAGCACACGAAGAGAAGCTCAGCATCGTATCGGCCCCAGAGTCCTACACCGTCCGTGGCTATGCCTACAGCGGCGGCGGACGCCGCGTGACCCGTTGTGAAGTCTCCCTCGATAAAGGCAAGACTTGGCGACTCGCCACTATCGAGTACGCAGAAGACAAGTATCGCGCGTACGAAGACCGCCAACTCTACGGTGCAAGATTGGATATGGACTGGCGCGAGACATCTTTCTGCTGGTGTTTTTGGAGTCTTGACATTGCGATCGCTGAGTTAAAGGAGACGAACGACATTCTAGTACGGGCAATGGATGAGGCAATGTGTATACAGCCAAGAGATATGTACTGGAGTGTGCTTGGTATGATGAATAACCCGTGGTACCGCATCGCAATTCACAAAGAGCACGACACGCTGCGCTTTGAACATCCGACACAACCCGCCCTCATGCCCGGGGGTTGGATGGAACGAGTCAAGAAGTCAGGTGGCAATCTTACAAACGGTCACTGGGGTGAGAAGATTGAAGGCGAAGAACTTGAAGCTGCCGGCATTGAAGAGGTCAAGGATATCAAGATGACGAAAGACGGCGTCGACAAGGTTGTCGGGATTGATGAGCTAAGAAAGCACGATAAACCAGAGAACCCATGGTTCGTAGTCAACGGTGAAGTCTATGATGGCACGGCTTTTCTCGAAGGGCATCCAGGCGGTGCGCAAAGCATCGTAAGTGCAGCAGGTCTGGATGCTACTGATGAGTTTATGGCAATTCGTAAGTTCTAAAATCTGTCAGAGTAGAGAGAGACTAAGCCTAGAACAGATAGCGAAACAGCAAAAGCAATGATGCCAGACCACCACATCGGCAGCCTAGACGAAGCATCCCGCAAGATTCTCGCAGAAGGCGAGCCCACTCTCGAATCCTCTGAACCGCGACCCGTTTTCCTAGACTCCCGCGTTTGGAACAAAGCGCTGCTCCAATCCAAGAAGAATGTTTCCTGGGACACCCGAATCTTCACTTTCAAACTCGATCACGATGAACAATCGCTTGGCCTACCAACCGGACAACATCTCATGATTCGCCTACGCGATCCTGTAACCCGCGAGGCCATCATACGCTCATACACTCCCATTTCACAGACAACGCAAAAGGGCTACTGCGACGTGCTCATCAAGATCTACGCCGACACGCAAGATAAGGTGGGCGGCAGAATGACCAAAGCACTCGACAGCATCCCGGTCGGTCACTGGGTAGACTTCAAAGGCCCGATCGGAAAATTCGAGTACCTCGGTCGCGGTGTATGCGCTGTAAATGGTAAAGAAAGAAGAGTTAAGAGGTTCTTTATGATCTCTGGTGGGAGTGGGATTACGCCAATCTTCCAAGTTTTGCGCGCAGTCATGCAAGACAAGGGAGACGCGACGCACTGCACAGTACTCAACGGCAACCGCCTCGTTGAAGATATTCTGTGCAGGCAGGATCTGGACATGTTTGCGCGCGACAATGCAGATCGGTGCAAATTACTGTACACGCTTACACAAGGCCCTGACGATTGGACGGGACTACGAGGGCGTATTGGGGCGCCGTTGCTGAAAGAACATTGCGGGATCGCTGGAGATGGTGAGAGCATGGTTCTCCTATGTGGGCCTGGGGCACTGGAGAAGAGTGCACATAGCATCCTCAATGAGCAAGGCTGGAAAGACGAAGATTTGTTGTTCTTTTAAACGGAGATTTGAGATAATGGGAGTATACAAAAGCGGGATATGAGACTTTGGGTTTTGGCATTTCAAGCATTGCTATTCAATTTTCATCTTGTTCAAATTGTAACGTGTACATATAACATGGCTCAGGGGCATCACGACGAACGGCCGTTCTTCATAACAGCTAGGCCGTGTAGAAGTATCCATTATCACCTTTGAATGAATTGCCCAAGTCCCCTGAATCTCGTTGGACGAAGTCCTGGTTCTTCATCACCCTCTGAGTCGCTCCCTTCATCATCATAACACTGCTTCATCTCGACCTCGCGCTTCCTTTCGCATCTCAACTCACCTGTACAATGATATCTATCGGAGACTTGACGTCGTAAACATGCATCTCCGCGTCGAGATCCTTATCGCAACCCAGACTCCTTGGCACCCCTAGCCGCACCAACAACCTCTCGCTTCCTTATCAGAACCACCCATGCACGACCCCACATTTCTTCAACCCTCCGATCTCCACGGAGAACCACAGGATAGAAACTATGTACGGTATCTGAAATGTCATCATTACCATTCGCCGGTTGAATGCTCACTCTCAGCCTCTGACGACAGACTAACTGCGGCATCTAGTCCCTCTAAGGCGGTTGGGGACCCACGAGCGCGTTATGATGCATTTCCGCAACCACCGCGGGGTACGCTCGATTGGGAGATGCAAGTAGTAGGCGCGAGATGTTTATCTATCCTGTGGCGCGCAGCTGGCACGGGTGATCGCGTCGTTGGTGATTTAACCCTAGCTTTAGACTTGGACTTGCGGGAGAAGTCGTACCACGGAGTTGTACCTCTTACATCCATCTGTTCTCAATTGGGCCTCTTTTCTACTCCTTCTATTCTCCCACGCTCCTAGATACCCATCGTCGCGATTCGTCAATTGCGCGCTTCACTTCCCATTTCCTCTCAGATGCTTTGACGATTTAAACTCTCATTGCTCTTCACGTAAAACTTCTTACTTGCCCAAATAATATACCCAGCTCTTAGTGAGCACCCACATGGCAACAATGGCAGAGACGTCGCCCATCATCACACAAGGCATCGAGCCCTCGTCCGGAGAATCACATTCCCCGCCTGGTGAACACGGCGTACAGGCGACATGGGGATCAAAAGATGGAAACATCTCGAATAGCGAGTGGAACGATGCGGAAGCAAACAAGTTGCCCGAGAAGGTCGCGAAGATGGACGCGAACGGCGAGATCAACGACAATCATCCCAGGAAACGGGTTGTGGTTGTAGGACTGGGTATGGTTGGAATCGCGTTCATGTAGGTGTTCGATAATGCGATAGAAGAAAGAAGCTCACTCTAACAAATACTAGAGAAAAACTCTTGAAGTACGATGTAAGGCGGAGAGAGTACGATGTCGTGGTTATTGGAGAAGAACCACACCTTGCATACAATCGCGTCGGGTTGACGAGCTTCTTCCAACACCGACTAGTCGAGAATTTGTACCTTAACCCGAAAGAATGGGTAAGCGATGAATCACGAAACTCAAGAAATTGGAGTGCTAATCATTTCGCAGTACTCATCTATGCCGGAAGGTTCATTAAACTACCACCTTAACACCCTCGTCACAGAAATCAACTCTACCGACAAGTCCGTCAAGACATCATCAGGAGAAACAGTGTCCTATGACATTCTTGTACTGGCAACAGGATCCGATGCACTTCTCCCACGACACACACCCGGCCACGACGCTAAAGGTGTCTTCGTGTACCGCACAATCGATGACCTTCAAAAACTCATCGACTTTTCCGCGACACGGAAAGGCACCACTGGCACTGTTGTTGGAGGCGGCTTACTCGGCTTGGAAGCTGCGCACGCTATGATGGATCTTGAGGACTTTGCGAAGGTCAAGCTTATTGAGCGGAATCGATGGGTTTTGTCGAGACAGTTGGATGGCGATGCTGGCGGTATGGTCGTTGAGCAAGTAAGGGCGATGGGCCTGGATGTTATGCTCAGCAAACGTGTCGGCAGAATTCTGACAGATGAGGAGAACTTTGTCAAGGGCCTTGTCTTCGAGGATGGAGAGGAGATGGAGTGCTCATGTATTTGTTTTGCTGTGAGTGAACTGTACTGCAAAGATTAGAGTGTTAACTGACGTCGGCAGATTGGTATCAAATCGCGAGACGAGCTAGCGCGGAAAACAGGCCTCAATTGTGCCGATCGAGGTGGCGGTATCGTTGTAGGCCCGGATCTGGTCACATCGAAACCTGACATATATGCCATCGGAGAATGCGCGAGCTGGGAAAATCAGACTTTCGGTCTCATCGCACCTGGAGTGGAGATGGCAGATGTCCTGGCCTTCAACCTCACACAAGCGAAAGCACACGCGCCACGGAAGTTTAAGCGGCCGGACCTCAGCACGAAGCTGAAGTTACTGGGCGTCGAAGTTGCTAGCTTTGGTGACTTCTTTGCAGACCGCGATGGACCCAAGGATATGCCTGGACGACCACGAGCCGGAAAGAAGGAAGCGAAGGGTGTTAATGGTACGACCACACGAGATAAAGTGAAAAACTTGACTGATGGGCCAGCTCCACCACCAGTCAAGGCGCTCACGTACAAGGACCCGTTTCAGCAGGTATACAAAAAGTACCTCTTCACGGTGGACGGAAAGTATCTGCTAGGTGGCATGATGATCGGTGACACCAAAGATTATGTCAAGCTGGTGCCAATGGTTAAGAACCAAAAACCCCTTGAGATGCCACCGAGTGAACTTATTATCGGCGCGTCAAAGGGAGACGACGATGGCGACGACCTGTAAGTTTGTCGCGGCCACATGCGTGCGACTCAACTAATAATGCCACAGCACCGACGACACTCAAATATGCTCATGTCACAACGTTACCAAGGGCGATGTGGTCAACTCAGTCAAAGACGGAACATGCAAGAGTATCGGCGACGTCAAATCCTGCACAAAGGCCGGTACTGGTTGCGGTGGCTGCATGCCGCTTGTCCAAACCATCTTCAACAAGACAATGGCCTCTATGGGCAACGAAGTCAAGAACCACCTTTGCCCACACTTTGAATACTCGCGCGCAGACCTATTCAACATCATCTATGTCAAAAAGATCAAGGATTTCTCGGCCGTCATGAAAGAGGCTGGAAAAGAGCCAGACTCTCTAGGGTGCGAGGCCTGCAAACCTACTATCGGATCCATCATTGCATCGCTATTCAACAAACATCTGCTTGAAGTGGAAACGAGAGGCCTCCAGGATACGAACGATAGATTCTTGGCCAACATTCAGCGTAATGGTACATTTTCAGTTGTGCCGCGCGTTTCAGGTGGAGAGATTACTCCTGAGAAGCTCATTGTCATCGGTATGGTGGCAAAGAAATACAATCTCTACACCAAGATTACGGGCGGTCAGCGAATTGACATGTTCGGAGCCTGGAAGCAGGACCTCCCAAACATCTGGGAAGAACTAATCGACGGCGAAATGGAGTCTGGTCATGCCTATGCCAAGTCACTGAGAACGGTCAAGTCGTGTGTCGGCACGACGTGGTGTCGATTTGGAATCGCCGACAGTGTAGGAATGGCGGTGCGCTTGGAAGAGCGATACAAGTCCATCCGCGGACCGCACAAGATCAAGGGCGGAGTGTCTGGATGCGTGCGCGAGTGTGCCGAGGCGCAGAACAAGGATTTCGGGTTGGTGGCAACGGAGAAAGGCTTCAATATCTTTGTTGGTGGCAACGGCGGCGCAAAACCACGACACTCTGAACTTCTGGCAAAGGACGTGCCACCAGACGATGTCGTTCCAATTCTCGACCGCTATCTGTCATTTTATATCCGCACGGCCGATAAACTGCAGCGGACAGCCCGTTGGATGGAGAACCTACCCGGCGGGATTAAGTACCTGCAAGAAGTCATTCTCCATGATAAGCTTGGGATATGTGCGGATTTGGAAAAACAGATGGAAGATCTAGTAGGCACCTTCTTCTGCGAGTGGACTGAAGTCCTCAAAGACCCCAAGAAGCGCGCATGGTTCAGCCAGTTCGCCAACACATCGGAAAACATCAACGACACCATCGAGCCGACGAAAGAGCGCGGACAGGAGCGCCCAAGCTACTGGCCCAAAGACAGTATAACGGAAGACTTCCGCGGCCACAAGTGGAGCGAGCTATCCTGGCAACCGCTCGTGAAAGCCGAAGAGTTCAAGGACACACCAACCGGTGATTCAAAGGCAATCAAGAGAGGCGACACGCAACTCGCCGTGTTCAAGGTGCGCGGAAAATACTACTGCACACAGCAAATGTGCCCGCACAAGCGCGCTTTCGTCCTCTCCGACGGCCTCATCGGCGACGACCTAGCCAACAACAAACTCTGGGTGTCGTGCCCGTACCACAAGCGCAACTACGAGCTATCCGGCGCCAACGCAGGAAAATGCGCAAACGACGAGTCGGTCAACATTGCCGTCTTTCCTATTGAAGAGCGCGCCGATGGGTTCTTGTATGTTAAGCTGCCGAGCATCGAGGAGCTAGACAGTGTCCTTGGGACAGAGAAGTTTAAGATTAAGAAAAGCGAGAGTGAGGATCCGTTTGTGGCGCTGGACAAGAAGCTTGCGAAGATGCAGCTAAAGGGCAGGAAAGGGATGCAAGTATCTCATCTTGAGAACGGGCTGGGGGAGAAGGGCAAGGCTGCTATGATTCTTGCGGGAGGTGAAAAGGGGGCTAGTGGGCTGGACTGGTAAGGTAAGCTTTACTGCTTACTTGTCCGGACTCCTTTCCTGCCTGCTCGTTACAGGCAAACGATTGGCATTCGACAAGGCGTTTTTGGTATCTGGGGGAATTTGGTTGGCTTTAGTAAGATTCCCACGATTGTAGATGAACACCAATGGACACGTCCTCTTTTGAACGCTAGAGCCTCATTCATTGTCGCAGATTATGCTACTAGCATATCACACCATGGCCTTAGTGTGCTGTCGCTGGCATCGATATGCACTTGCTGTTGATTAAAACTCCCTTTCGAGGCGGTGTATGTAGGTTTGTACACATGGCGATGGATAACGCGTCGCTGCTAGCTGAAATCGTTGAACCCCGGAGAAAATCTGATAGGAAGCGGGAGATTGCGTGGTGTACCCCCCTACACCAAAGTGAGCATATTGTGTTGCAAACTTACAAGGGTGTACTCATCGGCATGACTCGCGTTCTAGGGTGAGTGTATGTCACCTTCGCCAGCATGTTATTACTATAAGGCATGGCGCGTGGACTTTCACTAGTACCAGCCGTTTCTTGCTTCCTTGTTCAGGAATCTCCGTTAGGTCACGAGTTATGATCACCTGCAACATTTCGTTGCCTTCTTTACGGGTGGATGGCGTATGCTTGTCGACTTCGGCATTCGCCTTATCATGCTAGGTGCTTCAACCTTGGTCACTGGGGATGACTGGCTCAACCTCATGTAACTCCAAATCACTAGTCCACGGACGCTACGTGTCCAGAAGCCCCCGATCCAGTGCCTAGTAGCGGAGGTAATGTAAATCGATCCATAGAGCAGCTGCGATTCCATCACACGCAGGTGTGCAGGTTGAGTAGTTGGTACACTGTCACCGTCAGCACTGGTTCTCGGATTGCTTTACCGATTAGGTTGGACGTTTGCTCTTGCTCATTCGACCTGTGGGTCTGTGTTACTGTTGAAGGCGTGCTCAGCAGCGGAGTTCGCCCTGTGCCGGAGTGAAGCGTGACGAACAGGTCACCCTATTGCTTTCAGCGTGACAGCTACGTTAGCGTTGTACAAGCGCGTTGAAGATCATTAGGATTTTGATCCTAGTGAGTGTTTTGTGTAAGTCAACGGATCTTCCTCTTCGGCTTCGGTAGCCTTGACCTGGTCAAAGGGGACACCATCCCGAGAAGTGCGGTTCGGTGTGAGTTGAGTTGGCAAGGCCCGTAGTCTACCGACTCCCTAACCCGTGTGATGATCCAATACTGCAATCCGAGAATACATGGTACAGAATAAGCCGCTAGCATGTCCACTAGCACAATTCGATGGCGGAAGAGGCACCCTCAGCCAATTGTTGCCTCCTAGAGAGCGTCCGGGGAGCGGGGAACAGGGAACAGAGCTGTGATCTATCTGGCTGACGTGTCCGCAACCTCCTCGTGGCATTGCCGACGTGACAGGCCGGTTCCCGTCTCCACGCGTCAGCGTGTGAGGAAGCAAACTCCAGTGTGTAACAGCTGTACAGGTTCGTAATGATCACGCATACTGGGCCTAGGCTTAGGCGCAGTGGGGCTAAGAGGTGCTGGGAGAGTATATAGAGCCGTCTCCTTGTGTCGTTGAATCTGCTCCGAGTTTTCATCCGATTCCAGGATACACATCGTTACGACTGCTCATAACCTGTGCAGACGATTTAAACCTTCCCATCTCCAACATCCAAGTTCGCTGCAATCAACCTATGAATCATCTCGACGGGATCATCGACTTCGGCCCTCGCGGTCACATACGAGTAGACGTTGAAGCTTTCTTGAGTTGGTTTCCCACTATCAGGAGGCATCATTTCCCAATCGATGGCCTGTCTCTGGTCAACAAGTTGCAGGCCCGTCTGCAAAGCCACTACAACATCACCAGAACCGAGATTCTGCAAACTCTCTATACGCTCTGCGACCACCTTCAATATCACCCTCTCCCATTTCAAGGAGAAACGCGAGTGCGAGTAACCGCAGCCTTGACGCACCTGCTAAGAGAAGACATTGAAATTAACGGCTTTAACAACAGAGGTCTCTATCGTCTGCGACATTCCTTCGTCATCTTAGCTTACCTAGCGAATGATTGTGTGTCGACTTTGCTTGCGGGAGCGCTGTTCGACTTCTGGTACGGGTGCGAGCAGTACATCCAGCTTAGCGATGCTCACTACCTCCACAAGGAATGGATCCCGGCAGTAAGAAAGATTGAGGAAGTTGGTGCCGATGGAATGGTTCATGGAGCGGGGCATATGGATTTCGGTGCGCTTGCGACTCGAGGACGAATACCACATCGGCTGATGGGTCTACCCTGGCCAGATAATCGAGCACTTTCGGCGCCTGTGACGCGTCGTCGTCGTAGCCCGGACATGCAAATGGCGCTGGCTCCATTCCCCAATTCCGCTTGGACGTCCCCAATGATATCTCCAGCGGGATTTCCGAGAACCCAGTACTTCGATGAGATCGATGGTCTCCAGTATCAGCAAAGAGAGATGAACATGAAGCTGGAAAACATCGACCACAAACTTGATTTTCTGGTCGGAAACTTTTGATGGATGTCCGACTCGGCGTGTACTGGTGCAGGACTTCTTGTCTAGACAGACAAGATAAGACTGGTTTCGTGTTTCTGTAAGTGGCTCTGCAGTCATTTCATCAAACGTTGCTAATTTCGTAGAGGGAACTTTCCTTCGACTTCGCCGATCGCGTCTTTTCCTACAAGCGGCAGATTGACAGTGCTATTTTTTTTTGGCGTTTGGTGGGCTCTCATCAATCAGTATTTCAGTTTTTACGGCACACATGACCTTGACGTTCCGCGGAGTATGCAAAAGACAAGACAAGACAAGAATGGCGATTTAGGGGAGCTTCCACGTTTCCTTCACGGTGTGCACATACTTGTTGATCGTTTATGTTCCGTTCAAGACTCATTATAGGAATTTGAAGACCCTCACACGCCGTACTGTATGCATGGTTGAACGTTATTTCTATGTCTGGCATTAAGGACGCTGTCAGTTGAGATTCGAGCCGCATATGATGCTCGACTACGTACCAATGTGAAAGACGGGTTACAACACGATTGTGAAAAGGGGGTTTCGAAAATACCCACACATATACTACGCCATGCGCCACGCTAATCCAGATGATGCTTGCTGAGAGATCCTCAAATGGCAAGCAATGCCCAAAACCAGGCCCATCTCTTTATTTCAAAAAATGTATGACCAGCCAGCAGAACAAGAAGAATACAACGACTCCAGCCCAGAAGATCCACTTGTCCTGCTTCGCTCTTCGCTCGACCATTCGGATAGTATCACCGCTGATGCCCAACGTGTTGGCCACACTGTACAAGCGCCTTTGGGTGCCCTTCAGCATTTCGCGTTGCTGTCCTAGATCGCCCAGCACCGCTCTCCCTCGGTCGAGGAACTCATCCAATTGTTCCGACGTCTTATTGAAGAAGGTATTCTCGCGCAGCACATGCCCTTCGCGATCATAGTCTCCACCCTGCGGCGCACCGGCAGAGTATGGGTTGGGCCGGTACGGAGCGGAAGGATCGTAGGGTTGAGAGGGAGCGAACGGCGAATGCTGTGCGGCGGCGCTGAGGTTGGGCTGCGCGTAGGGGTTCTCGGGCGTGGCTGCGTGATGTGGGCGGCGACCTAGCAGTTCTGTGCGCGCTTCTGTTGTTTGCTACGACTCGGGTCAGCAAGATCGCCCTCGTGGCCTGGTATGACAGCCTGCAGGCACGTCATCAGATTGTTGCTAAAACGTACAATATCCTCATTCGCACTCTTTATCCTCTTGAAGCTGCTGCGATACTCTTCAAGCTCGCCCCTGAAGTTCTTCAATCTTTCAAATGCCTTTTCTTGCTTCGTCTTTACAGGTTCCTGCTTCGCAAGCTTGCCGTACTCGTCGACAGTCCGCGAAAATGATGTGAGAGAGGCATTGAGTTGGGCTTGTAGGTGCGGCGAGGGCGATGCAGAGTCGGCAAACTGGTCTAGGTCCTTGCGTATGGAGGTCGACTGCCGTAGCGCAGAGTTGAATAGAGCATTCTGTTTGCATCATGAGTTCGGCCCAAACAAAGCGTAGGCGGGTGAAACAAACCATATTGACACGCGACACGCGTTTTGACGGGGCAGTTTGGAGTCAATGTGTGAGTATTAAATTGAGCCGTATGCTTCGGTATACTGAGATACGTTCTGGCAGCCTTGTAGGCAACGTTCTCTGTACTTGACACATTGCATCATCGCGAGTTCGAAGTTCGGTGAATTGCCAAGTCGCGCTAGCCAATCGGAGCTTGGACCTAACCTCACTCGCATGTTCCATCCAAGATTGTTACTCGATTTGAAGAAAGACGTATTGGCAGCACATATACTACTTCATGGTATCCTAATAGCAGCATGATGCGTGTGTGTCTTTCATGTCATTCTATATGATAATAGAATGAACACCTTTACACAAAAGATGTTGCAGGTGGCAAGAAGAGCTACCTCACCCACACTACCTCAAGTGCAACCTTGATAGCATAAGGACATTCGTCTGCCATGCTAGTACGACGAACCCTACCCTGGGAAACATGACAACACGGGTTAGGAAGCAGATCCACACTCGAGTCGCTTGGAGGCATCTAAAAAACTAATACAATCAATTACAAACATCAATTACGCTCGTGGCTATCATCACCCCGGGGCTAAATGATAGGAAATGTATAGTAAGAGCTACCTAGCTTCGAAGTTTCCTGACTATATCCAAAGCAAAAGAGATATGTTTCGGATGACTGTCAACCCAGTTGCGTTCACGACAACAGTGCTTCAGCTACGCAGGGTGAGCCCCAATGGAAATCGGGAAACAACTAGACTACATCAATTGAGAACGCTGTTTCTCGAAACTTTTCGTTGTTCAGACTCTACTTAAAACATACACTGGCATACCATGAACCTAGGAAACCAGCTTTTTTGACACTCAACAAGAGACTTTACGCTATACGGGCTATGTAAAAGTATTTCTCTCCTCTCGTAATATCTGAATCAGCTTCTCCATCTAAAAGCCCCCTGGTTTCACTCGAGGACTATCATACATCAGCGAACCGGGCTCAACCTCAGCAAACGCCCACTCATCTTTCACTCGCTAGATTTGCACCCAGAGTGCAGTCACGACCTACGACCTACTCTCACTTATCGACGCTGGGACCTTCCCGGGTAACGAAAGAGCACGTCATTGGCCCGGTGCAATCCCGAGTCTCTTTCAGCGAGCAGGCGCGCCCGACCACGGAGTCGCAAGCACCCCGCCCTCTATAAGAACCCCTCCTACCTAGCCAATTCCTCTTCCTCCACAACTCACTTTTGTACTACCACTACCATCTCCACTCATCTCTCACAACACCTACGCCTCATCAGTCCACTTCAACTCTACAACACACTACCTCCAACCGGTCACCAAGACCTAGATCTCACGATGCTTCTCAAGAACCTCACCACCGTCCTCTTTGTCATGGCCATGTTCCTCGGCCTCGCACTCGCCAAAGACAAGAACAAGGATCCCAAGCACGATCCCAACTGCGGCGCTCCGTTCTGTGCCCGCGGAGCACTGTCCAAGATCGAGAAGGCTAAGCGTGAGCAAGCCCATCTCGCTCGCCGAGTCCTGGATAAGGTCCCCGAGGAGCCAGGCCATGGAGCTGCTGGTACGGGTACTCACGGCTACTAGGTGGCATTTCAGTGAGTGACACACGAGCATTGGAAGTATGAGTAAATGCTGATCTCTTTTTTTTTTACAGCGAGCCCGGTGACACTATGACGGCATAGACACCTTTCCGGGACATTTGTCCTAGTCGGCGGCAACATGGCGAACGGTCATCTCTTTACTTCCATGAGTCAAGGAAGGAACGGTCATCTTCTCGAAGTCAGTGTGGTCACTCATGCTGATGGAACATCGCAACGGAACAACCATCTTAGAGACGGGTATTAGATTTCTTCTGGGTGTTTCGGGAAAGGTTTCATATCATGATGAATGCTATGGGCATCGCTCTCTGTAAGAAATGAAATACATGTATCAAAAACTGCCTGTCGATATCTCGTGTCCTCATATGCCTGTGAGAAGTAATCGAAAGGTACTGACGATAGATATCCGCAACAATCATCACCGCCCTGTACTTAGTCCAAGATAGCGGTCAGTTCACGGCTTCACGCTTATCCTTAATCTACCCAAACGTTCGCCGCAAAGGCAACCAAAATCTCATGATAACGACGTAGCTCTCATTGCTCAAGGACCATGGGTAATAACAGAACAGCCAAGCTCTCGACAAAACTACAGCCCACTCCGCAAGTGCTCTCGTTTAGTATCGATCCTATGCATACAACTCCACTCATCCAGAAACAGCTCCTGCACTAGGTTACTCCTTCCGAACCACTTCTCGCCCAGCCCGGCGCCGGGCAAATCTACATCCAGCGTGAAAGCCCTCGCACTCCCACCAGCCGCGCCATACTGCTCAAAGTGGCTCAGCGAAGTAATCGCCCACACCATCTCCTCGTCATGGCGATAGTGCTCTTTGAGCCGCGCGCGCCTGATGTCCTTGCGCATCTCGGCTTCGGCCGTGTGCCAGGGAAGCGGGTAGTCAGCCGGCAAGAGTTTCTCGCCCTTCCTCAGCCGCGCGTTGTTCTCCTGTATGCGCTTCGTCGTCTGAATCTGCCATGTCTCGCGTAGAATCTGGAGTCTCTCGTGTTCGCGGAAGAATAGATGGAGCATCTCGCGCCACATGAAGCGGATCTCGCGCGCTGCCGTGTCGATGCTAAGACCAGGCAGCGCCGTGTCGTTGACCAGTGATCCACCAATGGTAATGGTGTAATTGGGCATCTCAGGCTTCCACCCGTTGACGTTCTCCTCCCATCTACACATCACGTCCTGGAACCACTTCTGTCCTTTCTTACCGTGGCCGTCGCATACGGTTTCCATCGCTCGGTGATCTCTGTACCACGCTATGTCTTCCTCACTGCGTTTGCCTAGCCGGTCGAATGTGACGGGCACTTCGGGCCTCTTGCTCTTCCCTCCCAGGTTGTACTTCTCAAGTTGGAAGTCGATGTGCACATCTTGCAAGAAGTATTTCGCAAACGCGTATTCGGCGCAGGCGCGGAGAGGCGACGAGATGCGCCGGCAGGCTAGCCAGAGATGCGCGAGGTCGGTGTGGTAGCGGAAGATGTTGATCCAGACTTCGGGAGGTAGCGCTCGGCAGCGAGGTTGCCAACGGGGATGTGTAGCAGGCTGGAGAGGTTTCGTCGCCATCGTGGGACTCTGGATGGTCCGAATTCTACATGGTGTATGGGGAGCTGCTGGAGTGACTGTTGAGACAGACATCTGTGACAGGTGCGGAGCCTGGCCCGCGGGCGAGTCGAGGCGCATGATGTAATCAGGATTCATGACTCGTTGAGATTCAACTCACTGCCTGCTTCACGACGGTGACTTGCCCATTGTGTATACCACGAGTTCATTGTGACCTCAACTTTCAAATCCATGTGCAATGTCTTTTGTAACAATTTACGACGGAGCCAGAGTGTCTTTGATTAAAACCACGACGAATGACCTCAAATCTTCAGTAGATGCTACCTGTCATAGATGATAACCATGTCATAAACATTCCGCCATCCAGGATCCCACATCCCGAAAAACGCCTCTAGAAATGCATACATTCCCATTCAAGATAATGACCGACCACCATACGCTAAGCGGTCCAACCCAACACATAAGGTTACCCTAGAAACTCCGAAACGAATGATTGTTGTGCTGCTAAATGGTCCCAGAAGACAAAATATACAAAACCAATGTGGGGGACCAATTAGGGGGGTATACGGAAATAAGGAGAACAAAAGTGTCAAAAAATGACACAGTGGCAACAACAACGGGCGAACGAACGAACGAACGGCTCGCTAAATCCAAATCTGCTAATCCAAAATGCCACGCACACACAAGTCTAGCTTCTAAACGCTATCAGGGCTGTCGGGGTTGCAGCCAAATATCCCCTCCCTCTCCTCTCTCCCACTTCTTCCATGCGATCTCATATGCTTCTTCAAGGTCTCGGACCCAGCGCTTGGTGTCAAATAGTGGGCTTGTCCATCGTGATTCGTAGAGCATCTTGCGCAGTTCACTCAATCTCCCGCTCGCCTGATGGCCGCGGTAGACACAATCGCTGGCTAGTCGTACAGCCATCTCTTCGTATTCGTCGTCATTGCCGGCGATCAGTTCCTTCGCTGCTTGCACGCCCTCCGGGGACTTCGGTAGTGCGCCCTTGAGAATGGATGCGGCCATGCGAGAGCACATCTTGTACTTGTAGCGCGGCAAAGTAAGTAGAGGGGTTCCAGACCAAAGGACGTCGGCGGCTGTTGTATGTGCATTGCACTCAGGCGTATCAAGGAAGAGATCGCAGACGCGGGCTCGGGAAATATGCTGGTGCTTCTGTGCCACGTCGGTGAACATGATACGGTTCGCTACATCTTTACCAGCCCACATGTAGGCTGTCTGTTTGAGGTTGGTCTCTCCAAGATCTGGGAAGCGAAGCAGCCATAGAATGGCTTTCGGCAGGCGCTGCAGGATGCGCAACCAGGTACGGAAGGTTGTTGGTTCGATCTGCCAGTGGTCAGCAAGAGTCTTCACAAGGATCGCTATGACCTTACCTTATACAGTTGGTTGAAGTTGCCAAGAATAATCGCATCGTCTGGGAGGTTTGGGAAAATTTCTTTGCGCATCTCCCATCTCCGTTTCTGCTCCTCCTCCCAACTCGGTTGTCGCCCTTGTGAATCAGCACTGCTCTGTCGGTGATCGCAGCAGAAGAAAGTATCACGGCAAAAGACGATGTTCTCTCCGTAGACCCAATTGTCGTCTGAGCCGCCACTATTGTCGTCTACAAGGGCATCTTCCATGTCAATGTTACGGCGCCATTGGCGGAGAGTATCCGGAGGCACAGCAGTCTCGTCGGCGAGGAGATAGTCGCACCACTCAGCTCCAAGAGTACCAGCGAAGCCCATGAAAGCCATCTGAATGGGAGCTGCTCGTGCAGCGAATACCTCATTTCTTGCTCCTCTTGTATAGCCATTCAGATTGATCAGGACATGGATACCGTCGTTGATGATCTGGTTGACAAGCCGCTCTGCTGACCAGTTGCTGGTATCATAGAAGACAGGGGCTTCCCTTTCGATCTGCTTGCGATGCTCTGAGCCGTCACTAGCCGTTGTTGCGTAACAGAACGCCTTGACCCGTTTTGGGTTGTGAAGGCCAAAGACGGACTGCATCAGATGCGCCAACGGGTGGTTGTTGAAGTCTGACGACACATAGCCCACCTTGAGATACGGCTTTGGTGGCGCAGGTGGGTGGTAGACAGTCGAAGGTAGCCATGGAACCCTTAGTGTGGAGCAAGAGATGCGCAGACCATTGCGCTGGGAGATGAGGCGAATCTGCTTCGCTGACATCGGGCAGGTAAAGGTATGGAACGGAAGAACCGTGGGCGCGGCAGGTGCCGTCAAAGCCGCGGGTAGTTGGGGTCTCCTGTAGCTTCCAGAGGGTCGTTGCTTACCAGTCACGTATCGGTCTTGATACCACTGCCATGTCAACCGTCTAATAGCGCGTTCGACGAGACGGACCAAACGAGCACCCTCCCACTTCTGTCCCTTCCATTGTACTAGCACCGATGCTAGGCTATTCTGCTTCTCTTTGATGTCCTGTGCGTTGCCATCGAGAAGCACGAGGGGTCGAATGATGTCTTGAATGAAGTGGTCGTCCATAGTTCCCCGACCCCAATCTTCACCGTCGGCAAGTTGCTTCTCGACCAATTTCACCACTTTGTAAATCCAGCCAGAGGAGGATGCACCTGGGATTCTGGCGTCGAGGAGCATGCCATTCTCGTCGACATGCCATCGATCCCTCGTACCACGGTCCTCAGCAATGCCACCTCTTCCATTCCACCCGCACACCGAGTTGAGAGCATTGGCGAGCCCGCAGACAGCTTCGGCGAAATCTGGACTAGCCTTTACAGCCCTCTTGTAGTAGATAATCGCGTCGCTGATTCGTCCTTTGTCTTTGACAGCATTTGCAAGATTGGCAAGAGCGATGTCAAAACTTTGGTCACAGGCAACAGCTTGCTCATACATTTGAATTGCGACATCCAATTGACCGATATCCTTCAAAAGGCTGCCAAGGTTGGTGTATAGGTGTGCGTGCCGTTTGTCTAACTGCAAGCCATAGTAGTAATACGCAAGTGCAAGTGCTACGCCACTTCCCGGAACTAAACCGGGAATCTGCGGGTGATGAACAAGATTCGACGCAGGGATAGGCTTCGAAGGTGCAGATTGTTGTACGCTGGCGAGCAGGATGCCGACATTGTTCGCTGTAGATGGGCTTGGTTGTAAGGAGAGCGAAAGGTAATAAAGCGCCAGAATTTCTCTGACTCCATAGCTGCTTTGGTATACCGTGGCCTTTGGCGAATTGTTAGCCATACCGTCCTGAAATATCTTCGCAAGCGACAGCAATGAATTGCTCGTCGTAGATATGGCGGCTTTTCGGGCCATCCCTTCGCTGGGGACGTGTCTGAGACCTGGTAACTGGCCATGAGATGGAAAGCACAACTGTGCAGTCTTCGTTGCTGAATCCGGAGGAAGTAGAATAGGATCTGACGATGGAGCAACACGATGTCCACCTGGTGAGCGCTCCGATCCGTCATACCCGACAACAGCCAGGATACGTTTAATGAGACCATGAATTCCATTAGCCTGGGGTCCGGCTCCGATTAGGACAGCATTCTCGAAAGCCTTCGCAGCACCGGCGTTATTGCCCAGAGCATAAAGCATGTTGCCTTTGGCGTGAACCAAGGCAAGTATGCGTCCGTTGTCGCAGCCTGGAATGGCATACCCACTCGAACCGAAACCCGGCTGATCTGAGCCAGGAAGCTCATCAAGGTCCTTGAAGATCGACTCGTTCTCTCCTTCAAATTCGAACATGGGCCGATCCGAGGTCTCTGACAGATTTGGTGACTCGCTCACGGTCGAGGTTGAGCGTACACTGTCGACTTCGAGGGTCTTCAGCGCGTCTGCCTTTTTGACAAATCTCAGATGACGTTCCACCTCTTCAATGACCTGAACAGCTTCCCGGCCTCTGTGGTCACTACACAGCAGCCCGATTAGGTGCTCTACAGCTTCAAAGTAGCTAGGACGAAGTCTGACTGCCTGTCTCCAGAAACTCTCAGCATCGCGCTTTTGCTGGAGGGCAAGGAGAGTAGCTGCAAGGTTGGATATTGCTTCGACATGACTATTAAATAGGTTAGCATGGCGCAAATATCTAGTCAAAGAATCCAACTCACTCTCTATCCAACGTCAGTATATGTTTGTACCAACCTTGGGCCTTTTGGTAGTCGCCCAAAGCATATGCAAGGCAACCGCCTAGAAGGATACCATCTATCCAATTCCATTTACTCTCGTCGCAATGTTTGGTGATGGCTTCTAATGCTAATGCAGCCGTCATGCTCGGAGGTACATCATGGCGAAGACCTTGATTTGCGTTGGCAATAGAACCGGACATCCGTCGCAATGTACGAGCAGGCTCCATGCCTGATACTTGGGGTACCATGGGGTGTTGCGGTGCAATGTGTTGCCACGGCTGTCGAGTCTCTGCTCCTCCCATCGACCAGCTGGAAGAGGAGCGAGAATGGAACATGGGAGGTCTCCGGGGAGTCGCATCGAGTCCCGGCTGAGAAGCATAGGGGTTGATGGATGGAAAAGAGACGCGTCGCTCTAACGAAGGTGGCTTGCTACTTGACGAACTTGGGAAATTCGCTCCAGATTGCCGTGGCGGCTTTGGGTAAATATGCGGTCTTGATGATGTTCGTCCATGGGCGTTGTGTGAATGCGACTTCCTCGTTGATTGTAAATATCTGAGAAGGTCAACATAGACTGTGTGGGCCCACGCGAACACATGTTCCCTGGATTGGCCATTGATCGATTGTGGCCCGTACTCGGCGAGTGGAGAAGTGGAATTGTGCTCCGGCAGTGGGGTAGATTGGCCGGAGTGGAGGAAGTCTTGACGTTGAGTAGGCGGTGCGGGCAAAGATTGATTCTGGTAGTCTAGTGCGAAGTTTGATTGTAGCTGGGGGTATGGCGAGAAGTCTACAGGTGGTCCTCCTACATGATTGAAGGTATTTGGTCCTTGATTTAGCAGGTGATTTGGTTGATAGTTGGAACCGCTGGGTACAGAGTTGTTGTGGTAAGGGGTGTATCCAAGGAATGGGTTGTGTTGTGGATGGTTCCAGTTGTGACTATGGTGATGTAAAAACCGGGGGTCTCGCATAGCAGCAGGGCGATATGGGATGTAGGTGCCGTCATGCCAGTAGGGCCCGAACGGGCCTTGATCATTCGAGACTGTAGGTCCTAGCGGTGATTGTAGTGGTGGTCCCATGGGCCCAGAGAATGTTTGGCCGTACATTTGATAGGGTAGCAGGGGTTGCAGTGGTGGTATTTGATTTAGCATAGAGTCAATCTGGGGTAGGTGCTGTGCTGTCCGTCCTGAACCCGTCTCGAAATAGAGACTCGGGCTCCAATCCGATTGTGCATTCTGGTTTGTATAGCCCATCCCACTGTTGAGGCCAGGCGACCGCAGGGGGAGGTCTTGCTTGAGACCGTAGGGCATGTTGGACTCGGCTGTCACTGGCAGGAGGATGTGTTTTGTAGCATGAGGTTCGCCATTCTTCTCCACAGAGGTGCCATCGTAAGCAGCTGCCAGTATCCCGTTCGGCGTCTTACGGCGAAGCATGTGCTCTGGCGGTTTCGATCCTCGACCCGAGTCGGATGTCTGCGAGCCATACGAATTGTGTCTGGAGAGCGGGTGGGCGTAGCGCTGCGGCGCAGGGTGCTGGGCGAGATTACGCCCTTCGAAGGCGGGATTGCGGAGAAGCGAGGCGTTGGAGGGAGCGGATTGAAGGTTGTTGTAGGGTGCCGGCGTGGAGCGCAGGCGCGGCTGCGGTTGCGGGGGATATGGCCTGACCATAGCCATGGTTGGAGAGCCACCAGAGGAAGTCTGGGGCATGGGTAAAGCGGTCTACCACTACCACAGAAAGCCAAGCAGAAGTGGATTGGTCCTTCTCGTGCGGTTGATGGTGAGGGCAGTCGGTCAACGACGGCACCGCACAGCTTCACCAAGACCGGCTGGTGCCTATGCCTTCGCGGAATCGTCTCGCGTCTGCTACGACTGACATGTCGGGTTGGTCGTGGCTAAGGATGTTCAACACCGGGTGTCCCCGTGCTGGCGCGTCACCAGCAGAGACCCCGGCAGGCTGTGAATATCTTGTCCACGACTAGGGGCGAAGAGCAGGTTGGCGGTGGTGGCAGATTGGAAATGGCGAGGGTTTCGCGGGGTTCTAGCGTCCAGTGTTGAGGTCTGAGGCGGGACTCAGGCGTCAGCGGTGCGATAGATGGGCCGTCGGTCGTATCGACGCTATGTAAGGGCGGGAAGGTTTCAAGGCCGTGCTGGAATGCAGCGGTAGGGCTTCTTCGCACACGCCTAGGCGGCTGCCTTGCGCGGTGGTGTTGCGGGACGGGGATTCCTGTGCGCTGAGGATGCGCAGCGGCGGGTTTGGTGGACAGGATAAGCGTGTGGTACGGGGTGTGCAACGGGGCGCAGCAGCGGACCGCTCACGTCGTCTCTGCAGATATGCTGCAAGCACCCGGGGGTGTTGCTGTCGCTGTCGCTGTCGTCGCTGAAGCTGAACCAGAGAAGGTCAGGATCAGGATTAGGGCCAGGACAGGATATGATAGGACTCAGCATACGCGCGGCGCTGCCTGCTTTTCCCTCACGGATAGGCGGGCACGAGAAGGATGACGAGGTGCAGTGCGGCGGAGAGTGGCAGCGGCGGCCTATCCCCTTTGGTAGGCCGTCGTAGTGGTTTGAGTGGTGGCTTGGACGGATCCCTGCCCTGCTGCAGCAGCAAGACGACGCCCTCTATGTATCTACTACTAGTTGTCTGGGGGGGTGGAGGAGAGGGGACGCTGCTGCTGATCGAGGGCGCTACGGCGACAAGCTTCAGACAGGCAACAAGAAAAGAAACTACACTACTGCCACTACTACTAATACTAATACTAGTCGATTGATCGATCTGCGCGAATATATCAATATCGACAGCTTGGTCTGTCTGCATGCATGCATGCATGGCTACACCAGGGCGTGGAGTGGAAACTCTGGTCCAGCCGCGAGAGTCGGCGGCTTGCATACACACCCTCGTCCTCCCAACGTTCATCATGGCTGCAACGCCAATCACGCCCTCGCCCTCGTCCACAACGCCTTCAATGCGGGTGCCGCAATATCCACCGCCATGCACCCGCCAGCCCGTGTCGCCCTTCTTTGTTGCCTTTTGTGTGGACCAGCCTGTCCACTTGCCCATTCACATTGCCCGTCCTTTGCAGTGGGCATGTCCGAGGTCATGGCTATACGGGCATTGGCTCTAATTTTGGGGGCGTCTATAATAACACCACCCTTGGCTGGGGCACGCTGTTTAGCCTAGATTGCGACGCACTCCGCCAAGCACAGTCAGCAATGTCACTCCCCCAATGCAGTGTTCCATGTCCACTGCTAGGTATTGGCTTCGTCGATCAAGTGAGAAGATCAATATAAAGCGGGGACCGAACATGCTGCCCTGTGCCACAGCGACCTGTCGTGTCTTCACATGACGTCTACGTCTACACATGCTGTCCTCGACACACGTTGTATGTTGACCTCGAATATGGACCGCTGAAGCCAAACCAAAGGCAAGACTACCGCGGTGAGTAATGGGTCGTTCCTCTTCTTCACACCAAAATAGGCCTATACTACAGTCCAGTCCGAAGATAGGAAGTAAGGGCCAGAGTGTTGGTGAAGTGAATGTCACGACTATGAAACAACCAAGCCTATAAATCGACTAAAACTGGACTCCGTAAGCCTTGCCGCAGGGTACATCATCCATCATCCACACCTACGCCGCAACGAGCGACCATGTGTCTGACGTGTCTACACAGCGTGGACCTATTCCAGGAACAGAGCACAAAGAGACAAAGCCCCGTCCCCTGTCCCCTGGTAATCCTCGAAACTGTGGTAAGATTAATTACCAAAAGAAAGCAACTCCATCTTCTGCTCATTGTTCGACGCATGAGTCGCTGTTCTTGACCTAGCCTCAGGTGCTTGCAAGCCTAGGTTGCTCCAACATAGCAACCTCGTAGTAGCTTCAAGGTATCCAGGCCGACCATCTCGAGTCGGGCACGAGTGAGCGTGTCGTGCTGTGGTGATGTGGTAGAGTGTAGTATAGAAAGTTTGCAGCTCCCGAAAATTTGATGTAGTAAACCCGCGCTTAGTCATCCCGCGGTCCTACTTTCCACCGCAGCCCGGGGTGTTGCTGTCAATGTGGCTTTACGGAACGCGACAATAAGTCCACTTTGAGATTCCCACGGTGCCTTCACGCCTTTGTTTAGGAGAGTTCTCTCACACGTTGTCCTCGCTCCGGCAACTAGGGACACTCACTTCACTAACAATCAAAATCTTTTCTTTCCTTCACTTGCACCATGAGCGAACAAGGTCCTCCCCAAGGCGGGCCCCCTCAGGGAATTCCCATCCCAATGGGACCCAACGGCGAACGGCCAACACCCGAGCAAATACGGCAAATTCAACAGCAGCTCGCCGCCGAAGCAGAAAAGCACGGCATCTCGGTTCAAGAATACGTCCAACGGCTCAGAGAACAAGCCATGGCCCAGCAACAGGCGCAAATGCAGGCGCAACAACAGGCACAGCAGCAGCAGCAGGCACAGCCAATTCAACCAGGCCCGCCAAAACCAGAAGCGCTTGCGGTAGCAAACTGGCTGAAGACGCAGGACCTGAAGCCACGGACCGTGGTACACGATGAAAAGCGAAAGGACATGTTCAGAGGTACGCGCCATAGTAATCTACAATAAGACTTACTTCTAATATATCTACAGTGAAGCGAGCAATCCGCGCGCTCCAGTCCCCGGCCTACCAAAAGGCCCGCTCAAAGAACCCCCTCCTCCCCGAAGTTACCGACCGCCCCTCCGCCGAGAACACTTTCAAGCTTCTCCCACTGTCCCTCCTCGCGCTCCGAGTCACCAAGGTCGACGAAGACGCCCATGAAGGCCACAACCACGCCAAGCCCAAGCGCGTCAAGGGCCTGTGGACCGTCAAGATCGAGCAGCACCAGGAGGCCAACGATGACTGCTACTACATCTGGCTGTACGAGGGGTCGCAGTGGAAGCAGAAGCTGTATGCGGTGGGCGCGCTGATTGGCATCATGGCGGTTGTGCTCTTCCCTCTGTGGCCGCTGATGCTGAGGCAGGGTGTCTGGTATCTCAGTATGGGCATGCTGGGTCTGATCGGACTGTTCTTCGCCATGGCAATCGTTCGTCTGATCATCTTCATCCTCACCATCTTCACGATACCGCCCGGTTTCTGGCTATACCCCAACCTCTTCGAGGATGTGGGCTTCTTCGACTCATTCCGGCCAGTATGGGCGTGGCAGGAGGTGAGTTTACTTTCTTTTTACCCCTTACTGCGCTTTTCTAACAACGAGCAGACGCCCGAGGACATTAAGAACAAAAAAGCCGCCAAGAAAGAGAAGAAGGCTGCCAAAGCAGCCGCTAAGGCCGCCGCCAACGGTAGACCCATCAAGAGCAAGAAGGGCGCCCTTGAGGCGGCACCTGTGTCATCTCCTAGTGCGCCCGAGGCAGAAGAGGTCGATGAGGCTCCCCAGCCCACTGGAGCAGAAACATCACCAGCAGCGGAAGGTCTCGCACAACGACCGCCGCGAGCTATAGTAGAAGAAGTAGACGACGAGTAGTTGTAGTTAGTCAGTAGACGGCAAGGGTTATTGGTTTGGGCTGGTATGATATGGTATGGTACGGTATGGTTTCAGGGGTTTCCTCTTCCATCGCATGGGTTAGCTGGTGTATCGGCGTCGACAGTCAGTCTCGGGCCGCCTTATATCGGTTCATGCTTTTTCTTTGGCAGCAGTCTTTTCTTCTGCGCAATGCATATATTCTCGCTGCATTGTCTTGCCGCATATCTTGTCTCCGTCGTCGCTTGATCTGGCCCGTGTATATGGCCGTGAATTTTGTTTCTCTACTGCCTGCCTATGCGAAGAAGTGTTATAAGGCAGAAGAGAGTGATAACGGTACAACAAGCTGCGTGTATGTACACCTAGGTAGGGACATCAAGGTTACTGCTACCAACTCCCACTTGTTTCGACATAATTAATATGACAATATACAACATATACACCGCGAAATGTTTTCTTATCTATCGTGCTTCAAAGTTTACAAGCAGTACTTTTCATCTCGCAGTATTATTCCTCGTGTCTAAAAATTACTTTCCTATTTTGTCTTGCCTTTTAGGTCTATCATAGTATTACATCAACCAACAAGAACCAGCGTTTTTGTACAAACTTCTGTTACGCTTTTGTGTGTAATTACTGGTAGAGGGGTTACTGGTTTTTGAGTAGCTTACTTTCTGTGTGTAATACCTGTTCGCGATGGCTATATTAAAATCATATAGTATTACGTTACTTGCTCTACTCTACCTGGGAAAACAAAAAAAGATACATGAAATATAGAAAATTCAAAGGAGCCTATGGACCTAGAATTACCTGCTGAGCTATCGCCAGTCTGTATAAAGACTTCTTTCGATTACATCGCAGTCTTTTATGACAAGCGCGCTGCTCTGAGTCGGACGGTTCACCGAACCATGGTATCACATCTCAACCCAATGCAGTACCGCAGTTGTATCTAAGAATTCGAATATATCTACCAACGCAAGAAGTCACTCGCTCTCAATATGTATATGAAGGCTTCTGCTCCACAGTCTCAATCTCCACAAACTGACAAGTCCACTCTCCACCACATTCCGCCGCCCGTTCACCAGAACAATCTAAGAGGAGTTCCAGAACAAATCTACCAAACCATGCCGTCAAATTCCGCCCCACCCAGGATATCTAATACCCGCCCAGAAGCCACCCAGCCCACACTAGTCCTACACACGGCTGTAGACTACACAGAAGCGCAAGGCGTCGGCATCGGCATCATCCAACGCGCCCAACGCGCCCAATGCGCAACGACAAGCACACCCAAGCCCTCTCTACTCCGTCCCTCGGAGCATAAATACAGTATCAAAGCCGAGGACTTCGCGGCCCAGAATGTCGAGACGCGAGACCGAGCGCTGATGCTCGCACTGCTGCATGCCCTGGGTCTAGCCCACTCTACGCTCAAGCAGCGTGCCAGTCTGCCAAAGACTGTCCAGCTGCACCGCGTCTCGGTCCTTTGCACTTCGCTGACTATCGTGCAACTCGTCCAACACCACATTACGCATGCCCCCGAGAGTCTGGAAGACGTGGCATGTGCAAAAGACTGCGTGGTGATCCAGCGGGTCGTGGAAAAAGTGCGCAAGTTGTCGCGACGTGGTATTGAAGTCTCGATAGGTGTGTCTAGTAGTGAGGACGGGATAGGCGAGATGGCACGACCGTTGACGTGGCGAACGACTAGGAGACTGCCGTGGCAGCGGGTGAGGATATTGGCGAGGCAGAAGGGTCGTCAAGCTTGTCGGAGTCGCTGTCGGCAGCTGAAAAGTGAGAGACTGATGGAAAGAGAGCAGTGTACACTAGGAGACGAAGTAGCTATACAAAGGAGGATGGAAAGTCTTAGTCTGAGGGAATTACCTTCCGAGAGTGTAAGCATGCCGACCCTGTCAGCTGTCGTTGAGTAGAGTGCAGATGAGGGAGCTGTCGAAGCATACGGAACCCGACACAACAATCACTAGGTCGTGTGATTTGAGTCAATTTCTACCTATAGTCATGTTTCAAATGGAAAGAGTAAATCGTAGGTTGTTTGAATTTGTGATTGCTTCTGAAAAGTGAAGAATAGACACAGCTTCTCTGAGTGTCTCTCATCCCCATTCATTTGAGATTCCCAACGCCGGACGATGCAATATGCTCCCCTTCATTTGACGCTCATCGAACAGCATGCCTCGTAAAATCATGGCGAGTCGCCTCGAAAATGCAACTTTGAGGAAAGTGCTATTCCGCCGACGCAGAAGGCTGGCCGCTCGCATTGCCATGTTCTACGCCTTCTCGGCTGACGGTGGGATTGAGTCCCGAGTGTATCACTGGAGATTGTGTGATGTGGCTGGTGGGGTTCGCGTCCGCCAGTTGACGTTCTGTTGTCAAGTTAGTTTTGCTCACGAGTATCCCAGACAGGACGTACCCAGTTCGCGTATCCTCAGCTTCAGCATCTGGTTCTCGCGCGTCAAGTTCTGCGTCTCGGCTTGGTAGAAGGCGCTCTCGTCTCGGCTCGTCGCGGGACCGGGTAGTAGGTCATGAAGATCTGCATGTCCCCCAGCTTGACCCGAGGTGGGTCTGAGAGCTGGCGAGCCCACCTGACTGGCGTGCCGCGAGCGATCTGCAAAGGAGGACTGGCGGCTGATGCTTCCAAAACTGAAGGGCGAGCGGGAGCGCGGTTGTGCGCCGGTGGGCACAGGTGAAATGATGGCGTGTGGCGCGGGTATTGGCTGCGAATGCGAGTGGGGAATGGACATGGACATGGAGTGCTCAGAGGTAGGGGTGCTGTCGTCGACAGCAGACGAAGAGGGCTGTTGGCTGGTCTGCAGCGTGACGATCTGGGCTTGCTGCTGGCGGATCATGCTGAGAAGTCGGTTCACCTGGCCTTCCTGCTCGGACTCCAGCTCCTGATGCAGCTCTCCCAGGCTGGGGGTGCGCTCATGGTGCGGGCTATGCGGCCATGGAGCCCTGCTACGGTTCGACGGGCTCTGCTGCATCTCTCCAGGCGCTGGAAGGGCGGGGTCGTTGAAATTGAGGTTCATGCGGATGCTGGAGCGGCGGCGGGCTCGCTCGACGTCTCTCCGCATGCTACCGGACGAGGGTCGGCGGCTGTCTTCGTTCTGGATGCCGGCATTCATGACTGCTGTGGCGGCGAGCGAGTGCGGCGAGGTGGCTGCCATGGTGCGAGAGGCCGAGGGGGACTGGTTGCGAGAGGAGCCGTTAGGGGGCGACGTGTGCGGCGAGGGCGGAAGGGTATTGAGGTCTGGTGGCATGGCGGGCGGTGGTGGTGAGATGTAATGATAGTCGCTCAGTCCAAAGATGTCCGCATGTGGTGAGGGCCCGTCATGGTGGGGTGATTTAGCGGGGCAAGTGACCTTGGGCACGACTAATGCAAGGTACGGCAAGCAGCAGCCGGGTCGGTCGATTTGCGCGCAACCGTTTGCCATTTCATTTCATTTTACCACTACTACAGTCCAGGACGGGGACCCTCTCGCGCTCCAATAAAGTCTCGCCGCAGCAAACACCCCGCCTGATCACAATCAAGACAGGCTATCCTAGTACGCGGCCTGGACAGACCCCCCTCCCGATCGATAGGCGCCTGCAGCTCGCCGGCCTGGGTCACACTGGACTGAGACCCGTACGAGACGCGACGGGATGGGCCCTGTGTCTCTGCTCCGCGCTGCGCCTTTCAGCCATTGTGCTTCTCTGGGAGCTGTACGAGCGCGTGCTTTGTCGGCCATGGGGTCGCAAAAGAGGCCACGTTGGATGGTGGTTGCACGGGGTTTTGCACAGCTCGTGCAACTCAACTCGGAGAAATCAATCAGCAATGCACCCCCCAACCCCCAACCCGGGCGGAGACCTGTCGCCGATCGACCTGCAGCTGCCGGCATCCATCACGCCTCATTTCACGCCTAGCCTAGGGAATAGACTCGTCAGGCGCTGGGTTGGGTCGGCATGGGTCGAGTCGAGTCACATTTGCGCCGTCTCAAGTGCTGCGGAGTCTCTACTTTTCCTTCACCACCGAAGCCACGTCCGGCCCACTTACTCGAGCCCAAGCAATCTCCTTCAGAGCAGTGGGCGTTGGGTCCTTTATGTAGCCAAAACGGCAGTGCTCAACGACTATCGATGGCGGGCCCGACCATCCGCAGCTTTGGCGCGTTTGGGAGAGGCCAGAACTGGGCCTAGTGGGCGCCGCCATCGCCTTTTCTCTCCAAACTGGGCCGCCATGCTGCCCCTGCGACATGCCCACCACTCAACGCGAGGGCCTTAGGAGGCGCTCCCCTGCAAATCACCGTGATTACAGAATTAGACAACGGCAGCTAACTAACGCACGCCAGCTTTCTCCTCACACTGACAAACTTCTGCCAACGTCGACGACGCGTTTCACCTGCTGCTTCTTTTTTGCTGCTGCCACCGTATCTGCTGCGCATCTGCTTCGCCAGGGGCAATTGTCCTGTCCTCTCGTTTGATATTCGTTTCTGCTTCTGTTATACCACAACGGCCTATACTACGCTCCTTCAACCGTTCATTGTAGCAGTTCCCACCTCTTTGCCGACGCATTGATCCTCTACCATACTCGACAGTTGATACCCCGGAAAATAACCCATCTTTGGATGTACTGGCGTTCACCCTCAAGAAGAGATTCCCCTTAGCCTCCCCAGTCACCATCCTACAGTCCACCGGCAGAAGCTCGAATTGCCGTGCGACCATTTGCACCACTTCGATTACCAGCCCCAGAGTACCGCGTGACCCAAACTTACGGCTTGCAACTTCCCCACGCTGCGCTGCTTTTGAGTAGCAGGACCACGCATGTCCGCGCTCTCCGCGCAAGTATACACAGATACAGCCACCATGGCCCCAGAGTCCTCGTCAACATCTCGATGGCGCTTCAATCGCTCCACCACGAACCTTCTCGAAGTCTCTTCTCGCCAAGCGCCAACCAATCCAATCCCTCGAGCGAATACACCTGCGCCGAAGCTTGAGCGACCCCCCTCCAAGATGTCCTTGTTCAGTCTCTTCAGTCGGCCGAAGGTGGAAAGGGCGCGAGGTCACACCTCCGAGGTTGGCATTGCGGTACCAATGCGCCCACAGACGCCTCCAAGAGCTGCCTCGCCAGTATCAGCTCCAAAGTCTTCCCTCAGGCTAAACCCCTCCCCGCCTGCTCAACAGACGATCCGATCACGATCGAGTCAAATGTTCCGCCCCATGTCCATGCGCCCTACACCTACACCGACACCTTCGCAAAGGGAATTTGGAAGTTGGGACCCACCTCCCCTATTTCAAGCATTCCCGCAATCCCTCAAACATGCCACCCTACAAGCATGTGTGTTCCCTCCTGAAGTCTTGATGCGGACGCAGAGCCAAAGACAACACGCTGAACTGCTACGAGACCGCATGGACAGCGCTCGCGACCTGTCTACTATAGCGGAGAACGACTCATTGGAGAAGACGCATAAGCGTCTGATTTCAAACTCGGCTCTGAACCCGCCGACACCCGAGCTCGTGAACAAGATCTACATGCTCGTCACGGCAGGCTTCGTCCTGCAATATGGCGGCGACGGTTCCTTCGACCGATTGCCGGAGAAGGTTCTCAAGCTTGGTAAAGATTCAGCGGCCTTTGCATGCGACCTGATACCTGGCAAGCATTGGGTCTTGCAAATTTCGAGCCGTGCTCATGATGACGGCACGGTTGAACCCGAGCCTAAGCACAATCTTCTCTCACGACTACGGTCACAGAATGCAACTACGAAGAAATCGGCCACCAATTTCTTACTGGTACTGGAAAGTGCAGAGGAGATGGACGAATGGATGACTACGGTGCGGAAAGAGATTGACAACATGGGTGGCATGAAAGTAAAGGAAGATGCTACCAGGGCATCGTCCTCTACTGACGGATCCACGGAAAAGAAGTCCACAGACACGGCTAGCCACCGATATCTAGTGCATCGCGATCCGAACGTCATCACCAAGGTTGCTCCTCCTATTGACTCGCCGCCTCAGTCGCAGTACTCGGCCTCCCCTAGGATTGTCACTTCAGACTGGGAAACAGACCGCAGCGTACGGACAGCGAGTATTGCCGAGTCTTCTAGCGGCCAATCTAGTCGACGAGACAATAATACCCGCCAGTCGGTTGATATGTCCTCGGTCGCATCAACCCCTGTGTCCCAACACCAGCTCCAACTAGACCAGCTCCGTGGACGATCTCGGTCTTCCTTCATGTCGACCACAACGGCCACGTCGGGTCCAGGCACACGCAATACATCGCGGGAACCTTCTCCAGCTCCACAGTCTCCTCTGAAAGAAAGCTTCTCACCGATCGGGGAAGCAGAGCCACTTCGAACCACCATGTCTCTCAAATCATTTCACATGAACCCCAGCAACAACGGCACTGCATCTCGCCGCAGATCGGTGCAGCCGTTGCCTGTAACCAATGAGAACCTCCTACCACCCATCCAGGTACCCATCAGTCATCCACGACACTCTTTCTATTCGCCTACATCACCAACAGTACCAGAGCTAGGCAAGCCCGGTGCTTTAGGGCCGGCAATGACCTCAAAGGTGTCAGTAGCTACGTCCCCCTTGAACGACAAAGAGAACACTGTGGCACATATCACCAGTTGTGCTCGATCGACAACTCCAAAACTACAAACCAACTTCGCGGGGGAACTTTCTATCACACCCGAAGGGCAGACTAGAGAAGACAGTCCGGTGAAATGTAATACTCGTAGCTACGGCTCTCCGCCTCGCAGAAACACCATCTCGCCACCGCCCAATGGACCGGCTCCTTTGCCTCCGCAGTCGGGCAAACGTCAATCAGTTTTTGGCACACCTGCTATGAGCAATCAATCCGCCGCCGCCTACTCCGCTTCTTCGCCCACCGCAAGAACCCAGCGCCGTCTGTCAGCAACACCGAAGCCTTTCTTTCGACCGTTTCCAATCCGTCCGCAAGCCCAACATAGTGATGCCGCTAGGATTGTCCCGAGGCGACAGTCCTCCCTTACGCCAACCTCAGCTCCTGCGCCTCTACCTCTAGGTATCAATGTGAGCAGGTCAGTCACTGCACCTGCAAGATCCCCTTCGGCAGCAGCAAACATGACACCTACATCACATCCGAATAACCTACACTTCGCTCCAAATACATTACGCCGCCCGAACTCGGTCATAATACGCTCCGATCCAGCGCCATTCCTTTCTTCGTCGCGACCTGTTCGCGCTATTCAATCAACACCGTCTTTCGTCCCAGGTAGAAGGGCTTCCAATGTCCCTACATCAGCACCGCGACAGTGGCAACCAGCACCGAGTATCGATACGCTCAGGCAACAAGCACTTGCGCACCAGGCTCAGGAGCATGCCCAGCAGAAGGCTGTTCTTCCCGGAGGAAGCATGCCAGCTATGGGTCTGCCGCCACGAGCACCACCACCAAACATGCCCCTCCCTCCTCCTCCACCTAGTATGCCGCTTCCAATGCCTCCACTGAGCATGCCACTCCCGACGCCACCACCGAACATGCCGCTACCTCCTCCGCCTCCGATGTCTACATCAAGAGGGGTGGCTGTATAGGTGCCGTGTATGACCACCTTCATTTCCTTTTCGTTTGCTTTTTCACTTGGCGTTCATCTGGACTCAATATCCCGGCTCTCCAACGGATCCACGGCTAGGGGACCATTACGCAGTCATGCCTATTTCCTACGTCTATTGTCAACCTGCACTCGCACGATACCAGCTTGCTTTGTATCTTTCCTTGTTTCACCCATGTACCATCATTACCATTACCTTTCTGCACATGTTCTTTTCCAATCTTGCTTTTGCAAGGGGTTTCTTTTTGCATCGGAGATGGGCCAAGGGGGCACCCCACTCACGTATGCAGGGGTATGTTTCACGTTTCGCTCGGGCAAGTGCGGAAGAGAAATTTGCGATATCCAGGCAAAGCAATGTGCCTTGTCATTGTCTTCATGGATTGGGAGACATGGGTATCATGATTAAAAGCTGCAATTTGTCAGCGCCTAAATTACAGGAGTAGCTTCACGCCCTAGTAGACCTCAAATATAAATATAATTATATTGTATAAGCCGAATGCATGATGGCATCGAAACATACTCGAGCGACTTTTGCGTGTACAAAGTAGCCTCTATGAACTATCCTATCAAAATAGCACTGTCTAACAACCTACAGCCTCTCACCGGCCCCTCACAATAGACCCCCTGAAATTCCTCTGCCACCTCTCCAAATCAAACACTCCCTCCTCTAATTCCTTACTCTCTGCATCTCCAGCCCAACAAAACGTCCGGCACCCCCTTAATACTTCTTCCCCGCTATTGACATCGACATCGACATTGATGTCTACATCTAGCGTAACAGCGCATTCACACCACGTATACGCGTTCGTTTCGTACTCTTCCAGGCGCGCGAAATGTGCGGCGGAAGAGCAGTGCCAAACTGTTCCCGATACAATAGTCGCTGCTGCTGACGTCGCTGTTGAAACTGCCGCTGACGCCGGACGAATAACAAGAGCAGGGTATATACCCCACATCCTCACACTAATGTTTTCTTCCTCTGGATGCACTAGACTGGCTTTTCGCATTGTTGGTGGGCTGGGTAGGTTGAGGATTGATTGGAGCACTAGGGGGTCTTGGAGGGTGCCGTAGAAGAATAGCGTGCTTGGGTGGAAGGGGCGTTTTGTTGTTGTTGCAGGAGTAGGTTGTGGTGTTGATGATGGTGAGGGGTTGGGGATTTGAAGGGCATGGGCTAGGTGTGGTGGCATTGGTGGTGGTACGGGAGGTGGTGGGTATGCCATTTGTGATAATGGAGATGCAATAGTAAGAAGGGTCGGTATGGCAGTGGCTTGTGGATGTTGAGGTGTTGAAATTGTGTCGTTGTGCAGGTGGTGAGTGGGCGAATGACGAAAGGAAGAGATCAATGTGTCAGCGCTCCGATTAAGTTTATGCGTGCAACTTCTTCATCTTGTCGTAATAACGCGAACAACATAAAACCTACGATAAACTGAGCCTTAGACGATGAAAATTAATTGCAAAGATATGTCGTTCTGATGCAAAAACACGAACGAGGGTAATGATGTTGCGGAGTGCGCCCGTTCGCTCGATTGGTGTCACCAGTCGTTAGCTAGCGCAATCTGAACTCCACCTTGCGCGATTCCCAGATCCACACTCTCTGCATTGAATTGTATATCAACATCAACATACGCGTCCAATATCGACATTGGAATTTGAACGCATCATGGTACCGCGCAAGCAGCCTGCAAGCACTGGCAAGACGACGAGATCAATTGCTTCTAGACCTGCCAAAGTCACCAAAGCAACCATCACAGCGCCAACATCTCCGCTCTCTCCAGCCCTGCCTCCACTACGCGTTCATCATGCGTCATATCACTACCCTCTCCTTTCAGACCAAAAAGCGTCGTGCGACGCGCTTCTAGCCTGGTTTGAAGGGGTTGAGGCGACGCGAAGCATGCCGTGGCGCAAGAGATGGATTGACCCAAGGGAGTTCGAGGGGAGGGAAGAAGACCTGGGGGATGTGTTGGCGAAGAGAGCATATGAGGTCTGGGTGAGTGAAGTTAGTAAGTCAGCCTTATCTGATGGGTTTGTAGCGGCCTATGTCCTCGTATTTGTCGACCAAAGTCTGACGCACACACGCGCTATCACGTGCTTCACCGCTAACTCCTTCCAGTGCTTCAACAAACGCGAGTCTCAACGGTGATACCGTACTTCAACAAGTGGATCTCGACATGGCCAACAGTGCAGGACCTTGCCGACGCAAATCACGATGACGTTCTCTCTGTCTGGAAAGGTCTTGGGTACTACTCGCGCGCGACACGCCTCCATGACGGTGCCAAAGCTATGATTGCTAATAAGTCAACTGGCTCCTCATGTCTCATCCCCAGCAGTGCGACTGACCTTCAGCAGTTTCCCGGTATCGGGAGGTACACTGCAGGGGCGATATCCAGCATTGCATTTGGCGAGGCTGAGCCTGTACTAGACGGGAATGTTGCCCGAGTTCTAAGCCGCCAGCTCGGCCTCTACATGGATGCCAAAGAGAAGAGAGCTTCCGATATTTTGTGGGAACAAGCTGATCAGCTTATCAAACGTGTTTCCACCTATGCGGACACGAGCACGAGCGCTGTTCCTGGTCAATGGAACCAGGCTCTTATGGAACTTGGGTCGACAATCTGCACGCCCCGGCCTCGCTGTGAAGAGTGCCCTATTCAGGATACATGCAGGGTCTACAGCGAAGGTCAAGCGTTATCGGATAAGCGCGAGTCAACAACAGTCATAGATATTGAGGATGCATGCTCCCTTTGCGGACCAGTGGATACCGAAGACGTGGCAATAGCGCCAGAGGAAGACAGCCGCGAGGAAACTTCTAGAGCAACGAAGAAAAGGAAGACCGGCGCAAAGCAAGCGAACACCATCTCGCATTATTTTGCCGTAGGCACGCCGAAATCAAATGCCGAGACTGAAGAGGACGAAGACAGTGGTGATTATCCGCCCAGCGATGAACACAGGAAGCGAAAGACGCCCACATCTGCTGCGAACTCAAAGTCTATAGCAGCCTACTGCTCGCTCTTCCCGAAGAAGTCGGCGAAAAAGAAGGTTGCTGAGGAAGAATGTGTGGTCTGCGTTATTGAAATGAGCTTCTCGGATGGGAGTAGCAAGTGGCTGATCGAGCAAAGACCCGCGAAAGGTACAAATCTCATCGCACCGTAAACATGTTACTGGCTAAAATTGGTGTAGGCTTACTTGCATCACTGTGGTACGTAACAGGCGTGTTCATAATCGTAGCTCGACCTGCGACCGGGTGGCTTCGGCCACTGCCTGTTTCGCCTCCAGGTGCAGCTTCGTATTCTGATAGGCCCCTTTTCGGTAGTCCTTATCTTCCCATTGGATTGATGCTGACTGTGCACCTATAGGCAGTTCCCACAGTGCACACTGTCTGGGTCGCAAACTACGCCCCGGGATCGCAAGGCCTCGGCGCAGGGTTTCATATCGAGGCTCGATATCGGCAATGTTCAAATGAGCAAAGCGCATTATGTTGCCAGCTTCCCTCCATTGGTCCATGTCTTCACTCACCTAAAACTAACCATGCACGCCTATCGCTACAAGATTACCGCCGATAAGGCCGAAGACGTTGACCTTGTATGCAACGGGCCGCTCGCGCGCAGGTGGACAGACACCGAGTCCATGGACGGTGCAACACTATCAACCGGTATGCGCAAATGCTGGGAACTCATCGCAAACACCTTGTGACGACCGTCAACTCGGTGCGTTGGGTGATGGTCGAGAGCACGCCCCACGTTTCCCCACGCTTCGTTATCTTTCGCCAAGAGATACACTGACTTGGCTTCCGCTCATCGCCTCCTTGGCTCCACCATACTGCTCCACCCTGCTCCACTCCTTCTTGAATTCTGGGGAAGGATACAAGATAAGGGATCTTGAACTCTACTTTACTATGCCAGACCTGGCGATATAATCCTACCCATGTCTGTGGCTTTGCGCCAGTGCGACCTTCATTGGCTGCGCACAACATGCTGCGTATCAATGTATTCCGACTAGAACGTATCAATGTGCGGTTCCGAAACGCGTGGATAAGACGTGGCTGTGTCTGTTCAGATATAAGCGCGATGGCCCATCGAGTACTTGGTTGTTCTACCCGTAGACATACTTTGGACCTACTGCCCAGCCTTTCGCCTTGATTCATCTACCAAAGATGGCGGCTGTACCAGCTCCAACTCCCGTTACGGCGTGGCCCGACTACAGTGTGGATCCTAATGGAGGCGATGTCATGACGACGGACCTCAATGCGCTCTACAACAAGGGTGACTTGTGCTGGATGCTGGTGAGCTCAGTACTGTGCTGGTATGCCGTCTCGTCTACAAAGTCATCAAATGAAACTAACGTGGTGCAGGCAAATTACTCCAGCTATTGGTTTCCTTTACGCAGGAATGCATAGAAGAAAGGCGGCCCTGACGATGATCTTCCAATCGCTCTTCTGCGCATGCGCCGTTGGCATTCAGTTCTGGGTTTACGGATACTCCCTCTACCAATCGCACACGACAAATCCTTTCATTGGCGACCTATCGAAGGCAGGCCTGCACAACACCCTCGCATCGCCCTCGCTCGCAAATCCCGATATCCCCGACATTCTTTACGCCTGCTTCGGCTTCACCTTCGTTACCTGTACCGCTATGATCTTGGCAGGAGCTATGCTTGAGCGTGGTCGCCTTTGGCCCTCCATGCTCTTCTTGCTTTGCTGGACGACGTTCGTCTACTATGTTCTGGCGTACTTTGAGTGGAACCCCAGCGGCTGGTTATACAAGCTGGGTGCTTACGATTTTGCTGGCTCCGGTCCTGTGCATATCGCTTCCGGATTTTCTGCACTCGCTTGGGCTGTCATGCTGGGACCGCGAATTGATCCCCATAAGGAGTCGCATCACCCGAAGATCCCGCACTTCAAGCCACACAATCCTTTCTTGGTCGGCCTCGGTACGATTTTGATCTGGTTTGGATGGTATGCCTTCAATGGTAAGTAAATTCAACTACCACGATGTCGGAAACACTCCACATCGTGTATCATGCTAGAATGATTGCTAACGCACAACAGGCGCCTCGACTGCCAACATCTCCATCCGGTCCATCTACGTGGTCTGCAACACCAATCTCGCTGCATGTGGTGGTGGAATGGCCTGGGTCCTGCTGGAATATTCCTTCGTTCGCAAGTTCTCGATCATAGGCTTCTGCTCTGGCATCATCTCCGGACTCGTCGGCATTACGCCGGCTGCTGGATTTGTCCCGATTCAGACTGCGGTATTAATCGGAGCCACCACCTCTTGCTGCGCCTTCTTCACCGTCAAATACAAGTACCTCCTAGGCGTTGATGAGGGCCTCGATATCTTCGCCATCCATGGCGTTGGCGGCTTTGTTGGCGACATCCTCACCGGATTCTTCGCTGCACCTTACGTTCCCGCCATGGACGGTAGGACCAACACGAACGCTGGCGGCTGGTGGGTCAAGAACTGGAAGCAGATGGGCTTACAGCTTGCTGCTGCGTCTACCTGCGCAGTCTGGTCATTCACCATCTCCATCATCTTGCTCTTCATCATCAACAGGATTCCTGGCTGCCACATCAGAGCTTCTGAAGACGACGAGCTGAGAGGTCTGGACTACAAGTACTTTCACGATGTCGAGGGCAGCGATGCTATGATGTTCAGTGAATATACTCATGGCCATGTAACACCTGGCGTACCGATGTCGGGTATTGCCAGCGGATCGGTCAGCCATCAGGATGTTCCTGTGGTAACCGAGAAGCGGGATTAAGGAGGCTTTGACTTGCTCGATCTCACTGATCCCTTTCACCCACGCTATTGCCGGTTACGTCCTGTTGAAGTCGCGTGTACTGCGCTACGCAGCTGGTTGTTCTTTAGTGCCATTCGTTTTGTATAGTATTTCAAGCCAGCTTGTCGCTTCAGTAGAGATAGATTCAAGATACCAATTTTTTATTTGCTCATCATCCTTGCTATCTTATTTTGATGAACCCGGCCGATAACAGCAACCACATCTGGCAAGAAAGCCGGTTGTTGTTGGTGGCTTAACGCTATCAATCAAATGACTTCGATTGGACCGCGGCAAAGACGCAGGTACAGATAAATCTAGACGCGCCCCCCTGCGCGCCCTAGCGTTCCCCTCCAAATCATCACCTCGTAACAATCTACCACAAAAAGCACGGAAAATGAGGTGTACTTTTGTCATCACAAGCCTTTTCGCAGCGGCTGCTGCCGTCCCCGATCCACTCATTACCCCACGGGCTGCGCTCGCACCACGACAAGCACGCGATCCAGCGCTGCTGGGATGGGTCGACGCGCCGAACGGACAGTGTAAGATCATCTCCACAATTCTTCGCATTATTCATCATCCACCACACCTCCATCAACTATAGAAACCCCATCTCCGTCGATATATATCTAATCATCAAACTGACACACTATACCCAGTCTCCGACCAGCGCTCCTGCGACTTCCCCGCAACACTCTCATCGTCCGGCGCCCTCGCCCAGTGCTGCGCTACCTCCTCATGCACCTTCTGGCAATCATGCAGTGCGGGGACGCTCTTTGCGCAGCAGGCATCGCTGTTTTGCGACCAGGGGTATTGTAATACCGCGGTGCTGGTGCCTACGGTGGGAGCCAGTAGTGGACTGCAGTATCTGGGGTGTTGGGCGACGAGTCTGGGCGAGCAGGCGTTTACTGTTGTGAGGGATATTGGATCAGGTATGTCAATGTTGAGTCTTGAGTCTTGGAGTTTTGGAGTGCTGACGCGTGGTAGGGCCTGTAGCTACGAGCGCACCCAGCAGCGGGTCAGCGTCGGCGAGCGCGGGTTCTAGCGCTGCGAGTAGTAGGGCGACATCTGCTCGGTCTTCGGATGCCGGTTCAGCGAGCTCGCATAGCTCAGCGAGCGCGACACAGTCGTCTGCCAGTGCGGCTTCGTCTACTGCCGCCGCTGCTGTCAACACAGCCATGCCACTGACTGGTGTATTCGGACTTGTCGCTTTGCTGTTTGGCGTGCTCTAGGAGGAAGATTCGGCTAGTCACTAGTGAGACATGTGGGCTAATGGTGCAATGTGGTGGTATAGTATCCACGATTTGTCTGATTACCCATGTGATGAGTGGACGATGTATCTCTTTGTGCTTCTAATGCTAATTCAGGTAAACGTATAGTTTCACTAGATCCTTACGTCAAGTGGTACTTTCAGACCGATTCTTGTAATGACTATTGTGACGAAGAAACGCCGAAGAAGTCTACAGGCTTAGTCATTCTCGCATTACCTATACACGCCACAGGTATGCCGCGCTTCACATATGGCCGGAGGTTGTTGAAGATATATTCCCTTACCGGATCCGGTATAAGTCGGTTCGTAGTTTTCTACGCCTTCTTACTTCTAGTATTCGTAAACTTGTCTTCCGCCCATATTCTGCTTAGATACATTTACACCTATTTACGCGCAACCTATTAGCTTTATACCTGCAATGCTTACTCGCTAAGCGCCGCGCTTCGGGGGCCTGAGTGGGGCTGTGCACTAACCTGTCCACCTGTCGTTGAATACTTCAAGGTGACAGCGCACCAGCAAAAGAGTTCAAAAGCATCTACGCCCCAGGAGAGATATCGCTGGTTCTATGGAGGTACTTTGAGTGCGGAGATGTTCATGATCACATTGAATCTAACACCGCCCTAGCAAGTTATTGCACTTCGCCACGACTTTTCGATATCTACATCATGGATACAGAAAGCAATTCAAAAGGGGATGAACAAGCGTACGCCTGTCTGGACCCTGAGAAGCACGAGATCCGCCTTTTGCAAGTCGTCAAGCGAGTCAAAGATCATGGCCGGGAGTCCCTGCTTACTCGTACCTTCACGATAAGTCTCCTGGATCCGGAGCATCATCCCTACAAATGTCTCTCCTATGTCTGGTCTGACCAAACCCCCATGTTCCAGAAGGGGTTGCTTCCGTCTCCCGAAGTTGAGGATGCAAGTTCGCCGCTCGCAAAGCTGCAGCAGAATGCGTTAACCGCACTCATGGAGCTAGCTGAGGAAGATAGTGTTCTGACGATTTGGATTGATGCAATTAGCATAAACCAAGACGATAGCAATGAGCGCAGCTCCCAGGTTGCTATGATGGATCTAATCTACCAGAACGCAGAAGAGGTCATTGCCTGGATAAGCCCGGATACCAAGACAGGTTTGGGGTTCCGAGTCATCGACAGACTAGCAGCTTTCGCCCAGGACTGCTTTGAAGAGCGCTGGTTTCAGTGGTGTTATAGGTCAGATGAACCTGCCGAAGAGAGGCGAGCTGATCAGTATTACGAGGGCCTTAATGGCGAGAAGATTCCAGCGTGGGACAAGGTACTAGAAGCGGCGCGAAACCGGCTTCCTGAATGGTTTGCACCGGATGACGAAAACGGCCGACCAGAAGAGCAAATACTCAACTTCCTGATAACCGGTTTATCGACTTTCTGGACAAGGGCTTGGATATTTCAAGAGCTGGCGTTTGCCCGCAAGGCCAGGGTACAGGGCGGTAGTGCTTGGACTACGCTGGCGAATATTTTGATGGCTATCAAGACGTGGCACGGATTAAAGGCTGCTGCTGAATACGCGAAAACATTTGGCTCTGGATCCGGTCAATCGCAATGGAACCCAGGCGAGATGGCGGACACTGAGTTCAGTCGACCGATGATGAACAAGCTTCCTTTCTGGAACATGATGGTCCCTATTGTAAAGATTCGCGAAGAAGACGCGCAAGCTGTTCCTAAACAAACGCTTCCGCTCAGCCTTCTCATCTTGTTCGCACAGTTCAATGCGACAGATGCAAGAGATAAGATATTCGCACTCTGGGGCTTCGTGGATGAGAGAGGCCAGAATGCGTCGCTTCTTCGCCCGGACTACACTCTTAGCATTGAACAAGTATTCACCCGAGCTGCGTGGTACATGGTACTGACGCATCGACAACTTACGATCCTGACGACTCATTCGCACGGTGAAGCAGCATATCACAACTTTGTACATAGAATGTTCGGGACCCCTAGAGTTGATACAGAAATACTGGACTTACCGAGCTGGGTGCCTGACTGGCGCGAGGCGGTGATGAACAGCACATCGCAGCAGTCGCATGTTTGGATGAATGATCGCCATCGGGGAAAGCAGCCTGTATTCAGCGACGAGGAATTCGAGCGATTAGTCCAGCTCTCCGACGATGGTCGCACGCTCAAGGCTAAGGGAGTGCAGGTCGGCGAGATCAGCGACGTGTTCGAGAAAGAGATATTCCCCTACCCTATGGAGAGTGATGAAGACGATGAAGACAGACGAGAAGTCGTTTCCTTCCGCAGCAGCTTTGCGAACTTTGTCAAATTGACCGCACACGGCCCGGAGATTCTTAACCAGTACATCCGTTTTGTGTTCCGCAGCAGCGAGGGTACTACGAATGCTCTTCTCGACTACGATACTGATCTCATAAAGCCAATACAAGTGATGAAGTTTCTGGAAAACAACAGGATCCTAATCAGTGAGGAAGCCGCATTCGGTGGCCGCATTATCAAGTTTCTGGTTAGACTGATCGGTGAAAATGATCTGCTGGGTTTCCGCGCATCTGGCACGCCAATTGAAGACATATTGGCCAGAGAGGGAAAGACTATCGAGGACATATCCCGATCTTCTTTTATACAGAGAGATATTGCTTCTGATACGCACGGCGACGTGGCGCTCTCGATGTGGTGGCCCACATTCATCAGCGCATTCGCCGACTTTGAGACCTGGCCACCGGCCATGCAAACTAAGATGAAAACTACTGCGTGCGGCGCGGGGCTGCCCGAGGAAGGTCAAAAAGCCTCCATGAAGGAGGTGCAGGCGTGGATTGGGAATAAAAAGTTCTGTTTCTTCGTTATACAGGGTGTAGGGCTGGGCGCTTGTCCCAGTTGTGTAAAGCCACAGGTGGGCGATGTTGTCTGGAGGTTTGCGGCGAGTGATGGGCCGGTAATCTTAAGGCCAGTTGGAGAGGGAAGCGGAGGGTATAGGGTTGTAGGGGAATGTTGGGTGGCGGATAAGAAAGTGCGAGCGATGGATTGGGAGGAGGACTGGATGAGTAAGATAGAAGAATTGGAGTGGGCTGGGCTCGTGTGATCAAAGCGGAGAGCGAAGCACCTTCTGCGTGTGATTCTTCAAACAAAGCGGCCTCAGGTGGTGTGATATAGGCTGCGCATGCTAGTACCGCGGATGGGTTACCAAGTTGTCACTCGTTACTGGAGCTATCGAGTATATGCTTGATGGAGTCCATACTCTATGTGTAGTTTACATACAGAATGTTTTACTCTTTCTTCCACATACGACCATAGGATCTTGAATTCAGCGCTTCCCGTTCGCTCAGCGGTACTTAAGCAGGATACCGGCGGATTAGTAGTTAGGTGGGTGACCACTAGCGAATCCCCGCTGTTGTATGTTTTTGCCATTCTTTTTGCCCTATCCATGCGAGCTAGTAGTGTGTGAAAATGTGCAAGTGTTGGCAAGCCCGACTCGCTATTTATCGTGGTGCTGTTAGGGTTGTTCATTTTACAACTGTGAACTCTGTAGGCTCCCCTATCTGCTCAACACTCAGACTGCCTTGCTTATCCTGGTCGACTTTCCATCGTCGCTTCTTTTCCTCGTCACTGCCACTTAGTAGATCGGTTTTCCGCCCGTATTGCCACCGCGAAAACGCCGAAAGAGCATTGCTCGCGATTTGGGTCTTATATGTCCGGCCAGACTTCAAACCGAACATGCTACGCACAGTATCGTCCTCGTACTCGAGGTTTTGCAATGTACACTCGAACCGCCATGGTTTATCCGGTAAGATCTCCACGAAATCATCGTCAGGAGGGAATAACGGGTGCGGATCGGAATCTCCACAGCCGAAAAATCCAACCCAGCGAACCTCTTCTTTTGTCTCAGCATCCCGGCAGTCGATTAGCTGCTCAATGGTTTTCAGATCACCCTCGAAGACGGACAAAGGCGAGCGTGATTTGTCAATTGTGATCGGCCGTTCGCTATTTGTAGAGTATTCAATGATGAGTGTAAATGGAACAGGGCCGGAGAGGTAGCATTTCTGTGGCACTTCCAACTTGGCAAAGATTTTCGGCGTGGCTGGATCGTTGTGAACGGCAAAGTAGATTGTACTATCCCCGCGCCCGACGGTTAGCCTTTCAGCTGGCGGTATCTCTCCAGGCGATCCATGATACTCATCTGTGTAGTATCCCCACACTTCATCGTTGCTCTTGGAGAACCGTAATCCATATATATGTCCGGGCTGGAGAACCTCCTTCCATCCAGCACTTGTAGTATCAGTCTCCACACCCACCCATACCTGCAGATGCTCAGGCGAAGGCTTGGCTGGTATGTTGAGCTGGCCCAGCTGTGGTACTGCAGTGTAAGGCAGCGCAATCGTATGTCCCTTGTTGTCGGGATCCACAAGCTCGATTAACCCAGACTTCAATGACTCCAGAAGATTCAGCGTTTTATGTTGGCCATTGACGTGAAGATGGTTGCAAACAAGTGTTACTGCGCGCTCTGTTTCGAAAGTAGTAACTACGATGAGGCCGAGATTGGAGGACCTTTCACGGTTGAGCTGAAATTTGTCGTCGTTTCTCAGTCTTCCCTCTTCTAGGCTTAAGAACAATGGACTACTGGCACCCCGCTGGTTGTACATGGCGATCGTACAGGTTTTTGTCGTGGCGACTAGACAGGTCTAATGTGATCTCTGACAATGACCTCTCGATGAAGGTACATTGATAACAGATATTCCAGTGGAATAGCCATTTATATAGCTGTGAAGCTGAATAATGTGCTGTACTCGAGTGGTTGGGATAATCGAGCATGAATTTACGTGGTGTTTGGAAATGAGGGGAAGCTTATGATTGTGTATACCTAGTAGCTTCCCAAGTCTTGTACTTCTTGGCCTGATCGGGAGGCTGTGTTGGCAGCTTACTGGCTGTGACGTCATATCAGCTTGACTTCTTCGATACAGCCTTGCTGTGAGTTTCAGCCACCACTCCTAACGGTCCGTGGACCCAAGCGAGGTCGGCACATGGCAGGGCGTATCGCGTCGCTTCCTTCTCTTTTGTTGTAACCACAGAGCCTATTAAGATTGGAACAATGGTTGCCTTCGAGATCACGATCTGACCAGCGCCGACGCTACCTAGCTGTCAATAACGTAAAAACTCGATGACTACTTGCTAATCTTGCAAGTCTAATAACCCAACAGCAATTTTTAGAGAGAAGTTGCGGTTGGACCGCTGCTCCATTCTGCGATGTGAGTCAAATTTATGGCGGTATGGAGTTCCATCATGAGATGGTAAAACCGTGCCATTGTCTCAACTCCTTCCACCGCTCACATTCTCGCTACTCACGAACACAACTAATACAGCTGCATACGCCGCACAAGCTCCAAATACAGCCAGTCGTCTTCCGTCGGCCAGGAATATCGCACACGCTGCAAAGACTAAAGTGAAAAGCGCAATAGTAGTAATACGCCAGATAGCGTTTTTAATAAAGTATAAGGAGAGGATAGCACCAAGAAGGAGAACAATTGACAGAACGGCGTAGAAGAGTTCGACGAAGAGATCGAGACGGGAGGTGTAGACGTATGTTATTCGAGGGTCGGCATGGTTTTGGTTGGGTGCGTTGGTCTGAGCTGTCAGATCTATGCATTGAGTTGGTGTCGTCGAAGCACTTACATGAAGCCAGCGAAACAGATACTTTGCGAGGAAGGTGCTGACCCGGTCTTTTCTTTCTGTGGAATGGAGTTGCACGAGGTCGTCATTGCTATCATATATAGTTTTGCTGGCTCCGATTAGACTTGAACCATGTCCTACGAACTCTGCTTGAAAGGCTTCGAGAACATCTTTCGAGGGTGTTGAAAGAGCAGCTGTTCTACTCTGGAGTAAAAGGGTTTCTTGATATTCCCTTAGACAACTTCTGGTTCGCAACATTAAATCCCATCTCTCTTTTTGTCTCTCGTTACTATCCTTAACTCTCTCGAAGTCTTCCCACGAGCGGGCGCAGGCATTTGCCTCACGATCGTAGGGCGGTTTATAGTCCTCTTTGTCAAAGTCTTCAAGCTTTTCTTGAAGACATGCGAGCTCGCTTTGGAGATACAGAAGGTTCCTGGCAGCCAACTTGTCGAATCGCTTAAAGATGAAGGACTCGGATTGCGGATTGCTGGATATGAATGTTGATAATGACGGATAGCCTCGCAGGTACTCGTACTTAGGTGCGGCAGGACTGGTGGATGTGGCGGGTTGCTTTGGACTGTTTCCAAGTTCGATGTCCCCGCGTGATGTTCTCTCGCTAGGTGAGCTTACACGTGCTCGGACCCGGTGCACGAAGTTGGTCATGTCGAATCTTAACTAGTCCACTGTAAGGCTATGTAACGCAGGGACGGGCAAGGTGTGGTAAAGATCGACAGCGATTGGGTGTGCCAATATGTAGATGATGGTACCCAGGACTGTACGAATCCTACCGTCAAGATGTGGAGGAAGAGGAAGTCTGTAGTATTGCGCAAAGGCTGGTCGGTCATGCGGAAGAGTATCACTAGACTGGATTTGGAATATGCATGACCGGGGGATATTCCGAAGTGGAGGCTGACATTGGGGGCTGGTTTTGAGCCCGCCCAGCTATTTTTGGCAAGGCTGCAGTATACATAGCCAGTGGCTATAAATAGATTCGAAGAGCCCAATACTAATTTCCAGTCACCACACCCTCAGGAACCATCTTGGGTTTCACGAAGACACTCAAACTCGCTCACGCCGTCCCATCAACATGACAGACAAGAAACAAACCACAGTTGTAATTGTAGCAGAGGTCGACCCCGAGGCAGAAGAAATAGAAATCCATGTACAGCCTTGTGAAGGAGGCTACCATGCCCCCAAGGTCCATGACTTCGGCTCCTCTTCAGGCCGGACTGTCAAAAAATCCGCCTGGGACAAGAGTGACAATTCACACGAGGGTATCCGACGCCCAGGCGCGCGATTGAAGAAAGGTTTGTCTTTGACATTGAGCTCATGCGCTCAGACATGGTATCCACACTTCTGACACTTTTGTAGGACTGCCTCCAGGGCCATCGAAGAGAGACATCCTCAACGCGAAGGATAGCGAGCTACAGCAGGAAAAACTAGACCGGAGGAAAATTCTGGAAAAGACCATGGCTAAAGCGGATGTTGAGATACAGTTGAAAACAGAGTTTGAGGAGCGGGAGAGGCAATTGGAGTGTGAATGGGATGATCTTTTGGGGTTTTAACTATGACAAAGTTGCGCCTCCTCGTTTTATACAATGACATCTCGTCTGGCTCTCTACTTACATCTTTCTGCCCTAAGTTTGACAGGGTCGAACCCGATTTGTGCCTGGTGGGTTTTAAACCTATCGTCGAACTCGAATTCGTCGGCAGGTTCGCTGTCGATGGCCTTTTGACTAATTGGGGCAATGTTGACCTCCTTCTGATCTAAATCATACACAACGAATGCATGCCGAAGAAAAGTTATACCGAGAATGGAGCGGCGATCTTTGTAACTGTTTGGGCTTTTCCTTGACATGGCGAATGTAATGTCAATGGAGGCTACCGCAGGCCATGTCGCGATCCCTAAACGACGAAATCAGTAGGAACGTGGTATGGAGATCGAGTCTTACCATGAGTCAAGCATTGCTTTTTGGGATACTTGATTGCAGGATAAGCACCGGATTTGACCTCATCGGCGGTAGGGTAGCGGACGAGGTTGTTCCATATTGGGACAGAGATTTTGCGGTTCCCAAAATGAAAATCTATGCTTTCGTTTAATTCCTCCCACTTGCGGCAGTCATCAAAGACTGCAATCTTCCGATTGCCGTTCTCAACCGTCTGGTGCGTGCCCATACGCCGTATTAGCTTCATGTAGGCATCATGGGGAAGAAAAATGCTGAACGAGCCTGTATCAAGCAGTACTGGCTGGGATTGATCGCATGTGTCGAAAATTCTTTTTCCTCGGTGTCCGATCTCGTCAAGCTGAACGATGATCTTTTGGCCCCCGCTGCCTCCCGATTCATCGACCCAATTCCTGTCCCCGATGATTTTTAGAGTTGCAAGGGGCTCGACGTAGTAGTTCTTGACGTAGCCTCCGAACATGATCTTGGCAGCAAAGTCTTCATCAACTCTAGTCGTTTCAAACCACATGCTGAAGGCGTTGGAACTGGTGTTGTGATTCCTTTCCAAAACCTCGGGCAGAGACCAATATTGGAATTCTCCTCCGTCATCCGCAAGCTCATATTTGAGCTGTTGATCATTGGTGAAACCCAATCCGATACTGCCGGTCATAGCATTGGGACCTTTCGGCGAGTTTTTGAAATCGTATGCAGCCACAAACCCAATGTTCTTCAGCAGGAACTCATTGTTGTCGCTGTCATACAATGAGAGCTCACCACCCATGTAGTTTCCTATAACCTCGAAATCATCATCGTACTGAAGTCGATACTCCTTGTACTTCCGTTGTTTCCTAATATCAGTACACATCTTGCTTGCCTCCTTTCTCTCCTTCTCGCACCTGCACCACAAACTAGCATCGATCCAGAAGTCGCTACTCCCAGTGTCGACGGATATCTTGATGTCCCTCCTATCCAAACAAGGAGACCTGAACTGAATATTGTCGAAGTACGGTAGCATTGGACCGGCTAAGGGATTCAGTAATAGGTCGCCTCCATTGTTCTTCCTCTTGACGTTCGAAGTTACAGGTTTTCCCTTTTGTCCGGGCCTGGGTATTTGACGGGTTTCGATCTATATATTTAGTGTCAATTTGTGATCTTAGGCGTTGAGAAAACACAGCCCCTTACCTTAGATGGAGATGAAAACTTGTTGCCAACCACGAAAGTCGACCCCAACAGAACCCAGATCAACCTTTGTAGAACGGCCATCGAGCTGCTGGAAATCTCCTAGCGACAGTGGCCCCTTCAAGCGAAGTCACGATCGACCGGGATTATATTATTTCCGAGAGAAAATGTTTCGTTGTCTATCATGCAATTTAGTTAGTTGTTGTTGAGGCGACCGGCACAAATCTAGGGTTTATACCTGCGCCACTTGTGGACCAAGAAAGTAAGGGGCTAGGCAAATCTAAAAACCCTGTGTCATTACGGCGAAACATGTCAGCTCAGCTGGCTGCTCCTGAGCGCTTGGGTAAATGCATGATGGATGCGGCACGTTGGGGGCCAAATGTACAAGGGTGCTGTCGAGGCGACCGTACTTTCTGAGAACTAGCTGATAGAGCCTTACTGTGTTTGCAAACGCTATGCATATCGGTGGACTGCGGCAATGTTAGTGCGTTTGCCTAATTTTAACTGTCAGCCTTGTGGCGTGCATGTAGTCAGATCAACCGGCGGATTGGGTGCGAGACTCGCTTGTCGCGGTCAGCAACGCGCCAACAAAAGAGGCAGGTGCCTTTCAACCCTCCCTAGCTTCAGATTTTCGATTTTGTATCTACGTCGTCCACTTTCCATAAGCTTGAAATTGTAGCTTCTCACAATACTTCACGCTCGTTTTTGACAGGTCTCTCTCTAGAAAATGATAGGCAACAAGACTCGGGTTCAGCCCACGGCCTACCCCAAGCTACCTTTCCATCTACTGCGCAGTGCGCAACTCGTGTCTTCGGCCATAGTCAGTAGTATTATGTCCTACTTCGTCTGGCAACTACGGCACGACAAGTTTGAGGTGCCTTGGACCTTCCTTCTGGTACGTCTTTGAACTCACAGCTTAAACCTTTCCATGCGATAACAGCTGAATCCAATACTTCCGTATATATAGTAAGAATCTGACCTTTACATAGCTCCTGACAGTGTCTACGCTTACGATTATCCACCTCATTACAACGATTTTCCTACATTTTTTGACTGGCCTCCACCCTCGTTTGAACATGTTCTCCAATAGTTTCCTCCTACTGCTGTGGACTGTGAGCTTTGTACTGTTCACATGGTGGAGCAGTGGAATGCTTACCCACACCTGCAACAAAGGAAACTGGAGGAGTAGCGTGGGTATCAATATCTGCAGATTGTTTAAAGCGTTGTTCGCTTTTACGTGCGTCGGACTGTAAGTCGAATCCTTGCACACCAAACCCTCCATCAAAACGATGATTGCGATTCGCGCGAAAGACTCTATCGTCTTCCTTGACGGCTACTCCCCCATGCACTCCGTACCGAGCGAGCACACCTCCAACTCTCCTCGCATCCACATGCGCCAAATTAAACAAAGAAAGTCAGTTGACCGAGATAGTGTAAGCACGCTCCTCGCCACACATCTCGACTTACGCGTCTACCGAGATGATACGCGCTCAAGCAAGTACGAGCAGATAGAGACCAAAACTCTCGACGTCGACCAGACACACACGGCGTACGGCGAAGATGAAGTTGCTGCACCGCGGGAGACTTATCATAGCGTACCTGTAGTGGCGAGAGATGATTAGAAATAACGAGGCTAGAAGGGCAGAACTAGATACATACGATGAATGTGTAGCGTCGTTTGACGACGTCGGTGGATGAAGGTGGATCCATAATTATACAGGTCACAAACGAACGTGTGTAACTGTAACAGGTATTTTGGGTCTTATCTAGGCAGAGCTATGGATGTGAAAGCTTGAGTTTGATGTACAGCGAAAGTGGAACTTGACACTCTGTGAGTCCCAATTCGTGAAACTGGCTGCATAATCTACACCCCATCGATAGAGAGAGCCACTGGCTCATTCTGCTCAACCCTCACGGCCGGCGGAGATCAATTTGCCAGTTGAATTCCATGTATAGAGATGCTGGCTCTCACCACGGCACCGGAGCCAACGTCAAAACTGTCCTCCCTCACCAAGCCAGGAGCGCCAAGCACGTCCTGGAAAGCCACCTCAGCACTTCCACTCTCGACTTTCTTGTTCATCAGCGAGATCTTGAAGTTTCCAACCGCCTCCGGGTTGGCAACCATGCCTGCCGTCAAGGGAATCCGGAAAGCCTGGTCGAAAGATGGGTTGAAGATGTCCACTCCCGGGGTGTAGGTCTTGGCTGCAGTCAAGAAGTTCTTGTCGCCCCAGGTCACCCTAATGCTCGGGTTCAGCTCATCACGCTGGCCTTGGAGGCCGAGAGCGCTGGCGACCAGGATCGTGACAATTCCGCAGATCTGATCCTTGCTCTGAACTTCGCTACCCGCCGCGGATAACAACTGTGCATCAGCAACGAAGTTGTAGAACTTCGCGTGTACCGTCAGCTTGGCGTCAGTGGGATCGCCTTTATGGACAAGAGTCAGATCTTGTGAGCCACCCTTCAGCAAGATGTCCTTGACGGTGGTGGAGCCGAGGCCTATGTCGTCATCGCCACCTAAATCGTCGTCCTGGATGTCAAGAGAAATGATCTGCTCGTAATCCGTCACTAAGAAATCGTGAGTCTCATTCCATACTGGCTCTTGATTGTTCTTCTGAACCGAGGTGCGCCACTCCTCCTCAGCACCGATCTTGACCTTGACATAACAGTCAGGCACATCCTTGACAATCTTAGCGAGGAGTCTCGAAGCACCGCTCTTCTTCTTGGGAGCGGTTATTCCAGTTGCCTTCTCGACTGTCAGACGCAGGATGCCATGGTGAGGTTGGTAAGTTTTGAAGTAGTCGTTGTTGGCGTCGAGCTTGACAAGAAAGCGGTTGGGCAGTACAGCCATGCCCGAAATGATGCCAAGGATGGTGTTCCGTACGGCTTTCTCGATCAAGAAGCAGTCGGCAATGCTGGCAGCATTGGTGAAGTCAAGCTTTAGACTCGGTGGGTTGATGAAGGCCACTTGCGCAGCCCCGATCTTTGTTTTAGGTTAGTAAGTGATGCTCAGCAACGTGGTGCTTAAGCAAGGAAAGGCTCATACCAAGGGAATGATGTTCGTCAGGGGACAGAGTAGAACGCTAAGCCTGCCCTTCAGCTGCACCTTTTCGATGCCCTAGACTCTGGTTAGATGCAGCTCAAGTAAGTAAATAAAGGAGGGGAAGTTTACTATCTTAGGAACATGGTTCCCATCGAGCTCAATGTCGCATACACCCTCCCAGTCGAGGTCCATATCGAGCTTGATACCCTGAGTCGTGGTCTTGTGGACGTCTACATTTGAGAATCGAATGGGGACGTGCCCAAGGTCGAGCTTGACGAAATGCAGACTAGAAAGAGGACCTGGAAGGGTCGAGGCAAGGATGGGTTCAACGACATCCTTTGCAATTTGGGCGCCCGCAACATTGATGTTAGGCCACAGCTGCTCAACAATGTCATTGAGGAATCCTGATCAAGTTATATCAGTTACCCAACCAGGCACACCAGATTTCGGGGATGTATCTTACCTGCTGGTTCTGTGCCCCCAGAGGCAGTCAAGGTGTCGACGAGTGATGCCATGATGGGTGAATGATTTGGCTATGTGAGTGGTAGGTTTAGGTGGAATTGAGGTTGAGAAGGTAGGTGGTGATGAACCTGGTAACCGGTTTTGATGCTCGCAAGCTCCACATATCCCTGTTTGTTTGTCTTGGCTGCAGCAGTGCATCGACGTCACTTGTCCAGCTAGGAATCCACAAACAACGCACACGTCGTCGTTTGTGAAGCTACTAACTCGCACCAATGCGCCACTGCCGTGCTGCGTGGCCTGATCTCCTGCTCCGCGGGCAGCAGCCGTCCTTAGCGGCACGCTTGTGGGGAAATCACGATCAACAATCCTGGAAGAAACAGCAATTACTCCGTCGGACATTTAGTGCAGAGAATACAAGATCTAGACTGCTGTACAACCTGCTCCGCTGGTAGTGTTCAACTGTCCGTTCAGACACGACGGAGTCATTTGCAAACCTGCAACGTGATCGTGTATTTTCGCACAATAAGTACACCCAATATTCTCGAGACTCTTAGTAAATAAAGTATTTGCACTACTTATGCCAACAGGCATCTTGTTTTGAATTGAATTTAGTATTGCTCAACTCTTCTTGTATGAGAGTCTTCCTCTTCTCGTCGTCGTTGTTGAGTCTTGAAAACCTCTACTATGTACGATTTAGCCCGACCAACCGACCTAGATCTCAATATATTGATGCACGATCAGTCATATTTATAAGGAATTCGGACCCCAATCACATATAATACCCTCAACCGGGTATAGGCACTCGTCGTCTATGATAGAGAGGCTTCGATGACTACATCTAACGCGTTTTGATGGCCCCAGATACCCTCAATCTTGAACCCAACCGACTCTAGCAGATTGCGGAATTGTGACTCGGTTCGCTCTTGACCAGAGAGAGACTGTATGACGTTCACGTCCATGGCCGTGAACGCCGATGGTGCATTTCGATCCGGTATGAGCAGCTCCTTGATCAGCAGTTTGGAGTAGCCGGGCGTCATGGCAGGAATGATGTTGCGCAGGATACGACGACACTCGTCATCGCTGCTGAAGTCGTGTAGAATATGTTGTAGCATATACGCCCTTGCTCCTATGAAGATATACGGATAAGTAACTGTAGACTTGTGGTCTTGTTGCCTCGCGATGACGACGACGCACATAGAAGCATTAGGGGATGGGGACGTACCTTTTATGGGCTGCACTTGATTCCAATCGCCAACCTGGGCTTCATACCCGTCTTGGTCACTCCTGTCGATAATGTGCTTTAACTCTTGCAGGATAAGCCGCCCCTTGACTTCTGAACCGAGAGCCTTCCTTAGTAGGCCCAAATCTCCAGCGTCACCACCTCCAATGTCAATGAGCAAGACGTCTTCATCCGACTTTGGTCCGCTGTCAACCAGTCGCTCCTTGATGGGATAATAGCCATCCTCCCAGAAGAAAGGTTTGCCAGCATTGTACAGCTGGATCATGCCACCAAAGCGCTGCGCCATCGCTGTGTTTTCGCCAAAGTATGTGTACAGGGATTTCCCAGGAAGGTTGTATGCATGCTGGAACGGTCCATTGTTGATGTCAGCGGGATTGCGATGAGAGATCGTGTCGAGGAAGGACGGAAGCTTCCATCCCACATTGTAGAAGTCATCGAACATGAACCCTACAGCATCTTTATAGAATTTTTGTCTGCATGAAGCTGAGAGTCGCGTGCTTGCGTATGTATCGAGATCAACTTCACGAATCGTACCGTTCGCCGCGAGATGGCGCAGGAAGCGAGCTTGAGAGATGTTGTCAGTGTCAACTCGGTTTAATAATTCAGCTTCAAAATGAAGTGCTTGGAAAGCTATCGCAGGTGTCTTGAATTTCCACGTCGGTGGGACTTACCAACTAATCGTGGATCTGCCCCGGTGTTCTCAGCAAGCTGCGCACTGGACTTTCCCGGCTCGCCAACGTCGCCTAGAGCGTCGAATACTCCCCATTGTATCGCTAGACGAATGCCAAGATAATGTGAGGGCTGAAATACTCACTAGCTGTCAGCACTAATTTCGAAATGAAAGCGATCCCGCATCCAGGGCATGCCACTAGAGAAACATTAAGATCACGTGAGACAGACCTCATTAAACGTTACTCGAAACAACGCCTCGTCCGGCCTCTCCAACTCGTTCCTGAGTGCCTCAGCTAATCCGCCGAGTTGGAGACGGTCGGCACGGGAGAGATTCTCCCGGAGGTCGCGGGCCGTGCCGAGGAGCGTTTTGAGTTGCGAAATGGCGTCAGATTCCATGGTTACAGTGTAGCCCAGAAAGCAGTCGATCGTGAGGTCACACAACCGTTTACTTGTAGTGATAAGCGCTTAAAGTTAGGAAGAAAGGCGGGGTCGAGGCGGTGACTGAAGTACAGACCTGACTCGCTTGTAGGACTAGCGCGTGTCATCTGCCTTCAAGTGGTGTCCTAACAGTAGCACGCATCCGTACTAAATCACACCAATGATATCTCGCAATACAGCCTCATGGCAAGCTCCCATTTGTTATCTTAATACAGGGATATGGTGAAGCGCTTGGAAATGTTCTACCTGCCAGTCAAGGTCAAGCGTGAGCGGGGTAGTCTTGGAACTTATTCATGCGCAAATAGCGGTACACCGCGACAAGCCATTGTGTTTGAAGAAGCTAATAGTGAGACGCGCTAATAAATTTATTCGCTTGTACGCAGCACAGTAAAGACTGACTATGTTGAGCCGTCTGCAAAAGTTTAAGCGACCGTAGGATGAAGGAAATAATGGAGACCTGCCGTCCTCGTTTGAGTTCCACGATTGAGCCTAGCAACGTGCGACATTTTAGCCGGGATTGGCGAGAGAAAGAAGGACTAGTTTGAGGCCGGAGCGGCCGGCTTCCTTCCATAAACAACCATAAAATTGACGTTCAAGTGGTACTTCGGATTGAATATCTCTTTCCGTGCGAGCGCTGTTAGGATTCTTAGCTCATCCTCCGACCTTTGCAGCGTCGTAGTGAATCCACGGAGTAGGAAGGCATCCAGTCCCTGGTCAATGTTGGCGAGTTCGAAGACGCCGACTTTCTTGAGATCTTTGTCTTTCGGCCTTTGTAGCGTGTTAGCGACATGACATGTCCAGTTGCACGTATGGTATTGCGGAACATAAAGGACACTCACCAGCGCCCAATGGGTATCGGCAGGGTAGTTTCGGTGACGTCCGTAAAGCCCGCGGCTTTGAACTGCTCCTTCCACTCTAGACATACATCCCAAGGTACTTTCATTCGCCTTCCACATTCGAAAAGAAGTCTTGCCGACTCGGCGTACGCAGAAGTCTCGAGATCCAGGCTGCCGTCTTCGCAACAGGTCTTCGCATAAGTCATCTCTAGCTCTAGATATCCTCCAGGCTTCAGGTGTTCATAAGCCTGCTGAATCAATCGGGGCCAGTCGCGAATAGCCATCAGAAGCTCCCGCCCGAAGATGAAGTCGAAGCTATTCTTGCGATATAACCAATCCTCTTCGATATCCTCGATTTCGAACTGAAGATTTGGCGGTACCCAGGTGGGCTGGGTGGGTGCAATGTCTACGCCAGTCACTGAAGCCGATGGGAACATGTCTGCCGTATCAATTGCCCAGATTCCGGAGCCAGTCCCAATGTCGAGGATCTTCTGAGGGTCTTCCGCAATGGGTGCAAGGTAAAGCTTTCCACCGAGCAGGAGTAAGAACTTTGCGTGCTGAAGGTCGTTACGATCTTGTTCCTTCTCATCTATGGGTATGCCCTGCAGGGTCTTGCCATACGAGGCATAGGTGCGGCCATTCTCATGGACGCCTCGGAGGACGGATGAGGCTATTGAAGACAGATAGGAAGTATTTGTGGACTCTGCATAGCCTTGATCGGAAGACGACTCGCTGTCGACGGCTATCTGGTTAGCCATGGTCGCGGTGGATACCTAAGGATGTTGGCCTTGAGTGAGGTGGTGCGGCGCGGCCCCTTGGCATCTTGCGGGTCTGCCTTCCTGCGGGCCGTGTGCGGCTTGGAGCACGCTGCAGGAGCCTGTGCGGGGCGCCCCTTGCGAGCGGCATGAAGCCGTCGCAAGTGTGCGTTAGCACGGAAAGAAGAAGTAAGCAGGTTGAAAGACAAAAGAGAGGGTATAGATACATAGGGACTGCCCCAGAACAAATCCAATTGTTACACGAGATCCGGCCGGAACAATAAGCGCGTGTACGGGCGAAGCCGCCGATCGGCCGTACATTATTTAGCCACGCTATAGTTTGATATTAACACCAACAAATAAGTGACGTCTTATCCTCAGCTTGCTAAAGTGCTTGATTCGGATTTAATTAGAAGAGATATAGATAGTGTTCACCCACACTATTCTGTCCATGTTTGGGAAACGAAGGTTACGGAGCGCGAAGAAAAGGTTCTCAGCAACAGCGAGATCCTTCCTATTAGTATTTATGGGCTTGAAGGTCTCTTAGTTACACCATATACATGAAAAGACGTCAAAAAAGATCGCACTGTCACCGTCAAGCTAGGCTTTGGAGAGGTCGCACTCAACAAGAAGTTCACTGTCTTGAAGACATCGAAGCAACCGGAAAGAGTATTGTCTAAAGCCGATGGGCTCGTGCTCAGAAACTTTACATGGCCGGCCAAAGTAGCGGTATGGTTAGCAGGATATTGCTACTGTTTGTGTACAAAAGGTGGGCGGTCTACTTACACTCTACGGGATTGCTTTCAGCCCCGAATGACCCACTACTACCTTTGGCGATGCCTGATTGCTGTGCTGCTATCCTCTATATGGGCCAAGCCAGACTGGTTCTATGGCATATGAAAGCGTCAAAGGTATGTATCACGAAATTTCGAGCTTTCAATCATTTTCCGCCCCTCTATAGAGAAGGAAAAGCTATAAAGCTCGGATAGCTCTCTGCAAATCGTAGAAGCGGTGTTGAGACAATTAAAAGTATTTGTTATAGCAACCTTGGAACCGAATGCGACCTCCCTCTATTCATGAGGTATACTTTCGGAAGCCGGGGAGATCGACTTATCACCGGTAACAGTCGAGAGTTGATCATAGAGGATGAAAGTATATGAGGGAGGATAGAGTACTTGTACGGCATTTTATACACTGTAAAGGGCGGATTGGGGGGGTAGATCAAAGTTTCAGTATCGACAGGAAAATTATAGGCAAACTATGCTCTCGTCGTGCACCTGCCATAGCATCCTATTTCTAAGTTACTACATCACAAGCAGAACCAAGATAGCTCGGCTTTGTCAGGTTCCACCACATCATGTCGATCTGGAAGCATTGTCACATTCTATGTTCAATTAAGCAGACCCTAATTAGATTGGCATTAAGCCGTCAGCTTCCAATGTGCGTTTCCGGGTCGACTTTATACTATAAGCGAACTTGGTCCGTATCCTTATTGTCTGAACATCAGTACCTAATTGAAGCAATGAGATCCCAGAAAGCCTGAAAAGCAAACTCAAAACACATATATTCGGTTTGGCATGTTTCTCGCTACCCGTATCATGCGTACGATTCTAAGCTTTGACCCTGTTCCCTTCTACGCGGTACCGACACTGTTAGAAGAATACCACAGGTCGCATTTATCTAATCTTGTAGATGTTAACAAATTGACCGTTTTTGATGTTCCATAGCCAACTGAAAAGCGCTCAGGAAACTCTGGATTTTATCGTGGAGTAAAAAGATGCACTCAAAGCGTACGACAGACAGGTGACTCGGCGTAGAGGGACCGGCTACCAAGGTACGCAGAAACAGGTACCATGCTTCATGCCTTCTCACAGAATCTCAATGGCCCTTGCCCAGATACTTGACCACTGGTAGCGTGCGGCCACAGATTTCGACAGGCATTCAATCCCAGATCGCTCGTAGTCAAGTCCTCCTGCAACATTTCGACTATGGAGCGAAAGGTAAATCGAAGAACATACACATGTCTCCACTCACTCTGCTTGATCTCAATCCCAGCACCTTCTTCGCACAGCAACTGTGACTTGTTGTTTTGTCGTGACTGCGCATAGATCGAGCTCGAAACTGTCGATAGATTCTGTTGATCGGGGTTTGGATTTTCTATGGATTCTGGTTGCTCCCAAAATAGGTGACATTGTGTATCTGGGCAGGATGTTCCCAAGCAGAAGACGAGGCCCTTCTTCCGGGTCCAGGAGAAAGGCACCCAATTTGAGCAGAACGGGCAAACGGCGGAGCTTAAAGCGCAGGCGTACATATGTGTCTCGACAAACATTGCTTTGTCCGCGACCGTGTTGTCGGATGGAAATTCCCATGGGCTCAAGGCATGCGACACGACCGCTGCAGAGCAAAAGCACATTGAGCTCTCGCGCAGGCTCAGAACTTGGCGCATGAGGTGTTCTTCCGGAACGTCGTAGTCGACTGTGAGATTCTTGCCTTCTTTGCACAATGCAAGTAAGGAGTAAATTCGATCCCTTCGGATGGTACACTTCTTGTTGCGGAAACGGTGTAGTACGTTGACGACACCCCATGTCTTGAGGCTTGTTTCGCGATATTGACTCAATCTTTGTTGCAATAAGACATCTACGATATTCTCGAACGCATTTTCCCGGAAGTATAGAACCGCAGACCTGAATTTGATGGCTAGTGAGAAGAGATCATGGGTCGATCGTCCTGCAACTAGTATTGTATGCTTCGCTAGTAGCACTTCTTGGGTAACCCAAGCTCGGGACCAGTACTCATGCTCTGTGATTTTCTCGAGCAACTTCTCCACTTTTTCAGTTGAATCCTTGAAGAGGCTCTTTTGTTCGTCCTTGATAATGAAGTCCACAGTCGTCCCAGAATGTACTGAAGATGGCGTGTCGAGCCCGCCGTCTTTGATTACACCGAGGTCCTTCGCGCGAGATTTCGATGATCCTTCGTGTCGGTCAAAAGGCTCCCTATAAGATCTCATGGCACGTTCTTTGCTTGCCATACTGACGGAATGCAATACCATCTCCAACTCTAGGCTGCTACCTAACCAGGCCAGTACAGATTTCGCTCTAGTGAATATATTTCCCATCTGCTGAACTTGATGGTTCCTCTCCGATGTGTTGGTTTGATCGATGCACAATGCGTCGATCCAGAGAAAGGTGTCGGAAAGTTGATTTCTGGCCATCTCGAGGAAGTCCCACAGATTTCGTCGCACAAGAAAGGTCTTGTCGTTGACCCGGACTGCGTACTCCTCGAACGGATCCCCCCATGTGTAAGAGAGACAGGAGTACGAGGGCAGTTCTTCGTTGAAATCGTCATCCAGTTCCGCAAGAGAGGACTCGGTCGGCTCTCCTTCACCGTTGTCGTCCTGGGTGAAGGGCGGTGGAAGAATGGCGTGAATCAGCTTGCATTGTATTGACATATCCTTTGATAGGTCGGGCAATACTTGAATGAGACGTATGGACGTCCTTTTCTGGTTGAGCGATTCATGTTCGAATTTGGTGGGTTCGGGATGTACAGTCCTGCAAAGGGTGTCCACTCTAGTCGACATTTAGAACGCACAAGGCCTTTGTTGTTGATCGATTAGTCTGATTTCGGGATTATCCAAGCTTGTATAAGATGAAAACATGTTAGGGGTTTACCCTACGCTATATGGGCTCAAATGAGCTGAAGTTGATACCCATGTCAAGGGTTGCACGTAGTGGGCTGTGTCAGCTACACCGCCACACCTGCGGTCCGTGAGATGGAGAACTGGCCGCGGTTCAGACATTGGCTAGCAGCTAACAGCAACTGCATTTGCGATGTTCTTACTGTCGAAATAACAAAAGAGGTGTTGAATATAGGCACTGACCACCATTTCCTCATGCGTTGAGGTTTGCTGTCCGCAGGATTGCCCGATCTTTTAGCAGAAATTGAGAACCAACTTTTGCGACGCGCGACAACGGCTAACTACCTACGAAATATCCAGCTGTCGCATCTCTTCTTATCTCAGAAAGCAAGTATCGAGATGCGATAGCCTTTCGGTTATCGTTTCCAGGTATTTGGTGACAATTATGAGTGTGGTGGGGACAGGAAGTGAGAAGTTGAAGTGATCCGAGGTGTGCCCAATCGTCAGGTTCACAGCAGGGCACCCGTCTCATCGTGCGGGGTCACACCAACACCCACCACATTGCTTATATACCCGCCGAGTATGTCAGTATCAACCCATCCGCCTACTTAGTGCTTTGCTCAAAACAAATTATTCACATGCGGTCAGAAAATAGACAATGATGTCGTCGCCATCCTGGCCAATGAGGGCACAGCAGCTATATGTACCGTTTTCTATCCTAACATCCCTTCCCCCTTTTACTCTACCGTCTTTGAATCTCATTAGAGAAGTTGGATAACGTGCAAATCACCTTGGTACATCCGGCCATCCTCGTCATCGCTGCATTCGACAACATATTTACCTTTATTCATCGTTCTTGGTGATTTTTTTCTAGACTCTGTCGTGTTTCTCATCGCCCGCCGTGACAGTCTCCATGACCTCATCATCGCTATCCGCAAACGCCTTTTCGCCAAAGGCAATCGCAATCTCCTCCAAGCTATGATTCGCTGTCTCAACATAGTAGAAGTGCGCCAACCCAGCCGAGAAGAGACAGAACCCCGCAATGACAAGGTAAAAGTACCCACCAATACTGGCGAAAGCATCAGGAGAAACCATACCAATGAGGAAATTGAATATCCAGTTCGACGTAGTAGCAAGCGCCATACCCTTGCTACGCCCTCGAAGTGGGAAGATTTCTGCCGGTAATAACCACGGCATTGGGCCCCACGTAAAGCCGTATAGAATGTTGTATAACATGATGAATGCGTACTGACCATTGGCGCGGGTCGTGATTGGCATGTTCGCTTCGGTGAAGGCGCAGACGACGCCGAGGAGGACTGCCATTGAGACGCCGCCAAGAATGAGGAGAGGCTTGCGACCCCATCGATCTGCTAACCACCAGGTGGCAACCGTAGCTGCAGTGTAAGGAAGTGCATTTGCAGCAGTGTAGAGAAGCGATTTCTTGTCGTCGAAGCCAGCGGAGGCTAATGTGCTGGGCAGATAGAAAGAAATGATGTTAATGCCGTTAAGCTGAGCAAACATCTGAACAGTGATGCCGACGATGGTGCGCTTGCGGTAGCGCGTGAACATTTCCTGGCAAAAGACAATTAGCGACGTGATTTTAAGACCCAGAGGTCGTTGTGAAACTCACCATCCAGCCGGCCTTGCCCAACTCAGCCTCGTATACAACCGCTTCTTGAATCTCCAAGAATACTTTCTGGACATGTTCAGCCTCAGTGTCGCCGCCGGAATGCAGATCTGCCACTGTTTGAAGACTCTCCTCCATGAAGCCGTTTTTGGCGAGCCATCTCGGTGTCTCCGGAAGGAAGAAAGACATGACCACCAAGATTAGCGATAGTAGGATCTGGATGATGAACGGGCCTTGCCAAGACATGGCATCCGGGAGCATGAAGTGAAAGCCGTAATCGACCCAGCAGGACAACATGTACCCAGCAATCAGACAGGTGTACTCGATGCCCACCATCAGACCTCTAGCATGCGGGGCTGCAATCTCAGTTTGAATTATAGGGACGGTCATGGAAAGGAAGCCCACACCCAAGCCTTGAATCGTACGACCAGCGACGAAGGTAGCGAAGCCGGGAGCAAAGATTTGGATAAAAGCGCTGAAGAAGTAGATGATTCCGCCGAGGCGAACAGTCCTCTTGCGGCCAATCATATCGCCAAGTCGACCCGCGATGAGAGCACCTACAGCAGCGGAAGCTTGCAGGCAGGCAACAGAGATGCCAGTGATAGAGGGATTGACAGCGGCTGTGCTACCGTCGGCACCGCCATACTGGCTGAAGAAGCGCTTCACGAAGACTGGGTTGACGAGTAGACCAGACATAATACCTAGCGGTGTTAGCAGACGCCTTGTTGGAAAGCCGAGGTCAACGTACCGGAGTTGTAGCCAAAAAGAGCATCACCAAGACTGCCAAACCCGCATGTTGCAAACAGTAAGGCCTTCCCCTTGATGGGGTATCTGGCAGTGATCTTCTTGGGCTTCAGCTTGCTCTCCAGCCAGCCTTGCTCAGCCTCGACTTGACTAGCGACCTGATTGGCTCGCTGATGGATGTTGGCACTCTGGCTAGCGACAGAGTTGTTTCGAGCAGCCATGATGAAAGGCGGGAGTACTTGAAGAGGAGCGTCGAGAACGTATGTACTATCGTACGGATATTGAGAGGATGTGTCCTTGTGATGGAGAAATCTGGGGGCATTCAGCATCCTTATCTACCCCAGGTTTTACTACCCCATGGAGAGAAATCAACGACAACAATTCGTGAAGTTGAAGTCGACTGTCATACGGTTCCGGTTGGGCTTGGTAGGGCCCATGGTTTATGACTACTCGTACATGTCTTCCGAAAGAGAGCAGTTACTTCGAAACATCGATTGGCCAATCACGGTGACTTTGGAGAGGGGCCGCGGAACCGGAACCGTGCAGATTCTCTGGGCGGCCGGAACCGATGAGGCTGGGCTGTTGCATATGAGCCGCCGGAACCGAAGCGTTACCGGGACAGCACCTTCGGTTAGATCCAAGTTACAGCCCAGATGATCGAAATAGTGGACCGGGCCGCCACATAGCAATCTAGAGACTGCTCAACTTTACAATGGCTATGTCTGCTCAGGTCCTTGGTGTCAATTCTATCATATATAGGCCCGCCATTGATCGAGGGATGCCCGAAAGCAGCACGGCACAACATTGGATCCTGCTTCCTGCAACTTTGGTCACCACTGTACTCAAATGCAGCAAAGCTTTTCAAAACCATCTTTGTCGCACGCGAAGCACGGATTAATAGATGCTTGCGGGATGATGGTCATCGCATTCATGACTGAGATCCGCTCCAGATAGAGTCCCAGAACCAGTATAGCCCATTTCCTGTCGCATCGACACCGTCGTCGTCGTTGACCCAGTCTGACTCGCCTCCAAAGTTGAAGCTTTGCAAGTCAGTATGGGACCATTCATCGGTACTGCCTGCGGGGAAGTGGCTTGCGACATCTTGACGCTGCCCAAGCCCCTGGTTGCTAGCGTTATCGTCACCGTAAATTCCGTCAAATCCGGCAGGTAATACTAATTGTAGCATTCATATCAGCATATGTTATTCCACAGATGTAATTTGTGAAGAATATGTACCTCTTTGAACGGAAGCAAGACTTTCGTTCAACCGTAGAACCCGGTCTGCTCTACTATATGATCGGCCCTGTTGACTGTTGACTATGCCCGCTGGTAGCTGAAGTGGTAAACGGAGAGTATCCTCAACGGACATTAGCGTTGCTTCCGACTGCAACATCGTTCTGTCATCACCATCAACCGCGTGTGTTTCCTGATCATAAACTGGGGCCAACATAGCATCAGTTTCCCGGCGTAGGAGCAGTTGAATGACATCTTTTAGCACAATATTGCTCTGCATCGAGAGTTGAGTCTTCTTGCCAAGAAGCTCTTGCAGCCGAAATATACGCGTGATAGTTCTTTTAACTTCTTGCGCTCTATCAGAAAGCGGGTCGGACAAGGCCAGAACAGCCATGACAATAGCGGAGTTGAACAGATTGATGGCTAGAAATGCAACCAGATGGCTGTCGGTGGCTAGCTGAGCGAGTTGCGGCATCTCTGTCACTTTTGACGTCCGTAGTGCTGCATCCCACCACTGTTCAGTGCTTGACATGTGCGACCCGGACAAAGGGCTATTGGTACTGGTCGTGAAGAATGATGATGGTGTATGCGTGAGACCCGAGGGTGATTGCGTCGCGACCTGACCGTTGTCGGGTTGGTTCCTGATGAGTTGGTCGACTTGTTGTGCCAACAACGGTCGATGGAAGATGATAAGTAGGTTGTCAAACGTGAGCTGCAGGGACAGTGCTTGTAGCCGATGCACTTTGGACGTTTGTAACTGGTTCGGCTCACAATCAGAACTCATGTCGAGTAGTAGATGGGGTGGCAGACGCCGGCGCCATGCCCACAGCTTTTCAGTCACTTCCATAATTTGAGTCATGTACTGGGGTCCTGCAGATGGTCCGCTTGATCCGACGGCGCGCATGCCGAAGATGATCTCGATGATCGGTGACGCGATTAGGTATAATTTGTTGAGTTCTCGCTGATAGGAGGAATAACAGATCGAGATATCGGTGCTCGTACTGCGTTCTGGCTTGAAACATGGCGACTCACATGTATCGATCGGATGCGTGACGTTGCAATCTTTGTCGTTGATCCCAAGAGGCCTGCCATAGGTAACTGAGGCAAATCTATACGAGTCAGCTAAGCTTGTTATTTCAATGTTTATCGTTGTTGCGCATACCTATCCCAGGTGTAGATGGTCCACCAGACCCTCTTCCTCTCTTCAATGCTACCAGGATCACCTCGCAGCGGTTGCCGATGAAGACCAATAGCTTGTGCCGTTCTTATAGTGGCGCCTAGTAGTGCAAACGAAAGGTTAGGTTTGCCATGGTAGACGTAATAGGAGCCAAGCAAGATGCAAGCTTGAACAGATGCGATCGAGCTTTGATCCATCAAATCCGTGAGCTGGGATCCAGTACCCTGTACTAGCGAGAGTGACCATGCTCGCCAGTCCTCGTCTGGAAAGTCCGCATCAACTCCGGCTCTATGAGACTTATACCATGCTCCCATACCAATAACTGTTGATAATAGTAGGAGAAATGACTTCTGTGAGGGATGAACTAGACCGTCTCGGATAGACTCGACCTTGGACCGAAACCGCGGCTCGAATATAACGAGCGAGAACCAGTGCACCGAGTTGAAATACTCTTCAAGCAGTGTGTAAATCATGTCCATAGGCGGTAAAGGATATCCTAGGACGGACAATATTGGACGCCTTTGGGTGCGATCTAGGCGAGATGCTGGGTGCCTATTGTAGACATCGCCGCCCGGTATGGCGGAAGTTATTCGCTTTAATGTAGGCTGGCTGCCCAGTTGGTACATTTTCTGCGCGATGCCCATCGCAGAATCCAGCTCGCCTTCTGCTATGCTTGGCCGCCTGCTCTCTTCAATGTCGATGACGTCAGGCTCGATCGCTCTACGAGAGTCGCCATGGTTTGGAATAAGGTCCTGCTCTCGAGAAGTCTCTCGCAAAGGACCTTGCGTACGCTTCCTTTTCAGCACACGGCTAGGAGCTTCGCCGCTAGCGAATGAGCATTCGATGTTTGCTCGAACGCAGAGCGAGCATGGCCGGAATGGATCGCACTTGTTGTGCCCTCAGCCAGATGCGCAACACTCGCTATGGATGAGGAAAACTGACTCGGCTCTTGTTGCGACGGCACCTTTCGCACGCATTGCTCACTCGGGTCGGGAGCTGACGAGGCCCAGATTTGTCCGAAGCAACAGGGAACGCCATAATATATTTACCACGATGTGCTGCGAAACGGTACACGAAACGGGAGAACAAGATGCAGCAAAAGGAGAAGCTTCCCCGCAATACCAAAGGGCCGAAATGAGCCCGACAACGCCTGCACACGAACTTGGCCCTGACATTTAGACTCTTGTCCCAGAAAGATTCTTCGGATTTGAACAACTACCAAAATAGCTATTCGCTTTGAAAACGCCCTATAACTATGAGAAATATATCCCTACACGACCTACGAGTCCATGGAAGAATACCTGGACCCAAGGAGTCACCGCTACCAAAGGTCGGCTTCCTAAGACTTCGACCACTTCGTCGACCAAGGTCCGTCCAGATAGCGAGCGAGCATTTTCTCTACGGCTCGGTCACCATCAAAGTTGATGGATACAATTCGCCGGCACCACTCTCACGGAGCCATCCTTTTCAACATACGCCCAGCCTTTTCTTGCGTAATTATTGTGAACTCTTACCCATTCCCCCATCATAATCGAATGCTCCGTATCATTATGAGCAGTATAGTCTTTTACGACTACGGCATGTAATTTCTTCTTCACTGGCGTACTATCATTTGCTCTCGGAGTAGCGAGTACTTCGTCGGAAGTCGAGGGGGGACGCTCAGGATGCACATAATCTTTTATCTCGTCTTGAAGTTGATTGTGTCCGACGCGCTCGCCGTTATACATAATCGAGAATTCAAGCGCGACGCCGATGACGCTGACTTCGAGGTCATAGTGTACTTCTTTGTATGTATGTCCGTTGGCGCCGGAGTGTTCGTTGAGTTTGGTTATATCGATAGGTAACGTCGTTTCGATGATACAGCTTCGTTTGACATTATCGTCTCTTCGTGATGGTGGGGTCATTGAGTCGCAGGCGTAGATAGAGACAGCAATTGTTGCAGTGGTAGGGCCGCCCTTAGTCGGGACGGACTCCCGCCATGGTAACAACGAATAAGGCTTTGTGTCAGGGATCTTATCCCCCTGAATGTCTGTCAGATTTATTCTTCAACATTAAGACATGCTAGAGCATACTTTTCGTAGATACCATATCATCTGATTCTTCGCATAGTAAGTACCCTTGAGTTCATACCAAAACATGTCCTGCTGAAGATGAAACTTAGGATCAAATTGTGTATGAAATCTTGTCCCGTAGCTACATCTGAGTATTCGAGATAAGACGAGTGGGCCGGGTAGCGAGGAATTTGTCAGTGCCTTCAGCACAGCGCCGCGACTGATCGACGTCCATCTACACATGCATGATCAACCCTCATCCTGGCAGCATCAATTGATACAGGAAACTTACGGTTTCATGCCGGTAGATTGGTAAACATCGATACCGCGATGCTTGTTTTCTAGCTTGAGGGTGTTGAACAGGTATCTACAACTGCCAAAGCCGCCTACCAGAATCACAGCCTAGGACTAGATTAGTGTTGAAACTAAGAAGCTATCCTAGATGCACTATGCCTTTGGGAGGTTTCCCTCTGTCGTTTCAACAATATCGATCTGGTCGTTAACAAGCTCTTGAATTTGCGAAATCACGTTGTCGAAAATTTCCCTGATGTGACCTCTATAGTTTTGAATCAGCCTGACAGCTATTGCGAATAAGACGACTCACTGATTCAAAGTAATAATATGCGGAGCGCCACGCTCGATACACTCATACGGGAGCCGTATCTTCCAATCTTTGCTTTGCCCCTCAAACCCTCTCTTAATCCCATTTTCCCATTGCGCATTCATCATATCTTTGATTGCGGATCTCTGCACATTCCACGCGTCACCAACTAACTGCTTCATGAGTGCCTCAAAATCTTGATCCAAAAATACAGCTCCGCATAGTTTTCCCTGGCCTTCGACACACTCTGCCAAGACCATGGGGTCTGTCTCCCGGACTTTATAGCTAATGAGATCAACAGTACCACCTCCAGCATCGCAGACGACGAAAGTGTCTCCTTTTTTGAAATTTGGCCGCGCCTTTAAGTCTTCTAGTGTTGCTAGTGCTGCAGCCTCCGGCTCGGAAATGAATCGCAAGGTGGTTTGACCCGCCAGTCGATCCGAAATTATTCCAGCGTCTTTTGCAGCTTGTCTCATTCTATCGACCGCCCGTGTTGTCCACACAGCGGGAACGGTGCATACAACTTGGAACTGCAATCCTTCAACTACAACGGGTCCGAAGTCTTTTTCAATATTAGAGATTGCATGATTCCAGAGTAAGCGAAGATAATCTCCAACGGCCTGAACAGGGGTCTTCCCGGCTTTCTGGAGGCATTTCCGTGCCTTTTTGATCTGAGGAGAGTGTTTCTTCTCTTCAGTCAGATCGTCCTCGTCGAGGAGTAAAAGTTTGAACCATTCTGCTACTTCAGTATCCTCGACCCCGTATCCCCAGGTCACTTGTGTCGGGGCACTATCTCCCGAAATATCGACGAGGCAATCTGGTTGTGGCTGGCCATATGCTATTCTGGTGGGTGCCTTCCCTTTGTCTGAATTCTGAAACTCGATACAGTCCCAGTCTGTAATGATTTTGATATCGTCTGGTTGCTTTGAGTATGCCCATGCCACGCCAGAATATCTATGGGTGTTAGCGCTGTCTTATGATGAATTCGTTGAGCTTTTTACGTTGTTCCAAAGTCAATACCGATCAAAAGAAACTCCTCTTCAGGTTCTTGGTCGTCATTATTTGTGCTAAGATCCTTCTCCTGCTCCTCGCTGTCCTTCTCGTTGAGCGACAAATTTGCGACTGTGGCCGGGGTCAATATGGGTGTTATGATACTCTCTCCAATATCTGGAACGAGAGTCGAAGGACCTGTGATATCTTCATCGCTAGCTGTAACCGCTAATTTTTCGTCCACGGGGCCTTTCATTGACCTTCTCTTGCGATCGCTCAGTTTTTTAAATAGGCCCATGACTAATTCTGCAAAATTACAACACGAGAACAAAGGCAGCCATAACAGTAAACTTCAAGAGATCATACATGAAGCTATTTGCAGATAGCGTTGAAACAAAGTCGCCGCTTAGGTGAGGCTGAAGTCAACCTTGAGTTGAGCCCTTCGCTTCGGATCCATTTCGCGAGTGCCTCCACCACGTTCTGTAATTGGTCAGCTGTGTTGAGTTGTATGCAGCCACAATGCCAGCATTGTCATTTGGGTTGTGGTCTAGGCTAACTATGTGTCATGACTGGGGTAAATCAGGCTTGATGGCGAATAGTAAGGAGCAGCGATATCTGGAGGACGAGTGGGGTAGTCGGACGAGTCTCTTTGAGCTCTATCAATCACATCTCAGGCTCCACACAAGTCTGATTTAATAGGCTGAGACTCAAAGTTCCGGGGCCATACATTTACTTCATGAGTGGCGAAATTGGTGCTTGCCTGAAGGCTGTACGCCAGCCACCAATACTGCCTTGCATATTGTGTGAGTGAGAATAGTGCGACTGCGATACCCTTGATCAGATCACCGTGGGATTCCTCTAGCCTTGTACAAACAACACTTACATTGCGACACCAATATAACCCCATTACACAAGCCAACGAAACAGCCTTTGCGATAATGGTGCCAGAAGACGATGCAGAATGTGGGATGATACTAGTTATGGGCGTGACGGGCTCGGGGAAGAGCTATTTCATTAACAAGCTTGCCCAAGGCTCAGTCACAGAAGGGGCCGGACTTCGATCTGGTGAGCACAACAGACCACATAATGCTTGGGATATACTGATTACCCGTAATAGAAACGGAGACTTGTCAAATCGTCCGAGTCGGTGTGGGACGACATGAGGTGGCAGTAGTTGACACGCCTGGCTTTGATGATACCACACGCTCCGATGCCGAGATCCTCGAAGAAGTCACTGAATTCCTCTGTACGCAATATGAACTCGGAATACCATTGAAGGGCATCATATACATGCATCGAATAACCGACAACAAGATGTCGGGATCAGCACAACGATATTTCGAGATGTTTAATTGTCTTTGCGGCGAGCGTAACTTCGGTAACGTAGTGCTTCTCACGACAATGTGGAGCGAATTGAAGGAGGAGGGAAAGGGACTGGAACGGGAGCGAGAGTTGCGCAGGGATTTCTGGAATGCCATGAGCGCTAAAGGATCGACTATTCGCCGCTTCGATGGAAGTAGTTCCATGGCCGGCGCATTCATTTGCAGACTGATGCGGAAGGAGAACATTGTTCTCGATATTCAGAATGAGCTGGTAGAGCAGGGGAAGCGCCTCGAAGAAACGAAAGCTGGTAAAGTACTTGTGCCGCAGTTGGAGCGTCAAATTGGCGAAGCAGGAGAAAGGCTTGAGTCGCTTGCCAAAATCATTGATGAAGCAGACGATTCTGAGAAGCTGGAGATACGACGCTTGAAGAGACAGCGCGGGTCAATCGAAGAACAGCGACAGGCCAAGTTGCATCAACGACAGAAACTGCAGAAGCGCCTGGGTCGCAATGTGGCTGAGAAGGTTGAGGGCGAGAAAAAGGAAGGCAATTGGAAGAGCAAATTGACGCTTTTTGGGTCAATGCTAGGGTTGGCCATATCAGCGACAATTAATATTATACTTCCATTGGCAGGAGTGATATGATAACAAAGAACTGATGGACTGACGGTAGTTGTGTTGGTAGCGCCTAAATGTATTCAAAACATTGTTAGTCAGTGATCCGCTCGTAGGATTGGAATGAAAATATTAACCACATATTTCCGAGCTATCCATTCCATCAGTCCACCAGGGTAGCAAAGCATCATCGGCGTAACAGGAGGCTGTCTTCAATTGCGGGCTGTTATCATGAGCATTCCTATAATGGCGAGGCTGAAGTTTACTTTCAGGCGGCTGAGGTCCAGCTAAGCCTAGCGCTTCGGGGCTAGGCAGGCTGAGCATGCATAAGACCTGGACAAGCTGTACTTCACTTCTGGCCGCCCGTTCCTAGCCTTCCCCCGCCATGGTTCATATCGGCACATCATCGCTATCTTCGAAAGCGTCGAAAATTAGGAAGAAGGTACTATCCCGTGGCCAGTTAATGGAATTTCGCAACCTTCTCATCGAATAGCACTGATGATGCACCCTAGAATGCTAAGTCTGGTGGAAAAGATTCAAAGGTAGCTCCGGAAACCTTGAGAGAATCTTTGCCTAGAATTTCGACAGGAGAACAGGCTAGGCTTGCGAGCCGATCATCAGATCCCGTTAATCCTTGGGCAAAGAGACTTTCGACGGGTGTTGCAGAAAAATCCGAAGATTGCCAAATGCGGGGTGCCGACGGTGGAAAATTGCCCCAGCATCCAAAAAAAGGGGTACCTGAATCGGCAAAACGGCCATCGCTAGAAGAAAAGGGTTCACAGTGTGATAAAAATGTCCTCGAGAGTGCGGCTCAGAATCGAGACGCTGATGCTGATTTTCCAGAAGAGGGCCAGCAACCGTTTCAGGCAGTGCAAGAGCATAAGTGGAAGCAAACGCTCGTCGAGTCGCAGGATAGCCAGCGACAGCTGCTCGTAAAAGTGCAGCAGCTTGAGCACCAGCTGGTACAACAGAGCCAACGATGTATTGAATTGGACCGAGCTTGGAAGAAGTCGACTGCCCTGCTAACTCAGCTGCAAGGGCAAGATCCACACGACAAAGTAGACGACTCCACCCTTCAAGGCTTGTATAGTGGGTTGGTATTCGATGTTTCCAACTGGTCAGCAAGCTTCTGCCGCGGCCGCTCCATGCGCATCGTTGATACAAAGAGGCCAATGCTCCACAGCCTGAGTCCGGCTTATGCAGTCTACATCCATGACGAAAAGCTTCGACCGTTTCTCCTTCAGAGCTTGCTCATGAGACTGCTGGTGAAAGAGGTGCTGAATTTCGACTCTGACGGCGGCCTTTGGTGGGCTGGAGGCCTGTGCAAGCCACTACGACAAATCTACACCGAGCTCATGCCTTGTGAGTACAGTAATACTAGCCAAAATGTGATCATTTCACTAAAGAAACACAGTCGAGCTTCTCGAAGACCCGGAATCGAATCAACTCTCACAGCTCGCAGAGATCCGTGACTACGCGAGATGGAAGGCGAACGGCGCGCTTTTGATAGGAAAAAGAGCCGAGAGACAGGTCGTGAATACGGGTATCGATAGGGTGGTATCAAAGTTCAAGCAAGACTTGTATTTGTACGTGCCAGCCTCAAAGGACGAAGTCTGGACGGAGCTGCGAGAGATCGTGGCCAAGGCAGTGATGCTAGACGAGGAGATGAATAAATCGAGAGCTCTACTAACAGTCAGTGACTGGGGTGAAGAGGACTTCAAGTGGATGCAGTTTGACGAGGCTTGCATGGAATCCGCGGTCGGATTTGCAGCTGCGCGCCCGGGAATGTCGGTGGAGCTTGTCCTGGCGCCCGCCTTAGTCAAGACGGGTACCGCAGATGGTGAGGCGTATGACAAGATGTCTTATCTTTCCAAGTGGAGAGTGATTTGTAGTGATAGTAGAGAAAGATGATGATTGACCGAGGATTACTAGGTTGGGAAACAGACAAAATCTGAGGAGGCCAATATGCGGTAGAAGTCACAAGCTTATGTTGGGTACCTCCCAAGACTGGCAAGAGCCCCAGAGGTATTCCTAAGCGTACGCGATCTCAAACCTTTTCCTTTCTTTCTTGCTCTATAAGGCAAGTTATGATCGCGTTCATCCTTACTTCCTTACACTCAAAGTATCTTCATAGAAGCAGCGATAGCTCAACTAGGGCCTAGACGCTTTGGGAATCCTCTTATGAATCCTGCGTTATTCGTAATTGTAGTCTACGATCGCAATGTAAGGTGACGTCGTGATGCCAGATGCTATACCTGGAGGCAACACTCCCACCTGTAAAAATATGGAAAATAGCATTTGTGCGCTACGAGTAGCGGAGTGAGCAATTATTGGTGTTGAGGCGCAAGAAGCAGGGTAACGGCCCGATCACATCGCACCTTCCCTCACCCCGCTGACCACAAATCAAATCCCTGCAGGCATCCGTCAATCGGGCTTACACGCACAAATAATGCGCAAGGGCCCCTACTGCTACTTTCAAATCATCCGTCTCTTTGTTTTTGTGTGCACACGACCTGTCTTACCCCTATGTAAAATGACAAGTTGCTGCGGCATAGTCGAGGCTGGCTGGTGACGGTGAACATGGATTGAATTATTAGTACAGTTGGTCGCTCGGACGGTGCTTCTGTTGAAACGTATGGTCGTTACCATTTATAGTTGTTCACTCTTGTATTCAAGCCACCCATCGAGTTTTAGTGGTTCAGTTCCAGTGGTTCAGATTGCAACACCGCCTCTACAATCCGACAGAGGGTTGTAGCGAGCTGTGAACTACCCTTTTCTTATTCTTATTATTCTCCTCTCTACAGTCAGTTGTTCCAGCTCTGCGACACAAGTCCCTCTTCACCATCTCACAATGCTAGCCAAAGCCCTCGCCTTCCTCTTTCTACTATCAACAGCCCTCGCCCTACCAAATGTAACCATCAAAGCCCTCCCCGCCGGCTGCGTTTCGTACCCAGGCTACAATGCCAATACACATAGCGCAGGTCCATGGGCTTTCAGCCTTGTCGACAGCGACAATCCTGCGCTCGAAGGCTTTGGCGACAACACCGCCTTCTCGGTGTCCAACTCGCCTGAGACAGGACCTGTCATGGAGCGGGGATTTGTGAGTATCTCTTATGATCACCCTAGTTTCGCACTATACTTTAACTCCTGCATACTGGCGACTAGCTCAACAGGTAGTACTGGGGTGTCGCCGCTTCTTAAGCATGATTACCCGCTCGTGCGAGACATGCACCAGCGCTAACAGCCATTTAGCTCACGATTTACCACCGTAACACCGTCGGCACACCCCTTCAGTGCATGGAAAAAGCCCTTTACGTGTACACGGAACCCACGCTGAACAGCAAGGGTGTACCTGTCGGCGAGGATTGGACGCCACTCGTTCTTTCCCCGTTTCCCCACAACGCAAGTCTGGTATATCTGGCGGACGGGCAGCAGCCTAGTCTGTACGAGCATTACGTCCAAGGAAAGAAGCAGGGTGACGTCTTCGTAGGAGGGTATAATACGACGACTTGGGGAGTGCAGTGGAGTAAAGAGGGTGAGGGGTCTATGAAAGGTCCCTACTTTCATCTCAGACTGCTACCCGAGGGCCAGGGGTTGAAGGTGAATGAGACGAAGACGTTCCTTAAGATTCAGCTGTAGGCGCTGGTGAATTGGGATAGTCGGAGGTGAACGATATTGGGGCAGCGTCTAGGTTGAATCAGAGACACTGTGGTTTTGAAATTGCATGTTAGTCAACATAGAACGAGTCGTCAAATTCTGTCACCACCTAACAGCTGTTGAACTTTGGAACAGAAATTTGACAGTAACCACTATACAACCCGTCAAGACAACTAATTATCACGCTCGCCTTGCCGTCTCAACATCCTCGCTGTCCTGCCTTGCAACATGCTTTCTCTCCCCCGTAACAACAGCCACATCCTCATCAGCCGCAACATCAAAATTCCGCCCCCTATATTCCGGTCCAAGGAATGTCAACAAGATAACATACGCATACACGCAGCCCATGAAGATGCAAATGACCAAGCCATACTTGAACCGCGTAACCTTGCCCTTGGGCGGTAGAGGAAACCGCTCCCCAATGGTAGCTTCGATAGTCGAGGAAGCCGAGGAGACAAGGTTACCAAGCTGGTAGGATGTTCCTACAACAAAGGTGCGGAAGCTGCCTGGGGAGAGTTCCATGAGGTGAATCGGTATAACACCCCATGCGCCTTGGACGCAGAACTGCTGGAAGAACGCTGCGGCAATAACGGCATTGCTGCTTACAAACGTATACGGATAGAGCAGTGTGCCTCCGAGAATGCACATGCAGATGATACTAATCCGTCGACCGATGATAGAAGACGTATAGCCAATGACTGTGCCGCCCGTCATGGCGCCGAGATTGGCGATGACTTGCGTGACGGTGACGCGATTAGGGGAGAAGCCGTATTGATTCGACAGCATCGTGGGATACAGGTCCTGGCTGCCGTGGGACATGAAGTTCATGCCGGCCATTAACAGGACCATGTAGATGAGCAGCATCCAGTGTCTCTTCAGCGCCACCTTGCCCTCCTGAACAAACATCTGAGCGGCATTTGGTTCCTCTTCACGGAGACGCTTGCGCTCCTGGTACGCTTGTGTTTCGGGTAAGCAGAGGCGGAAGATAATGATGAGTACAGGCGGCCCTGCGCCGAACCAGAATAGCGGGCGCCATTCGTGCCCGACGGTGTTGACGAATGCCCTGGCGAAGACGGTGGCGAGCAGGTAGCCGAATGCGTAGCCTTGTTGCAGCATGCCGGAAATTATACCGCGAGCTGCTTCAGGGCAGTCTTCGAGAGCTATGGTACCATTAGTGATCGATTCCTTGACCCAGATCTAGATGTAACGAAGTCCGGGAGAAGGGTGGAGAACTAACCAGTCGCAGCAGCATTTCCATACAGACCGCCCATTGCGATACCAAACAACGCGCGTACACCCAAGAACTGCGTGTATGTAGTGCAAAACCCCGTGCCTAGTTCGAGTACTATGAAGAGAATATTATTGACAATGAACGGCCACTTCCTGCCATATCGATCGGCTGCCAGCCCAAAGATGATACTGCCCACGCTTCTCAGCATCAACACCAGCGTGATACCCCACGTAATGTCCGCCTTCTTCTTTCCGAAGCTTTCAGCTAGATCCTCGACGGTCAGAGAGACAGTGAAGAAGTCAAACGCGTCCCACGTCCATGCGAAGAAGGCGACCAGGAAGAAGAGCCATTGCTGCAGATTCAACATCCGGAGCAGGGTAATTGGATTTGGTACTTTGTCGTGGGCGGGCTTGAGGGTAGGCAGGCGTGTCGCGAGATAACGTCCTGCTGACATGTTCTCTGCAGGTCGGACATACTCGCGCTGCTCATCGTGGTATTTTTCATCTGCCATGGTTGGTAGCCTTGCAGACGATGGCTGCAATGACGAGTGCTCTGATTTTACAATGATGTGCGTCGTCGCAGGTCTGACGGGATTTGACTGTTCGTACTCGAGGTAATCAGGCTCAACCCCAACAATGTGGCGATGATCCCCTGTCGTCCCTGGAGAAAGGATGATAGCAGGCTGCTAGTTGTCCCCCCTCGTAGCGGGGAAGCTCCACCTTTTGAACCCAGCCCATCTAGTCAAGATGACTCTTTATCAGTCTACCGGCCGAAAGTGCGCATCCTGATAACGCCCCTGTGACCTGCGGGTGTAACGTACTGCACAGTCGCCATCCTCATGACGTCCCCGCAACCCCGCGTAGCGAAGAGCGGCCCAATAGCGGAGTGGAAAGGCGGGATGGTGGGCTCACTGAGGTTAGAACACGACACAAGCCGGACGCCACGGTCAGGGTTGTTCTCCGACAAAACTGGCTAAGGGAAATAAGCGTTGCTTGGCTGGGGAAGGACGGCATAAAACGGCGGGGAAAAGCTTTGTCAAGGAACGCCTTGAAAAGCTTGGTTGGCATCAGTTGTAGCTTGCATTACGGCGCGGGGTAGCTGTGAATGCAACTTGCGCCTTCTTCCAATGTTCGGATTTCTCAATCTTCGAGATAATTTATACCTCTATGTAGAATTAAGTGTTCTTTTATTTGCATCCCTTTACGTATCTTGTCAGAGAACATACCAGGTATCTCACTAGCGGCCAACACACCACCAAGATTCCAATGTCCCCCCGATCTAGGGCAAACCCGGAGTATCAAACACGACTACGAAATCTACCAGGAGATGAGCGCGGGGTTATAGACCCAGCAGTGCCTTAACTAGTTCCAGAAGCAGTGAGATTATCCCGAGTGCTTCCAAGGTTTAAAACGTGCGCCTGAACCGTGGCGCGCGCTACCAAAAAAAAAGAGTTACCCCTTGCGGGTCGGTCGGGATCAAGAGAAGCAGGGTGACCTCGGCAATGGGAGCTAGAAGGTTTGTGGTTCCGCGTGCGAGATCGATCTATGAAGAGGGGTCTAGATATCGGACAGGGTGAATGATGCTCCGCGTACGAAGCGTTTAGCAGAGAGGAAAGGGGAACAGTTGGGCTGGCTCTTGAGGAAACTGTAGCGGAAGGAAAGCGTCAGGTGGAGGAGGAAAGGGTTAGTCGAGTGCATGGCAGCCCTCAATGATAATGGCGAATGCGCCCTCACACTCTGTCCTCACTACGTGACCTGAAAGTATGCATGATGATCCACGGTATAATATGCTCGGGGTGTAAGACCAAAATTTCCTTTTCCGTGGAGGGTTTCTCGTATGCTAAATTTACTTTCAAAATTGCCGGCCCAGAACGCCCGTCAAACAATGCGTACTATTCGCTAAATGCTCGACGTATAAACATACACTCACACTTGCAACTCATGCAAGTCCACCTCAAGCTCAGGCAAAGCCACTACTAACCGCCCTCGAACTACCCGCCTCACTGCCAAACTCCTCCGTCAACCGTTCCAGCTCCGTCATCCTCAGCGCCTCCTCGACGCTGTTGACAAAGTGTCGCGGTCCCCCGCACATGTCCACAATGCCGCTCTTGTCGAATAGCTCGTATACCTGGCTCCTCTCGCCGGGCACTCTGCAAAAGAAGACCCTCACATCGCGTTTGCGGTACGACTCGACAATCTCGGCGAGTACTTGTGCGCCAGCGCCATCTAGCGAAGTAACGCCGTGCACGTCGAAAATCACGTTCTTATTGTGTTCTGCGCGGCGGACGCGTGGGAGTGCGGGATGGGCTTTGTCTGTACCATGATCTTCAAGCCTCTTGAGTCGTGTCTTCAGGTTGCCCGTGTTTGCAAATGTCAACGGCTCGGGGATCTTCACGATGAGACATCCCTCGATAAACTCTACGCTTGCCGAGTCCATTTCGGCATTCGCGAACTGGTTCGTTGTACCCGGAACTCTGCCTAGGATCTGGATGCGCGGACGGACAGAGTGGCGGATAAGGCGCAGAATGGACAACCCGATGCCCACGCCGATACCGCGCTTGAGGTCCCAGACAATGGTGATGACGAAGATGAGGCCCATGAGGATGAGCTCAGACCATCCGCGTATGCGTAGGAAGAACTTGATATCGTGTGGTGCTTCCTCGACAAGCGAGTATGCAACGACTGATACCATGGCACAGAGGACGCCTTTAGGCAGGTAGTAAAAGTAAGGCAGAAGGAACACTGTGCAGAGGATGGTGATGAGGGAGAGCAGGACAGAGCTCATGGGTGTCATGCCGCCAGTTGATGCGTTGACTTTGGAGCGGCCATAACCACCGAACGCCGGGAGCGCCATGAACAAACCGCCAGTGATGTTGGCGGTTCCTAGTGCGATGAGTTCGCGATTTGCGCTAAGAGGCATATGGACGCCATCTTTGGTGTGGTCGCCGCTGCCGAGAGACTTTGCTGCTACAGAGGATTCGAAGAAGCCCAGTAGAGCAATGATGAGGGCGGTGTTGAGGGCGTCTGATGCGTACTTGAGATGCGAAGTCTCGAACGGAAAGTGGACGGAGAAGAGCTTGCCGCTTGTGTTTACGTCTCCGAGAACTGCGAGGCCTTGCTGGTCAAGACGATACCTCCAGGTGAGGACTGCAGAAAGGACGACAACCACGAACCGGTCAGGTATGTAGGCGACTGTGGGATACCGCGGCTGTAGCCTCTTCTTGAACTCTCTGTGATCATGTTAGTCGACACAGAGTCTAGGAACATGTGCACACATACCTGAAGAACATGATGATGGCAAAGGCAGTAAACGACATGGCGGCGGTAAGTCCATGTGCACGGCCAATGTTCTGGAATAGGAAGACGACCTTGTCGAGACAGCTTCCGTGAGAGACCTGGTCAGCGGCCAGCCTTGCCAGGCCCATCTCTGGGATCAATTGGTCCACGAAGATGACGACACCAATCGCGCTAATAAATCCTCTCAAAAATGGCCGACTCAGCACGTTGTCGAGAAAGCCTAGGCGGAAGAGTCCTGCAACGAGGATGAATGCTCCAGCCATGCACGTCACGATTCCAGCAATTTCAGCGTTTCGCCTGCCATCGTTGTCTCCCGTCGTGCCTTTCTTGATGTTGTCGCGCACAATCTCGCCGATCAGAAGAGAGCCAGGCGCCTCGGGCCCTACAATCATCTGCGGACAAGTGCCTAGGATGGCGTAGATGAGAGGGTTGAGAGCGAAACTGTACAGGCCGTTGACTGGCGGGACATGGGCGAGGTTGGAGGCGTACGAAAGCGCCATGGGGATGTAGAAGGACGCCATGGTGACTGCGGCGATCAGGTCGCCCTTGAAGTAGCGCCATTTGTACTGCTTGGTCCAGTTGAGCACGGGTATGTAGTATTGTAGGTACCTGATGCTGTCAGTTTTTTTTTTTTTTTTCCAAATGGTAGTTTCATGTGGTGTACGTACATCAAGCGCTTGTTCTTGATGCCGTGGCGCTCAGCAAGCCACCGGGTAGTGCTCATCTTCTGCCCGTTCCCGCTGTTGATGAGGCCATCCGCGAAGGCGTCGCCCAGCAGCGCATGCGTCGCATCTGGCGCGTCTCCCTCGACTGTCTCTGTGATGCCCGGGTAGGCACCATAACTCTGCTCCGAGTTTAAGCTTCCGGCAAAGCTCCCATAGTTGCGTCCCATGGCCGGCCGCGGTGACGTGGTGCCATGATTGCAATTGCTATCCCCGCAGCCTGACGCGGCATCCCAGTTCTGGTGGTTAAGCAAACGCGTGCGTACTGTCGGCTCGAGATCGACCTCTATTATGCCACCTTGCGGACCGACATTTTCGTGTGTGGAATGGACAGAGAGGGTTTCGGCAGCTGGCAGGATGCCGTCGGCAGAGATGTCGAGATGGCGCGAAGGGTCGCTGCTCGAGGGTTGCGGCTCGTCGTCGCGGTAGCGTTGGTGATGCATGAGTTCTTCGGGGGAGCTAGATCTGTCCGAGGGAACATGAGCCTGTCGCAGTTGGCTGGGCGTTGCTGGAGTGTGGGCATGACGGGTGCTCGCATTCGACGAGTCGCGCGAGTGCGAGGCTCTTCTGGGTGGACTGTCGTCTCCCGTGGTGGTCTTCTTGGGCGGCATCGTGTTCAGTCGCGTCGAAACGGTGAGTAATGGGTGTATCTTGGTTGGTCTAGGACTATCTCTCTCTCGCCCGGACGAGGCGATGATTTCTTCGTCGCGGCAGTCATAACGCTACGGGTGCGGCGTACATGAGAGCAAAGGCGCGGGCGTGGAGCGACATGGTATATTTTTTTGTCAACGGGCAGCATGCCTAGCTTCAAACGGCTCCGCGCTGTGACGATCCAGAGGCTTCGAGGTCATTCCGCTTCCAAGCCTAGTTGTACGCACGTGCGCGCAATGCCTTGGAGTAGCTGCCCCACTATCAAGTAATAAGTTACATCATTCTGGAGGGTGGGCAGCTTCGTGCAGACGACATGCCAGGTGCACCAAGGCTTCGTTCGCACTGGGTCTTGGAGACAATGGACGGCAGTGACTGAGAGCATCGCAAGCCGCCCTGCGCTCTTTGGCTGGATTTAAGAAGTTTGAGTGGCCCTGCAGTAGCGCCGCTCTCGGAGTGCTCAAATCCCATCTCTCAATAGCTCCTCACCGCCTGGGCAGAAAGCGATGGAGTCATTGAATTGTTCCGTACGCACTCTACTCTACTCCACACTCCTCCCTACACACTCCGATACCCCGTTGCAGCGCGTATATAGCTGTAGGTATATAGATCATACTTCCCTACTTGCGATTGACCCGTCACAGCTTCTTCACCCTCGCCATGGCATTCCCTACCCTTCACGCACGCGCAGAGGCCAAGCCGCTTGAGCATCGCTCTTGCCTCACACCCACGACGGCCAAGAAGCTGCTCGATGCCGGTTACCCGGTCCTCGTCGAGCGCAGCTCCAAGGACCCCAACTATGTCCGCATCTTCAAGGACGAGGAGTTCGAGCAGGCTGGAGCCACTCTGATCGAGGAAGGCGCATACAAGACGGCGCCCACCGACCGCATCATCATCGGACTGAAGGAGCTGCCAGAGGACAAGTTCCCTCTAGAACACACTTTCGTCCACTTTGCACATTGCTACAAGCAACAGGGCGGCTGGGAGAATGTCCTCGCAAGGTTTCCCCGCGGTGGAGGAACGCTATACGATCTCGAGTTCCTCCAGGACGAGTCAGGCAGACGCGTTGCTGCGTTTGGCTACCACGCTGGCTTCGTCGGGGCTGCTCTTGCCATCAAGGTCTGTTTGGGAACGGCACTCTCTGTGCTCACCACTAACATGTGACAGACATGGGCATGGCAACTTACCCACCCCAACGGCGAGCCCCTCCCCGGCGTCGAGACCTTCACCGACGGACGCGGATACTACAACAACGAGAGCGAGCTAATCGCCCAGCTCAAGGAGGATGTCGCCGCAGGTGAGAAGGTTGCAGGACGCAAGCCCACCAGCTTAGTGCTTGGAGCCCTGGGTCGCTGCGGCTCTGGCGCTGTTGACCTGCTGGAGAAGATTGGCTGCCCTGAGATCAAGAAGTGGGATCTGGCAGAGACCAAGGAGCGTGATGGCCCATACCCAGAGATCATTGACTCGGACATCTTCGTAAACTGCATCTACCTCTCCAAGCCGATCCCACCCTTCGTGAACAAGGAGAGCCTTGCATCACCAAACCGTAAGCTGAGCGTTGTATGCGACGTCAGTTGCGACACAACCAACCCCCATAATCCTATTCCTATCTACGACATCAATACAACCTTCGACAAGCCCACGGTTGGAGTCTCAGTCGAGGGCAATGGCCCCAAGTTGTCCGTCATCTCCATCGACCACCTCCCGTCAGCTCTTCCCCGCGAGTCATCGGAAGCCTTCAGCAACGCGCTCCTACCTAGCCTGATGGCGCTCAAGGACCGGGCGACAACGCCGGTATGGCAAGGTGCTGAGAAGCTCTTCCAGGAGAAGGTGCAGACCCTCCCTGGCGGTGTCCCAAAGAAGGAGGTTTAGATGTGAATGACACAACAGGGCTCCAATACAAGTAGACAAAAAGCATTAAATGGTAAACATTTGACTGATATCAAGCACAATTATTCTCTCTTCTTGTCGCCTGTTTGACGTTTCGTTTCTGCTGACCAATAGCTCAAAGGCCAAGATTGTGGCGTACAGCTGAACTATCAGGCTGCCATTTCACGGCTCACAAACTTACAGCCTTCTCACAGCTGTTGAATATTTTGGTTCCCGCACGATCGCTTCAAGCTCCAACTTACTACACTCTCGCCAGCATGGCCGATACTACGCCACTGGTCTATCAATACGATACACTGAACCATACGGATTCTATCCGTCTCCTCGAGCTCTTACCAGGACCTCCGAATTGACAATATTGTTCCAGTGTCGCTGGATCATTTTCAAACTACCCGACCCGCTTGCTGGAGCAGATCATTCATAATTGAAACTATAGGTCCTACATGTACGACATTATTATGAGGGGAACAGGTATACGAGAAAAAAAACAGCGTATAAGACGGTAAACTTGGTGTCACTTCTTGACACGCTTGTTGCTTTGAGGCTCGGGCTCCGTGCTTAGTCTCCTCTTCATGCCTGGTGGTGGACGCAAAGCTACGTTCTGTTGCGGGCCGTTTGCTTGTGGCTCCTCGTCATCTATTCCCTCAAAAAGTAAAGGCTCTCCAGGAGCTATATCATGAATTACTGGGTCAAGGCCGTTTGGCTGGTAGGCATCATCTGGCAGATGAGCGTTGCCTGGTAGAGGGGGTTCATCTGGGGCGTTGTCATTGTCCACCGGCGCGGCATCTGGACCCAATTGTTGTGCCCCTTCATATGCATCGTCTGGCCATTTAGGACTTCCCAAAAGCCCATTCAGTTCTTCATAAAACTTTGAGTCATCTAGCTCTATATCGCACCACTCGGTAATACTGGGGTACAATCAATCAGGGTAATAACAAGCTGTAAGTGCTTCAAACTTACTTGGCGTGTATCGAATCAATGCACTTGAAGAGAAATCCCGGCTCAAATGGTTTCTTAGCAAGCGAAGACTCATCGGTGAGACAGAACTCGATGGCGTCGCGAATCTTATCCGTATTAGGTCTTTCCAATAGCCTATCGAGTATGTCCTCCACGTATATGCGCGACCAAGCTGGATCGACCCCTTCTTCTGCTGAAGTGACCCATTCTTCCAACTCTAGACCCACCAGATCTCCTCTACAACGGAAGGGTGTGGCTAGAGCCAGCTGAGCCAAGACCAGTCCCAGATTCCTCAAGCGCCAAGGGTGGTGAAGACATTGGTCTTCGTGCAACCCAGCAGTAAACAACTGCCTGAAATAGTTCTGGGCGGAGACTTGTTGCTCAATCTGTAGTCCATAGCAGCAGAGTTGTTGGGTCCAATTGGTGTTCCATAGGAGAAGCGTCCAGTTTGAGATTCCACGAAGTAGTCTTGCACAGTCTTGCTGCCATTCTTTGCGTACTTTGATATCGTTGAAGAATCCTTCATGTATGAGTACGCCTAGCGGACGTGTTCGTACTCGTGGCTCATCAAGTATGCAGCAGTTGATCATTTGGTTATCGGGTTGAATCTGGCCTATAAGCACATCATGCGATGGTACCTGGGGCTGCTCAACTCTGCGATGATGCCCCACCCGGAGCCTCCCTTCTTTCAAGCTTTGTCCGTCCAGGGAATAAACGAGCTCAATGTTGACTTGTGCGATATGGTTCCATGATTTGACGTCTTTAGCGCAACGCTTGATTTCACCAGGAATGTCTTTAGAGCTATGCGGAGGGCGTAGTCCTAAGGCCCATCCTTTGGTAGTAGGTGTTCTAGTACACTGATCATGAAGCTGTTGTGCAAAGTTGGTAAGATTCTGGACGAAGTGCTCCAGATTTGTCGTCCGCTCAATGTCTACCTGAGAGGGGTCGTCGCTTGCGAAGTCCGCGGTTCTCCGTTTCATCTCATCCTTGGAGAGGTTGTGGATTCCTTCAACCTCATCCTTCAGCCGATTCATCCAGCTTTCCAACTTCTTTTTCTTCCAGAGCGCATAAGCAAAGCCGTGGAAAATACTCGCTGAGCCGTTTCCGAGATCCTTCATCTTGAGTCGTTTGCCTTCTTTCCAATGCGATGCCAGAATTTTCCAGAGCCCTTCGTCTTTTAAATGGTGCTTCCTTAGCTTCCGTTCCATGTCTTCACACAATTTCTCCATCCGCATTCTCGTAGCGTTAATGACGGCCCTATGGGGGCCAAAGTCCGTGTTTCTCCAGAAGATATTCCATTTATTAATCTTGCGCTCGAAGTTGCCCAAGCGCAGTTGATAGAGTCCCATATGTTCTTCATATTTGTGGAAGTTCTCCCAGGCCTCAGTTGTCGTCCCCACAGTACTAAAGATGAACCCAATGGCGCCGAAGGCGAACCCAAATGGGCCTAGAACTTCTGCCATGTCTAATTTATGTGTGAGGTTTATGTAGCCAACGGCGTGATTTGCGACAAATGGGGCGAAATATGAAAAGTGAGAGGGCGAGTTACGCAGGATAAATTGGTAGGCCTTGGTACAGAGCCGCAAAAGGCGCAACTAACAGCTGAGCATTGGTGCCGTCAGCCACCAATATCGCCACTGAGGTCGGTCACAGGCGAAGTCCAATCGTTGAGTTTATCTTTGGCCCCAGTAGCCTAGTTCATGCAATGAATGCAACATGAAACACCCGAATCACGCAACATGGGACGCCCCCATGCGGGTCGCTTCTACCTTGCGCACTATTGCCTGCAGCCATTTGCGGCTTCAGTGATTCTTTCTTGAGCATGAAAGAGTCAGGTTGTTGAAAGATCTTATCTTCAAGAATAGCGACTTTTTCCAAATAATAATGCCTACAACCACGCTAGCTTTGTTATCATTATGGATCGAATTGTTGGTGTGCAGGTGTCCGATAGAGCGCGATCAGTATGGCGATCCGGCGAGCTGCTAATTCAGGGCTGAGTTGAAATTACGGAGCGGCCCGATTGGGCTCCATTCGTTCACTTGTGTTTGCCGAGCTACCAAGGGTAAGCGAATTGTGGGTGAGGTATCAGACAGCTGATAGCTTGCATTAGTGAGCCGCAACTCGGCTTCATTCCATCTCCATCCGGCTGCCGTCTTGTGCCCTCCAATCCTTCTACACCGTTCTCATATAATATATCCATCCTGATTCAAGAATATGGCCATGTTGCAAGAGGATGAAGCTATGGAAGATCTTGATTCTGATAAACCCTTCACAAGTCACACATCGGGACCGAATACCCGCCTGTCGCTAGGAAGTCTCTTCAGCCTTGTTGAAAGGTCGCTCGACAATGCAATCACAAAGCATACCGGTTGGGCGTGGAAAGAAGTAGATGCGGCAATTCATATACACGATATTGTCCTCAGTCTAAGACACATGAAGCATGGGATTACCACCGTAAAAGCGAACATCGGCAATTCTGCTACAAGCGAAGCCCTAGAAGGCGAATCTAACGAAAGGCCTACGTTCTCAATGCTTTTAGAAGAAGTTGAGCGTAACGATAAGTTTCTCTCTGGAACAATGAGGTCATATCTAGAGGATGCGTTGGATAGTCTGGATCAAGTAAAATCATCTATAGACTCCCCAGGAGAAGCTGCTTCGTAAGCCACACCTCCGATTCATCTCAATATCACATGTTTTTCTCACGCGTCCCGTAGGCACTCAATGAAACCCATGGAGATCAGAAAGCTTCGAAACGCAGTACATTGCTTGGCTTTGCAACGTGATCCCCTGCAAGCTTTTTCCGAGTGCACCACGGAGTTGCCCACCATGCGAGAGTCCATCTCTGAAGCCCCGTTACACTCCGCAGTTGAGCCTACTGCCGAAGATCCAATACCGGACATGATGCCAGAGCTGCTATATTTGCCACAGCCTCAAGCAACAGCACAACGTACAGATACGACCATGTCCAAGTTCAGAGGCCCTCGACTTGCTGAGCTAATCAAGGGACGCCTCACTAAGAGTGCTTTCTCCAAATCCGATTTTTTTCCGCAATATGATCTTGAGGAACTCCTCGATGAGGCTACCATCAAAAGAGAGCTCAGAAAAGGTGGATGTGGAAAGGACCCAGAACTCGCCGCATTCATACAGAACCATGCAAAGAGAACATTTGCTATACTTGCGTATCGGGGCCTTATCAAATATGCTACCGGTCTAAACATCTACAAGTTCACAGATGCTTACCTGCCCATCGAGGAGAAGGTTGCGCAAGTGACGTCGCTCAATGGATTTCTCAAGGATGACAGTGCCCTGGACTGGTTTTTAACATGGCGACTGGAGAACGTAAAGGCCCCTTTCCCGAGCTCTGAAGATTCAGAAGCCTCCAGCGATGAAGAAATTGCGGATTCTAATACCACCGATTGGGCAAATATTAGGAACTTTCGCGACACCCAATGGATCTTCCTTGCAAGGGTATTCAAGAAGGGTGCGATCTTTGAGATATTGCATGACAAATGTCCGTTACCCATTATCAAATATAAGAAAGATGTAGCCAGTGGAGGTTTCAGTGTTCTACATAAAGGTCGAATACATCCAGCTCACCAAGTGGGGCTCATCACTGTAAGTTGATGACCCGATGCGCAAGCGAAACTAATATTTTCAGGGCGAGCTCATTGCCATCAAGGAATTGAAGGACGATAAGTCTCGATCTGAGAAAGCTTACAACGTGGAGCTTGATGCGCTTGAAATGGTGCAGAAACTCGATCACGACCGTATTGTCAAGTTCTTCGCAGGGTTTGAACAGGATGGTCAACGGTATCTTATGTTCCAATGGGTGGACGGCGGGAATTTGAGAGAGTTTTGGGAAAGAGAGCCATCGATTCGAGATAGGGCAACGATTGAGTGGGCACTGAATGAGATCAAAGGCCTGGCTGAAGCCCTGAAATCTTGGCACAATTACGACCCCGACCCCAGCTCTCAACGATTTTGTCGCCATGGAGATCTGAAACCTGAGAACATTGTGCTAGATCGAAGCACAGGGGGTCGAGGCAAGTTTCTGATTGCAGACATGGGACTCGCCAAAATCCACTCACAACCCACGCATGTGCGTCGGACGCCGTCCTGGGGTCTCACAGGGACGCTACGCTATCTGGCCCCGGAGCTCAATAGTATTGCACCGCAAATCTCCCGCTCTATTGATATATGGAGTTTCGGCTGCATACTACTCGAATTCATCATCTGGATACTCTATGGCTACGAGGCCTTACACACTTTCAACACCTCGCTTTCTGAATTTTCCAACAGATTCTACATATTTGTTGGCCAGGAGTTACGGCTTCACCCAACGGTTCAGCTTTGGATTGACCACATGATGAACACTAGTCTTACGAAACAGGGTCCAAGCATGAGCGGCGCTCTTGGAGCCATGCTTCGATTGGTACACGACCGACTCTTGATCGAGGATCCAGAAAGCAACGGAGGTTCAACAATAATGGTGAATGACCGGAAGGTTCACATCCCAGGAACAGTTCCTACTATCATCACGACAACGGTAGATGAAGAGAACACTGCTATTTCCCTCATTCCAAGGGCTAAGATTGGTGAAGTCTGCGAAGTACTTTCGAAGATTGTACAGAACACCAGCTCCAATTACAGTTATGATCCAACCTTCCCGATGAATGCGCAGAATGGCAGTGGACCTCAAAGCAGGCAATCATCACTTCATGAAAACACGGTCCCCGTTACCAAGCTAAGAAAGCGACAGCAGGACCAGGACAGCTTAGACTCGGGCTTTGGCTCTGGGTCTGTTGGATTCGCCAGCACTCAACACCCTTATGTGACACCGGAACTGTCTGATACCTGGGAAATATACACCGACAATCAGTTTGCCAAGGACGTTTTCAGATCCCTTGACCGGAATGATATTTTGGAAATTTTACCAGCAGAGACAACATCTCCGATCGGACTTTGCGAAAATTGTTCAAAAAAAGATGGAGGTATTCTTTTTGGTCGTGGATATTCTTCCCGTATGAGTGATATTAAAACCACCGCTCACGTTTGTAATCTTTGTCGAATACTTTCCGACACCTCAACATCAGGTGCCGAGCTGACATACTACCGGAACCGCTCCTCTCTGGCTACTAGTAAGAACGGACCTCCAGTCTGGTCCTTGGTTGTTGGCCCAGGTAGGCTTCAATGATCTACGAGTAGTATATAATAACTGACCCGGTATCGCAGGCGCCCTCAATGCCTCGTTAGATATTCAAAGGGGTTTTCCACTCCTTCCAGAACCAGGAGGTTCAGTTCAAGCTGAACTACTTCGGCAATGGGTTCATGACTGCAATTCCAATCACATCTGCGAGCCCAAGAGCCTTATTTCTATGCCTACGCGACTTATCGATCTGAAAACGCGCGGTGATCCGAACGACTTGAATCTTGACTGCTCAGCACATCGCCAAGACAAGCGTTATGTTGCACTATCGCACAGATGGGGGGACCCAGACAAGCACAAGAGTATCTGTCTCCTGAAAGACAATCTGGAGCAGTGGCAGAGACATATTAATCTTTCAAAGCTCCCACAGACATTCCAAGACGCCGTCAACATTACGAGACAACTGGGCTTGAGATATCTTTGGATAGATTCCCTGTGTATCTTGCAAGACTCAGAGAATGACTGGAAGACTGAATGCCAAAGGATGGAGGACGTGTTCAGCTTCGCGAACGTTACCCTTTCCGCAACCTGTTCAAGTGGTGTCAAGGATGGTTTCATCCGGCCCGATAGTATACAAAACTTCCGGAGAAGGACCGCATATCCCCTTGATTTCATCACGCGGGACAGGGAAAGAACAAGATTTTATCTCTGCGATGCCATTGACGACTTCAAACGTGACGTTGAAGACTCCGAGCTCAGCACGCGTGGATGGGTGTTTCAGGAGAGAGCACTTTCCCGACGGATCATTCACTTCACAAAGACCCAATTGTATTGGGAGTGTGGAGAGGGAATAAGATCTGAGACCTTGAACCGACTTTGCAAGTAAGACGTCCCAGACATCATGACTGAATATGCGCACGATACTGACATGCGTAGCTCCAAATCCGCTTTCATGTCCGATCCAGAGTTTCCAACATCCATGGCTTCCCAATATAAGGGAATGAGAATAAAATTCTTCGAAGAAATTTACCGACGGTATTCAGAGAAGAGCTTCACTTACGAAGCAGATAAATCGCTAGCTATGGCCGGAATTGAGCGCCGATTGGAGAGAGTATTCAAGGCGACCGCGTGGTACGGGATCTTACATGACCCCAATGATCTAAGCTATCTTCGAAGAAGCCTTCTCTGGCGAACCTCCCCCCCTGCTGAAAATCGAGAAGCAGCCCTTAAGCCCGGAAGTTTGACATATTCCATCAAGTACCCCGCGGATCGTCAAGTCCCAACGTGGTCCTGGATGGCGGTGAAAAGCTCGATTGAATATATGCCGGCCCCCTTCGGTGAAATGGACTGGAACCTGGACCTGGACCTAGAGTTCGCTCCCAGCACGACCAAAGACATTATCCAAAGGAAGCAACCCACAGGCATTCTGAGAGGGACCAAGCTTCCAATTGGCAAGCACAGTGCCGATGATGACAGAATTTTCGACTATCATGGATTTGCAGGATTTACGCGACTATCAGATATCGGCTGTGTCATTGTAGGTACCGAGAAGAGCGATACTTTGACAAAGCTTCAGAAGCATTATGTCCTGCTTATTGTGCCATCAAAGTCTGGCGACCTATACCAGAGAATTGGCGTAGCTACAATTTTTAGAGAGCCTTCTTGGATATTTGAGAACCCCAAGCGGGTCAGAATTGCGTGAAGACTGTTTTCGAGAGCGCGATACATGGCATTAGCGTTAGTCATTTCTAGAACAATGTACTTAGTGTCCTTGGGGTATGGTACAACTAATCTGCTTCTCTACCGAGCGACGAAGTGTTGCTGAATTCTTCACATGTTCTTTGCTGCATATATCTATTCTGCACAAAATCAACTAAGTTTGTCTCTGAACATACAATATTCCACCCCATGATGACTGAAAATATGTAGAAAGTTGGAAAATGACGTCAAGGTTGTTGGTTCGGCCATTGTCTGTTATTGCAATCGTGTCTACGATCTTTTTGAAATAAATAACACAGATTACTACGCGTTACAGTACAACTCTTCGTCGGAAACTATCTGCGTCATGATTTTTCTTGCCCACGCGCAAGCGGCCAACGGATTACAGGGTCGATACACGGATATGCGACTGGATTTACGGTGCAGCCTCAAGATTCTCTAGCGTAGACCTATGTGAATTATACAGTTGTGCATCCTATTTTGGATTGAAGTCGACTTCTAGACGTTCTTTTTTGGAGTAAAAGGTTGCTCGTTTTATTGGTAGCCGATTAATATCCGCAGGGCTGAGCGCAATCTCGAACAGAGATCCTCCGTGTGGGGTGCACCGCTATTAGCCCGGTGTATGGAAGTATAGCTGAAATTATATCGGACCCATCACACAGAAGTCGCGAGCGCAAAGCACAAATAACTTGCGAGGAAAGATTGGCCGGTGGTTATGGGTTGACGCTTGTGTGCATTAATTTCAAACGACATCTTAATCAAATTGCCGGAAGCACAGGCGAGAAAATCAATCATGTGAGACGTTTAATCTCAACACCGAACGCGCTAAATCAGGAATTACTTTATCTACTCTAAAAATGTGCGCCGAGTTTCCAGAGTATGGATCGTGAATGGTGGAGTGAGGGAGATAATATTCAATCACCCAAACTAGTCCGAAACTGTAACGGAGTGGGAAAGCCTAGGGAAATTTTAGCACATAAATACCTTTGCCTTGCCCTTTCCCAGAGGCTTAATCGTTCAACCCTTACCCAATCGCACCCATGTTCCGACAAACCGCTGTTCTCGCGCTCGCGCTCCTTCCTTTCTCCTTGGGCCAAGTCTCAGAAAGCTTTGAGAGTGGGCTGGACGCGACCGCATGGCCCACATATGCGCCTGATTGCAACCAGGGGGGTAAAGTCACGCTTGACAGCTCCACGGCTCATACTGGCAAGAACTCTGTGAGGGTTGATGGTGCGGGTGGCTTTTGTGGACATATCTTCTTCGGCACGACGAAGATTCCCAGCGGAGACGTTTACGTCAGAACTTATCTGTAAGAATACCTGTGGACCAGGTCAAGCAGTGCTAACACTTAGTTCTTTTCTCTGCAGAAAAGCCTCGAAAGCCCTCACCGACTCTCACGTCACTTTCATCACGATGCCAGACTCCGCTCAGGGCGCCAAAAAGCATCTCCGCATTGGAGGTCAGAGCAAAATCTTAATGTACAACCGCGAGACCGACGACGCTACGTTGCCCGATCTATCCCCACAAGGCATTGCCGCTTCCAAAGCGCTTCCCGCTGGCTCCTGGCAATGCTTCGAGTATCACCTGGGCACCGACGGCACAGTTGAGACGTGGTTGAACAATGCGACTATCGATGGTCTTACTGTAAAAGCGGGTACGACCAATAGCAATGCGGGACAGTGGCAGAGAGGCACTTCCAAACCGAAGATTACTGCTGTTTATTTTGGATGGGAGTCGTATGGCGGAGATACGAATACCTTCTGGTATGATGATGTTGTTGTTAGCTCCAGTCGTGTTGGATGTTGATGACCTACTGCCTGTGGGTATCCGTCAGGATCTAGTGCGAGCAACTACAATGCTACAATTTATTTTTGAGAATTTGATACGACGTCAACATTTACAACCGCAATAACAGCTACTCGTATATATAAATAACAATGTAGATCAACGGAAGTTGGTAAGACACATTGAAAGGCCCTCGTACGGCTAACAAGATTTGAATCTTTTTGGAGATTGTTCAATAGTTTACGTAGCAAGCTTCGAAGACCTCGAGCAATATCTAGTAATCAACCTTGAGATAATAAAAAGTTGTAAAGCTCGGAGCGCTCTCTGCAAATCGTGAAAGCGGTGTTGCAACAAAAATGAGCGGTGCGGAATGAACCATGTTATCCACTGGAAAGTGTACTCTCGCGTAATTTGTATGTTTTATTGTATCAAAACGACTTCCATAACCACGCCCGTTTGCTCCACACGAGCTTACTTTGTTGTAGTAAGCATTGTCAATACCTACTTCAGCCTGCAACCCGATATTGACTGCCCGTCCTTTACACCAAGACGACGACATCAGAGCTACTGGGGGTGGGGGAGTAACGTGAAGAATGGGAGATGGAGAGGGTCGATGGAATTGAGATGATGCTGAAGCCGCGGTAGGCACTTGTAGCAGAGAAAGGTTAGGAGTATAGGAGTAATAGGGTACGTTGATAAGTACCTGTGACTAGGCTCTATTAGCTATAATATAGTGGATGATTCCGAATACGGATGTGGTGTTGATTACTTGATATTGGAAGAAGTATCCTTCAACACTATTCTAACAACAGAGACACTTTCCCTGCTCTACAATTCACAGCGGACCTTCAACCTTTTTGATGGGGTCATCGCTGGTTTCTATTAAGCGAGCTGCAGCTCCCAACCAATGACACAAAAAAGCACTCAACCTTTCACTAGAATGTCCAATCACCGGAAGCAAAAGTTTGAAGAACTCTCCCTTGCATCATTCACCGGTTACGCCTTCCGGTGACGGCAACCCGAAAGACACTTCGCCGGCCCGGACGAATCCCGCTCCCCCATTCTACTTCAGCCCACCTTCACTTCACCTTCACCAGACCACTCTGTTTAGGTAACGTGCAAGCGAGCGCATAGAGCGCATGCGCGCGCAGATGCAGTGGCTTGCCACCTAAGTTTTTCACTTGCTCCGCTTGGGTATAAAGCGATGGCGTCTTCTTCCCTGCGATCAATACTGCTGCCACCTCACCGACCCCAGTACCAGATGCTACCCTCAAAGGATGACGACGCCTCGCGCGTCATTTATTCATCTAACGATTTACCGGTGGACGAAAGCGAGAATATGTTCTGTGGGGGCGATGGAAGTGCGGCCTTGTCAGTGCAAGGCAAGAAGCAAGCACTTGCGGATGTGAAGCCTTCCAGACATCGCGATACGTAAGTAATCACTCCAAGATATCTACGTAAAGTCATAAATGAAGGCATTCGGCGAGCTATATCGTCTGCGCAACCCAACCTGAAGGCCCTCAGAGCCCTATGCACTTAATCGCAGCCGCGAATGGGAACTCCTTCAGAATAAGCTATTCAGAAGCCACTCACTTGTATTTGCAATTAGCAAGTTACTTACGTGCGATAGCTATTTCGGAGCGTTGCTCTTCAACATCTGCGCATTCATTCTGCCGGCTCTCCACGGCACCTTATCCAAGCTATGGGTCGCAAAAATCGACTCCTCCATGGTAGCCACGACAGACAGCTACACTTACATTGGTGTTGTCGCAGAAGTCCTTAACGAAGGCCTTCCGCGTGCATCATACTTGGTCATCGGTGACAAATCCAATCGCACCTTCCGCGAGCGACTCCAGCTAACCCATACGCTCATTCTCTTCCAATCCATCCTAGGACTCATCATGAGCATAGGGTTCGTGGCTGGAGCGTCAAGTTTCGCGAAAGGCTTTGTCCCGGCCGAAGTGCGAGACGCGAGTGTCACCTACGTTCGCATATCCGCTTTCTCTGCGTTCAGCTCCGCTATGGAGTATGCAGTGAGCACATCGACACGTGCGCTGGATAAGCCGGATGTCCCACTCATTATCAGCTCAGTCAAATTTGCGGTCAACATCATCCTCGATCTGCTCATCATCTCTAAGTTCCATGTCGGTAAGATTACGCCATCAGTCAATATGCAGGCTGGGATCTCACTTGCTTGCAACCTTACGGCTGCCTTTGTAGGTTTGGCATACTTCATCTACAATACAAGCTTTAGGTCTAGGCCAGCAATCCACGGCGACGTTTCTAACCAAAAGCTCACACCCTCCCTACCCGCACTTGTCACTTTAGCCTAGCCTGGCTTCATCTTTTTCATCGAGTCACTTATCCGGAACGCGCTGTACCTTTGGCTCGTTCACGGCATCGTTGACCTAGGTAGCGATTACGCGACTTCTTGGGGTGTCTTCACAACTATCCGCTGGGGTCTCGTCATGGTCCCGGTCCAGGCACTCGAGGCCACAACACTTACTTTTGTCGGGCACTCTTGGGGAAAGTTTCGTTCAGGTCTTGAATCTGCCACTCAAGACTTCAACCCACGAACATCACGCACCAAAATCTGGAGTATAGTGCGGCGGGCATTCTACTCCATTGTCATTGTTCTACTCGTGGAGATCCCACTATGCCTCTTGATGTCCTTCCTTGGTGCGAAGCCTTTCGCACTATATCTTTCGGGCTCGGAGAAAGTATCGCGCATTGCAGCCCGAATGTGGCGGACCATCGACTGGTGCTATATCCTCTACGGCGTCTCGACACAGCTCGCCGCAATCCTTGTCTCGACTCGTCCGAAGTGGTATCTGTACCAATCACTCGCATCAAATCTGCTGTACGTACTGCCATGGGCGATTGTATGCCAAGTAGTCCCGCTCAACGCGAGCGATGCTTGGACGTATCATAGCTTAGTGTTCGGTGGTAGTCTAGTCTTCTCCTTCTTTGCGGTCATCGCAGTTGATAGTGTCTTGGCATTCAGGCTGAGACGAGGGAAGATGATAGTGAGCCCCCCATGATATAATGGGGAACATACACTGCATGGGTACAACCGAGAGATCTAGTGAAAAGAGGATACGCGGTGATAGTGTATAAGTCTTGCTCGACTAGCTAGTAGGTATTAGTGCGTTTCTTCTGGCAACCGACATAGGGAAGCAAAATGGCGAGGATTGTGGTCAACGCTTGATAACTAGGAATACTTTGGAAGGTAGAAATGCTACAGCCTAGTGCATGTCTTCGTAAACCCACCTTTCCTCCCTTGAAAGCCTGAAATTACTGATGATGTTAACGACACTCAGCCCTGCCAAACGTCCGGCTTCGGCTCAATATAGGTCGAAGTATTCGGTGGGGACCGACTTGTCCCAGGCTCATGAAACCAAATACTCGGATCATCCTCACTATACGCGTTCGGGAACCTGACGGAAGGTCCTGGAGTGCCACCTCCCCCTCCCACGATCTCGACGTGCGCACAATTGACGAACCACTGACTCTGTCCATGGCTCGGGGAAGGGAGGAAATGCTCGATCCTCAGAAGATATTTCCCTGATGGCGTCGTCTTCGGGATTGTGAAGTTCATCTCGAGTTTTCCGAGCAATGACCACGACGTCGCCCCCTGTGGTCCCGCATATGCAATCTTGAAGAAATTTCCTTTCCCATCATAGTCGTTTAGGCTCTTCAAATCATTCGGTAGCTTTGACAGGAACACCTGTCCTGGGCCTTCATGGAAGATATACGGCTGCGAATCGCCCTCGTAGTATGGACCTGAAACCATGAAGCCAACATTGTCACCGGCAAGGATCGTGGCGGTCTCAATGGTGTTGGAGTTGTGAACGGGGAAAGCACCGCGACCACAAGTGACGTTTTCGTTCTCGGGGCCGAAGATGGGGAACGACTTCTGCCAGAGGTCATTGTACAGCCCGGCATTGCCAGAAATGTCGCGGATGTACTGGAAGTCTTTAGAGATTGTGTTGTTGATTATGAGGCGGTTAAAGACATCTAGGTTCACAACTTAGTACGGTACTCCGTTATACTAATAGCTATCTACACGGACGTACAGTGGGCGCTCGCTTGGTGCAAGAGCACAGCAGCAAGACATATGAGTGTGCAGTGCCTCATACTGATTGTGTTGTTGCTTTGCGCTCGGTCTGCAAATCTACACAGTCGAATCTAGCGAATTTATACATTTACATTCAAGGATAGGCATAAACACCCGCCGAGGCAGTCTTTTCATACATTCCCTACTATAGAGTAGAGAATCCAACGCCAAAGTCCTCATGACCAAGAGTTGCATTCTAAGGATTTTCGGATGTTATATTGCAGGTCGCATTCGCCAATGAACGTCTGTTCGGTTGCATCCGCATATTAGGATTACCCGATAGGTAAATTCATAGATGAATCCTAAACTGGCTGATGTAGCACCTTGACCTAACCCCAGCGGGGTAGGCGCCGCCCCATATTGCGGCAATTAAATTAATTCCTACTCCTTATTGGCAAAACCCATACTGGATATGTTTCAGAATGAAGGATTCCTGGTGTGCTAGGTCGGAGCGGTATATCCGGGGTATGTTTAGCAGGGGATCTTTGGCTTACCCCACAATGAGTGCAAAGCTTGTTCGCACCTCTTCTACAGCATTTCCAAACGCCAGTTCCCATGTCATTTCGCTGCTAGTGCGATCTTGTTGTGTTGCGCAATCATGTGAGGGAGCAGTAGACTTGCTTGAGCTCTCTCCTCGCTACCTACCTACTATACACTTATCACTTGATGAACTTAACCTGCTATGGTGAGGAGCTTACATCTCTAGCTTAGCATCTTATTGAAGCTTCACAGGACACGGCTGAACCCAGAGCTTCCCATGTCGCGGTTGTAGATGTAAAGGGAGACGTCATCGGGTCGTTATGGAAACCATAACGAAATGGGGTAAGTCATAATATTGAAGGTTAGCTATAGGAGAAAACGTGGTTCCATGATCCGAGCGAGATGGTGATTCTGAAATCATAAGGTTGCAAGTTGACGCGATGCCCGGCCATAATAGTCGCCTGCTGACTAAAGCTCCGCGTGCTAGCCCCACTAAAATGTAGCACGCGTTTCTTCGTCCATCATCAACAGCCTCGGGTGCCATCACGGCATTCTTTAATACCAATACATAGACCTTGGCGACAGTCACCACTATCATCTCCAGCGAATTGCGGCATATGTGCTCGTCGTCCGAGCGCTTCCCAGACGCTCTCTTAACTGCTCGATAGTGACGGCCATCTTCTACCCTGGAGAATTCAGAACTGTGTCTGTAGGCCATCCCCTCGCGAAGCACCACGGAGAGCAAAAGATCAACCACAATTGCATTCCGAATGACGCAAACCTCCCCGCTTCTGACCCTCCCAGGCGAACTGCGGAATTACATTGTCGAGTATGCCTTTCGAAGAGAGCCTGGCACCACACCTCTACCCCTCTCTCGGTCCCAGCTAGCCCTTCCCTTTGCCTGTCGCCAATTACACAGGGATTTCCAGGCTCTTGCACGATCCTTGACTATATTCAGCATACGCTGGTCCTCTGCTCAGGAGCTCCGAATGAAAGCCGACAGACTGTTGCCAGCTTCTAGAGCATCGATCACGAAGCTTCAGCTCGAGTTCCAGCCCAATTTCGAAGCTCAGTTTGTTTTTGATGCCCGACGAAAGCGAGTCACAAGTTTTGACTTTGCAGGTGCTGGATTGACCGGGCTTCAAGAATTGTATTTCCGCTACCCTCCCAGTGACGTGATGGGAGGCGTTGGCGTTACGGGCCGAGAATTTCTCATGTTAGCGTTATGGAAGATCCTCTGGGAGAGGGGTAATGATCAATTGAGAAAAGTGTGTGCTGTTCACGATGGAGCGCAGCCGTACCTTTGCCTCACTTTGCTATACGGAATGATGAAGGAATTCGGGCCGTTGAAGAGATCAAATCGCTGGAAATTACAACCCGATCTTGACCACGGTCAGGTTCACTTCTTGAAGAAAGGCCATGATGGCAAGCCATGTAGGCAGGTTACACTCGTCGTTGGCTACAGCTTTCGGGAGGCTGAAGAGTATTGTGCCGTGCGCGAACAGCTCCACGAGGTGAGTCTCATGCATTTTAACGAGCTTTTCAGTGACTCGTCAGATGATGGAAAGAGGCGTTTGATTTTCCAGGCTAATATAAACTAGGGAAAGCAGGTAGATATTATCACAGCTCGACGTACAGACTGCGCATACGCAATACCGTTCCATGAGCTTTCAGATCACGAAATAAGATGCGAACTATTAGACCTCTCACTCCTGTTCCGGGGCATCCACGAGCCAATTCTCAACTTTGCGCCTCGGATAGAGGTAATACGCTCCATGTCCGAAGTCGTAAGCCATCAGGCCCTTCGAGTCCAAAATCAATCTTCTTGAAGCAACATCTACAGCAAGGTGGGGTTTTTGAGATAAAACATGGTTGTTGTGCTGGGGCACAATTGGGGAAATCAGTTGCGCAGCTGTGCACATCTAAATCCTTGTTACAAACTGGCCTTATACGATGACATTGAACCAGTGGTAGAAACTCTAGGGCAAATGGTTTTCTAGATTCAGCTACACGCGCAACAAAGTTTGGCGGTCTCACCACCTACTGAAGAGAGTGTGAATCTATTTTCGAGCGCTGATAGTCACGATGGCTGCAGGAATCCACACTAGGTTCACAACGTCACCATCACTTCGGAGCCAACATACATAGTCGGCAGCCATGTGGATCTTTCGGTCTAGCCTCCCCACATGTACGCGTCACCCTCAAGCCGACTAGGTAACCTACATCGCCACAATACCATTTAGACCATTCTGCGATACCGGCCGTCCACCAACTCTAACACACGTAGGGTCACTCTCCACTCTCTTTCAACAACCCCACCTGCTTTCTTGGAAGACCGGCTAAAGTCATATGTGTCTCTTCTGCACGTGGCGAAGCGAGGTGGAGAAGCCGTAAGCAGTCAGCTTCCCTCGACCAGGCTTGCGGTGGTGGGTCTTCCGGGGTTGACTACGGGCGTCCCTCGCGCTCGGGACGGCTCGTGTCCGACTAGAAGCGCGTGATCTGCGATAGCAGATGCTGGAAGAGATATCCATCCATCCTTCAGAAGATGGAGGAGATAAGTGGCGATTCCATCGTTCGCGCGCCCATGTGGAGCGAATGTGGAGATCCAAGGATTGATGCAGGGCATGTGGTTCCCTTCGAGTCCAGGGCGCACTCAGCGATTGGCAGTTCGATCGCATCAGCTTGTGGGGTCTGTGGAGTAGCTTCCAAACTGTTCACCGGTCAACGCGCCTTCAACCCTCCTTCCATCTGATCCATATATCGGTAAAAACACCCTGCAGGGTCCTGTCATGAAAGCTTTTAGCACAAGCTTTTCGGTGCTAATTCAAGACCCGAGATGCTCTACCCGTTCCACTGCCTCCGTAGCATCTTCAACACAACCACGACTAGCCAGCTCATGAAATGACCTAAAAAGACTATGACATCTGAAGTACGGGCGGAAAGGCCTCCGCGCCCACGTCTGGGCTCGCTTACAGCTGTTGTGGAACGGCCCGGGGGCTTGGACGGTAGCGCACAGGAGCCTTCTGCATGGCACATCTACCTATGGCAATGGCTCGTGGACCGGACCCAGGGCCATAAACGTCCTGGGGGCTGCAAGCTACATCCTAGCTTCCCCACGAGGCTTGACACAGTCCCTGGATTGACACTATCTGCACACCCTCATTGGATGTCAAGACGGCGAAGATACAGCTTATTCCTTAGCTTTTGGATCGCCATGGATCAAGAGAAGCTATGATGCAAGTGGAGAGGCGTCGTTAGCTGCGAACCGTGTCCGTGCCGTACCCGTACAGGATTGCGAAGCGGGCGCAGATGAGATGACACCGTAGATAGACATGGCCAATCCAATGCCGATTCTGTTGTCGGGTAACGTCTGCAACGGCTATACGGGTAGCGAGCTGTCGAGCACGAGCGTGGCGGGCTGAAGAAAAGTGTATACGTAATGCAGGGCAGCACACCATGATGCTATGCTCCATGCGCTCCGGTAGTACTTGAGCCGCACCCTGAGCGGTACATGTCATCGGAGAAACGGGTATTTGGCCCGCTGTATGGTATATCGAATACGAGATACTCCACTTACCGGTTTTGTGGTTGCTGGAAGCGCACATTGACACATGTATCATGCAGTGTTTAGGTCTTACCTTTCGACCCCCTTGTTCCTGCATCAAAAGTATAAATGTCTATCTTGAAGCATACGCGTAAATGGATCAGCTGATGTTGAAGAGGGCTTCAGACGGGTATCGATAACAGCTAGCCACCAGGTGCGGTGGACAGATGGCCCCGAACCCCGCCAGTTGCGCCGACTAAAGATAGATTTAACTTTATTCCCTGATCCTAGTCAAGATCATGCACACGCGAGCTAGATGCGTATTTCACTGTTGGTCTGTGTGAATGATGCAGGAACAGGGGTTTGACGCGCGCCGTGCCGGTTTTGACACTGTGTGGTTGGTTGCATAGATGAACTAGTGGGGCCCGGGCTGGTGCATAGGCGGCAAGTCGGCAGTTGGTGGCCTTGGTAGTGCTTAATACGACGAAGAAATTATAAAAATGGTGAACGGGTATGTTGACTTAGGTTCCGTATTGGAGGAAGTTCACCAATTCGTTTACTAAATGGAAGTTTCCAGTCAACGAAAGCGTCATCTAGAGCAAGCTGGGTCTGATGTCATGCCCATCGTAGATAGTAATGCAAGCGGTCAGCCACCGGGTACGCAAGGAGTTGCCAATACAGGCCAGATTCCTACTATCCTCCAATCACAAGAAAGTCCATTTTTAATGGATAGCTCGACTTACACAGCATTCACCGGTGTGCTTCTGCATATCCAAAGTCGTGCCCAGGCACAATGCGCTGCAACCATGGGAAAGGGTCATGCAGTGGCTCCAATGCCTACGTCGCGGACATGCGAAGCATTAGCGACGGTGTAGACATCCGACTACTGTATGCGAATACTATACCTTGTTATCAGCCATCGATCACTAGCATGATGGTAAGTGGGGGATTCTAGCCACAGATGTGGGGTAGTAAGTGGCTGGTCAAGTCCGCAATAGGAGCGAATAGACGAAGTGGTATTTTTGCTTTTGTCGAGTGTGTGTGGGACAAAGCCTAGTAGCTTGAGGAGTCCGGATTGGTAATGCGAAAGATGCGTCAACTAGTGGTAAAGGAATGCGAACAGCGAAGATATGGCATTGAGTTCCGAGGATAGTAATAGAAACTACTATGCCAAGTCGTGCTATGGTGGCGCAAGGTGTCCAATAAGCATGACCCGTACATGGTAGAAAACTCAGTGTGGAAAATGCAAGCCTTCTGATGAGATTGACCAATCCGACTAATGCCACCATGATGACGTTTTAGCCGTCCGGGGGGCAGGCGTAGGCGATTAGGCCCTTTCGCGGCGAAAGTCGGGTCTACTTCAGAGAGCCTTCATCATGGTAAGCATTCAGAACATGAAGCGAGATGGGTATGTGGTTGAAGTCGATGTGTAGGCTCGTATGTGGCTTTCATAGTAATCTCATGCGGCAGCCACATTGGACCAGAGCCTACGCGTGGCAGTCGGAGTTGCATACGGACATTTGAGGCAATGGCTTCTGATCGACAATTGCATGCTAAGTCATTTAGGGTAATGGTAAATAGTATCACGAAGAGTGGCTGAAGAAGCTCGAATGACGATGAAGTGATATTCTGTGCCTAGTGCTGAAGTTCGACCTCGAAGCAACTCGTGGCGGAAACGAGAACACCTCGCTCACCCATGCTCAAGATCTCCAATCTTCAATGGTTCAAGACTCGATAGGCCAAAACTGACGAATCATCGTTGTTCCCGATGCTGTCTGTCCGTGGCTCAAGAGGTGTCCCGTGATTCGTTGACCGAGTTTCACGGTCATGTGAGACTTCGGAGTTCAGTGAAAAGACGCTGCTCGGTGGCAATGAGGACAGATGTCTTTTCAAAGACGCGAGACACAATGCTAGTAGTGTGTATAAGCTGAGTTTTGTAGGTCTTTCCAGGACGGTGATGACGAAGTGCGTTATTTCTTGAACCAGAAAGCGCGCGGCTTCTCATCCATTCTGAGGCTACTTCGCTAGCTGCATACTCTTTGTAGCTCTCAGACCTATGTGAGTTGCGCATCGCGATGTGCGAAACCCAAGAACTGGCTGGTCGCAATGCGCAGCAAGCTTGAGCCACATGGCACTGCCCACTTGTCAGAATTCAGGGTCCATTCTTTATTTGTAGTGAGATTTTTGTGCTTACCTCTAGCCATGTGACGTTTGATGGTCAGCAATCTAGCGACAGTCAGCTCGGGAAATAATGACTAAACAGCATCCCGCCTAGTGATAATAAACCCTTCGGATCCGACGTACCTAAAGTGCCCATTGTGTTCCGGGCCCGATAAACAGTGTTATAGCCCATCTAGTATTGCGATAGGCCAGGTATGAAAACGTCTTCCCAGATAGGCGCATGGCTCGGAATAAGATTCAAGTCGTGCAGGAAGGGAGCCGAAGTGACAAAATTTGCTATGTTGATCTGAGTGGCGGTAGGTTGGTAGATTGACCATTCGTCTACACTCGGTCCCGGATTGTTGAAGTCTTCCGCCGAGCACTCGCTAGTGGTCAATGAAGGCACCTCGCAAGTGTTGGATCCTAGCTCAGTTGACATGTGCGTGGGGGATACAGCGAGAGAAGGCTGAGGCCATGACATCTGATCCATCTGCATAACTTGCTCATGTTCAGATGTAGGCCACATATTTGTGGGTAGCATCGCCGTCATATCAGGGTCAAATCCGAGTCCAGCCGACACAAACACTTCGTCTGACCATGACTGAGAATTCATGTACGGGTCCAGGTTCTCTCCAATAGATAGTGGCTCATGGTAAATTGTTGGTTCTGGTGTCTGTGGTGTCAAACGACCTGAAATGGGGAAGGTGTTCATCTCCACTGCTTGTGTGTAGGCAACCATGTTTTGCTCGGGAGCACTCGAATACGAGTGCCATTCATCTACGATTTGAGATGTGTATGTTGGAAGGGGGGTGAGCATGGGGTATCCTGAGACGCCGGAAGCATGCTCTGTCATTTTCACAGCAGTGCTAAAATCAATATGCGGGGCGGCGCGCATAGCCCGCGGTCGGTTTGAAGAGGGTACGGTTCGAAGTGAAGTGTGTCGATTCAACGACGGTACAGTGCTGGTGGAGTGATATCTTTTCGATGACATAAAAGGCTTCTTTATGTTTCCTCGGTAGCCATTATCCGATGTGCGACGTGTTGATCGCGGTTCACACTTGATGCCCTTGGTGATGCAGCGGGAGCACGATGGTAGCTGGAACATTCTATCAATCAACTTGGACACTAGTCGACGAGGGAGATATTACTTACAGCTTTGTCGCATTTTGTCTTCGCTTTCGCACAAGTGACACATGCAATCGCTCTCCTTGAAGACATCCTAGCGTAGGGATTGTGCAATTGTGATAGCGGTGGTTCGTGATAAGGTGAACTTCGGGTAGGGGTGGAGGCTGTAGACTCAACCATCGCCGGTAGATCCATCTTCTAACGGTAAGGGATACTAGAGCTAGAAGAAGAGGGTGTGCTGAAGATAGCAAAATTATATAGCAGTTGAACGTAATTCGGGGGTAGTAATAGTTATACAGTCGCGTCGGGCAGGTATTCCGTGTCAAACTCGTGGGATGCTCTGGCTTACCCTAGACTGGGGACTTGGATAGGTTATAATCCCACCGCTCCGAGTGAAGATCGGGCTTGGCTGCTGGTGAGTGCTGCGTCCTAACGGCTGTCCTGTGCAGAACTTGGCTTAGAGGCTAGGCAATACTAGGCTCACAACCTGGAGTACACTTTTGGCATGTACAGCTCTACATTGAAAGTAGTCCGGACTAGCGTCGAAGAGGCGTCGACCACCTTGTTGGGTCTTGAGCCAAGCGTCTAAATGTGCCTCTTCCCAGATGTGACCCCAGGGTCGATTGCAGTGGTTTGCGCCATACCGGACGTACTTCGTAAAAAGCAAGTACGTAGGTTCTGTTTCAGCCTGCAGATGGCGGCAGGGGAGAGCATGCTGACAGGAACCGCGTTGGCGGGTGTAAGCTTGACGATGATGACAGGCGATTCGCATTTTGTGGCTCAAGTCTTGCGAGACTTAATGCGTACCGGTAGTTGGTTGCGTGTGTCGAATAGTAGGCGGGTTCACACGTGCGTAAGAACAAATCGCTGCCCTCATAAACCGACCGCCCATCAGTCGTTGAATTGCAGGACCTTGTGAGGTCCGTAGCGTATCTAATTCATGACTCGCTCAGCGATAGTAGGGATCGCGATTCTTATCAGCGTTAGATACACGCAGGATTGTGGTGTTAGACAGGCGGAGAAGAGCTTGGAGGGCGTCTGCACAGCACATGGAGGGTTAGGCGATTGGGGCGGCGAACCAGCCCTGAGGCGTCGCAGTACCTGAGAATGTGCTGCTACTGCAAGCCTTCTGAAGGTGTGGACGGACAATGAGTTGTGGCACGACGTGGTGAGATGTCGACCGAACCCTGCCCGCTCGGAGCTGCTGCGTTTGGTGCGGGGCCAAAGCATGCTACATCGAACTCGTCCCGCAGCCTCATTGCGCAGTGGGCGATGTCGGCGACGATTATCGTCTTGAAGAAAGGAGTGGCCATCTGCCGCTCTACTACAGCTCTGCGTATGCTGGCTAGTAAGCGCGATTGTTGCGAGTGTAGTGTGTGCTCGACGTCATCTCGTAGGGCCCTGCAGACAAGCCTCGGTGACAAAATTTCCTCTTTAGTCGGGGTCGGGTAATATCCTTATTGCATACGCGATTGACGAGAGCATACCATTAATGGTCAAAGAAGCTCGCAATTTCTTCTTCTAGAAGCCTTCTTACTGTTGCTAGCGCGGCCAGAGTTTGCACGACATTGACCCGGATCCGACTGCTCTGCCATAAGATCTTGTCTTGGGGCGCAAGAGCCGGAGGAACAAGTATTTTGAGTTGCCCATAGCACAGTTGAATTCCACCTTAACAATTACCAGCTCCTTTCGTTGATGACCTTTCTCGTCGGAGTTGTGCGCTGTAAATATAGCATTGTTGCTGAATGATCTGACGATGGAATGCTTTACGCAGTACCGAAGATCTTGAAACTTAGTTTCACGCTTAGACAAATCCTTTGGCGATTGCCTGTAAGACTAGTGAACTAATGTAGGTCCGAAGCACGATCCAACCGTTAAGGCGTTGGGGCCGTTGTATATAAGCAAGCCATGTGGGTGAATAACGTTATCGATGGGGCAGCTGCTCTTTGCGCTATAGCACGCTGGGAGAAGAGTTGCCTATTGTAGATATTCGAGTCCATCTTTTGATCATTTTCGAAATCCATGGCGTCTGTATAGCCACAATACTGCAGATAGCGTTGATTACATACCAAAGGTAATACCGCAAACTATCGTTTCACGTCCACTTCCTCAAGATGCGGGTATGGGGCTATCGTAGGATTACTTGAGAGCTTGTGGATGACATTATCTAACATTGGTACCACGCCCTTGTATTGGCGGGCTAGCGGAAGAATTTTTTCGCCCGAGAGGAGAAAATATGTACAGATCAAGCTGTGTGTATCTAATGCGTTGCGCTGTAGCAGTAGATGGAGCTCGGTGATGTACCTCGGGGTCGAATACAGCGCCCAGCGACGAGACGACTCTGACCTGGGAGATATAAAGGCGGCCGACTGGACATTGAATTATACTGCATCAATAAGCCTCTACAAGACTCCAGGGTTAAGTGTTGTACTTAGGTGGTGAGTTCGAGTGATGTCCCGTGATGAGGTATGAGGCAAGGAGCTGGAGAAATCGCGATACAACTAGAACGTTTATAGCCTAGCTCGTCGCGTATCTGCATTGCATTTGCCGCTCTTTTCCGCGTCACTACTTTTGCATTCTGTTAGATTTACGACAATTGTTAAGCATTCGCACATTTTTTATTAAATTTGGAGACATGGGTGTACCTGAAGCAAGCGAGTTCTATCCAGCAAGATTCCTTGTAGAAAGCGATCACCCAGAAGATTCTTCAACCCCTCCAGACCTACTCATCCTAAACCAACCAATTGCCCATTTCGCGGCCTTCTCACGACTCTGGAAACACTCAAAATATCGGATATGCGCCGATGGAGGTGCTAATAGGCTATTTGACATGTTTCAGGGGGACTTGGCAAAACAACGAGCACAGTTTGTGAGAAAGGCCATCACTGGTCGGATGACGTACATGCCGCTGACGTATCTCATAGCTACCCAATTCTGTACATGGAGATCTTGATTCACTGCGCGACGATGTGCGTGAGTACTATACCGCACATGGAGTCGAGGTGTCGCAAGATCATGACCAGGAAAGCACGGATTTTGGCAAGTGCATGCAGAAGATTTCTTCAAGAGTATCTTCCACAGATCTGCAAGACGTGCTAATTCTTGGAACCTTGGGAGGAAGAGTCGATCAAGGCCTAGGGCTTTTGCACGAAATGGTCAGAGAAGAGACGAAGCATTCCAATCTAAGGCTGTGGCTCTTCTCCGAATCTAGCCTTTCTTTCATTCTCAAGAGTGAAAGGAGTGTGATAAGGGGGCTTCAAAGCAGTGGAGTCTTTACGGAAAATGTTGGCTTTGTTCCAATTTATGGGCCCGCGGTGATCACGACTGCTGGGCTGGAGTGGGATGTCAAAGATTGGAATACGCAGATGGGTGGGCGGGTGAGCACAAGCAATCATGTGCGAGCGGATGAGATCTGGGTTGAGACGAACGCGCCAATTTTGTTTACGATTGAAAGAGCACGCTTGCAAGAAATAGAAAGGATGTGAGGTCACTTACCGGAGTCCTTATTGCGCGACTTGCTTGTATGTGCACGTCTCTTACTGGGGCCCGCAGCTTCTAGATAAGAGAGTTGCGTCTCTGGGCAGCACGTTCTTCCCAGAGCCAACCAGGACGCTCTCGCCCGTTGTACAGCCGACGCGCCACGATGATGCACCAAGATTTACAGGCGCTAAGAGACAAATCGTTGCTCGCAATTTGACAATCTGGGCGCCGAGACACGTTCAAAGAGACAAGCACAAGGGTTGGGATTGTATGAACAAGACAGTGTTAGTACATATGATACAGAGGCATGTAAAAATTCAAGAAGACTTTCCACGGCGATGGCTCGTCGCAGTATCAATAACGGCCGCGCATGTACATAACATTGGGTGCATCATAGACTAGAGGTCATCCATGGTTTGCGCGCTGCCCGAGGTATGCATATCCACATCTTTACGATAACAACAGCGAGTAGCAGGGGCTTGGACGCGAACCAAACACACGTCGAATACATCACGATTCAGCGCTCACAAAGGGTAGGAAAGAAGTTTGTGAGAGTTGCGATCGAACAATGGGGTTTGTAGAAGTTGCGAGCTTGAAATTGCAGCAAACACGAGCTCCGGCTACAGTGACTAATTCAGCAAAGGCCGCGATACAAGACCTATCGAACAGGAGCTAATTCTCGAAAGAGGGTCGAATTAGTCGCAGGTAACAGGAAGGAGCTCGTGATTGGCTGGGTGTGGTTCAACGTGGGGTTCACCGTTCCAATGGTACGACTATCCATGCTTGTCTCTTCTTGGTCAAACCCAACGAAACCGCGCCTCTGCCTTGACCTCACTATTTACCCTGACTATTTACACGCGCTATCGCTGGGCTCTTGGGAGTCTGTTCACTCGCTCACCACAGCTCTCTGTCGTCTGTTTCCCGTGCAGCTGAGGCGTCACATACAACGGCTGCGTTCACTTGCAATAGGCCCTAGACTCATTACCTCGATCCTCACCTCGCACTCCACGGTTCCTTTCGTTCGGCGAGGCTCGTTGCACCAGTTCGATTCGTCTACACTCTCGCATATTCTACGAGCTGGTAGGAGAAACCATAAAGGCATACCGTAGCAATTGGTGTGAGCTATACAGTTTCAGAGAGCTGTGGGGAAAGACAGCCGGGGCGTAGCGCCACCCAGTCGCTAAACAAGCGTATACAACCTATGGCGGCCCCTCTGAAGAGAACTGCATCCTACACATCGTCACGGTACTCCGGTACAAACGCAGCGGGCCATGTTGAACAATTCGGGCGGTCTACGTCCAGTCTATTTGCAGAGAAGGAGGCTGCGTTCCTGCGTGGGCCAGGCAGCGAAGGGACGAACCAGTATGCGAGGGCCCCAGACAGGGAATCCGACGACAGCGCCAGTTCGGGTTCCGACTTGGTCATCGATTTTGGTCTTGCTCATCCGACGCCACAGCTCACCTCACCGTTTTCTCCTACGGTATCGTCTCCTCTGAACCCTACAGCTTCTGCCTCAAGCTGTAGTCATGGAGGTCCTGAAGGCAGGCAATTGCAGTCGAACGGCAGTATGCACCCGATGACAGGGCGGCCCATAACTACTGGCGAAAGGCGCTCTCAGCCACGCCCTCTGCGGCCGTCGTTAAGGGGAACACATAACAAAAGCGCACCAGATCTACCAAGTCAGGCCGGGCGTTTGCCAGGCAGCTCGTTGACCCTGCAAGATCTAGGCACGGATTACACGCGATACTTCAGTCCTTACTCAGACAGCCCCAGAACTTTGAGTGCGAGGAGTTCTTTCTGTGAACATTCATCAGCTTCCAGGCATCCGTTGGTATCTGGAACGATGACTCCTTTACCAGCTAACCCTTTCCTTACTCCAAATGCTTCAACAACAAAGCTCAACACCTTGTTCGATCCAGAAAAGAATACATCCTTCATAGACGATCGACTAACCGCGCCTTATGGGGACAAGGGCATGGCAGCCTGGCCGTTGATTGGAGATGAAGTCGAGTCAGATGATGAGCTGCACATGCCGCACCCTGACGATGACATCCATTACAGGCCAAAGCTGCGCGATCACTTTACAAAGGACAGCATTGTCTCGACGATTGGCCTCTTTTTCATGATTGCTGGCCTGCTTTTCGTTTTCATCGGGCTTCCAGTACTGTCCGCCGTTGGTATCATCGATTACAACTCCTCATACGGGGGGCCTTCGATACCGAGCCGATACAAGCCCCAGCCATGGGCCAAAGTGAACGACAAAACCTATCCGCTCCTACTGAACATGCGTAAGGGACTAATTGACCCGGATACCCCGCAGCACGTTATGAAAAGAAAAGGGGCACACGGTGATCAATATGAGTTGGTGTTTTCAGACGAGTTCAACAAAAGCAATCGCACGTTCTACGAAGGAGATGACCCGTACTTCTTTGCCGGTGACTTCTGGTACGGTGCGACCAAAGACCTGCAGTGGTACGACCCGGACGCAGTGACCACCCACGACGGAGTACTAGAAATAAAGTTGGAAAAGTTCATCAATCATGGCCTCGAATACCGCTCCGGCATGCTGAACAGCTGGAACCAGCTTTGCTTCAAGGGTGGCATCTTTGAAGTCTCGGTATCTCTGCCAGGGCCAGCAGGTGTAACAGGCCTTTGGCCTGGTGCGTGGACAATGGGCAATCTCGGGCGACCAGGCTACTTGAGTACAACAGACGGCATGTGGCCCTACACTTACCAGGCCTGCGATGCTGGTATCACGCCAAACCAATCGAGTCCTGATGGTCTCTCCAACTTGCCTGGACAACGACTTCCTTCTTGCACCTGTCCTGGGGAGGATCACCCTACGCCTGGGACTGGCCGAGGCGCACCCGAAATCGATGTCATAGAGGTGGGAGCCACGTATGCACCGCAAAAGATGCCCATCGCGACGCAGAGTTACCAAGTAGCCCCGTTCGATATCTTCTGGTATCCGAACTACAACTTCACTGCGTTTCCCGACCATAGGCTCAGCTACTTCAACAGCTACACGGGTGGTCCGTTTCAACAAGCTATTTCAGCCACCACCAACCTGAACAAGGACTGGTTCGACGGTGTTCAATATCAACGATACTCGTTTGAGTACGCGCCTGGTGAAGGCGAGAATGCCTTTATCGACTGGAAGGTCGGGGACCAGACTATGTTCACGCTGGACGGCCGCGCCATCGGGCCCAACGGCAACATCAAAGCCCGCCAGATATCTGAGGAGCCCATGTCAATGATTTTGAACTTGGGAATCAGTAACGGTTGGACCTGGATCGATTGGGAGCACCTTATCTTTCCGGCAGTCATGCGAGTTGACTATGTACGGCTGTACCAGAAGACGGGCGAGGAAATGGTGACTTGCGATCCTCCGGGCTTCGAAACGACCAAATATATCAAAAGGCACCAGAACGCCTATTCGAACCAAAATCTCACAGTCAGTACATACCGGCTTGGTAATTTCAACTTGTTGCTAATGTGGACGCAGCGATGGGATCAGACCGGCCACTCGTGGCCAAAGCACAAACTCAACAGTGACTGTTGATTCTCCCACGCTTTCCACGGACGCAGGGGCGCGTTCCGTGATACTTTCTTGACTAGTTGATTACGATATGATAACGATGCATAACTCGGCGGTAGACCTCTTCTACAACAGCGCATACGACGGTTGCAGCTGGAAGGATTAGGACCTCATGTCACGCATACGGATGACGGCATTTTTTGGGCGATTTGGAAAGATGGCTCTGACTCCTCACGGATTCATCTACGATCATTGCATTCAGAGGATCGCGGTGGTTTGGGCAGCATGCAGTGGTGAATGGCATCGCAGGCTAACAGCGTGTATGGATAGCGTAGCGTAATGTATAACAAGCAGACCTTGCTGCTAAGTCCTTTGCAAAAGTCTTCTATGGTTACTATGCTGACACAGCGGGTTCTCGTAGTATTCGACTATGTGTTGCCGCCATTTATTCATGTTCAGACAAGGGGTCTGTCGGCGCCATACATCCCCGCGTTTCACGCCTTTTATCCTCGTCATGCGAACGACAACCGAACCATTCGCATCATTCATACAGCCGTTGTTAACAAATAGCGTCTCTGAATGCAATGTCAGATTCGGTGAGGCTCATGCTATTGCCCTCTCCGGCCAATGACGATCCGAATGGCTGCATCGTCACTGCCATATCCGGACGGCAGTACTACAACGAGCAGGTGTCTTGTGCATGACTTCCTCGTGTGTCAAATACTCATTAACAAGGTGTCCTAATGTAAGCAGTAGCAATGCAACCACCGTCGGTACTTAGCCTGATGATTCCCCAAGCGCCCGGCTGGCAAGACTTGGAATCTACGAAGTTGTTCACGAGCGTCTGTTTTTCCACCCTCCATTCGCTTTTTTCGGTGTAGTTTTGCTACTTTCCTCTCTTTTACTCCACTTTGACGATGATTGCGAAGGCTGTGTTTGGCGTCATCGCCACTGCTGCGCTGCTGGTCAGCCAGGGTGCCACGGAAATCCTCTATGCGGGTGTGAATTCAGGTATGCGCATCAACCTCACCAACCCCATATTACACAGACACATGGGGAAGTCGCTAACAAGTAATAGCGGGCGGCGAATTCGCTCAACAGAACCTGCCTGGCGCATTCGGTATCGACTACCAGTTCATCAACGAAACTTCAATCGACTTCTTTCTTCGCGCAGGCGTCAATACGATCCGCATACCGTTTCTACTAGTAAGGATATCTTTTTAAATGCAGTTTGATGGGTAGCGTACTAATCTTTGTAAGGAGCGAATGTGCCCTCTTGCAACGGGCCTTGGAAGCACCTTCAACGAGACGTACTTCTCCGAGTTCAAGAATGCGGTGAACTACATCACTGCAAAAGGGGGCTATGTCGTGCTCGATGCACACAACTACATGCGTACGGCAACTATATACCCATCATATCAACCAAGCAATCTATTCATCTAACTCTCCCAACCAGGCTACAACGACCCATCATCCCAGCCCTCCTCCGGCAGCATCATAGGCAACACCTCCGACCCCAAAGCCGCCACAACCTCCAACCTAGCAACCTTCTGGACCGCCCTCTCAACCCGCTTCATCACCAACCCAAACGTAATCTACGGCATCATGAACGAACCGCACGACATGCCCACATCCCTCATCCTGCAAAACAACCAAGCAGCCATCAACGCGATCCGCACAACAGGCGCACGGCAACTCATCCTCGTACCAGGAAACGGCTTCTCAGGCGCGCAGCGCTGGCTGAATCGCACATGTAGCAACAGCACGGCAGACTGCGCGCCAAACGGCGACGTGCTAACGCAAATCACGGATCCAGGGAAGAACTTCGCATTTGATATGCATTTGTACTTTGACAACGATACGTCCGGTACGCATGAAGCGTGCACGCTCGCAGCGCCGTCGAATCTGCGGCCCGTAACGACGTGGCTGCAGCAGCACAACTACACTGCTTTTCTCTCCGAGTTCGGCGCGGGTTCGAGTGCGGACCCCACGTGCGCAAAGACGCTCAATGATACGCTGGGCTTTTTGGAGGGGAGTGACCGCTGGATTGGCTGGACGTACTGGGCTGCTGGACCACTCTGGGGGAACGAGTATTTCCTTAGCGTTGAGCCTGGAGAGGGCAAGCAGGCGAATTCTACGTGGCCCGATGTTTTGGCACCGCGTGTGAAGGCGTATCAGCCTATGGTGAGGTGTGGGGTTAGTACGAGTGTGGGGGAGATGGCAGGTGAGGGTGCGAGGAGAGAGAGAGGAGAGCAGGGGTGTTTGGGGTTGAAACTGCCTGGTTGAATTGTTGGAGGGAAGGACGAAAGAACGAGAGAAGAGGCGTGAAGGCGATTTCTAGGGTGAAGGGGAGAATATGTTTAATGTGTTGTAGCTTGAAGGATTAAACATAAGCAAAGGCTTAGCGACGACATGCAGGTGTGGAAAAGCGCAACTGATATATTAAAAGTTATATCGATCAGCTCAAATCTACAGCTCGATTATACAACACTCCCACATCGTATTCACCTACTCCTTATCCTTCGCATCACACACCTCGTGAAAGTCCTTGTGCTTCTCCGCCCCCTTTCCAATCAACTCCTTGAACAGATGGAACGGACAGCTCGCACCAGGCCCATCCTGACAATCCGGAATAGGCCTCGGCGCCGTATTGGCAATGAACCTGATAAACTCGCCAGGCCCATCGCCATGCACAGCACCCCTCTCGCACGTCATCTTCTCCATGCCCACGTGCCCTAGAAAAGGAATAAGATCCGCCATTCTCCACGCGCGCGTCCAGTTGATGTGGTCGGTGGGGAACTGTTCCGCCGCATTGGACGACGAGTTGAAGAGGCCCAGGGCCGTGGCGATGAAGGGGGGTACTTCGCGGTGCGTGAAGGAGAGGAAGAAGCGCTGCTTGTCGGGCCAGCCGTCGCCGGGTGTGTCGTGCTTGGCGATGTGGGAGAAGAGGTTGGCTTGTGAATGGAGCCAGGGGAAGCCGAGATATGGCGACAAGGGGTTCAGAGGGCCGACCATGTAGGCGTATTTCAGATCCCATGCGTATTCGTACGCCATCCATTCGGCGTCGGTGAATTGCGCGCAGATCTCAGAGCGTGTCCCTTTGATGGCGCTTTCGTAGCCGCAGAGCATCTGGAAGCCGACGACATCGTTGGCTTCGAGTTCAAATGGCATATAGGGTGACAGCCGATGCGAGACGCTCGCAGCGTACAGATCAATGGCCTTCTTTTGCTCCTTTATTCCCGGGGTCTTCGAGAAGTTCTCGCAGGATTTGTGGGGAATGAGCGCCTCCATCGAGCCGTTGGTGTTCTGTGTGACGCGGACGACCTCGATCTTGTCGACCTGCGGGAAGGCCTTTACAAAGTTTTGTGCAGTATCATACGTCCTGCTCTTCTTATCCGCCAGGACTCTCTTAGTCTCTGGCACAAGGTCCGGATACCGCGCCAGCAGGTGTTTTCCAACTCTTTCCGCGTCCACCGCACCCGATGGCGTGAGGTCTTCCAGCTTGTCCTCGAGGATAGGACTTTGCCATGTTTCCATAAACGATAGCGGTCCGGACCAGCCTTGTCGATGCTGTTCCAGCTTCCAGAGGAAAGGCTTGATGTACTCTTCGTATTCCTTGTCATTAGCATAGATGGCGCCGTGCCTGACGATGTACGAGGCGGCCGTCACATTACATCCCACAGGAGCCGTGTGCTCAAGACCAAAGCCAACAGCATCAAAGTACGGTGATATCCCTGGTAGATGTAGTAGGGGGTCGAATTCGTAACCCTGCGAGTGATCCAGAGGGCGGAGTGGTATTTGCGCGTCGTGGTAGGCTGGGAGAGCAAAGGCCGGTGCCGCGAGCACGAAAGCGAGAGTCAGCATCCTGGACAGTACAAAATGCGAGGGATGGTAATGTTTGAGGGCAATTGATCAACCAGGCCAAGACCCGGGGTGAGACGCTGTCGATGGGTGCACCCGACGCTCTTTTCTCCTTTTGTTTTCCATGACGTCAGATTGGTATTTTGCGACTACTGCAAGGTACCGCCGCGCTAAGCTTCGCGATTGTAGGCACGGGCTTTCGCGTTACTTTGCATTCGGCCCGTCTTCCAGGGTTTGCAGACAGGATAAAGTATAATCGGCCTTGTGATATGACAAGTTGACTCTCAGCGCTTCTGATTGCACATCTCGCCATAGTTAATGACCAGAGCAACAGAGTAGGAACACAGACCACGTAGCAGTAAAAGTGGTGTGGTAAAGACGGTGTTTCAATTTCGCAACTATAATAAAGGAACGTCCTGAAACTACGTATCTAGAATCCGTCGTTCGACTTGTCCGTAATCAGCATCTCCTGTCGTACCATTTCCGCATAAGCGCAGGAGGGACGATGATAGATCTCTCAGGGGAGGGTTTCATTGCCGCAGGACCGTCACTCAGTCTGCGTTGAGGCCGCTGCCGAATGCAGGGTCGATAGCCTCGATACGTGTTTGGCATACTCACCTCGCAACCTCCCAGGAACAGTATGGCGGCTGATCTCCCAGTGTATTGTCAAGCGCTGTTCGCCATAGACGATGTCGCAAAGTACGGTCGATACCCATCCGCGATGGGTACCTATCGCGTCAGAGGTAGCATGCTCTGCTAATGACAGCGGCGAGCACAAGATGACACTTGATGGTATTCGTTATGGATGCTGGCTGTAGCACCGTAGACTATGGGATCAAGTCCTAATATATCAGTCGCCCATGCAGGGCCTCGAGGTTAGCTATTGATGATAAGAGGCGCTGTGAAAGAAGCGCTGACGATCAAGTCGACAAATGCTGAAAAGGCTTTCGAGATGCCTGGGCTTGAGCGCGAGCTTTCGAGTCTGCCACTGCTGGTGGCCACGGCCTAGCAGAGGAAACCGTCGAGCTTGTCGCGCCAGACCCAGAACTACTCTGCCGCGAGAATGTAGGAGACGGGCGGTCATACCAGTTGACATCGCTGAGCTGTAGCTTCCTGGCACGCTGGTTGCTGCGGTTGTTGCCTGCCTTATCGACGCGCGGCTGCGCATAGGGATTCGGAGTCTTGTCCAGACCTTTAGGAGTTTCAGTACGCGTTTTATTGGTGTTAGGTTGTAGGGTGTAAGAAAATGGTGAATCACCAGTATCGTCACCGTCATCTCGAGCTTCGTTATAGTTCAAGACAAGGCTCTTGATGCGCTGTTGCTCTTCCTTGTCGGCTTGTTGCTTGTTACGCATGGCAACGGCAAATGTGGAATCTGAGGGCAAGTCAATGGATCGTGTCTGCGTCCTGTTTCCTCGCTTGCTGAGGAGCGAGAACTTCATCGTATGTGAGGGCATAACTGGAGCAGGTGCCTCGTTGACACTGTCTTCGGGGTTAGCGGTTGCTTCGCGAGCGCGACGCATGGGAAGCGGGACGTCGAAGACGGGTTTGCGCTCGAATTTTCGGGAATCGGCACTCTCCGACATGAGCTTCGCAAGTTCGCGGTCAAACTCCGCATCAGCCTCGGGATCACGTTCGTCTTCCTGTCGGGTCACAACAATCTGCTCCTCTTCATCATCTGATGGAGCTTGTTTCACAGGCTCGTCATCGTCCGAGTCCTTCATCAGACATAAGTTAGTCTCCAAAAGTGGGACAGGAGGAAAAGCACGAACCTCATCCTCTTCGCCAGATGACTTGTCTCCCTCTCCTTCTGGCATCACAACATCGTCGTCTTCAGGACCCTCGAGTTCGTCGTCTGATGCAGACAAGTCATCCTCGTCAGGCTCTGCGGGCTTGTCGGCTGCCGTATTTTGATAATTCTGCTTGACAGCTTCCGCAAAAACACGAGCGGCTTCATCCAGATCGGTGATCACTTTCCATTGTGGGCGTGTAAGATTGAATGCGTCTTGAACGATGAACTCGACATCCATCGGTAGACCCTCCTTGACACAAACGTAGTACTGGAAGTACGACAAGAAGAAGTCGAGCTTCTTCTTGGCGGCACCTTTGTCGTAGTACATGCCGCAAGTCTCCAGAAGACTGCAGACAAGACGAATCCGGAAGTAGTCGTCTGAATTGTCCAATGAGTTGTAGGAGCCTGGACGCGCATATCCACCCTCCCAGCCGTAGTTTAAGAGCTTGTACAAGGTGTCGAAAATAAGAGGTGAGTCGACCAAGCGATAGATGTACAACTCACCAAGATACTTGACTTCTGAAATCCGTCGCTGATTGAATTTGAAGTCATTGAGCTCTAGCCCGAATGTAATCGACTCCAGGAGATCGTCGATGACTGAAATGGCAAAGTCTTGATGATATCGATGGATGGTTCCGAGGATGACGGCGAGCAAGTGAATATTACTGTACTTGATCTTTCCAGGCTTTGCAAAAACCTTGTGCAGAAGTCTAACGACCTCATCTTCCTCCCAATGCATCTTCCGGATCTGCTTGACGGTCTTGTCCAGTGTTCGACGGGTGAGGTCCTGGTACATGATTTTGCGTAGAAAGAGCTCAATGGGCGTCCGCTCCTTTTGCTCAATAGCTGCTCGCTCGGGTGGGTTAACGTAGTACACGGCATTCTCGATCAGCATGCGTTCTTGCTGACCAATCACCTGAGCACCCTTCTTCCGCTGGAGCGTCTCGAGGAAGGAGGCCATGCGTGGGCATGTTTCTGGGTTGCGTAGGAGATAGCGTCCGCAGTTTTCCAACAGATTGCAGATGATCTCGATGTTCATCCTGGAGAAGTCGTCCAAGCTGACCTTGAGGCAATGGAAAATGACATGCTCTGGAACCACACCAAACTTGGTCAATTCCGCTAGATAACGAACGTTTTGTGTCCGAACCTGTCCGAGGAAGTCCTTTGACTTTCGTCGTTGCAAGCTTCTGAACTCGTCGTCGAGGTACGAGACGAGTCCCTGCGAAACATCAGGCATGTATTTTCCGAGTGTCGCGATGAGCCTGGAGTACAGAGGGAGTAAATCGGATCGGCCCTTTGGGATTTCCTGCACGGCCTTGATGAGGCGGTTGCGCGACGCTTTGGAGTTTAGGAAGCAAAAGTCCATAGCCGTCTGGTCGACTGCATCCTTGGTGCTGATTTCGGGCAGACGGGCTAAAACGGCATCCACTTGCGCTCCGACCGATTTGTTTGCGATGGCCGTGGACTGGTCGTCTGCGTCAGTTGCCTTGGCTTCGGCGGAAGCGTCTGCTGTTTCCTTTTCGCTCGTCTCCACCTTTGCCTCGATCTTCTTGCCAACTTGCTCGTCGACATCGGTCCTCTTTTTCTTGGGCTCTTCGAGGAGAATGCCCGGAACACGTTCCTTCAAATCCATTAGGTTTTCGTAAAAGCGACGTTCGTCTTCATCTTCCCATATTCCGGCACCATCACTCTGGCCACGCAAGTATTCACCGGCCTTGACCAGACCAATGGCACTGTCCCCGGCGTTGGCAGCACTATCCTTCTCTTTGAGATCTGGCATGTCCACGCCTAACGCATCAGCTAGTACTTGTGCATTCGTGATCAGTCGCTCCTGGGCCTTCAGCTGCTTCTCGTAGTTGGACTGGCGGTCCTCAAAGACCTCCCCAGACTTGACATACGCCTCGGCGTTCTTGCGGCCTTGGTTGAGCAAGTGTTTCTGGTCGCGTAGTAAGTGTGTTTTCAAGTCGTCGAAGTAGCGCGTGAGGATATTTTTGAACCGTTGCTGCAGCTCTGGGGATATAATAGGTGTGTCTTTGCTCGCCTGGTCCTCGTTTTCAGAAGCTGAAGTATCCTCGCTCTTGTCTGCTGTCGTGGTTCCATCTTCATTCACGGTCTTGCGACCCTCTGCGGAAGATGACGTCGCCCCGAGAATGTCCCAAGCAAAAGCCTTTACGAAGATAACCACCAGAGGCAGGTTGACATGGTCACGATCGTGCCCAAGCATATCCTTCAACACCTCGAGCGGGAAGGGCTCAGCATTGGCAGACTCTGCTCGAGCCCTAGTTTTGGCCAAACCCTCGACAAGCTTGCCATTGTCCTTGGACTTGCTCGCCTCTTCAGGTCGAGCGACGTCATCAAGACTGCGCAGGACATGCACAAGCCAGAGTTCGGTGGCCACGCGCAATAGGACACGCTGGCGAGCCAGTCGCTCCTTCTCCTCTCGCTCGCGCACATCCTGTGCCAAATTCTTCAGGTGAGACTTGTCAGGTGTCGCCAATCCTCTACCAATGTACCAGCCAATGTATCCGGTGAACTCGGTGGGGCCGAAGCGTTGGTGGAGGGCGCTGACGATTTCGACACCGGCGGCGATCTCGCCAGGGGTCTTGAGCTTGCACAGGCCTTCGTAGCATGCGGAGATGATCTCAGAGAGGTATTTGTGGAGAGACAGGGTCCGGATCTCTTGGAGAAACTGGGACTGGGCGGACGCATTAATGGCGGTTCGCAGGCGCTTGATGAATGCGGTGTTCTTCTTCATAGACGAGTCGAGGGAGCCCTGTACGGGAAAGATATCTGCGCAGAGGGTCAGTATGGAGGGTCTAGACGGAGGTCTTGTGCCATGTACCTTGCTCGCCATCCCAGGCTCGAATATTGAGCTCACGAAGCTCTCCTGAATATTTTTTAGCATAGGTCATTCTCCGTATATGGGCTCAACATACGCTTCCTCTGCCTCTCCATGGTGGAGTAGGCGGGCCCGCAGCTGTGGAGGGGCGGCGGGTGATGGCAAGGGTCGGCTATGATATGTGCACATGGAAAACGGGGGGTATATCAGGCGCGACTGCTGCGTGCATTTGTTCGGGCACGGGTGGTCAAGCTCGTGGTAGAGCGAGCGTGTTTGTAGAGTAGCAATTCGGCGGTGGAGGGGCTTCCTGGCGCGTTTCCCAGTCAAGGGTTTGTGAAGTTCAGTACGAAGTCCACTTATCGCAACTGTCCGTGCGCCACTGTCCCGCCGCGCTTGACGCAAATGCATGACTAAGCAAGCGACTGGAAAGTGATCAGTGAGACAGTAGCATCTATAAACTCTGCGACGACTTGAGTCGAAATATGGAGCTGTCTTCTCTCTGCGATCAGGCTGAAAACAGGTGATACACATGCTGCTTGTCGAATGCTGGAGACATTAGGGCGTTCATAACGAATGAGGACATGGCTTTCGTTCAAGTCGACACAATGGCATCATGGTTGGTCGCCAGCATGGTGGACTGAGACCGGGACTTTGCGCACGCTTTGGCAGACTTTGACAGCGGGTGTGTGCATAGTCGACGGCACACAGCACAAAGCAAGTAGCCGACATGCACTGGGTCGAGCCGATAGTCTCGAGACGCCAAGGGCAAGGTCTGGTTGTCTGTAAGAGAGGAAGCACTGCTATGAACTGCCTGATGGCAAAGGCTGGATGCCTTCACGTGCTCAAAGCTCATAACAGATAGATTATCATGCAGTCTTGGGGAATGCACGTTGAACTCGCGTGTCTTCTGTAGTACACAAAACCTGGCACAGCGTGCAGAAACCAGATGTAAAATGCAGGCATTGCATCCTCCTGCTGCTTTTGAACATCCACTGCAGATACTGCCATGTCCTCTGACGATGTCTGATGCAGAATCAGGTTTGGGGTACAAGCACAACCAAGACTGAAGATTTGCCTTTTCTCAAACCACCTCTGGGCGCACCCGTTGTGAGCGAGTCAACAAAGGGCAAACGCTGTCCATGTCAAGCCTCCGCCACGTTCAGCCCAAGCAGCTCCTTTCAACCACTTGTGGACATGTGTAGCGACAAGAGTTTTTCTTCGCTCCTCAGGGTTCAATCTTCCGGCCCCTGACTAACCGGGACGAACAGCTCCCAGGGACGGCCTCCCTCAGTCGTGAGTGGTGGAGATGAGCCTGGATCTGGAATTTCTACAAAGTCAATAGGCCCGCCTATACCTCAGCTCAGGGGTCAATACCAAGCGAAACAGCGGCGCGACAGACAGGCCCATGGGTAAGCGTGAAATAGGGCGATTCATGGGCGATTCATGAGTGCGCACACAGGGGTAAGGGAGAAACAAGTGTGATATGACAGTTGACCAGTGCAAAAACGCGCTGACCAGAGGCAATGGTTGAACCATACAGGCTAGGGTGCATATGCGTTGGGAGACTACTGTCGTGGCTAGAAGCCGGTTTATCGATTTCAGCCCTGCAGGCCTTTCTGCACGGCCATGCGCCATGTTGTTGGTGGGCTTTTTGAGGCAGACTACGCTCCGCGTGCCCCGAATTGATCAGCAGAGGGAGATTCCGGGCCTGCGGGATGCCGATATTATCGATTACCACCCGTGCTTGCTCAGCCGCAGCTGCTAATTCGAAATATGAATTCTAAAAACTGGAACGGGCGTAGGTGTGCGGGCGGGTTCTGGAAGGTCAGCTTGCTAGGCCCGCCTCCTACCTAGGTATGATGCAAGCAACATTGGTTGATGAGAAAGGGCGCGTTATGACCTAAGGTGCGGCTCACAGGGCCAGTGAAACAGACAGACGGACGCACCCTTACAAGCGGATAGCGGAGCAAGAATCCTTCTGGCATCAAGCGATGGCCGGGGCCGCGTAGATGTGCTGCCCTATGCGTGGGACCGTGGGTCCCGTATACTAATCCCCAGGCCAGGCCCGTAATTTTGTCGGGGGTTTCTTGGCCCGCTTTCAGCCTTCCAGGGCTAACGGACAACTTCAAAGGGGGGGAACAATGCCAACGAACAAAGGCCTTGTTACAAAGCTTATAGGGGAGGGAACCACTCTCGTCATGCCCAAATGCCACGAGGCGCGCGCCAGCCATTACTGGTTGAAACAGGAGGTTAGCAGCAAGCCATGTCGCCCCCCCTGACCGCCATGCATGCTATTCACGCGCGAGACTAGGCATCTGGCGATCTTGGCAATACAAAATCGCAGCAAGCGGGCGTCCAGTGCAAATTGCCTCCGCATCATGATGCCATCTGGGTGCAGCAGTACGAAGATGCGAAGACACACGGAGCCTGGGGGTGTGTTTGTGTGTGTGTGTGTCAAACTCTGGTAGCTTTCGACGGTCGACACACTACTACACCACGACAGCCTCACCCGGTCCCAAAACACACACGCCCCCAAGACATGTCTCTGCTAATCTCATCCGCATCATGCGTGCGAAACAGAACAAACACGGAGCTGCAGTGGTCAGACGCCTAACGGCAGCGGGCGCATGGGGCGTCCCCAAAATAGCCAACGAGGCTGCGGCCTGGCCTCGCCAGCGCGCCTCTGGTGCGCCGCGTCCATACACACTGGGCATGACCTTGCTAACCTCTCGCTTTAGACTTCAGATCCGGTCTGCCTGCCCAAAGCGGGTTGACGCCCCTGTGACGATCGTGCAGTGTGAATGTCGCCCAGCAGAGTCAGCACCACTCCATGGGGGGGGAAAGCCACTGCACTGGCCATTGCGCTCCCGTTCTTGTGCCTGTAAACCACCTCGACCCCCTCGTGTTGAAAATTCCCTTTTCCTCCCTCAGGCGCGCTCCTTCCACATCTCTTCCGTCTCCCTTGCGTGGAGTAGTAGCAGTGTAGGATCTAATCTTGAGTCGACCATCACTGCCCTTCCTTCGCTTCTTCCAACCCCACACACTCGTTTACCTGTCTGCGGAGGACGCTTTCACCACTGCGTGTCTATTCTAGTTGCCCTCGATAGCGCCAATCGCCAGCCTGTTCAGCTTCTGCAACCTTCTGGAAATACACACTCGGTACCTACATCGATTATCTAGCGTTGTACGACAATTGAACATACGCTGTGTCACCGCCACCTCTCCACTCGGCTGGACCTTTTCTCGACACTGCATACCTCACCCGCCTCTTCGCCACGCTGCATCGCTCAGCGCTTTCAAAAGCTATTTGCACACGTAGCGATTGTGAACCAGCAGCTCACCGAGAGTCTTGCGTCACCGCACCGGCCGCTTGGATATAGGGTCGACGGCTGCTCAACATTGAGACAGCGCTCCCCTCTCCCGATCCCGCTTAACCGCCTCGAACGAACCTAGGCCTATTTAATAATTCATCATGGTCTGGCACGAGGTGCTGGGCGTCGTCGCCCGGACAGATGCGTCCATACCTGATATCACTGCGCCATGGCCGGTCAAGGACGTGAGTAATAATATTCTTGGTGATGCGAGCGCAAGAACTAACCATGACAGATTGTATATGTGGCCATTATCGGCGGCATCATGTTGGCCGCCCTGCTCGAATGGTTCCTATGGGTTGCCGCCTTCCTCTACTGCATTGTCAAAGTCTTCCAGAAGGCAGAGACCATTAGCGTTCGGATACTAGCTATATTCTTTGGTATTCTCTTCTTTCTCCTCCGGTAAGGCTAACCCCGTTGCGAGCGGAACCATGACTAACAGCACCAGTGCAATCTTCCTGCCCATCATGGTCGTCACGCTGCCTCTGCCCCCGCAGGTCGTCAAGTATTTCCCCCAGCAAATGGTCGACTTCCTGCAATGGTTCGCTTTCTGGTCCTTTGCTGGTCTCCTGACCATTCCCTGGTTGTTCTGTGTCTACCAGCTTGTTACCCACTCCGTCGGGCGAACCCGCAGGATCAAGTCTGTCCTCGACGAGGCTTCTGCTCCCAAGGTCGTCATCATCATGCCCTGCTACAAGGAAATTCCGGAAATTCTTCTTCGAACCTGCGACTCACTGGTGGACTGTGAATACCCACCTTCTTGCCTGCATATCTTCCTTTCCTTCGACGGAGACCAGGAGGACGAACTCTACTTGAACACCATTGAGAAGCTCGGCGTACCTCTTACTCTCGACTCTTACCCCAAGTCCATTGATGTCATCTACCGTAGCTGCCGTATCACTGTCTCTCGCTTCCCTCACGGTGGCAAGCGCCATTGCCAGAAGCGGACATTCAAGCTCATCGACAAGATCTACTCCGAGTACATCAAGCGCAACGACAACCTCTTCGTGCTCTTCATCGACTCTGACTGCATTCTCGACAAGACTTGCATTCAGAACTTCATGTACGAGATGGAGCTCAAGCCTGGCAGCAAGAAGAACATGTTGGCTCAAACCGGTGTCATCACGTCCACAACCGAGAAGAACTCGCTCATCACCCTGCTTCAGGACATGGAGTACGTCCACGGTCAGCTCTTCGAACGTTCCGTCGAGTCTGGATGCGGTGCCGTCACTTGCTTGCCCGGTGCCCTCACTATGCTTCGTTTCTCTGCTTTCCGCAAAATGGCCAAATACTACTTCGCTGACAAGGCCGAGCAATGTGACGATCTCTTCGACTACGGAAAGTGCCATTTGGGCGAGGACCGCTGGCTCACTCACTTGTTCATGATTGGCGCAAAGGAGCGATACCAGATCCAGATGAACACCGGAGCTTTCTGCAAGACCGAAGCCGTACAGGACTACCGATCCCTGCTCAAGCAGCGTCGCCGATGGTTCTTGGGTTTTATCACCAACGAAGTGTGCATGTTGACGGATATCCGACTCTGGCGTCGCTACCCCATCCTCCTCGTTGTTCGATTCATGCAGAACACGATCCGAACCACCGCCCTGCTCTTCTTCATCTTGGTCATCTCCCTGTGCACTACTTCCCAGAAGGTCTCCAATCTTCCGGTCGGTTTCATCGCCATCTCCCTTGGGCTCAATTGGCTTCTCATGCTGTACTTTGGCGCTAAGCTTGGCCGCTATAAGATCATGCTCTATCCTCTCATGTTCGTCGTCAACCCGTTCTTCAACTGGGTCTACATGGTCTACGGTATCTTCACTGCTGGTCAACGTACTTGGGGTGGTCCTCGCGCCGACGCAGGTGCCGCTGATACCACAAAGACTCCTCAGCAAGCTATCGAGCAAGCCGAAGCCACTGGCGATGATCTCAACGTTGTCCCCGAGACCTTCAAGGCCGCAGCTGAGGCTAACAAGCACCGCCCCGGGCCTATTCCTCTCCAGCCATCAGACAACATCGAGGGACGCTTTGCCCAGGCCGAGAGGCTGCCCAACGGATGGTACCAGCAAGGAAACGACTCTGGTCTTACGCTCCCCAACACGCTGCCTCGCAACCCCAACGTCCCCAACGTTCCTCTGCATCCGCGCTCTTCCATGGATTCGTTCTCTTCATCCGCCAACAACTCCATCTACATGCCTCGTCGCGTCGAAAGTTTCATGGATCCCGAGGATGCTCGCATCTACCACAAGACCCAGCAGACGCAGAAGCCCGCCGGTGGCGCATTCTTCGAGGAGGCTCGCCAAGGACCCTACGACGCCGGCCACAGCTCCAGCAAGAACGCCTACCAAGAGTCTGTTGACTCGTTCTCTGACGACTCAGTCTACCACTCGAAGGCGGCGCCGCAGCGACCTCAACCACCGCGCATGAACAGCGACAACAGCAATTCTGGTCAGCGCACTCCGTCCAATAACTCGCCTCTCTCCGCCGAATACGGCCAGAACGGCCTCGACGCACCCAAGCCAGCCTACAACCGGACAACCAGCGGAGATCAGTTGCGCAGTGGACGCAGTCCCCTCGCACGCCAGAGCTACGTTCGCACTGCTCCAGGCGAGGGTATTGAGCTTCAAGCACCGCAGCAGAGCAGCCTGATGCGCGATGTATCGCCTGCGCCGCTTGGTCAGCCTTCGATGCCCGCTGCATCGTCAAATCACCAGCGAAGCGAGTCGTCGGATTCGAAGAAGCGGAAGAGACTTAGCAAGGCGCCTCCTTCGAGCCGCAAGTAAATGCCTTCCTCCTTCTCTTCTTCCTCTTCTTCTTTCTTGAGATCATTTTCCAATCTTCGCCCTTCCATTTGCTTTCCATTTACACTACAAAAATTCGCGAGAACGGCGTTCCATCAACAACTTTCCTTGTTTTCACCACATGCACGCATTGGATATTGGCGTTTACCTCGACGATTGCGACACCGCGATCCTCATCTCTTTTTAGTTGGTCAGTTTACTGTACATATATTTACACACCGCCTGGGGATGGATAGATGGAAAGGGCGGCTTCTTAATGGTCGACGACTTGATTGGGAAATCAGATCATGACTGGTTGGTTCACCTTATGCACCACGCCGGTTTCCTGGGACACTCTGGGTATTTGCTAATGGTTTGTTCATGGACGCCATGTGTATATTGGAGGAAAAGGGAAAGGGGCTTGTCGGTGTATATGTGGAGAGAGAGTCATATAAGGGAAAATTGCTTAATGTTTAGACGTAGTTTCACTACACAGACGAATCAATTGAATACTCAAAAATGCACTATACTCTGTGGTTGTTCCCTGGCATTGTCTTCTATCACTATATGGTTGTTTGAGTGCTGCTGGTCTCTGCCATACTTTAACACGATTAGAGAAACTCATGCTAATTACACATACTTCCACCCCTCATCCAGCTACGCATACAACAACCCCTCCACCTCCTCCGCAATCGCCAAACAACTAGTCAACCCCGGACTCTCAATCGCGAGCAAATTCACAAACCCAACCAGCCCCTCCTCCTTTACAATATAAAAATCCTGAAAGTCCTTCCCACTCGTCGCAGCCAGCCTGCCCAGCTTCGGCCGTATCCCCACGTAGTCAGGCTGAACAGCATCTCTCTGGACGCCGGGGAGATAACGCTGTATATCGTCGATAGCAGGCGCCAGGTTGGCGGTGTTGGGTGTGTAGTCTGTGGGCGAATCGGTCCATTGGACGTCTGGCCCGAAGCGGATGCGGCCGGCCATGTCGAGGGTGAGATGTGTGCCCAGGCCAGCGTGGCCGGGGACGGGGGCCGGGTAGATTAGTGTGTTTGTCCGCGGTTGGGATGCAGAGTAGGAGAAATACGAGCCTTTTGCGTAGAATGGTTTGCGCTGGCGGGAGGGGGGCAGGATCATGTTGGAGATGGGGACGGCGTAGAGGCCCGCTGAGTTTATTAGGGTTTCGGCTGTTATGGTCGTTTCTTCGGCGCCGGATGGGCTGCTGGATGTGGTGGTGATGGACCATCCGCCCCGGCCGCTGTCGATGGGCGAGATGTGCGTTACGGGTGAGTTGAAGGCGCAGATTCCTCCTTTGTTCTCGAAGTCGCCCTCGAGGTATTGCATTAGGCTGTGGGAGTCTACGATGCCTGTTGTGGGGCTTTCGAGCACGCCGGCCAGGGCACGCACGTCAGGTTCTCGCTTCTTTGCTTCTTCTGGGGAGAGGAACTTGGTGGGCACCCCTACGCTAGAGGCAAAGTCGTGAACTTTTTGGAGAGCGTCCATTTGCGTAGAATCTTGTGCGACTAGCCATTTGCCCGTGTTGCGGTGGGGGATGGAGTGCTGTTGGCAGAGCTCGTATAGCATTCTTTTTCCCTTGAGACATAGTCGAGCTTTGAGTGAGTCGGTGCCATAGTATAGACCAGCGTGTATAACCTGGATTCACATTAGCACTGCTTCTGACGGATATAATGTACATTTGAAGGGACACGCTAATTTTGAACATGGTGAAATTATCACACCTCACTATTCCGCGAGCTCGTTTCCGTCCCCACAGAGCCATGTTTCTCAATTAGTACAGTAGATGCCCCGTCCCGATCCTGCAGCTTCCGTGCTATTGCCAGACCCACAACGCCGCCGCCTACTACTGCATGCGTAAAGTCTGCTTCTCGTCTGATACTTGTGGAGAATGGTCGTGTCGAAGAGAGGGCTCGTGAAACGCAAGGTGTGGTGGTTCGTATTGAAAACATGGCAAAAGAGGGGAGTTGGCGAATAGCCTCAAGTTACAACTCAAGTTACAACTACGCTGGGACGACCAAAGAAAGAAAATCAGAAATAGGCGCACAAAGTCAGGCTCAATTGCTGTTCTCGTTGTTGCTGCTTATCAGTTCTACTGCTGCTTTTCCGGATGACGTCGCCCGAGCCGAAGTCAAATCGCTTCGCGCTAGCCCCTCTAGTCGTTGCTCATATATACAGCATTGCGATAGTTTGAACTCAGGTATCTTTCGCACCTATTGAAAGATAGATTTGTGATCAAGACCAAAGCCAAGCTTCGCGGCTTCTTCTCAGCCTCACCGGCCGCACTACACCCCCTTGGCTCACTGCGCCCGTCATCGGAACGCATTCGGCTGACTACTCCCACAACCCACCAGCTTCACCCAAGCCCATGTTCTCGGCGCTGAGTAAACGACCACTCCCACGCACAATTACCTCTCTTCTGCTCCCCAGGAACTTCCACACCAATCATCGCCACGCCACATCCGATCTCCTACAACGCGTCAATAAAGTCACCATCATGGCCTCCACGCCCAAAGTCACAGCCCTAACCGACCTGCCCTCCAGCCAAGCCAAATGGATCAAGCTGCAAAAAGCTACCTACACCGACGCCCACGGCAAAGAACGCGTATGGGAAATCGCAAGCCGCAAGACGACAGGCAAAGCCGGCGTCGACGCTGTCGCAATGGGAAACATCATCTACCACCCGTCCAAGCCGCCATCGACTATTGTCGTCATCCAGTTCCGGCCACCGGTTAACGGCTTCACAGTCGAGTGGCCAGCCGGCCTAATCGACGCGCATGAAACGCCCGAGGAAGCCGCGGTGCGCGAACTGCGCGAAGAGACGGGGTACGAGGGCAAAGTGATTTCGACCTCACCGGCCGTGGCTGCGGATCCGGGCATGACGAGCGCGAACCTGTGTCTCGTTATGGTGGAGATCCATTTAAACGAGGGAGACCCCGAGCCGGAGCAGCATCTTGATGAAGGGGAGGATATTCAGCGGGTGAATATCCCGTTGGCGGAGTTGTATGAGCGGTTGGAGGAGTTTGCAAAGGAGGGGTATGTGGTTGCTGCGAAGCTGTATCATTGGGCTGCGGGCGTGCAGTATGCGGTTGACCATCCCGAGTTGTTTCGCAAGAGTGGGAAGGAGAAGGCCGCGTAGAGGGTTCGCGTACAGGGCGGTGTGCTGAGAGCATGTGTTTCTCCTGCGCAGAATTGATAGAAATACTCTTCCAATCGAAGATTGCGTACGGTTGATATATGAGATGAGTTGTCGTAACGTGCGTGTATCTGAAGTGCAAATCCAGGATAAATAAGAATTAAGACTTACCATACATCTCTGTAATAATATTAAGAACATGAACAAAAACAAGAACAGCTCCTACAGTACATCCCTTACATTCGTAAAGCCTACAAGAAATAAACAGTGAGTGCAAGTGTGTTAAGTCATCATAGCTTTTTCTTTTCTATATTTTCTTAATCATTTACCTTTGCATAAAATCCTAAACTAGTAAAATCAATGAATAAAGACACGACACGATGATAAGTCCTCTGATTCGATTCATTCGATATATTATTAGAACAGACAACTAAATTATGAAGTGTAGCGGACGTACTGGGTAATAGTCATGGAGCGTCCAAGTTACAACTGTCAAAACAGAATGTGAGAAATATCAATAAGGAAGCACGCAATAACTTCTCTACACTCAATATAGGGTAGAGAAGAGATAGCACGCTACTCGCGAAGCAGAGGGAGAGAGTCATATTTTAGAATCACTCGTCACTCCAAAAGGCAAGTACTTGAAACTGAACCGCTGAAATGCCATAGTAATTGAACCTCTATATACACACACACCTTTCTCCTGTCTATCTCACCTCAGTCCCCTCACCTAACCTTCTCATCATCAATCCCCCTCCTTAAATCAGCAAGAACCTCCTTCCTCCGCTCCAAATGCGCCTGCAACCCCTCGACCTGCTCCCTAACCGTCTCAATCTCCTCTCTAATCCCGCCCAACCCTTTAACCGCACCCCCCTCATCATTATCCAGCTCGCGCAACACGCCGCGCTTATAATCAAGCAACATCTCCAACTCGCGCTTGACAAGCGCCGGCTTACTATCTTTACTACGGCCATGCCGCCTATTCTCGGCTTCCTTCTCTACATCTGTGATTTTCGACTCGAGTTCGCGGAGTTGTTTCTTGAGCCGGACTTCCTCCCAGTCCTCTGTTGTGCGGCCGCCGAAATCCGTGCCCTTTGCGCGCGCGCCGTAGTTTGCTGCGCGGTCGCCCACGCCCAGGCGGGTGAGGTATGCGTCGCCGAACTTGGCTTTGCGGCCTGTCGTCGTCGTGTCGTCGCGCGTGGCGGCCCAACGGCTGCTGCTGGTGTTGTTGGCCGACGAGTCGAGGTCGTAGTCTATGTGCGCTTTTTCGAAGCTTGCGCGTAGGCTGGGCGGCACGCTGCGGGGCACGCGGTAGCCTTCGCTGCGCTGGTTGAGGATGTGGAGGAAGGCGAGGGAGGCGTCTTTGCCGACGCTTTCGCGCGCCTTGGGGTTCACGAGGTTCCATGCAAAGCGTATGTCTGAGTCGGGCACGTTGTCGAGGCTGTCGAAGAGGCCTGCGAGCGAATCGAAGGCGAGGTTGCCGTGCCTGTCTCGGTTCGCAGTGTAGATTTCTTCGTATTTGGCCTTGTCTGACGGCGACATATACCAGTCGAAGCCGTCGCGCAGGCCGGGTGTATCGTCGTCGTCTTCAACGGATTCGAACGCAGGTTGTGAGCCGGAGAGGGCGCGGTTGGCTTGGACAAGGTGGGCTTTTGACTCTGGGACGAGCCAGTCTGGGAGAGTTTGGGGAACTTCGGCAGATATCTAGCCATGAATTAACAAACTGTACTTGATCGCATAAGTCAGACCCTCTCAAGCTGTGTCCTCGGAGCTCTCTGCGCAACATACCCCATTAATCAAGTCGAAAATCAATCGCATAGCCACACAAAACTCCTCAAAGTCAAGTTTGCCATCATTGTCCACATCCGCCAAGTCCCACACGCGCTCGAGCTGATCGTCTCGCAGATGGGAGTTCTTGAGCACGGGGGCTGCCTGAGCGCCGTCCAGATGTGTCCCGCCCTGGGAGAGCGAGCTGAAGATCTCCCAGTACTTCTCCACTTCGTCTTGTTCGATGCGATTCGGCGGCATGGTGAGCTTCGAGGAGGGAGGTGGAGAGGAGAGGAATATCCGGGGATGTGGGCTGTTGTTTGCGCGACGTCGGGCATCGCGGCGGAGTTCTGGAGCTGGGGTACGTACATGCCAAGCTTCCGCCCGTTAGTTAGAACGGCGACGAGTTGGTTAATTCCGTCACGTCGACCAAGGTTGCAAGTCACCATTTCTACACACTGTAGCTTGAATATCTCAATTTCAACCATGTACATTACATGTATGTCTCTATTATCGTTACAAATATCGGGAAAAACCGACCTTGTAACATGCCGTAGCCCAAGGCCCCAAAACCTCCAGCTTTCCAAGACGAATGCGCCAAATGCGAGACAAGGGAACGACTTTCTGCTAAATTTCAAAATAAAATGATTCCGTCGTGGAGAGATGATCCCAAAAAAGAATATACAGACAAGCACCGCTAATGCAATATTTTCTCCCGGCTCAAACTTCCTATTTTTCTAATTCATATTCGCAAGCTCGTTGTCAATCGTCTGGCTAAGGAATATCTTCCTCTCGCCCGTGAGCTGGGCTTGTAGCCGCTGCTCCGCGAGTGCAACGAGTTGCTTCTTCGTGATGCGGTCAAGATCCGCGTCCTTCAGACACGCTTGTACCGTCTCAATTATCAGGGCATCGCTGGGCCCGTTCATCATGTTCTGAAAGTTGACCGTGCTACCTGGTCGTGACTGGTTGAAGCCTAGGGGACTGCGACCGCGGATCGGTGGTGTCGACGCCATGAGGTTGTCGGTGCTCTGGAAGCCGCCCACGCTTGGTCGTTGACCGTATGGAGACGTGTTGTAGTGGTCGCTCATATTGCCCATAGACATCAAGCGGCTATCGTGGGGATTGTCTTGGTAGCGTGAGAGGTTGGAGTATGTCGACTGCCGTGTTTGCATTCCCTGGTATGGGCCTGGCGAATGAGGTGGCATGTGAGAGATGTGTTGCATGTTGGACATGACAGTCGAGGCTGGCTTGACCGAAGAGTAGACCGAATGCATGTCGTTCAGCTCGTAAGCCTCGTCGTAGTTGCTAAATTCACCCTTCTCAGAGGGATGGCCAGGAAGACCACGACGGCCGGGAAGCTCGTTTCTCTCCGCGTAATCGTCCCATCGCATCATGGGGATGGCCTTTGGATCGAAAACCTCCTCGTCGGTTGTCAGAACCTTCTTCGCTCCCTGTTCGCCGATGACGACACGCGTGTTACCCCACGAGAAATCATCCTGCTTCCAGAACGAATACATGGGTAGCACAAATGAATAGATCGGGAAGGCCATTAGGTAGATGATCATCCAACCAATATGCTGCCATTGCCGCTTGATGATGAAGATCAAGGCTTGGAGACCGTAGACAGCGGCAAGCATGATGATGGAGAACAAGGGGAACTGGCCTTTTCCAGACGAGACACTGTAAATGAGGTAGATAAGGTACGCGCAGACGGACGGGAGAACGAGGGTTCCGAAGAGATCGACGAAGACGACAAAGCGCATGGAAAAGCAGCAGAAACCGCAGAGGTCCTTCAAGAAGACAAGCTCAGCCAGGTTGTGGATGGTGGAGTTGATCCATCGACGTCTCTGAGAGAGCAGGATGCTAAATGTGTCGGGCGCGGCCGTGAGTGCATAGGCACCCGGGACAAACTTGTATGACATTTTCGGGAAATGCTTGGTCATTAGTGTGGTCAAGTAACGATCCTCACCGAGCGAGAGAAGGTTCTTCTTGTGTAACGTGTCCACAATACAGTCTTGGTACTCTTTGATGACGATATCGGCAATGATGAGAGGCTTGCCTTTGTCGGCTGTCCGCAGGCGATACATGCAAAAACTGAAGCTGTTAGTTGAAGTTGATAGACAGGGGAGAACCAGAACACTCACCAACCGGGCAAACAGGTGACGCTGCCGAACAAACTCTCAAAGGCCTTTGACAGATTATGCGAGATGTAGTATTCGTAAACTTGGATCATCGTCCACCAAGACCCGTTTTCGTTTTCCAAGCTCGTCTCACCACAGATACCGGCAATCTTGGAGTCATTGGAGCAGCTTGCCACAAGACTCGTAAGAGAATCAGGCATGACCATGGTATCGGCGTCGACCATGAGGAGATACTCATACAACTCAGGGTCTACACCGATGATATTGTTGATTTGATGAAACATTTCCAGTTCGAGAGGATTCATGGCTGAACGGTGGTGGACGCGATTGAGGAAGCTCATAAGCAGGATTTGGGAGTCTCGCTTTCCGCGATTACCGGGTTTCGACTTCTGCTGTTCGGATTCCTTGCCCATTTTGACGACAACAACATACGGCACGACATTGCCTTCGAACTCGTACAGCCCAGAGTAAACTTTGCCGTAGTTGAGTTGCTGGCTTCCTTCGCCGACGGACCAGAAAGGAAGAGCAGGGGGATCCACTTTAGGGTCAACACCGAGGATGTCGAGAACAATCTTAGGCGTGGGACGGTCGTTACCACCTCCGACAATCATGCCGTCGCACACAACGCAGATGAGCTTGCGCTTGTTATCATAAGCAAGGGCAGTCAATGAATCGAGACCTTTCCGAATTTGATCTTCACCTTCCGTGTACGCGGGCACTTGGCAAATGACGAACTTGTCCTGGTTTGCCGGACGTCTCTTCGAACCAAGTTGGAGCGCAGCCAAAAACTTGACTATGATGACGGTACAGAGCAAGATAGTTACCGCGAGCAAAATGTAGTCGTTCACCTTACATCTTGCGGTCTTGCGGACATCAACCTTGCCGACGTAGAACAAATTGTCCAGACACTGCAGGTTGAAGGCTTGCGCTTCGGTGTTCAACAAGTTGCTGAAGTCGTCGGCGATATTTTTGCCGGCGTTGTTTTTCACCAAGTCGACCAACTTGGTGTCGAGAAACTTGTACTCCTCAAGGTTGTTCATCATGGTCTGCGTTTTGAAGTAGTCGGTCAGATCGTAGACTTTGTTGTTCAGTGTGAACCACATGTGGTTCAGATTCTCGCCTTCGTCTGAGATTTTCTTGGGGTCCCAAACGAGGTCGCCTTTTCTGAATTCACGAATCTTGGGCAGAAACACATTAGGATACCAGTCTTCCGCTTTGAGTGCCTTGCTATCCGGTAGGTTCGTCATTTTCCCGGATCTGTGTACGGCTAATTGGTTGACGTCTTCAGTGTTGTTGGAGGTTAAGGTTAAGATACGAGTGCGATCGCTGTCCTTGATCAGATTCGGGCACGCTAGGTAGAGCGGCGGGACAATGTAAGGGTCCATGTCTTTACCAGCCAACTCAATCATCCGGTCCCGAGTGGCCTCAGTGTTGGAATCGCTGTGTTGTTTCTTCCAGAAGGATGACAGATCGTACACAACACCATGGTGACTGACGTAGTAGTCATTTGTGCCTTGGTGCGTTGCTACCTCTCTCCGGTCCCAGACCTTGAGTTTTTCCGGACATAGAAGCCTGCCGAAAGCGACAATGTAGAAGACGATGGTAGCGTTGAGGAGGATAATGAGTAGGAACAGAACAAACTTTTCTCGCCACGCCATGCGGACATCCGGTCGCTTCATACGGCCGACAGTTTTCAAGAGTGGCGAAGGGAGCCAGAAAGTGACTGCCCATACGAAACCAATCCACAGCCTCCTGGTAAATGTCAATGGCGACTCGGTGATGACGGCGTTGCCTCCTGATTCGGCATCGTAGTAGGTGACTCCCTTGGTGTCATCGCCTTTCATACCAAGACCATAGTCGCCAGGGCTATTATCCATTGGAGCCGTGCGTGTTGTGGGCGCTACGGACTTTGCGTCTACGGCGCTGGGTGCAGCCAAGCTAGCTGAGCTTTGAAAGGGGTTGGTGGGTACCTGGGTCATGGGAGCGAGAGGCGGGAAGAAAGCGCTGTTCGTAGGGGGAGTTTGGGTTGGGTACATGTGGCCGAGCGAAGCGTCGATTTCCTGCGTCTTCTGATCGAGTTGCGATTCGGCCTCCCACCAGGTACCTTCTCTGACCCACACACGCTCAGTACCAACAACAATCTCACCATTGCTCCATCCGCGCTCAAGGGCAAAAGTCTCAATACCTTCTTTGCCGTCTGTGCAACCCAAGGGACGATAACGATCGTAGAACTCATGGTGCTCGAAGTCGGCGGTAAAGTCGAGAAATCGGTTGCGGCGGTTGGCCCATTCTGGCAAGCGCCATTCTCGAAGCTGCCGGGAGACTACGCCCGCCTGCCAGGTAGAGTTGAAGTCTTGGCTCATGGAGTGTGGGATGACATCGGTAGGATGAAGAGCGAGGTGGAACCAGACCCTACTGCTAGCCACGGTCATAGGAAGGTCGAAACGACCGTGCTTTCCCAATACGATGCCGCTGTTTGGTGCGGGATATAGCAGTTTCCTCACAAAGTGACCCTCGTTGGGAATGTCGAGAGCCAATTTCTCTAGCACAGCCTCACGTTTTTCGAGATTGGCCTCAGTCTCAGTAAGACTTGGACCGCTGATGCCGAGGTCGGCAGAACATGCCTGCATGGCTTCTCGCATACTTTCCAGGACCGAGTTACCAGCTGGAGCCACGGGAACGCCATCCTCCTTCATTTCAGAGTTGATTCCTTCGCTGACGTCAAACACGGTCCGGAGGGCGATGGCCTTGCCGAGATCGCGACTCGGAATTTCTACAACGGTGATGTTAACGATGTCACCCATGTCCTCGTCGGAATCGTCTGGAGTCATCATGCCGGGTTGGCTACCCTCGCTGTCGCCGGAGGAGAAGCCAGTCCTGGCCTTTTGAATGTCTGCCTTGATCGTAGCGTTGGCCTGAGCAATGACAAAGTCGACGATTGCTTCGTAGATGCCACCGATTGCGATCTCGCGCTCATTGGAGCCCAGCTTATGGCGTAGAATTTCAACAGGAATATCCAGAAGGACACTGACTTCCTCGCAAATGGCCTGGAGTGTTTCCTCGTCCACGAAATAGTCCAACGTGTTTCCAAGTTTCAAAAGTCCCGTCAGGCAGCTGATGACGTCGAGATACTTCTGGCCCTTGATGCCGATGGCTTTGAGATTGGCGCGGAAGTCCTCGGCCGCAGCGGCATCGTCCACATCTGGGAGATAGGAGGGTGGCTCGTAGGTGCCGGATCGGCTGAGGAGTGCGTAGCGGTCCAAAGATTGAATGTTCAAAAAGCCCCTTTCTTGTTTCGAGGCTGAGCTCGAGTGCAGGTAGTAGAAGGCGTCGAAAGCGCGGTAGCCTTCGTGGGCGGGAACTTGGAGCAAGCCTTGCTGCACATCCAGGCCGGAAGTAGACAGTTTGATCTCCGCGCCTACAATGTTGCCGGCGATGTTGAGGGTGAAGACGGCTGCTAATGCTGGGTAGCGCGCGGTAGACGGGTTCTTGGGGGTCACACAGTGGGTAAAAGCCTTCAAGGCCTCGAGCGCGGTGTAGAATGTGCCAGGGAGCGACAAAGGCAGGCCGGAGATGAAGGGCGAGAACAGCGAAGGGCTTGCGTCGTGCAGAGAACTAGAGCAGTCAGCATGTTGGCTTGACGGGGGGTATTCTGTATGTCAAGACTTACGCCAATACAATGCAGCCATCCTCGGCGCGTCGGCGGGCGTGTTCCCAGGCCTTTCGTCCCAACTCGAGGTCGACGGTGCCGCCAATGCGGTCGTTGGTGAGCATCTTGGCGTTGACCCATGTGTTTACGACCAAGCTGGTGCTGGCCTCGAGATTGTAGGGGTGGCCATGCTTGTAGGCCGAGTTGAGCGTGTTGAGCAGCGTCGTGGTTGACGTTTGCGAGGGCGGGTTCCCAGGACGCGGTGTTGATGCGGACGCGGTCGAGTAGACGGACATGCGAGAGTTGTTGACGAAACTCATGATGGCGGGCTGAGGCTAGATGCCCCTTTGGTGGGAGAGGTGGACGTCGATGCTCGAGAGCAGGTGTCTGCTCGGGGCAGACTGGTGTAACGAGAGTCGAGTACGCTGCCCCAGGTGAGGTTGAGGAGTGAATATGCGTAGGGCGAGCAGGGGGAAAAGGCGAGGAGGCGCTTCACTGCAATTGCGAGAAAACAAGCTAGCGAGCGAATACGATTAAACGACTGTATCGAATGAAGAAGAAGAAGAAAACGCACACGACGAGAGCAGCCGTCAGACGCAGAACTGTGGTATGGCAGTTTGAACGAACGTGTTTGCTGGGCTCAGGGCGACTTTCATTCCTGGACGCCCACCGGGGCAGGGCGTGCGCTACCGACCCAAGTGGGCGTAGCGTGGCGGATATATAACAGTAGATTACCGTATTGCGATGCAAACACCGGGGCGGACGATGGATTAGAAGCCCGCCCAACATGGGTGGCCCACCTGCTTTTCGTTGCCACCCCCCCCCAAGCCGGGGCGCAGGATAGGATGGCGGTTCCTATTTTTAGGCGGAAGTGTTATTGTTTACGCGTAGAAGAGGCTTCCGCTCCGCTCGAGAGGGTTGGCATTTGGCAGCTCCCGATGTCAACTGACACTAGACGACAAGCATGCATCAACAGAACAAACCCTTGTCCAAATTGCTTGTTGCAGGACGGACGGAAAAAGCACCAAAGGAGCCATGCCCGTGACCATGGCCACCCTGACGGCGCTTCTCATTTTGCACGTAAATTGCAAAGAAGTGTTGCAACGCCAAGTAATTGGAAAAGTTTCACTACCGTGATCGCTGACGTCGACATCCATGGGAGAGACCCTCTTTGGAGCGGGAGGGACTAAGTAGTCTGTCTCTCCTTTGTGTTCTGAACAGCAGAGGGCTGTCTGTCGACCGAGGTTCCATCCGCTCGTTGTCGCCAGGTATGTTGTCGTGAGGTGATGCACTCAGCCCTCCTCACTTATATCTTGAGACTGGTGGAGCCCTCCATGCTGACCCAACGCCTTTCCTTTCCTTTCCTTCCTTTCCACGGCGAATCGCCCAGCAGTCGTTCATATTGATATGCTAATCAACACGAGCGGCCATCGCAGCTCCATACCAATACTTACCAACTGTCTTTGCCTTCGCCGCCCGAGTCGGCGCAATCGATACGGGCTCTAGCGCAGTATGCAGCGATGATCGTTTATGCGGCTTCGGGTCCTAAATCCGCCACGGCTCGAGAGACACAAACCGGATACTGGGAGAGCAGCATGTGCACTCAAGTCCTCGCTGTCGGGGCCAAGTCGTGTCGTGTTTCTGCCGTGGCCCTGTGGAGCGAGAGAGACAGGCTGAGGATGCATCGTCGACGCCTCTCCAGTTTCATGGCTAAGCCCAACAAGTAGGCCTGGAGGAGTCCAAGGTGGAGCTGTAAGGCATTAGCCCGCTTTGGCGTAATCTATCTATTTTTGACGCCCCTTTTTCACCCAAACTCGTCTCCTAGTCAACACGGACCACAAGCGGCGGCGGCGGGCAGAAGGGCTGCGAGAAGTAAGCTAGAAGCCCAGCAGCCCCATGATTTTGACAGCCAGCATACGAACCCCTTTGACGCTGTCAACCAGCCCAGACACCTGTTACCTTCGTTTGTACAGCTTTCACCACATTCGCTGCTTGTAATTCTCTTGTTTTCCTTGGAGCGCCAAACACGCCTCCTTTCGCCTGTCTGTCTTGTTTATCCAGCCTGCGCCGTCTGCATTCCAGCGAACCCACGTACGCGACCCGATCCTGTCCTGTCGTCGACCGCCTCCACCCAGACATCGTCTCAACCTGCATCTCCCACGCACATCGGCCAACAACCGCGCCTGTCTGACCTTTACAATCCTTTGACGCTCCCACGGGGACGCGTCCGCCCACAATGGCCACCAATCCCATTCAAAATGCGTCGCTGCCCTCGCTGGCCCAACACCAGCAAAGCGACACTGGCTTGACGTCGGCCCTGGCCAGCCGCTACCACGCACATCTCCCCATTGCTACGCTGTCTACACAGGGCATCGTTGCTATCAACACATGCACCGATCCCAGCCGCGGTGTCGATGGTGGCAAGGAAGGAAGTGCGCACCAGGCCGCAGAGGATCTCTCCCAGAGGGCCTATACGCGGCTTGGACAGCGTTCAGAAGACCAGGCGGTCGTGTTTCTGTAGGTGATGCAAATACCTAACCAACGACAAGTACAATATTAACAACTTCTAGGGGCGAGTCCGGGTCCGGCAAAACCACGATTCGCGGTCACATGCTAAGATCACTGCTCTCATACTCGGCCACACCTCTATCCAAGAAGATCGAGAACGCAAACTTCATCTTCGATGCCTTCACCACCACAAAGTCCCTGACCACGCCCATTGCCTCCAAATCCGGCCTCTTATTAGAGCTCCAGTATAATACCACGACATCCAACCATGCCATGCTCTTGGGCGCCCAGTTCCTGGCTCACCGTCTCGAACGCAGCCGAATCGCCTCGGTGCCAACGGGAGAGCGCACATATCATGTCCTCTACTACCTGCTTGCCGGAACCAGCCTTAACGAGAAGAAACATCTCTACCTCGATGTAGTGGGAGGAGATGGCCCCGCAGGCAACCGAACTTCTATTGGCTCTAACAAGAGGTGGCGTTACCTTGGGCATCCTACACAACTCAAGGTGGGCATCGACGACCCGAAAGGTTTCCAGGACTTCAAGGGTGCTCTACGCAAGCTCGAGTTTGGCAAGGAAAGCATTGCTGGTATTTGCGAAATCATGGCCACTATCCTTCACATCGGCCAGCTCGAGTTTGAAACAGGTCAATCCACAACGCCTGGTGCCGATGACAGCGGTGGCTATTCGCATGAAGGTGGCGAGTCGATCACAATGGTGAAGAACAAGGAGAGTCTGGTCCCAATTGCTCAGTTCTTGGGCGTGACTGTCCAAGAATTGGAGCAATGTCTTCGCTACAAATCCAAGACTTTGTACCGTGAACGAGTCACAGTCATGTTAGATCCCAAGGGCGCTCGAGCGAACGCGGACGAACTTGCTCGCTCGCTCTACTCGCTCCTTTTCACTTGGATCATAGAGCAAATGAACTCGAGAATATCGGTTCTACCCGAACAGATCTCCAACACCATTTCCCTAGTCGACTTTCCAGGTTTCGCCAACTCTGCCGCCACCGGCTCCTGTCTTGACCAGCTGCTCAACAATGCTGCCAACGAGTCACTCATCACCTTCTGCCAAGAGAGTTTCTTCCAACGCCAAATGCAAGAACTGGAAGCAGAAGAAATCAGCCTACCCCCCATGGCTTTCTATGACAACACCGAGGCCAAGACTGGGTTGTTGAAGTCAGGCAACGGTCTCCTAAGTATCCTTGACGACCAAATGCGCCGCGGCAAAACCGACATGCAATTCCTGGACGCAATCCGCAAACGATTCGACGGCAAGAATGAAGCGATTCTACCAGGCAGTCTTACCGTTACACAACCGGGCAGCAACTTCCCCACTCCTAATACTTCCACCACCTTTACCGTCCGCCACTATGCTGGAGACGTGGATTACAACGTCGAAGGCCTGCTGGAAGAGAATGCAGAACTCATCTCAGGTGACGTGATGCATATTCTCAAGTCGGCTCAGGCTCCCTTTGTCCAGCAGCTACTGGGACAAGAGGCCCTACACAAAATGTCGCATCCGAAGGAGAAGACTGCCATTGTCCAGGCCTCTGTCAGCTCCAAGCCTACTCGAATGCCGAGTATGGCGCGGCGCAAGGCTGACCAAACCGGAAGGTTCGGTCGCCGTGTTAACGTTTTTGATGAGGATGCTATCAGTGATGTGGAGAGCAACGTATCTGCACCAAGGAAGGGCGGCGAATCCAAGAAGCAAACTGGTGCTGCCGGACAGTTTGTCAGCGCCCTGAAGACCATCGAGTCATCACTGCGAAAGGCGAATCCATACTTCGTCTTTTGTTTAAAGCCCAACGACCGACGGATTGCCAATCAATTCGACAGCAAATGCGTTCGCCAACAGGTTCAGGCCCTTGGAATTGCGGAGATTAGCCAGCGTCTTCGCATTGCCGACTACAGTATCTTTATGCCATTCGCCGAGTTCTTGGGCCTCACGCAGACTGACGTAGGTATCGTGGGGACTGAGAAGGAAAAGGTTGAGATGGTCCTCGACGACAAGCCGTGGCGGGAGAACGAAGTCCGCGTCGGTGCTACTGGCCTCTTTCTAAGTGAGAGGTGTTGGCTGGAAATTGCTAATATCGCGGATACTCCCACGTACACCCGTGCTGCTGCCGGCTCTGAAGATAATCTTTTGAACCCAGCTGGCCGATCATTTGGCGATTCCAGAGTCGGCCTCCTCTCGCCATCGCCTGGTGCATATTACGATGACAAGGGAGGGAGCTACTTCGGCAACCGAGACATTGATGCACGATCAGAGGCACCGTCTGGTATCACAAGCGGCGGCGGTGATATGTTCCAAGGTTTGGAGCAGCCGAAGAACCTTGATGAGAAGGTGACAGACACGAAGCTGGAGGAAGTCGATGTTCTCCCAGAGTCTAGTAGCCGAAAGAGATGGGTATTCATCGTCTACTCGCTTACTTGGTTCATCCCCGACTTCCTCATTCAACACATCGGACGGATAAAGCGCAAGGATGTGCGGCTCGCATGGCGCGAGAAACTGGCTATCAACTTCCTCATCTGGCTGGCTTGTGCCTTCGTCGTCTTCCTCATGATTGGCTTCCCAATGGTCATCTGCCCCAAACAGCACGTTTATTCACCTGCTGAGTTGACAAATTACAATGGCAAGGGTAAAAACGATGCCTACATTGCTATGCGAGGTATTGTCTACGATCTTGGCGAGTTTATGCCTCACCACTACCCGAATATCGTTCCGCGAAAGAGTCTGGAGAGGTACGCTGGGAAAGATGCGACCAACTTGTTCCCCGTTCAGGTTTCCGCTTTGTGCTCTGGTGTCGATGGAACCATTCATCCGGGCGTTCAATTGAACTTCAGATCCTCCAACTACACTGGAAACAAGGCCAACAACCTCGTCGGCTTCGATCTCAATGCTCAGTATCACGATTTCCGCTGGTTCACGAACGACTCACGCCCAGATTGGTGGTTTGAGCAACAAATGTTCCTCAAGGCCAATTATATGAAGGGTCGTCTTGGTTACAGCCCTAAGTACGTGAAGAAGCTTGCCACTCAGGATAATAACCCTAACGCGATCGCCTGGATGAACAACCGAGTGTACGATCTGACTCAGTACATTCCTGGTGGTCGTGAAGTCAAGTTCAAAACTGACGGTAGCGACAAACCCGACGAGCCGACCAATGTCGACTTTATGGACACCAGCGTTGTTGACATCTTCCGCGTTCAAGCTGGTGGTGACATTAGCAAATACTGGAATAACCTCAAACTGGATGCGAAGTTGAAGAACGACATGCTTGTTTGCCTAGACAATCTCTTCTACGTCGGCGACCTAGACACAAGAAGCTCAGCAAAATGTCTGTTCGCCAAATACCTTCTTCTCGCTATCTCTATCCTCTTGGTCAGCGTCATCGCATTCAAGTTTCTTGCAGCCCTTCAGTTCACCAGGAAGACGGACCCAGAGAACATCGACAAGTTCATCATGTGTACGGTCCCCGCTTATACCGAGGATGAAGAATCTCTACGTCGTGCGATTGACTCTGCTGCGAGAATGAAGTATGATGACAAGCGCAAGTTGTTGGTCATCATTTGCGACGGTATGATTATCGGTCAGGGCAACGACAAGCCAACTCCTCGCATCGTCCTTGATATTCTTGGTGTCCCAGAATCTACAGATCCCGATCCTTTGAGCTTCGAGAGTCTGGGTGAAGGTCAACGCCAACACAACATGGGCAAGATCTATTCTGGGCTCTATGAGGTCCAGGGACACATTGTGCCGTTCTTGGTTGTGGTCAAGGTTGGAAAGCCTTCGGAGGTATCCAAGCCTGGTAACCGCGGCAAGCGTGACTCGCAGATCATCTTGATGAGATTCTTGAACCGAGTCCACTACAACCTTCCCATGAGTCCCCTTGAGCTCGAGATGCACCACCAAATCCGGAATATTATCGGAGTCAATCCAACCTTCTACGAGTTCCTTCTGCAAATCGACGCCGACACTGTAGTCGCACCAGACGCCGCCACTCGTTTTGTTGCAGCCTTCATTCACGATACCCGCCTCATCGCTATCTGCGGTGAGACGGCCCTCACCAACGCCAAATCGTCCTTCATTACTATGATGCAAGTGTACGAATACTTCATCTCGCACAACCTGATCAAGGCTTTCGAAAGTCTGTTCAGCTCCGTCACCTGTCTCCCCGGTTGTTTCACCATGTACCGTATCCGCGCCACCGAGACCGGAAAGCCTCTGTTCGTCAGCAAAGAAGTTGTAGAAGCATATCAAGTCGTACGCGTTGATACGCTGCATACCAAGAATCTATTGCATCTCGGAGAAGATCGTTTCTTGACAACATTGTTGCTCAAGTTTCATGGCAAGTACAAGACCAAGTACACGAGACAAGCTCACGCCTGGACCGTGGCACCTGACAGCTGGGCCGTCTTCATGTCCCAACGTCGTCGCTGGATCAACTCGACAGTTCACAACTTGGTGGAACTTATTCCGCTTCAACAGCTCTGTGGTTTCTGCTGCTTCAGCATGCGCTTTATTGTATTCCTGGATTTGCTCTCGACAATTGTACAACCTGTCATCGTCGTTTACATCGGATACCTCATCTACCTCCTGGTCTGGAGCAAGGATGTTGTGCCTGTCACCGCCTTCATTCTATTAGGAGCTGTGTATGGTTTGCAGGCGATCATCTTCATCATTCGCCGCAAATGGGAGATGATTGGATGGATGATCATTTACATCATTGCAACCCCAGTTTTCGCCTTTGGTCTGCCATTGTACTCTTTCTGGCATATGGACGATTTCTCCTGGGGTAACACGCGTGTTGTCACTGGTGAGAAGGGTCAGAAGGTCATTGTGTCAGACGAGGGCAAGTTTGACCCCGCAAGTATCCCGAAGAAGAGGTGGGAGGAATACCAGGCGGAAATGTGGGAGCAGCACACAATCAGGGACGACCGCTCGGAAGTTTCAGGCTACACCTACGCCACAAAGAAGCCTTTTGGAGCCATGTCTGTCGCTGGTTCTGAGTATGGAGGCATGCCACCGTCGCGAGCCATGTCACATCTCGACATTGCCCGCTACAACAACCAATCACGCCTCAGCCTTGCCCAGAGTGGATATGGCATGGACAGCATGGAGATGGCAAATTTGCCCAGCGACGACGCACTCTTGCTCGAAATCAAGGACATCCTTCAAAGTTCGGACCTCATGTCTGTTACCAAGAAACATGTCAAGGCTGAACTGGAAAAACGGTATGTTATTCCCCGTGTCATCATTGGTATTACTGTAACTAACGAAATGGTAGATTCGGATGCGATCTTTCGCTCAAGAAGCAGTTCATCGGCTCCGCTGTCGAGTCTCTGCTTGTCAGCGGCCAGTTACACTAGCGTATTGATGTTTCCTCTTCGACTTGGTAACACGACCCGTCGATGCCTTACGAATCTACGCGCAGCCAAAATCTTCGCTTGTTTCTCATTTGCATGCATCGTTCTCTTTGGAGACTAGAGCATTTGTCTGTGTTGGCTATTATTACTACTAATAACTGCATCGTCTCTCTCCCCTGGGTGGAGTCACCTTTTTCGGTCACGGCGTTTTTGCGGTTCTGTATCTGGATCTCCTGTGGGGATAGCAACTTGCATCTACCGTCATCTTACCGTCTTTTAGCATGGGCATGGAAAATACTTGGGTAGATATAGGATGTAGGATTTGAGAAAAGAGAAATATATGAGATTGCATAGTAGCCAGCCTGAGATGCCTCTCTGCAAATCTGTTTGACTCACTGGCCCTGTGACAATGTGTGACTGGTTCAATTTACTTCTAGGCAGACATGTGTCAGAAAGCGATATGGCAAAACAGTCATATTCGGCTTCATGGAGTTAAGACATGGAAGACGTAGTAATTGCACCTACCAAACAGATGACAAAAGTATCAAAGGACCGCCTGATTGCCCTCCAGCAGCATTCCAAAGTTGACGGTGTTGGACTCTTCCCGATTGGGCAAGTGGCCTTACCCCACCAAACCGCCGCCGCCACAGAAGCAATCGATAGCACAAAACGGAAATTTCGACGGCCAGTGTGCGTTTTGCCTCGACGCCTGCGATAATTCCAGTCACTCTTTCACGGTCCAGGCCTTGATTGGTTCTAGTTTTGACTCTTGGGGCCTGTATTTTCGGGCTGAGCAGTAAATCCACGCCTTCGCGAACCATACCCCCCACCTATACACCGCGAGCCTGTGATACACTACATTCACAATGCCGCCAAAGAAGAAGGGCAACAAGAAGGCGCAGGACGACGACTGGGAAGCCGATCTTGGCGAGTCCATCGCGCCCCAGGATGGCGCTGCAGCAGACTCCAAGCCTGAAGATGCTGCTCCCGAAGAGGAAGCTTCAGGCGGTGGCCTCTTAGCTGCCCTGCAAAAGCGCGGCAAGAAGAAGAACAAGAAGAATGCCGACTTTGAACTGGAAGGCGAGGACCCACCGGTCGAGGGCACAGGCGGCGACTTTGCGAACAAAGCACCACAAGAGGGCACCTTCGACGACGATGACGATGACGTCTTTGCTGGCAACTACGGCAAGAAGAAGGGCAAGGGAGGCGCTGCAGAGAAGAAAGAGGAGCCCGAGGAGGCCAAGGAGGACAAGACAGATGAGGCGCCGCGGGTCAAGACCAAGGCTGAGAAAGAAAAGGAGAAGAAGGAGAAGGAGAAGCAGCGGAAGAAGGAACTGGTATGTTCACATCCGCGCTTGGAGAAGCACCAACGTTACATGGCTATGAACTGACACACGATGAACAGGCTGCGAAGAAGAAGGCCACTGGCCCCACGAAACCCGAGCCTGTGAAGGCCGCCGAAGCCAAGCCAGAAGCCGCCGCTGCACCTGCTGCAGACACTGCTGCGGGTGGCAAGAAGAAGAAGCTCAACCCCGCCCTCGCTGCGCTTCAAAAACAGCAGGAAGAGCGGAAGAAGAGGGAAGAAGAACAGGCACGTATTGAGGCTGAGGAGAAGGCAAGGCTAGAAGCGATAGAGGCGGAAGAAGCGGAAGAGGTGAAGCGCAAGGAAGAAGCCAAGGCGGTGAAGAAGCAGAAAGAAAAGGAGAAGATTGAGCAGCTGAAGAAGGAGGGCAAATACTTGACCAAGGCTCAAAAGGAGGCAAAGGCAAAGAACGAACTCCGGTTGAAGCAGATGCTGGAGAGCGGAGGCGCCAAGGTTGCCGCCCTTGACGAACCTGAGCAGAAAAAGAAGCCCCTCTACGATGACCGTAAGAAGAGGAAGAAGCAGATCGAGACCCAGAAGGAGAAGGAGGCTCGGGAAGCTGAAGAGGCTGCGAAGAAGCTGGAAGAGCTCCGGATATCCGAGGAGCAAGCTGCTGCAGCTGCCGCCGAAGCTGAGAAAGCCCGTCAGGATGCCGAGGCAAAGAAAGGAGAAGGCAGTGACGCGGCCGACGACTGGGAGGCTGAAGCTGACGAGCTCGAGGGGGTCAAGGACAGCTGGGATGTTGACACAGATGAAGAAGAGGAGCGGAAAGCGACTGAGAAGAAGGCTAAGGAGAAAAAGGAGGCGGCAGCAGCAGTAGCTGAGAAGAGCACGCAAGCCAAGGACGAGGACGAGGACGAAGATTCAGACTCAGACTCAGATTCTGAAGATGACAGCGACGACGACTCGTCCGAAGATGAGCAAGGTACCGCTACACAGCGAGCAGAAGCTGCGCGGAAAGCTGCCGCTGCCGAACGACGGAAACAGGCTCACGAAGAAGCTCTGGCAGCGCGATCCAAGGACAACCTGCGATCTCCCATTTGCTGTATTCTTGGCCACGTCGATACCGGAAAAACCAAGCTGCTCGACAAGATCCGTCAGACCAATGTCCAAGAAGGCGAAGCTGGAGGTATTACGCAGCAGATTGGTGCTACCTACTTCCCTGTCGCGGCTCTTGAGAAGAAGGTTGCCGTCGTCAACAAGGACAATGACTTCCACTTCAATGTTCCCGGTCTTCTGATCATCGATACACCTGGTCACGAGTCTTTCACAAATCTTCGGTCCCGCGGATCTTCGCTCTGTAACATTGCCATTCTCGTCATCGATATCATGCACGGCCTTGAGCCCCAGACTATCGAGTCGATGAAGCTACTCCGAGACCGGAAGACGCCTTTCATTGTTGCCCTTAACAAGATCGATCGTCTCTTTGGTTGGAGGAAGATTGACAACAACGGCTTCGAGGACAGCTTCTCGCTGCAGAAGCAGGCAGTCCAATCCGAGTTTGAGGAGCGATGGACCTTTGTGCGCACACAGCTGCAAGAGCACGGTTTCAACTCGGAGCTCTTCCACAAGAACAAGAATATGGCAAAGTACGTCTCCGTATGCCCAACCTCGGCCCATACTGGAGAAGGTATCCCGGACATGATCAAGCTCATCGTCAAGCTTACGCAGGAACGTCTGACCAACAACCTTATGTACCTCACCGAAGTCGAGTGTACTGTTCTCGAAGTCAAGGTTATCGAGGGCCTTGGCACGACCATTGATGTGGTTCTTTCGAACGGTGTCCTCCACGAGGGTGATCGGATAGTGCTATGCGGTAATCCAGAGCCCATAGTAACCAACATTCGAGCGCTCTTGACACCTGCCGAAATGAAGGAGCTTCGAGTTAAGTCGGTGTACGTGCACAACAAGGAGGTCAAGGCCGCCATGGGTATCAAGATTGCCGCCGATGGCCTCGACTCAGCTATTGCTGGTTCCCGCCTTCTCGTCGTGGGTCCCAATGATGACGAAGAGGACCTCATGGACGAGGTCATGGGCGACCTAGCACACTTGCTCAACAGGGTTTCCAAGACTGGTCGTGGTGTCTCCGTCCAAGCATCAACGCTCGGCTCCCTCGAAGCCCTCCTCGAGTTCCTCCGCGTCTCCAAGATCCCCGTGGCTACCATCTCCATTGGACCTGTCTTCAAAAAGGACGTCCTGCGCGCAGGAGTCATGCTTGAAAAGGCCAAAGAGTACGCCGTCATGCTGTGCTTCGACGTCAAAGTGGATAAGGATGCCAAAGCGTACGCTGAGGAAGTCGGTGTCAAGATCTTTGAAGCCGACATTATTTATCATTTGTTTGATAAGTTCACATCCCATATGAAACAGCTTGAAGAGCAGCGGAAAGAGGAGAGCAAGATGTTGGCCGTGTTTCCGTGCGTGCTCAAGCCGGTTGCCGTGTTCAACAAGAAGGATCCAATTGTCATTGGTGTGGATGTCACTGAGGGCAGCCTCAAGATGACAACACCCATTTGCGCCGTCAAGAAGAACCCCGTTACTGGCCTGAAGGAAATAATCCAACTTGGCAGAGTGTGAGTTCCCTATCACGTATTCCTAGCAAACCCTGTATATACTAACGGCTGAAATAGCACATCCATCGAACGCGACCACAAGCAAATTCAAGTCTGCAAGCGCGGCCAGCCGTCCGTCGCGGTCAAGATCGAAGGCAGCAACCAGCCCATGTATGGTCGCCATCTCGAGGAAGGGGATACGCTGTACGCTGCTATTAGCAGGAAGAGTATCGATACACTCAAGGAATTCTTCAGGAATGATGTTACTCAGGATGAGTGGAAGTTGATTGTGCAGCTCAAGCAGCTTATGGATATTTCTTAGTAAGTAGGCGGGTATGTCTGGTGTGTTTGCGTGTGAGGATGTGTCTGGGGTGTCTGGGGATGATGGGTAATGAGGAAGGGGGGGCATGTGTATAACGTGTAGGCTTCTATTTTAGGCGTAATAGCATGGTTTGGCGTTCCAAGTCCGAATATTGTTTGTTTTGTTTGGAAGTAGGGATGTGGAAGAATGGGAAGAGGCGGTAGGGGTGGTTCTATGTCGCTCGTAGAAGAGGGGAATTCAAAAGTTGGCTGTTTAAGTATCAAGTACATTTACGCTGTCTTTCTTTTCTGTCGGTGAGGTATCTGCCCTTTTGCGTGTTCGTTTTGTCGTGTTATCTTGATGTTAGTGTGAGGCTTGGGAATAGCTTGACGTTCTGCTCCTCGTTGCATACAATTGAAGTCTCCTTCTCATTCCAACGTGCAATTTCCCCTATGGGGACATCTTAGAGATTTTAGTCAGGGGTATAATGAAGTGGATTTGCTTGCGCAAGTGTGCTAATCGTACAACGAATCATTCCCAAAGATTGATCTTGGATCCAAGCGTGCAGATTCAAGATAAGTTCATTCAAATCATGACTTTATGTGCTTTCATTTCTCCTCGTACTGGTACTGTCCCTCTCGAATAAAACCATCGGGTTGTCTCCGTGCCTTGTTGATCTCCTTCTACGCGTCCTTCCCCGTTGACCCTGACTCATGACACATGCACACGGTTGTGTGTGTTTTTACGCTCTCTTCTTTCATCTTGCGAATCGCTACCCGCTATTATTTCTCGATTCATCTCGATCCAGCCTGCCCATCTCCACACTCAATGAGAGCAAAGGGAATATATGCGACGTGCTGGCGCGAGATCGTCGCATTACCAGCTAGCTGGGTATCGAAATTTTGGGTGCTAGGTTGAACTTCACGATCGGTCGATCGATCGATCTATATATAGTCCGTGGGAGAGAGCGAGAGAGGGCGGGGGGCCCCATCTCTCTCTATTCGCAGAGTAGGTAGACTGACGCGAATTGTATTCGAGCGCCCGATCTAGCCGTCAAATCGAAACATGCTCACGCGTGAGCTCTTACGTCTACGAACGTCCGGTTCTTATCATAGCGATGCCGACGTGCGGAAGTGCAAGTGCATTATGCTCTACGCTACGACGCTTCAGGGGTGAAGCCTTCTCCTTCCTATCATATAGTAAAGGATGTAGGTACGAGTTCTCGGCTCGTTCAAGGTCGATGCTAGGGATCGACTCGGAGCGCGAGGTGGGGCGGCGGCGTTCGTCTAGTGAGGAGGGGGGAGATTGAAATTGAGATTCTCCGCGCATCCAGGGGAACAAAGCGCGTGCGACTTGGAGGGAGAGAACCGTGGACATGCTTGTGGTTGCGCGGAAATTGTTCGGCCTAGTCTTGAGTGTTGGTTGAATGAGGAAGTGGGTAGTTGAGGGTGGAAGTGAAGTCCAAGTGAAGCTCGTGACAGGGGATTTGTTTGCTAATTTGCTTGCTACTAAGGTGCAGTAGTGTGTGAGGTGATCAAGTTGGAAGTGAAAGATATCTAGAATAGGACGTGTAGCTTATTGTTATAGTCATTACCTATCCATCAACACCAGTACCTCCTACAATACCGACGATAACACTATACGACATCTATGCGAACATACCAATCGCAGCGTGAGAAAGGATCGCACCATGGCGAGGCTTAGATGGTGTCGGTGATTTTTCGCAACCCTTTCTGCTGCGCAGCTAGCGCTCGGTGCCCGTTATTGCTCTTCTGTGTTGGAGAATGGAGGTCGTAGGATCCTATCATGAGCTGCTAACTACATGTGGTGCGGCTTACGAGAGACGCGTGGTGGTGAAGTAGTGTGATTGGCCTGGTCGGACAAATGGGCTGCGCTAGCTGGGCGCAGCATAGCCCTAGAGTCAGAGGCCGAATCGAGTATCGCATGTTGCTATTTCGCGAAGGATGCCGGGTCGGATCTTTCTGAGTCTTTCACCTCGCATCTCCTTGTACTGAGTGCGCATGTTAGTTCCGAGCCGACAGATGTGCTATGGTCCGCTCTTAAGTTTTCGACACTTGATAGCTGTTTGCGTGCAAAAACGACAAAGCAAAGATTTAATCTTAGGCTTCCCGTTTCAGTTATTCATGAGTAAGTATAATGATATTGGGCCAAGTCGCTTCTTATCCTTTTCTTATTTTTGTTATCAAGGTGGTGAGATGGATCTGTAGTCGAATGCACCTTCAAGTATCCATAGTCCCGGAAAGTGATAAAACGGTAGTATGAAAATGTTCTTTTTCTGATTGGAAATATGCAACAAATCGAAACCTACTCGGCTTAGCAGGAGAGCTAACATGCGTTATAGAACCCAAGCCCGTCTCAAAGCTTGGCTAGGTACTTCTCCTGAGCTGCTACTTTCTTCACGTACTCATCCTTCAACTCCAATACTCTAAAGCCCTTCGCAGCCCAATCGTCCCGCCACTCAGGCAGTTCATAAGCTTCCGTCCCTTTGGCCGGCGGCCCAGCAATAGATCTTAGAGCCTCAAAGTACTCCCCAAAGTCTGGGGCAATGGTGTGAAAGATGTGTGTAGGACCAAGTCGTTTTACTCGCTCTTCCTCCCATGCTTTTTGCTCAGGCACGGACGGTAGATTGCCTCTACCCGCAAAGACTCGTGCGACCGCAACGGCCTGATACTCGTAGGAGCGGAAAGATAATGCGGCGCGAATTTGTCCGACGACAGCGAGGGTAGGATCGTCCACCGAGAAAGTGTGCTGGTAGAAGCCAGCCAATCGATTATGCGGCGTGACTGGGTTTGGTTCCAAGAAGGGGTAGGAGAGCCTGTACCCAGTTGCAAAGTAGATGATATCTACGTCTTTTCCTAATACCCATGATCCGTCGCTGAACTCGATCGTGCCGCCATTTTCAAGTGTGAAGCGGGATATCGTGGGCTTCTCGATGACGCCAGGGAGTTTCCATACGTTGTCTAGTGCGGGATTCGCGTTTTGTCTACGTAGGGAAATGGTGAGTGGTTGCCGGACGGAGAGGCGGTTATCAACGACGAAGTCGCTGGCGGATACGGAGCCACCTACCACAACGACAGACTTATTCACGTAGTCGTCTTGACTGCGGTATTGTTTTGCGTGTTGGAGTTTCTCTGGCCAAGCCACATACCAATCTTCGATTCCAGGGATCGGTGGGATATATGGAACAGCGTAGTGGCCTGTGGCTACCACGACTGCATCAAAGGATTCAGTCCACCAGTAGTCCTTCTCTTGACCTTTAAAGACATGCTTAGTTTGACGCAAGACAATGTCCCATTTCCCAGTCGAGGCATTCTTTCGCACGGACTCAACAGTCGTATTAAAAGTTACGAGGTTCAAGTACCTTGAGAAGATATCCTCAAGGTATCCTGCCACGATCTTCCAAGGGCGGGTCGGATTTGCTTGTCCAAATCTTCGCACACTAATAGCGGAGTTTATCTTGGGAATGGAAGCATGTGTGAACTCCATGACTGTCGCCCCCACATTGCTGTCGAGATATGAATATAGCCCCGTGCGCGAGGTTGTGTCCTCTGACAGGGCATCCTGGAATGAAGGGAATCGATCGGGAATTGGGTTCCTCTTAGGCGTCGTAAGCGTAGAGCTGAAGGAGTCAGGCTCATTATCGAAGAGCCTGTGCCACTTAGTATTTAACGTAACAATCTCCAAAATCAATGCATGTACCATGTCCCGCCCACGCGATCTCGCCGCTCAAACACCCGAATCATGCCAAAGACTTTCTCTTCTTCGAGCGCCTTCACTGCGGACAGTCCCGATGGACCTGTGCCGATTACAGCAACGCTTTTTATGGCATCTTTTTCGGGCATCGTGCGCTCTGGTTAGCACTGTACAATGTGTAGCATATGTCGCGGAGGTGGGTTCGCATGGCGCAGGACATATTTAAGCCCATGGCCGATCGTCTCATCAACGCGCCATTGTTGATTGACGCCATTCTGCAGGATAACACGTTTGCGACGCTATCTTCAAGCGCGGCGGAATATTGTACTGCATTCGATGGCTGTGGAGAGCATTGGACCAGGGTAGCTCTCGCGACATCGCGTGACGCAATGAGCGCATCCGAAGGTCGGCCCCTTCACCCTCAGCAAAGCGTAGATAGAACCAACAGGGTGAAATACTCACTCTGGAAGTAATGGGAGACCTAACCGGGAGCGCGCTTCATGAAGGTTGCGAGCTATACTACTCGTACGTAAATAAATGAGATGTGGCGAAGAAAAGTATTGCCCCGCTCCTACAATCCAGCGAGTCTAATTGCTTGGAAATCGTTATCTGATCTCACTTAGCTAGGAAACAAACGAAACAATTCGCTCAGAATTTTGTAGTAGAGTAGTGATATTGCGTGAAATGTTAGTAGACGAGACATATTAAGAAATAACCGGTTCAAGAGGTGCATAGGGATGGAACTGTGTTCAGGCTGTCCTAGAAGATAATGGAATGGAACAAGGTACGAGTATTCGAGAAGTGACTCCGTCTTCATTGACTATATGTACATTTACGCCCAACTCTCTACAGCTATTCATACAAGCAACGGTGTAGGTACGAATGTACAAGTGCCTCTAGATGCAACACTCTATGCACTCCTTGAATGCCTGATGATGCCATTATACAATATGTAAACTTCGTCCGCGATCTATCACGCGTTATGGAAGTACTCTTCTTTGCAGCCTGTCGTTCGTTTTCGGCATAGACTCAATAGCCCTGATAGTCATCGGTGCTGACTTTTCCAAAATCTCTCTCATCCACGCGCCTGCACTCACATCATACCCCACACCACTTTGCTCATTTCTCTTAGTTTGACCAAATGCCTTTGCGAGGATGACTAAGGTCTTGTAGCGTGGCAGTACGCTCGTCTTCTTGATGTCGTAGTGCCGGATCTCCATCCACTGGTATCCTTGGCGATTGTGGCGGATGTAGTTCGGGGCGAGGTCGCGCCAGCCCGGAAAGCGCGGCATGAGGTATTTCTCGCAGGTGATGAAGGCGTCTACGAGGCGATCACGGAGGGCGAGCGTTTGGATGAACTCATTCCAGCTGAAGCTGTCCACTGTGAAACCGTTGACGAGCAAATCGCGAATGGTACGTTGTGCTTCTTGGAGGGCGGTCGGGTCGGATTGCGCGAGGAGACTGCGAATGTAGACACGTGAGGCTTTGAAGAGGATGTGGCGACGGTTGGTAGAGATGTGAGACTGCTCGAAGCGTTCACTGACCGAGGGGTCGGTGAGGGAGTCGAATTCGGGGACTGCGGGTGCAGGGTGCACGACTTGGTGGAACGTCTTGGTAAGTTTGTTGGCTGAGGCACGTGCCAGCTCCCAGCAATGTGCTACTTCGGCGTGTCTGCCTGCTCTAAGGTGGGCCTCCATGATGGCCGTGGTGAGCGTAATCGAGGTAGTGTAGTTGTCTGAGTCAGGTGCCGCTTCTTCCGCCTTTTGGTACAGTTTCTTACAAATTGCATACGCTCCTCGAGTGGTGTAGAGCGAAATAAGAAGACCGTAATAAGCTTGGGGCACAGCGCCGTAGTTACGTGTATCGAGTTGTCTTGCGTGACGGGGCCCTTCATGAGCAATATCGCTTCCAGCTCCTGCGACAAGCACCTCCTGGAGGGCCTGCTCGACCTTGAGTAAACGATAGTTTGCATGTTTCGCCCCTCTCTTCTTCAATTTTGCAAGCTCGACAGTGCCTAATGTCTGAAGGGCGGCTTGGCGCGAACTCTCAGTCTGAGGAACGTGGCGCTTGACCATCGCTTCATAGGCGTCCATGGCGAGATCGAGTTGTCCTTCTCTCAAGAAGCCAGTCATGACAATGGCGTAATGAAGTGCGTGAATTTGGAGATTGTTTGCCGGCATCGTGACCCTCAGAATCTTATAAGCAGCGTTCGTCTGCTTGACTTCCACCAAGGTTCGCATGAGACTGCCATAGGTCCAGGAATCGAGGGGGATGTTGTTTTCCATCATCTGCTTGTAGCACTGTCTGCTACTTGCGATATCTCGTTGCAAAGCATGATGCTGAATGAGCATATTCCAAGTGTGAGTGAGAGGATGTCCGTAAAGTGTTCCCGTCTGCCAACTCCTGAGCATCCCCTGGGCAATGGCTTCTGCGCCTTTTACATCACCAGCGTTCAAGAAGGCTTGTACGTAGCCAGATCTTGCTCGTACATCCGCGGATATCGGAACACCCATTTGCTTCGCTCTTGAAAATAACGTCTCGAACGCCTCGACGTCACCCCGACTGGCGCAGAAATCGAGCAAGGGCCCGAAAGTCTGTATATCTGGCTTGATCCCGCAATCTACACAGCGGTTGAAGCATTCAAGAGCTCCATCAAGATCATCAGCGCGAACATACGCGAGGAGCAGAATATTCCAGCAAGCGGTATCAGGAACCATACCAAACTCATCATGAATTCGCCTGAACTGCCTTGTTGTTCCGTCAATGTCCGCGCGTCGGGCATACACGAATGGTAGTGACGATAGAACCTTCAAGTCCATCTGCCCCTTGTAATTTGTATGGAACTCGTTGAAATATTCGAGCACCATTGCATCTTCACCATTCAGGGCGAAAGTTTGAATCAAGAATTTGAGGAGCCCTGGCCGCAACGGCTGACCAGGATAGAAAGTGCGTAGATCTCGTATGTGTTCGTGTACCTGCGCTAGACCATTATTTTGAGCGTAGTGAAAGATTAATTGTCTAATCAATCCCTGGGATGGCCTTGCTCCGGAACTGTAGTTAGCTTGGTCGTCAAATTGTTGTCGATATCTTCGATAGAGGTCGAGCCAAAGCTTCGAGTCCTTGGTTTGGGTTCGGTTTCGCGGAAGCTCTAAGATGCGTTTGATCGCGTACTCGTAACATGTCGATGTTGGGAGGTTCAAAGATTGCAAGTCATCGAAAAGCTTCAAGAACCAAGTCCGCATGAAAACTTCGTCCGATTTATGAACATCAAGGACGTGATCCATTACGTGAGGTACGAAGGTCATTACGAAACATGACAATGTATCCTCTAGCTTTTTCGAGGACCTGAGTTCATGTTGGAATTCGCGCACATGGTGGAGGAACGACTGCAAGTTCTCCAACAAAATCGGCAGATGAGAGACCTCCTTCCAAATCTCCGGTAGGATGTTTCCATGACGTATCTGCACGGGTGTAGGCAGCTTATTAAGGGTAGGTGTTGCGCGCATGAAGGCTTTGAAAACGCGGAGGCTGAGATCCCATTGCTCGTCGAAGACAGTACGTCGAAGAATGACATCTACGCCAATGTGCAACATGTCGCAATGCTTATCGTCGCGAGCCTCCTCCAGTAGTTGGATTGCTGGCCCAACCATCCTGAGCGCGATATAAGCCGTGATCGCTGCTCGATACAATGACGGAAGACGATGGGCAGGAGGCAGCTCGCCAAATACTTGGAGCACCCGCCCGGGGACTGCAGAGTCCCCGCTGTGGATAAGATATGCGAGGAGATCCTTGCGTAGGCGGTGATTTCTGCTAGCAAGTTGGTCGTCAGGGATAGCAGAATAGAGCTGCCAGACCAGTTCTTGCTTTCCAGGCTCCCATTTTTGCAGCACCTTCTCAAGCTCTATAATGGCGGTGGAGTCTTCCAGCAGACGCTCCATCTCTTTCTTTGCCTGCTCAATGACTGTCGCGTCCACACTAGCCTCGTCAAGTCGAGGTTGCCCTCGGATTGTAGAGAACTTGCGCACGCCAGCTCCGAGCAGCGGCCGCCGCCGGGGCTCTGGTACGTCAGACCCGTATATGGACATTCGCCTGAGCAGTGCAAGTGTTTTCTCGGGGTAAAGAAAGTCGAGCAGCGCGCCATCGTAATATCTTGGAGCCAGACGAGCTGTGGTCCTCGCCGGCCGGTCGCCGTCGCTATTGGCTGGGTCGAGTATCGTGGACGCAGCCCACCATATGGGCAGGCCGAGGTCGCTTGCACCGTGGTGCCAGAAGTTCGAATGTAGCATGCGTCGACTGTGCAGACATTGTTTGGGGGCGCGAAAAAGCTGGCGTCCGCCGGATTCGAGGCATGTCGAAGCACGCTCAAGCATCACCCGAGCCGTCAAGAGCGCAGATGATGGCAGCGCAAATTACCGAGAAGCGTCGAGTGTGCTGCGAGCTGATTTTGTCGGAGATGGACGCCGGGCTGACGGTGGCATTTGCGATCGGAGCTCACTAGCAATAGAGCATGCCTCCTAAGGTATTTGAACTGATGCAGGCAGAGATGAAGCCGGAAACGCCAACAATGCAGAACTGTGCACGAGGACGAAGGAAAATATAGTACAGCGAGCGAGCGGGAAGGACAGAGTGAGGGCGTGGCAATGGCTGGGCTGATGCCTTCTATCTAATATCTATGATATCTCGAAAAGTTTCCCAGGGCGCGCGATGATCAGCTGATTCGCACGGCAGAGCTCTAGCTCGCCGGACGATGCATGCCCCCCCGCCTCTACCAGATCTACCCACATTGGCTTATTATCCATATCACTACCCTGCGACAAGCCATGGACATCACCAAGTTTGTCAACGACTTCCGCGAGTCGGCCTTTCTCCTTGGTGACTATAGCTCCTACCGCGCCCAATTGTCGCGACGGCTGCGAATTGTGCGCAGGAAGCTGGGGCGGGCAACACCCAAGAATGCCAAATATGCTGCAAAGGCGCCAATCACGGCCGAGGAGATTGGGAAGAACATCGAGTAGGTAGTCGTTTGCAAGTAGTTTGCCTTTCATAGTCGCTCACATTCACAGGGCCCTCCACCTCCTCCTGCTTACCTCTGAGCGGGCATGGGCGCACGCAATGGCCATGAAGGCGTCCCACTCCGAAGACAACGCTGACAAGAACATCACCGGCTCCACCCGCCAGCACATCGTCTCCCGGCTGCACAAGGCTGTCCAAAACGCCAAGCAGATCATAGACCTGGTGTCAGACACGGCTGCGAGTGGGGCAACCGAGACAGACGTGCTGGAAGCTAGGGCATATGTATATGCTTTGGCAGGCTCTGAGGAGTTCGAGAAGCAGTCCGAGGGCATCAAGGGCAGCAATGCGACACCTCAGCGCTGGAACTCTTGTTTGACCAATTTCTCTGCGGCGCGCATCATCTACAGTGCGTTGCTGAAGGCAACCAAGAAGGACCTGTTCAAGGACGTGCTGGCTGGTACAACCGACCCGAGCATACGATATGCAGCCTACCAGAGTCGCATTCCGCGCACTGTGGGTGTTCCAGCTGTCGCGAGAAAGTTCTTTCCCAAGGACGATGAACAGCTTCTCCAAGCTGTGCAGCGACTCGACCCCGCGGCTTTGGAAGAGGAGGAGGAGGCAGCTTCATCTCGTAGGTTCTCCGCTCTAGCTGTAGTTCGCGTCTAATGCTTCGCAGACTCCCAGATCACATGGCGCGGCCGGACGGCAAACGTAGTAGACGCCGCCATTGGCCAGGCGTTGGCTTCCGTCGATACCGCCTCTGCCGCCCTGGGCCAATCCACCAGTTCTTCCACATCCTCCAAAGATCGCGCCAACGCATACGATGATATTCTCATTGCGAGCCAGGACGCTGTCGACGCAACGCGAAGCGCAATTGAGGAGTTGGAGAAGGAGGGCGTGGACGAAGGCGATGCCCGCATGCAGGACCTCCGCGTGACAAACCTTGCAGTCAACTACGATTTAATCTCGTGGAGAATTGGGCGTAACAGGGTGCTCATCGGAGCAGACGATGGCCTCACGTTCCCGCCAAACCCTCCACAGAAGCCACGGCGGCCACGTAAGGATGGCAAAGAGTGGGCTGAGCGAGAGGAGCCCACTGGCCGGAAACTCGCTAGATTACGAGAGCGCATCGCATTGTATGATGCAATCCTGCAGAGCATCGACTCGATCAAGGAGCTTAGGGGTGCGGTGCGTGATACTGGCTTCGTCTCTGAACTGGATGGCCAGCGCGCATACTTTCAGGCACTCAAGTGCCTGAATCTGTCACACTCATATGCATTCTTGTCGACCCCAAAGCAGGCACTGGCACTTTGCAATCGAGCATTCTCGCTATCAAACCAGGCAGCATCCGCTCCTCGCTCAGCAGCCGCGTCGCCGTCAAAAGCACCCAAGCTAGAAGTATCAGAAGAGCAAGCGCAGACGCTCAAGGGACACCTAGAGAATCTCAACTCGCACTATCGAGGCGTTGTGGCGCTGTCACAGCTCTCCACCAGTTCAGAGACTGCCTCGAAGCCAGGCTCGACAACTGCAGCGCCGGTGGTCGAGAGACTGAATGAGTACCCATCATCTGGCTCGGTCGACCTCAAGAATCTGGTAACCTGGCCCCCGAAGCTGAAGCCCGTGCCTGTCAAGCCCTTGTTCTTGGACGTGGCATGGAACTATGTCGAATATCCGGGACGGGCACCGCAGGTGCAGGAAGTAGAGCCGGAGAAGGTGCAAGTGGAAGAGAAGAAGGCGGAAGTACCACAAGCGAAGAAGGGCTGGTTTTCTTTTGGCAGATAGATGACAGACAACGTGCAACCGTAGGATAGTAGGGATACAGGTCTGCTTTCGCGGTCCTACAACTACGCAATACTCACTCAGATGGGAACACATGATGATCTGGGGTAGCCAAAAATACTCGTTTTGTGAAGGCCAATGGCATGTTGAAACACGTCCCGCATATGTAGTTCGCGCTAGGGCTGCTCTCTCAGATTGCACCCGGTGTTTTCGCGATTACAACCGATTCCAGACACGGTGCTCATGATTGGGCTGGAATCCACCCTGTGCACAAGTGAAGACTGTTGTGGGGCTAGCGTAGAAGAGCCTCAGGGGCAACCCGCGGACCTTGGGATAAGCGCCGTGAACTACACTGGACGCACGCTCATGGGTAATAAGGCGTTGTCTGGTTTCAAGGAACAGCTGTTCGTCATGGCCCCTGCAGAAAGACTATGGCGTCAAGCGAGGCCGTTGGAGAGGCTGAGTCTGCGACTTGTGTGTTCAAGTTTGGGTGTGTGTTCACGTTGCTGCCACTGCATGTTGCATGTTAGAGGCCGATGGATGTCAGCATGAGGCTGGTACCACCAAGGTAAAACCACCCGGCTCAAAAAAGAGTAGGGGGTTGAGTGGAGGGGCGCTCTGAGGTCATGCAGGACATTAGATTAGTTCAAATTAAGATGGGTGGATATCGATAGCACCCCTAGCATCGACACGAGTGGGCACTGGGCTATGACCCCTTATCCGCGAGCGCGCAGAGAATGTATCGTGTACCTTGCTGCTCATTTCTCAGCTTGTGCTCGTTCCTCTCCCGACAGACACCCTCTCTCTGTCTCTCTCGTCGACGCTCTTTTGCAACTGCTGTCTTTCGTACTGTCGCTCTTTACCTATCGCTCACTTAATACCCACACACTCGTTCCAGGCTCACCTGTTTCCTCACGTTTTCCTTGGTGTATAGCTCTACGCGTGCTCATTCCGTGTACAAGGAATCGGCCAGTATAATAGCAAGCAACGACTTGGAGAAGCGCCCTGCGTTTCTCGACTCTTAATACCCACCACGGCTTCCGCACTGGCTACCTCGATCCTGCCCAGGCCTCAGGCCCACGAATCCTTTCGCCGACCCTCGATCCTGCAGGTTTTCGACCTGCCCGCCTTCAAGACGCCGTCCACACCTTTCCCCGAGGACAGGCTGCCGTCCATCGGCCACGACATATCGCGGCCGTCGTCGAGCTCGACTGTGGCTTCGTATACGCAGCAACGGCACGGCAGTGCTGCTTCGATCCAGCTTCCCGCCCTGTCGACGCTGGCTTCCGTAGCGTCCAACAGCCCCGCCGCCAACAACCACAGTAATGATAGTAATGATAGCACGAGGAAAGATACGCCCGAGAAGAGAATACCGTCACCCCTAAGGTACGTTGTCCACCCATGGTGTGTGTCAATCGAAGGTGTGAATGGCGGCAGACAGAGCACGCTGCGTCGGCGGCAGCTGTCCCCTGCCGTACCTCCCAAAACGGGCGTCCATGGGCCTTATCGCAGCCTTGGCATGCCGCCGCACCTCAACTTTTCGCCCTCGCAACTAACACGCCCCTCCAGCAAACCCTCCAATGGCCTCAGCATGACTTATGCAACCGCTGCGCCCGCGACTGCTGGCGGACAGGCTGGCTTGCCGGTACGTTCTGTTCTCTGTTTTTGGTGTTTTTGGGTTGCCCAGGCGCCTTGCTATCCTGTTCTCCAATTTTTGTCTCTTATCTAATCGATAGCATTCGACCATTGAGGACGAGCTCAATGTACCATGTACTGTTGCTAACCGTCAATAGCCTGTCTGCCAGAACTGCACTACGAGCACCACACCGCTGTGGCGACGCGATGAGTCGGGCGCTGTTCTCTGCAACGCCTGCGGGCTCTTTTTGAAGCTGCACGGCCGGCCACGGCCCATTTCGCTCAAGACCGATGTCATCAAGAGCCGCAACCGCGTCAAGACTGGCGGCCCGGGCGGTCGCAAGAGGGTACGCCAGCTTCCCTTTCACTGATATATGCCGCCTCTAACAGATTTATAGACCAGCGATACAGGCGGTCTTCCTGCTGCCCATCCCGATGCCGACGGCCAACTAGGCCTTGCCCAACACCGCCGCGTATCAGGAAAGATATCCTCGGGCCTCTCTGACCGCTCCCAGTCGCCCATCTCGCGCACCGGCACTCCAAACTACAATCACCCGTCCAACATCGCGCCCCAGCACATGTTCGAGCAAGCACTCCACAGTGAATTCCACTCGCCCTCGCTCCCTGGATTCGGTCTCCGTGCCCCTTCGCCTGCAACGTCCTCGATCAACGGCTCCCACCTCGAACCTCCGCTGCCTTATGATACGCTTGCTGCTCAAAACACTGCGCTCAAGACCAGAGTGTCGGAGATGGAACTGATCAACGATTTGTTCCGGAACCGTGTCAGTGAGCTTGAGCAGAGCGAGCAGTCGGCGCGGCAAACGGAGACGAGCCTGAGGCAAGAGCTTGAGGAGGTCAAGCAGCGAGAATCGGATCTGAAGAGGCGACTTGATGAAATTGAGGAGGACAGCCCACGACACAAGAGGATGAGGATGAGCGATCTTGTGGACGAGAGCCGCGCCGGCACGCCCATTAATGCCAAGGGGGAGTAAAATCCACCTTCGTTTAGGTTCGCGTTTTCCTTACCTCTTAACGACTATTTCACGCTGGCGTATGCTCGCTCGGTTTCTTTGCTGTCTGGCTGTCGTTTGGCTACCCCTCTTCGTGCGCTGCGGCCGGATGGGGGACACACTCCCTTCCCCTAATCCCGCGCCCCAATGACGAGAGCCCTGCGTCGACGCCTGCTCTCCTAGGTCATGACGACCGATTAATGTCTGAATACCACTTCTCCAGCTGCTTGGTGCGGCAATTGTATTGTAATGTTCCTTTTTGATACCAAGGCTCGATGTCGTTTGATGTGGCGGGATGCGTGTGAGTGAGTGGCATGGGAACAAGATGAGTGGATCTACGGTCAAGGTTACCAAAAGTATTATTTGCATAGTTGCTCGTCAATGGAATATGAAGCTCTTGATCCTTGCCTCTCTCTCTCTATGAAACCTTGGAAAAGCATCAATTGGAAAAGCCTCAAACTTGGTAAGGATTTCTAGATTGCCTGATGAAGTACTTCTCAGACTAAGCTATGTAACTCGACGAGGATAGATGAGCTGAAGGCCTGCACATGCATGTCTGTGTACCAATGTTCTGTCTAGATAACCTTTGTACCAAACCCGTTTTCACTTGGATAGTGCTCTTTGGAGCACTTTAAGGGTGTTTCTCTGATTAAGTCTGCTATATCATTGAAAAGGTTCCAATCCATTGCTGCGGTTCAGGTGAAGCTTGGATTTGAAGACTAGCAAGCTTGCATCGACGGTATAGAGCATATATACAATACCCAAGATATAGACAAGTACGCACGAGCTTCGAGAAGTGATTGTCCTTTGCAGCAAGGAGCATGGACCTTATACGTTCGGAAACATCGGTCATGGGGAACCCGTCCCGGGGAGGTAGTCGCAGCTTTCGCAAGCTGCATCAAGCGGGGACAACGTGCCTGGACTCAATGCAGCGACAAGAAAGCCACCAGCATCTTCAACCCAAATTAATGTCCATCTCTAATGATTCAAGTCGTTAGATGGTTGGCAAGGGGATGCCGTCCTCGGGCAGAATTGGGCGCTAACCCCAATGGCAAGGCACGGGCCTCCTTGGCATGGGCAGCTAATCAACCCTTCTGCGAGTTTTTACTCTCACCTCCTCCATCCTCCTCCACCACCTCCCATCCATTGAACCCTCAATTCATCTCCCACTCATCTCCACTCCGGTCGTCACCACCATCACCATGGTTGCCATCGCTCGCTCCTTCGGCGCCGCCCGCGTGGCCGCCCGCGGCTTCTCCAACGCTGGTATGTCTCGCGCCTGCCCCAATGGCATCCATTGAGCTCCATCAGCTCCATCACGCAGCCATTGACTCTCATCTCGCAGCCCGCCAGCCCACCCAGAACAGCCTCGTCGCTGCCCGCAGCGCCTTCCGCAGCAACGCCGCCCGCCAGATCATCCAGAAGCGTGGCATCGTCGCTGAGTCGACCGCCGCCGCCATGGTCGCTGCCGCCAAGATTCAGGGTGCCGGTCTCGCTACCATCGGTCTCGCCGGTGCTGGTGTTGGTATCGGAACGGTTTTCGGTGGCCTCATCCAGGGTGTTGCCCGCAACCCTTCCCTCAGGGGTCAGCTCTTCCAGTACGCCGTCTTGGGTTTCGCCTTCGCTGAGGCTACTGGTCTTTTCGCGCTCATGATGTCTTTCTTGCTTCTCTACGTCGCATAGATATGTGCATGGCTGCATCGACTACCGGACATTCGGGTCTTCGGTATGGGGTCGCAGGGTGGAAAATTCTGCAGGGGGATGGGTGTGTGCATAGGGACGACTACTGCCTCTTTTCCTACTCTAGTGGCCGGTCAGATTGTGTAAAACATGTACTTTAGACGAGCAATCTGAAGAGCAAGCTACCACTTCACAGCTCTGATTCCTTTCCCCGAGGTACATGTGCGGAGGCTCTAGCTGGAGCAGTGACGCGTGCGGATGGCTGATGTTGTTTCTAATCGACTCAATTGAAGCCTGAGATTCAATGCCGAAGCTTCCCAATGACGAATTGTCGTTCCGTGATGAGCTACAGCTCTCGAGCTCTCAATTGATGAAACTTGGTCTTGCCAAGCCTTTTGCTCAACCTCAGCTCCTATGGCCCCGCGAATCCGACGGTCGCTTATAACACTACACCTCCTGATGCGATTATTTCTACTTGTCACGCTTTCTGTCCTCTCAGTTCACACATGCGATGTGTTATAATGACCAATGACGCTCTCTCATGGTGTTGTCGGAGCTCTTACTGCCGTCTAGTACGACGCTCGAGAGTCTTGTCGTGATGCGCATGTACAACCTCGTCAACTTACACGCGCATGGTAAACGGTCCTACATGATATGAGACAGCTAGCAGTGGACTCTTCAAATCTTCTCCCACTCTGGAGTAGGATGTTCGCACATTGTCTCAATGTTGCGCATAGCCAACGTAAGCTCTCGTCCGCTCTGTTAGAAAGATCCCTAACGTCAAGTAGGTATAACGTAGACTAGGTATGCATTACAAATGAAGCGCACGAGTCTATTTGCCGCACGCGTCGAAGCACTCCTACGCTGTCGTGTCGCCTATACCTCGCCTACGAAGCTACGTGCCTTCCCATCGACTTATACGCGCGGAATCGGTATACTGGGAGGGTTCCCGCGGTTGGTGAGGGGGCGGTTAGATGTAATGTGGGCTAGCTGGGGAGAGATGATAGGGTTGTGGAAAGATCACAGGTGGGATGGGCATACAGGACACTGCAGTAGCGATGGTGCGAGGTGCGAGGTGCGAGGTGCGTATGGCAAAATGACCCTAGATGAGTTAACTCAGTGATGTCGGTTTATGGTGAACTGCCGTGGTTTCGTGGAGTAGCTGTCGCGGGCTCAAAACCTCACTCCCGTTCCGTGATGAAAGTTGGGACATCTGACTCAAACTGGCCTCGACCGTCCATGTCAGCCACTAGGGAACGTGTATGATCTGGTCCTCCGATGTTCGCGTCGACCTTTCGGGCTCTCATAGGGCCGTAAGAGACGCGGCGATGCTTAGCTGTTCTAGTTGGTGAGTTTGTGCTGAAGTATATGTCGATTAGTTATAAGTAGTAAAGTAGTTGGTGAGGTAGGTTAATTAAGCAAAACTCAGTAGCTGCACTATTAGCCTACAGTTTCTTTGCCGGTCTCTTCTATTCTTGTTTAAATGACTGACATGATGATATTCCTGTATTTCTATGTCCTTCAGTCAATCAACCCGAACCTCTGTTTGAGGGGGTAAAGAGGAGGTGACGGACAAGAGGGAAGATGGGCGCGGATTCAAATGTGGGATGTGTAATTAGGTGGGGAATGAGTACCATATGAATATGGGATGGGCTTTGGTTATGTATGTATATAAATCTCAACGAAAGAATTGCACTTAATCTACCCAACAACCCGATTATTTAGGGAAATACAAATGAACTTCATAACCTTGCGGCGACATGTTTCCTCCTAATCCCCAATAATACCTAAGCCGTCATGTCCAGATCTTCAGTATCGGCCATTTCTAGGTCATACATTGGATCGTCATTTATGTATTCATCCATGAAAGAATAAGGCTGGGCTTCGAGTTCAGGCTTGGTAAGAGCGTTATCCTGCAGTTCAACTAGCCTTGTGGGGCCTGCAACATTGCTTTCTTCTCCGGCAGTTGTGGTAGAGCCAGCTTCATCGTCCGTGGCGCCGTAGTAGAGGAGAAGGTTGACGAATTCTTTGTGACCGCGTTCTCTGGCATACTTCAATGCGGTCCAGTCACACCCGAAGTATCCGTCTTCTCTACTGAAGTCTATGTCGATGTCTTTGTGCTCAAGAAGGAGTCTTCCTGCATCTAGTTGACTATACCAAGCAGCGGTCATTAGGGGGCTGTAGCGGTTATTATTCATCTTGTTGACGTTGATATCTGGGTGAGCTAGTAGGACTCGTATTATCTCGCAATCTCCTCTGTGAACGGCTGTGGTCAAAAGGGTCTCCTTAAACCTGGGGGATTTATCGATGAAGTTTACATCCTGAAAGTCCGCGCGACGTAGTAGCCTTCTGATTACCTCCGTCTTGTCGATTTCTTTCATCAGCGAGGCTTGATCTGGCATGTTGGTACATTTCATGGGGTACCCCTGGTGTTCAAGTAACGTATGAACCGTTTCCCAGTGTCCATTGAAGGCCGTTAGATGTACAGCAGTCTGTTTGTTATCATCCGTACACCCAGAATCGGCGAATCCTTCATGAATGAGCAGTTCGGCTATGTAGGAGTCACCCCGTGCGGCTACTAGATGCAATGGTGTCTGCGAATTCTGGTTTTTGCAGTTGATCTCGATATCGTCTCGACTGATCAAACACTTAACAGCCTCCACATGACCTTGTGAGGCTGCTAGATGCAATGGTGTCTGTGAATTCTGGTTTTTGCAGTTGATCTCGATATCGTCTCGACTGATCAAACACTTAACAGCCTCCACATGACCTTGTGAGGCTGCTAGATGCAATGGTGTCTGCAAAAACTTGTCTTTGCAACTTGTTTCGACATTATCTTGACGACACAAATGCTTTACAAAATTCGTACAACCTTGTGAAGCGGCTAGGTGCAACGGTGTCTGCAAATTCTTGTTTTTACAGTTGATGTCGATACCGTCTTGACTAATTAAACTCTTCACAACATTCGGATGACCTTGGATAGGCACCAAAAGGGGAGATATACAGTCGGTAGAAGCAGCAGGATTGGCCACGGCGGCTACTTGGTCGAGCAATAGCCGGAAAATATCGAAGTGTCCCTTCAATACAGCGATATAGAGTGGAGTTAATCTGTTCACGCGCGTCTGAACATTTAGATCAATCCCTTGAGAAGACAGAAGCAACTGCATGACCTCGATGAACCCGTACCGCGCTGCTTGATGTATTGGCGCGTTTCCTGTAGGGTCTTTCTTGTTGACATCGATATCTGAGTGTTGAAGCATCGCAGCAACTATAGAGGTTTGTCCCATTTTTGATGCAGCGGTGAGTAGATTCTGGGCGTTATGACTTGCGAAGGTCGTTCTTGGGTGCTTAATATAGACCTGCAATACTTCGATACTTCCAGATCGTGCTAGGTAGTACTCGATACTGTCGAGATTTATAATTTCTGCCGTTCCATGCAACAGTACGTTGACGGTACCGGGATTCTGACTCAGCAGAGCCTCATACAAAGGTATTCTGCCTTTGTCATTCCGCCTCTCCGCGTTGGCACCTTTTTCGAGCAAGTATTGGACTGACATAGCCTGACCTGCTCTCGCGGCACAGTGCAGCGCAGTGGAGCCGTCGTTTGCTATCGTCTCCAGTGCTATTCCCGCGTCCAAGGCCGCTTCGAGGAGGGTTATATTGCCCAGACTTGCTGCCTGCATAAATGTCGAGCAGGTATGGAGGTACCCGGTGTGACCGAGCTTGGTCGACGAAAGAGGCGAGGACCGGGGTGCAGGATCATTGATATCTAGCGAACTTGCCTCTTTACGTGTCTTGGAGGGGTTTCCATGAATTTTTGACAAATGTCGGCTCAGGTGGTCCTTGCGAATTGTTCGAAACTGGCAATGCTCAATATGACAACGATACTTCTCGTGTCCAACGCGATGACGAGCTTTGACATGTCGATTGAGGTCTAGACGGAGCGCAAATCCGCGATGACAAATCTCGCATCCAAACGGCTTAGAATGCGTTTTCTTATGCTGACTCCAATGGGTAAGCTAAGCGCCCTGCACAATGAAAGAAAACCTACTTGAACCTTCCAAGGGTATCGAACGACTTAGAACAGGTGTCGCATTTGAAAAGTTCAGAAGCCATCATTTCTGCATAAAGAGGGGTGAGTTTGTCGAGACGTGATGTACTGCGGCAACTCTCGATCGAGTGCATGAGCTTTCGTAGATATGTGTACAGCCAGTGAGGTACCCCCGTTAAAGAATATCTGATGCGAGGCTGAGACTGAAACGAAGGGCATCTGTATCCCGGGTGATTCGGCGCCACTGGTGACACCTGCATGGCCTAGCCTTGACTCCCTGGTTCACATTTTGGATTCCTCATATAGTGTATAGCTCCCCTTTGACTCTTGGTCCTGACTCCGTGCACTTCGAATTTTCGGGACCGACTCCAGTCCGACAGTTTTCGTGCTCTTCACCATCTTTAGCGAATCACCACTCCAGTTACTACAACCAACCGACGCTGAACCCGCTGACCTTCCTACGATGGCAGCGTCCTACCCACAGGTAGACGGCGAAGATCTCTCGCTTTCGATGCCGAGTATCCAAAGATCAAGACGTACCCTGGATCACGAGTAGGTTTTTTTTTTAACATTATGCAGTTATGCCCCTTGGATTTGGCATACAGAACCTTCCAATGCCTATGCAGGCTACACTAACTTCCCTGAACCTTGGCGCGATCCAAACCTGTACCGGCAGTCGGACGCCCTCCTCTTTCCCGAGGACCTCAACCAAACCCTCCAATCCCCTGCCTTGTCTCAAGCTTATCCCATTTCTGGCTACCAGAACCTGGGAACGTCTGGTACCTGGCATAGCAGCATCCTTCCCGATGTGTATCAGTTCGGAGCCTCGCCATTCGGTACGGAGTCGCAAGATATTTCGACGAATTTACCACTCGAGGACGTCGGATTTGATGCCTTGCCGATGTCCTCTGCTTGGATGACACAGAACACCGCTCAAGCTCCTACTCCAAACTACTTGCACGATCAGCCGATCATGCCTGTTACGAGCGAGGCTCAGCCCGGCCCACTTTCCAACCCTATCACGGCTCCAGCAGCTTCAGCTGTGCCGCAGACTACGGCCAGTGATCGTATGAATTGTCCCAATGGCTGTGCTGGAACCTTTCGCCGTCCTGGAGACTATCGCCGACACATGAGGAAGCACGCGTCGCCAAGATTCAAGTGCATGATGTATGACTGCGACAAGACCTTCTACCGCGCCGACAAGCTGCGCGATCACATCAAACGAGGTCACAAGTTCAACTTCTGAGAGCTCTCATAGGCTCCAAGGCATTGTCGGTGAGGTAGCGGGGCGTATGTGGCGAGGCTGAGCTGTAGTGGGCAGACTTTCTTCTGTGGGTTTCGTGTTTTTTCTTACGACAGTCCTTACCGATGTACCTGTCTGTCACTACCTTGTAATCATCATCTCCTCTTTGCAGTAATAAAATACACTCGTTGTTTTGAGGTTTGTGCAGCGCCTGTGGTTCTGATTGTATCCAGGTAATGATCTACGTCTAACCTTGTTCGGCCATAGTCCACGTACTGTATATTGACCCACCATCTAAGGTTCCTCTATAAGCTCTCCACCATCTTTTTGTCTTCCATTCCCCTTGATTACAACATCTTCATATTCACCATATTACGGAATCGCTAAGCTGGTTGTCATGGATCACGCCATGCACAGTCCAACACTCTTGCGCCCCGCCAACGCAACAATGCATGACTGCAGCGCAACCCAAGCCATCTTGACAGATTAATGCCTCACTCCTCTTAGCCAACAGTGATTGGCCGAATGTGCCCTCTGAGCCCCAAAGGGCTACTACATCCAACTTGATAGGACGAGTGTGCCCTAAACCCACTGCAAAGCTGATTGGACGAACGCGCCCTCCTGCACGCTGACATGCACGCTGCAACAACAGAAAGGCTGAAACGGCGCCCTTTTAGAAAAGCAGGCAAACGGTCCTCGACACGAAACCATGTGACTGATTAAATTTTTTCGGGCCCTAGTTTGTAGTGAAGTATCTATGCGATCAGCACTCAAGCAAGTTCATCTTTCCGTGCCACTTTTGAACATCTCAAGACCTAAATGGGGAAATAGAATTTTCAAGTAAGTCAGCTACTTGGTAAAAATACAGCCCCCAAATTTGCACTCACTGTATCGTGAACCAAATCGGAACAATACTAACCTAGCAATCCCTCTGTTCAATAGTCCTATCTTATTATCAACTCTCCCGATTGCAACATGTGAGGGCTCTGTGGTGCGGTGCCGAATATCTATCTTTCCGTACGCTCATACATCCATGGCGTACGCATAACCATCAAGAAGAAAGCTTACTAAACGAGTGAGTACCGCAGTTACTACCCGTAAACCTAAATTAAAAGTGTGAGTTTCTTCCTGTAGCAATGCTGTCTCAATACGCTCGTTCGGTATCTACCTATGTTCAGTGTTGATCGTCTTGACGACGTAGTTTTATATGTCTCTAGTTCTTCCATGCTACTCCCATGGCTCTTCAACACGTAGGATTTATTTAGCGTTCTATCTACCTATCCTTGGGTGGTTTTCGCAATAGTGTGTATGACTGCTTCTTTCACCTCTTGTTCTTTTGTTCACCGTGAAACATAACATGTGAATAGTGAGTCCGCAAGCAAAATGATTAATATCGCTTAGCTTGCTTGGTTATGTTAGTTACAGGAGTGGTGTAGAAGCGGAATATCCAAAGATTAAACGGGGTCAATGAGATGAGACATCAGACACACAAGTCGACTGCATAGCAGTCTTACACATCAAGACCGGACACGATAGTGGGGAATGTGGTGGAACATCGTGATTCTCGTAAGTGTATCAGTCTATCCTCCGTTATTGATTCGTGATAAGGGCTTATCCCAAGGCCTGACAATGCCTCACTCGCTTGATCAAAATACCGCCCACCTTCCCTACCCAATGCTTCCGTCCATGGATCGACAATTTCGTTCACAGCCTTTAATCAACTCTTTCCCAAGTGCTGCTGCTCAAAGAAGAGGCATGAAAACCTCACCCAACCACACCTTCACCGCCGTCACCAAAGCCCCAGTGTCTGCAAGATCCGCCTCCTTGCCCGCACCCCAGTTCGAATCAACACCAAGCGCCAACTCTGCAAACAGCACCTCGACGTCCTTCTCCGTCTCTCGACTCACCAACTCCTCCAACTCCCCACCCTCATCCATCCACCTAAGCAGCATATCACCATCGACATGCTTGTTCCTTGGCGCCGCAGGCCCGCGCTCCTGATGCCTTGGATCTACGCTTCTCGCTGTAATCTTTGCATCCTGAATACCCTCTGCGCCATTCATGAGGACATCGAAGATGTTGCCACTCCGAGGCTTGATTAAGGTGTGCTGGTATGCGGGGTCACGAGCTTCTTTTGCTTCGATGAGGTTTTGTAAGAGGCGGAGGAGGTGACGGGCTGGTTGGGAGAGGATGGAAAATGTGTATATGGTGCCGTCAGAGCAGGCACCGATGATATCGTCTGAGAGGATTCCGCCCGTACGCGAGAGTTCTGAGCGACGCCATGGGGGACGGATGTCTCCGCGTTGGAGGCGGACTACTGTTCGGGGGAGACAAGCTTCGAAAACAGTTGCCGAATCGTTTCTGTAGGTTCGATCGGGTGGGTGATAAAGGCCGCAGATCGAGGCACTCTTCTTGTCTGTGAGTAGTACGATGTTGTCCTTGTTCTGATCCGCCTCATCGGGTCTGGACAGGTCCATGACCAGGTGGTGAGTACACGAGCGCTCGCGGCTGTCCGTAAAGACTTGCTCGAACTCAAACCGGCCTTCTCGGGCTGTTTCAACAATTTTATAGCAGATATGTGAATGCTGAAGTGTCGAAACGTAGACGAAATTACCTTTGACGGATATGTGAATTCCTGGAGAAGGCAGGTCTTTCGTACCGCGCTTGAACCATCTATAACACTTAGCAAAGCCGAAAGCTGGAAAATGGAGTACTTACCGTCCGGCCTGAGAGTCAAAGTAGTCCAATGACAATGTCTTTCCTATGACGTTGACGGTCGACTCATTTCCCCACATGGCTACACAATAGACCGGATGCTCGTAGCTGGACTCTTTTTGCATCTGTAACTTTGTTCCGTTCTTACCTGCGTTGAAGATAAGCCTTCTTCCTGTCTCCTTGCCGGAGCCCACGGCGATCCCAGTGCCTACAATGAAGAGGCAGTACTTCTTCCCTTGGTGATCAATAAACGGCCATTCGACGAGAGAGTAAACTCTCTCCGCAGGTTTCAAAGTATACTCAGCTATAATGACTCTATCAACGGGTGCGTCTCCGTCTTCCTGCTTGACCTCCAGCTCGTCGCTGGATTTATCGTCGTGTACAGTCAGCAACTTGATTGCTGAATGTAGCACCCTGGAGCCGTTTGGTGGTGCTCGTTCCTCTTTTGCCTCTATAGTAGAGACTACCATTCGCCGCGGTGACTCCATGTATACGACATTTGTAGGCTTTGCTACCGTAAGAAGCTTTCGTGGCACCGTTCTGGTATCATGCACAGATAGCGACGGAACGTCATGGCTCGTCCACCTAATGTCGGAGTCGAGCTGCGAGAAGAGTAGCTGGTCTCCAGCAACGGCAAAAAGAAAACCGCCGAGGTTTCTTCCTATAGAATCCAGTTCTCTAAAGAAGGGTAGCTGATACATGGCCGTGACCGGGGACTGGAGGTAGCCTGGGTTGGTGCGGTTGGTGAACCATATGGAACTGACATCTAGAACAAGGGGATTAAGCGTTGAGCAACGCACTCGACAGAGGTCCGAGCTGCATGATACGAAAGCAACAGAGGCATCGGTTTGACTTCGCATGATTCGTGCTGAAGTAACGCCCATCTTTACAGATCGCCAAGGTAGGCGTGGGGCAGCTATTTCGTCGTTAGTGGAGTTCAAGTCGCATCTTCAGGGTACGGTCATACCATTATCGACGATTGCGAGATTGGTGCTAAGAAGATACCCAGTTCGCGTCGCACATACCAGCACCTGCTGTCCCCTGGACTCCAGAACCACGGCACTTTCACACAGCATACGGAAGCCATCTACTGCAACATCTTCAAGTGACTCCTCTAGCACTAGGGAAAAGGCTCCCTGCTCGTCTATCCGGAAGAGCAAGATTTTCGAATCAAACGTGCTTACAAACACATGTGGAGCACCGTTAAAGTCTAGGAGCTCAATGCATGTCGGATCATAAGCTAGCTGATGTCGAATACTCTTGGCTGGGATAAAGGATCCGTCGTGGGAAATGAGTATGAGTTTCAAATATATCTTGCCAGACTCTCGGAAGGTGACTGCAATGAAAGGGAATGCAGCCCGAGAAGCGGCTAGTAGCAAGGGGCCGCTGAATGAGATTGAATCAATTTGACACAGAGCTGGCCGACGTAGAGTTCGAGCCTCGTTTCGACAGATCTGTATCGAAAAATCATCAGACCAAGGACACGCGGAAACAGTCTCCTCATCTCGCATGATATCGTCAGCAATGGCCTCATCTTCAGCGTGTATCTGTGCCTTTTCCCATTTCCCATCTTCCCAAGCACCAGAGAGCTTGCCGCGATTCTCAGGTGATATACGAGTGACCCGAATTAGAAGTGTCTCTAGTGGGAGGGTGACTAAGAGCGTAGCATAGTGATCTTTTACTCTTTTGCCTTCGCTATCGACCGTTTGACTGCCATAGTCGACCACCCAGAGGCCGGTGCAGCCATTCATGCCACTGAACGAGTCGTCGACGAACGCATTCAGGCCATGTCTGAGTTCAGATACCTGTCCATGTGGGCTGCTCCCATTTGCGACAAATATCGCACATCGGTCGCGTTTGTAGGGCGCTCGTAGGCCGTCGAGTCGAGTGACTGAGAGGTCCGTGAGAGGAGTCCAATTGGGTATCGACTCGACGTAGCTGAACCGATTTGTGCCGGGGTAGGGCAAGGCATATGAGTACTCTGTTGGCCACGCCCCAATTTTGCATAGAAGCCCATCGTTGCCAGCTCCTCCTGCAATCAGAACGTCTGGATACAGCTGTGCAAACTCGGAATTGTCAACGCTGAGGCATGCAAATGGGGTATCGATTCGATAGGGCCAGTCGCCAGCTTCATGTATATCCACAGAAGCCCCTGGGCCTCGTTCCGCATACATGAAACGCCCATCTTCTCGCACAATGTAGAAGGCTTCCTTCTCGAACTCTGGGTTGCGTGGTGCTTTGTCCCATGCAACCCATCGCGGTTTGTGTCTACTGTCGCCGGGTTGTAGCGGAGCGAGAATGATAGCGCTTATCGGTGCTTTAGTGCGTACGGGAACACCTGAGAGCACGTCTTTGTAAACTGATATATGACTGTCGAAGACTAATAAGAAGTCGGGGCTACGCCTCAAAGGGATGAGTAGGGACGGATTGTGATCCTCTGACAGCGTTAGCCGGCAATACAAGAAACTAGATACATCTTCGTCCGCCTACCGTAGTCCACCAAGACCCGCTCGGTTCGTGCGGTAGCCTTGCTCAAGTCCTGCCTGCAATCCCAGTCAAAGCATGTGATCTTTGTTTTCCCTTGGTGTGCGATGATGAACAGAAGTACCACATGGAAATCGTCCAGTCCGCTGCCCGATGATAGAAAGTCCATATACATGATACGCCCCTCGATTGGGATGATGCGCTCATCTTCGATGGGTATTGTGTCGCTACCTTCTCGAATCTCCTTTCTCCATCTTTCCATGGTCTTGGTCTTGTATAGAATGAAGCGTCCCTCAGGCGCAGCCACTGCCATTGCTCGGCGTTTGGGATCTATAGCGAGAAAGGCACCAAACCGGTCAAAGCGCGTAGCTCCAGCGGGAAGCTTGATGGTTTTCTGGCTGAACGAGACGGCGCCTGCCTGCATGTTACGAGCCCACAGAAACATTAGCGTCCTTGACGTCAAAGTGAGTACGATGACTTCTGGAGGCAGGTGACATTCTTCGTCACCTGTCATCGATCTCCTCTCTCGGTGTATGGTTTGCTTCTTGGGCAGCGGACTTCCAACGCTCTTGGTGATGGGGACCTCGCGGGGGTCGCCGAAAATCCTAGCTGCGAGGATGCGGCCTTTGAAATCAGTCTTGGTTGCAACATGGCGAAGGTGGCCATAGTCGCGAATCTCTTTCAACTGCACCGAATCTTCACCGACCAAAGCGATGTCAGTCAGGTCTTTGTGGCGTACGTTTGCCGGCAAAATGACGTTGCTCATAGGGCTCGCAAAAATAGTCCTTGAGAGGATACCAAGTTCGGGAACATGGGTGGCGGATTTCATGGTGGGCTCTCGCATCTCAGTGTCAGCTTGCTGAGCCCGTGCCATGATTTGATAGACGTCGAGCGGTCTCGATACCCATTCATTGTCGACGAGGACGAGACCTTGCACTTGATGATCCATGGCGGGGACTGGACCCTGAAGTACGGATCGGATAGCGCTGCAGCAGTAGATGTACCCGTCGATTTGCCCAGGTTGTACCCACGTATCGAGAAGGGTCTAGGCCGAAAGTGGTAGCGTGGCGGCTGCGCAGACGCCCTCGACGCCTAACTTCCAAGATTATATACCAGCGCGAGGAGAAACAACAAGGTGCAGCACTGTGAAAAGAGATGAGACAAGTAACATGGTATTGCCTGGCCGGACAGACAGGCTGCTAGACGGAGTTCGACGCAGCGCAAAGAATTGGCAATAGCGCTATTGGCGCAGTAGAATCGCTTGCACAGCAGCCGGCACAACGAGTGGATTGGATGGAGGATCGATGACTGGAAATGGCACGAGCGAATAAAGTGCAGTGTCGCCGGGATTCCCTGGCAAGAATGTGCAATGAGGCTGCTGTAGCGTCTTTGGGTTCTCTGCTATATTCGACCCCCAAGTATAGCGACTGCGCCCCGTACGAGTGAGTGGTTGAATCGAGAGAAGAGCTGGCACGTGAGGCGACAATAGACATGAGATCGTGTGCCTGTGTTTGGACTGCAAGATGGTGCGGCGCCAAGCACGATCTTAGTGTGACAGCCTATCTATCCGAACAAGTTATACGGCCGAGGGCAGGGCGTACGATCTGGCGCCCGATGTGGGATCGCCTTTGCGTGGTTGGCCTGCGCCGATGGTGGTTGCAGAGCCAGGGTGCGTGCAGTGGTCCAGGCGGCCCGGCGTATGGCTTGTGTCGTGCGGATTGGCGAATTTGCGGGAGGAAGACGTCGGCCAGCCTCGGGTGGGGTAGTGGAACGTATGTACGTTGTAGTGGTGGAGAGTTGGGAGGGAGGTGTGGTATGCAACTCACGTGACCTCGAAAGATTGACAGGGAAGGACATGGCGAGGCTCGCGTCACCCTGACCCTGGCAGTTGGGAACAGTACCGTCATGTAGGTAGACGGCAGCAAACACGTCGACATCTTCTTGCGACGTATTCTGTCCTCATCCTCATCCTCATCGCCCTCCTCCTCTTGATTGCCCAGTGTGCTGCAGCACCCTCGAGATGCCGCACCGTCATGGCCTCACGCACCCCGTCGCGCTCCGTCTCGCGCTCCGTGAGCTCCAACAGCATACCACCGCGCCGAGCTACTCCCGTCGTTGAGCTCTCGCCCGCCGATAAAGAAAAAGAGGCGCTGATTCGCGCTGCCTGTCTCGATGGCGACGTCAGCACCCTGGTCCAGCTGGCTACGAGCAACTCCGGCCTCGTCAGCGACAGTCTGCGTCGCACAGCTTGTAGGCCTCCCACTCTGCCGCGCTACTACCCAGAGTTGACAATGTCCAGGGCCCCTGTTGCTGGGATGCTCTGACGGCGACGACGACAACTCGAGGAACGTGCCGTCGTGGAAGGACCTACCCCGGCACAAGGACGAGCATCAGGTCGGCCTAGACGTCAACCGCGCCTTCGTATACTACCCGAAGAACGGTATGCCTCCCACACCTACGCGCTCTCGTACCTGATACGCCAATACTGACAGTCGCAGACTCAGAAAAGCAGCTCGACCACCGGAAGGAAGAACTCTCCCATGTCATCCTCGCTGTCCTGCGCCGGCACCCAGCGCTGTGCTACTTCCAGGGCTACCACGACATCGTCCAGGTCTTCCTCCTCGTCCTCGGCCCCCACGATGCGCCCGCTGCAGTCGCCCGTCTCAGCCTCCTCCGCATCCGAGACTTCATGCTCTCGCTGCTCGACCCTGCACTCGCCCAGTTGGAGCTGCTCCGCCCCATCCTCCGCGCTGCCGACCCCGTGCTGTACGACCATCTTCCAAAGAGCCAGCCCTCGTTTGCCCTCGCCGGCACCATAACCCTGTTTGCGCACAACATACAGGACTACAAGGACATCACGAGGCTGTTTGACTTCTTCCTAGCACGACATGCTGTCATGCCGATTTACCTGTTCGCCGCTGTTGTGCTGTCCAAGAGGGAGGAGCTGCTTGAGATTGACAAGGAGGATGAGGATATTTTGTATGTCATGCTGGGTAAGCTCCCTCAGCCCTTTGACGTCGAGTTCCACATCGCCCGGGCCATCGAGCTATACGAACGCCTTCCACCTGCGTCCCTCAACAGTTGGGAATGGTGGAGGATATCATCATCGAGTGTATTAAAGGCGTCAGCTACGAGCGCGAGTCTGCGTCGCTTGACGCTGGAGGATGGAGAGATGTTCTTTGCTCAGCAAGAGAAGGAGGTTCAACGACAGCAAGCCATGCGGCGGGCCGCCAAGCATCTCAAGTATCTTAGGATGCGCCTATGGTACTACCGCCGTTACGGAGCCGTCAGTCTTACAGTATTGGTGGGCGCTTACGCGTTATGGCTGGGTCGGAATGGTGGTCTCGACACCACACGATATTCCTTATTTCTGCCATTGGGCAACTTCTTTAACAGGATTATGGGCGTCTCGGTGTAGAGCTGGCTTAGGCCCTGGTACGTGTGGAGTAACAATGTGAGGGAAAAGTGTTTTTGAATATGCATACCCAGAACAGCATGGCGCTAGCGGTCAGGCAATAGATGGATGAACTTTAATGAATATGGATAAGACATGATGTAACCCCTCCAAGAGTCTCAAGATGTGCATCTCCCTTCGGCAAGGGTATAATGAATGTTCAAGAGAGTTTCTCGTTTCAAGCACGGAGAGAGTGGAAGTGTAAGGTATTATCTTGTCTACTCATATCGGACCACAATTCTATCCATGCGGAGTATGCCCGATCTCTCAATGATCAATCTCTGAATGATCAACCTGCAGGAGACGAGTCCAGCACTGGCTAAAGCAAGCTGACTGCTAATACCAATCAGACCTTTCCCGAGCCTACTACCAAGTACCGTCGCAAGTTTTATCTACCCTGTTCATGCGTAGCATGCGTGGGAAACTTGTCATAATCCAGCGCCTTTGGGTTATGCGTGAATCCAATCCTATTCTCTATTGCCGTATTCTTGCCTTGCGGAACGACGGGTCCTATGCGACATTAGTCCTGTCTATTCTCCTATACTCTTCCATCATAGGACTGGTTTAGCACTGACCGAACTTGGGATGAACAAACACATTCGGCACGAACGGGTCCACCTTGTACTTCTCCAGCCCCTCGGTCAAGCGATCCCAGTTCACGCACTCATGCGCGATACTGCGGTTTCCTGTAGGAAGCGGGGTGTTGTCCAGCCAGCGCAGTGTGAGGGGTGTTTCGTCGGCTTTGCACATTACGCCCTCGATGACCATTTCAAGGCAATGCACTGTATCGTTAACACTGAAGCTCATATTCAAAGTTGAAGCCAGGGTCGACGTACAGTTATGCTCTAGCTGCATCTTCTTCTCATGCTCGGTCATGTTGGGGAAATACCGCTCGGGAAAGTATCCCGTGTAGATTCTCTTCAGGCAGTGCAGTTGGTGCATAAACGCATAGTTTGCGACATAGTTGCCATTTGGTAGTTGCAGGCCTTCGTCTAACCGTCCTAGCTTGTCCATGTAGGCGTATGGCACTTCGGTGAAGAAGTACTGCATGAGCTTTGACCAGCGGGAATCGAGCTCTTCGCTTGGTTCTCCGACCAGTGTGTAATCTGCTGAGGATTCCATGAATTTGAACTTGGTGGGCTCGTAGTGTATGTAATTCCTCAATGGCGCTATATACTATTAGTGATATGGATCGGCATCAGTGGACAGGGCGGTGACTGACAGTCGATTACTGATGCACCGTGCAATCGTTCCTTCTTCCAGTACGTTGATGTTATACTCGATGTTATGCTTACAGTAGCAATTGTGTATACTGTGAGGGAAGCCAGGGCCCCAAGCGTGAAGAGTACACGTCGTTTCAGATGCGAGCCTCTTTTCCGGAGTGTTGAGAAACCGCCTTCGAACAGGAGGTTATCAGACTCATTTTCAGAATGAGAGGATTCGTCATCTGGAATTGAAGTGTATGTAGATTTCTCTCCGGAAACATTCATCGTGAAGTTAACTCAACAAGACAGCAAGCTATTAGTGTGGACTGGTGCGGCGAAAGGTGAGAGTATATGAAGCTCGAAGGTGTACTTCGATACTACGTTGGTGGGGATTGGTGTTTACCTGGTAGGATGTAGCTAATCCACGAGCCAGTAGGGGTTTACGTCTTAGATAGATCTGCCGACATATCTTCGCCGACCTTCGTCGAAGGACTCGGGCCTTGAGTCCCATTGAAGAAAGCTTGTTGTTGATTGGTAGTGCATAAGCATTACGCTACAAGACTACGACGTAACTCAATCTTGCATCATCGTCTGTAAATGGAAGGTCGACACCTTTGATATCGTCCGCCAACTCCAATGGGAAGGTCGGATCCTTTGAGATCGTCCACCGTCTCACCATGATGCTAAGGTGTCCCATGACTTCCATAGTTCGGCAGCACCGGAGACACTTTGCAATCCTTCCTGCAGCTACCAGTCCGGGGGAAGAATCCTGTATTTCATGCAAAGGTGACGACAGATTGCGCATCTCAAGTTCCATGAAACTAGGCGGGGTCAGTGTTGGTAGTGCTGGTTTGGTTATAAAGTCACTGTTAAACCTTCAACAGATTATTCGATTCTCGCAGGCATTCACACACCAAGTTTAACTTTACATCATCTCACTCGTCCGAATCGGCCCACGAAGTCAACAAAATGCATTTCAAACAAATCGCCATCGTCGCTCCCCTGCTTTTCGTCGGCATCTATGCTGCTCCTACTCCAGTGACTGGTAAGAGGAGTTCAAAGGACAAGTCTCGTTTCTCATAGCTAATGTGAAATAGAAGGCAAGCGGGATGCTGAACTTGTTTCTGACAATATCTGGACCCGCGATGCCGAACTTGAATCCGACAACATCTGGACTAAGAAACGCGATGCCGAGCTCGAGTCTGACAACATTTGGACTAAGAAGCGGGAGGCGGAGCTAGATGCCGACAACATCTGGACTAAGAAGCGGGATGCGGAGCTCGAGTCTGACAACATCTGGACTCGCGATACAGAGCTTGATTCCGACAACATCTGGACCAAGAAGAGGGATGCTGAGTTGGACGCTGACAACATTTGGACCAAGTAAGCGCGTTGTTGCTGACTCCGGAGTGGAGTAGAATAAGTTTGGTCATGCGTGCCTCTTATCGGTCGTATCAAAGCAAATGGGGCAACTTGGTCCTCATTAAGTGGGTAGCTAGCTCCACGAAGCGTAGTCTATACGTTCGTGCAGAATTCACAATCGTTACTGTGGTCAGATCCTGATTCGAATGCTTTGTATACGTGATCAGGCTTCCCGCGAAGATCGTGTACTCGGGTCCGTACATAATGGCGCCTTGAATCCATCCAATAAAGTAGAAGACTTAGATGAAAGTTCTTCCAATCGGAGTGCTTCCTGCAGTGTGATGTTAAGATGATCGAGGATTGATTGCCACGCAGTCTGACTATCTGTGCGAGTAGGCACACATGACTTCCTTCTCCAGCATAGTGCGTGTACGGTTTCATTGCCACTTGATAGATTAATCATTAGGCTTCCAGCGGTTTCGTGGTCCTAGCAGTAGTTAGCATTGCAGAGGTGGGGCTATGATGAATTCAGAGACGCACTTGTGTCTTACCCCACTAGAACGCGCTCGATGAATGGCCGCAGAGAATTGAAGAGATGATCAACTTGTAACAAATCCAGTAGGAATGGGGGTTTTGTCGTGTAGAGGATGTATTCTGCGTCCGCGGTTCGGTAGCGCGGGACTTACGGGCTCGTGCCCGTGGACAGGATTCCACCCTAGTGCAAAACAGGAAAGTACTTGTGAAGCTTGATCCCGGAGGATTCTGAACCCCAGCTTATCGGCACCTCCACCCTCGGCCTACTGCACGTCAACGCATACACGGGTGAGCAGTAGGTCGTCTTGCTGTTGCTCAACCAGTTGGACAGGGCTGCTTCTACTATCAATGAGGTCATTGTAGATTCCACCTACCACTTCTAGGTACCCTGTTCTGTGTCATCACCCGTCGCAATTGCCGTAGGTGTGTTCCCCGACTTCACCTACTAGCTCCTCCAGCACAAATCCTCTTGCGCGCAATTATCTCTGCGACCTCACCTATAGTCATTACGTGCAAACGTCTTTCATTGCTGATTTCTGCTGTCTTCTGCATGGACCAGTATGGAGAAGTCGAGGTACTCACGTTATAGTCCTATCCCGGAAGATGAACCTTCTCAGTCATCTCAACATGATGAACTACTCCACGTTGAGAGAACATCACCATGGGCCAGGCGTGTTCAGTCTTTGAGGAGTAAACTCCTTATCGCCCTTGGCCTTAGTTTCCTCGTCTTGCTCTACTCGGCGATTCTCATAACGATTGTGTCGATGTGGTGGAGGAACGAAAGGTTACATGGTGCTGCAGTTGTTGATAGTAAGTGCACCGTGGAAGAACGTGTCGATTTGTGGATTGACGATTCCCTTTTAGCCCCGCTTCGGAGCTTCGTGCACTACGAGCCGACCATGCTCAAGATGGGAGAGGAGTCTAAAGACTATGAGTTAATGGGCAAGCCAAGTGATGAGTTAGATAGTGCCTGGGAAAACCTCATGCAAGACTTCTTCACAGAAGTCCCATACTCGTACGTGGCGAAGGTCGGCCGGTTACAGGAGGGCATTCCCGCCGAAGGAGGAGGCTTTCTTGCCACTTACTCATTCATGCATCAAATACATTGTCTGGTGAGTTTGAGTGGCAGCCTTATATCTTGCAACATTTTGCTAATGGATCAAGAAACGTCTCCATCATTCATATTGGCCTGACCGCTACTTTCCGAACACGACTGAACAGGAGAGAGTTAACTTGCAAGAACACAATTGTAAGTTTGTTGTGTATATGGACTGCAGTGTATCCCAACTAAATCCTACATCATCACAGTGCACTGTCTGCAAATGCTTCTGAAAGCTGTCATGTGCAAGGCAGACACTAACCCAGAAACACTACGTTGGGTAGACGAGAGTAAATTCCCACTTGGGAATCGCACGTCGCCACACGAATGTGTCAACTGGGGACTTCTAATGGAGGGTATGAGGCAAAGCCGTGTCGACCCTTTCAAACCTGGAGTACTAATCCATCCTAAATTCGGTAAGCTTCACCGCTGAATCTGCAGCCCTAGCGCTACCAAGCCGAAACTTCTAACATGAGCACAACAGGGCCAGTAGTACCAAATGGTAGACATTCCGTCATAAGTGAGCAAGAGCGTCACAGATTTGTGATAAATGGAACGACTATACTCATTCCGGAGTCGGATAGGGAGGTATGAAAATGTGCTGATTAGCATATATCATTTACGGATTGGAACTTGCTACCGAGGGTTAAATCGTCACTCAGCGCCAGGTCTTCAGTGTCGGGCAAGCCCGCACCGTCATACTCAGCCCGCCCAACCAAGTCAACTCAACCAAGTCAACGAAGTCAAGAGCTTCTACCCTACCTAATAATATCGCATGCCCAGAAATCTCTTCTACTGGAAAATTGTAATATGCTCAGACACCATTGGCTAAGATTGTCATCCTTCATCAATCCGTCGTACACGGCATCATACATTTTTCTCACTGAAGCTCAATGCTCTACTGACCTGCAGAGCAATCAGCCACAAGCACGCGACCAAATCGTTCATCGGCAATGCGCGCTAGCCGACCTTTTCCGCTGTAGACGTCACGAGAGCTGAGCATGTAGCAAAGCCAAGCCTTCAAATCTCAGCCAGCCATGTCGACACGAGGACGCCCGGTCGTAACGCTTATGCACCAGCGTTACCTTTTGAAGTAGTTTTTTGATCTATTCTTGGAGCCGGAATAGGCTCGGAATCACTCCGATTGGGCCACCCACCAGCATGGCTATGCATAAGCTTACCTACGTCTCCACACTAGAATCACGCTTACACCCTGAACAGCTTTTGCATTATGGGGAGATTGTCTCGTATACCACGTTATCGTAGCAATTTGGGCGGTATCCTTGAGCCAGCTAGCAATTTCAAGGCGGTGCTGAACCCGAAGGCGGCTGAAGTGGCTGCTCACAACACGAGTCGGAATGGCCTCAAGGGGCAGTGTTGAGAGACAGCAGAGACATCGGAGCCCTGAGAATGTTCATCTGAAAAGTGTGGAAGTCATTGTATAAAGAGAGCTGCCACTTTGACGAAAAAACAGACCATCAACATCCATCACAACACTTCAATCATCAATCCAATCTTCACTACCACTTTCAACCTATCTCATCCAATAGCAATAACTTCTTATTCTTACCACCATCAAACCTAGCAAAATGAAGTTCACCATCGCCGCTGCAGCTACCACTCTCGCTCTTGCCACGGGCATCAGCGCCCTCCCTGCCCCCGCTTCCCAAATCACCATTCGCATCTTCAACGACCAAAGCGGTGCGAACGCCGAAGCCACCGTACCCGTCGACAACGTTCCGCGCAACGTGGTTGACCTCTTCCGCAGCACTGCCATTGACAGCGCAGGCAACATCTTCGGCACCTCGGCTCAGCTCACCAAGTTCTCGGATACCAGCAAGTGTACCCTGGTCAATGTCAATGTGAGGGATTGGAAGATTGAGCTAGACGGACGCGCCAAGAACTTTGTGGATCTAGATGGAGATAAAACCAAGGCGGTGCCGATCTGGCTTGGTGGTTTCACCTTCCAGTGCTCTCAGGCTTAGAGGATAGGGTCAGTCAGGATCTGGGGGCAGATTGGTGTTGCTTTGAATTTTGTCACTCATTCATAATTGCATTGCAAACTTTCGCATTGTAGGGGTTTGGTAGCGCTTGAGATTTTGTTCGGAGTTATACTTTTCACGCGGTATTTGCACTAGACTAGACATATTTAATTCAGTTACCCCTGGTTTACCTTTCTTCGCCTACGTTAAAGATCTCGAGGACGTGAAGCGAATCTCTAATTAAGTGTGCTAGCTACAGTGCCTATGTAACGGTAAATTCCGTTATTTAGGTACTAGTTGAAGCTTTTCCCTTATGCAACTGCCTGCAGCTGTAACAAGAGTAAAGATTGTTTGTTTATATACTTTTTGCAAGGATCCGTCATGATTAGAAAGACTCAAGCGCGAATATTAGGCATGGCAATTTAAGTTAGGGTTAGTAAAGCTCTAGGTTCATTGAGCTAATACATGCTTATTTTTATAAGACAGAGACATGAACAACTAGGTCTTTTCGATTTATATGATTTTATTCCAAATCGACGTCATCTTTGCAAGCGTGTTGTGGGAGAGATGCTCCCTCGCGCTCTGTTACGTCGCAACCTGTAAAAACACCACTAGTACAGCGGCATACCTACATAGCTGATTAGCTTCATTCCAAATCTTTGAAAGAAGAGTTCGACTTACGCGGCAGTTGCCCCTAAAGTTTCGAAGGGTTTTGCGACAGTTGTGAAGGATACTAAGCAAAGGAAGAAGACCAGAAAGGTTGTAATAATCGCCAAGCGATACGTGGTCTTATCAACAAAAGCCAAGATCCAAAGAGGAACTATAAGCATAATCAGTCCCAATGTGGTGTTGATCATGTTGACGAATAGGTCGATGCGCTGCTCCGAAGAGTAGTGAATATTTTCGTCTTGTATCTTTGACGGCTTTCGCCATAAGCGCGCAAGTCGAAAACGAGGGGATACCTCCAAAAGCCGCCGTAATGGTGTTTTGTTTCTTGATACCACGGAGAAAAGATCATGACGTGAGTTAATGTAGGCCGCCTCGTCTGGGTGTATAGCATTCTTGTGGTTGTGGAACCAATTCGACACGCTGTTGATGTCCTTTCGAGCGACTCTGGGCCGTGCGCGAAGCTCAGAGTATTGCAAGACTAGTTCGTCTAAAACGGTTGAGACTGGAGCAGAGCAATGCTGCTCAAAAGGTGCTTACTGAATGATCGTAGCTTCCGATCGATCTCCCGTATAAGCGCTAGTCGCGCTTCTGAGGTTTCTTCTCGGAATGAGCCATTGTGAATATCTTCTGCCGCTGGGTCTGACAGTAGATCTTCTAAGACTTGAAGTTGTGCCTCGAGTTCGCAAAGTTCATCCTGAAGAGCGAGGAGAATTCGAACACTCAAGTTACCAAAGCGACGTAATAAAAAGAAGTCATGGTCGGAGTCGACAAATTCGCAGAACCCGCGGTAGCCTACATATTTCCACGGTCGTCTCTCAGCTGTCTGGCCGAGTGATGCTGTGGTGGTATACATATATTATCGGATTAATATGTCACGAGGACTACGCAGCCCGCAATGAAGAATTTATATAAACCTCAGAGAATAGTTGAGAGTATCGAAATACGATGCATCTCAGTCAAATTTTGTTGGAAAGAGCAAGCTTTATTGGCGGAGTCGCGAAGGCGACTCGTTAATAATGATGTGTTGGCATGCGGCACAGCCTCGGGGCTGTGAACTTTGACCGGTGCCTCAGCCACACTACCTTCAGGCTACTTATCAAAGTTCTCCGTCCGAATAATTTTTCTGATTTCTGATAGCAGCACAGCAGCTGAATATTATGTCTTTGTACGAACTTGTGGAACGACCCAAACTCACAGGCGTCGGGAAGTGTGGCGGTTACGTGCCGTACAGCTCTGGTGGAGAGGTGACCAAAAGCGGGAAGCTGACCATTACCGAAGCAGAACTACGCCCCCCAATATTTAAAACGTCTAAGATAGGTGGTGCGAAGCAGATTATATCACGGAAATCAACCCTTATCAATGTCAATCCTAATCCTAACCTCGCCCAAGGCTTTGGAGTCATTACAGCCGATGAAGGGACCAGTGTAGAGCAAGCGCCGGCCGCAAAACATTCTTCAATTCACATGTCGAGAACGCAACCCGGATGGAACAGGTTTTGGGGCACTATCCTAGTTCAACATGCCTGGGATTGGAGAGATGCCTCTGACAGCTTCTATAGCGACCTGTGCAAGGCGTGCCACGATTCCGACGAAAAGTGCTAGAGCACAGAACCAAGATTCCTAGGCGCTGGCTGTTCTTATAAAGAATTTGCTTGCCAACGCTGTACAAACGAAGGACTGGAATGTCACAGAGTTATAGCGTATCAGCGATTTTACCCAAAGGGCACTGTCCTCGATGGCGCATCCATATCCAAACTTCGCCGACTGACTATGAAACATAGTCAAGCAGCGGGAACGCCACGGGAGATCCCCGATGCCGCATTCATCACCGCCTACCATGCCCCGACACTTCATCTAGGCGTAACCGAGCAAACACACCCTAAAGACGACAACAAAGGTTACGTTGATTGGAAACAGGTAGCAAATTTGAAGACGGCGGATCGGGCTATGAGCGTGCTTCGCAAGATCCCGATGTTGGCCCACACTCGGACGCGATACAACGACACAGACTCTGAAGTTCTCACCCATTCAAGAACTTATTCTATAAGTTTCGGGCCAGCAAAGAATCTAGAAGGAACTGCACGTCATGATAGTTTCAGTGACGAAAGTTCGCGTATCAAAGATGGTAAGTAGCTACTAGGCCGGTATGACCGTGCTCACATGGCTAACGCTATTTTCAGGCAGATGTAGTCAGGTGACTTCAAGTTACGATATGCACCAAGAAGTGGAAGCTTTTCATTCTTACACTGGCTGGGTGAGGTTTTCGGTTGCTGGCATCATGCCAGACACCGCAACCTGTAAATACCAGCTAAGTTCGGTGGCATCGGAAGAGCAGAGAGCTTTACCAGACAAGTTTCTATCATTCTGGTTTCCAGAGTCATGTCTGAGGCCTTTAGATGAAGCGTCGAAAGTGTAGTGTAACTATGATAGACACAGCGAGTCTGTAGCATTCGGTTATGGGGTTGTTTGACTACCGAACTCGGCCCTTCGAGGTGTTGAATTGTTTTACGAAGAAAGCATTGGTTCTGTTTGTGTCTTGGATAAATTATATACCACACTGAGATAATTCATCCGTTGCAATTCTTTCCCGCATTTCGGCTCACAGTCATATGATACTAGTGATTGCGGGAATGCACCATAGGTCGGAGACGTGCACTGACTTCGGTATTACATTCTAAACTCGGGTGGCGCTAAGGAGGAGGTAACGCGTCACGACAGGTCACTCAGTCGGCATGTCTCTACATATCTGGATCTAATTTGAGGCGGAGATAATTAGGTGATGTATTTCGTGCTCTTAGAATACCCTAACATACTACTTGAGGGCATTTAGAACTCCGGATTTTATTGTCATGTACCGTTGTGGAAGATATGCTAGCCCTCTTCTTCACATGCTAGGCCATTGGACTTGCACACGAGCTCGTCGTGCTTAGCCATGGGCGGATCAATGCCCCCTTGCTTGCAGTGCGCTTGCCCTGGGCCATCAATCTTGCAGTCGCCGGGTGTGGTGCACTTCTTCTCGATAGTGTAGATATGGTCGTCCCCACACTTCATCAGGATGTACGCGTTGGTGTCGCACGTACGCTCTCCGGATGTGCAGGGTTCGAGAGCCATTGGAGGGAAGAAACGCGGACGGCAGTATGCATCTCCCTTTTGCTGTTCGCACCTTCCTGTCTTGTAGCAGACTTCCTTGCTGATCCACCTGTGCTCTACATCGCATTCCTCTATGGTGATGCCATTGCAGCGCTTTGAACCGGTGGTGACACATGTCTCTGGAATATGTCCTCGAGGAGACACAGGTCGAGTGCTCGAGCACACGGCTTGTCCATCGTGCTCTATGCATGATCCTGGTGTCTGGCACACCTTCTCCATGACCCATTGATGTTTCTTGCTGCATTTCTCGATACCTTTCCCGTCCCCGTGGGTGATGCAGCGCTGCTGATCAACGTCGTGGCACATCTCAGGCGCAGGGATACTCTCAGATCGCTTTGTAGGAGTCACTGGACCAGGAATGCTCGTTGGCTGAGAGGAAAGGCATCCGACCCGATCGTGGGTACCGGTTTTGCTGATCGTGCAGACCTGATGCTTGGTGCACGCTTGCATGAGCTTGAACTGTCCCTGCGCGTTGCATTCTTCCAGGTCGTTCTTGTGGCATCGCTGGGCACCCTCGCGGCATAATCCGTCTGGGGGAGGTATGGTGAAGGACACGATGACCGGCACAGTCGCCACGAGGAGCGATATGAACTTGAGGAGGCGCATTGTAGTGGTTGAGTAATCTTAGTTGTAGCTTGGAGTGAGAGTAGTAGAGGATAGAAGGTTGAGAGTAGGTAGATAGTGTTTATATATACGAAAGAGGGGCAATGCGGTGAGTGAGAGACTGGTGGCCGTGCACGTACTTGGAAGGAGTTGATATGAGATGAGAGAGTATCATTAGCTACGTATGTGTTGGAGGTGAAAGTCGATCGCGGAGGGATAGGTAATTACAGTAGGAAAAAAGGCATAGCAACAATGCGAATCTTCCTTTGTATGCTTCTACGGTATCGGTATAAGCTACGCGTGGAAGAGCCCCAAAACCCTGCACATGTGTGAGCCTGTACGATTCTCTTCAGAGAACCTTTCTGATTCATTTCCGAGTGATTAGTCTGAATAGAAACGGCTTAATCTTTCACCACCGTCCCTGTCGAGGTCCGTACGCAAATCACCCTTTGAATTAAGTCGCAAACCCACCTTCAAGATTAGCCATGGAAGGAACGCGTCGCAAGACTAACACGCCATGCCTTCATCTACGAGATGTCTAGTCTATCCAGATCAGGTAGTTCCGCTGCGGTGAAAGAGGTGTTGGTACACTTTGCGTAAGAAGCCGACATTTCTTTTGGTAGCGAGTCACACTACTTTCTTCGTACTTCTCACTGTGCTAAACGCTCTCCACACGACAGATCAATCACGATGCACATCCTCATATTGCTCGGTATCCTCTTCGGCCTACCTCTATGGGCTCATGTCGAACCCTTCTTGTCTAGCTCCGGAATACCACAAGTGCAGGGCTGCGACAAAGCTTGCTATGACGCATACCACTATCTTATGGGTGTATGTCCAAAACCCAATTTAAACCTGGCAAGACCATTGACAACTATAGGGGGATGGCGATAGTACGAAGTGGATCCACAAGACTGCTTCCCACCAGTATAGCGCAGATACTGTTTGCGCCGCCGCCGAGCTGTGCAATAGTTGTGCCTTCTGCGACCTCCAGCAGCCCGCCCACGAAGCTGCTCTCAACAAAAAAGCCAACCTCGAAGCGCGTCAGAGAGCAAACTCTACCACTACCGTAAGCTGCATGGACTGCCAGGACTCTCTCGCTACATGTCGCCGCCATCACAACCCCCATGCTGACGAAGCACCGCATACGCAATTGAAAGGCTGTGCGACAAAGGGCGGTCACTTGCAATACACGTCCTGCCAAAATGCTGGACGTACATCGAGCAACGAAGAAGACTTCAACTGCGAGCTGGAGGTTTGTGTCAATGGCCCAATGCATTGTCGCGCAGGCGGACAATGCGAGCGCCGAACATGCAAAGACCTAGTCGCACGCACGCAGCGAGTACCTCTCGGTCAAGCGCCCGAGTGCAAAGACTGCGTCAAGCGGTGGGTAGAATGCATACACAACACCTGTTTTCCGCCCACACTTGATTGCTTGGCTACTACGGATTGCACAAACCCCGAGTCGGCACCGGACTCTATCTGCGTCAAACGCTGTTGGTCTGAGACACCACGTCACTGCCACGCTGGTCGATCTTGTGCGCATCTAGAGTATTCATATACTGACATCGACTACGTCACGCATCCAATGTCCCCGGCACAAGAGCGTCTGATGCAGCTACCTCAAGAATGTAATCAATTCCGCGACACGTGCTTGCAGACATGCAACCTGGGCAAATTGCATAGCAAATGCGAGAAGAAGTGTGGGAAAACGCACAGGAAGAGTCCAACAGGAAGGCAGTTGTGTAGGGACGATTGTAGAGAGCAGACGTGCTATCAGGAGTGCAGGGATAAGACGTGTTGTTTGGGGCCGCAGCAGTGTCAAAGTGGTGGTGAGGCATCTCGGTGTTTCGGTACTGTAAATCTAGACTGTGGGAAGTGGGCGTCCGACCCAGATAGGTCAGGCTGATGATCTCTTATATTTGTTACACCTAGCTCTGCTGTGGAAGATAAACTGACCTGGTACATCATGTATTGTTATTGTAAGTCTGCAGTCAGCAGAATTCATGTGCTGGGTGAAGACCTTTATCTGCTCCCTAACGCCATACCTATCTCTTGTGATCTTACACCATACATCGGCAGGTATGTGGTGTGTTCCATGTCTATCACATGGCTCCTGCGTGACACCCTCATAGCAAAGAGCACCGTGAAGGCTTTGGCAGCACATACACTATCCAGCGCCAGGACACTCGTAGACCTTAGGGTTTGGGCTTAGGCCCAGCTTCCGAGTCGTACCCAGTCTCGTCCTTGGGCTTTTCCATCAGCTCGGTGCTGTAGATGCGCTTGTAGTCCTGCTCATTCCAGCCTTGTTGTTGGGCCAAAGTGCTCAAGCTGAGCCCCCTCGAACGTGTCTTCTTGATGGGGTCTGCTGCAGTAGCACCAACACCATAATTCAGTGGGACCACACCTTGGCCGGGCGGCGGGAAAGGTGTAGACGTTGACGGGGGTGAGGCCACAGTGGCTCCCGTGATTGTATCAGTGGCGTTGGAATCTGTAGACATATTTGAAGAGACGGATTCTTGTTGTGCACGCTTGAGTGCTGTTTCGTAGTTCGCCGAGCTCGTGCGGACAACGCCTGGTCGGCGGTAGGCCTTCTGCGCCTCGGTAGTGCCGTCTTCACTTGTACCGTATTGGTTGCGCCCGCTGGTACCTCCATACGACAACGAGTCAGGAGCTGCCGAATCGGTCTGGGCAATGCTGTTGTGTGTGAGGGCGGCCTCGGCCTCTGAGCGTGTGTTGGGTGTCAGGCCAGAAGGTGTGATGGGTCCGAAAGCGCCAAAGGAGCCATCAGACGGCGGGAGGAGGTTCGACTGGTCGCTCATGGTGGACTCGGTGACGAAATTCGAGAGGTTTAGAACTACATCAGTTGTGTCAGTAGGGGCTTTCGTGCTGGAGATTGAAAGCATACGGGAAGGTGCCAGGCACGTGAAATCTGGAGCTTCAACAGAGAATCTGGGCGAGAGATTGGCGGTGCTAGCAAGCCTGTTGTTTGGTCGTTTATTTCGTAGGATGAGATTTCCCTGTTATCTCTCGTTAGGTACAAACTTGCAGGGAATGTGCGTTAGTGGGCAATCGTACCTTTTCCAGGTTTCCTGTAAAGTTGTTGCGTTGTACTAGAGGCTCGTAGTTCCAGAACAAATGTCTTGATCTTGAAATTGGTGATATTGAACGTGATCTCGCAACACCTCTCGCTTTAATGGACAGGCGGAGTGGTATGATGGCATGGCTTGGCGAGTGACGTCGATGCCCTTCCAGGCCAGGGTCCAGCTTGTGGGGCGGCTAGTCCCCACTAGGCAACTTGACATGCTGCTCCTGCGGCGACGGCTTCGATCTAGATGAGCAGCCAGGGCTTGCAGCAAGGGCTTGTGCCCACCGCTGATATCTCTCTCGCGACAGAGATGCCTGAGTGGTGGAATGGGTACCCGAGTGCAGGAGAGGCTCATGCGGGGAAGGGAAAATGTGCTTTGTATCTTACTTGCGCCTCTGGCTTTGTGCGAAGCGAGGATGATGCTGATGCAGGTCACGACTGTGTAGCAGAGTCGTCTTTGAGCGCCTTTTGTCTTCTCTGTTCTTAGCCAGAGTCCCGTTGCTGAAGACTTAGATAGATTGAGAAGTTTAGATTCGAGCTTGCACAAGCACACGCTGCTCATTCACCTAAATTAGCATTCTCCCACCGTCATCCGTGTTCGAGGCCACCCGACCGCACACGTATGACGCACTGCGCGGAGTGGCTATTTCAGTTGTGATAAGATCGACAGGCCACAACGACAAACTACACGAGTCCGACCCGTGCGTCCAATGTCTCGAAGCATGCTAGTGGCTAGTCTTGAAAACTGTCGTGGCCGCATTGAGCAGGTCCGTTCCATTGTTGAGTGCTCCAGGAAGCTCAGTAACTGTTGCTGCGTTGGGGATTGTATGTTGCAGTCTACGATACTAATCTCACATAGCCAGACTGGTTGTCACTCTTGGTTTTCGTTAATACCCATACGTAGCATCTGCATGATGTTGCTCCCAACAGACTAAGCGATGCATGGGTGAAGTTTACGGGGCTTGCGGCGCGGCACGCCGCCAAAGGCAGAAAAGATGTGCGAGAAGCGGGCCTGTAAGCAGACCCAGACCTCTCAGCAGATTGTGGGAAAATATGTGTAAACTCTAAACAGCACGATAGCTAATCCCATAAAAGGGAGCAGGCATATTTTTGAATTCAAGCTCAAAAGAAGGTGCCCTCTCGACAGGGGCTAATGTCTCCACAAATGAGCCATGAAGCTTCAAAAACCTTTTTCACAGCTGTAGGGTCCCATTCGCAAGCAACTCAACGGAAGACGCTATGATGGACATGCTCACCCGCCAGTCGCTTCGTCATCCAGGCAACGCCTTACTGCGCAGATAACGCTCATGGAATCTCAGATACAATCAACGGGCCGCGCAATAGTCTCGACAAGTTCAGAGTAACTGTTGAAGAGTTCCTCTATTGGATCAATCGCACATCGCTTCGTTGGTATCCCTGTATCGCCTGGAGACCTAATCATGTAAGACAACGCCCCAGCCTATAAGCACTAAAATCAGACCTCGACAACGCTCCAAGTAACGGCTTCTCTTTAATAATCTCTTTACTTACTAAAAGTGGCATTTACCCTTTTACCTCACTTGTAGCATGTTCTAGCAAAAAGATGTAGTCACAATCATGCTTGAATATCTGCTCATTTTGGCGGCGTTGTACTTCGTATGGAGCCTCATCTGCCTGGAGTGCAATTACAGGCGCGCGACGTCCATGGGCATCCCTCTTGTACGACTGCCCGTAGATTCTCTGAACATTCCCTATACAGTTATCGAGCCGCACCTCTTCAAATTTCTCGACCTCCTGCCTCCTTTCTTGCTGCCAGAATTCGTTCGGTACATGCGACGTGGCTGGTTCTTCATCGACAAGGCCGACTCCCATCTGCGCTATGGGCCCATATTCGCGTGCGTAACCCCTCGTGGCATTCACATACAGGTGTGCGACTCAGAGGCCATTCACGATATCTTTACACGGCGTTTAGACTTTGTGCGTCCGACCGAGAGTTACAGTAAGGATTGGTGTCGTCTATCCGCAATGTGTGGACTAAATAAGTCGTAGAGCTTCTTGAGGTGTATGGCCCTTGTATCTCCACGGCAAGCCTGTCCGAATGGCCCCGACACAGAAAGGTCTTGGCTGCGCCGTTCAACGAGAGTGTGATGAAGTTTGTCTGGAATGAGTCTCTTAAGCAAACGAGGCAGATGATTGTGTCGTGGACTACTCCCGAAAACGCCACTGACGGCATCTTTAGCGTTGCCAAAGATACTCGCACTCTGTCCTTGAATGTTCTTGCAGCTGCTGGATTCCGACGTTCCTTTAACTTCCGGTCTTCGCGCGCTGGGAAAGCAGACACTGACTCGACGTCTTCTTATCGCAATGTACTATCGACGGTGCTCGACAATATCATTATTCTTATGTTGATCCCGCACCGCTACCTATCTCTTCCAATCTTCCCAAAGTCGTTACAGCGCATTGGTAAAGCAGCGACTGAATATAAGACTCATATTGAGCAGATGTTCGAGGAGGAAATGACAGCCTTCAAGCAAGGTACACAGGGTGCAGGAGGTCTCATGACATCGTTTGTCAGAGCCTTGAACACCCATGAAGCCAGTCTTGAAGGACCCAAACAGTCATGGGGCCTATCAATGGACGATATTTACGGGAATATCTTCGTTATAAACTTCGCCGGGCACGACACTACTGCAAACACTCTTGCGTTTAGTTTATTTCTTCTCGCAACGGAACCTAAAGTGCAGGAATGGGTAACCGAGGAGCTGCGCGCAGTAGCACTCGATGAAGCTGACTGGAAGTACGGCCGCATGTTTCCGTGATTGATCCGCTGTCGCGCTGTCCTCGTATGTGCCCATCCGCCTCTTCTACTTCTCGCTAACTTCGCAGCAGCTTGAGACACTCCGACTCTTTCCGCCCATCATGTCACTTCCAAAGCATACTAGCTCCGCACCTCAGCGTCGTCTCCAGGTTGGCGACCGCTCGATTCTCATCCCAGCGAACACGAATACTAGCCCGAGCATTCTTGCAGTCCATACACACCCTCAGCACTGGTCTAACCAACTCGAATGGCGACCTTTACGATGGATCACAGTGAATAATAATCACGAAGAGTCCCTCATAACGCCGCCACGAGACACATATTTCCCCTGGTCTGATGGACCGCAAAACTGTCCTGGTGTCAAATTCTCGCAGGTCGAATTTGCTGCTGTGCTGGCGTTACTCATGCGCAACCACCAGTTGACCATTGTGAGGCAGAGTGGCGAGACTGAGCAACAAGCTCGCAGGCGGGTTCTAGCGGTGGTCAATGATTGTGACATGCAGATTCTGTTGCGAATGCGCGATGCGGATAGAGGTTAAGATGTGAACCACGATCGTAGGTCGTGCTTACTGTGTGTGATTAGGTGCTGAAGTCGAGACAAACAAGTCAAAGGAAACAAATATAGTAGTTCAGTGTTATTGTAGAAGACGATAGTGGTCCGAAGGTAAGCGTAGCAACTTCTGTTGTTACTAGATTACGTCATTCTTGAAGCAGCAATCACGTGAATGTTAGCTACCTTGCGAATTTGTATTGACCTTAAACCCTAAGATCTTGTCCGTTATATACAATCTCGTTCCATGGGTTATAGAGCTTACGTAGAATGCGTAAAGGTTATATATTACGCTCTTGAATATATCGTAAAAAGCTATTTCCACTGTTAGGATGGATTGGTGTAGTAGAGTGAGATGTAAATATCACAAGTAACAGAAACAGTGTAGCAGTCCAGCATAATATCAGCAATGCTCTGTATTCTATTCTTGAAAACTTGCAAAGAAACCGTCTATCAGTTGGCAGTTGGCTGTTCACGCCTTGAAATTCAAAAAAGAGCGAATCTTGACTAAGAAAAGAAAGTGCTTGCGCGTAATTGTACTATCCTCTTCCTGCAGACCCTCCATCCCAGCGAGCCAGGTAAACTTATAATGCTCACTTCTCTGTGCACTTCTCAAACTTGCCATTGGTCCTTCCTGCATGAGACCACACTCCAATGAATGTGGCCACGTCAGAATCAACGTCATGCTGGTAGACGACACGGGCGCCACTGGTTGGCGTGCCGCCCGTGAATACCGTCTTGTCGTCATAGTTGAGGGGGAAGTGATCAATGTTGGTCTGGCCCTTGTAGTCCTCCAGGCCAGGAATACTCTCCGGGTTGGTAAAGTACTCTGGGTATTTGCTGTTTCCTGCCTTGTTGTTGCCATTGTCGCGGAGTTCGAGTGCATACTCGGTGCTTCTCTTGATGTAGTCGGCGGAGAACTTTCGGGCTGCGATTGATTAGCGCACCATTTGTGAACATCCAGGATCAGTGCACATACTCGTGGGCTTTGTCTGGCTAGTCTTGCATTCCCAGTCGTTGGGTGGAAATCCATGGATCGTGGAAGGCAGTTTGGTTGGAGGTGACCTAACGGCAAGGTCTGTCGGGGTCGGAGCAGCTGACACCGCGGTGGCGACCGTGAGGACGTAGAAGAAGAGGCTGGTAAGCTGCATTTTGGAGAAGTGATAGAAGTGATAGAAGTGATAGAAGTGAT